GTTCTAGAGCCCTGCTATTCTTCGCGCTAGCCATCGGCTGCAGCACCCCTCTGTAGGCATGGAAAAATTTGCTGTTTCTAGCGCTTCGAGATTCTCGTCTGAAGGACTACAAAAACAGTTCAAAAATTCCAAGTCCCAAGTCTCAAATCAATCAAGTTACCGCTGCAAACGATGACGAAAATGGCAAGGGTGTTGAAGGAAGTGAAACGCAGCAACAGCTTGGTTGAAGATCTAGAATTGGAGTATTGACGGGGATAATAGCTATTTTATCTAGTTATATGCGATCATGATGATTACAACTAAGGTCAACTCAGTGACAATGGAAGTTTCTGAGCATCCTTTTGATGGCATCTGGGTGATTGCCAATCTAGTCTCTGGCATTATGTCTGATTGCTAAACTGTTTGCTGCCAGCATCGCTGCCAGCAATGTCAGCCGTCAAAGGCATGACCGCAAACGCCTACCGCTTGCATAAAAACATTGGCTTCCAGGCTCTCACCGAGAGACACCACACTGATCCTATCCCGTACTGAAGCCCAGCAGGGGAACAGAAAGACGCCCGTTGATGTTTGACAAAACCGCAGCGAATCCAACTTCTGATCCCTCAGCGACGCCCACTTCGACCACAGACCCCTGGAACTCTATTACCCTCGGTGTCACTACCACTTTCGGAGTATTCATAACCTGCTGCATCCTCGCGGCTTTCATCAAGTGCTTCGAGTCTATCATAAAGATGAACCGGAAGTCTCGCAACCAAGACGACAGGAGGCCTGATGAGGGCGACGGCCGTGGTAGAACTTCCTGGCCAAGGCGCTCTTCCAATTCTCCCATCTTGCCGACGACGCACCGCCCTACGAATGAAGGAAACGATGAGGACGAGTTAAATGGGTGGATGCGCGGAGCCTCAAATAGGCGCCAGGGTGCGGATCTACGGATCAACCTGCTCGAGCAGAAAGTCGAAGAGCTCTACTACGCCATCAATAAAGTCCAGGATGATCATGACAAGCTCGCTTCCGTCATAGAGGAGATTGCCTGCGAGATTTTGTCCGAGGTGGCAACAATGGGTAACTCTAGCACCGAAACGAGCTCCCAGTACTTCAGCTGCAAGTCAAACATGCAGGACAGTGACGATGAATTTCTGAAGTCTGGGGATATCAGCGAGTTGCCAGGCACAGAAGAATTGTTGGGAAGAGCAACTCCATCCGACCAACTCGACGATTATCCCATTCCCAACCGACCTTTCCGTACTATAGGGGGACGCACAACACCGCCGCCCATCCCAGCCAAGTCCTCGAAGCGGTTCGTTCCATATTCACCTGAAAACCCATTCCTGGATCCTCAAGGACAGCGTAGGACGCCGCATCGATTCACTTCCGAATTCGGAAAAGGTAGCAGCCGCCCCACCTCTCCCATCCCGTACATCCCGCCGCCACGCCCTCCCCCGCACGGCTCGCTGGCCCCGGCTCCAAACCTGAACTCCAACCATCCCGTCAGCGCGTGCGCGTACTTCGCACCAGTGGAGAAGAAGACGGGGGGGCCCTCCGCGCCGCGCCAACAGCCGGATCAGGCGAACGAACGCTGCGACGGCCGTACTGCCTGGACCAGCTCTTCCACCAGCGGCGCCTCCTACCGCCACGGCGGCGAAGACAGAGAGGTTCGATATCGACGACCGACCAGTTCGCAGGTTAGAAGCAGCAGCAGCGCAAATGACGAACGACGACGACCCGGCCACTTCGACGCCGCTACCCCATTACACGCCGACGATGCGGAACGGGGGCAGCGCTTGCCGCACGGCCGGCACGTCGGACCCGGCGGATTCGGGACCGGTGATGAGGCTTTGGACGCCTTGGAGTGGGAGTATTCTCCGGCGCGTGGCTGGACGTCGAGACAGCCTTTCTCGTGGAGCGGCGCCGATTTCGCGGATGTCGACATCGATCCGTCTACGCCGGCGCAGGGGCAGAGGGCTCGTTTCGATGGGAGGCATTGGGGGCCGGCTCAAGTTGATTGCGGCTCTTCGAGTTCCAGTAGTGAGGATTCGGCCAGTGATGGCAGTGGGGAGACCGAAATCAGTTATGAGACAGTCCGGCCAGTACGCTCTGGGGAGACTGAGCAACGGGAAGATGAAAGAGAGCTGCATGGGCGGAGGGAATCCCCCGAAACACGTCGTCTGACAACTCAACGCTATCGTGTCATTGTGCCTGAGTCTTATATCCCTTCTACCGGCCGCGATAACAACCGAGGAAATACACACCCACCGCCCGATGTGGCCCGATGGAGGTCTCTGTATGAGCAACAGCACTTATTGGTCGCCTCTCACGAGGTACTGGGGCTCGCCGCACTCATTTTACTGAATTTTGATGAACATGATGGGTTCCCTCGTGGCGTAAATCCCGTCGTCCGACACAGGCAGGGAACCATCCTGTGGACGCGATTTTTGTGGCAGCCGGCCCCCCATCGTGAAGAGTTGATGTGGATGCACAGGCGACAACTCGAAGACAATATTGCCTGGTATATCCAGAGCTATTGCAACACAGGTGACAGGGCGCTCCACGTCGATCTCCCTACCTGCGAGCAGCAGGCTCGTGCCATCGTCTCCACGCTCTTCAGGAGGGCTAGTCAATCACCAAGAGGCCGCGTAACGTTGCATGACCTGTGGCGGTCGTGCCAGCATCGTTTTAGTATGCTATCGCATTAGCCTCGAGACAGTGAGCAGTTCATGAGATAGCTCGATCGCGTGCGGGTGAATGCGTGCCCGTGAACAAATGATCTACCGGCCTTCGGTGTTTGTTCCTTGTTCTGAGTACAAAAGTGCTAGCGACTGGCACAAGGACTGGTTGGTGCGTATGAGGGTAGCAAGGACGGACCGGGATTTTCGGAGAAGAGAATGCGAGGATCCTTGCAGCGACGGAGCCAGACGAAATCATGAGTGTGAGCAGACGCCACCAAATATAGGCGGTGGAAGAGAGATCGAGGACAATCGGAGGTTCTAGGTGAGAGGAGGGAGAAATGCAGACGCACTTTGCGAGACTGAAACGTCAGTGCCCGAAATTCCGCATATCGACGCTGGGTTTCAAACGCAGGTGAAAGGTCACTGCGGAGCTCCGATTAGTAGCACGTCCGGTTCCAGATGCTATTCATGTCCAATATCAGAATTAAATTCATCAGGCTTCGAGAACTGAAGTACATGTACGTGCTCGACCCCAATATTTCGAGAGGCTCTTCGTATATGTTGCGTATTCTAGCCAGAGTGACCAATTGAATGTGAGGTACTTCATTTTCTTGGCTGAAAAAAATAGTAAAGAGGGCGAATACGGCACTTACTAGCAGATCGTGGTAGGTAGAGCGCGAGTACTCATCAGTGATGTCATGGGAGCGGGCAGTTTGTCAGGTCATCCTTTTCTTCGTTTCACCAACCTATCAACTTTTCACCACTCCGTTCTATGGTCCGGAAGTTTCCGCTTGGTGTTTGTAAAGTAGCACATCTGCCGTTTTTGTGATGACTTCTACGTTCTTGATGTCGAATTTTCCGCCCTCTAAGCGTATGAATCCAAGGACCTTTTGGCTTTTCCTCACCTAGTGCCAATCGAGAACTAATATACTCATTTCCGTTCCAGTTCACGGTAGACACAAAGTTCAGCGTGATTTGCATTTCTCGGCAGACTAGCCTCGTTCCCGCAAAGGGGCACATGCGAGGTCATGAGGTCTGCAACCACACGAGAGCAGCTTGCCGGTTGCGCACATTGCCCCTGATCAGGAGACATAGTGAGAACATTATGTCTAGAGCGGACCATCTCTCGAGTTTGTGCGCGAGATATGCGAATCCGTGAGCCCTCTGCTCATCACTTGAACATGGTAGGCGTGGAGGCAGGAGATTGACCAGTCTAATGCAGCAGGGATTAGCGGCATGGGAACGCCTCTTTTTCTCTCATCTGTTTCTCAGAGCCAATGCATACAAAAGCTCTGGGGGAGGTCCCACCGGTTATTATGAGTAAAATATGAAATTTTCAAGGCAGTAAAGCGCCAACGAACGGTCTCGTGTTGACAAATCCAGGACAGATTCCGAAGGCCTGGAATTGGCAGAAAGACTCGGAGTACAGGAGTTCGTCATAAAGTGAGCGGCATGTGCTAGAAATTGGTGCCTGGAGTTAGAAGTGACGGAAGCGTGCGGATGGTCAGCCAATGGCTGTCACGAGCAGAGCAGTCGTGCAATGGTAGAAGCAAACAACATGGCGCGCTGCGGTGACACAGACGAGCATGTGTCGAGCTTCAGTAGGCTGGCTTCCGCCGATGATGCCCGGTTAGGCAGGCGGTGCGTCCGATGATAGTAGAAACCAGTCGGGAAGTCGCGACGAGGCATTCTGTCCCACCGCCCGCCCGCCATAACAGCCGCTCTTCCTCCTCCACTCTTCCAGCTCTCTTCCTTAGCGTCGATTCTGTTATGTGCTGGCCCTTTACTGAGTACATCATCGAAGACCCTCCCAAGCCCAAGAAAAAGAAGCACCGAAGCATGGCATACTTGGACCGCTGGTGGAAATGGTCGGTGAGTCAAGCCCGCTCCTCCCTGTCGCTGCCCGCCGCTTCCTCATTCGGACCCTGCACCTGATAATTGCATGCGCCAATTCCTTTCCCTCCATCTCTCCCTCTTCCTACCAACTCAAACTCCACGTCACTGCCGCACTCCACATTGCAACAATGAACCCCGTCGGCTACGTCAACGACTACGAGCAGTGGGCCCAGGACGCCAACCGTGGCCAGACCATTCGTCTGGCTTCGGCTGCTGCTGCTGCTGCTACCGCCGCCGCTGCCGCTGCTGCACCCAAGCCTGCGCCTGAGGCTGTTGAGGCTGCTCAAGCTCAGCAACTGAGTGGTACACAGGTTGACGGTGACCGCGACCGCTACCACACCTACTATTACCGCCCCCGCTCCGACTCCTCCATCAACAGTAGCTACTACTACGCGGTACTTTCTCACTTTGCTTTGCATCGTGTCGTTTACCAGCCCGAGTGCATTCCACTAACGATCTCTCACAGTGGCCTCGCAACTACGGCTACTACTATGGTGGTCCGGGCTACCACAACACCCCCTACAGTCACGAGCACAACTGGTACGGCCGTACTGCGAGCGAAGTCTATCAGGACAATGTGGCGTACGTTATGCATCGCCGTGGTATGGCCCCCCGCCGTGGTGACCAGGAGATGGTCCCGCGTGATCCGCGCGATGACCAGATGTTCTACGTGAGGGAGCTTGATGGTCAATGGACTCTGCGCTCCTTCGCTACCATCGAGAACGATCTTCGTCCTGGCTACTGGGACACCCACCAGGGCAGGGCCTACTTCGTTCGCACTCGCGAGTAGACCCACGTGAAGTGGTAAGCTCATTTCCCCCCGGACCTCACGTCTATGGTTGTTTTGACGGTATGACAAGGTATCTGCAACCCAAGTCAAGTTCGGCCGGAAGTAATTCCCAAGCTCTTTCTATGACAGTACATTTCCCAATTCCAACTTCTCGGACAGCACACGACTCTTCCTGTGTACAAACTGGACTCCAGCGATGCTGCGCAATACCCCCGGGTTGTCGTAGCCTCTTCCTCCAACATGGCATATCCAGCGACACTGCGATTTCCACCGATCAAATACAAATTGCACAAGGTTCAAAGATCGGTCTTCTTTTCTTTCAATTTCTCGGGCCTCCCTCCTCAGTTGCCTGCTTCTTGCAAGTCTGCTGTTCTTCGTCAAGGGCCTTGGCCACACAACGGTATTTGGCAGCCTCAGGGCCGAGTACATTATTGCTGCCTCTTGATGGTTTTCTTTGATTTTCCTTCTGGGTTTCTTCCGACGAGTCTACGGACAAGTTTCAGATTTCTTCCATGCAATTGCCTTGCTTTCGTCGTCCAATGGGTTTGGCGAGCAAATGATTGGTAGTGAGCTGGTGCTCAAAAATAAGCATCTCAAGTTCGAAACGTGTCCCCATGGCCTGTGCAGAAAAAGAGCAATATGTCGTTGCCTGGCGGGAAGGAGGTGTATATAAGGTGCGCCAGTGCGGGCGCGCCTCCGTTTTCTTAGGCACGCCACAACCCCACCACCAATGACGTCGCCCGCAAAAAGATGCCGCTCCCCACCGCTAGCCCGCTGAACACCTTCGGCTTCCTCTTTATCTTCATTATCGCCTTCTTCCCCAATCTCTTCATCTACATCCTCAGGCTCCCATTGACACCTTTCCTACCCTCGACGCCGTCAATCCCTTCGCTGCCACCGTGCGCCTGCTGCCCGCCCGCGCACTGCTTTCCGACGGCCACCGAAACGACTCTCGCGCACCCCACGTCAGCACCGCAACTACAACCACCATCGGTCGCCAACACAATGTCCTGGTTCCAGAAGACGATCCACCTGCCGCCCAAGTCCAAGGGCGCGTACCTGGTGACGGACCACATCGAGCGGGAGCTGCCCGAGCTGCGCGAGTACAAGGTGGGGCTGCTCAACCTGTTCGTGCAGCACACGTCGTGCGCCCTCAGCCTGAACGAGAACTGGGACGAGGACGTGCGCGCCGACATGACGGACGCGCTGGACCGCGTCGCGCCCGAGGACCGCAAGGGCAACCTGTACAGGCACAGCGCTGAGGGGTTGGATGACATGCCGGTGAGTGGGGGAGAGCTTTGCTCTTTTTTTTTTTTCAGTTGCATGGTGGGTGGGTCGCTGATTCCAGATCTAGGCGCATATCAAGTCGGCGCTCGTGGGCGCGAGCGTGACGATTCCGATCTCGAATGGTAGGCTGGCCACCGGTACGTGGCAGGGCGTTTGGTACCTGGAGTTCAGGGCGAGCAGGCACGCGAGAAAGGTCGTTGCGACGATTCAGGGAGAGAAGCTGTAGGCGAGGAGACGTCTGACGTTTTTTGTAAATGTTGGTTGGGGAGACAGACGGGCGTAGTACATAATGGAGCGAAAAAGCTGCGTCAGAGCTGTGGGATGATTGCATTCGCCATGCGCATTAGAGGGGATGCCATAGCATCTGCGTGGAATAGATTTGTTCGTGCTGGAGATACATTGCTTTCTGCGGCGCTACAAGCTTGTTTCCCTTGGTATTACGACAGAGGAGAGCAGTTGAAACGTCCATCCAGACATAAATATACAACACATATGTGAACAGATGCATCCAAACAATAGCTTCAATTACCACGGCTTTGTTGCAACCAAGCAAACCAGTCTCACATCTATTAAGAATCCAAATGCTTGTTTCCCAATGATCACGAGTGCTTGTCTTGGATCCGTTTGCATTTTAGATGTCTTTTTTTTTCTAATCGCTCATTATGATTACTCCCTTAGAATTTACCGCAATGGTGTTACGGCCATTTTGATGCCCTTATCCATCTGCCTTTTGTTTTGAATATGAAAGTTTTCCCGAATACTCCGCCTTTCCTTTTGTTAAACAATTACCTGAATCTCCACCAGCATTTTTAGTAGTCATACCGATTTTCATACCACTAGTCGTTGTTAGAGGAAACTTTCGGCGCCCTGAAGCTTCCACTGCTGAACTCTCTCTTGCCATCCTGACCGCCCGATTCAACTATGGGCTCACCGGCACGCCTCTTCCTATCCTCTTCCTCCAACTCCTTCAGATCCGGCCGCGGGATGTTGACCAGCCAGGTCCAGTCAATGTAGCCCCACAGCATGAAGTCCAAGAAGCACCGCTGCATGTTCAACCCACGCCTCGCCGATTCCCTCAGGACGAGCTGATCGGGACGCAGCAGCAACGGAGCGCCCTGCCTCCAGCCCTCTCGGCACAGCATGCCAATCTGATGCACCGGCACGCCAAAGACCGAATCATCAGCGCCCTCGCCGCGGGCCAGCTTGTCCGAGATGTCGCGGGCCATGGTGCAGTCCCAGCGGACGAGCAGGTGCAGGACCTCGGCGCGGGTGCGGGCGGTGAGGCCGCGCAGGGCCTCCCACAGGACGACGAGGCTGCGCTGGCCCATGAAGAGGCGGCGCAGGACGCACTCGCCCGAGCCGAGCAGCGGGTCCGAGAAGCGCATGTCGAGCTTGATGAAGAACATGAGGCCGACGAAGATGTCGCGGTTGGACCACTGCCGGATGTCGTGGATGACGGCCAGCCGCGTGCCGTTGAACGGGTGGTCCATCAGCCCCCAGATGCGCAGCACCGTGCCCATGATGTGGCCCGGGAACCGGTGGCCCTCGAGCGCCAGGCACAGCAGGATGTCGTGCGCGATGGCTTCGCGGTACACGCACATCAGCACCCAGCGCAAGCCCGGCACCGTGCGGATGACCTCCGGCGCCGCGTTGGTGTTGGCCGGCGTGATGGGTTGGGTGGTTGCGGAGAGGGTCTGGGTGGAGCGGTTGAGGACCGGGTTGATGTAGGTGCTCGGGTCGTCCGAGGCGTGGGCCGGCCGGGTGCGGTACATGGGGTCGCGGATGCAGGCGCGCTTGTAGAGCTGGTAGGGGAAGATGGTGCTGGCCAGCGGGGCGTGGTTGCGCGCGAGCTGCTTCATGTACGTCGTGTAGTGCGAGTTGACGAGCACGTAAAAGCGCTTCGAGACGCAGTAGAAGTTGAAGAAGTCGCGGAGGCCCATGAAGTTGCACACGTTCAGGAGGACGTCGTTCTGGCTCATGATGGCCTCGCCTATGCTGAAGACCATTTTTGGCTGCTTGTTCTTTCCCTTGGGGTTCGGAAGCTTGTGCTGCGCGGGAAGCTGGCTTTGCGCGGGGATGACTGGAGATGACGGTGGCGTGGGAGAGCCGATGTCGACTTCCTCGGGCAGTTCGTCTTCTTCGGCGGTTTCGAGCGAGGCCATGATAGCATCGTATGGATCTTCCTCCGTACCGCTCATCTTGGTGTCGCCCCCGCTTGCGGTTGAAGCTCCTCCAGATGTCTTCCCATCTTCTTGCTTCTCCCCATCCTTTTTAACATCTTGAAACAGCTGCCCAAAAGAAGAGGCCAATGAGGTCATGGGGCCATATCCTTTCGTCGGAGATGCACTGCGCGTGGGACCAGCGGAGGAGGTACTGAAGCTGCCCTCCCCACTAGTGGAAAGGCCCTCGATGCCGAGTCCGAACGACGTGTTTTCGGGTGCGGGGGCATGGCCACTGGGCTTGTCTGGCGTGCGGCCTGCGATGGAGAATTTTGATGGAGGGAACGGACTGTTGGCGGCGCTGGGTGAGATCTTCAGGTTCGGCTTGGTCCGCTTGCGGCGGAGGCCGGGCGAAGATGAGTCGGCGAGGGAAGAGTTGCTGGCCTGGCGCTTGCCCTTGCTCTTGATTTGGCCGGGGAGTGGAGCCGTGGTTTGTCCTGGGTTCCTGCGTCATAGATCTATCCACAAAACTGCAATGGAAGAGGCTATATACCTTGCTGTTGATGGTCGGGCAAAGCGCTCAACGTACGCTGGGACTCGGAAGACTCAGGCGCGGCGCCAATTTGACTATTGCGCTGGGCATCATTGTTGTCGTTTGCTTCGTTGCCGTTGGTCGGATTTAACATGGACTGAATATCCATGCGCTTTGACGACGACATCCTGTTGGTCCAAGGAGGTGAGTCGAGCAGAGGTTGAAACGAAGCAACTGCTTTTGTAGACTTGAGGGAGAGGGAGAGGAAGATATGGACGAGGTGGAGGAAATGCGAAGCGCGACGAGGCATAAATAGGGCAGGGCGACAATAGGAAGTGTTACCGGGTGAACGTAAACAAGAGGTTGGACGAACGCCATTCACGCAACCAAAAACCGAGCTCTTCACTTTCACTTCGCATATAGTATCTCACATTTGGATGCTATATGATATGCGGGCCCGCCGAACGAGCCGCAGAATGCCTGTTGAAAGGCGCTGCCAGGATGAGCTGACACTGTCGCCGTCAAATCTTACACTAACAGAAATGTTTGCACATGTACGGTATCTTTGTTTTTCGCCGCCTGCCTCTGGTGGATGAACACCACAAGAACGCCTAGACCTACCCAATGTTAAACGCCAAACCTGGAAAGAAGCAAATTGTGTGCCGCCGAATATGCAAAGAGGCGCGATGATTTACCGCCGGCCAAGAACGAGGTTCAAGAATTCTTCCCTGGTTTTCGCAGTAGACCGCATGCGTCCGAGCATGCAGCTGGTGGTTGTGCTCGAGCCGGTCTTCTCAACACCGCGCATGACCATGCAAAGATGGCTCGATTCCATGACGACAGCTACACCCTGGGGCTGAAGCACCTCGGACAAGGCCAGAGCGACCTGCTTCGTCAAACGCTCTTGTACCTGGAGCCTGCGCGCGAACATCTCCGCAATCCTGGCAAGCTTCGAGAGACCGAGGACACGACGGTTGGGAATATAGCCAATGTGCATCTAGGGCGCATCGTCAGTATTAACTCTCTCATGTAACTGCATTACCACCAACCTTTCCCATGAAGGGAACCAGATGATGCTCGCAGAGCGAAAAGACCTCGATGTCCTTCACAATGACGAGCTCATCGTGGTCCTCATGGAAAACCGCCCGATTGACGATGTCGAACAGGTTCTCCTCGTAGCCCTTTGTGAAGAAGAGCATGGCTTTGGCATAACGCTCCGGCGTCTCGAGAAGACCCTCGCGGTTGGGGTCTTCGCCAAGGCATTCGAGAATCGTCCGCACGGCGCCCGAGAGTTTCTGGAGACGCTCCTCCTTCTGCTCGTCGGTGGCTTCCTTGCGCTCCCGCGTTCCCAAGCCTAAAATCGCGTCAGCTATGAAGAACCGACACATCACCGTATGTGTTCCTTACTGGGCCAGCTCAGGCCGTCAAAGTCGATGGTGGGATGCTGAGTAAAGGGACTCTGGGGACGACTCGTGGCCAGCGGCGTAGGTGGGGAGGCCTCGTCCTTCGCGTCACGAGCGTGTTCCTCGACGCCATTCACCATATGCGCTTTGCCGCGAACGAGGTCCATCTTGTGAGTCTGAGGTTTGGAGAAAGTGCCATTGGGGTGGGTGAGGTCAATGGGCTGACGGGCGCTGGCAGATGACTGGATCGACGCGAAGAGGCTGTCGCGCTCGCGCTGGTCTCGCGATTCGGTGGGCGTAGAGCCGTTTACGACGTGCGGGGGAACGGCGGAGAGCGGCTTCTGCTGCGACGGGTCCATTTTCGCGCGGGAGAATGCGGGAGTAAATTTTTTGGGCGGGCAGGTGGTGGTTACGTCAGGTCGGACGTGAAAGGCGGGCTGGGACAAAAAGGCTGCTGGGGTAGTATTGTCTACAAGCGCGGGGCCATGGCGAGCACTGGGGAAGCACAGGTCGGAGCAAAGCTTGCGATCGGCGACAAAGAGGATGTCTACTGCTATGACACATCCTCGGGGAGTTTGGCGGCGACAGAAGTTGCGCCTTCGCTAGGGCTCCGAAAAACGTTGCCAGATCCCTGCCGTCGCCGTCGCTCCGAGCTCGCGCCTGCAGGGTCACGCCGCACCGGCCGGCAGCCTTGCTTACGTGATGCGCCGCCGGCTTCACAGCCCAGCGCCGCGCAGGGAGAGCGGTCCTCCGCTCTGCACAACCTGCTCCGCTGCCATCGCCAGCCATCTCCGGGCCGACAACCACCGTCACCCTTAATCCGCCCATCGCAGGAAATCCCCCTCTGGCACGGCACTTTGGTATGTACCCCCCGTGCTGCCGCCCTCTTTCGTCGGCGACTTTTGGGGTACCGTGACGGCCATGCGACAGACCTCGCTGCTGCGGTCGCGCTGCCAATCCACACCGCTCAAGCGCTCCCAGGGTGTCGCCCGACCGCGCCCCCGCCTCCACCTCAGATCTCCACCACTATACTGAGACGCTTTTGTTGCATTCGGAATGGGTTCACTGGATGATGGACGGGCTTGTTGCCCTCGCAGGCTCGCACTGAGCAGCCGTGCGGCCTTCGCTCCGCGCGCGTGTCGCAGGCCGATTCCATCGGCGCCTGGATGAGGGAGGGCCTGGGGACCTACATTTCAGTTCTGCTAACTGCCCTACGTTGCCGACATGCCCGTTGCAGGGCACGACATTTGTCGATGCGGAGGGATCGCTGGCGCCTCGTTTGTGCTTACGCTCTGAGCGACTCTCTACATCCGCATTATGTGTGGTAATCCACAAAGACACCTGGGAATTCCGGCTTCCACCGGAGCGTTCAGAAGGGAGATAAGCTACGCTTACTACTCCCGTCGAGCCGACAGCCATGGACTGCGCAGTGCGTAAGGATGAGACTCCTCTACCCACTAGCAGCATCGCGTCTCGAAAGGTGATGCAGTTACTATGCTGGTGAGCACACTGAGAAAGCGTGCTTCTCCTGGCGTGCCTCATCAAACCATGGCCAAGCCCGCCGAGCATCGACACAGATTGTTCAAGCGCCGAAGAAACCCGCACGACAGCAGAGATCGCCGCGTCCCAGCCGCCAGGCTCCGCCCTCGCCGCCCTGCACTGAATCCGCAGAACTAGAAGCGAAGGAGAGCCCCCCGCACGCTCGTCGTTGGTTGACCAGCGTGCGCACTCCGCCAGGATTCGCCCACGCGGTGGAGGAGTGCTCTCTTCGGGCACACGGATGAGCCGCCTCCGCCCCGAGAGACGCCGTCGCTCGGGCTGGCAGCGCAGAGCGTTGAGTCGATGGCTCTGGCTGCTGGGCTCTGCGCGTGCGTGAATTTGTAGATAGCTTGGCCCGTGACAGACGCGCGAATCAGCGGACGTGCGATTCGATAGAGGAGCAGGATCTGAGGGCAAAGAAGCGACGGGCTGGGGCTGGGCCCCGGGGGCGGAGGGTGGCGGCAGAACGCAACGCATCGCACCGCAGGCCGGGACCTCTACTACTTCTTCTTCTGACGGCATTACGAACGCGGCTCCGGGCACACTGAATCACTAACACGGTCGCTGGGTCGAGAGCTGCACTGAGTCGGCGCATGCTGGAGTCGGTGACGCCGCCGCCGCCTAGATCACGGTCACGGTTACGCTTAGCCGGCTTCGGGACTGAGCCTCACTGCATTTCGTGCGCGCGCCGCTTCTCACCTCCCGCGTGCACTCTACCTGCGCAGGCTCTGGCTCGACTGCAAGCTCGGAACTTCTGCAGTCGCCCGCACGCTGCCCCTCCACCCCCGTCCAAGCGTCCGCCATCCTTGGGGTAAGTCTGCGTTTTTGGTGTGGTCACTTTCTTTCGCATCTCGCGTAGCGTGCCCGACACCTCTGCACCTTGCTTGAGTGCCCACATGTCTTCCTGACTATCTCTATGGCTGGGTCAACGCCGTTGATAGATCAGTGGCGACCCGAGGAACCAGCACCCAGGACCAGCAGAGGTAGGGCTGCAGGCGATCGCAGTTTGTCGCGCGAGCGGGGACGCTCGCCTGCATCGGTGCGCCGTGGACGAGGCCACGATAGGACCGCCGCAGGTCGTCACTCGCCATCCGAGCACGCCACCCCAGCATCCCGTCGTCTGTCCAGGACCCGCGAGCGCGAGAGGAGCCGCAGCAGGAGGCCGCGCCGCAGTCGAGAGCGGCCGTCGCCCACGCCAAGAGATCCAAAGGACGACCTTTACCGACCGTCTAGGAACAGAGCCCCGGGTGGAGAAAGGACCTCGCGCGACCACAGGGCCCGACACGACTCGCCTCCATCAGCAAAACGACGCCGGAGCATCAGTCCATCAAGCGCGAGGGACCACCACAAGCGCTCCAAGCACCACCGCAGCCCCAGCCTCGAGAGATCATCCGAACGGCCCCGTGCGCCAGGCAAGCATACCGACACCACCTCTTCTCCCCGGCCCAGTCGCAGCGACCGAACAGCAACGCGCCGCTCATCCCCCGACTCCTACGTGCCGTCCACCTCCCGTAGACGCTCCCGATCCGCCGAGTCGCACTACAGGCGCCCTGCCTCTCCCCCACGCCACGCCAAACGATCTCCATCCCCCGACAGACGCGAACGAGCCAGACGACCCGAGTCCCCACGACGTTCCCCATCGCGACGCCACGCCCATCGAAGACGCACGCCTTCTGCAGACGGCAGACGCAGGGATTACAGGGAAACGGGTGGTTCTAGCTCGAGAAAAGAGCGGGATTCTGACGTCCGCTCATCTCGAAGATCTGCCCGCTCTCCTACCCCGCGCTCCCGAAGGTCCCCATCGCCTGTCCCTAGACGGCGTTCGCCGCCAGCGAAATCGGCCAAGAAAGACCACCGCTCACCGCGCCGTCGCCCGTCCCGTTCGCCCGCACCTGTGTCCACAACAAGACATAAACATCGTGCAGAGTCCCGTGCTTCCCGCGACTCTGATCGGCCTGCTAGACCAAGCCTGCCCGTTTCGAGGCGAAGCTCACGGGAGCGTGGACGGAGTGGAGGGTACGAGTCAGATTCTGCAAGGTCGGTAGACGAAGAGAGAAGGATGCGTGAGGGATATCCAAATCAAGGGAGACCTTCGCGTCCTCCCGTGGACACGCGAAGCTACTCGCATACTCCGCCATACGCAACGCCGAGCCACGTTTCCCCACAATCACAATCCCCGTATCCGGGAGGCAGAGGAAGTGGTTGGGGAGGCCAGCAGCAATACTATGGCAGTCACCATGGGTGAGATTCGACATTTAAAAGTTTTGTTGTACAATCTAATCGCGTCCCAGGTCTCCACCCCATGGCTATTCGCCGAATCAATCACCTTATCATCCAAACTATCCGCCGTCGCAAGCACCATACTACCAACAGCCCTACAACGGACCTCCACAAGGTTACCCGAACCAGCCTCCTCCGTCTTACCGTGGAGGTCATGGAAGCTACCGTGGAAACCATTACAACTCGAGTGACCGTCGCTACCCACCCTCAAGCTCGTCATATTCGCAATCGACGCCTGCTATTGGGCGCGGCCGTGGCCACTACAGCAATCTTTCTTGGACACCAGCTACCGGCAGTCGTGGAGGACGCGCTCCAATTGACAAACATCGCAGCCTTCTTGCCCCTGTTGTTGGCATGAACCAACAACAACAAGCCAGCCAATCACAGTCACCTGTTCATGAACAAAGCGAACCTTCAGTTGATGAAGACGACAATCCATTTCGTCCCTCGAAGGATCTGCGTGTCGAGGACCAGGGCCCGAAGGAGAAGGAGGAGAAACCTCAGCCGAAACCATCTGCAACCGAGGCTGCACAAAACTCTTCAGGTCCGAAGATAAGCTTCGCACTCAAGTCAAAGGCCGCTCCAGCAGCGTCTTCCGCACCAAAGGCCGATTTGTCATCCAAACCTCGCGAGCCCTCCGTTCTTGAAACTGCAGCATCCAAAGCTCGTCCAATTCCCCCGCATTCTGCGCCGTCAAAGTCAAGACTTGACTCTCGCAATGACCGCCGTTACGATCCTCCATATGACCGCAGGTCCGACTATCGGTCGGATGATCGACGGAGTGATTACAAATATGATGACCGGAGGGACTACAGGTACTCTGATCGTGACGACAGAGATAGACGGCCAGATTACCGAAGACCGGATGATCGGAGGCACGACGATAGACGGCCTGATGACAGAAGATTGGATGACAGACGATTAGACGACAGGCGACTAGACGATCGACGACTGGATGACCGGCGGCTGGATGACAGACGGGTAGACGACAGGCGGGTAGACGACCGGAGGTTAGATGACCGGAGGCCAGACGACAGGAGATCAGACTTCCGGAGGGATGATGACAGAAGAGGCGAGTACGATGATCGTCGGTCAGAATCTGGAGCGTCTGCATTCCGGCCAACAGACTTCAGAGTGTCTGACTACAGGCCCTCGGATGTGAGGCGACGACCAGAACCGAAGCCTGCGCCGCGCAAGGAAAAGAAGATCATGAAACGGCCCAAACCGAAGCCTTCTCTCACACCAGAATTTGCCGCTTCGGACTCGGTATACTACCGAAAACCTGGTAATGAGTCTGTCGTCGGTTCGGGAACTTACGGAAAGGTGTTCAAAGCAATCCACGTCTACACCAACAACAAGGTCGCTCTGAAGAAGATCAGGATGGAAGGCGAACGTGATGGCTTCCCAGTCACTGCAATCCGCGAGATCAAGCTGCTCCAATCTCTTAACCATGACAGTATTGTCAAGCTCCAAGAAGTCATGGTTGAGAAGAACGATTGTTTCATGGTCTTCGAATACCTCTCTCACGACCTGACTGGCCTCCTCAATCATCCTTCTTTCAAACTCGACCATTCCCACAAGAAAGACATGGCGAAACAACTCTTCGAGGGTCTTGACTACCTCCACCGCCGAGGTGTCCTTCACCGAGACATCAAGGCCGCAAATATCCTAGTCAGCAACACTGGCCAATTGAAGCTGGCAGATTTCGGTCTTGCGAGATTCTATGCAAAGCGGAAAAAGCTCGACTACACAAACCGCGTCATCACCATCTGGTACCGCTCCCCAGAGCTTCTGCTCGGCGAGACGCAATATGGGCCAGCAGTGGACATCTGGTCCGCATCTTGCGTGCTCATGGAAATATTCACTAAGCACGCAATCTTCCCCGGTGATGGCGGCGAAATCAATCAGCTCGAGAAAATCTACAACGTGCTCGGCACGCCCACCCGAGCGGAATGGCCCGGCATTGTTGACATGCAATGGTTCGAGCTGCTGCGGCCGTCTGAGAAGAAGCCGAGCACCTTTGCAGAGAAGTACAAGGAGCGTGTCACACCGGCGGCATTCGATCTCTTGTCTGCCATGTTCCAGTACGACCCGGCGGCCAGACCGAGTGCGAGCGATGTGCTGGAGCATCCATACTTCACAACTGAGGAGCCACCGCCGAGGCGTGCTGTAGAACTCGAAAAGCTGCAAGGCGATTGGCACGAGTTCGAGAGCAAGGCGCTCCGCAAGGAGAAGGAGAGGATGGACAAGGAGGCAAGGAGAGCAGCGAGAGAGGATGAGCGCAGAAGAGCCGGTGAAGGGGAGAAGAGGAGAGCGGGCGAGAGCGGCGTCGCGGACACCGAGGGAAGGGAAACAAAACGGGTGAAGCAACAGCAAGGTGGGGGCGGTGGCGAGAGTGTCGCGAGTGCCGGGGGTACAGGCAGCGGTCCTGCCCCAGCGAGCACCGGCGGGGGTGATGCGATGGAGGTGGAAAAGTGAAGCGAAAGCGAAAGGATCCGAACACCGTTGCTGCACCGTCAGCTGCGCTGTCAGCCGTGAGCTGGGTAGCCCGGATGGATCGTCGATGGTATCTCTTTGGGGGAAACGGAATGTTGGAGCGGACGGAATTTTTTACATTGAAAAGGAAGCGAAACTAGGTAGGGAACTTGTTGGTGTGTTGGTGCTTGCGACAGCATGCATGCATATGCATCTTCTATTCCCTCCTTCTCTTTTCCTTTCCGATGGGGGCCATCTTGTATTTCTCTTTCTCTTTTCTATATTCGCAGTTCGGAAAGTATGATCAATAGATATCAGCCTATCTTGGCAATTCACGTAACACTGGTCGTCAGTTTTATGCTCTCTCATTGGCATGACAAGAGTCACTGTTTGAGGATCTGGATACGTGGCGGTGAATGATATGAATGATTATGATGATGGGATCAGGATCCTACGGATCGTGATCCCAACTACCTAGGCTGTCTACCGGTTCCTGCCCGGCGGCCAGATCCGTGTCGTTGCACTCATCGTAGTTGGTTTGTTGGAGTGAGAGGAGAGTGGATATGATTTGAGTGCTAGACCCTGTCCTCGATTTCTACTTCTCACTTACTGCTTTGAGGGAAAGAATCGCTGTTGTGCTACGTGTAAGACTGAAGGCGACAGCGAAGAACATGGGGCATTGAAGTTTTTCTTTAATTACTCCCTGCTTTTTTTTAGTATAGAGCTCCTTGCAACGGCTTATGCTATGCCGAATTTATTTCTGCCTCTATCTGCATCGGGACTAACACAATTTGTCTTTAGTGGCTAACTGTTGTTGAGTTGAAGGGTCATAGTGGCTGGGGTTTCAATAGAGTAGTAGATTGCAATCGAAACTAGGCGTTTCCAATTGAAGGTATTGCACGCTAGCTACATGGTAGATTAATTCAATTCTTGGATACATCTGTATTCATCTTAAATTTGTATTAATGTCTAGACATTTGCTTCAACTGCTCACGGCAAATACGATAGTGAATGAGAAGATGGGAGGGAGTGAAGTATGGAAAGGAAGAATATGTTTGAGAAGTATCTGTCGCTAATTACTTGGTTGAATGTCATTTTATTGGTAGTGTTGGATGATTAGTACTTCTTTGCGTGGATCCGCTTACATATAGCCTAGACACGCGGAGGAAGCTTTCTAATAGACTAAGATGTTCGCGTTGAGGAATAGAAGAAATACATTACTATAATACGACTAGGGTTTCTAGTAGTCTTAGAAGTATCTAAAATATAGGGTATTTGATGGTAGTTTATGATGTTGGTTTGTGATTTGATGCACTTTGCTACTTTTGGCTCTAGAGGATAAGTGGTAGTCATTTCACCAGCTACAAGCCACTACGACGATGTGACCGCAGAACCAAATTGTGGTGAGACACACCAGCTTCCAATGCAAGGCACAAAGAAGAGGTGATCAGGTGCGCATGAGCCTGCGTAATGCAAGGGTGTTCAATGTTCAACATGGCACAACGTTGAATCAGAGGCAGAGTCGATACTCGAAACTTTTTCATTTGCTGGATGCCGGTGCAAGGATGATCTCGGGGCACTCACTGGTTTCATACTGGTCAACATTGGAGAATAAATCTTGTCAAATCAAAGCCTTGGCGCAGAATTTGATATGTAGGAAATGAGAGACGGTAAAAATAAGAATCAACCGAGGAAGAGAGTCAAGAGCCAGCGGTAACTCAAATTCTTTCTCAACATTAACGGAATAAGGCCTAGTAGATGGATAAGCAATCGGCTATTCCGAGCTCACAGCCTCCTCGCTTATATTCATATCCACACCTACAACCATTTACCGAAAGCGAGATGCGGCTCTCCCGCAGCAATGGCAACAGCACGTGCGCCGCCTACCCACCTCTGTATCCATCCCCTCGGCGCCGAAGGGGCGCCCTACTAGTAGCACCTCTGCGCACGGCCTACAGGGACAAACACGTAGCCCAAGGTGGGACCCTTGCCGGTCAATACGGTTCGTAGCGCTCGTGATAACGACGGCGGGAGTCAGAGCGCTGGCCCCTTGGCTTTCCCTTAGCTGTCCCCTCTCCACGATCATCGGCGATCGCGATGGTCAAAGTTTTCTTCTTACACACCAATTCCCCACCATTGTGGTGCCATTTCAGCAATTGCCATCTGACCCTGCATGCGGTGTGGGGGGGGCATCCCTGGATGAGTTGGCAGTGTTGATCATGAAACAACGGAGGAAATGAGTTGCGGTCAGACAGCCGTGCGTTTGGTGTTGTCGCCGCGCCACTTACTGTTAACTGTTTGGCTGTTCGAATGCTGAGTGATGGCTGCTTGCCGAAGTAACCGAGGCTTGAGGCTTTTCCCCCCTCCGGGTGGAAGGTTTTGGAGAGAGGAGCTAGAGTAGTTCCTTTGCCAGAGCCATTGTGGCATAGATGGCAGAGCAGTAGTGCTAGGACGGGGCCAGAAAGTGTCATGTGCGCGACCGCGGTGTTTTTGCTACCACTAAGTAGCGCGGTTCTAGCGTTTCCATGGCTGCTCCACTCCACCATATACGAGGGATTCGAAACGGGTAGGCTTCTGGAAACAACGCCACCGTTGTTTCTTGTTGCCTAAGAAACAAGATGTCAGAGGCCTGTGAGTTCCTTGAACGCGCGCTCCCGTCTCAGGTCCTTTGTTGCTGTTTTTAGGAGCAGGCGGAGACTGTGACCAGGGTGTGCTACTCCTTTCGGCAGATGACGCGATTTGTCGGCTCTTGCGCTTGTTGGTGGTTTCAGCGATTGATACGAGGCCGGTTCGCTTAGTACGCAGCGGAGGACGGGCAGTTGAAGCGTCCGTCTGAATGTGAATGCACAATGAATTTGTGAGCAAGGGCATCGAAACAGCAGCTTCAACCATCCGGACTCTGCTCCAACAACGAGCGAACCGACCTCGGAGCAGTGGGTACTGGCTGCGTGCGGAAGGATCGGAAGGACCAGTGCATGACGGCGTGACGGCGTGACGGAGCTGACGAGGTTAGTCATCTTCTTAGCGAAGGCGCAACGACATGCGGGAATTCGTGCTGCACGATGAAGGAGACGGGACTTGAAAGTGAATGTGAGCTGTCAACCACCCCTGGAGACGTGGCGTCTTGATTCTGTTATCAGAACTCGGCTGGGCGAAGACGGCAGAATCGGGCGTCTCGCTTGTGTGTCGGGGCGCTTGGAGGAAACCAATGGATGCAGCCGTCTTCAATCAGGCATAAAGCCCTGCTGTATCATGTTTTCGCCATTGGCGCCAGCAGCCTTGCTGTCCTTCAGTGATGATTGACTGTCTGAAGATAAGCGTCAGCATCAAACTTAGTATCTCCTGAAGATTGGGAGATATTGTAGGACGGAATAGAAATTCAAGACGGAAAAATTGGCGCAGGGTTCTCCGCAATGTAAAAAAAAAGAAGCTAGGACGGATTGGAAAAGGATCGAAAAGCGAAAGGCCGCGCGGATGTATTTGCGTGATTGATTGCGCGTCCATGCCCAATCTATAACAAATGCTTCGCAATTAGGGAAAATAGGGATATGAAATCTGGCAAATACTGCGGTGGACGAGGCGCATCTCGAAACCCAAGTGTTCCGCTGGCTTGCTTCGCTGCTGACCTCCGGTTTCATGCACCCTCTCTTCTTCATGTCGTCCACAAAAGCTGTCTCAGAACGTGGTTGATCTCCGTTCGCTTAAGAGTTTGAGATGGGGACAAAGGTGGAGATATGGGGACCGGAAAGGCCCGTTCTCCGTGCAGCTCCAGTAGGATGGCCTGATCTAACGGCTATCCCATCGTGGTCGCAAGCGCCGGCCCTGGATCGAGATTCTCGAGTGGTGTCGATATTGCTGTGGGGGGTGAAGTCTCACCGCCGGACCTTTCGTAGACGAAGAATTGTCAGAGAAAAAGGACGGCGAGGCGCAATGACGGTCAAACACGCATTGAGGGAGTCTGAGGCATGAACGAGAGGCAGATCTTGATAAGGCAGCATGCTGGGCAAATGAGGGTGGATGAGGCGTGCAAATCAGCCGCTGGAAGGGTGATTGATGACGGCAGAGGGGGCATCATGAGGAGACGGACTCAGATCCGCGATCTTCCCACCCTGAAGCCACCTTTGTCGTCATGCGCACGGCGGTAATAGCAGCGGTAATAATGCGAGGCCGGAGCTATACGGGAAGAATGCATATAGGGGGATGGGGTGGCAAAGCAATTGGAGCAGAGGAAAATGCCGTGGGGGGCCTTTGCCAATGATCTTCAGGCCGGTCGTGTATTAGGCGCGCACCGTCCTCTTGCGGACTCTTTGCAGCCATGCCGTATTGAGCGGTTCGCGCAGACCGTGTACGCAAGATTGCCCTATAGGGCATGCAATGCCCGTTTGATCGCCAAATGAGCTCTCGTTTATGCAGCTTATGCGCCGTCCCTGCCAGGTACCCGTCCGGCTCCGCCTTCTCACTGGCCCCACGCCCGCCAGATGCTGCAACGCGGAGCGAGAGCTGGCTGAGGCGCACGGCCAACGTCTGTCCCGGACTCCGAGGTGCAGGAAATGGGTCAGCTGGCACGGGCTCACGATGCGAGAAATCGAAATGTTTCGCTTGCCCCGTGCACACTGTTTCTCTCGTCGTCGTCGTGTTGGAGGGGGGCGGGCCGACTGCTGCCCCTGACGCCTGCGATTTGATATCTTCCCCCATGCGCGAGCTGAAAGCGCTATCCAGAGATCTGTGGCGTCAGGCGTGCTAGGCGAGTCTGCAGCGCTGTGCGACACAACACAGCTTCTGGCGCTGCCGCCAGCCGCCCGGCGAATGCGGCCGCTGGACGAGGTGCCCGCTGCGGGCCGCGCTTTCCGGGTCGCTCCGACGGTGGTGCACAGCCGTGGGCGTGCGCGAGCGCGGTGGTGTGAGGGACAGTGTGTTGAGGATGGCATGGGCTGGGGAGATGCTCTGTGCATCTCTCCACCCCACCGCGGGCCACGAAGCGAGCGAGCGCTGACGGCATCATCGGGCGGAGCTCGCTGAGGCGAGAGGGTCCAGAGACAAGCTGCGGGATCTCGCACAGTTCGCAGCAATCTCTGTTCGGCGCGCGTATCTCGGACGACACACAAGGCTGCGCGACCCCACGGTGCGACTTGAGCGATCGTCCCCGTCGCCGCCCGCCCGGCGAAGCGTATTATACAGCTTGACGAACATGTCTTGCGCGAACGGTGGGATGGAGATGAGGCTGAAGCTAAAGAGATTGTATTTGGGGAAGGTTAATTTCCCAGCGAGTGCGCGTGCCCTGCAGGTGGAGATCGGGAAGCTGAGTCCTTATCTCCAGAACTGCTGGCCCCTGGCAGACTAGGCCCTGTCCGCCCTTGGCCGCTTCGGGCAAGGCGCGGAGCTCGTCCACTCCGCCAGCCTCGCGTTGCTGCCAGAGCAACTGCATCGCCCCGGCCGAGAACTGAGAGCGAACGCGACGTCGGCGCTGTGCAACCGCTGCGGCTGCGAAGACACGAGCTTGGCTAAGCCCTAGGGTCCTTTTCGGCCTGAGGAACCCTGAGACCAACATCGTGGAGCACAGCTGCGACCCTGCGCGCCACCGAGTCTACGCGAGCGTTGGTGTAGCAAAAGCGTCGCGCGATGGATCAGCGGAGGCAAAGCTTGTCGATGGATCAGGTGCTCGTGCAAAAGTCGCATGGCACCATCCAAAAAGGGCACCTATGAGTCTGCCAATGGCGCGTTCGGCGGCTCTCTCGCGCGGCTGCTGCCCGCCTTCCCCAGCCCGCGCTGATCATTGGCCCGATGACGGCGACGTCGCGACGACGCTGCTGCGTGGGCGGTTGCTGCGCTGCTGGTGGCCGGCTGCCTGTCACCTGCAGCGACTGATCTCCAGCTGGCGATGCCCCTCCCATCTGTGCTCGCTTGGTGAGCCTCGTTTGCGCGATCACGGAGGGTGCGCCGAGCTCTCTCGAAACACGGCTCACCCCTGCGCTCTGCGCCCAAGCCACAGCCGAAGTTCGTCATTGTGTCTCAGAATAGACCCTGCGGGCCAGTGGTCGGGAGGTGAGCTCGAGCAGGCGACGCCTCCAACGTGCCGAGTTTGCGACGTGTGTGATGCTGGGCGTGTTGCACAGGCTGACGCACCCGCGCAGCGGCTGGTGAGCGGGCGGAAGGCGCTGGCCGTTGTTGCGCCCGCCACGCGCGATGGATGGGGTGGCCGAGTTGGGACGCATGGGACGCATGGGGAACGAGTCGCGGCGCTGTTCCTGGACCAGCGACAATCTCGTCTTGGAGATGGCGATCAGACGGCGCACGGAGCGGCAGGCGGCGGGCGGACTGCCAGTCGTGGCGGCCGCAGCAGGACGACCACACGGCCCCGCAGCAACGGGAGAGCAGAATTGGGCCTCCCCCTGCCTACGCGCGGACCCCTGTGGCCTCTAGCGCACGCGCTGCCTCACCGCTCACGGCGTATCACAGACCATGACGGCAAGTGTTGCAGCGCTGCAGGCATGGGCCGCCGAGTGAAAAGAGCCCGCCGGCCCTGCAGCTCGCATGCGCTGCATCATTTGCAGGGCCTCCACGAGCCTGCCTGCCTATCCGCCCGCTAGCCTGCCCGCCACACTAGACGCTTTCTTGACGCCTCCTCTGTCGCGCGCCGAACGCCCGCCCGCCATCAGATTGATTGCCTTGGCACCCTCAGCGCCCCGGATCTGACCTAGCCGCCAGCGAAGTCGTAATTCTTCCGCGCACCCAGTGTACTTGAAACCCTCCATGGGCGCACGGGCAGCCGTCAGTTCATCCCAATATAACCGATAAAGGGTCTCGCCATCAAGACATCCCTGCCACCCACACCACCACGGCCCCCGGCTCCCTTCTTCACCCTCGTCCAGGATCCCTCGCCCGCCATCTTCCTTATAGTAGTCAGGCCAGCCGCGCGACCTCCAAGCTGGCTTGTCCACGTACTTACCGCCCGAGTTCCTCCCCACCCGCCTTCTGCGAGGGCACGCACACCCCGCCTTCTTAACCCATCGTGTCCCGCCTCAGACGCAGCAGAGCTCATCTGAATCGCGACCATGGTGGACGTACGCATCCCGCAATGGACTGTCGAGAAGTCCTACAACCGTAGCCAGAACAACAGCCCCGCCACCACTCCCGAGCTCGACGACCACAGGATCCGCCTGGCTCGCTCTGCCACAATGCCGCTGCCAGCCCTCGAGCCGCCGTCATCCATGCTCCAGGACCGCTACCTCTCGTCCGAGGAGGATCTCTCACCGAATGCTTCCGACTCGGCAGACCAGTCCGACGAGGATGACGAGGATGACGACGAGGAGGTTGCCATCATCGAGGCCGCCGCAATTGTTCCCCAAAAGGTTGCCAAAGCCGTTTCCTACGTCTCCGCCGGCCGTGCCAAAGTCGTCGACATGAACGATGCCCAGCCTGCCCGGGAACGCACCTTCAGCGTGCCCGCCGTCGCAAACGCAGTTCCCATTCTCAAGTCCCCGATGCCCCGGATGTCCAGGATGTCTTTTGCAAACTACAAGGCCCCAGCCACCGAAGCCCAGCCCGCCCTCCCCAAACGCTCGCCTTCCATTCCGTCTGAGTGCAGCTCGCCTGCCATTCCGGCCAGGTCAGAGAGGCGCAAGTCCTCGATGCCTGCAAGAATATCCAGGTCGCCGCTTTCCTTCGATCCTGCCTCAGCGCCACCGGTGCCGGACTCTGGATCGCTCCGCTCATGCGCCAAGGTCGCCAGGCATTACAGCATGGCAGCGGCGCCCTCGAGCAGCCTTTATGATGCCGATCGCCTGAAGCTCTTGAGATCGACGACTGATCTGAGAGCCACGCTCTCTCCCAGCCCTCCGCTTCCGATCAGGTCTCAGTCGACTGAGCCTGAACCTATTTCACCCATGCTTCAAAAGCCGACGCTCTCCATCGACCCGGATCTGCGTCGCCCGTCGTCGGCTCGCTCATCTTACTCACAGTCGCCGCATTCCAAGCGCGCCTCCGCAATTCACATCCGCCAGCGATCCGGCTCAGTCCAGCTTCCTCCCTTCGCTCCCAGTGCTTCGCCTCTCACTCCTCTCACACCCCAGACTCCCGACTTCCTCAATACCGATCCCTTTGCGAAGAAGGAAGAGGACAAGGCTGAGGAAACGAGCAAGCCGGCGCACAGGCGTCTGCGTAGCATTAGCCGCACCCTCAGCCTGGCCAAGATTGCGTTGAACCCGCAAGGCAAGCGCGGGTCGACGTGGGGCAAGAGCAAGGCCAAGACTGATAAGGTTCACCGTGACTCGATGGACCTCGTGTCGCCCATCTCCCCCTTGTCACAGCCAAAGGATAGCTTCCTTGCCGTATCTTCGCCGCTTGCACCGAACATGCCGCCCACCCCTGTGACCCCCAGTACGCAAATCCCACCGACGCCGAACACGGCTGTGTTCAGCCCACGGACCTCGTCTCGCATGAGCAACAACACCATGGACGACGAGTTCGAGCGTCCGCCGAGGACATCCAGCCTGGGCACCCAGCGCCCTCGGCTCGTTCCCCGTCCCGCGGACGAGAGGGAACCTGCCGTCAGGCTCCCGCCCTTCCCCGACGCGGACGATGAAATGCGTATCCCGGGTCGCAGGAGGCTGACCAAGAGGAAGAGCATGCTCGGCCTCGCATAAACCTGGTGCCACTGTTGCTGGCCGACCATGAATTTCATGACCGTACCCAGACAAGTCTGCCCGGTAGCCGACTACCACGATCCTTACCACACTCTCTCTGTCTCTCTCCTCGCCACTTCAATTCTTGTACACTACAGCGACAAGCTTTCTACCCCCTCCCGAAGCGAGACTTCAATGGCTCTCCTACACCTTCCGCCGCCAAGCGCAGCCAACGACAAACCTCAAAACCTATGATGACGACTCTCCTCCCCAGCAGTCAGCTTCTTGCGGCATTGGCCCAATTTCGTCTCCTCAACCCTTTTGCATGGTGAAAGCCATTTTAGCGCGCACTCTGACAATTGCTGCTTTTTTCTCCTCTGCGCCTCCATCTCGCTCCAATTTGCATAGAGATACCACGATACCACCGTCGTTTTCGTTTTTTCCCATTCTCGGCCTTCTGTTCTATCAGCGAGACCACCGTTTTCTTCTCCATTTGTTTTATTCTTCTCTTGCGATTTCCATTATTCTTTCGGTGCGACCGCTAGAGCTTTGGGCGGCTCTTTTCTATTTTGGCCCGAGCCCACGGCGTTTGATTGGATTCTCGTCTCCAGGACACATCCGGAGCATACGGCGTTTTTGACTTTTGGCGGCAACATATTTTGAACCCAGTGCGGGTCGTGTGATGATTGTGCTATGGCTACTATATCCGAGAGCCTGTTTATCAAGCTGGCTCTGTCACTTGAATATCAAAAATTTCTCTATTGTCTATTGTCTATATCAATTCTACCCTGAGTACCCGTTGAAAAAAAAAAAAAGTGAAGGGGCGAAGTTCGGTCGTGGGAACACAGGATTGGCTAGCACTGCATGTCGCAGATGGCCGGCTGAGAACCAATGGGCTGGCGCCGGCAGACGGATGCTCGTGCAACGGGGTACATAGTCTTGGTTAGTTCTTTTTTCTTTTGTCTACTCGCATCCAATTGGATAGCCGAACATGGATTCGGATTCGACTTGACATCTGAGTCGTTCGCAGGTGACGTCCCTCAGCGGTACGCTTATCGCAGCCGGCTGACGGCAGCCTAGATCTCGTTCCAACGGTGCACGCGCGGCAGAGGCGAATCCAACGGGCGGCACGGATCCGCGACAGTGGCGCGTCTCAACATGCTCGACGGTGCTCCCCGCATGGGGCCTAAAAGACTGTACGACGACGACCCTATCAACGGCTTCGGCCGAAGAAGCTCGTGTGCCTCGACGAGCTGCAGAAGTGCTAGCCTCCGCTGTGCAACCACGGCTCTGTCGCTTTTCTCCGGGAGCGGCTAGAGTCAGCTGCTTTTCATGCTGCACCACGGCCCATATTTCCCGAGACATCGAACAGGCAGCTCGGATCCCCGTTTCTTGGTTGCTTTTTTCTCTCCGAGCGCCTCTGTATAGCTTTCTTCCCCTTTTGGCCAGTCTATTATCTGCCTTTTTCGTTCCTGCTTTGTAGCATTTCCTTTCCCGTCGCTCGGTTAAGCATCCATCTGCTCGTGCATCCGGTGTGCCTGGCGCTACGATCCGATCATTTTCACGTCATCGGTCTAGCCCTCCACGTTCCACAGTCAACGGGGCTGTCATGGTCCGACTCCGCATTCCGGCGCCCTGGTCTTCGGTCCCACAGACAGGCCACCTAGGCCACGCCTTCCACCACCACCAGCTGCTGCCACCACCAACCACAGCCTATAGGTAGTGTCATCATCGTCATCATTATCACTGCTATCACCACACCTTCCCCACAATCTCCCCACTCTCAGCCGAACCCGAATCTGCTAACGTGCGCGGTTGAGATGCAAGTCACTCCGATAAGCGCTACTGCTGCTATATTCGTCTGTCAGCTGGCGTTCAAACTAGGGATCCATGGCTCATAGCACGCTGTTCTCGTCGTTTCTAGCTGAAGGCCGATACGTACCTTCCCCAACCCTTTCAGCCGTCAGCGTGAATCCATGGGTAGGGAGGTACACCCGAGAACCTTGTTTTCGTCGCCTGGGTCGGCTCTCTCCGCCGAATCCGACGCCAGCCGCTCACGTTTCGCATCAGAATGCGGCCTTCGAATCGGACGTGGATGCCGAAGGCTTGTTGCGAGCTGAAGTAGCGCAGGCGGCGATGCGACACATCTCTTTCCACCTTACCTTATTCTCCGACGCGTGGCAAAGCAGAGCTGACACCCGCTGTCTGCCTGTCTGTCTGACTGCCTGACTGCCGCTCCGCAGCTGCCAGTCATGCGCGCATGAAACGTACGGTTGCACAAATGATCACCGGTGAGTGACAAGCAAATACGAGCGAATGAGACGAGCCAGCTGTATCATCGTCATTTGCCCCCCCGCATCCCGGAGTCAAGCTTAACCTCGACAGGCAACCGGTCAAAGCATCTACCCGCGACGACAGGACACACAACCCCTGTCAGTAGCCGTCTTTCGCTGCCTGAACCTACACATGTAGATCACATGTAAAGCATAGCGCGCATGACTAGAACCCCCACCAATCCAGGTAGCATCGGCTCCGGGACGGTGCGGATCCCGCTGCAACTACTTCCTCGCGTTCCACCCACCGATGCGGACGTGGACGCGCCGGTAGGATTCTCGTGAAAAAGGCTCCTCGTGAAAAAGGCTCCTCGAAGCGTCTGGACCCGGAGAGCATGACCATGTAAATGCGAGGCGGCTTGCAAGTGTGGGTTACAAAAAGTTACACGGTCGTTCGTATCTAGTGGCTCCACCTATCCATCTAAGGTTTGTGGGGCTCTTCGGTACTCATGATTACTGGGGAGCCTTGTCTCTTTTCGCCTGGGCTGAAATACCAGTGAGGGGTTCAGTAATTGGTCAGGGCAGAAGTGGCTATGGCGAGCTGGTGTCTCGAGTTGGATGTCCTATCAGATGCATGAAGCACGCGCCTTAGCGTGTGTTTGATAGTCATGACCATCCTCGCGTGGGAGGAGCGTCTGCACGTGGTTACTTTGCAACCTTAACGCCGTAGACTTTCGGGAATTGCTATTTTCAACTGTTCCTGGCTATGATGCTGACTCAGAAGCTTTTCGATCTTACCTTGGTTTGCTCTTCCTTCCGACATCATTCCATACTTGTCGAATTCAATAGCCTCAGCCATGGAAGAGAGGAGGCTGAGCTCGACAGCTGCTGCGCCCAGTGCACTAAATCGGGTGCAATGGACCAAGCTCCCTTGGGCAGTGTTTTTTTTTTGTCTTTGACTGCACGAGCTAAGACCCCTGCCAGGAAATCTGGGACCACGTCACGAATTTGATGCACCAAAGTTCGCTGTTTCAGCTATGCCAATCATTCGTGATCATCTTCTTCTCCTCTGCGCGTATCTCAATAAAAACGCAAAATAAAAATTCATGGACCCTGTCTGTCCCCTCATCGTCATCGTGTGCTGATCGGAATTTCCCCCTCGTGGCAGGCGAAAATGACGACATTCTCTCCCTCCTAAACCCTGACACTAACGTTAGCGTCGCGGGGTCATAAAGGAGCTGCTATCGGTGACATGGAGGAAAAAAAAAAAGGGATAGTAGGGCTGAGGAACTGTAATGAGTGACCTGGAGGATCGGCATACTAGATGAACCACTGCACCGACGCTCCCTGTAGACGTCTACTAAGCACATCACCCCTACTTTAGAAATCTCAAGCCACAGTGCACACGGTCTGATTTGAAAATTTGAACTATTGCTATGAGCTCGCTGACTCAAGGAGCTGGTCGCAAAATGGGACGATGCTGAAGGCGGACTTTTTGGAAACGCCTCATGCCAGACTTTAGTGGAAGGATTCTCTTGAGCGATTACTTAATGGATGAGACTTAAGAGGGCTCGTCTGCAACCGGAAAGGTCTGAATTGAACTGCTTTAGGAAATGGTCGCTTAGTGCCAAGCCATGGTTTCGCCATGGACTGGATTCTGAAGTCTACCATGAATACCCAAAGTTTAGAACAATCTTTAACAGCTGCTTTCCGGTTCTTTATGTATCCTGATTCGACATTTTGGACCGGAAATCCATAATATTCATTTGGGTGTAACTACTTAATGGCAGTGGCTAAGTCCTTTATACGATATGCAATCGCCCACACTGCCAGGCTCTTGGAATTCCAACATTTTGATGCTGGTTGCTGATAACAAATGACATTAAGTTTCTACTAAGTATGGGCGTGGCATCGCCTCAAACAGCCAATATTGGTAAGGTATTTGTAGGCGAGCAGCGCTGTTAGGATCAGAATTAGAGCCGCAGTAACCCACTTTGTTTTTGGATAAAAAGTAGACTTGCAAGATACAGTAAAACGATAATCCACCAGCTGAGAATGCTTGCTGCACCTGAGAGCAGCTGTGTCACACCTGGTAAAGCATTGAATCGCTGGTGAGCAGTCAATTTTTACAAAACCAGAAGAATAAGATATGAACTATAATAATCCTGAGGGTGATAAGGTAACACCGCTCCTTGAGGTTGCAGCGGTGCCGTAATACTGTTGCCGAAAATCCTACTGCCCCAAAAATCGGGAGGCTGCAGATATTAGAAGATTTTCCCCGCTTCGCAGCGAGCCTTTATGACTGATGGTGCATGAGAAAGTGAGCAGGCTAGACTTTCAATGCTTCACAGTGACCATCAGCCCATTTCAAAGGCTACCCGCCGTTTCTAAGTCTTCCTAAGGTCACCGTTCCCCAAGCACTCGACTCCTTATCAGGCAAGGGGTTCCCTGCGCTTTGCATAATCTGCCTGCTGACCAGGTGACGCCACTGAAGATTTTTCAACTTTTGTAAGACCCGGTGCTGGAGCAATCCAGCAAGCGCAGACCTCGGATGTCTCTACAAACGCTATTAATGTAGAGAAGGGGACTTAGCATGGAATCGCAGGCTGATGTACTCAGTTCCTTCTTTTCTTTCGGTTCGGGCAGTCCTTCTTCGCATGGCCCTTCTTGCCGCAGCCAAAGCATTCCATGTTAGAGTTTGATGAAGCTCCACTGCCAGCATTCGAGATGCTGGTCAACGCATTCAGTTTGACGTGAGGACTGCGGTTTCTCCGCTCTTGTGCCAGCTGAGCGGCCTTCTCCGTCTTGGCCTTCTTCTTCTCCTTCCTCTTTTCCCTCGCCGCCTCCTTGCGCGCCTCGCGAATCATCTTCGCGGCGGGATCTTCGTCCTGATCGCTCTCGCTACTGCTTCCCTCGTCACTCTCGCTGTCTTCGTTCTTCTTCGGTGCCTCCGGCTTCTTGCCGAATGACATGCGACCCACTTGCGGCGCGTCATCTTCTTCGTCACTGTCATCATCGTTGTCCAGGGCTGCGTAGCCTGCGCTCACAACGCGCAATGCGCTCCGCTGGCGCGCCTCCTTCTCGGGCTCGCGAAACGACAGTACCCAGCGGGTTTCGCCAGCCTCGGCGGCAGCTTTCTCGATGGCCTGACTGCGCTTGAGCTCTTCAGCAGCAATTGCGGCGTTGACGGCTTCAAGGTCGGAGGGTGTTGCGGGCGACGAGGCTGCGGATGTGCGCTGGCGCTTGGCGGGTGGACCGTTAGGAGTGGAGGGAGAGTCTTTGGGAGATGAGTGCGAAGCGGCAGCGCGTTGCATGAACTATGCGTAGTTAGTGTTTTAAGTGGAGGACGATGTCTAGCGAACAGAGGATTCATGCCTTCATGGTCAGAAGCCGCGAAGACGCTTGCTTCGGGGTGGTGTTGGGCGGCGCCATGGCTGCGATGGTGTAATGTAAGCTAGCTTTGAATAAAGTCAAGCTTGACGATCGCTTAACAGTCGAAGTCTTCTGCGTTGTCTTGGGAGCTGCAGAAGTACTTGAAAGTGAGCTCGGAGTGAGTTGCGGAGGAGAGGGTGGCTGCCGCAAAATGATGGTTTCGTAACAAATGTCGCGTTATCGATAAGACCCGGAACACAAGCTGCTTAGTCACACACCTAAACAGATTTGGGGCTGCGTATCATGCACCCATGTGTAGAAAAGTGACTATGGATTATAGACATTGCACAAAAATGCCGGTTTTAACTGCTAGATATTCTGGCTGCAAATTGGAATATTGCGTCAGGACTGTCATGTTCGAAGCCGACAGAAGCGCGAGCCATCGACGCCTTATTCGAGTGACCAAATGCTCCAGACTAATCAATTGATCGGGCGTAGGGTATTAACACAGAGTAACAGACTTGGTCTCTTTAATAGTTAAGACTTGCTGTTGTTGCCAGAGCATTTTACATGCATTGCTCGCGCACAGACCACCGCAAACTCCAGCCAACCGCAACGCCGGGGAAGTCCATCACGCACGCCGCAGCTTCACGTTCAACCCTTCGGACGTCACCATCTCCCTCCCCCTCTCCACTCCTCTCCACAACCACCACCCCCGGCCAACATAACCCGCAATGCTCCGGCCTACGACCTTCCGGCCGCTGCTGCGCGCCGCCACCAACGCTCCCCGCGTCGCCGCCGTCCGCGCCTACGCCAGCAAGCAGCCGACGCCCTCGGTCGACAACGTGCCCGCCAACGACCCCAACCCCAAGGCCCCGGCGCCCAATGTCTCGGCCACGAACGCCGTGCCCACGTCGTCCGAGGGCTCTTTCGACCAGGTGCTCCAGGAGAGCGTCGAGCAGGCCGAGGCCCTCCGCACCCAGCAGGCGCCCAACCGCCAGGTGACGTGGAGTCGCAGCCAGAACCCGCGCGAGCGCGCCATGGTTGGCCCGCGCTTCGAGCAGACGATCATGGCGGACCAGGTACGTTTCATTGCCTATTTGCGTTGGGAGGAAAGGGAAGGAGGTGGGCAGCGGGAATGGAGGTCATGGACGAGACAGGGAAGAGTGGGATCGGAAGGGCATTGGAATGCTATATGAAGAGGCGACTCGGAGATTCTCTACTGGAGGGCTGTGTGAAAGGACTCAGTCGCTGACTTTTGTTGAATTCATGTAGCCGCGCCCCTACGCCGCTATCGACCTCATCCACAAGCAGCCCGTCCGCTGGACCAAAGAGCGCTCCGTTTCGTGCGACGGCGGCGGTGGCCCGCTCGGCCACCCCAGGATCTTCATCAACGTCGATAAGCCCAAGATTTGCTGGTGCACGTACTGCGGTGTTCCTTTTGTAAGACTCCCACTCGGTGCTGAAGACGCATCGAGCATCAAAGCGTCGAGCACATTGATGCTGCGCGAAATCTGTGCCTATCTTCAATGGTCTCGGTGCGTCAAGGTTTTTGGCTAACGTGATTTGTTTGTAGGCGCATGAGCATCACAGGAAGGCCATTGAGGCCTCGGATTCCATTTCTTACCCGCTGGACCCGACCGGTCAGCCCGGAGAGGTTGAGTTCAGTCAGAAGGTTACTGACAAGCCTCTGGAGCAGCGGTGAGCGTGAGCCAATATGTAGTGGCGAATCAGTGAAGTGGTAGACAAACGGGACAAATTCATATGGTTAAAAGTGTAAATATAGGTGAATGTGCAGGTCCTAGTACGCGCTAGAATGCTGATGCGCTGTCATTGACCCCTTCTATCTGTGCTGAAAAGCTCATCTGCTTGCACAGCGCATGCTTCCCAAATATGGCAATACCTCTACTGTAGGGAATGTGGATACTGGAGAATTATGCAATAATTGGGACCCTATTTTGAAGTTTCCAGGGATATCTGCCTATTGTTTTCACAAACGCTGCCCCATGATGTCTGCAGAACATAACTATACCCCGCCTCTCCGGCCGTGAGCAAAGTAGCTCTGCAATATTCAAGCCCATTCCCGAACGCCATGCTCGCACCAGCCAGTTGCAGTTGTGATCTTTTCACTCTTACTCCGAGATATCGCGGTTGGAAACCTTCTTCTTCGGTACCTCCACGATGGTCCTTGCGGGCCTAAATACCTGCAACTGGTTGTCTTCGGCAGCGGCAACCATAACCCAGGGGTCGTTCTTGTTCCAGCTAAAGTCACAGACGGAGTTGGTGAAGCCACCGTGCATGAACAGGCTGTAGGAATACACCGTTAACAATTTTCAAAAAGCATTTGATCGGGAATGGGACTTACAGTTCGGGCGGACCATCTTCAGCCTCTTCCTCCGTCTGTTCTTCGCCAATCTTGCTCGCATCCCACATGAGAATGCGCTTATCGTAACTGGAGCTGGCCAGAATGGAGTGGTCGGTGGGATGCCACTCGAGGTTCATGACGGCTTGCGTGTGTCCCTCAAAACTGTGAATCTTCTTATCCAAGCAACGCAGGTCCCACATGGCAACCGTCTTATCCGCAGAACCAGTCACGACAATAGATTCCCATGCGGGGTGGAAGGCAACACAGTTGACGGCGTCGGTGTGAGTCTCCTTCCTGTAGAGACCTCTCTTGTTAGTCTCCTGGCGAAGGTCTAGAATCTGAAGCGTCAAGTCGTCCGAAACGGTGGCAATCCAGTCCTTGTGTAGCGGGTGGTGCTGAACATCGTTGACGCAGGCAGCATGGTGAGTAAAGGTACGCGACGGCGAGATTACGGGGCTGCTCTTGCTGAATCCGGCCTTGGTGTCCCATAGACGGACAGTAGCGTCTTGAGAGCCAGTAACCACTTGGCCTTCAACGTGCGGACTCCAACTCAGACCGAAACCCTCCTCGGAGTGACCCTTCAATTCCATGTCAGGTTTCACAGTGCCATTTGCATCGGGGTTGATGCTGTGCTTGGTCCGGTCGAACACCAGAACTCGGCCGTCTGTGCACATGGTCGCAATGATGTTCGGGTTCTGGGGCTGGTAGCGGGCCTTGTTGATCTCGCCGGGGTGGTTGATGCGCTGGATAACGTTGAAACCGAAGGATCCCTTCTTCCCAGCACCGTGGCCGCCAATCTCGCCCTTCTGCTCGTCATATTCCGCAGGCTCCGGGGTCTGCATGGTAGGGATTTCAATGGTCGCGATTTGGAGATAGTTCAGCGCCTGGTCCGAAGTGTTCGTGCCAAAGAGAATGCGATGCTGGGCGAGGTTCGAGCCTGGAATCTCTCTCTTGTCCGGAAGCCATTGCGCGGTGAGAGTAGGCCACTCCAGGGCGCGACTACGAGATGTGAGCGGAGCGCGCAGAAGAAAAGAAGGCGCAAAACTTACGCATAGAGCATGTCGTAGAGCCATACTGAGTTCTTCTTCCAGATCTTGTATTCCTCGTTCGCAATCTTGGCCTCCAGCTGCTCCTCCTCGCGTTGCTGATCGACGTCTGCGGTCATCCGAGGTGTCAGTAAAGCTGACCATGGCCGCCAAAGCCGCGCGCAAATGTGCGAACAGGGCTAGCAGAGCGGAGCGCGGTGGAAAGAGGTGCTTAGGCGGCGCACTTACCGCTCATGTGCTCGTCCATGGCTGCGGGTCGCAATTGGGGGTTGGTAGAGAGTGGGTTGGGTAAGACGGAAGCTATGGGTGCAGCGGCGGGCAGCTTTGAAGAGCGTGACGCGCTGGGTCGCGTTAAGCTGGCTCGCGGGAGCACGGACTCGACGCTGGGGCCGGCAAATCCGCGGCGATCTGCGCGCGCCGGTTGCACTTCTGCCCGGTTGATGATGTTACCTTAAGAGTCGCCGCCGCCGCATCGCTTCCCTTCCTCTCTTCGAAGACTCCGTGTCGCGACTCTCGATACCCCCGTTTTCTCTCACACCTCCCCCTCCGTGGCTGTAGCCCCGCAAAGGCTGGGCCTTTCTTTCGAGTTCCGCCCGCAGTCCTCCTGTCACTGCTAGCTGTCGTCAATCAGCCTTACAGCTCCGCCGGCATTCGCTGGATACATTCTTGACCTCACCTACCTTTCACCGGCATCATGGGTGTCCCCAAGTTCTTCAGATGGATGTCCGAACGTTATCCGGCCATTTCGCAGCTCATTGCCGAAAACCGGATACCGGAGTTCGACTGCCTCTATGTACGCCCCCCGCCACGTCCTCACTTCTGTCCAATGCGCTGACGGTGATCTCTAGCTTGACATGAACGGCATCATCCACAACTGCACGCACAATGACTCCGACTCGCCGACGCATCGCATGTCCGAAGACAAGATGTTCATCGCCATCTTCAACTACATCGAGCATCTTTTCGGCAAGATCAAGCCCCAGAAGCTTTTCTTCATGGCCATCGACGGTGTCGCCCCTCGCGCCAAGATGAACCAGCAACGTGCCCGTCGTTTCAGGACCGCCCTGGATGCCGAGACTGCCAGGGAAAAGGCGATCAGGGAGGGTGTGGAAATGCCGAAGGAGCCTGCCTTTGACAGCAACTGCATCACGCCTGGTACCGAGTTCATGGCCAGGTTAACTCAGCACCTGAAATATTTTATCAACAAGAAGGTTTCGGAGGACGTCGACTGGCAGGGCGTCGAAGTCGTTCTCTCCGGCCACGAAGTTCCCGGCGAGGGCGAGCACAAGATCATGGAGTACATTCGCCAGGCGAAATCACAGCCTGGCTACGACCCTAATGTCCGCCACTGTCTGTACGGCCTGGACGCCGATCTCATTATGCTTGGCCTTCTCAGCCACGACCCGCACTTCTGCTTGCTCAGAGAGGAAGTCACATTCGGTCGGCAGAACCAGAAGAAGTCCAAGGAGCTGGAGCACCAAAATTTCTATCTTATGCATCTTTGCATTGTTCGCGAGTACTTGGAGCTCGAGTTTCAGGAGCTGGAAGAGCCTGGCGCTTTGGATTTCCCATTCGACATGGAACGCGTTATTGACGACTTCATCCTCATGGCTTTCTTTGTTGGAAACGATTTCCTTCCCAATCTACCGCATTTGCATATCAACGAGGGCGCTTTGGCGCTCATGTTCAACGTTTACAAGAAGGTCTTGCCAAAAGCTAAGGGTTACATCAACGAGGGTGGTGTCATCAATCTGGAGCGGTTGGCGATACTTTTGGATGAACTTTCTCATGTGGAATACCGTTTCTTCGAGGCAGAGAATGCCGATGCCGCTTGGTTCAAGGGCAAGCAGATGGGTCGCGAGGACGTCATGGAGCGCACGAAGAAGCGCGGAAAGATTATCATGACTACGCGTCAGAAAGAGGTCTACAAGACCATACGTCAGTATGTCAACAGTCGTTCTCCCAACGGCGCAGCCGAGCCTTTGGACCTCCCTTCCGATCTGCCAGCCAGCGATCGAAAGTTCGTGGAAGAGCTGGCAGATAGTCTCCATTTGCAATGGAAGACTCTGGAAGACGACCAGGGCGAGCGCCATCTTCAGGTGGCGTTTCCGCCAAGCCTCATGGATGACGATGACGATGAGGAGGAGGAAGACGAGGAGGCACAGAACGCCATCCTCCGCGTGCTCAAGCGTTACGACAACGCTCAGATCGAGGACGTTTCGCCGGACGAAGCTCAGGCAGAGATGAAGAAGAAATATGACGAGAAGTTCCATGCCTGGAAGGACAACTACTACAAGTCGAAGCTACACTGGGGCTTGGACGACAAAGAAGAACTGCGGAAGCTGACGGAGAACTATGTGCAAGGTCTGCAATGGGTTCTCTTCTACTACTACCGTGGCGTGGCCTCTTGGCCATGGTACTATGGCTACCACTATGCGCCCATGATTTCAGGTAAGACTTGCTGACCGCGCCTTTTTGCATGGCCCTTCAGTGCTGACAGGTAGCAGATGTGAAGGAGGGCTTGAAGGCCGACCTCAACTTTAAGCTTGGCCAACCTTTCCGCCCTTACCAGCAGTTGATGGGTGTGCTTCCGGATCGAAGCAAATCCATTGTCCCAACCGCGTATCACGACTTGATGACTAACAAGGATTCTCCTATCATCGATTTCTATCCTAGAGATTTTGAATTGGATATGAACGGCAAGAAGCAAGACTGGGAGGCTGTCGTGAAGATTCCGTTCATTGATGAGAAGAGATTGCTTCCTGCAATGGCCACCAAGGACCATCTGCTCTCACCTGACGAGAAGAACCGGAACGAATTCGGAGTCACGCTCAAGTTCACTTATCAGCCTGATCTTGATTATGTTTACCCGTCCTCATTAGCTGGAGTCTTCCCGGATCTTGCACATTGTCGGTGTGTCGAGAACATCTTTGAACTGCCCACAATGGACGGTCTCGAGGTCTACATTGGACTCGTCGACGGAGTCAAAATGGGCATTGATGCCCTTGCCGGTTTCCCAAGCTTGAAGGTTCTGCCTTTCCATGGAGCGCTAGCCTTCCATGGCGTTAGCGTGTTCCAACAGGAGAGCAGAAACGAAAGTATGGTCGTCAGTCTTCTGGAGACTGAGGAGCGCAACAAAGCTTCGAGCGCGCAGAGGAAGCTTGGCAAAGCCGTTCATGTTGGCTACCCCTTCCTTCAGGAAGCCAAGGTTGTCAAGGTGTCAGACGAATTGTTCGACTATGTGGAGGAGAACGGGCAGGTGATCTCGATCCCTCATGGCCCCAGGGAGATCTCGGACTGGAAGAAGAAGGCCAACCGCATCGAGTCCTTCTACAGCAAGCGTCTTGCCACGGACATTGGTGACGTTGAATCACTGGTGCACGTCGAGATGCTGAAGGGATTGAGGAAGACCGATGAGGGAGCTACCGTCAAGGAGTACGGCATTATCCCTGGCCAGGAGACGGACTTCGCGACTCAGACGATCGTGGATGAAGTCGTGAGTGAGGACCAGCGTTTCTTGGAGAAGGCTGCTGTCCCCATTGAAGAAGAGTTCCCGGTCGGGTCCAGAGCGTTTTTCCTTGGTGAATTCGCCTACGGCCGTCCGCTCGAGGTCCTAGGACACGCCGGTGGAAAGGCAGAGGCTTGGGTTCTTGTCGCGAAAGGAAAGGAGCAAGACTTTGGAAAGCAGATTGTCAAGAAGGCGGAATCTCAGGCGAACTATCGCCCGTCCTACGCCGTCGCTCGGCAGCTGCAGATGAACCCGCTCGCTCTGAGCAGGGTCACATCGTCGCTCTCGGTCAATTCGAGTGGACTTCGTCTCAATTTGGGCTTGAACCTAAAGTTCGAGGCGAAGAAGCTCAAGGTCCTTGGGTACTCTCGCAAGGGTGAAACCGGATGGGAGTACAGCCCGAAGGCCATTGACCTAATCACGCAGTACATGATCCAGTTCCCAGAGTTCTTTGCTGTTCTCCAGGCCAACCCGAAGGGAGACATCTACGAGGATACGGATTTCTATCCTCCGGAAATTGCCAAGCAAAAGATGAAAGAGATCGGCTCATGGCTGAAGTCGATTGAGTCGAAGAAATTTGAGAAGGTGCCCCTTGAGGCCGAACAGCTCGACTCGGATGTTGTCAAGGAGATCGAGAAGGCGGCAGACCATAGCCGCGATAACGGGCCTCAAACCGAGGGCAAGAAGATCAAGGGAGTTCCTCGCCAGGCGCTTCTCAAGCCTTCGGATGCTGAGCAGCAGATTGGTGGGCAGAGGTTCTCTCTTGGCGATCGGATCGTCTACGTCCAAGATTCTGGCAGGGTTCCCATCGGGCAGCGCGGTACCATTGTTGGCATGACACGGACTCCAAGGACGACCCTTCTGGATGTTGTTTTCGACACATCGTTCATGAGTGGGACTTCTCTCGGCGAACGTTGCTCGCCCTTCCGCGGATCTACTGTTCCGGCTACGTCTGTGCTTAACCTTACAGACAAGCAATGCATTGCCATGTCGTTGGCTGGTAACGCGAAACGGCCACAATCTACTTTCCAGCCCCTGACTGTCCAGAACTCTGCCTACGGTATTGCTGGTCAGACCCAGCTAGTTCCTGCCGATGCGCCAGCGCCACTGACTGGCTCATTCCGAGGTGCCGTAGCTGGCCAGAACCGTGGCAACTTCCGCGGTCGTGGACGCGGCGGAATCACGCCACAAGCGCAGCAGAACGGAAGCGCTATTGAGCAGAACGGACAGCAATATGAGCTACCGATCCGTAACGGGCCACCCAACGGGCCTGCCAACGGCGCGCAGCGTGGTCGGGGCGGCGCCAACGGCTTCACACCTCGTGGCCGCGGGAACAACAACTTCGGAGGTCGCGGCGGCCGTGGCCGCGGAGGCGGCAATCAACAAGGATTCACTGTCATCGACAACAGCGATCCAACGGAGGGTGTCGTCAGGAACAACCCCAACTTCCGACCTCAGAGCTACGCGAGCGTGCCTCCGCCGGCAACGCTGGACGCGAACGCGTTCCGTGGCGGACGAGGTAGGGGTCGTGGATTCCGTGGCAACCGTGGTGCCGGTAGGGGTGGTCGTGGTGGTGCGGCTGCCCAGGCTCAGTAGTGCGGAAGAGCGGCAAGGGGGCGTCGGCAAGTGCACGAGAGACGGGATATGCATGATAGAGTAGACAAGGGGTTTGCGGAGGATCAGCTTTTGATTTACGACAGATACCCAGGTTTTTGTTATGCAAAGTCCTTGATAGCTTAGCGCCGAGTTTACTGCAAAAGACTAATGTAGAAACGAGTAGTGCTGCTATCTAGTCTCTCAGGAAGAAGATATTGTCGACATGCGTAGAAACTGGCTTGCGTGGCTCTGGTGCAGAAGTAAAGACGATAATACCGCAACAAACCAAGAGTCGGTCATGGCACATGAAATTTGACCGCGCCCATCGCCGTTTTCTGAGGCTTGCTAGCACTTGGTCCGTGTTGCTATTTTGAACAGGGTCTGTGTGTGGTGCTGGAGAGGCGGGTGACGTAAGGGGATCTGAACTTTGGGCTACGATCCACCTCGGCTGCAAGGGGAGATAACTCCGCGCAAGATAGATCTCGGTAGGTGCAGGGCTGGTTCGCCTAAAGTTATACTCTCGAAGATGCTGTCCGCAAACTTTGTTGACACAGCACGGCCGTGGGATCTTACGCCCGTACAACTCTGATTGTTGCAACGATTAGGTATTTTGAAGCAGGCTCGCAGGGCTGCGCGGTTGGGCTGCGCAGCAAAGGCGGCCGGGGACCAGAGCAACGGGCAGACGGTTTCGTGATTCGCGGCGCAGTGCGACGGCAGCGGCAGCCGGAGCAACCGTGGCGGCTACCACGCGGGAGTTGATGTGTTTGCAGCTGACGGGAGGAGTTCTGGCGGCTTGGCCTGCAGCGAGACCCCGGATGCGCAGGCATGGGCGGGCGGTGAGCCGCCTTGCGCGCTAAATTCGTTGTCACCCAGTCAGGAAGTAGGTAAACACCGCCCGGAACTTCGTCCTGCTGCATCGCAGGGCCACGTCCGTCCACCGCCAGCACCCACTCAGCACCGCCGCCGCCTGCATCCTGGGGGCTTCCATTCGCTGTCCGCCGCCGTCGCTCTTTCTGCAGCCGTCCCAACCGCTCGACCGCTCCCGAAACCCCGCTGCCGCATGGCGAGGTCAGCTGCTGCTTGGAGAGTGTTCCTGGCGGTATAGCTTCGCGATTCGCCCAGTTGCACCGCCGCCCGTCCGCCGCTCTGTTTGACGCCCACCACCATGCCGCCGGCCGCGCCCCCGCTGCCCACCAAGTTTCCGTGCTGGTGCAAGGCCATATACTCGTGGGGAGGAGAGGTAAAGCTGCACTTGCCCGGAGCAACTGACTCACGCCCCTTGGAAAGCGCGGCCCTCGCTGACGCTTCCGTTTGCCTCCCAACAGACCAAACGCGACCTCGGTTTCATAGAAGGCGATCTGATCGAGTGCCTGAATGCCGGTGATGGCCAGTGGTGGATGGGGCGCTTGAAGCGCGATAGGCGCGCGGTTGGACTCTTTCCATCCAACTTTGTCGAACTGCTGGATGAGAGCCAATGGCCGGGGGCCCCACGTAGCAGCACGGCAAATGCAGGAGGCATGTCGCGGTCGGGAACAAATGCTGCCGCGCAGAAGCCGGTTCCACAGAAGCAGAAGAGCACGTTTAGGAAGCCCTTTCAGGCCTACTACAACGCTGGCCAGCCGAATCCTGTTGCCCATGCCCGCGAGCGGCAGGAGAAGTCAGGGACGTCCGGCCATGCCGATAGCCAGCGGAGACACAAGCCCTATTCATCCATGAAGCACGCCAAACCGCCGGGACCGAGCCCGAACCCGTCACCCAGGAATTCAATCGAGAGCGTTGCTCGAATCCCGCCTCTGCCAGAGCGTAACGCGTCCAACTTGAGAAATCGTGCGCCCTCGCCGTTGCCTCCAAGACAGGAACATGCCCACTATCGTGCAGTGTCACCCGCTCCTCCACAGCCTGCCGATTATCGGGCAAGTCCGCGCGCGGTTTCTCCAGGACCACCCCAGCACTATCGCGCCCCGTCTCCCGCACCGCCACAGCAGTATCGTGCTGCTTCGCCTGCTCCTCCGCAGCAATACCGAGCTGCTTCACCTGCTCCTCCACAACAGTATCGAGCTACCTCCCCCGCTCCTCAGCAGTACCAGGCGTATTCTCGAGGACCTTCTCCTTCGCCGTATCAGCAACAATACTACCCCCCTTCACCTGGGATGCATCCGACTACGCCACGGCAGCAGTATCAGGCCTATTCGCCTTCGGCCTCCCCTGGACCGGACTCGCAGCAATACTACTATCGATCACCGTCTCGCGGACCTTCCCCGGCTCCCTTCGAGGACGAAATTGGCGAAGCGTCTCCACCCCCACCTCCGCCTCCTCCACACCGCGTGTTACACTCTCAGGCGAACAGGGCTCCTTCGCCGTCTCCCTACCAGATGAGCAGAAGTCCCTCGCCGGCTCCATATAATGAGAATGGGTACAGGAGCGGTTACCACACCCCTACCTCGCACTCGCCTGTGCCCCGGCAAAGCACTAATTTGACGCCATCTCCTGTGACGAATGCTATGAACGATGTTATGACTTCCCTTGAGGATATGACGGTTGCCAAACGGAGTCCGTCGCCTGCCAGAGCACGCACACCGGCCGACCCTTGGGCACCGGAGGCGTTCGGTGAGGCCTTTGCTAATCCAAGGAGGCTCCGGCCAAATACTTCCCTTGGCCTGGGTGCCCTGGAAAATGACATGCCTCCTGCAAGGATGGATACCCAAGGTCGATCTAATACGGTTGGTCCTCAGCCAGATGGACCGCCTCAAGTGGGCAATTACGTCCAGCGAATGGAGGAACGATTGCGTATGCTGAGCAGTCGCAGCCCAGCACCACAGGATGAGCTGTTTATTCCAACCGATCAAGAAGGCCCGCCGCCAGCACCGCCGCCAAAAACTTCCAGAAACCCGAGGCCCCTAACTGTATATGCCGATTCTAGACAAGATTCGATGTATGAGAGTAGATCTCAGAGCTCCGTAGGGGGGAATTCGCAGGATGGCGTATTCCGAAAGCCAACGCTGAAGCATCGCAAATCTGCATACGAAGTCGCAAAACAAGGCCTAGGACGCACATTCACGACCAAAACCAATGCCACGAATTCCACCGAGGCAACTAACAGTACGGGACATACGCTGTGGAGTGGTACATCTGCCGGCGCCAACTCTGCAACCAGCTCTGGAAGTTTCGCAAGGAGAAAATGGGGCATCGGCGGCACCATCAGAGAACATCGCGAACGGTCCAAGAGTGTGGTGGAGGTCTCTCGTCCACGTGCTGGCAGTATTGTGGGATCACTGGACGGCAGGCCAGATAGCCCCTTCAGCGGAGGTATCTCGTATCATTCAAGCCACGCAACCAGTCAGCAACAGAACTCGTCGAGTACTGAATGGACCGGCAATATTGTAGAGGGCGGTGGCCCGCTGGGCGGCCTGACATCACCCAAGCCGAAGAGGACTGGCTTCTTCAAGAAGATGATCTCGTCAGCAAAGGCCAATGCTGCGAACGCGAGAAACACTATTTCTTCAAGTCCTAGTAGGCCTGCTTCGCGAGGAGCAGGCATACTACCGGCCGGTGTTACTTCCATCGCCGGAGGATCAGCTACTTTCCGTCCTAGCAGCACTGTGGCGAAGGAAATGGGTATGGGCGGTTCTGTGGACTGGGTGCAGGTCCGGCGAGACGTCAATCGCTCTAATTCTCTCAGCAAGAATGAGCGCATCGAGCGTGCCGAACGCTGCCAGATGAACGACATCATAGTCATCAACCCCATAGAGGTCCTTCTAGAATCCATCGAGGGTGATGAAGGCCTTGACGGGCTGCCAGTCCCTGAACCGCTCGACTTCAGTCAGTGCAATCTTGGTCTCGTTGACAAGAACACTCGTTTCATCCAGGGCCTACCTCCAATGACGACTCCGGCGAGCCTTGCCCAAGGTTATGTGTGTAGACCTTACCGCAGCGACGTCCAAAGACTGCGAGCCATCTTCACGTGGGTCTCTGAACGCATTGCTTGGGAAGAAGATTTCGAAGGCGACGTCGACACCAGGCGAGTCATCCAATCGAAACGCGGCTGCAGCGAAGAGATCGCCGTCTTGGTTATGGACATGTGCGCAGCAGTCGGATTGCACTCTGAGGTGATCCGTGGATATCTCAAGGCACCGGGTGAGGAGCTAGACTTCGAAATGATCGCGCATCCAAATCATTGGTGGAACGCCGTCATCGTTGACGGCGAATGGCGCATCATGGACTGCTCGCTCGCGAACCCCACTAACCCCAGGCGCTCGTCGTACTCCAGCGCTGGAAGTCAAGTTGCAGAGAGTGGCTTCTTCCTCGCACGTCCGTCAGAGATATGCTACACCCACGTTCCACTTCTTCCGGAAGCACAGCATATCATTCCGCCACTTTCTCACGAGGTCCTTATGGCGCTGCCTTGCGCTTGCCCGCCCTACTTCATGAATGACATAGAGATTGCGGACTTCGACACGAGTCTCCTAAACCTGGAGAACTTGGAAATGGCGCACATTCATTTCTTCGTGCCGGAGGACGTAGAAGCGGTGGCTGAAGTTGAGGCAAGGATTTTCGCACGGGATGGCGATGGAGACTTCTTCGAGAGCGGTGAAACATGTCGGAAGAGGGCCTTATGCCAGCCCGAGTGGATTGGTGGTCGCAAGAGGTACACCGTGAAGGCGCTGCTGCCAGGCGATGAAGGGCATGCCACTCTGAAGGTGTACGCGGGGAAGAAGGGGTTGATGGTATGTCTCACTATCGTACCTGAACTTCTCGAAGACGATGCTAACCTTGTTTCCAGCACTCAATCAAATCAAACCCTCATCCTCTCGTCTTCGCATTGCCGCTCACCCATGTTGGCCAGAACCCGCCGTACGAGTTCGTCACGCTTCACCCTACTCCACACGCTCAACGCCACGATCTCTACGTCGCACAGCCGCAGTGCGCCCGCCTTGCTGTCAACAACACCTTCGTGTTTGCTGTCCGCCAGCACCCATCGTCCCTTACCTGGACCAATACGCCGTCAGGACCGAACCACATGCATTCCCAGTCCACCAGCTCCGCCATGCTCTCTGGACGCATTTCGCCTAACCCCTTCGCCCGTCCGAACTCAGCGCTCAGTATGGTGTCCGCATCCGCATCTAACGCTGGGTCCGTCTTCAGCGCCTCATCCTCCGGCTCGGACCCTCTCATGGCCTCCAAGACAGCTCCCGGCGCAAGCCAGAAACCAGCCAAGTTGGCGATCCAGAGCCCGTCAGGCAAGATCATCAGGCTGATGCGGAAGAGCGAGCACATGATTGCCAACAGTCATGGAGCAGGTGTGGGAGGCGCGAGTGATGGAGAGAGGGAAGGTGGTGATGGGAGCGTGTGGGAGACGATCATCAAGATTGGGGAGAGAGGTACCTGGAGAGGTCTCGTGTTGGCGGATAGATCTGCGAGGTGGTGCGTATTCGCCGAGTGGGAGAGCTTCTAATGTGGCGGTTGAGAAAGACTCATCGATGTGTGTGGGGTTCCGTGCTGGACCGAGGGTTTTTTTTTTTCGGAATTTTTGTCTGTACTCTGGGTTTCCTGGGTTTGTCTGTTGTTTCTTTTCTTCATTTGCTTTCTCTATACACTTTACTCTAATTTCTTTCTTTCCTTATTCCTTGATGCCGTAGAGATGAGTCTCATTTCTTCTTTCCTTTGGTCATCATCCCATGGGGTATCCTGGATTTCCTTGCACCATGGCAAAAGGTTTTATTTCTGTTTTTTTCTCTGATAAGAGCGTTAGCATTTCTACGGGGGGCCTCTGGAGCATACATGATTATCAATTTCATATTCATCACACCACATATTTTCCCGTATGAAAACCCAAAAGTAAAAGTAAGCACAGAGCTGGGGCGCGTACGGCGTTGGCATATCAAAAAGCGCTATTATGTACCTTCAGTTGTATCGAGTAGCAAGCAGCCGAGTCATTGGCTAGCGTGGGAGTTTTGGGTTCTTAGCAATGTACGATAGAGACGAAGTGTTTCGGATGGTATTGGTATGTAAAGGTGTTGGTCATTTAGTTAATTTATATCTTGCCAAATCGTTGCGACCTTGTCATCAAGCACCTGTGATAGGTGAGATGGGGTAGAGTTTAATGCGCTTTTAATAAATCGGAGGCATTATTCAGGCGAGGTATTGGTGGTGTCTGGCAGTAAGTCTCCTTCGTCGCTTGTTCCAGGGTGTCCTTACGGATTGCCTTCCGTGTGAAAGCTCCAATCACTCTTCCGAAATCGGTGGCGACCGCTTGGTGGCCTTGGTGATGCCTCTTGACATCTTCGGTTATGGTGTGGCTTTCTGATTCCAAGCGCTTGTCAATCTCAACAACGCCGCACGCAATTGCCTCTTGTCGATCTCATCTTCCAGACCGTCGATCAGGTTGGACAGGTTCTAGACTGCGTCCTCAGTTTTCGCACGCTTCGCGTCCCACTTCTGGAAAGTAAAGGTGACCAGTTCCGCGGCGTTTGTGGCGTCGGCAACGAGTTGCTTCGTAACCCTCTATATGGCGCTGCGCCAGTACAGAGATAAAAATCTCTCATATACCCCATATGATAGCGAAGGGAAAAAAGAAAAAAAAAAAGGGAAACACGAAGCTTCCAGAGACCACCCTAATGAAATTCTACGTACCTTTTTAAAGTGTTTTTTGGTCTAGAGTTACAGGTTGCATGAGTTGTATATATACAAGGATTTCTCTGGCGCTTTTGATTTCGCTCCCGAAACTGACTGTGAGCGCTTAACACATTCAATTCCGGGATGTCTTGGACAGAGTCCGCGACGGAGGGTGGAGAACTTTGAGGGGGTTGGCAAGGGCCAACGCGCCCGGGATAGAATCGAGCTGGAAGCATCTACATCTGGTTAGTTATGAGAACTTTAGGCAAGTGTGATGGTGAGATTGGGGGTCTCTGGAAGCTTGTGACGTTGACCATGAAGCCAGTTGAATTCGATGGCGGTGAAAGTGAACTGTTTAAAATTTCAACTGTGGTCGTGGTCGTTGGATTTGGAAAGACTGGAAGCAGCACGAGTATCAGATGAATTAGTTATGCGTATGTTGTCTATCTCAATCGTAGGAGAAGCACGGTTGGTGTCACTAGACTTTCAGCCCAAGCATCGCTCACCAACGTTTCGGCGAGCATATTCCAAAGTCTCCATTAATTCCATCCATGTTTGAGACAGCGATTTCACGAGGGTGTTGTGAATGCAGCAGTTCCACGGAAAGCATTGGTCTTACACGTAAAGAGCCAGACAGCTCGCGTGTGTGCTACCGGTTTCAAAAGGCAAGATATGAGGCGTGGCTAAATGTCTTGTAGAAGGATCAGCATACCAAGTAGTCACAGTATGTTGTAAGACATCCTGCCCTTCCATATCCCGCAAAATGAGCTACTTATCCTCCTGAGTAGTTGCAACGGGCACCCGGACGTACATGTGGGGTTGAGAATTGCACGACCAACAGAGAAACAGTCCAACTATCGACGCAAGAAAAGTGCAATATTTCTGGTGAGCCATGAGTGTGGACGGCATATCCTTTCTGTCTAAATGTGATGTGTTACATTTACAGGCAATGTGATTCGGTAGGAGATTGAGAGAATATAGCGACTGGCGTTCTTCTCTCTACCTCATATCCAAATTGGGATACACATGGTACCTTATGCCTTACCCAACTCTTTCCTCCACCACTCCGCAAAATCCACACAGCTACAGTCAATGCCTAGAGCCCTCGTCTCCTTGGTGTCCAGGTGACAATCATAAGGCCTCCTGACCCTCTCGCCCCTCTCCTCCGCCTTCAATTCTTCTTCAGACGGCCTGAACGCCTCCAAACCCTCAGTGCCTACTCCAAGTATGCCAGCCAGCACCTTGCACATGTCCAGCTTCGTCTTGCAATCTTCGCTCGAAAAATGCAGAATCTCCGGCAGGCGTGCCGGAGCCTCAGGGCCAGGCTCCGCGCGCCCGGTGTACAGCGCGCATACGTCGACGCACACGCGGCCCACATCGGCCGTGTTGGTCGGGTACCTCAGCGCGTAGTCATCCATCTTGATCTTCTCGTCGGCCGGGCCCAGCGCCGCCGCCTTGCGCACCTGCTCGACCAGGCAGTTAACCGCGCTGTCCGACGGCTTGCCCGCCTTGCCGTAGAGGATGGGGACGCGCAGCGCGGCGGCGAGAGGTCGTGGGTGGGCATCCTTGTTCCGGTGCTCGGCAGCGGCTGCCAGCACGGCGTTCTCACCCTCCCATTTCGTCAGGCCGTACGTGTTGGGCGGCTGGGTCGCGGCGAGCGGGGCGTAGGGAGCGTCGCCGGGGACGCCGGGGAAGACGTAGTCGGTGCTGATGTAGAGGGTGAAGATGGAGCGGCGCGCGGCGGCGGCGGTCAGCGTGCGGGCGGCATCGACGTTGAGGGCGCGGGCGGCGGCGGGGTTGGTGGAGCAGGAGTCCGGGGAGCGGTCGGCGGCGCCTGGCGGGGGAGGATATGTGAGCGGGCTTGTAGCGATTGGCTTGTGTGACGCGTGGCGGTCGCGTTTCAGTGGCGGGCGGAATACTTACAGTGGACGATGACGTCGGGCCTGCGGCGCGGGTTGTGAGTAAAGATACGGGTGGCGGGGCAACAAGGGCGGCTTACTTCACCTCGTCGAGCGCCTTTTCGATGGCGGCCGCGTCCAACAGATCCAGCTTGATGGTCGAAGGCGGCGATGCGCGCGTCAGGCCCGTCCCGACGACGGACCAGCCGCGAGCCTCGAAGGCCTGGGCGACCTGGCTGCCGAGGAGGCCAGTGGCTGTCAAGGTCAGCGTCGGGCGACATCATGGTGTTTTCCGCGATGCATACCGCCGGTGACAAGCGCAGTGCCGCTCATTGCGATGGAATGCGGATTTTGGGATCTGAGCCTCTTCCTCGAAGTCCTGCGCAAGGCGAGACGTTCAACGAAAAGTCCACGTTGTCAGAAGGCCTGAGGCTTTCTTGGGGTTCCAAATATTCCTTGCCGACCCGCAGGCCAACAAGAGAGGTCAAATAGTTGTAGTTTTCAACTAGCAAAATTCCAGCGTCAGCAAATGCTTCACTCGCATGGAAAATGCTCCTGCACTCGGACTGGAGAAAAGAAGAAAAGGTTTGGCAAGGGAGGGCGGAGGGAATTTATAGGCGCTGGTGAGCTTGGGCCACCTGGCCAGGCAGCTGGACGGCAGGAGGCAGCAGCACACTTTGGGAAGCAGCGAGGGTCCCGTGGTTGCGGCAGGCAACCGGAGATGGAAGCTGCCATTCTTCACGGGCGGGCGGCTTGCGTCATCAGCGAAGAAGGTCGTCACCTGCGTCTCAGGACGGGAAGGCAGCAAGCACTGGCACTGTCTTCTGCAGACTCACTCACATGCGTTCCGCTCAGGAAGGCGCCTGGTAGGTATTTCACTCGCCTGCATGGAGACTTGGGACTCACGTGGGTAGGTATGCGCCCTTTCCTTCATCCTCGGCCCGTGTTGGCTTGTTTATGCTGTTGACTTCTCACTTTGCTCTCCAGTCTGACTGGCAAAACGACCAGTGCCTTGGTCCATCGCGCTATGGCTGTTCCAGATTCCTCTGCCACCCCGCATGGTCCTTTTTGCTGCCTGGCTCTACCGGTTAGGGAAGGCTCACCGTTCTGGGCCAGAACTTCTGGCGCTCGACGCAACTCGCTCCAAGGGCGTCTGCCTTCAGTTACAGCTTAATTGGTGTACAATGTCAAGTTACGCCATTACCTTGCTGGACAGCTCAATCAAGGCTAGCAGCTCCTACTTGGAGGCGCGGAACCCCGTTTTCATGGCCAGAACACGGTGGATGAGCTCGTGATACTCCCATGCCGTTTCTGGCGATGGAGCTGATATACCTGCCACTCAGGTAAATCACAATTGACACCAACATGGTAGTGATTCTGTCACATACCAAGTCGAGCCGTCCTTGAGGTTGTTGAACTCCGCAAAGTTTCGCCTTCCCTGTTGCCAAGCAACCTTGTTCTCACAACCCATCCCTCACACCCTGCTACAACCCGGCCCTCTCCGGGGCTCGGTGCTGTTACCGAGCCAAGCCCCCCAGCACATTTATTCTGCACTTGCTTTATGCACTTTAAGATCCATCACTAGTACAGTAGCTCGAGCAATGAAGAGTGTCAGCGGCGCTAGATCCCGACGGGTATGCTCAATTTGTGCTGTCGAATGACTTCAATATCTGCAATTGTCTAGAAGCTTTTAGCGCCGCAAGCGCTTCATATGTGCCGTCTAGTATAGTTGGAGCTGTTACATGATAGGTGGAATCCTTGAAGATTGTTGCGAAGTGAAGTTTTCAATTTGCGTTTGCATTCGCCTCGTGGCAACCACACCCCCACCTTGGCACGACCTCGACCACCCCTGTTATCCGCTGCATCTACACTTCCGCATAATCACAGCATCTGGAAGACATTCGGTATGCCGTTCAATTCGTTGTACGTTCAACGAAACTATCACACACTACCGCCGTTCAACTTCGCGGCCATTACTGGAAACAAAGAGAACAGCAACACCAACTTTAGGATCTTCATGAAGATCCTTGGCTGGATTCTGGAAGCCTAAGCAGCGGCAAGCCTGCGGCATCGACTTAACCGCAATATACATGAGAGCTTCCCTCAAAGCGGGGCAACCACCTGCGGAACAGTTTCCCCGTTCTTCAGCCAGCCACGAAGTGGAGAAAAGGCAAGCGCTGGGACCGGTCGATGGCAAGGATGCTTTGCTTTTTGGTCGGGTGATCAATTATCAGGCCACAATCTCTGTTTGAATCATGACCTCATGGTAGGCGGGTGCGTACGCGGCTTCCGCGCTCAAATCCTCTTCATTGTACGCTAAGAGTGATTCTAGAAAGCATGCATGATGACTAAATTTGCACTGCTACTAGTTATACGTAATTATGATGCGATGGAAGTGCACTTCATACATGCAACCAAGAAAAAAAAGAATGCCCCTGATTCTAAGGCTCTTCCATTCTTGCGTCCGAGTACCACATTCACATACTTCTTCCAGACGGAGTATTCTCCGTCAATCATTATTGAGGCATCTGTGGCATGTCCTCGGCATTTCTAGTAGTGTACCAGTCTTCTCCACTACCCCTGGTACCTGAACGCTCAACGGTCCGCTTTCGCCACCTCTGGTCAACCATCAGGCACCGGCGCAACCAAACAAACAAAAACATCGGAATCCCTGAATTGGCCAGACATTCCCACCAAGCGGAGCTTATCACCTTCCCGTCCCGGACGTTTTCTGCGCTTCCTCCCGAAGGGCGTGCCGTAAGACCCGGCCCAGACCAGAAAAATTTCTCCAACACGTGCTGGCGTTAAGCAACTTAGCGGACCACAGATTTGATAAATGCCGCGAACTCAAGCTTTTTGCAGTAGCAGTTAGTGCAACCAACATTCTGACTCTGGTAGACCCCCGCCTTTTCCCATTCGCCGCCACCATGACACCAAGCAATTCGGCGCGATTAGTGGCGATCCCCTTTTGCAGGAGGAAGATCGCGTACCTGCATATTGACGCATACACTCACCCGCGCGAATCGCATGCCACCCGCCGAAGGCGCCCCCATCATCCATGCTCAACGTCTGCAAGGGGAAAAAGAAATTTTGGAATGTTCCATCGCGCCGCAGCTGCATAAGCGTTCCAAGCCTTCTGCCCATCATCCCAAAGAAAATTTGCAAGACTCCGTTTTTTTCTCCTTCGTGCATGTCTGGCGCAGCACAGCCCTTGTTGGCCCGCTTCGGCATCGTGAACGGACTATTGCGATGGTGCATGATAACGTAGCGGGGAAATGGGGTACGGAGGACAGAGCGTGGCTCATCATTATGGGGATTTCGCCATGATCGACTTAGTACTGTGTATAGCTTTAAGCAAAGTGCAAGATTAGCGGATAGCTGTTGTCACGTTGAGCGTTGCGGGTTGAGACAACTTTGTCGCACCGTCACCCCTGTTCCGAGACACCAGAGCGCCCCCCTTCCCATCTCCGAACCAACAAACACCTGCATGCAATAATCTCCAAAGGGAAAGAAGAGTAAGATTGTTGCAGAAACGCCAAAGTTTAGAAAACGTCGGAGTTTTATTCGCTTTGCACCAATGAAGCTTTTCAGTGAGATGGCAGTGTGTTGTATGGAAAGCATTCACAGTGCACCAATGGAGTGAGATCAAAGTATGTTGCAGAAAGCAAGATGAATTTCTTTTTCACATATCTGTACAGTAAAAGAGAGAAGCGGTAGCCAAATGGCACCAAGAAAAAGGCCATCACGATGCGATGTGCATGCTAGCCTCCCAGAATCCAATCCCTCTGACCAAACCATGACCTGAGTCGAGCGCCATGCCATGCCATGCCATCCGAGATGCCCTAAAAAAGTTGAACTGGACGAGAAAAAAAGGTCCAAGCTCAGTCTATGAAGTGAAGAGAAGAATGTTCGTAAAAAGACTCCAAAAATGCCAATGCCATGATGGCCATGTGTGAGAATGTAAGGATCATGAACGTCATGCAGACTGACCCACCAACAGAACCCGCGCAGCAGGTTGTGGAGGAGCGTTCAGCTGTGCTGTACTTGGCTGCTGGGGGTGGGTGCTCTGCCGTTGAAGATTCTCATTTAAGAGCTCCTGTGGACAGCGGCAGCAGCAGCCCGAGCGACGGCGCGAGCGTGAGCCTTGGCGTGGCTGCCACGGAACCAGCTGCCAGTGTCACGCTTGCTGATGGTGCCGTTGGAGCAGGTGGTGCCGGCGGCGAGAGCCTGCTTGACAGCGCAGCCGTTGTTGCAGAGACCGAAGGAGTCGCTGCCAATGCAGACGATAGCACCGTTGTTGGAGCAAGCCTGGCAGTCGCCGCTGCTGCTTGCCGGGGTGCTGGCAGCGCCAGAGCCGCCGGCGACGGGGGTGGCAGGAGTAGCGGCAGCAGCAGCGGAGGACTGGGTGACGACAACGGTGGCCATGGAGGTAGCGGTGTAAGAGGCAGAAGCGGCACCGGGGGCGAAGACACCAGGAGTGCTGGCAGCAGGAGTAGAGCCAGCGGCCGGGGTCGAGGCAGCGGGGGAAGCGGCAGCAGAGGAACCGGAGCCGGAGTCAGAGCCAGAGCTAGAGCCACCGCCGTTGGCGTTCAGGCCAGAGTCGCAGTTGCCAATGGCGGCGGAGCTGACAGAGTCACCGTTCTCAACGCTGGTGCCAGGGTTGGGGAACTCGAGGACACCCTCGCCGGTCGTGCAGGTATCGGGGATGTTGGCAACGAACATGTCGGGAAGGGAGTTGTAGTAGTCGTCGCTGTCAGAGCCACCGGTGATCGAAATGGGAGCGCAGTTCATGTACATCTCGCGGTTGCCGATCTTGTTGAACCAGGTCCAGGCGAAAGTAGCCTTACCGGTCTTGAGCTCCTTGGGGATCTGGATAGAGTACTGCTTGACACAGTTGTCGCCGCTCTCGCCAGAGCACTGCTCGCCGTTAGGGCGGCCATCAGAGTCGGTGCCGGAGGTCGCGATGTTGCCGGTAGCAGAGGCGGGGCAGCCACCGATCATGGAGTGGATGACCTTCCACTTGGACTGGTCAGCAGGCGGGGGGTTCTCGTAGGTCACGGAGACCTGGCAAGAACCACCACCGTGGACGGCAGAGCCAGTGAAGCTGAGGGTGGTGTTGTCACCAGCGGCGATCTCGGTGGCCGTGGCGCCCGTGTAGTAGCTGGCATCAGTGCCACCCTGGCAAGGGAAGGCATAGGTGGTGCCGTCGAGAGGGCTGCTCTGGACCTTGGAGGGGCTGTAGGGCGTGGGGTGGTTCATGATCATGTGGGCAGAGGCCGAGCCGAAGAGGCTCAGAGCCACAGTGAGCATAGCTTGGGAGTACATTTCGAAGGAATGTGTTGTCGTGAAGTTTTTGAGCGTTAGGGTTGTTGTTGGGAAATCGCTTAGACCAGCTGGGCGATGCTTGGTTGAACAACCGGAGAAGGAGTGCTAAGGCTCGGGAGCTTCACAGAAGTCGTTGGTCCTGAAAGGATAGGATGTTCCGCCGCAGGCGAGAACGAAGCAAAGAGACAAGAAGAAAGATAGAAGGACTAGCCTTGGAATGCTCAGAAGAGAGTTGGATTGCTGATGGGAAAAAAGATGCATAGCGACGCGACCAAGACGATACTTATACAACATGAAGGATCTACGAGCAGGGCCCCTGACGGCGCACAGAGGCGGAAACAAGCTTCTCGCAGAGTGGTACAGTCTAAGGCAGCCCGCATGCCGTCGGCAGCATCTGGCGCCACAGCGGGTCGGTGTCTGGGACACAGGCGCGCAGGTCGGGCAGGATTCCCCACGCCCGTAGCTGCGCGGTTACGGCACCGCGCCGAAGGGACAGCGCTCGTCGATGAGAGGCAAGACGCCTGGAACCGATCAGCAAAGGTGCGACAGGAAGCAAACGCCAGGTGCCCCCGTTGCCCGAACGGGAAGACCAACTCCGCGGGCGGGCCAGCACGGGCGCGCCGCGACGGCCATGCGGACCGAGGGATTGGCTGTGCTGGGTCGGGGGCGTGCGTTTCGAAACGGCAGTCTGCGCAGCAACGTGCGGTGGGAGGAGCTGTGAGAGAGTCCGGCCGATCCTAGTTGACGTGCACCCTGGCCCAACGTATCGATAGCTGCTCGCTTGATCCCTGCACCCTCTCAGGAACGCCAATCGGGCGGTGCAGAGACGCACATCCTTTTGCAGACGGGGTCCACCGCCTTTACCCTGAGTGGCAGGACGCGCATGGGCTGACAGCGCGGTGAAGGCCCATGCCGCCGTCTGGTTGGCCAGTCGTCCTGAAGGCTCTTCTGTTCTGAAACCAACCGGCTGCCAGGCGTTAGCTGCTCTTGAGCATTTTGGTACGAGGAGATGCTTCCCCGCGGCCCGTCGCCCTGATCGCGCAGCTGACAAGCTCGTTTATTCAAACAGCTGAATTCGTGTTCGCTCGCCAACATCGCGGGCTGCCTGTGTGCACGGGGAGCCGCATGATGGCGATGACGGTGGCGGTGCCGCCCTCGCATGGAGCGCACCATGACGTCCAGCCGCCGCGCTTCGTTTGTCGCCCGTTGGCGGGTGCGGTGCGGTCTGCAATCCGGCCGAACAGTGTCGAAAGATCGCCGGACTCCACACGCTGAAACCTCTGGTTTGCACGCGGAGCCAGACCCACGGTAGGGTCAACCGCCGGCTGCTTGCGCGCCACCGCACCTGCCGGAGCGAGGAAATTCGCCGCGAATTTCTTTGCTTCTGTGCCTGCTCCTGATCCGGTTGCCACCCCGCACCGGAACCTTGGCCGAGAGATGGCGGCCGCCGCCGCGGCCGCTCCGGATTGGCTGGGCGCAAAATTGAAGTGAACGCAAGCTCGCAAGTGCAGTTTCGCCGTCGCTCGTTCCTTGCAGCAGCGCGCACAGGACGGGCAACTGAGCGACGGGGTGCAGAGAACAGAGCACGGCAGGAAGCGCCCAGCCGGGACCAGGCGAGCGTGGCGGCATCCCCTGCGCAAGTGCTTGTCGCACAGGCGGCTCAGGGCTGCGCACTGCAGGACAATCGAGCGGCTGTGGGCAGTCGGTGTTGAGGCTTCTCGCAGACGGTCAATGCAGCGGGTGATCGCGCGGCACAGCAAATAGGGTGCGCCCAAAGGTCGGAGACGAGCGCTCGCCAGCCCTACGCTGTCTCTGCGTCGGATTGGCGAGTTCTGTGCGAACGATTGGCTGCGGCGCCGCCTGCCCTGACCGCTTCGGTCGGCCCGACACACGTAGCTGGCCACAAGACGTGGCCGGCCTGCATCACGCACGCCATTAATGCAGCGGCGCGTCGCGCAGCCAAGGTCATGAGCGCTTTGCGAATGGTCGACATTATTGCCGCTCTACGATACATGCTGTCTAGAAACCTGTGTCCCGTTTCAGCCGCTGGATCCCCCGCGTTTGCTGTTCACTCACTGTTTCCAACCCGCGCGCCTACGACGACCTCGTGGCTGCCCGCCTGAGCTGCGCGCTGCGTCGAAACTGCTGGTGCCGATCCTTCAGCGCGAAGTCGCAGCAACACGTCCTGTGCATACACGTACGTACTCCACCCCAGCGGTTATGCTCCTGAGTCATCTGCCCAACCATCTCCCTCTCGTCGGCGACCCCGTACCATCCTCCATGCTCGAGCCCAAGCGTCTCGCTCTGCGCACGCCAATCATGGGGAGAGAAGCGTTGAGCGCGGCTACAAGCAATCCATCGCCCCAGCCACAGCTCAAAGGCGCTGCTGAGCCTACTGCCACCGCTTGGACCCTGGGGTGTGCCCGCCGGCGGCAACAGTGCGCAGGCCGCCTCCCAAATTCGCCACACCTCGCTGCGTGGTCACGTTTCAGACTTTGATTACGAGGTGAAGGCAGTCTTCCGGCTGGCGGAGGGCCCCCCAACGATCGACGGTATCTTGTCTCTCGAGCCCATCTACCGGCGCGTGCGTACGCGCTTTGTCCTCTGCCTGCTCCCACGGGAACTGCACGTTGTGGCTGTGCGCGCTTGGATCTAGTTCTCCCTTCGGCTTGCCGCAATCATGCCACGATACGGATCACCTTCCGTTCTGCATGAGTTTCGTCATCGGATGTGGATAGCGCCGGTCGGCACGCGCGACAAGGGAGACGAGGCGCTTTGTTGAGAGGGTGACATTCGGAAGCGCCGTTGCCGTAGGATGCTGTAAATTTAGATCATTCCACCCTCGACCACTTGACCTCGGGCCAGCCTATTCTTCAGATGGAACAGTCTTGACCATGGCTTCTTCTTCTCCTCTCGTTGCTGCCCCGCTCCTGCGCCGCCTCTGCCTTCCTCCTCCGAGTCAGATGCCGATGTCATCTGGCCCGTCGTCGTTTTCCTCAGCTTCGTGAAAAAGGGCTGTCGCTCGATTCCGATGTGTGCTTTCCTGTCCGTCCCGATGAACGACCCGAATCCGTATTTGTGACCCATCTGTTGCACATGTTTGTCCCGAGCGACTTGCGACATCGCCGACGTCCCCTGAAGATCGAGAACCGCGTGGCTCGCTGCAAAATATGCGATATTGGAAGCAATCGTGGTTGGTAGCCGTGGCAAGAACCTCCAGGGCCGGCGAATGTAAACCATGATGGAAACAATGATATACAGGCCGATGATGGTTTCGGCAATGATGAACATTGCTGTAGACATGAAGATGCGTATCTCTGGTTTGATATTGTAGCCCTCTACGGTGAGTTCTGTTGCCTGTGGGAAAAGCAGGGCGGCGTTGGCGCTGAAAGATAGGGCTACGAGCTCGGTGTAGATGTTGGCGAACGGCTCTGCAGCCTCGCTGAAGGATGGAACAGGAGTAGCAGGGTCAATTAGTCGAGTCGTGTTGTATGTCTCTCGGATCAGATAGTTGTAGTAGTCGTCCGGGTACGAATCGTTGTGCCAGTTGAAGGCGAATGTGTTACTGTCGCTCAAGTTCCGACTGTAATCCATCATGTAATTGATGTATCTGGCCGCGTCTGAGGGTGAGCGTTGGAAAAATTCTACGGATGCATTGGTCTCTTGGAAATTGGATGCGTTCTGGACAATTCCAGTGCTGTCAACAATGACTTCTGCCAAACCAGTTTTAATGTACGGTCGACATGCGATGAAGGTAGACTCAAAGGAGTGAAAGGTCACATTCGAGATGTCGACTTCGGTAACGGTGTAGTTTTCACGTCTGGTGGCGTTTCCTCTTTGCCATGCCGACACAATGTATTCGGAATCGCATAGTCGTGCGGTCCATTCGGCGGCGAAGAGACTGTTTGGAATTCCTTCGTAATCAATCTCCTGGAGTTCGCGGCAGGCTGGAGATTCATCGCCAAAGTTGATGTTGAAGGTGTAATTAGCGGCCAGCCCATTTGAACTCATGGTGTGCTGGACTGAATTCGACCCTCCTCCCTCCTGGAGCTGAACGCAAGACATCTCGACTCCGTAAGCTCTCGTAGTAGCTTTATGCATCCAAGTATCGTTGTTGCCTGTCGTCTGATTGAACGGCATGTAATACATGCGCCCATCAGTCCAGGAAGAAAGCGGCGTCCCGGCCGTTACGTTTGACATAGCAATGTAGAAGTGATCTGTGACTGTACGATTGAACAGAACTGTCTCGAAGCCTGTATCCGTATTGTTAAGAGCAGTGATGTCCATGATAGGTTGGAGAGGCTGAGCGAAAGTGGTCCTGTACGCAACATCGGCGATTTCCTCATTGAATAAACCGCTAAAAGCAACGGCCAAAAGATTTGACAGAAGGGCCATCCAGCAGACAGCAGCAAGGATCCAGTGGCGCGCCTTTAGGGCTTTGAAGAAGGTAAGCTGCGGTGGTAAAGATGTATAGTCGACGGTGATGGAGCTGGAAGGGCTCGATTTGCCGCGGCGGAGGTCTTCGAATGGCTGAAGTGTACAGAGTATGCGGTTGAGTACAACCCACGCCGGTTCGATGACGGTTGCTATCGCAGTAGGAATGTAATTCTCCACCAGCTGACGAACGAAACGGTTGGTCGATGGAAGGGGAAGGCCTAAAAATATATCAGTATGCTTTCATAGAAATTGTGTTCGATTACGCACCATTTTCTCGCTTCGACTTGACAAAGTAGACAGCAAAGACGACAAGCATGACGATATTCATGCTTATGAATACGAGACCAGTGATCGAACGCAGCTCAAGAGGCCGCACACCGCCGGTGAATGGAGAGGACCTGCTTAGGTCTGTTGTGGCTCGATTTTCCAAGGCAGGATCCGAATCTTTCAATTCAAGCTGAAACCCGCTGTTGGAATCGGGTTTTGTCAGACCAAACTTCATCTTCTTGACTGCGTTTTTCAGCTCCTTATCCGTTGACTGATCGTGTCCCTTCAAAAATGCCAGTAACTCTTCCTGCTCGGCAACAAGAGCCATCATGGATCCTATATTCCCTGGGTTTGATGATAGGTTGCGAGGTCTGGCCATAGAAATGTACAGCAAAAATGCAGCAAAAATGATAACAAGTCCCAGCAGACCTTCGACCAAGTAGGCGAAAACGGGAACGACGATGACTGCACGCGAAGTGTACTGGCGAGTCCCACCGGTAGCTGTTGAGCTGTCCAGTTCGCTGCTCAAAACGTCCACCATCTGGCGAGAAAACAACAGGCGGTACGCGGCTTGGTATGAGGCTTTCAAAAGGTCCGGATCCAGATAGTCTATAGCTGGGCGTTGATATGCAGCAATCGCGAATCCAGCCATCGGTCCTAGATAAGTGAGGTCCAGATCCATACCTTGTATCTGATCCTTCATCGATGGCCAGCTGATGATAGGATAGTCACCTCGATTCTTAAATTGTTCCCTGCCCGAATTCATACCCCACTCAAAGCTAGTGGTGTTGAACAGACTCTCTCGCAGAGGCACCTTCGGCCCGGTGGTAACAACATGCACTGGGCTTCTTCCCGGTACAGACACGGTGGCGTTGACGGCCTGGCTGAAGTATGTGGGTTCGCAGTAGAGGGCTGTCTCGTTCTTGATCTCGGCAACTGGAGAGTCGTACGGGGATGTGGGTTTGTATGAGGGGTCTTTCTGTGTCCACTGGACCAAAAATTTGTGGGTAGCATTTGCGCCGCAACTTGTGCTCAAATACCAATCGGCAAAACCCTCCTCATTGCTGTAACCCATGTAGATTGTGGCAAATTCCTTGCCCGTATCGGAAGAATACGTAGGGTGGTCCACATTGCAGTCTTCGGTGTGGTAGGAGATAAATCCGGAGTTGTTCACCTTCGGAGGTTGTATGCATTCCACATCAACGGAATACATGGTGGTAGGTGCCGTCCATGTCTCCGCATCTTTCGTGTCGTCCAGGCTTTTAATGGGTCCAAAGGGAGCAAGCATGTAATCTCTGGTCATAAAAGGGGGCAAAGTCTCGTTCAGCCAGGCAATGTTGTAAGCTGACTGTGCGTATGTTGCTGTGAGGCCAGTTCGCTGCTGCGCCAGAGAGAGATGACCAGTTGATCTAGCCATGGGTATAGTGAAGGTCCGGTTGATAGTGTCAGTAGCAAAGATACCTGCTTGACTGGGCGTGACTCCCCAAAATATGAGGACCATTGCAAAAGAAGCCGAGAAAACAGGCCAGTGTCTTATCAAGTTAGCGTTGCTACACCAAGCGTCAGGGTGGATGATTGCTCACTTGCTTCGGATTGCCTTCAGCGGGACGGATGCTACGAACTCAAAGGGATATTGTAACAACAATGAATCCTTGCCTGCGGCGCCTCCTTCCTTTGAGAGCTGATAGTAGGGCTCGAGTCGTTTTGCATCGAGGTCGATCCATGTCCACAGAAAACTGTAGATCACCGCAACTATGGTAGGAAGATAGAGGTACGAGAATGATTTGTTGAGGGGAAGGTCTTCGATATCTGCGGCAAAGATAATACCGTCATTATGTTGGCTGTTCGCAAGCAGAATTTGAACAACTGCGATCAGGCCTCCGGAAATAAGGATAACGGTGGTGAGAATCAGCGCGTTCAAAGTTATTGGTTTCCAAACCCGTCCGGGACCTAAAGAATGGTTAGATGACGCAGCAAAAAGACTGCTTTGGGGTATTGCAAGTGCCTACGATTTCCGTTGTCCTGTCTCTGCCCCCTAGAGCCAAACTTCCTAAGAAAAGCTCGTGTAGTATTGTTGATGCTCGGTTGGCCCGTGACGTCTGATGGGCTGCGATTGGTGTTGTCATTGGCGATGGAATCGTAATAGGAGGGAGGATTATCCATGGGGTTATCCATAGCGGGTATCAAGCTGCAAAACAGGGGGAAAGAAAAAGGCCAAACACGCTTCGAAATCACGGGTCCTCACCAGGAAGACGTGAGGAGCCAGTAGAAGTAAGAGAAGAGGCAAAATAACCGGAATAGGAAATAGCAAAACCTAGAGGAGGAGAGGCTTGGAGGTCTGTGGACTCGTAGCAGTACCTATGAATGAATGCATGTGGCACAGCAGTGCTGGGATGTAGCCGCCTCGATAGCGCTCTGGCGTATCTCATTCGTTGGCGAGGCCATGATCACTGGTGATTAACTTCAGTGGGCCCATCTCAAACCGCTCTGGCGGGTCGGCCATCTCGGTAAAGAGCAAGTCAGGCGCATTCATCCAGAGAGCTCAATATTTAGCAGGTGAGGCATGCTTGTACACCGCCACTGACATCTCTTTACTAAAATACGTACGCGATATGCTTGAGCGCGAGGAGTTCGGAGCGTGGACAAGGTTGATGGTTCATTGCAATTGCTGTGCTGTGTCTGTCTCGGCAAGGATCTGCCAAAGGAAGGCTGTCGGCGCGTAAATCTCTTGGCAAAACAAGCACGACCGTGCGAACACAAGCCGTGCGGATTAACCAGGTAGTTGATTCGCGATCCAGACCCGGCCCGCAACTGTTCTTTTTATGGGTTGCTGGAGTTGTTCCTCTTGTGGGAATAACATATCAATCACATGATGATGATAATTGGCGGCCCAATTCAAGAAAGGGCTCTCAAGTGTGAACATTGGTAGCCTAGTCTGCGAGCCTGAACCATTTTTGACGTCGAGTCGCTTAGTTTCTGCGTGCGATCAGGACCTCTCGATACGATGTGCGCTGTGGTGATAGTGGTAGGCAGGTGTTGATGACTGAGTCAGTCCATGGCAACGAATTCCCCACAGTGGCGTATTCCAAGAGAAGTCCGTGCCACGGACTGTCCACATCCTAAAATACTTTAGCCTGGCTGCCGCCTGAATCAGGCTCGTCGGCGTCGGTAGCTGTGGCCGGGCCGGCGCAAGTAGACGACGAGCGGCATGGCGACGTACAACGACAGGATGGCCACGGCGACGGCGAACATCGGGTTAGACAGGAAGATGCGAGTCTCGGGCACAAACAGGCGGCCTCCCGGTTACGGCTTCAGATAGTAGTTCGTGTAGTCGGGATTGACGTTGCATCCAGCGTAGAAAGATGTGTACTTCTCCTTCCATCCCAACACCACCTATTGTGTCGTTACCAGTGGACCCGTATGGTCGGGGTACTTTGCAGCCCGTAGGGTTCATGTAGTAGGACTTGGCGATGGACGAGAAGGCACTGCTGCCAGTGACCTCAGACTCGTCTTGTGGCGTGAAAATTGTGGCGGGCTTGCAATAGATATCGACGCTGTATAGGCGGGTGGTGGCAGTGACGTTCTCGGAGGTATACAAAGAGTCTCTGCTGTTCATCTCCAGCTTGAAAGGGGCAAGAAAATATCGAGGGGTCGTAAATGGCGGGAGAGTCTCATTCAGCCAGGTGATGCCGAATGCGGAATGGGTGAAATTGGCGGTCATCTCGATCTTTTGCTTGTCGGTCGGAAGAAAGCCTGTCGATACAAGCACGGTCTCGGAGACTCATCTAGTGGTGGTTTCATTAGAAGTATGGATTGTCGAGCGTGATTGACCGCGAGCTAGAAAATTATCTGCGGTGGAGCGGTGTTAGATGAGAAGATAATAGAGTTGTACAGCGGAACATACTTCTCGGCGATGATGTCTGTGGGAAAACTTGAAAGATCTTTTCCATCCAACTCGCAACGGGTTGGAGCTGCGACGCCGTTCTGCGCTTTCGTTCTCCTGGCTATGTTCATAAGGGGGCGGGTTCTCCATGTTCATGGGAGGTATTCGACTGTGGGGATCACAAGGCACAAAAAATTCCGAAATACAGAAACATAAGCAGAATACGGGTATCAGAGGGGACGCGGTAGTACAGCAGGCAAGACTTCAGAAAGGAGAGACGGGAGGCGATGGAGCATAGTTGATGTGTATCCTGCGGCACAGCAGACAGGCGCTGCGGCGAAGCTCCTCGCACCTCATTCGCTGTGCTGGCCAAATATAACGTGAAATTAGGTGGTGATCTGCCCAACTTTGCCGAAACAGAGTGTTGGGTTGGTAGCACAACACTGTCAGAAACTAAGCATCCTATCTCGAGGCTTAAGTTATGAAGTCGTTATTGCATGATAGACGAGTGTTGATGCGAGGCCGACGCTGGGAACCAGCTCCTCCACCGTAAAGCCAGCATCAGCCTAGCTGACATGCTGTTCTCTGGAGACCGAAAGGACGGCGATTCAGTGCCGCAATTATCTAAACCGAGCGGCGGTTATTTTTCTTCCATGGCAATCGGCGACAGTCAGATGTGCCATCTCGACGATGCTGCAATCCTCAGCCAGGAAGACCGACCCCAAAGAAGCTAATCATCAGGAGCAGTTCAGCCTCGGTTCCGGGCAGCTTGCCTGTTTTTTGACTGTTGCACACCAGCGGTTGGCTGCATCACGTGACCATATGTGTTAAATGTAAGCGTGTCTTTGTATCCTCTGTGAAGCGAAAAGGAAACAAAGAAGAAAAAGAAGACGAAGGGTGGGTGTCAAAGCTCGGACTATGGGGCTGAATAGGTAGGTCCAGCCAGCATTGGTTTTCGGCCAAGGCGGCAGGCTGGCAGAGGATATGCGATGGGAGATGCGGGTCCCTCCGCGGAGCATTTGAGGGTAAACATGGTGAAAACCCATAAGTGATCACATTTGGCTGAGTCTGCAGTTTAGTGAAGGTGGATCTTCTCCCTGCGCGCGTACCAGATGCCGTTCGAAGAAATGTGTTGTGTCTTCCACAAGGCTGTGCGCATTCGAGCGCAAGGGAACACCGGCCTTCCCCATCGCCTCCGGGCTGGCAAGGAACAGGCACACGAATCGCTGTTGATATCGAGTTGCTGAATTTCTTGATACGATGCGGGTTGTGGTGGTAGTGGCAGGCAGGAAATGACGCGGTTGACAGGCGGCGGGGCACATGGGAGCTCGGGAGCACGGACCACAGCCGCAGTCGCATCGCTTGTCGCAGCGCGACCGTCTACTCTCCATCCTTTGCATCAACACCGCCATGGCCGCGACACGCCCCACTACGGCGCAGGCTGCGCCGCCGCCGTCGCTGGTCGTCGCAAAGACCATGCTCACAGCCGCTCTTATGCGCGCCGACCCCGTTGCCGTCGCCAAAGACGACATCCAGAGCTTCCACAGCCTGCTCGACGCAGCCCTCCTCACCTGCTCGCCCGCCAATCTCCAGGTTTGATCTCAATCCAAGAAGGCCGTAATCGCACAGGCTAAAGCCCACGCCCCGCTACAGAAATGCAAGGATTGGCTACTGAAGAACACTGGGAAATCCACCAAGCGCCTCGACGCCTTGGGCAAGTACCTGGCCCGCCTGACCCAGAGCTTGGCTGAACCGACCAGCCCCTCCAAGCGTGATGCGCCCTCCAGCAGGCGCAAGATCCTGCACCTGCTTTACCTGCTCCATGATCTCGTGCATCACGTCAGGGCCCATGACGCCCAGCCCGCCCAGCTGACCAAGCCTCTCGAGCCGCACCTTGAGCTAATCTTCACCACTGCCCTATCGCTCCAAGCCTCTGGCAAATCCAAGCTGCGCCAGCGCCTCGCTAAGCTCACTGAGCTATACCAAGACACCAAACTGTATAGCGAAAGCTACCGCAGTCGCATATCTAAGGCTCTGAAAGATGCAACTGTCCCAGCACCCGCCAAGTCTGCGCCACCGAAAGATCGCACAACCAAAGAAGCACCCTACGTCCTTCCAGCCTTTCATGGAGAGCCTGATGGTCCGTGGTACGACTTGCCTGCCGGTGCTCTCCTGCCGCATATTCGTGCAAACGACCCGAGGCCCATCAACCCTCACAATATCAAGGCAGTGGATCTGAGGAACAAATCCGTCGAGATAGGCCTGATAAATGCCGTCAAGGATCTGTTGGGTTACTCGGACAATCTCTATACCGACGACGAAGGCATTGTGGCCGACATCGACATGATGGGCCAGCCGCTGGTCCGCGACGAGCTCACTGGTGAGCTCACTGTCACAGAGGGATATTATGGCTGGTCGGTCGACTTTTGCGAGAGCATGAAGAAGAGGAGAAGGGAGGCAAAGTCAAGAGGCAGGTCTGGCAGGAGTCAGAGCAACTCTTCCAGAAGTCGGAGCAGGAGTCTCAGCGGAGATCGCGGCAGGAGCAGGTCTCGTGAGAGGAAGAGGAGGTACAGTCCATCCAGGAGCAGAAGCCGCAGCGAGAAGCGTCGACGGGACACGAGTCGCTCGTACTCCCGGCCGAGGACGGGCCTTGGTGGTGGTCGTAGAGGCTCGCCTTCACGATCTCCCTATCGTTCCCGTTCCCGGTCCCAAGGTCGGAACCGCAACTACCGCCGCTCACCTCCGCCTTCCTACAGAAATGGACCTAGTCAATCTCCTCCATTCCCTCAGCAACCTGCGCCTCACCCATACTCGGCCTCGGGTCAGCCTTTCCCTCCACCGCCTCCACCTCAACAATTCCCTGGTCAATTCCCAGGCTTCCCGAACTTCCCTCCTCCTCCCCCTCCCCCGCCCAACTACAATGGGCCTTGGCCACCGCCACCACCGCCGCCAATGGGTGGTGCCAATGGCAACTTCAATCAGTTCCCTCCGTTCCCTCCACAACAACCCAACATGCCTATGGGATATCCGATGCCGGGCGTGCCACCTCCACCGCCGCCATCCAACTATCCACCTGGCCAGCATTGGCAGCAGCAGCAGCAACAGGCCTGGGGTCCTCAGGCCAACAGTGGCCAACAATGGCAGCAAAATAACGGGTACGACCGCGGTCGTGGAAGGCGGTATTAGAGGCAGGGTTGCATTAAGGGCGACTCAATGAGGATCTTGGGAGTGGGGTTCCGTCAAGCTACACTCCAATGTAATAATATTTTTTTTCCATTCGAACACCAGCGATTGGTTACCAGCTTAGGTAAGCTCGGGAGATTGAAAGAGCGTATTGCAAGCTGGTGCGAGGTTAAAATCCGATACATGGGAAATGGCAGTCTGGCGTTGGCTGATCTGAAAAGTTGGCTAAAATTTGGGCCATATTCATTTGGTTGGTCCTGGAAGTAGCGAAACAAATGGTGAAACTCTTTGATCATAACGTGCCTTGCAAATGTGAGTTGAGATCTTTGTGAATTAAGACTCAGCGACAATAATGGATAAGACAGCATGACTCACGGGAAACGGTACGATGCAGTTATCTATAGCCTCTGCCGCTAGCCTTTGCCGGTTGTTCATACCCATTTTTACCTCATTACGCTGGTGCCTGGCTCGCAGAGCAGAACCTTTCCACGGACGGACAAAGGAATGAGTCTATCCTGACGGCAAAAGATCTCGGAACAGACAAAAACACTTCGTTTCTTCACTGTAATAAATCCTAACGAACTTAGGACTCAAATATTTGGCGGAAAGGCCGACGATGAGGGAAACAACCCGAGATCGTTTACTCGAAACACATGACAATCTGCACAGGCACATGCACATGCTAATATCCCGGCAGCTGATTCCGCCAGTTTGTCCTTCCGCGTGACTGGTTACCTGTGTGGCGACCCGTGAGGGATGTTTTTACACAGGTTGTTCGCGTAGTATAAAAAGCCTATTACCTCAGCCTTTCTCAAACTTTCCTGACTGTGAGCACTCTAACGCCTCTTCTGCTAGTGAATTAGAGTGTGGCCATGGGTGCGGACTGGCAGAACTTCTGAAGGCGTGTTACTCTCGTTGTCCTGTTTCCGTCGCTTGCAAGAGTTGCGCATTGGAGAGCCCTACCACTTTCCCCTTACTCAGTCATTGGATGTGTGAATCTATGGCGCGGAGATGTGTTTGGTTATGCTGATGAGGTGGATGAGGGGATGGTGATGCGGTGTATCATTAATGGCAGGTAGTGGAGAGCATCACTGTTTCGTATGATGAGGTTGTGGAATCCGTAGGTGCCGGAGGATGACGGGTGATCTGGCGAGACAAAAGGCCACGAGTGTCGGATTTTTCCAAGAACAGATATAAGACAGTGATCCTTTGCACTCCCTCCCTTTGCTCGAGGGGAAAGGGTAGACCAGGTACGCTCCTTGTCATCAATCCAGCGATATATATAAGCATTGGACACAAGGCGTCCTCCCTTTGATTCTGTCATGTGTCATGAGCTTTCAGTCTCGTGAGGTGCTTTAATCGCCGAACAGCCATCACTCTGCAATAATTGTATATCTCTCGCGCCCCTCTAGAAAATGTGACCAGCATGATATATAGAGATTTCAACCGAGATGCCGGCGCACCATTCGCGCCCCATCCACCACTATACGCGGTTCTCCCCAACCCACATCCTCATTTCTTCCCCTTCTTCTTCCCACCCCCCTCCTTCTTCTCCTCCCTCACAAAATTACCTGTCACGACCGCATCCCTCGCAGCCTGATTGATGAGCCTGAACCGGTCCGGTCCCAGCTGTATACCGCCGTACCACCTCGTAACAACAACGACGACGTCCCAGGCGTCCATCAGCTGCAGCAGGTGGAGCACGCGGCCGCCGGCGGCCGACTCGCCGTCGTCGTCGCAGTCCTGGAACTGGGCGCCGTTCTGGCCGCGGATGCGCCAGGCGGTGATGTTGTGCGTGGCGCGGGCGGCCTTCTTGTCGGTGGCGAGCAGGTGGGCGATGCAGCGCTTGGCCTCGTCGACGCTGGTGCAGGCCGCCGCGCGCCCCAGGAAGACCGACTTCTTCTCCGACAGCGGCTCGCTCAGCACCCACGGCGGCGGCGGGCCGAGATCCTCTTCGCTCATCTGCGGCGCCGACGATGGCTCGTCCTCAGCCCCGGCGTCCTCCTCGTGGTGGTGGTGTTCGTGGGAGGTGGAAGTCAAACCATTTTCTTCCTGCTCTTGCATAGCCTCGCGCTCGCGCTCCACCATCTCGCCCACCTCGTCGAGCACGTCGAACACGCACGGCTCGCCGGGCCGGTAGACGCGCGCCAGAACATCGCGGACGACGTCGACGACCTTGGTGCCGAAGCCCTTGGGCACGTCGTCGCCGACGCTCTGCGTTCCTAAAACCGACGGCGGGGCGTCTGGGTAGTCTGGCGGGAAGGACAGACGCAGCGTGACCGACGGCAGCGACGGGAGGCGCAGCACGCACTGGATGGATGATGAATCGTTGCTCTCGGTAGCCGTAAGGGTCTCCTCGTCGTAGATGGAATTTATCGACGTGATTTCATCTTCGAGGTCTTGGTTCATGGCGGACCGTCTTTTTTATTTTTAATTTTGTGTGGATGGGGGTGAGGTGACGTCGGCGGAGCGGGTTCTCGGCGGGCTGCGGGGCTGCGGAGGTAATTTTTGCTCGAGGGGCGGAGCGGAATCCTCGTAGGGCTGAGCCAGGAACTGTCACTTCACGTGGGAACCAATTGATTTTTCAAGGGAGACGGCCAACTTTGGTGTGGAGACGTGTCGGCGAAAATGGTGCCACAATCGAGAGCATCAGCCCACTTCTGCCGCTCCTCCAGCTGCGTGGCCGTTTGATCGCACTCTCCTCCTCATTATCTATACTACAACGTGTGCACATCTCTCATGCAGTCAGACGACAATCTATATCCAACACCGCCAAGAAATGCCAACATATGTACTCGTGTAAATCAGATTCCCGCCTGCGCCAACCTGCTTGCTTCCAATGAACGCAGAGCGTTGTAGATGCCAAACAAGAATGACCAAAATATCTCATAGATCCCATAACCCCCACATGTCCTGAAATCAAAAACACCGGAATTAATCATTGCTGTGCAGCAGCAGGCTTGGAGAATTGATTCGGCCAAGCCATCTTGCCCGGGCAAATATTCTCCTCTGCGTACGCTCTGTAGCGCTCGAGGATATCTGTCGATTCCAGGCCGCTTCTTTGCGGCAGGAAAGTGTAATGTGAAACGATTGCACGGCCGTCGACGACAGCATCTGTCACAAATTGTTAGTGACCCAACCATCAATCTCGAAACTTCTGGGGAACATACGTCTGCCCGTCCTCTTGGTCATGACCTCGGTGAAATGGTACTCGTCATCACCGTTTCCGTTGTGAATGTCGCTTTCAATGATGTCCTCGCCCCAAATGGCAATCATTTGGATACCCATGCGCATGAAATGGTAGTCCAGCGTGTGGAACTTGTCTGCACAACCCCAATCAGCATCCAACATCTGCATAGCCACGGAGACCCCAACTTACACTTCCACAAATCATTGTTTTCCAGGTGTTCAAAGAAGCTGTAGTGCTCCTGGGCCGCGACCTGCCAGTGCCACAGACCCTGGCTGAAAGCATCGAAACTCGTCGTCGCAATCGGCGTCTTCTCGATTGGGTAGTCGTCGGGTAGCGGCAGCCAGCGGTGCCCCTCGAAGGGCGGCTCGAGCTTGTCTTCCTCGGTGATGTGGTAATCCTCGGGTCCGCTCCACTTTGGCAGTTCTGACGGGCGCCAGCGACCCTGCTTGGCCACCTCCTCCGGGTTCGGCGGCGTCAACTCAGGGAAGTACGGCCTGATGGCGCCGAAGCGGTAGTGCATCCAGCTGAGCGATGGCTGATTGACGACATTGGCCGCGACGACAAAGTTCTCCGGGTGCTCGAGCTTGTGTTGCACGAGCGTCGCGATGGCGTGGTCCTCCATGAATACCTACCGGAACGTCAGTCTCCCGCCCGTTTTAGGTCGCGCAATTTACCCCCCCAGTCCCCGTTCCAAAATTCAAATTCCAAACCCCACCCCGCCCCAGAATCCTGGTTCCTGACTGCGACTCCCCAAAAAGAAAATTGAAGAGCGACGTTAACTCACCAGGTCATCATCCATCTTGATATACATTGTCCCATTCTCCGCTAGGTCGTACGCGCTCGCATAATCGATGCCTTCGAACAGCAGGTCCCGCCTCGTGTACGCCGGCTCGGCCGCAACCTGCGCGTCCAGCCACTGCAGGTCCTCCTCCACGCTCGTCCGCGCCAGCCAGATGACCTCGTCCAGGAAGCCGCCGTTGCGCGCCAGGTTCCGCTTCAGGTAGCAGTCCAGGATGGACACGCTGACCGGCCGCCCGAAGAAGACCAAGCCGACGACTCTGAAATCCTTCGGCTTCGGCCACGTCGTGACGCCCTCCAGATCCGTCTTGCCCGTGACCGACCAGTATTGCGGGAGCGCCTTGCCGGCGTGGTATACGGATGTCGAGGATGACGGCGACGACGAGCGCATGTTCCAGAGCAGCAGCAGGAAGCAGGCGCCCGCCGTCAGGAGGAGGATGTTGCGCACATTGAGGCGGAAGGAGCGCCGCCCGTACGAGGAGCCGTAGCTGGGGCTATACGGCAGCCCGTTGCCGATGCCGATGCGGAGGCCGCCCGAGGAGCTTTTGGGCTTGTAGTTGGGGACCAGCATTGTGGTGCCGCCGCGTGTCGTCGTACCGTGTATCGGATTGAGGGATTGCGTGCGGCCGTCGGGACGTTCGAGAGCGAGTGCAATGGATGTCGGGGAGTTGGGATAAGCTGAAGATACAGTAAATGCGCGAGAGATCAGCTATGCCGCAGAGCAGCGCTCAACATAGCTCCGGGGAACGGCGGGTAGAGACAGCGGCGAGAACAAAAAAAAAAGAGAGTGAGAAGGGAGAGCAGGCTAGCTGCAGCAAAAGTAGCGAAGGTATGGTCTGGAGAGCAGGCAGGAGAGGCGGCAATGGGAATAGTGAGACGGGCGTCGGCAAGCTAGCCGGCCCCCGTTGCGCAGCACGTATTTCCTGGGGGGCCCTTCGAGGGGCGCGCTGCATGTGCCCACCGCCCTTGCGCCGTAAGCCACAGCTTCCCGCCCTGTCATCCCTTTCCCACCATCACGCTGCTCGTGTTTACCATCTCACGCCTCCAGCCGCCTCGATGACGGCCTGCGTATTCGTAATTTTTGGAATGCGACATGGCATGATGGTGATGGTGGCAGCTGCAGCATCGCCGAACTGCCGCCGCTACTACCTTCTGTATTGGTTGCCTGAGGCAAAAACTGCCGTCAGCTCGAGTGTCTGTGTGTTTGCTTGTCAAGCTGACTCATCATCCCTGTGAAAATCTATCCGGCATCCCCGACCTCCTTAGGACGTCGGTCCGGCTATTAATATCATCTGCAGCAATGAAGTCGTGTAGCCGAAATGTCCATTTGAGCCCAAGAACACGACATATCTCTAGGAGCAAAAGCACTTGGAAAAGAGCTCCAACTACCTTCGGGCCTGTTGCAATGCTGAGTCGAACGGCCCGAAGATACGTGGGCTTTGTGCAACAGAGCTGCTGTTCATCGGCAGTCAGGGCGTCGACCCAAACACAAACTAACGACGAATTGCCGACACCAACACCCCATCAACAAATTACGAGTCGACGGCAATACTCCGCGAATTACCCTGACCCCATCACTACTGCTGTCACTGCACGCCATTTCCGTCTGTAGGGCTGACGGGCTAGTAGGGGTGACTGGACCAAATAGCGCCCCATGTTCCGCAACCATATGCCGACCGGCTTCCATCCGCTTTTCTCCTAGTCTTGACCATCTACGTACACAGGCGGGGACGGGAAATGAAGTCCAAACTAAAGCACCGCCATTGCGTCACTTCACGCCGGGAACTCACCATCTCTTAGGGTTTGGGCAGCGACGCCTAGTGCTCAAACGACTGCACTGAATTGCATGGGATGAACAAGGCTTACTATAGAAGGGAAAGGGAGGGTTCATCGGATTTCAGGACTGTAATGGATTTTCCCTCTCAGGGGCAGAGAACTACCTAGCAAACATTATACATAGAGGTGGGACCAAGTCCCACACCGGCCCTCTCCTGGATAATTACTATTCGTACTTGAACACGAAGCGTCAGACTAAGCAGACGGGGAAGGAAAGAATATTTCTCGTATGCGGGAAACGTAGGGATCTAATTCGTTTTCAATCGTGAGACCTTTGAGGACAACTCTCAGCCAGCCCAAGTAAGACAAACGTGTACTAACAACGCCTTGCTAAACATAATGTAAGAAATGATACAACGAAGAGAAAGCCTGATTTTTGCGCCTCCCCCTAGCTTATCCAAACCAAGAAGAAGAAATAATTCTAGAAGCCACCGCCCGCAAAGTCTATGTCTTGTACACCAAAGCCAGAGAAAGAATCTAACCCTCCCGTGCGTGTATAAATCTAGGCTGGACACTCGTACATATTGCCACCATTCCTATTGGGAAGAGACACATCAGTCTCTCTTATGAATGGACGGTCCTGCCGACAACGCCCCGCTCAAGAGTTTCGTCAAGCCCGCCGCGCTGGCGCTTCTTCTCTGGTTGCTCAACCACTGGTTGCCAGTCGGCCCCTCTTCATCCCTAGCCGTTGCGACGCTGCCTCTTCGGAATGTCGGTGGTCGACCTGCGAATGCAGTAGGGTCTATGCGTTCCATCTCGCTCAAGTTACTGTTACGCCGCGCAATCGCCGCCCGCCTACCTGCATCATCGTCTTCCTTCTTGTGCAAAGTCTCCGACGGAAGCAGGATAGCCCGATCCAGTGCATACGGAAGGCCTCTGTGTCGTCCACGAATCTGCATCGCGATGATGATGAGTTTCGACAATGTCTTGAATTCGGCCGAAAAGGATGCGTTGATGTTGGGATAGCCAAGAGACAAGCCGACGGTACCGTATGCTGAGACGATTTCGAACAGCACTGAGAAGAGAGTAAACGAGAAGTCGTTTGTGTTTTCTAGGCGGGAACCCTCAATGATTGCGATGAAAAAGAAACCCAAGAAAATGTACCACAGATCGAATGATAGCTGACGTCGCAAGTGAGTACCAACGTAGCTCTGCTCAGCCTCGTCAGGAGCGCTGTGTTCAGAATAGAGACCCAAAGACTTTTCCTCATAGACGTTGGTCCGGCGCAAAGAGATGGCGATCGGGAAGACTGAGATATACATCATGATCAAATACGACACCTGGACGGCTGGGTGAAGATCGGCGATATTGACGCAAGCAAAACCTGCCGTACGCGTGCTTGCTGCCTGGAAGAGGCCATCCAGAACCCGGTAGCCTGGTGTGAGCGACGTGACGGTCTCATCGTTGATGTCGAGGATGACGAAGAATATCAGGTCAATGCCGTTGAGCAGTACCAAGACCCAGAAGAGCCACCAGGTAGCTTTGCTCGGGAAAAGGAGGGTGAAGCAGCGTCTGGGATGGTCGAGAAGGAACCTGAGCTCTTCCCAGACGCCGCTGCCATAGGGAACCAGCTTCTCGGCCAGCCAAATGACCAGCCGCAACATACATGGAAAGCCAGTATTACCGATAATAATGAGAAAGCTGCCAAACAACATGGGCAACACGGCCTTTTGGAAGGAAACCATAGAATCCGGCGTAAGCGTGAAACCGAGATCGTTGAACATTGACGCAGGCGTGAAAAACCCCCACCAGACGGCGCTGATGCCATCAGGTTTCAAGACACTTCCATTGTAGCTCGAGCGCACAATCCAGGGTAGGTGGACAATCATGCCAAGGAGATGGAACCCCACAAAGTAGAATACCAGGATGAAAGCCAGCGTTTTTAATGCGCGATATTCGATGCCGCCCAGCTCTTCTCTCTGCTCCTCGGTCAAATCCACGAATGCTGAGTTACGGCCAATTGTCGGCTGCCAGCTCAGGTATGGTGCGGGATCCAGTTCGCGTTCCCTGCTCCGCGCAGTGACAAAAGTCCTAAAAGTACTTGCGCGACGGCGTATGCCGGAATCTTCGTTGTCGTGGTCCTCGCCCAGGGTCATCCTACGCCTGACATTGTTGAAGCCGGAGCGGAGCCTTCCGCCTACGCTGGCCACGTGTTCATCGGCTGATACCTGTCGCTTGAAAGCTTGGTCGTCCTCATTGGGGTTGCCGGGGTCGACGGTATCGGCCGGCTGGTTCGCCTCATCCCGACCACGCATACTTGACTCGTTGGTGAGTTCGCGTGCCAGGTGTACAGCACCATCCTCCTCTTCAAGTGATTGCGGTTTGTCACCACGGTCAAACTCCCTTGGGCCAGGGATGCGCAGCCGTGTCTTGGTTTTGGGGCGTCTCTGGTTCTCCACGAAAGCAATATGTTGTTCTGCCGGCCGCCGTATCGGAAGACGTTCCTCGGCTGCAATCGAGCGTCGCGGAGGCGGCTTGACGTCATCGGCAAAGGTAATATCCCTGTGGAAAGGCTGAATCGTATCGTTCTGCCCCGTAGTTGAGTCCGCACCAATAGCTGTGGCTGTCTCGGCTGTAGAGTCAAATTGGTCCTTCTCTTCCTCGATTTCGCCGTCGATGTTGCAAGGTGCACCCTGGGCGTGGCCATCCTGATTTCGAACAACAGTGATGGCACGGCCATTGACGCCCTGTTCTTCGTGGCCTATATCCCTTTCTCCCTTGGCTTCGCTCCTTGTTCTTGACCGAGTGCGGTTCCGGTTGCGCGATTCAGCTACGAGTCCCTGGAATCGCTTCTCGAACCAGTACAGGCGCACAAACACAACGAAGGTATTGATAAAAATCGGGTTGCAGACGCACGCGATAAGCATGAGGACGACCTGCTGGTAAAGGTAGAGCTTGTTGACATCGATTGTGTTCAAGCCGCTCTGCGTGGCCGCACCGCTCGCGAAGAAGAGTGCATCGATGTAATCCATACCGCCGGCCGGGTAGAGAAGGATAGAACCGAGAATCGTCATAAGAATAAGATATAGGTCTGCGTGCTCGCGTCAGCAACACGCGCAACCGGAAGCAAGGGCGCGTGCGAACGCGCGGATTGCACTTACAATGAAGCGTGATAAAATTGAAATGCGGGCGGCGGAAGCTCCAGTCTGTAGGCATCGAGGGCAGGTGGCTATGCACCCATGCGCCCATCTCCATCAAAGGGGTGAACATGGTGAGAGCGGAGCGGAGGCGCGCGAGCCGGGGACGCTGCGCTGGTTGTTCGCGAAGGAATTGAGCTCGGGCGGAGGTTCGAGAGCGCTGTTTGCGCGCAGCAGCCGAGTCTTCACAAGTTATGGGGAGTTGGCGGGACTCCGCGGGGTGACAAGGCCAGACGAAGGTCGAAGCAGACGGCGGATGCGAGGGTCCAGGATTCGCTGGATTGGGCAGGTAGATGAGAAAACCGGGCAGCGGTTAGTGTGCTCACAGAGCGCCAACCATGGCGCCTGGGCGAGCGGTGGTTATTGTGGTGGTAGTGTCGCGATAGGAGGGAGGTGAGAGAGCGTGGGCTGCACGCGGCGGGCTGGCGGGCGGATGGCGGACATTAGGCGTATCCGGCGGCGGAGGGCATGTCGCGGCGTGAGGAAAAGTAGGTGCGTAGGAGCGGAAGCGCAAGCTGAGTGGCCGGGTCTCTCCTCAGCGCGCGGGTCAAGAAATAGGCAATGATAATGTCGGGATGAGAGGGCGGTGGGTGCTCCGGGCGCTGCGTGACGCAGGGCTCAGGAAAAGGGAAGCACTGCCAAGTTGCCAAGCGCGGCCGGCGACTCAGCGCGCCTTCCCGCAGTGCCGCAGCTGCGTAGCCGTTGTTTCGACCCGATTCTCTGTAGAGCTGCGATGCCGGCCGCTCTGCAGCCCGCCGAAACCACCACACGCGGGGAGCCCTCTCACACCATGCACCCCAGCAGCACGCCACAGTCCCCCACGCTTTCGGGCGAGCCCCGGCCCAATCGCGGGCGAGCAGATTGCAGTACCGCGGACTCCGTCGTCATGTCCTCCAGCTAAGGCTAGGGCTTTACGTCCATCACTTATCCCTTTTTGGACCCCCCAGCGCCACAGACGTTGGGCACGCGCAAGATCCATCTCACTTTGCTCTTCAAGATCGGCAATCAGCCACGTTTGAAGCGAGTCAGCCTCTCGTTTATCACGGCGAATTGACCTCATGGAGGCCGGCCCTTGCCAAAGCTCAGTTCCGTTTCGCATGCTCGGTTGCTGATGTGGGTCAGAGTCGCATATTGCCCATCCAAACCCTGCGAGAAACTACTGTGTAAACAAACACCAAGATGTAGGCACAGAGTTGACATCAAACCAATACACCCAGGCGTGAGCTTCGACTGTCCACGTAGTGACGAGGTGGAAAATACCTCATTAGACCGGTCAACCTTTGTTGACAATCTACTGTGCTGCGCCCGCTTGTGTCGATGGTCCTGTTCACCGCTGGCCTCATGCGTTCACCTACATCCATCGTGCTCTACAATAACGGGCCGTCTTGTAGCTATTGTACACTCCTTTTGTCCGCTGGCAACGTTCTATTGGCTGACTTGAGGTGGTCAATTGCATGCGTCCAGCGAGGTTACATACAACAACGTTACCTACTAACCGTCTCCCGACTGCAGCCGTAGCGGACGTGCCGCCCTGCCGTCCGTCGGCACGCGCGCCTTGGCGGAAAAGCCCGCACTATGCTCCGCCTTGCGCTAAACTCATGTTTTTAGGATCGGAGAGCTTCTCAGTGATCCCCAGACCCTAGGCGTTCTCTCACACGACCCCGACGGCATGCAAGGCCGCCACGCGGCTTCGCTGATTTAATCGCGCTTGCATCGGCTGCCCATGCATAGGAGCTTGACGAAAGCACGCTGCACGCGAGCGTCTTCGGCACGCACAATCTGCGGGGAAGCAGAGAGGTGAGCCCACCTCCAAGTGGGTCCCTACACCACCGACCACTTCTCCCTGCCATTGGGTCGGTTTGATTACAGTCACCGCCGCAGCGTTCCAATCCCCACGATCTTTGTGCCGCTGACATGGCGGTGGGCACCGGAGAATTTGAAGGATCTAGACCTTCTGCATGATAACAATTCGGGCAATAAACGATCGAGCCTAGAGTACAGAAACATGTAGAAAGCAATGCATGTACAGCTGCAGTTGTCTTGACGCTGGAAAACACAAATCCGAAAAGCCCCACCATTATATGCCGATCGGTGGGGGTCACGGGTCGGTTCGGGTCGCATAGACGCTCTCTTCAACTGGCGGCTCGCGCTCGAGAGAGCCCAGTTGCTACGAGCCATTGAGCGCGGGAGAGTCCGATGACTTCTTCGTCTTCAATGTCAGCGGGAATGGGTAATCTTCCGGCTCTTCCTCCTCACTGTTCTTCTGGTCAGCCTTGTCCCATCCAATATGTCGAGAGGATCATCACTTACGGTAGTCTCCAGGCAATATAATCCTCCGTGCTCAACCCTTCGCGGCCCTCCTGCAGCGAAGCAAAATCGCCAGGTGTCATCATACCCGATCGATCTCTGGGGGACCCGGGCTCCGAGAGCGGGCGCGAAATCTTGACTTCAGCGTTGCCGAAGAAGTCCGGCTCGTCACCACCATCGAAGGCGTCGGGGTAGGCTATCAAACGTCAATAAGATGTTTCCGCATCGTGTCCGCAAATTCGACTTACCTCTGCGCAAAGCCAGTTGGCGGGCCTTGACGTACTCCATGCCCATCCTCTTCCAGTCAAGCAAATCGCTGAGTCTCTCCGTCCTGTTGCGCTGGTTGATACGCTGACGTTTGCTCTTCTTGGTGAACTCAAACATGTAGTCTGAGAGCTGGTTGACTGAGTCATCGACGCCCTTCATCCGCCTGTCAACGATGTAGATGCCGTAGTCTTGGGCATTCTCGATCAGCTCCTCCATATAACAACCGAATCCAGACAAGTTCGTCGTGATACTCGGGACTCCCATGACCGTGCACTCTGCAGGCGTATAACCCCACGGCTCGTAGTAAGACGAGAAAATACCGAGATGCGTACCGCGCACGAAATCATCGTAATCCATGGGCAGCACGGGATTTGCGGAGTTCAGGAATTCGGGATGGAATACGATCTTTACCCTATCTGTCGGGTGGTTGAAGAGTTGACACCGGCGAATCTGGTTGAGAATTGGATCATCGTGGTCATTGACCATGTTGTGTGTGACAATCGGCGGCAGAGTGTGACGCTTCATAGCAAACAACCGCCGGCGAAGCATGATCTTATCTGCCGGCGTGATGAGCTCCTTGTCCTCGGGAAGCTCCATGCCTTCGTGCCAAGCGAGCGATCTCTCGAACAGCTTCTTTCCAACGTTCTTAGAGATCACGTCAATCGTGTCGTGCAGAGACTTGATGACGGCCTGACCCTTGAGAGCCTCTACCGTCAATGACTGCGTCTGGGCAGGCATGATGATGAAGGCCACGACAGTCATGGTCGAATTGGCGCTCTTCATGCGGTGATTCAGGCGGGCCAGTGACTCGATGAACATGTCCACACCCTTATTCCGGTACTCGTAGCGACCAGCAGTGAAGAAGTAAAGAGTATTCTCCGGATCGAAGTCGTTGTGCCCGTAGAAGTGGCCGCGGACGAAGTCATTGATCTTTATTTTCGCCTGCTGGTGCAAGTTCTGGAACTCGTGCGTGGCCGAGAACTTTTTGACGTTGAGCCCGTTGGGCAGCACTCCGTCCGGCTTGCGCTTCAGGAGATGCTCGCTCTCGTAAGCAGTGATGTGCGAAACGGTGGTAAAGACGTCGGCCGAATGTGCCGCACCCCTCTCAATGCAGTATCTGTGGTAGATGCCGCGCTTGCCTGCTTCCGCATCCACATCAAAGTATTGCAGGTTGTTGTAGAAATCGACCGATCCGGCGCACAGATACCGGCCGAGGAGGGTCGCGTGCGTGGTGAAAATGGTAGTGACATCGATGCGCCTCTTCTTGCAGAGAGGAAGCGCCACTCCGGCGAGCCACTCGTGGAATTGGGCAACGACGGCGCGCTTCTTTTCGTGGAAGACATACTGGGGAGACGTTAACGTGATTTTTGTGCGATTCAAAGGGCGTGTTCACCTCTCCCAGGAACCATGCAATCAGGTAGCCGAAGACGATGGCCTCGTTCGTCTCGTGGTCGCCCGGTGGCGACGGGATGCCGGCAACGGACCAGAGGTCGCCCTTCCACTCGTCAAGGAACTGGTAAGCAGTGCCGGTGTCGAAGAGCAGGACTCGCGGGGCGCCATCAATCAGCCAGCGACCATAGAGTGTTTGAACGCCGCGGTCGTTCATGTTCTTTATAGTTTGGGCTAGAGCCGGGTCCTTGGGCTCCAATTCTTCAACCTCGACTGCGGCCGAAGCGCGATTGAGAGGGCCGAGGAGCGTGTAGGCGGCGCCATATTCTGCTGTCGTGACCTGGGCCTTGGACTTGAGGACCGAGTAGATACCGCCAACTGTTTCAGCGTCAGCCAAGCCAATGCGCACAGCCGAGCTTCTTACCTCGATTGGCGACCTCTGTGGCGACCTCGAACAGGACGTGGTTGGTAACGTCTCGCGTTTCGGCCATTGCGATGGTGTTTGTGGAGAGAGAAGACGGCGCTGCAAAAATCAATTGGGCGATTGGCGCGATGGATGCGCAGTCCTAATGGATGGGGAAGTCGAGAGGCTGGCCGCGCGTGGAATGCGCGAAGAAGTTTGTCCCGGGCAGCGTCTCGTATAGCCGAGATTGGGAGCTGAAGTTACGTCGGGCGGCGTCGAGCTGCGCGTGGAGGAAGCGCACAACGGCTCGGATGGAGAGGAGAAAGACAGGTGACGGAAGCAAGTTGGAGATGACGGTCTGCAGAGGCTGGGGGAAGAGCTCGCTCGCTACCAGCTACCCTTGCGACGCGACGTCAGAGGCATCGGGTGAGAGGTCACAAGCCGCACGCGCTCGACCTAAACCCGTCATAGCTGCGGGCGCCGCCGCCGCCTTGCTACAATCGAGGAAGCCCGTCTTAGCTTGCGGCGCTCGCTCTGATGTGGCAGCGGGTGGAGCTTCGAGGTGCCAGCTCTCGAACTGGTGCCCCGGTCGGGCGCCTCAATGTGCTCAGTGCGGCCTAGCCTCCGCTTGTCTGTGCTCGCATCCTTGGCGGCGGAGGAGCCGCGAACTCTGTGCGAAAGCGCTTTCAGAGCGGCATGCCGTTGCGCCGTCATCACGCCAATGATCGTGAGATGCCATCCGGAATGGAAGGAGACGGTCGGGCAATGAGCGCGCAGATCGAGGGCGCCGGGCCCGTGGGCGGGAGCTTCTCCACCTCGCCCAACCTGGGAAGTGTGGGGTACTCGTAATCGCCCATGGGCAAACCGGGCCGATGCTGGCGGCCGCCTCCCAACACTCAGGCACTGCGCGCAATATCTGAACGCTCCCACGCTCGCCACACCTGCACCAAACCGTGCTCGGGGCGCAACGCCGCACACCTCCTCTCCGCGCCTGGCCGCGTCTCCTGCAGTGTGCTCAACGCGATTTGCTTTCAGTGGGACGCGGTGAGAAGGCGGTGACTGTGCCAACACTCAACGCGCTATCAGCCCACGATGCCATCGGAATATCCGCTCTCTTATAGGTTACCCACGACTCAAGTTCGTGCGCCAGCCAAGAATCACTGCATATGGGATCTCCGATAAAGATGGGGCTCGGTTGCCTAGGGTCAACATTTTTTTTTTCCCTGACACCACAACCACTACAGCCGGTGCAAAGTAGTCTGGCCCTCGCCAGAGATATCCTGATACTGCACCTTGCTTACGTAGTTCATTGAAGACCACATACAAATTTAGAATCACTTCTGACATGTGCTGCATGCAGGGACGGCCGTATTGGTCGAAGCACATGCAAAGACAAAAAACTTTTACAACCCGCTGTACAACACTAATCGAGGCTGCGGAGCGAGACTCCGGCGCACCGACCAAAACATTTGCCTCAAGTGCCGGTGCTGATCGAAGCTTAATCCTCGGCACCTGCGTCCTACGTACCCGTTGACGTGTCCGTGAAGAAATTTTCCTATCTATGCGCAGTCCTGGCGGACTTTGAAGCTATCCCCATGTCAAAAAACAAACGTGGTATTCTAACTGAAGCCGTCATCGTTTTCCCTGGCCAACCCAATTGTTCATGAACAACACATTGAAAAACGCCCGTTCCCTTGCGAAAAATGACATCAACTGCGAACGGACCCGACGCACTGGACAGCCGTTCATCAGACACCACTCCGATGCACCTGGGCTCCACCGTGTCGGATCTGCACTGTTTCCCTCCGTTGCATGACAATCAGTGCTCTGTTGAGCGCCTGTTCGCTGTAACCCTTTGCGTCCACAAATTCTCGCTTGAGCGTCGCTAGACTGGTGGTCCAGCCAATGGGCAGACGTCTCCTGAGCTCCTCCTCAACCTTGTTAACCTCTTCCATGAGTTCCCGGCTGCCTTGACCCTCGCCCTGAGTCACGGCGTCCATGGTGCTAGCCAGGAAGAGACGGATCGCCTCGTCAACGTGCGCCTCGGTGGCGATCGGCGACAGCGTCATCTTCGCCAAAGACTCTGTTATACGAACAATAGCCTCGAGCTGACGCACGGTGATGGGAATGGATGACCGAGCATTGGCAGTCATTTCAGCAGCATGAACTTGACGGCGAATGCTGACGAAGTGCGAAGAGAGCTTTTCGGCTGCCTCAGCAGAGAGGCGAGGTGCGCATTTTCTGAAAAAATTGGTTAGAAATAGCCTTCTTGAAACGGAGCTGGAATACTTACTGCTTGCAATAGCTGATGTACCGCTTCATTTTATCGTCTGGGATCTCAACTTGCACCTGCTCCTCGACGCTACGGCCACCCATGTGGATTCCCATGACGTGCTTGGCTATTGTCTCATCGCGGCCACGCTCATGCTCATCGCGGACGATGAAAATCATGTCGAAACGTGACAGGATAGTCGTCTGAAAGTCGATGTTTTCGCCCGGGGTCTTCAGGTCATCGTACCGTCCGAAGATAGGGTTTGCAGCTGCAAGGACCGAGGTCCTAGCATTCAGGATAGTAGTGATGCCTGCTTTGGCAATGGAAATCGTCTGCTGCTCCATGGCCTCGTGAATTGCCACACGATCCTCGTCGCGCATCTTGTCAAACTCATCAATACAAACGACACCACCGTCCGCCAGAACCATTGCACCGCCCTCCAGGTAGAACTCGCGTGTATTGTGATCACGCTGGACCGAGGCCGTCAAACCGGCCGCAGAAGAACCCTTGCCAGAGGTGTAAATCGCAATCGGCGCGACCTTCTGGACGAACTTCAACAGTTGTGATTTGGCAGTACCTGGGTCACCGAGAAGAAGAACGTTGATATCGCCTCTCAGCTTCATGCCGTCGGGCAGAATCTTCTTCGAGCCACCAAAGAGGAGACATGCAATTGCCTTTTTGATATCCGCATTACCGTAAATCGAGGGCGCAATGCAGTCTGCGAGAACCTGGTAGAGGTCGGGCCTCCTGCTCATCTCCAGGAATTCCTGCTCTTCCTCTTCCGTAAAGGTAGCGTTGCCTTTCATGGTGTGATCGACGTCGGATTGGATGCCGACGGCCCGGAGGTAGGGGTTGCGGATAGCAACGGCAGTGTTACCCTTGCCGCCTTTGTTCTGGTAGATTGAGAACACGCCCATGACGGTGCATTGCGAACCAGGCACGACTCTGTTGCACAGGTACCGATCGGCCGAGACCAAGATGTGGCGAGGCAGTTCTCCAACCGGGACCTGGTCCGGAGCTTCCTGAAGCTTCAGGACTTGTTGGTCGATGAAGGCGCACTTCTCGTGGACGACGAAGTAGGGATCCAGCGGGCACTTGTCAGCTGTGTCACCCTCGGTCCTTTCTCTGCCGCAGGTGCGCGGTAGCGAAACGCCGGCGAAGCCACTCGTTACTGGCAGGGTCTGTGAATGTTGGCAGTTGCGGCATTGTATGTGAAGCGTGGTCGCTTTCGAGGTCAGGGTGGAGGCGCCGATGACAATGCCTGGTATCCTCACAAGGTGGGAGACATTGGTGGCGTTGAGATCGCGGATGGAAATTCGGGACGCGGAGGAATGTAGGAGGAGCTGGTGCTGGGGAAGATTGATATTCTTCTGCGAAGGATAGACGATACGCTGGGTACAAGTCTTGAGGGCGGTCTCGAAGAGAGGAATGAGGTCGGCGGGAGCAGTGGTGAGCTTGTGGGCCAGCTCTTCGTTGTAGGAGATGAGGTGGGCGATGTCAATGTCGCAGTAGTACTGCTTGATCAGTGCATTCTCGCGAATTTGATCTCTGCAGAGGGTCAGTAATGTAGGGAGTGCGAGGCAAGAGCTGAGCGCACCTGTAGATGAAGACGTTGTCGATGTGGAAATCAAGGACGAAATTGACCAGCAGCTGCTGAATTTGAGAATTGGTCTTCTCAGACTCATCGCGATCGGTGCCAGGCAGGCCGAGGCTGAGTGTGTACGTGCTCTGGCGATCCATTGTGATGTTGTTTGGGGAGTGGTTGCTGTGGTGTTGCGGGCGGGCCAGAAGAAAAGGCGAAAGCCCGGCGGATTGCGCGCGACGCGTCGCCCACGCGCCTGCACGCGCCACGCGTAAAGTGGTTGCGGCCAGCCCCGCTAATCCATATTCCTTGCACGCTACAGAGGGGTGATGGCTAGCGCGAAGAATAGCAGGGCTTTAGAACTATGCCCCAGCTCTGCCTTAGAAAAATAACACATGTGGGTAACTGAAGCTATCGTCCGAACGAGAATTTCGAATTAAAAATTCTACATACACGTCCGGACCATAGCTTCGGCTACCCATGACATGTCATTTTTCTCAAATTCACGCTAGCCTTCGGCTGCGAGAGGGGACTGTAAATACCATTGCGTCACATCTTTAGCGAATGAAATCCATTGTTCTTCTTTTTTGTCTCCCTCGGGAGAAATCTCGCCAATGTCCCTTGCCATTCTCATGGCCGACGAGCTGCACACTGGCTGATATTCCAAGTATCGAAATTGCCCCTAGTCGCCAACGGGAGCCTCCTTTCCCGAATACGACCTGTTACCTCGCATGCGCACTTGCTCTTCCGTTCCGACCACTAAGCTCACGAACACCCTTTCGCCACCCACCGTCATGGATGGGGCTGCAAAAACCGGATATTTCTCTTTCTCATCGCAACCAACCCGCCATATCGCCAGTTCTCCCTGCTTCGGCGCACGCACGGCATGCTCGGTGCCGCCGTTAGAGCTCCTCACCAATGCAGCCACCGGCGAAGGTTCGTTTATGAAGAGCGTCCCTAGGCCGGCAAGCGGAGCAACTATGCGGATTGTTGGCGTTCCATGGATTCCTGCTTCATCAATGGATGGCTCGACTTTTATTGAGGAAGAGGGCTCGACTTCCATTGAGGAAGAGGGCGAGACTTCCGTTGAGGAAGAGGACTCGACTTCAATTGAGGAAGAGGGCGAGACAGAGATTCGATTAGAGATGCAGGCGGGCCGGGCGGTAGAAGAAAGCGGGCTGGTAGGTCTGGCAAGCGGCGTGGGTGTGCTCGGAAGCTGATCTGAAGCAAATTGTTCTGACCTCGGCCCATCTGTAAAGGGCGGATCGTGTTGCAATGGCATATCGAGAGGATCCGGTGATGCTGAATATGACGTGTTTGTTTCAGAAAGGCGGGAGCTGAGAAGCGGGTAATTGGCACCGAAGATATCGATACTGAGACTGCCCCGTCGGTAGGATGGTGGGGACGATGCCACTGACGACGTACTTCCTGGCAAATCTCTACCTGCAGGAGCATCTGCGTCCCCTGAGGGATTTGAGAGTGTATGAGAGGTTGGTGAAGAAGTCGCCGGCAGGTGCTGGAAGAGTGGATCGTTCAATTCCACCGTGTTGTAAATTTTAGGTCCTTCAGTGGGTGGCGTTGAATGAGCGTATCCAGACGAGCAGGGCTCATGACGATAGTCATTAGCAGCGGAAGGAGGACCTGGCTGTTGAATTTGGCCAGGACCAGGATACCACCATTCTGTGTGCCAGAAGTGGCGTGGGGCGCCTTCCATCTTTGGCACACGGAACTTGACTGACCTGACAGTGAGTTCGTAGCAACTCCTCTCATCGACTCCGTCATCTCCTCCTTCCATCCACTGTCTTCTCACATGGTCCAATAGCCTCGCAAGCGGCGCCCAGAAAGCAGTATCCAGGTGCTCTCCCTCCAAATTCCGGTTCACCCAGTCCTGAAATTTGACTTGGTGGGTTGGCGGTGACTTGCACGTGCAATCTCTATGTACTGCATCGGCAAGGACATCAATATCATCCGGTTCTGTTGTTATGCCAGACGCGTTGAGGTAAACCGGTGAGAATGTTCCTGCAATGCCCTTTCCAGCGGCAAGGTTGTACAGGTGCATCTCACTACTTGTCTGTGTCTGAAGAGATGTATCGAGTGCAGGGCCGCGGTAGATGAAGTCCGAGGTATGAATAGCGCGGGTGAGGTGATGAGGATAAATGACTCGGTCGTAAGTGATGAAGACAAGGTCTGGGTTGTCTGTAGTTGTGCGGGGCTCTCTCGCGGGACCCATTTCCTGCTCCATATTGTTTCAAATCTGTCGAGGATCTTACTTCGAAGGCCTGCGGATAACGATGTGCGGATATGGATTCTGTTGTTGATGATGGATCGTTGTTGTTTTTAAGCGCCTCGACTTCTCAAATAGACCCTAGAAACCGTTGGTGCATGTGAGCGTACCTTCCATTGCGGTGTTCGTGGATGGGTTTGGAAGCAGCGAGACAACATGTCCTTCCGGGTCGATGAGCTTCGATACCACCATTATCATTACTAGATACTAACCTTGAATGGACTGCGATCAACAATCAATTCTTATCCCTACAGTTCGAAAGATCAAACAAGTGTCTTAATCTTTAGTAGCTAAGCGGGTCATAGCAACAAAACAGAATAATCTACGCTAGCATAAATACAACCTCAATTTTCAGGAAATGAAGTTGAAGGGGGTTTGTAAGATCCTGAAATTGCGTGGGTACTAGAAAATCACTTCCGAACATTGGTATATGCATCCAGATACCTTTTTCAAATAGATGATTCAAACGCCAATAAAGGATTCAACGGCTACATGCATCGCATTTCATAGACTTTCGGCAGTGACAAGGGCGACGGCGAAGTGGATATGTGCAGACACAGGTGCAGAATAGTCGAATTTCTCCAAAATGCGATAGATCTCCAGCTTTTGTCTTTTAACTGAAGCTGCTCTAGAAGAGGTCGCCATTTCCATATGACCCAGCGCCATCTTTTGTAATGGCGTTGGCACGCTCCAGAACGTACTCACCGGCCCTGATCGGCGGGTATTTGGAAGGGTTGTCTTCGGAGATGCAGTTCGGCAGAGTCTGAGGCTTTCCATTAGCCAGCCGCCGGCTCGCAAGGAAAAGGGCCACTTACCTCAACAAGCTGATCGTAGTTGATGCTGAAGAAAAACGGAACACTGTATCTCGCCTCCTTTGTCCTGTTCACCACCCTATGCACCGTGCTTTTGTACATGTCGTTCGTCCATCTCATCAGGAAATCGCCAACGTTCACGATCAAACCTCCCTCGACCTTGCCGACCGGCACCCACTTCCCCTCCGGACTCAGGATCTCCAAGCCAGGGGTGCTGCTCGGCAGCAGCAGGGTGAAGCATTCGTAATCCGAGTGAGCGCCCAGACCAATCTTGTCATCCCCTTCCTTGACTTCCACCTCCTTCTCTTTCGCGGGATAGTACATCAGACGGGCAATGCCGCCGGGGTGAGTGGTCATGGCGTCGAAGTAGGTCTCGTCCAGATCCAAACTCAGCGCAAATAGTCTGAACAGATGCCTCGCCAGTCCGAGAACGCGGCTGTAGTAAGTCTTCACGCCCTCGAAAAAGCCGGGCAAATCCTCTTCCTTGGGCCAGAGGTTGGCCGTCTCTCCAGGTCCGAGCTTGGAGCCGTCCAACTCGACGTACTTGCCGTCGCCGCCGGTCGAGTCCAGCTTCTCCTCGTAGCCCCAGTTGAATCCCTCCTTGCTCTCGGCGCCGTTGCCCTCGACGAAAGTCGTGTAGGCAGGCGGCTCGTAGCCACGGTGCAGGGTGCTTTGGCGCATGTGGATGGCGTCCTTTTGCTCGGGGGTCAGCTCGTGGAAGAAGCGGCGCGCCTGGTCGAGGATGCCGGCGCAAATGTCGTCGGCGATGCCATGGCCGGTGATGGTGAAGAAGCCCGAGGTGGTACACGCGGCGCGGATCTGGTCCGCGACGGCCTGGCGGGCAGCCAAGTCGCCAGAGAAGGAGGGGCTCAGGTCAATTGTCGGCACAGTAAAGGGCGCGGCTTTGGCTGCAGCTGCCTTGCCCGCGGCCAGGCGAGACTGCAGGTAAGATGCCGCACCTTGGCGAGCGGCCTCGGAAGTCGCCTTGTCGAAGGTGGGGACATAAGGCTGGGATTGGACTGAGGCAGCCATGGTGCCGCAAACAGTATTAACGGATGTTTGGCAAAGGTTAGATGGACACAGCGTCGTGTGCTCTCCTGCGTCTCCCGGTTGATCCGTTGAGGGGTGTGTCGGGTTGTAAAGTATTATTGCTTTAGCAAAGGAAGAGGTCTTGGTGCTTGATGTTTTATGGGTGAAGGGTGGGGTGGTGAGCAACGACAGCGATAGGTCAGAGCATATCGCGCCGTCTCAATGGTGCCGAGGCAGTTTACGTCATCCACATTACTACCCTTTTCGGCATCTGCTGCCGACGACGCCCACGTCCGCTCGGCGGCCGCCGATGGTCCATATGCCGGTCTTCATAATACACTTATGTCGTAACCGGCACCTTGCGTGCGGGGAAGATTCGGAGCTGTTTGCATCGACCATCGTACACCTAAGATTTCGTGAAATGTTATAACCTTTCTATTTCTTATGTTATTCTTGATTTGAATCCTCCAAGCTCATAACCGCGCCACAGGAAAATCCATCCAGGCCAAATACCACGCAGTCAAACACCCCATCTATGCCGAGTAGCCGAAGCGAGGAGCATTGATGATGATGCCCATCAAGCATCCAGACACGATACCAGTAACAGGCAGCGTGATGAACCAACCAAAGTAGATCCACGCAACCATGCGCCAGTTGATGGTGCGCCACGTACCGGAGCAGAGGCCAACACCCACCGTGGCACCGGTGATACACTGCGTCGTCGAGACAGGGAGAGCAAGCTGTGTTGCCATGATGATGGTGATGGCGCTGCCCAGTTCCATCGAAAACCCACGGGATGGCGAGTGGAGCGTGATGCGGTTTCCCAGGTTGCGCATGATGTTGTAGCCGTACGTCCACAGCCCGATGACGATGCCTGCACCACCGAAGGCCAGGATCCACGTCGGCACCGCCATGTCGGACGCTGTCCTGCCTGTCCGCCAAACCAAGTAGATGGTCGCGTAGGGGCCAACGGCGCTGATGAAAAGTCAGTGAACCCGCAACAACTGCATACCAAGGCGCAACTTACTTGGAAACATCGTTGGCTCCGTGCGTGAATGAGGCGGTGGCGGCAGTCATGACTTGGAGGAACGAGTACATGTACTCAGCACGATTGTCGTAGTGCGCAGCATGCGCCTCGCGCTCGTTGACGTTCCCGGAGAGGAAGTCCTGCTTCTTCTGCGCCGAGACAACGTCTTGTTCTACGCCATGGAGAAATGCCCTCTTTGCGTAGTAAAACAACACAGCGGGGTTGTAGACCGGACCTTCAGGCCGCTTACCCTTGATCTCCTCCGAGATTTCGGCCTCGTTGGCTTTTTGCATTGCCTTGATGTTAGGAGAGGGCCCGGGAGTCTCTCCATCCGACGATATGCGTGGCACCTTCTCGATGTCATCAGGTGTGCTCTGCGACCCTGAGCTGCGTTCCTGCTCTATCTCCTCTTTGGTCTTGTGGCCGGAATAATAGTCTTTGATGTCCTGGACGCCCTCGGGACGCGGGGGAATCTCGCCTCGTCTGAGTAGAAGAGGTCCTTGAGGGATATGGTACCACTTGAGCGTCCAATCGCCGTGAACAACCTTGCGCCAGAGATAGGGGAGGAAGAAAATGCAGACTAGGAGGGCAACACCACCTGCGACGCCGACAACGCAGCCAGCAATACCACCACCGCTAAGGTTGATGCGCTCGGATGCACCCTTCCAAACGATGAGCATAGTCAAAAGACCAGACGTCAAGCCGAAGTAGAGAGGGATTGCAAAGAAGGCGTTCTTCACAGGGTTTCTTCGCAGCATAACACCAAACTTGGTGATTAGAAATATGATGGCACCAAAGCCCCCGGCGATACCGGGTGCACAGATCCAAGCCAGGAACACGGCAGATACGCCTTTGATGGACCAGTTGATACCGTCGACACCGACGGTAGCGATGCCGACCCCAAGCACGCCGCCCATGATGGAATGTGTGGTGCTGACCGGCAGACCGACCCTGGTAGCAAACGTAAGGTAGACCGAAGAGGCGACGACAGCGCAGACCATGGCCAGCATAAGGACCGCAGGGTCCTGATCGAAGATCTCCGTCTTGAGTACCTTTGTCCTGATGGTGTCGGATACGCGAGCACCAACGCCGAGGGCACCGCCGAACTCCATGACTGTTGCTATGCCCATGGCCTGAGCCATAGTCAAGGATCGAGACGACACAGACGTGGCAAATGAGTTGGCCACATCGTTGGCACCTGGGTTGAATTATCAGCGCTTAAGCCATCCATCTTCCAGGGGATGGGGCGGGAGTAAGTACCAATATTGAAGGCATCGAGAAAGGCAAAAATGGTGCCGATAGCGAACAGGTAATCGTACTGATGCAAAGTCATCTTGGCAATCAGTGTGTCCGGATCTGGGGCTAGAAGATTCTGCAATGAAGCTGAGAGAAGCACACGACAACAGACAAGGGCTGCTGGGGTTTTATAAGAGACTTGAATATCAGATCATGTAACAGCTGAGTGCCCGACCAGACGAGCCCGAACACAGCCACCAATAGTGAGCAACTTGCTCGAACGTGCTTTGCCACGGTTGCTTGCGCGTACGAGTCTACGAGGTCCCGCTACGGTCATTGGTCTTGGGGGGCTCTTGGAGGCTCTTGGTGGGTGGGCGGAGACACCAATTACGCCCAAAGCAGCATGCTTCCACCCCGGATCCGCCCCTGTGATAGGGTACCTGCCAAGCTTCCGCCCTTGTCCTGCCTACGAAGCCCAGTCGGCGAAGGCGTCACCGGGTGGCCCGCCAAGAGGGCATCCGCTGCCAAGTCCGCTGCAGGCGAGGAGCCAATGAGATCGGCGCGTCGCACCATGTGTTTAACGTGTTGGACTGCTACACTTCTCGCCTCACCTCGCCCATTACCAAGACCAGTAAGTGCAGGAAGTTGACCCTGCTTTGTCTGGTTGGAGCTCGGCGAAGCATCCACGCTGAGAAGAATGGCTGCAGTTCTCGCTACTGCAGGAGTGCCGCGTTTCCGGTTGAGGCCCACAGATAATGCTCAGGACTTCCCACACGAGCTGCCAAGAAAGCCTTCGGGATGTGTGGGTGTGGTGGTGTGTCCGCGCCGTCTCGAGCTCGATATCACCACATGAAATCCTTTGACTAAATATGAACAAGAAAACAGGCGAGCAGAAGAGCAAATGAGACAAGAAGGATCCAGAACGTGCGCCAAAGATAACAAAGCCGTCCGGGCGGTTTCTCGGGTATCTTATACCGGTATGTATGTACTTCAAGCTGGAGTATCAAACGCCATTCATACTCCTCAAATGTGCAGAAAAGCAAAGCTGCCTGGAAGTGAAGCTTCAACTGACCGGCAGAAGCATGGATGTGCGAGCTGGCATCAATCCAGCCATCAATCAAGTTATTGTGAGTAGCGGGTGGTAAGAGTCGAGGTCATGTGGTTAGAAGCGCAGAGAGCCGCGACATTTGCGTGCACAACTCGTTGCTAGGGTGGTAAAAGCATGGTGAGGGCGACCTCTGAATGTGGAACGCGTCCGGGTTATTCCGTGGATTCGCGGATTGATGGTGGTAGAGACTTTTCAGCGGCTTTGATTTTGCGGCGCAGGTACTGGATGCGGCGTCGGGTGGCCTGCAGCTTCAGTCGCACCGTGTCGATGCGGCCTCTGGACGCGCCCAGCTTCATCTCCGTGTCGGTAATCATGTCGCGCACACGACCGCGGCTGTCGGCGATCTTCTCCTGGAATCCGACGGCGCGGCGCATCAGAGGACACTCCAGGTGGCGAGGAAAGTCTTCGAGGCTCTTGCAGATCTGTTTCTTGATCTTCGCCTTCTCGACGTCTACTTCGCGGATAAAGTCCTGGGCGTCCTCGAGGCATTTGGTCCACGATTCAACGGCTTCCTGTTCTTTCTCAAGGGCCTCTTCCAGGATGGGGAGCAGTTCGATCTTGTGTCTCAGTTCGCGCTGGTCGGCCTTGAACTGTTCCAGGCGCTGGGCGCGGCGGCGCGCACTGGCATCAAGCTTCGTTGTTGCGGCGCGGGCACGCGCTCGGGCCGGAGCCATCGAGGACAGCGAGAAGGTGAATCAACAGGTGGGCAGGAGCAAGCGAGAGTGCTGAGGGCGCGTCGGCCCGAGGATCGGCGTGCGGTTGTATGTAGTGTCGAGCCTGGTTACGCAGGGCAGGTTGCAGAGAGGAGGGACGTCGTGCTGAGCCGAGGAGGGCGTCCAATCGGCCTTGCACCGTGCTCGTCATTGCCGACCCCGCCGTCCGCACGTCGAAGCTCTGTGCCCGCGTCAATGGCACCATCACCAACTGCTCGAACTACCCGGTTCCCGGGTGGCTGCTGGCCCAATTGCCCGTCTAGCGTCGGTCAGATCGCCGTGTCGCGTGTCTCGCCCCACGCCTCTAAGCGGGCATAGTGGCAGCCGCACGCCCTCGAACATGGCCCTTCACGACACATAGCCGGCTGTGCGCTTCGCTATTCTGTTACATTTTGTCTCGACAAGTTGATCTACAGGGAGTGGCTTTATCTTTATGTCTCAATTTGCATTTCAAAGAGAAAGGGTCGGAGAAGAAAAGGAGATACTGGAAATGGAAAGGCACACACAAGCATCCAAAGCAAAGGAGAAGAGAAAAAAGGAGATGCCCGTTCCATCAATCCCCTGAGGCCAAGCAACCGCCCGCAACCTTTGCACACCACCTGCGCCCCCTGTCCAGGTTCCCACCTTGCCATCCACCGAAAACCCCTGCCCCCGCTAACGCTATGCCGCAATATTTTGGGAAATGACATCCGAGAAGAGAGACCAAGCCAGAAAGATTTCCGGGGAAAACCATTTGACAAGAAAGAGAGAGAGCAAAAGGCTCGCGAGAGATAGAAAAGACGTTAAGAAGCCCGAAAAGCAAGCACCTCGATGACGGCCGAACGTGAGACGCCATGCTGAATGACCCTGTGTCCGCTGTGTACCCGCCATCATACTTTTTTGTTCGAATGAAGCTTCCGAAACACCATTCCGAGAGATTAGATCTCGTTCTATGCCTTGTGCCAACCTGCCGCCATGCTCCCTTGCACGCAACCATCCGAACTTCCAGGAGGACCCACGTAAATCGAAAAACAAGATGCCCATCCCACGCCGTCGCTAGTCGTTGCTGCCACCCGAATACTTATTTCCCGAAATAAACTATCGATCCGATGTGCGAGGAAAAAACGCAACGACTTTTGTAGAAGCTTTTTAAGCGGGAGACTTGTTGGCCGGAGCTCCCACGCCGCGGCGCGAGTCGTCGCCCACCGAAAGCTGTCCGAAGCTGGGGGTAAGGAACGAGAACGGGTCGTTCTGGCCGTCCGGAACGCCGCCGTTGGAGAAACCTGCGCCAGCCGACGCCGGAGCCTGGCCGGCCGACGAGAACGCCGCCTCAGCCGCGCGGCTGTCGAAAGGAGAAGCATGCATGCCACCGTTGGGCGCGTACTGCGTGCCCATCGGGGGGTAAGGGCTGGCGGCACCAATGCCGGAAGGAAGGGCATACGTCGAAGGCGGACCGCCGAATTGCTGGCCGGGGAAGCCAGCGCCGGAGCCAAATCCACCAGCAGCACCAAACGGTCCAGCACCAGGCGTTCCAGCCATCGAAGGAGGGCCCATGCCGTAGCTGCTGGGCGTATCCATGGGCGAAGGGAAGGCCGTGTCGGCGACAACGGCAGCTCCGGCACGGCTGGCACCACAACGAAGGCAACTGACGTTCTTGGCAAAGTTGTGATAGCCGCATCCTTCAGAGCCGCACTTCCAATCGCCGGCGCGGAAGGGCACAATGCCGCCGCTATTGCCACCGCGCATGTGTCCCGGCATACCGTGGCCGTGGCCCATGTGGTGGGGCGGACCCATCATGCCAGGGTGGCCGTAGCCGTACGGGTAGCCACCCATGGGATCGCCGGCGGGGCCCCCAGACATCGCAGGAAACGAGCAGCGGAAGCAGGCAGTACGGCGCTGGAAGTTGGAGAAACCGCATGATGGGCAGGTCCAATCGCCGGGACGAGGGCGGTTCTTGCTGGGGGGGAAGGGAGTGAGAATCTCAGCGGCACGATCGAGGACACGGCTAGAGGAGGGCGAGACCTCGATGGCCTTCTCGTTCAAGGCACGGCCGTTCATACACAAGCTCTCGGCAGCCTGGTGGACAAGTTAGCGGGAAACGAGACGCGGACTCGCCGTTTGCGTGGGTGCATTGTGGCCGTCCCGGTCGCGGTTTCATTGAAATGTTATCAGCTGAACGAGACTTACCTCCTCGTGCGACGAAAAGATGGCAAAGCCAGTGCCCGTCGGCTTGTGCTGATCCGGTGTGCGGAGCGTCCAGAAAGCGATGGGTCTGCCGCCAAACTGGGTGAACCAGCTCTCCAGCTCAGACTGCGTCGTGTCGTGGGGAAGACCGCTCATGTGGAGGACCTTGCTACGCTCAGACAGGAACGCGCGTACGTCTGCTCTGGCGTCCATGGGGCGGGTGAGGACGTCGGGGTGCTCGTGGGGAGGTTGCGACTTGCGGATAAGGCCCCTAAGAACGCGAGCGAGTGTGACCGCCTCCTCCATAGCCCGCCTGGGCGACGCGGGGGCCAATGCTTGCAGGTGGAAAGGGAGGTTGTGCTTAATAGGAGCGGAGGACTGGACTGGCTCGACCTCAAGGGCGGCGCAGATGTTGGACAGAGCGCTCGAGCCGAAGGGCAGAGACTCCGGGTGGTGAGCTTGCCAACGCTGGTACTCCGTGCGCAAGTCGAATGTCCTAGAGTGCTGCAGGTAGGGCGGCAGCACGACGGCCTTGTCCCGAGCCTCACGGGGAAGCTGCACCCGAAGATCCCACGAGTCGAGTGTGACGAAGGCGAATTCGAGGTTCTTGGAGAGGAGGTGCTCGTTGGCGAACTGGTCGAAGCGGTTGATGGCGTCACGGAAGGAGCCGGAGTTGCGGACGTGCTCCCAGGTGAGGGTCGTCAAAGAGGCTGGCGGAAGGGTCTGCGTTAGCTGGCGGCTTCGAGTCAAGGCAGATGGGACTCACTGCAGAGAGGGGTGATGGGCGTGTTGACGGGCTTGACGAGCACGCTCTCGCGGTGCAGCTTCACCCAGGTGTCAGCAAAAATTTGCTCGCATCAATGGGGCTTCCGGAAGCACACCTCCTCGCAGGACTTTGCGTCCAGCAGGATCCATCCCAGCTCAATGACCTCGGCGGAGTCCTTGGTCACGTACACGCCATGTTCGTCACACGTCGTAGCTACGTGAATGACGACGTAGCGGTCCAGATTACTTCCCTGGGGCGAATTGGTAGCCATGATGCAGTCCACGCGGGTCCCGGGGCAGCGGACGGTGTTGCAATGGGGAGGAGGGACGGAGCGGTGGGTGACTAGTCGGGAGCGCCGGCGGAGAAGGGGTTGGAAAGAGACAGCCGCAGGGATCGAATGAGCGTCGTCGGCCGAGGCAGCTGGCAAGCGCTGGGTTGTCGCAAGACACAGGCTCTACGCAGTTCGCCAGCGGGTGGCGTCAGGGCAGAAGCACGAGATGGATGAGAGGCTGCCGGTGTTGGAAGAAGCTGGAGTGGTGAAGTTCTCGCGTAGCACGGCCGGGTCGTCAGCCAACTCTACTGTCGCCCCAAAAGATTGCCCATTGCCGCATCGAGCGCGTCCTCGTCATATCACGGCTCGACGGAATCGCACCTGAAACATATTCCCAGCGCTCTTATTCGCACGCGGGCTCCGCGTGGCTCGAAAGACAGCACCCAAGCCATGGTACACCCATGGCCGCCGACTGCGCGCGCAGCTGCCTTCGGTCGCACGAGCACGGCGCCGCACGCCTCGATGGCAAGACGCCCAGAGCGGCGGCAAGCAAGGCCGGCGCTGGGCAGGCGGTCCGCATGCACTGCAGCACATGCACACTCTATATCCAGCTGCGAAGTCGCACGGGAGGGATCGGCCTGGCGGAACTGCAACATAATCCCGCACGTTGAGGGCCTGCGGCGCGCCCGTTGGCCGGCCCAGCTGCTAGCCGCTCAGCGGGAGCAGCGAGCGGCTGGCGCGTGCAATAAATAGAACCTACCCTGTTCTCGCAAGAACTCTTGAACCCCTACTACTTTCATGTACATGGACGGTTTTGTCTAACCATGAAACCTGCATCCACTCCAGATATTCGTTTCAGCCGCCCACGTAAGCAGACCACTTACCCCTCACAGTCGTGTTTCGCAAGACATTGCTCGCACAGCGCGTGACGAATGAATTAGGCCCTCTCAACCTTAGTCCGGCCAAAATATTGCACCTTATTTAATGAATGCATTCTGCAATGCTTTGCGTCAACGGGCTCACACGGCTCGAATATTCTGCTGTCTCCTGTGCTCCCGATTTGCCTAGAGGCTGAAGTCATTGTGTAAATCCTGAACCCAGATCTACGTGCGGACATTTGCTTCAACGACACATGAAACAAGCCTACGTTGATCCCAGTGTTTAATTTACGCGCTCTCGCTCGTGCCTCCCACTACGTAGTCGGCTGGAGAATAGTTGGACCCTTTTACGTGGGCAGTCGAAGCAGACGTCCGAACACAAACACGAGTGCTCGCGCTTGTACCAATACATTCGGACATTGGATTCCACCGCCCCCATAAGTAGGGTGCAATAAGGTTGGGCAGGCGTGTAGGCATGACTTTTTAGGCTTTCGCGCCAGCGCGTGCCGAGGAAGCATGGGGCGACGGCGTGGCGGCTAACAGCTGGCGGTCGGTTGCCGCTCGCTGTCCGCTCCAGTAGTGGCTGACATGTGCGACATGGGGAAAGCGCGTCAGGGCCGTACACGTTACGCGTTCTTGCCCGGTGCGAGCTGATCGTCGTCGCTGAGGAAGGAGCGGCGTTTGCGGATTACTCCCCCACCTGAACCTCAAACTCCGCCGCGCGCCGAACACCTTCCTCGCGTTCTCCAACTCTCCCCCTCCTCCCTTTTCGCAGCTATGGGCTGGCTAAAGCACCTCCGGTCTAAGAGCCACCTCAAAGACAAGTCCAAACACCATGGCAACGATCACCATGCCTATCCGCACCCTCCGATGCCAGTCTACCGCGGCCGTGACTGCACCGAGAAGCTGCCCGACAAGGTGCTGCGCCGCATCTTCGAATTCGTATGCCCCCACACCACCGACGACACTTATGAGACGAGCGAGAAGAGCATGATCGGAGATGGCTGCATGCTGTGCGATTTGCGCGATCTGGCCAGCTGCGCCCAGGTGCGCCGCCGCTGGTATGGCGTCGCCCAGGGCTTGCTGTAAGTCTTGCACCTGCATCATTGACCGCACGCCCGTCCTGACGGACATGCAGATATAAATGCGTGCGGATCGATGCCGTCCACTACTGCGAACTTGAGGAAATCTTGGCCCAGAACCGACGCCGCAAGTCGCGCCACGAGGCCACTGACGTGCCGACCGCCCGCCTCCAGCTTTTTGCCCGTACTGTCAGGGATAACCAGTATCTTGCCGAGACCGTCGAGCTGCTCAAGCTGCCATACATGACACGCGAGACGTCCAAGGCTGACCTTGCCCGCACCGTCTCCGTCCTGCCCAACCTGCGCTACGTCGATCTGCCCGACGGATTCTACTCTGGCGACGCCGGAAGCCACACCCTGCGTCAGGAGCTGCAGGTCCGCGGCGGCAACCTTCGGAAAATGAAATACGATGCTGGCTCGGAACAACTCTTTGAAATGCTTCTCCAGGGCTTCTGGCAGCGCATTGAAGTTCTCGAGCTTAGTCGGCTGAGGGTCGAACCGGTGACTTTGAGGCAGATCCTTGCCTGCCTGCCGCATCTCCGTGATCTGAAGGTCTCAGAGTCCCCTTGGCTGAACGACTCCATGTTCGAAAGGGCGCCTAACGTCCCGGAATTCCCGGCCCTAGAGCGCTTGACACTGGACGAGATGCCCGGAATCACGGCAAATGGCTTGTGCGCCTACCTCAGCGGCCGTGAGAACTCGACGCGACTGAATTACCTGTCACTGTCCACAACCGGCGTGACCGTGGACGAGCTCCATACAGTCCTTACTGCTGGTCCGTACATACGAGAGCTAGCAATATCCGGTACGGTATCCACATCGCTTCCGATGCAAGCACGGCCACCCCTGAGGTCGATGATTCTCAGAACGCTCTATTTCGAGATAACCTCGGCCTCGAACGCCTTCCAAGGATTGCAGCCACCGCACTCTTCTTATTATGCTTACCTAATCTCATCCCTCCTTACCAATTCGCTCCCAAATCTGAAAGACCTATACGTCCGCGACCAAGACTTTGCAGAGACACTAACTCTAGCCCCGCCGATGCCGTCATACGCTACTGACGGTGGGTCCGGCACAAGAGGTCTGACCCAGCCCTTGAACATCTACGCCAAGGGGCTTGATGAACTCGATTGGATTTTCTCAACCTTCCAGCCTCCTGACGAGCCAGGCCATAGGGGCAGCTTCAGTGGTGGACGGCCCTTGTCTGCGTACGATGCGTCCAGGGGACTGGGTCCCCAGTGGGGCAACGATAACCGCAAGAGCGTTGTCGTCGGCAACGGGTTTGGTGGGTTCCTGGCTGTTCCGGCGGAAATGCCCGAGAGACCGAAGAGCGCCGGCAGCTGGACAAAGGGCGACAGCTCAGGCGGCCACTTCAGAGGCCACAACAGGGCGGACAGTTACAGCTACAAGAGAGCAAGCAGAGCAGACTTGTGGCGTTAGATGCTCCCGTGCGGCTTGGCGGAGCACCACGTGCTAAAAAGGGGTTCGATGTTAGGGAAGTTATGGATTCGGTCTTTGATGCCTGATTGCTTCGGCGCTGGTAGCTGGAGGCTGGGTCACATTGAATATGCACCCATCTGGCGTTAGGAGGATACCCACAATCAGGATGTAACTTTATAGCACACCATTATTTCGATCTACGCGATCTTGCTTCTGCTTGCTCTTAAGCCCATCTCCGCTTGTTCGCAGTGTTGTTAGGGTAGCATGGGTGTTTTGGAGAAATGGGGCTGATCTTGTGCCCAGATTCCTGAAGCCACAGTGGGTTGAATCACACACCTACTTACATAGGTAGTTGCATTTCACGTCTTGATGCTTCTGAATAAATGTAAAGCCTCCATGTGATTTCTAACTCTTCGGGGGCTCTGAAGGCTTTGGCTAAGATCACTTTGATTCAAAGGCCGTGCGGCAAAAGCTCGGGAGATTTAGATGCCTGAGGCATACCGCGGTAGAGCTAGGGTGGCTTGTCGCGGCCACTTCCACAGCTGGCAGCAATGCTCACCCTCGAGTTCTGACCACGGCGATGATAGCGCGAAGCCTCGCCCGCTCTTTTAAGTAATCTTCTGCGCTCCCTATGCCTCCGCCCGCCGCGCATCCCTCTACCGGATTCCGACAATGCCCTCGCGGCCAACCTCCCCTCGGAGGTCCACCGACAGCTCCGAGTCGCCCTCATCGCTCTCTTCCAACCGCCTTCAGTTCCCCTTCCCCCAGCAGGACTGGACCCGAAGGCCAAGCTCCAGCCAAAGCGCGCGCTATCAGTCAACGCGTCGCGGCTCAACCGCGAGCTCCATACACTCAATCGGGGGAGCCTTGGATACCTCGTCGCAGAGACACATTGGGCCGGTGACCGAGACAGGCCAGAATGGTGGGGCATTCCGCATGCTAACGTGCGTGTAGCTGTAGGCTGACACTGCGATAGCCATTTCAACACTACTGCAGCCCCCAATCGTCCGCACGGGGCTGCTGCCCTATACCTCTGCGCCCTCCGCCGTCAAGACTCCTTCCACTAGAGACATTCCCCCGGTCACCCTAACGAACGTTCCACACGTTGAGCCATCCGCCTTCAAGCCATATCTTTCGCAAGTGGGGTCGTTGTATGATGCATTCCAACGCGCAAAGTTAGACTCGGACAATGTCGCCGCACAGCTATTCCGCCGCGACTCCAAGAGGGATGAGTTCACCGAGATACTAGAGCGTCGCTTGAAGGACCAGCAGCCTGGGAGACGCCCCTCATCCCGGCAAGAATCCATCAGCTCGCTTTCGCCCGTGGACTCCCCGCGGAGGAGGTCGAGCGCAGGTGCTTCGAGGCGTCATCCATCAGCCGTCACGCCGCTGACAACAATCCCGGATGTATACTTTCAGGAGGATTTCCACCTTGAGAATCCGCGTACATTCGATGTGGTGAGCGAACGGTCGGAGGTTATTCAGCAGCCGCAGGGCACAGATGGCTCAAAGGACGCCAATGGCTCCGCTGAGGCCCCAGCACCCCCGAAGAGGAAAGCTCTTGCGACGAACGCTATCCTTCAGGAGAAATTGTCTTGGTACATGGACACGGTTGAGATCCACCTGATTTCCTCAATATCAACGGCATCAACGTCCTTCTTCGCCGCCCTGGGCTCCCTGCGTGAGCTTCAATCGCAAGCAGCGGATTCTGTGGCACGCATCCAATCGCTACGAGAAGACTTGAACAGGCTTGATCGGGATATGGCCATCGGCGGTCTGAAAATTGTGGGCATGAAGAGACGTAGAGAGAACCTTCGCAAGCTCAGCGAAGCCGTGGATCAACTCCGGGCAGTCGTTGATGGAGTTGCACACTGTGAGGACTTGATAGAAGATGGGAAGTTGGAAGATGCTCTGGACCGGCTGGACATGCTCGAGCTACTCGTCTCTGGAGAGCTCATGCTCACAGGATCGGACGATCAGGAGTGGCTTCCCACCTATCTTCCACGAGATCTCATCGATCTACGAGGGCTCAATGCTTTGGATGGATTCTCGGACGGCATGATGCAGCTGAGAGCACGGGTCGGCAAGGGCTTCGAGTCCAGGTTCCTCGAGGCTCTCATGGGCGACCTGCGCCGGCACATCAAGGGCGTACCCAGCCAAGACACGCTTCAACGATGGGCGTCAGCATCTCTCCGTACCAGAGGCGATAGCAGACCGCCTACTGCCCTTCCTGCATACCACAAAATGGAGGAAGGGTTTCGTTCGAACATGCTCGCCATTCTGAACGGCTTGAGCAGGTCTAACCACACGCCAGTAGCTGCGGCCGCTTACCGAGATGCAGTCACTAGAGAGATGAAAGTTCTCATTCGACAGCATCTTCCCAGCTCCACAGATGACGATGCTGAGTCTACCATCTCCTCGTCGACACGCGCCAGCAGCAGGACTTCTCAGCAGGAAAAGTCATCCATTCTCGCACGGAATCTTCGCTCACTCGACTGGGAAGATGCCGAGCAACTCTTCGTTAATATCTACACCAATGTAGGTGAGGCGCTGCGGAGACTGAGCACACAAACGAAAGTGCTTTTGGATGTCTCAAGCGGGACAGCAATTTCTCCGGGGATTAGGTCTCCTCCCAAAAGCCCCAACATTGCGAATATGGACGGCTACCTCAGCAGGCCCATCTCAGACGTTCCGGCTCAGAATAGTCACTTGCAGGAAGAGCTCATGCAGTCCTTGGATATGTCCAGTCTGTTAGGGCAATCTGTGGACGCGGCGCAGAGTCAAATCACGAAGATCCTCAAAGTCCGCGGGGAGCAGTCGGTTCGGCTGCCGCTACAACGCTTCCTCCGGTACTTCCTCATCAATAGACTGTTCGCTGATGAATGCGAGGCTGTGTCCGGACGATCCGGGGCTGCGCTTAAAGGCGTTGTGGACAGTCAGATCAAGCAATTCGTCACAACAATGGGACAATCGGAAAATCAGACGCTCCGCCAGACCATGGATGCCGACAAGTGGGAAGCCAAGGACTTTGGCGACCACGAGACTGAGGTACTGACCAGGATCCTCGAAGCCATGCATACCGATCCCCCAGAGTGGACGAAGAGCAAGATGATCTGGGAGAGTGTCCCCACAACACCGGCGAACGAGACCCACGGTACCAACGGCGAAACCAATGGGACAGCCAAAGCGAGGAATGCGGTCATCAACGAGGAGAAGTACGTACTGGTCAACTGTGCCATGTTCGCTCTGGATGGGATTGATCGCTTCGAAAACCTCATCGCGGTCATTCCCAGTATTACGTCCGAGGTTGCAGTGACTTTGGTGGACTACCTGCGCACTTTCCAATCTCGCACTTGCCAACTCATCCTCGGTGCCGGAGCAAAGGAGAGCGCGGGCTTGAAAAGCATCACTACGAAGCATCTTGCTCTAGCGTCGCAAGCGCTCAACTTCATCATCGCCCTGATTCCCTATCTTCGTGAGTTCATCCGGCGCCACTCGTCCAGCACGTCGCTTGCCGAGTTAGACAAGATGCGGCGTCTATACCAAGACCAGCAGACGAATATCCACGACAAGCTCATCGAAATCATGACGCAGCGCTTGCATATTCACGTCAACGCAATGAAGAAGTTAGACTTCGATGCGGTGGCTGATCAGCAGGTCAGCCAACACATGGAGACGCTGACTAGAGAAACGAATACGTTCCATCGCACACTGAGCAGGCATTTGCCCGAGCCGTCGGTGCGGTCGATCATCACGCCTGTCTTTGCCAGCTACAGGGAGCAGTGGGGCAAGGCTTTCCGGGAAACGCTGGTGCGGACAGGTGCTGGCAAGGCAAGGTAAGAAGCTTCATTCTCGCAAAACAACGCAGAGTGTCTAACAAAGCGGCAGGTTGTTGCGTGACGCGGAGCTCTTTGAGACCAAGCTCAACAAAATTGATGGCTTTGGCGACATCGGCACGTTCATGACCGACATTGTCAAGGAGAAGGTGGTCGAGGCAGGCGCCACTACTGAGGCAGGCAAATAAACTTCCCTTATACCCTTCATCTCTGATTCGTTTTGCTATGCGGATACTGTAAACTATATTATTCTTACTATGGACTTCGAAGAGAGAGGCTTACTGCATTGGCGAAGGCGTTCGGACCGGTTGCGGGTGGGTATCTTCCTCGGCTGGCTACAGAGACGGGGAAGATGGAGTTTGGATACCAATACCAATTGATGGGTTATCTTCAGCTCAAAGCTTCTTAAGTTGGCCAGAAATTGCTCACTAGAAATTTAGCATGCCCTCGGTGGCGCTCGCGGGCGATGACGCGTAGGTGTTGATGCTGGCGCGCCGGGGCGCGTTGTCGATGAACAACCTCACCTGTGCTCAAACATTCACCTCACCTCACCTTCATTTAACACAGTCTTCCGCCGCCGGGCTCCTCCAATTGCGCTAGTGCCTTTTCGCACGGGTCAGTGGCCTCTTCATGCTCACTCTTCCTCAGCACCCTCCTCTTCCTTTCCTCTACATCTTCTTCCCTACACCATTCGCCCGCCCGTGTCGCAACCGCGTCGCGCGCATGCCCTCATCCAAACAAGCTGAACCTCTGCACCGATCCTCTTCTCGCAGCATGGCAACCCGCAAGGGATTGCTCCCCGTCACTCCGGCCAGCCTGGCGCCGGCGGAGCTCACTCAACACCTTGCCGACATCGAGCAGGATGCCACACCGAACCTCACCAACGATGACCAGCGCCGCGGCGGCGACCGCATCAAGGCAATCCGCAATAGCCTGCTCCGCTTCTTAGGAATTCCCCCTCCTTGCTCACCCACGGATTCCGTGACGCGCTTCGTGCCGACCTCGTCCGTTAGCTCTTCTTCCAGCTCCTCCAGGGCCTCATCTCGTTCGCGCGATGAGCTACGCGCCGACATGCGCCGTGTGGTGCCGCCGGCCGAGCTTCCATCCACTAGCCACCAGATCGCCTCAGGCAAGCCCTGGCCTAAGGGCAACAACCTTTTCCCCTCGCCTAGCACTGGTCACTCGCGCAGCTCAAGCGACGCCTCGAAGTCGACTCAAATGTCCTTCACTCTCGCCACGGTGCCTGAGCTTAGTCCCAGCAAGAGCGAGAGCCGCTTCGACACGACTAGCACGCGCAAGCACGTTAGCTTCGCGCCCACTCCCGCTGAGGCGAAGAAGCCGGAGCGCGCCCTGTACGGCCCGCTCGAAGTCGACAGTGACTGCTTCTCCTTCGGCTCTGATTCCTTCAGCTCTGACTCCTTCAACCGCGTCCCGGACGTCACCGCCGTCGAGACCACCAGGCAGGACCCGCTGCTCTTCAGCAACATCATCAACAAGACCGACGCCGTCTTCACTGGCGAGCCCATAATCCTCAACCACCCGGTGGAGATCGATGGCTGCGGCTTCAACCCCGTTCACGTGCCCTCAAGCCTGGAGATCCGCGAAAGGAAGGCCGCCGAGGAAAAGCGCAGGCTGGAAGAGGAGAAGAAGTGGATGAAGCTGCAGGAGCACAGGAAGGCACAGGCCGCTCTGAGGGAGCGCCATGCCATCGCCAGGGAATGGCGCGAAGAGAACAAGATGACCGAGGGCGTGAAGACGCCGCCGGGTTTTCCCAGTCGACAGGGCAACCCGCTCGCCCCGCAGCATCAGCCGCTCGTCATCGAGGAGGGCTTATTCATGAAGCAGCGCATTGTCGTGGACGAATGCAAGTCCCTCAGGTATGCCTCAGCCCTTCGCCCTGCTAATAAACAATCCGCGCTGACCCTCGGCCTCAGCAACCTGACCGTCCTTACTCGCGGCCCTAAGAGCGACTCTGCCAGCGGCAGTTCCGAGCGCAGCTGGAAGACTTGCTCCTGTTCCGCATCCCCTCCCGCGATCCCCATCGACGGCGTCCGCAAGCCCGGCATCTACCTTCCCGCCTCCGACTCACGCAACCACATTGGCCGCGATGATGGAGAGCATGGCAACAACCACACCTCTCCGGACTACATTGCTCCCGAGGGCCCGGTCCACAACAATGCCCTAGGCATTACGGGCGACGAGCAGTACGACCACGAGAACAGCTGCGCACTCGAGAGCTGCAGCACCGTCGGCTTTTCTGCCGGTGGCCGTCGCTACTTCTGAATGGCGACGCGCAGGGCCATCAAACCGGTCCGCTCTCCACGTCGTCACTCTCGGCTGTCGAACCAACACTAGCATCATGAGCATTCAGGATCTTCTTCTTTTCCTTGGACAAACGATACCATGAACGACTTTTTCTCGATACCCCTACCGGCATCCGCCGCTTCGTTTCTTTCCTTTCATCATTCTTTTCACCAATGCAACACAACCGCGAGTACACGAACTTCATGCGGACTTTTTTCTCTCTCTCTTCATAGCAGGCATCTGCCGGACTTTTCTGTTTTCTCGCGTTTCATACAACTTCACGCACTGGAACATTGAGGAGGGAATAATTGGGACATCTGCACTGGTTCATTTTGAAGGCCATCGGGATTGGGTTTCGCGTTGCATAATGGCCTTGGGGCCGGCACTCTTTTGGGGCACTTGTTGATTTCTCTCTGAGTCACTTTCGATACACTCTTTTTGTAATCTGGTTTCTCTTTGGTTGGGATGAGGGTTATGCATTTGAGCAACCAGGCGGTCCTGGTCAATTTTCCTTGGTACGATTTTCTATAGTGGAGGTTTCAGTATTTTCCAACGGTAGCATGGCTATAGCTACAATTGATCCCGTGTTCAAATTCAACTTCGTGGTCAACAGTCAATGCATACGTGAGAACACCAACGATACGACAATTCAAATCACAAAAATATAGGAAGAGTCTAAGGTTGAAAGAGAGATTCTACTGATCTGCGGAATATGATGACATCGATTTTGAACAAACCCCAAGGACAGGCCAACGCTTTGCTAACTACAAAGGACCCTGGAATTTTAGGGCAGCACAACGACTCATTATTAATGGCCGCTACAGATTTGACTCCCCCTCACCCAGATTTTGACTCCCCCCAGATTTGGTAATTCGATATATATATAAAGCAGAGGCTGCTAGAGGCTCCAGCAGCTACAACACCATCGCTTGTGCCTCCAGCAGCTTCGCTCACCTTGCCAGCAGCAGCAGCAGCGACCTCTAGCGACTCTTAAGTAGGCGAGGAACCTCCGCGCAAGAAGAGGCTTACCACCGTAGTAGATACTATACGAGACGCAGATAACCACCTAGATAACGTATCCTCGCAAGTTACGTTGCCGCTGACGCCTCCGGGGCTCCAGTTTATACACTATAATAGTAATGGCAAATGAGGGTTGGACAAGCGGTGGAGGCGTATAAGGCTCAACACCATGCCAAGTATCGTGAGCAGGCATAAGGCTTATAAGGCTCGTAAGAAACAACGAGGGGGGGGGGTTATTAAATGGGCCTTTTTATAAAGCGCCTACGCGAGTCGTACGTCTTAGACAGTTCTCAGTAGCTACAGGTGACAAATATATGGAAAAGCACGAGAAACGACCTCGCCTATATGAGTCATTGGGGAGGTGATATGAGTGAGGTGGAGTCAAATTCTCAAGATGGGGAAGTCAAATTTGTAGGCACCAGATAAAAAGGCACAGCTAACATTCCAAAACATAACCCGAAAGCGATGTGTATGGGGAATAGGACATCATTTGATTTTATGCTAGACTACGGAGCCGTTTACAATCATCCTGAAGCACCCTTCATTGTCCGAGCCAAGCCCAGCTGAGTCGATAAGCCTCCACAGTTTTCTTTCTCGAATGAATTGCTCCTCGTATTGTGCATTTTGTTCGACAACGCAACTAGACTATGGAGTATGCGGCGTTTCTTATTCCGTCTTGCGCAGAACCAGAGCGTTGGACGCACTCGAGCGGAAGTTCGAGATGTCCAAGAAGTCCTTGAAACCAACCGCAGAACGGCGGCCGCCCTCGCTGTTCTTCCAGTCGACGTACGCAATGATATCATCGATAGCCTCATTGATGTTGTCGAGACTGAAGGGGATTGCGCTGACATTACCGCCAGTGGTGATGTTCGCCTGGAATGTGACCGTCGTGTTAGCGGCGGAGTAGGTAGTGGAACCACTGTAACGGCGGCGGCGGCGGCGAGGAGCCTTATCAGTGTCGCTGACCTGTCCGGGAGGAGGGCGCGCGCTCTGCTGACGAGAGCTGAGCATGGAAGCCTTGCCATCCGACCTTTCGGGCTCGCCAACATGAGAGGCACGCTGACTAGTGGGGAAAGGGCGAGGGTGCATCATGGGGATGTCAGGAACTTCAGGAGAGGAGCTGGAACGCAAGCTCGAAGTTGGCGAAATTGCAGTCGGGCTAGACTCAGCCTTGATGCCGTCCGAGGGAGAAGCTGCGGCATGGACGCTGGTCAAAGTAGGGTGACGTGCGGCAGTAGAGTTGGGCTCATACTGCTGAGTGGGCTTTGATCCGGTCGGAGTCGCGTTTTCGAATTGGACAGCATTAGGCTTGATACCGTACTTTGAAAGGTTGATTCCAACGACCTCGGTTCCGTTCTTCTTCGCGTTCAGAATGAGGGCGCCTTCCTTCTCAATGCTGGGCTCAGCCTCGACAGCCATATTCCAGAGCTTCTGGATCCTGGAAAGCTCGTGGCCGTACGAGTCGACAGTGATCGGTACACCGTATTCGGTGCTGGGGTTGATGAACTCTTTTTTAAGCCAGGTCGCATCGGCTTTGTTGTCTGACTTGATGGCCTTGGACACCTTCTTCAGGACGTGACGGCTAATCTCGAACTGGAGATGCTCCTAGGGAAATTTTAGAACATTTTTTCCAAAGAGGGGAGACAAGCGGATGCCGCTTCGTCCTCGTTTTGAAACGGGAATAGGGCTGCTTTGGAGGTCGATTAAGACCATTGTAATGGCTTACCTGGTCGGACATGGTGGCTGACCGTTGAGGCGGAGAGCTGGTGATCGAGGAAGGCGGAGTGTGAGAGTCGTTGTTGGAGTATTTAAAGCGTCCGGTCGAGCGCACGTCCGCCGCTGTCTAATCGGGCAGGCGCGTTGAAGTTGCGTCACCGGTGCTTTTGCAGAAACCACCCGGTCGCGGCTTCCGTATGCGCCTCTGACCCTTGCCTGATGGGTAGTTGAAGCTATCGTCCGGACGAGAACGTCGAATTAAAAACTCTACATACACGTCCGGACGATAGCTTCAACTACCCACATGTGTTATCTTTTTGTCAGATGAAGTCCATTGAGTTTTCGCGAGAGGTCCAATGCCAGGATCCATAATTAGATCTTCTCTTTCATTTCCCTTAGGCGTCACCCTCGATGGTTGTAACTATCTGCTTGGTCATACCGTCAAACAACGGGTATAAAGAACAGCTCGTGTACTTATCAACCAGTGCCCCTGGTTCCTTTCTCGCATCATCTCCGTTGCCTGGCCCAGCCCGCTCAGCGCTGGCCGCAGTGGCCATCTCAGTACCCTGTATGATGGTCCCTTGGGGATAGACCGGCCGCTTGCCTTCCTCTATCAACGTGACGAAAGCTGGATCGATGGGGACGCTACCCAAGAACGGAACGTTGTAATCTCTTGCCATCACTTCGCCTCCACCCTTGCTAAATACGTTTGTGCATTCGCTGCAACTTGGACATACGAATCCTGCCATGTTTTCCACCACACCAAGTACTTTTAGCCCCACCTTGGTGCAGAAATTCAGCTCTTTCTTCACGTCCGAAATACTAATAGCTTGCGGGGTAGTAACAACGACAGCGCCGGCCAGCTGTGACGGATTGGCGGCAGTGTCTTTGAGCAGTGTCTCTAGGAGAGAAATGTGCTCATCCGAGGTGCCAGGTGGAGTGTCAATAAGGAGGTAGTCCAGCCCAGGTGGCCAGAGGACCGAGGACAAGAACTGGCGGACCATGGCCGTCTTCTTGGGGCCGCGCCAGATGACAGCGTCGCCACGGTTTGCCAGTATGAACCCCAACGACATGACGGACAGTGGACCTGCATTTTTTGCCTGGCTGCCTTGACCGACCGTTTGCGCATCGTGAACGGGGACGGGGACCATGCCACCGGGCGCTTGCGTGACTTTGGAGCCCTCGACGCCGAAGAAGCGGGGAACAGACGGACCTGTGAGGTCGATGTCGAGAACTCCAACGGAACGGCCCTGCAGGGATAGCGTGAGGGCCAATTGGGTCGTGATGCTGGACTTGCCGACGCCGCCTTTGCCCGAGAGGACGAGGACGATTTTCTTGACGTTTTCGAGGCCCATGGTGGGAGTAGAGAGGCGAGCAGGCTTAGTCCGGGCTTTGGAAGTAGTGGGCGAGAACAGCGCAGCGAGCGGAGTCAGAGTGCGTCGAGTGGATGGGCTGGGACATTCTCGAAGGTGTGAGCGCGCTCTGATTTCAAAGCCCCGCCGACGTCAGATCGCCCGCGCCCGCCCCTCCAACTGCGAGATCGGCGCCGCCAAGACTTTCCGCCGCCTCCCGCCGCCCGCGTTCCCGCACTCCAGAAAGTCGCTGCCGCCGGCTACGGCCCCCTCACGCCTGCAACTCCTCATTCACCCTGACGCACATGGCCCACTTCGCGCATCTGGCTTTAGGTGCACCATCTACCAGCTTCAACTTTAATAATTTCTCGGTAACCTGAGTCTACCTTATCACAACGGCAGATCCCCATTCCGTGGATCTGGGCGAGTGATGCACACGAGGGGTCGTTTCTTTCGTTTTGATAAGCGCCTGTGGGAGTAGGGCAATGCCCAAGAAGAAAAGAGCCCGGAAAAGTGGCACTACAGGGAAAGTTGAAGCTGTCGTTCGGATGGAAACGCCCGTACATCTGTCAAATTTACGCCAGCCCTACTCCTGCAACTCCTCCAGGAATGGATAATCTCATCCCACGCGCTAGCCACCGGGGCCGTATGCATGCTGCATCTGCAGACTGAGATGGCGGCTGTCACACGCGAAGTCTGATTGCTAGCCGTGATCCTGTTATCAGGGCTCGACCCACGCCTCCCCTTGACATTTGGCTAACACGTTTTGAAACGCTCGTCCTCGAGGGCGGCTGCATTGCCAACACCAACCTCACGCAGCCACTCTGCACGTCTGGAAATGACGGCTGCAGCTGCAGATGCGTGGACTACACGTTGCAGCGCGTCGAACTCGTGTTGAAGCTCGCTTGCAGTACGCGCCCGCCCAGACCGACCGACGAGCGCCGCCAGCCGTTAACCTCCGTCGGCGCCAGGCGGCGAAGCGCGCGGGAAGTCGCCGGCTACACGGCGCGGCAATACTTGCTCACATATCGCAGTGGCCAGACGCTGTTGATCAGCAGGGGGGTGGGAGCAACGGCGGGTGCCTGACGGGCGGGCCGCCGACTGCCAGGAACAGGAAAAGAGCGCAAAAAAAGTTGAAGAAACAAAGAGTGGCTGAAACGTACGGACGCAAGCCACCAACTGGGAGCAAGGTGCCTTCCTTCCCAATCGGGATCTTGGCCAGCGAATGGGGAGGCCAGCCGCCGCTCACAAGCGCTGCCATTGGCCTTACTCCCCACCACGAAATCCAATACACCTACCGGAAGCCGGCCCTCTGCTCTCCGCCACCGCACATGCGCCGCCGTCGCGCTTCCGCCCCGAACAATGGTCCGGCCCTTGAAAGCCACCTGCGCCGCTAATGTACACTGATGGAGCGCACAATATCCTTTATCTTGCAATTAACAATGCTTATATTTTGATCCTTTCTCTTCACTTTCACCCGCTTCGCCCGTTTTTCATTGTTCATATCGCTGGCCCTGGCAGGCTCTTCACGCTCATTGCCCCTCACCACGAGTCTGTGACTCGGCCGTTCTTTTGCTCGTCACTCATTCAGACCTGCCACCACTCTTCTTTTCTTGTGCCCATATTCTTCTCGTCCGGCTCCTTCCGATTCACGCATCCGATTCGAAATGCTCGCCGACAAGCTCTCCTCCGCCGCCGTTCTTGCCGGCTTGACCTCTGTGGCCCGCGCCGTCGACTGGAGCACCATTGACTGGAGCGCCATCGACTACCATGGCCACTACTTCCGGCAGGAGTGGGTCGAGCCGCCCGTCGTCGTCGAGCGCCTGGATCCGATATTGAATCCTGGCCAACTCGGAACCCACGTCCACTCCTTCGTCGGTGCTAACGTCGTTTCTGCGGACACAAACTACGACGACACTCAAGCCGCCTCCTGCAGCCAGGTCTACGTTAAGCCTGACCACAGCCTCTACTGGGCTCCTGCTCTGTACTTCCAGGACCCCACCAACAAGACATTCACCCGTGTCAAGGAGCACCATCGTGTGCTGTACTACTTGTGAGTATCATCCCCGTCCCCTACCAAAGCCAGACGCTAATCGCTTCCCTGTAGTAACCGTGCTGCCGACCCGGATACTGGCGCGGAGAACTTTGACCTCATCGAGGAGTTCCCCGAAGGCTTCAAGATGATCGCCGGTGACGCCAACCTGCGTGCCCCTGCCGCCACCAAGCAGCTGCAGAACTCCGTCGAGTGGTTCTGCCACGGTCCTGACGTCAAGTCCAGTGGCTTCCCCGGCAACTTCACCTCGTGCCCCAACGGCTTCGCTGGCTCCGTCCGCTTCCCTTACTGCTGGAACGGCGAAGAGTTCAACGTCGACGATCCGCATGCCCACATGTCTTACCCCAAGACCGATGCTGAAGGCAACGGTGCTCCTGACAGCGGTCCATGCCCTACGACCCACCCCCATATCCTGCCCCACATCTTCATCGAGTTCTGGTTCGATACGGAGCCCTTTGATGGCCTCTATGAGATGAGCGACCAGCCATGGGTCGTTTCAAATGGCGATCCTACCGGCTACGGCTTCCATGCTGACTTCCTGAATGGCTGGGAGAAAGGAGTCTTGGAAAAGCAAATGAAGGAGTGCAACATTGGAGAGTCTGGCGAGCCGTTGGAGAACTGCTTCGATACCTGGAAGAAAGACGGCCAGGAAGACACCCGTGAGAACTGCTCGCAAAAGCAGTCGGTCACGGAGGAGGTTGACGGCTGGCTTGATGCTCTGCCGGGTTGCAACCCGCTGCAGTACGGTCCGGATAGGGCTGTGATGAAGACCAACTGCGGCGACACCGCAACCCTTGACTCTGATGGCACCTCTGGTGTCGCGTCCGCCGCCGCCTCTGCTGTAGCGGCCAACTCGGCGCCATCTTCCTCGAAGACGTCCCTTGTTGCGACACCTGTCGTCACTGACGAAGCAGTCGCGACCACCGACAGCAGTGGCAACGTTGTCTACGTCACTGTTACTTCATACTACACTGCGGACGGCCCCGCGCCAACAGGCTCTACTGCTCCTGCTGTCTCGGTGTCCAACGAAAACGTTACACTCCCAGCCGGCTGGACCAGCTCAGGCTGCCACAGCGATGCTGTCTCTCCACGTTCTCTGTCTGGGAAGGTGCTCGCTTACTGGGGCGAAGCCATTACTTCGTCTGGCTGCGCGAAGTATTGCGATGAGCAAGGCTTCAGTATTGCTGGAACTGAGTACGGCGAACAGTGCTTCTGCGGTAACGACCTGACCCAGAGTGAGGTCCTCGATGCTTCCAAATGCGATATGGAGTGCAAGGGCTCTGCGGGAGAGACCTGCGGTGGTGAGGGGGCGTTGAGCGTCTTTGTGAAGGACGGGACGAGTGTGAAGAGTAGGAAGAGGAGCCTGCATTTCCGCAAGCACGTTGGCGGCGGTGCAAGTGTCCGCAGAGGTTCTTTCTAAATAAGGCAACGCTGAGATGGCGCAGTGGGTCGTAAAAGAAATCGACTTTCCTCTGCAGCCCACTGCAGTCGAAAATCATAGCGTTGTGAGGACTTTTCTATTTTCTATTCATGTCTTCTTCTTCTACTTCACCTGGCCCCGTCTTTCGGGTGTCTAGGCTTTATGTCCTTCTATGCTTCTTTTTTTCCTACTTGATGATGGGCATACATTGATGATTTACGAGAACAACGGCTTCGTTTCAGCCTTTCCATTCGCTTCGTGGTTGGAATTTGTTTCAAGGCGACGATTAGATAGATGGAAGTGGTGTTTCGAGCTAGCGGACGGTTTTGTGCTAAATTTAGGACAGCTAAGTATGACGTTAGGAATCCTACACCATTTTGGATGGAGAATACCTCTGCCCCAACGTGCACTTTACTAGCATAGCAGTCTAGTTGCGGACGTCACATTCCTTGTTTGCACGTTTCATGCGCAACACTTTGCTCACCAGCCAGAGGCCATAGGCTCCCGTTTTCGGCAAGGGTATGACCAGCCTCTTCCTTGCTTGGCCGCGCTTTAGCCCCCAGCCACAACCCCGCCCACCCCGCGTGATGGTCATTACACAAGACTTGATCATCGTTGCACTTCTTGTTCCTACTACACTCTTCAGCGATCACATCTTCGTTGGCTTTCCAATAGCAAGTCATTAACTCGTTGCCTCTTCGCGCTGATCTCAATATCACTCGCGCTGCCCTCGCGTCTGACCAAGTCTACAGCTACCTGTCTGTTTGCGCCTTCGCCGTCCTGCAACAATCTTCAGGGAAATTCCTCCGCAAGGGTATTTCTGCGGAAAGGATCAGCGCCGTATTTTTTTCCGGGCAAAACAAAGGCCGTTGCAAGAGTAGAAGGGAATCACAAAAACCTTTCAAGGACAGCAATATGGGCATGGAAGAGCCGATCCTCCATGTGCCTCCAGAACTGGAAGACTGGTTCAATCAGACGCTCCTCTCGCAGTCATCACCTCCCTCGCGCCCCGGCCGTCGCGGCGGCCGGCGCGTCGACGCCACCGACCCGGAATGGGACGAGCGGCTTGTGCGCTGCTGGCGGCTGCAGTCGTGCGGGTCGTGCCTGAGCAGCGACGCGCGCTGCGGATGGTGTCCTTACGTCAGTGGATTCTTTGCATCCCTCCTCCTCCATCTTTCAACAACTCCGAAGGTATCGTGAAAAATGGAAAAGTAGAATGCAGACTAACAGAAAGGGCTGGCACAGTCATCAACTTGCATTCCGCTCCCGTCCGCCTCGGACATACCGCTTCGATGGGCGCCTCTCGCGCCCCTCAAACACGCTCACATCTGCCCCTTCGATCCGGAGCGCTATGAGCTGCGGACTAAGTCGTTTGGGCGCGAGAGCTGCAACGTTTCCACCACGACGCTGCTCACGGCTATCGTGTCGTTTTTCTGCGGCATTGCTGCTTTGTTTGTTTTGTTTGGGTTGGGATGGGTGGTTGCGTGGCTTATCAGGGCTGGAAGGCGAGCTAAGAATGGCATCGAAGTTGTTGTTATGGAAGGTGGCTGGCCTGGCGAGATTTGGAGAGAAGAGAGAATCTGGGTGAGGAAGAAGGGCTGGTGGAGGCAAAGGGGGGATGGGGAGGAAGGGGAACGGACGGCCTTACTCGGCCAGAGGTGAGGGTTGCTTGAATTGATATTTGATTTTTATTTTCCGGCGTACTCTTGAAGAAATTAATTTTATTCTGCTTTACTTCCTAATGGATGACATTAGCCTTGAATATCAATGTCCTCTCGCAAATACAGCGCCTCGACCTACCGAGGCATTCGGATGCGATTTAGCCGAACTCCCGAGAGGGCGCCGGCGGCCTTCTTGCTCCAACAGGCATATCAATGAGGAATAGTAAATGGTGTTGAACTCAGCTGATTTGTTCACTATTTTTAGTCAGCAGCCCCACATCGTAGCTAACGGCGCCAGCTCCTGCCCCTCCATGGACGTCACCGCCTTGGATCCCTTCTAGAACACGGATACCCGATAGCCGACGCGGTAGCCGGAGCTTTTGATGTCCGAGTCGGCAGACAAGCGACCGCCGAAGGCAATAATGCCGTCCTATTGCCCCATGCTAGGTCGCGTGGCATCTGAGTCGTGATAGCTACGTATATAATGCTTAGCCCCGCAACGTCAATTGCTTGATCAAACCTCCACTCCTTTCCTGTCGATAAGCATTGAACCATGCCCCTCGTTGTCCACCACCTTCAGCGCTCCCAGTCGGACCGTATCGTCTGGCTGTGCGAGGAGCTCGGCCTGCCCTATGAGCTCAAGATCTACCAGCGCGATCGCAAGACTCTTATGGCGCCGCCAGAGCTGAAAGCCCTGTACGCTCTGAGCAATTGACACGAAATGGAGAGCGCAGCTGACAAAAGATGCCTCCCAGCCACCCGGCCGAAACGGCGCCCATCTTTCAAGATGGCGACCTGACGCTGTCCGAGTCCAGCGCCATCATGGAATACATCATGACCAAGCACGGCAACGGCCGCTTCAAGCTGCCCCCGAGCTCCCCCAATTACGCCGACTACGTCTACTGGTTCGGTTGGTCCGTCGGCACGCTGCAGTCCACCATCCAGACGCCAATGATCCTCCAAATGGCCGGCGTCACCGAGAGCTCCAACCCAGTCGTCCAGAGCATGCAAAACCGCGTCGATAGGACGCTGAAGGCCATGGACACCCGGCTAAGAGCGACGCCGTATCTGGCGGGTGACGAGTTCACCGCCGCCGACATCTACGCTGCATTTACCGTCTCGACCATGCGCTTGTTCGTCCCCTTCCCTCTGACCGGCTACGATGGCATCCTGCAGTGGCTCCAGCGCCTGGCCGAACGGCCGGCGTACAAGGCCATGATCGAGAAGGGTGAGAAGGGCGAGGATCGCGGAGTGGTGCCGACCATCATGCCCGAGGCGCCGACGGCTATGTGGACGTACCTGGAGAAATAGGGTAGTGGGCAACCCCAATTAGCAATACTAGGCCGCAGGGCACAAACTTTGAAAATGAGATCCCTTATGACATGGCTTGTTGTGCGCAACAGTGACTAGATAGAGCCACCGTTTGTTCCACCCTGTCCGGGCGGAGCACTTCAGTTTCTCCCCAAGATCTCCAATTGAGACCTGCTCCGTATGTGCATCTTTTCCCGTCCAACCCTCAGCTCTTCCCGGCGCCTCCCCCAGGAGCTTTCCCACCGCCGCCGCCAAATATCCTCTTGAATCCCCTACCAACAGGCTGCAGCGCAACCCTCGCAAACCACGGCGTCGCCCACACGCTCAACCCCAACCTCAGCGGCAACAGCGCCTTCGTGACCGCCCACGCCGTCGCGACCTCGACCAGCAGCCTGACGCCGCCCTCGCCCCACGTCCACGCGGTACCCGCCTGCCTCCTCAGCCGCGCCCGGTGCCCTTCCTCGTAATCCACCTCGTCCTCGGCCTCGCGCACGACGGCGTCGTCGTCGGCGATCCACCCTTTGCGCCGGAAGTACCGCCCGAAGCGCTCGACGCCCTGCTTGACCCACGCGCCCTCGGAAATGTACGGCGGCAGCCAGTCGGCGTAGTGGAACGTCGCCGCGAGCCCGACCAGCGGCACGATGGCCGTGATTTCGTGCAGCAGCAGGAACGCCGTGACGTGCGTGAGCGGCGCGCTCCGCAGCGGCGACAGGTAGCGCTGGAGTCGACCCGGCACTGTGTGTGCGCACGCTGTTGTTAGACAAAAAGCGGAGAGCGAAAGGCGAGAGAGCGAGAGAGACTTACGGCGCGAGATCACGCGGTCCAGGCGCGATTGCTTGCGAGCCGCCGCTGCTGCGGCTTCTGAAGCTTCGGGCGGAGATGGCGGCTGAGTATTTGCGGAATAAGGTCGCCTGATGTTGGCATTGCGTGTGCGGGGGAAAAGCGCTCTCGGGCGCACCAGTTGGCGCGACAGGAGTGTTCTCATGGCGGCCAGCTGGGGTTTGGAACGAGAGATAGAGGCATGTTGAAAGGTGCGCGTGGGTTGGGTGGGTCTGACGTAGGCAGAGCTTCCATGTGGAGCTTTGACCACACACGCGTAGATACTTTGTCATCCATTTTGTATGTACAATGACAACCAGAACCTTCAGCATCGCGAGAGCTCTGCCAGTCACTTTGCTCTACATTATAATACACCTACTCCTCCTCTTTCTCGTTCACTCAATGTTTCCTAAAACAGAAAAAACGCCTTTCTTATGGTACCAGTTCGCCCCGCCCATGGATATTCCACCTGCCAAACCCCTATTCGTCCAGAAGGAGGCGCCAGAGAGCGTCCTTTTCCACAAAGTCATGATGGATGATGTTGACTAGCCAGTAGTCGTCCCGGATTTGCCCAAGCAGGTTTGCCGTTGCCGACCGAGGCGGGTAGATATGCCGCCACTCTGACCAGATGCTGAACGCCTCCTCGAGCCACGCCCGGAAGGAAACTGACTCGATAATCGTAGGCGTCACAATCTCTTTACCTGCAAAGGATCCCCAAGTTACCGGGTTGACCGAATCCTCGTCATTGGACGAAAACTCTCCTGCGTGGTTGCCCGCAAAGTACGTCACGTCAGGTAGTTCATCCAGCTTTGCTTGCAGCTTCTCCCAGTCAGCTGAAGAGAGGAAGAACTCCACGAAGGGCTGTGTGCCATGTTAGCAGATTGCTAAGAGTAGATCGAGTAATAATTACCTTCTGGAAGACATAGCCATTCTTGGGGCCCCAGCCAAATATCGCATCCGTGCTTTTGATACCATTAACGGCCGGCTGGCTCGCAACGGACCACCACCCCTTTGCAATAAGCTTAAGCAGTTGTTCACGGATCGTCTCTGTCTCCGGGTTCAGCCCCTCTTCGCTCCAAGGTATCGCCTCGAGCTCGCCAACGATGTGGCGCCGGAAAATGTCGGAGATGTCTTCCACGGTTGTCGGGTACTTCCAAAGCCTAATTGCTTGCGGAATCGACACATGCAACGACACTCCGTAGCCGTCAATTTCGCCAAACGCTGTGATCTACGTTAGATATAATGGTCCGTCGTTGAATGCAAATGCACTAACCTGGTGACCTTGCGTCTCCCCACCGACCGTTCGGGAAGTCATCCCAGGTGGCTTCCCTGCCCAATGTTCCCTCCCCTTCTGAAATCGCTAGCGTGTTGGCTCTAGTCATGATCTTGTCCTTCGGAACACCTGCTTCGTCTGCAAGCGCTTCGTAGCTCTTGTTGCTAGACGTGGACGGGCGGTCCACTACGACTCGATTATGCGGGGTCGAGTTCGCCGAAGACAGACGTCTCCTATTCTTGACTTTAAGAGAATCACTCGGTCCACCACCGTTCACGGGGATGTCTTCGATGGTCACCGCTTCCTCGTCCTCATTAGGCGACGTAGCAGTTATCAGGTGGCAGCGCTCGACTATATGAGCAACTGCCTTTTCCAGATTCAGCGTGTAGAAGTGGAAGCCTCTCGGACCTGGGTTTGATCGCGTTTTGAGTTCTTCGACTATCTCGCTCAGTATGTCCACTCCCACACTCTTCACTGCCTCATCGTCACCCTTGACTGCATCAAGACGAGCGAGCATCGCGGGCGGCAACTTGGCGTGGCTGAGCTTGGTTGTGCGGCGGAGGATCTGATAACTCTGGATCGGCATCAGCCCAGGAATGATGGGGATAGTCTTGAACACTCCCGAGGGATCGTTGCGAAGCATGTCCTCAAATTCCTCGTACGCCTTGATGTCGAAAAACAGCTGGGTCATGATGAAATCGGCCCCGGCCTTGGTCTTCTCGATTAGGTAGGGCAGGTCAAACTTGGGATCCTGCTTGTCCGGGTGCGACTGGTCCGAGTGACCCTCGGGGTACGCGGCGACGCCAATGCAAAAGTAGTCGTCGTACTTGGCGCGGATGTAGCGCACCAGATCGACAGCCCAGGTAAAATCCTTGTTCGAGTCGTTTTCCTTATCGGCCTCGCCCTCGCGGTATTCCTCACTACGGGGCGGGTCTCCACGGAGGGCTAGGATGTTGCGCACGCCTAGGGCCTTTGCCTGCTCGAGGGCTTCGTCAACAAGCGAGCGGCTCATGTTGGTGCAGGTCAGATGCAGGCAGGTGGTAAGGCCCAGCTGGCGCTGGGTCAGCTCGGCGAGCTCGAGCGACTTGGACGCGGTGCTGCCACCGGCGCCCCAGGTCACGGTGACGAACAGCGGACGAAGGGCGCTGGCCATGCGCTCCAGACGGTTCTGGAGGTTGGCGAAGCCCTAAACGCGAGGTTAGCGAAGGGTACGGCGACGGGCAGGCGGGCATTGCGCACCATCTGCGTCTTGGGCGGGAAGAACTCGAGCGAAAAGTAACGGCCATCGGGCGGCAGAGCCGCGAGCTTATCCGTAATCTTCTCCATGGCGGCGTGAGGGTCGATGGCAGGGTGTCTTTGCTGAGAAGGACATGCTGGGCGTTGACTCTTCGGCGCGGACGTGGGGCGCGACTTGTAGCACGGCTGCGAGCCCCGCCTAACTGCCGACGCTGGCCGCCGTCCCTGTTGCGTGCTTGCACAAATCCAGGGAAAGAAAAAACCAATCTTTTATATACGTGCGCCTCTCTGTACTCTAAAGTAGCCCTGTATACACCAAAATGAACGCTGCCGAAACCATTCCAGTAGAAATCTAAACGCCAATCCCCGTCAACATGCGCCCAACCCGTGAGCCTCTTGCCATTAGTGTTCCCCGCCCGAATAAGCATTACACCACAGCCTCATCTGAATCGTCTTTCTTGTACATGAAATACTGCACGAAAACGCCCGCATCTAGCAAGAGCGTTCCGAAGCTTCCCAGCAACCAGCTAAGATTGACGAGGAAATACCGTCCGTAGATATCGCCAGCCTCGCCCGGCCTGCAGTGTCCGCCGTGTCCGTGGCAGACAGGCTTATAAGCCAGGATAGAGATGACGTAGGTCAAGTTGCCAAGACAGGCGAAAATGAAAAAGAGCATGGATATGCCCTCTGTGCTCTGCCGCTTGTAGTTCAGGTACAACTGTGGAACCCGAGACCCGAGGTATAGGACACAGCAGATGTAGCCTCCAATCTGGCCCAGCACATTGAATTGTATGCTGTCCTCCCCCTCGTTTGCCGTGTTGTTTTCCGGTGGCTGGTACGTGAAGAGCCAGCCGAGGAAGCCTGCTGCGCACACCAGAATGACAGCGACGAGATTGAAGAGGACGGACTTGAGTGCCGAACGAGGAGCCTGTCGCGCAGTGTCTGGCGCGGGTGTGTCGACAAACGGCGTCGCAGGCGAAAGATGTTCTCCGTCGTGGAACAGCCGCTCGGTAAAGGACGAGAACGACGACCGACGCCTGCCACCCTCAAAGTCGCTGATGTGGGCAGGTCTCGACTGGCCCAGCAGCGCTGAAGTTTCCGACGGCTCTCTCGGTGGCTCATCATCGTCCTCCGGCTTTCTAACCTCATCTTTAAGCGTGAACCCCTTGTAGTAAAAGCACTGCGCGAGCAGAACGATGTCGGCGAGCGTGTAGTAGATGGCCAGGATGATCTAGTTACCATTAGCGATCGTGAACCTCATGTATGCGAAGAAGATGGAGCGCACCATTGTGGGCAGCACCCGTTGCAGCACGGCGCCGACAATGTTGAAGACATCGCCGAGCAGCCAGACGACAATAAAGACGACCGATAGTCCCTCCGCCGAACCACGTCGGAAGTTCTCAATGATCTGTGGCGAGAACACCACGACCCAACATGCGATGGAGATTGAGCCGGTGATGCCGCTGATGGCATCAATGTCGAGATTGAGGCCCTGGGACGGCGGAAACATGACGGCTGTGGAGGCGGTCGCTCAGACCGGGTACGATCCTTCAAGCAATTTGGCGCAAACCTGGGATATGTGCTCAGCTGTGGCCTCGGAGTGGATTTGGGTGTTTTGTGACGCGCTCTGACAGAGGGTGGGAGCGAAGCAAAAGTTGGATTCAAAGAGTCATGGCGGAGACTTGGGACCGGTTACGTAACGACTGGCAACTGGGCAAGAATTCACTGCAGATCCGGGGTACATGTCGGCTACACATTCCTTGGTCGCACATTCGTCATACGCCTCCCGCTGCACGCTCTCGCACCGTATTCTCCCGTCACGGTGAGTCCAGAGATCCATTCACATTCGAACACATTCGTACCTTACCTTCCGTGTTGCTCAGTCATGCTAATTCTACGCTATCCTGCTCCGGCCAATGCAATGCAAAATTTCTATAGGTTGTTGTCCTTCTTGAACTTGTCCCATGCCTCATTCAGCGTCGCAAATACAGCGGCGCTGATCATTCTTTGTTCAGTCGTAGCATCTTGCGATATCTGTCAAAGCCCGAGTCAGCACACTGCACGTCAAGCCAACACTGGGACCGAAACTCACCTTATCCGGGTGCACCTTGGCAATCGCCTTCATGTACACAATCTTGACCTTATTCGGCATGACTAGATCCTGCATGCCGACCTTCTTCCACCCTGCCTCTGGCCACAACACTGTGTCGAGCGATCCCAGAAGCGCCCGCAAATTGTCTGACTTGCTACCTTTCCAAGCCACTAATTTTGCATCGACTTGGTCCGTCAGTGCAAACTTCTCGTCATCAGCCTTCTCGGCCGCCGCGTTGGCTTCGCGCAATTTCTTGACTGCTTCTGCAGACCCTTGAGTTGAAACAGCTGGTCTAGGGGCAGGTCTCGCCGCTGGTTTCTTGGCAGCTGGCGCGGGGCGTGCAGCTGCAGGGCGCGACGTCTGTTGTGCGCCGCCACCCGCCGCTTTCTCGCATCTATTCCGGCCCTGAATGCTGACCGATCCTCCAACACCTGCCTCAACAGCTTCCTTCCAAACTTTGGCTGCTTCGCTCCACTTTTCCATGTTCTCTAGTGCCTCTGCTTTCCTCATCAGAGCTTTGCCGAAGAACTCTTTCATATCTTTCTCTCCTTCCGCACCTCCCATGGCGATTTTCTCTCCTTCGCCGCGCGACGGCCCAATGGTAGACAGGGCAGAGTCGGCGTCAGCTACCGCAGCTTTGGGGTCGCCCACTTTGATATTGGTAAGGGCGCGATTGCAGAGAACAATAATTGCGATGGGATGTCCGGATGGGAGAGGCTGGAGAGCGCTTGTGTACGATGTATGGGCAGCTGCATAGTCACCGCGTTTGAAGGATTCGGTGCCCTTCTGCCTGTGCGAAGCCGAAGTTGAGAGTGCGCTTGCTGAGGCCGGAGGTACTTGTCGTGGGGGCACATGCGGGCGAGGAGGCAATGGCGAACTAGCGGGTTTGGGTGCTGACGGCGTTCTCGGCGCGGGTGAGGCTTTGGGAGCGAACGGGTTGTTCGGGTGGAGCGGCGCAGGCGATCTGCCCGAAGACGGGACGTTTTGCGAAGACGGGGAAAATAAATCTGGTTCAGGCACTGGCTCCGACGGCTTAGGTGTCGTTTTCTTCCGACGGGCAGGGCTGACATAATTCTGTGCCGATTGCTCCTCGACGTCTTCTCGCGTGAGTTTTCCAACACGTCCATGTGCTGATGGAGGAGGTGTTGAACGGTAAGAGTCGCGAATGGAGGCTGGCGATTGGCCTCTTGACCGGGGATTCGAGGGCTGTAAGTCAGGACGGGGGGCGGTAGTCGCCCGGCTAGACTTCTGAGGCGGACCCATGCCAGACTCCAGCATCATAGCTTCATCCGTGACCTCGTGCTCCACCGGAGGTCTGTTCCTGCGGGCTGGCCCATCTCCGGTTGCATGGCTCTGGGCTTCTCTCATCCATTTCGGTTGGCTGGGGTCACCATCCTGCTGGAACTCGGCAACTGCCTTTTGCACTTTTTTCTGACTCTGCTTCCAAAAGCTGTTGGCAGACTTGAACAGATTGGTTCCAAACTCTTGAGCCATTTGTGCCATGTCTTTCTCTTCCGTAGGCGTGCGGCCTTCATTCCTTCGCTGAGACGTCGACCGGCTACCCTGCTCGCGCATCCAGGCCGGAGCGCCTTCTCCCGCATGCTCATTTCGGTTATTTCGCCCCGAAGAGCTTCTGTGCCGCTCGTTCTCCGGGCCCAACGGGCTGGCACGGCCCCGTATTTCTTGCCGCTGCCGGGACTTGTGCTTGGCCTCTTCATGTGCCTGATTAAGCAGCCAGCCGACAGCGGCTTGAATGTCCGTTCCGCTATCTGTGTGGGCCAAGGCCTCCGCAGATTTGTCCGCGGGGAATCCCATGTCCACCAATTCTGCGACGGCGGCGTCGCGAGGGTCGCCGTGGGACGTCGTGACATCGATGCGGTCATTCTGGTGCTGTTCCTCGTAGTGTTGAGGTTCGGACTGGCGCGGAGGAAGCTCAGACACAGGTTTGCCAAGATCACCTAGAATGTCATCATCCTGGTCAATTGGTGCGGAAGCGCTAACTGGCTTTGCAGCCGGCCTCGACGGCAACTGGCTCAAGCCGAACGGATCGTCATCGTCGCCGAATGTTGTACTGTCCTGGCCCCGAGAGCCTGCTCCGTTGCTACCTAGAGTTGCAACCTGGCTCGGGGTAGTCCCCCGGCTTGCTGGGGGTTGCGGGACCGGGTAATGACTCGACGCGTCAACGGGAGCTTCCGAATTGAATGCGGCCAGGATATCATCTTCATCCTGTGATGGGGCAGGAGATGCACGGTGTGCAGGCGCATTGATGGCAGCGAAAGGCTTGTTGATGGTACTAGATAGTGTTGAAAACGCCGGCGGCTGCGCGGGCGGCGGAGCGCTGGCGGCGGCACTGGGAGTGCTCCGGCCGCTGCCCAACGAGTCCCAGAAGGCGTTGTCAGGGGCGCCGAATTGGCTCTCCAGCTGCTTGCGCTGCCTTTCCTTCTCCTCCTGCAATTGGCGCTGGCGCTCCTGTAGCGACAGATTATCTGTTGGCTTGTTCGACTTGGAGCCTAGAAGCGACGAGAAGCTGTCATTCGCAGGGGTCGAGGGCTTCGAGGAAGGCTTGATGCCGCGGAAGGCGACGTTGGAGGTGGGCGCGGCGCCGGAGAGCTGTGACGACAGCGGGCTCGAGCCTCGCGACAAGCTGGGGAGCGGGCTCGGGTTCAGCGAAGGAAAAGAGGGCGTCGACTGCGGCTGCTGCTGCGGCCTCGGTTTCTGGGCGTTGGCGGACGCGGCGGGCGCGTTCCAATCCACGCTCATGAGATCATCCATGGCGGGCGGGAGAGACGGCGGATGGCAGTGCGGGCGGAGTGGTCGGGCTGCAGCACAGAGACATCAAGCAGGGTGGAGAGGGTGGCGTGTTGGCGATGCGCGCGTCTGATGCGGTGCAGTGGACGGCGGACGCCCGCGCAGCGCGGGCGGGCCCTTGCTTGCATGCTCAACTAACGCGTAGCATGGCAACGTCGTTTTGTAGGAAATGCAGCCCTCAAGGCAGCGCAACAAACATCCGCCGCCCTGGCGTCGCACGCAGGGCTCCCGACCGCGTCCCGCCAGATTGCTGCTGCGCGCTGGAGGGCGCCGGCGGCGTACGCTGAGAAGGCCGGCGGCGGAGATGGGGGAGCACGTGACGGGCGGCTTATCGAGGACGGGGCAGGGAGGCTTCCAGCATCTAGGCGACGGCGGAGAGGCCTGCGGCGAGCAAATGGCCGACGGCTACAAACCCATGCGCAGATCATCAGCCCACAGCACCCACCCTTCGTCTGCAGGCCGGGCCAGCGGCGCAGTCCCGCGGACACTCGCATTCGCGCAGCCCGGCCGCCACGGTGTCGGCGCAAGTTTGGGCATACGGTCGAGGCAGGTGATGGGGCCTGCGTCTGGCGACGGGCCGCTCACGGGCGAATTGTCATTTCATTGCACCACGCCCGAAATGGACGGCGCAAGGGGCCAGCGGCGCCCCGGCCGGTGCGCGGAAGCGGCAGCCTTCGCCCACGATCCTCGCCGCCGCGGTGGGGTGGCCAGAATTCCTACGCCGTGGGAAGAACCGGCACGCGGCAAATTGGGCGACCCTGCTGTGGCGCGACAGCGCGATTCATGGGCGTGCGGCCACATGGGCGCCGGCCCAGGAAGCAGTAGGCGGCCGCCGGCGGGGGATGATAGCGACTGCGAGCGCCGTCTGTGTCCAAGAGCCGTGGGCGAGGGCGCGGTGACTGGGCGGGTGGCTCTGCGAGTGGAGGAGGGCCCGATCTGCGGATGCCCCCCAGCCTGCGAACCTACTCTCGTCAGCAGCGTTCCTGCATGTGCACTAGCGCGGTCGTTTGGAGCGGCAGGCCGCCGCAGGTCGACGAGGAGCTCTTGGGACCACCACTTAGCATTAGCCGCAATCGCCCGCCAGATCGTTCCCCCCCTGGCCCCGGCCAAAATAATCTACTAGTGGCCGCGGCCCCGTGCGACAACCTGGTCTCCCGTCGTGCCCACCTTGACAGGTTCGCATCCACTGAAACACTTTCCTCTCCTGCGATAATCTGTTCTGTCGGGAGCGGCCGTCTGCAGAGGGGCTCACTGCTGATTCGCGTCCGTCTCCTCCTGCTTCTTCTGGGTGGGTCCGCCAGCTCAACTCCTCCATCGCTGCTGTTCCTCTTTGTTTGTCACTTGCTGCTGTCAGCCCGAGCGCACCTTATCGTCCGCAATGGGCCTGTTCAACCGCAAGAAGGACTCAAAGGCGCCTCAGCCCGCCGCCCAGGCTACTGATGCTGCCTCCACCATTTCCAACGGCAGCGTCAAACCCGTCAAAGCCTCCGCCAACGGCAACACCATGTCCAAGCCCCAGATCCCCGACATCCCCCTCCCCAAGGCCCCGGACCCGGCTCTCGATCCCGCGGGCTACCTGCGCAGCATCCATGCCGTGCGCGACCGCTCGCGCCTGGTCCTCGACAAGGCCAAGAAGAACCAATTGAAGCACTTCACCGTAGACATGACCAAGTTCAACGACACGGCTGCCTACGTTGTCTCAATCATCAAGGTAGGTGCACAGCGCCCTGTCCCGCCGAGCGCCTCTGACCCGCTTGCCACAGCGCGACTATGCCGGCGACTACGCCTCGATCCCGCCCCACGGCCGTTGGCAGCACTTCGAGGTTGGCGGGCGCCCCCGTATCGATCAGCTCATGGCCACCTGGCCGTCCAGTGTCGACAATCAGGAGCGCACCCGTCGCCTGATCGACCTGTTCGTTGTCTCCGTCCTTCTCGACGCCGGCGCCGGCACCAAGTGGCAGTACCGCAGCAAAGAGTCCGGCAAGATCTACAGGCGCAGCGAGGGCCTGGCCGTGGCAAGCCTGGAAATGTTCAAGGCCGGCCTCTTCAGCAGCAACTCGGGAGAGCCCTGCCGGGTGGATGCTGCAGGCCTCAAGAAGCTGGACGAGAAGGCCATGGCCCGCGGGCTGCAGGTCACGGATGAGAACATCCTCAGCGGGCTTGAGGGCCGCACGAATCTCCTCGTGCGGCTGGGCGACGCTCTGCAGAACCCAGAAATTTTTGGCGCTGATGCTCGCCCGGGCAACATGCTGGGTACGTAATTTCGTCCGTACGCGGCATTCTCCACGCTGACACCGCGCAGATTACCTCCTCTCTCACCCCTCCACTCAGGCCTCCTCTGTCCCGATCGTCCCCGTTCCAACGCTTTGGAAGGTGCTCATGGACGGCCTTGGGCCCATTTGGCCCGCAACGCGCACCCAAATCGACGGCATCTCGCTCGGCGACGCATGGCCCTGCTCGGTGATGCCCTCGCACCCCACGCACCCGTGGGAGAACATCGTGCCGTTCCACAAGCTGACGCAGTGGCTCTGCTACTCGTTGATGGTGCCCATGAACAAGCTCATGAACGTTCACTTCGCAGGAGAGCATCTGCTGACCGGTCTCCCCGAGTACCGCAACGGCGGGCTCCTGATCGACACCGGTCTCCTCACCCTGAAGCCTGAGGAAGCCAAACGAGGCTTGGCGCAATACCAGAAGAATGCGCAGGTCAAGGGCCAGCCGAGCATCGAGGTTGTGCCCATGTTCACCGCGGACGACGACGTGATCGTCGAGTGGCGGGCGGTGACGGTCGGTTTCCTCGACGAACTGCTCTACGAGGTCAACGGCCTGCTTGGCTTGGTGGGCGCGGACAAGCTAAGCCTAGCGCAGATGCTCGAGGCTGGCAGCTGGAAGGTGAGTGCACTGCGCAACCGACGCCGCATACGGAAGCTAATGCCAGACACAGGGTGGTCGAGAAATAGCCGAAGTCTCGCGGCCGAACACGAAAGAGCCGCCGATCATGATCTTGTCCGACGGGACTGTTTTCTAAATGATACCCCTCCTTTCCCTCATTGGCCATTTCCTTATTCAAGGTTTTGCGTCTGGACGACGCGCAGCAGCAGGAGGCTTCATACTTTTTTTTTGTCTTTTTCTTTCGTTGGCGGCTGCGTTGGAGAGCCTGCCCCTTCTCTACGCCACTTTATTCGATTTTTATTGCGCTCCGCAGCGCGTCGACCCGGCGCGCTCGGACCCTTTCCCGAATCGCTTCGCGTACTTCTTTCTTGTCCATATGTTGCTCGCACGTGCTCGTCGCATCCGAAGGAGGGAATTGCTCTGCAGCAGGGAAATTGGAAGGCGAGAGCGGCGGTCACACTTGCTTTTCATACCTTTAGATATCCTGGCGGAGCGGGTTTGGCACGGCATGTCACCGGAGGGTTGGCTGGAATAAATCAAAACTGTAGTAATCCAAACGTACCTAATGATGCGCTGAGGTCTGGCTTTCCGATCTGCGCCCATGCGTTTGTCTTGGACGGGAGTGCGCGTGCGGGCAAGGGGGAGGCGCCTGCACGTGAGAGCTCCGACCGCCGGCGAGCTGCGGCGTCGTCGTCATGCGCTGCCCATCAACACCACCGACTGCCCGCCGCGCCCATCCCCCAACCGCCCGCCCGACGACACCGGCCCCGCGCTAGCCCGGCAAGATGAACATTGGCAAGAAGCAGAAGCAGCGCAAGGTGCTGCTCATGGGCAAGAGCGGCGCCGGCAAGTCGTCGATGCGCTCCATCGTCTTCAGCAACTATGTCGCCAAAGACGTGCGCCGCCTGGGCGCGACCATCGACGTCGAGCACAGCAACATCAAGTTCATGGGCAACCTGATGCTCAACCTGTGGGACTGCGGCGGGTAAGCCGTCCCGCCCCAACCCAAGCGGACGTGGCTGACGGCGTCCCAGGCAGGATGGCTTCGTCGAGAACTATCTCACACACCAGCGCCACCACATCTTCTCGTCTGTCGCTGTGCTGATCTTCGTCTTCGACATCGAATCCCGTGACTTTGCCTCGGACGTGCTGTCGTACCAGAACATCATCGCCGCCCTCGCCGAATCGTCGCCCAATGCCAAGATTTTCTGTCTGATCCACAAGATGGACCTTGTCCAGGCCCGTCTGCGTCTCTCGCTCTTCGAGGAGCGCGCCGATTACATCCGCCAGGCTAGTGTTGAGTTTGGATTTGGCGACACGGTCGAGTTCTTTGCGACCAGCATTTGGGACCAGAGCCTGTACAAGGCGTGGACACAGATCATCTATTACCTCATTCCGAATGCCGGCGTGATTGAGTCTCTTCTGCGCCAGTTGGCCGAGGTCATCGACGCGAGGGAGTTGATTCTGTATGAGCGCACGACCTGCCTCATGGTTACACACGTCACGCGCGGCACCGAGGCCAGCAACCCCTTCACCGACCGTTTTGAGCGCATCTCGAGCATTCTCAAGACCCACAAACAATCCATGGCGTACGTCATCCAACTCTCCGAGCGAGTGCCAGTACTAACCGTTCTGCAGCAAACACACGGCCCTACCACCCTCTCACGCCAACTTTGCTGAGATGCAGATCAAGACTGGCCGCTTTATGTTCTTCATCACTCGTCTCACCGAGAACACCAACCTAGCAGCGTCGATCCCGCCGTCAGAACAGATTTTTAACGCTGCAAGGGTCAATATCAGTCTTGCAAGGAACCGGTTTGCCGAGTTGGATGTCATGACCGGGAAGCATAGAAGCATGCAGCAGCAATTCGTCAACAGCTTAGAAGATAACAAAGGCGAATTAGACAAATCGGAGGGGAATAGTGGGGGCGGGGGTGGTGCCATGGGCGCAATGGGCGGCATATACTAGACGGGGTATGTGGATGGGGGCTGATTTTCAGGAACAGAGATACCCATTTCGTGAGGTGAGCTGCACGCACCTCTGTATGACTTACGAATAACAGCGCTACATATTAGACAGCATATGGTACAACCTCTCATGCAAAAGCGCGCTCCTTGCGAGCCCTGGTGCGCGACGTCGCAGTGGGGCCATGGTCCACTAATTGCTATCATTCTGAAAAGCGCCGCATCGGGTGGTCCCTGAATAAGGCGGAGGGCGCGCGGGAGACAGGCAAAGGTCGGTAACGTCACAGCGGGCAGCAGGGATCATGACTTGGAATAGATGATGTACACCCTCTTCACGCTCATCTGCCACAGTTCGCCCTCCGTCTCGGCTCGAGTGCAACAGGCCACATAGAATTGAGGGGTTGGCCCGAGGTAGTAGAGCCATCGCTCGCTAAACATCAGTTCATTTCGGTTAACTCGGACGGTTCAACGGGTGAGGCACAGCGACCCAACTTTTCCGCCTCGATCATCGAACGAAATATGTGATCAGGTACGCTGGCGGGGCACCGGTCAAAATAACGGAGACGGCGAAGGCGGGCGGAGGGTAGGGAAATGGCCGAGTCCCCGAGGCGAAACGACACTCAGGAGAAGCGAGCCCAATTCTCGGCAGACCGTATTGATACACAGATTGACATTGACGATCGGGAATCCAACGACCAGAGACCGGGAGTGTGGAAGGTGGTATAGCCGCCACGCGTCACCGCTACCGTCTGGGCAAAGGGTGCCGTTGGGTTGCATTGGTAGTGGATCGCAATCCGAGAGCCACTGCGACGGGAATCAGGGTATCCGTTGGCGTGCTGAAGCTTTAGCCACCAAGACTTGGGCCTCTGGGTGGCTATCGCTCCACACGTGAGCCCATGGCCTGCTTGGGGTATGATTGGCTTTGGAGTCTGGGAGCTCGGGGGCTTAGACATTGCAGAGCGGCGGCACAGGCCACAGGGTCAGTGCCTGCGGACGGGAGGTGCGATCATCCCGCAAGCACGCCCCAGCAATACGGCCATCACTTTCCCATAAAAACCCTGAAAATCGCTCCGCCCCAAATGTTTCCATGGTGGCCTTGAAATCAGGCGCCAAACGGCTGCGCGGACCGTGTCAGCAAGTGATCCATCGTGATGTCGATTGTGGTCCAGGGATAGACGCCGATTCGCGCCCATCGCATATCGCCGGGTCCAAAAGCTACGCACACGCATCTTCCATGATGCACAGCCCCCCTCTTTTCAACTGTTCAACAGATGAGCCGTCCGGCTGACTTGAATCTTTGGGTCGGCACGAAACGGGCTAGCCCCAACACACTGCTGAGTAAGTTTTGCTCCCAATCGTAGATGCTGTTTGAAGGAGCGTGGAACTGACTCGAAGGATCATTAGGCGCGTCATGTCTGGATAAGGATATTTCCACATCTTACACATGTAAGACATGGCAAATTAGAGACAATAATTCGTTCCTTGGCACTGACAAACTTCAAGCTCATACCGAATTAGGTAAAGTCAGTAATAGCTTTGAAGCAGTATCGCACTGGCCGGCAGCTCTTGCAGCAACGGGAGAACTGTAGAGACAAAGTTTGTGCAGAAGACTATGAGACAAGCTTAAAAGAACCATCGACGCCTACCACATTGGTTTGCATTCCAGACGAGGCGGGTAGCCAATGCAGGCCATTGCAAACATTAAAGAGGACAGCGTGGACGTCTGTTTAAGCTGTCAAGTGAATACCCATTAACTTCGCATTCTATTGCCACGGCTTGCGGCTCGACTCGTATGGTCTCGAGCAAATCATTTCTAGAGTGTTCCACTCCTACTTATCAGGGGTCGGCAGCATTCTAGACTCCAATCGAACTCTACAGCTTCTTCGGGACCCTGCTAAGTAGAGCGAGAGAGCGTGGCTGTTGAGTTTATTTGAATACAAGGATCAAGTAACGGTATAAAAAAATAACTTACTAAAGGTCAACTGACTGATGGGCACCCATGACACACTAATAAAGAAGCTATAGGACAGCCGCGTTGATCTGGCGCCCTTCGCCTCGTGGCGGCATCGTCGATCGCATCACAGCGGGTGCACAAAGCTGACTCTCCCGAAACTCTCTAATTAGCAGCATAGTACACTACTGCAATACGGATGTATTCATAAGATATAAAAAGGTATGTTCACATCCAGGCATTTATTTCAATTGCCCATGTTTGTAGAGTGTAGTGTCGTTCACCGGGTACAGAGGACTCCAATCTTTTACAATCCACTGTGGCACGGATGGGCTGGGTGGCAGTCTCAGACTGGAGGTTACCGCATTATTATTTATGCATGGTATCCAGGCCGAGGCACTGTTCAGGCAGTGCAAGTGTATACGGCTCATAACAAGATTACCTGATTGCGGACCGATATGGACTTGGTAGACGCTCAGCAGCAAAGGCGCGCAAACAGTCGACGGAGCGTCATAGCAATGTCATTGCTATGGTTCATTGCGATCAGCGCATTGCGGGGGCTAGAGACATCGAAACCAGTTATTCCCGAAGTAGAAGGTCAGTGAAGAGCGGAGAGAAAGCCGGCGACGGCGACTGGCTCGGTGAGAACGACGGTCACATGTGCAGCGGAATCGGGCTTCACATGTCTCGGGATGCACGTTGGACGTGGCGGCAGGCATGGCGCTTAAAAGTGGACTTGAGTGAGAGGAAAGAGGCGGCGATGGACAGCGGGAGCCGAGGAGATGAGCTTAAATCGTAGATCCTCCACATTACCCCTTGCACTTCCCCAGATTCGAGGCACGCCCCATCCCCAATTCGACAAGTCATCAAACCTTCTCCTCCTACCACTATCGAGCATCGAACCAGTCGCTTTTTCATGCCTCGGTCTATGGTGTTGCTGCTACTCCCCCGCCCAAAGTTATTCCTGTTTGGCCTCCGCCTCGTATTTCAGTGACCACCAATCACGCTGTGAATTCAGCTGTCGTCCAGCATGGGCTCAGCTGCAAGATGGACATTCAGACAAGGTTTATGCCTTGCTCGTAGCTGAATGGGCGGTTAGAACCTTGTATCAAAGCAAGTGGACTGGTACTTAAAGTCAATTCAACGTCCGCATCTCCCTTCCCTTCATCATTCGCTCTCCAGTGATCCTGTGAAACTACAGCATTCCATCAACAACAATATGAAGACTTTCGCATTCGCCACCGTGGCTGCGCTCAGCGCTGTTGCTACCGCCCAAGACTTGGGGCTGTTGCTCTCATCCTGCGCCGTAAGTTTACACCACTTACTCGTAAAACGCATCCGCAAACTAACACCACGCGGTTAGTCCGATCAATTTCAGGAACTTGGATTGACCGGAGTCGACGGTGATCCGTGCAAGAGCGATGCGGGCAAATCTTCGTACTATGAGTGCTCCTGCACCAAGGGTCAGGAGTTTGTCGTCGATTACCTCTGCAAAAACCCTGGATCCTGCAGCCCCAGCGACATCCCTGGTCAGCTCCCCCCGGGAATATTTAGTCAAATAAGATCGGCTGACTTGTTATTTCCGTAGGCTTGACGGATACTCTCGTCAGCTTCTGCAAATCGGTCGGTGTCACCGTCACAGCTCCCTCGAACCCGTGCGGTCTCTCCGGCGGTAGTAGCTCTTCTGCTCCTGCGTCCTCTGCCACATCCGCTCCCGCCACGTCCGCCCCTAGTTCTTCACCTGCATCGTCGCCAGCCTCCTCGGCGGCTTCCTCCGCAGCGAGCTCTGCCCCGAGCTATGCCCCCAGCTCCGCTGCATCATCTCCTCCGGCCACAACTCCCGCCGGTACACCCACTACCCCGGCTGGAACCCCTTATGGTACTCCAGCCGGCACCCCGGCCAGCGCTCCGGCTGCCTACACTGGTGCAGCTGCAGTTAAAAACGTGGCTGGTGGTCTCGTCGGTGTGGCTGGTTTTGCTGGCCTCTTCTTCCTCTGAGGAAGGTATACATGTCAGGACACCAAGCCGTCGACTGTGCGCACGGTTCAATCTGCACTTTAAAGTCTAAAGATTGGAGCTTTTACGTTGACATATGAAGCGGTGTCACTCATAATGTTCTCCTTCTAATGTACGTTGGGCATGCGACACCTGAGACTATACATCCTTCCACTTTCATCAGCGGGCAGGCCTTTTCTTCGAAATGCCGCTGGGGATCACACTTGCTTAATCAGTTTCTTTTATTTCAATCGAACAGAATAGTGAGCTTGCAATTCACAGCCTAATCTTGTCAAAATAGCAGTATTCATTTACGTGAAACAAAACTACCAAGGATCGCGTCGGACTGGGCCGCCGCAGCACCGGCTAATACATGTGAAGAGAAGTGCTCCCACCCTTGCTTACATACTCAGATAGACGAACTAACCAGCAGAGCCAAACTTCGCTTTTCTCCCCCTATACATGGAGATGGGAATCTGCACTCAGAAGCCACCATCCCCCTTCACGCGCTTCACTGCCCCCACAACCCCCTTTGCCCAAGACATGTGACCCGGATTTATTCCAATAGCGCCTTTTGCTTCGTTTCCATCGTCGTCTCTCCATATGCCGTCTTCCTGCGACACGGCGCCGTAGAGGTGAGTGTTCTGGTTTCTCCGAAGACCTGCTACCCAGTCCGCACATATCTCGGGAGAGTCGAGCAGTATGTTCACCTCCTGGGAGTGGTACCATGACTGCGTGTCCTGGTTGCCGCTCCCCTGGATGCCGATATGCTCGTCGACTATCATTAGTTTTACTGCGTGGTTCGTCAGCTATCGTCACTGCAGGTCCGCACACGGTGAGGGCCTTACTGTGGCAGCTTCGCTGCTTGAACTTGTTGTGCAGTGGCTTCGTCTGGTCCTTCCCGACATACCAGTGTATGTGGAGGCGCTTCCGCTGATCTGGATCGAGTTCCGTGTACATCTTGTGGGATATCATCTCGTTCGTGCCCCCTTGGAACGGCAGTAGCTCGCCGAGGTCATTGTAGCCGAGACACGCGTACATGGTGACTTCTACCCCCCGCCTGACGGCGTCCAGAAGCGCCGGGATGAGAGGCTCCGCATTGATGTCAGGCGATTGGATGAATACAGTTGATTCTGCATTGCGAATGGCGGATAGCCAGGCCTCATTCTGCGGCGTGTAGACGGAAGAGTGGTTCAGGGCGCCCCAGGGCTTACGGTTCACGAGGGCGATGGGAAAAGGCTCATGGCGGGCGTGCGGGATGTAAGGTGTCATAGTGTCTTCGGGCGCGCATTCGGGCGCTGTTCCTTGGAGCTTCTGCTGAGTCGCCTCATCTGGATCTTGATCAGCTTGGCTTGGCATGGCGGGGTGGAGACACTGCTGCCTACTCAGATGCTTCGTGACGAGACTCATGACGCTTTCTCCATTTGTTGGTGTCAGGATGGCCTGCATTCGGAGAAGCTCCGAAGCCATGTCTTCGTCGTAATGAGGATCGCCCGGTTCATTCTCTGGTAACTGTACACCGCTGTCTCTGGCGCGAGTAATGAGATTAGTACGATTGGCTGGAGTCTGGCTGGCTATGTCTAGAAAAGACGAGTCAAAAGTGCCTCTTGCTTCGCTTTGAGCCTCGCTGATAGTGAGAAGAGGTAGCGGAGGCTTCAAGGCATCGTGCCATGTAAGCAAGGCCATATCGTAAAGAGAATCCACGATTGGGCCCTCCAGATGCGTCATCATCTCAAGATTGTCGTTGTCCTGAATAATATCTGGTCAGTTATAGTTAAAACTCCAGGGGAACGAGGCTGCTCACTTGGATGTTGTTGCTGCAGACGATGCCAATCTTTCTGTCCACTACCATGAATTTCGCGTGAAAGGTGCCGAGCACCGGGCGGTGGTAGTTGATGACTTCGATGTCGATGTTAGGAATTTCATCAGCAGAAGGTAAGCCGACACCCGGGGCTGTACGCTCAGACTCGCTGACGTCGAGGTGATTGTCAAAGACCTTTTGCAGGGTAAGCGTGGTGTGTTGGATGCTTGTCATACAAGGCGTACCTGCTTCGCGCTCCCACGATCATAGATGATCTTGACTACAGCCCTTCGCTTCCGCCTTCCAGCCCTCTTGGAGAGCTCTTTCAGCGAGTCAGTGATGAGGCGGCTGGCATTGGACTCCTTCCAATAATTGGTTGCCAGGATGACCTCGTGCTCAGCCCTGGCGATGAGGTTCGACTAGCGAGATTAAGTCAAGACGAATAGCCGAGGATAACAGTAGCATAACTCACCATGTGGCGGCAGATGTCAGGCAGGGCGCTGATGACGGTAAGCGGCAATATGCCGGAGCTGCCCATCAGAGGCGGACTCACGACGCCGGCAAGCGGGTCATGATCGAGGGTACAGAGAGCATCGTGCCAAATTCGTAAGAACAGTTCGCTGGGTCTTACGTCTCCAAAATTGCCGCAGCTAAGGGCATGGCCGAGTTCCTCCGGGGTAGCAACGCGACGATGCTTTGGCGGGCTAGTGTCCAGGACGCTCACTGGATGGGTTGAGTAGAGTTGCGAGGCAGCTTCTCCAGGGGCCAGAGCCGGGTCTTCGGCAAGGAGGGTGCTCACCGAACGTGAGGCATGACAGAGGTCAGAGACGGGCTTGGTTATGGTTTCGGGCATGTTCTTGGTGCGCTGAATCCACGGCTGGCGGCAGTAGAAGTGATGGATAGCAATAGCGGCGAGAGTTGCGACTGCCGTTGCCAGCAGCAGCAGGAAAGGGGGATTTGAAGAGTCCGGGAACGTCATGATGGTGCCGTGTTTAGCGGGGAAGACGGGAGCAGCTGAAGAGTTCCCTGGTATGCGTGGCGTCATCTAGACCCTGTGCAAAGCTTGGCTAAGCTTGTCAAAGCTTGTCGTGCCGCTCCCAGTCCCGTTCAGGCCTAGCTCCCTCGTTTTCCTTGCTCTGTCTGGCCGACCAAGCCGTTGCTTCCTTCTTCACGTCGCGCTATTGGTCGGGGTACGCGTCGCCGCGCCGCGCTATCCGACGTTGTCCTTGCCGGTTGCCGGCTTCCAGTGGGTCGCCTGTGCCGACGCGCGCCGGAATTCACCATCTTCACAACACGTTTCCAAGATGTGACGTATCCATAAGCATGGCTGATCTCTAATAGGGTATTATGAAACGAAAAAAAGGCGCTAACAAGTGAAAAAAGAACACAGGCTCACCCGCGTTACCAGCAAAACCAACTCCATCTCGGGTATATTCTTCGCCGTCCCTCTCCGCCGCAGCAACCTGCCCAGCTATGGCGTCCAGTGGTGCTTTTTGTCGTCGTCTCCCAATGTCGACGGGGCGCCCTGCGACTCGACCGCAACCGAGCGCTGCACGCGAATGCCAAACTCGGAGCCAGGATCCAACTTGGAGCCGCCGGCCTCGATGATGTTCTCGGTGCTGTCGCTCTCGATGTCGACTTGCGTGCCCGACTTGGACCCGAAAAAGCGGTTGGTGACATTCTTGCTGCCCGCCGTGCCGTACGCATCGAGCGGCACCGATCCATTCGTGTATCCGTGCGAAACGTCGTTGTCCTGGTACCCGCCCTGGTAGAACTTTTTGGTGAACATGGGACGGATCATGGGCGCATTGCCCACAAACGTCGCCACGAAGCATTCGCGCATCGCCCAGATGGCCGGCTCGGATGGCGCCGCGTTCTGCATGCCGTCAGCTCCTGATCCCGCCCCAACCCACGGCGCTGTTTACTGACGCTCAACACGAAGACCACCCGCAGAGTTGCAGCCACCATCACGAAAATTCCAGCACCGAGCAGGACGACGAGCCCGAGCTTTCTTAATGTCGAGACCTTGGCCTTGATGACAAGCTTTGCGACAGTTAGATGAAATCGCGCAGTGTGGGTTGCAGTGTTCTCACCGGCATGGGAATCGGGACGATGACGGCGTCAGTGATGACGTTGAAGACGACCTGGACGATGTACCACACAGGGCTTTCGTGCGTGCAGAGCTCTGTTCAAATCAGCCCGTTGCGCTTGCCGAGGGGGGCCAGAGGACGCACTTCCAGGATCCGGATAGATTTGCCAGTTGTGGCTCACCGGGCGGCAGGTCAGGAGAAGGGTGAGAAACTCGACCAGCCACGTTGTTGCTACGACGGCGATGGCTGGTTTGATGAGCTTCTCGGCAGCGAGGCCCCGGGTCAGGCGCTGGAAGAAAAGCAGCATGCAGAGCTTCAGCGTCCACATGGTCGACACATAGGTGATGTGGCCGCAGAGGAAGAATTTAGAGCCCAGGATCTTGGCGTCGCGCTCGGCTGGTGGAAGCGAGAGGCGCTGCTCGTTGGTCATGGCCCTATTGTCGCCGTTGAGACTGACGATGTGGGCGCACACGGTCATCATGGTGAAGAAAGCCTGGCAAGAGTCAGCATGGCACCGACACTGAGGGCTGGCGAGCGCACCCAGGCGAGGATCATCAAGTAATCGTCCCACTGCAGGCGGCCGCCGACCATCTTGGTGCGGGTGAAGAGACGCATGCCGACAAGGACGGTGGAGATGCCATATTCGACCCACGTCTCGATCAGCAGCTCCTGTATGGTCGTCATGATGGCGGCGGGAGAGAGAAAGAGAGGTGTTGTAGCGCTGGCCAGCGCGGACCCAACACAACGTCTATATCCACTGCGTCCAGGCGTCCAAGGCAGCGGCAATGGACCCGCCAGGAGGCTGCGCTATGCTCCCCTCTGCCCCATCTCGATGTCATAGCCAGTCAGATTGCAGCGAGGCGCAGATCGCGGGTCGCCAAGAAGGGGACTCGGATGCAGGCTGACTCTGCTCCCGCCCACCAGCGCAAGGCCCTCCGTGCTAATTACTTGTTCAGGAAGGGAACTGCCTCAAAGTAGCGTCGGCAGCCCCGAAGCGACCGAATGGGCCGTTGAACGGCCGGAGGGATGCTGCATGGGCCTTCCAGAAGAAATCCTACAGCCTCATCGCCTCTGCTGCACATCAGCTCTCCCGGCTGACACCAGCCATCCGCTTCAACCCTTCCCGTTTCGGGTCACTTTTCGGGCCGACGGCTCTCTTGCCGCCCCCACCCTGCCGCTTAGCCCGTCGCACATCACGTAGATCGCCGTGCGGAGGATCGCTGCATCCCAGTCAGGGGCAGCAACGAAGAATAGTTGCCCTGCGTCAGCCACTAACGGCGCGGCAGCTACGAGCTCTCGCCGCCTGATCTGCCTTAGACGCCCTCCTGTATTGCCCCACCCGTTCTATTCCCGACCCCTCTCTGGTCTCGGAGGCCGTTCCGTCAACTCCTGCCATATAAGTTTGCCGATCTTTTCTCTACCTTGATGACTGCTGTGCCGCATGAAGCTGTCGCAGCCTTATCTCCGCCGAGGTCCACGCACGAATCTGTCGCAAGCACAAACTTCGCCGAGGGCCACGCACGAACGGAAGCTGTTTTTCTCTCGACCTTGGGCGCCACGCCCACCCCCCGATTTCTCCCGGCTCAGGCCATTTCACTCCTCCTTGTGCGCTTCCGCTCGCGCCGTCTCAAAAACATGGCTTTTGTCAGCGCCCCACGGAGATAACAGTGCTACGCTGCCGTTCCGCCATCGTCCGGTGCTCTTGGCACGGCCCAGCACATTCCGCATCCGTCGGTCTAGGTTTGACCAATACCTGTCACAACGTCTAGTACGTCTGCACGGCCGTGTGTCAGCTTGTAAAGGATGCAGATCAGAGGCTTGCGCCGGCGGCTTTACTAGCGGAAATCGCCACGTGGTGTTCGTCAGGGCAAAGTTTGGTGGCGTTTTCGATCGCGATGCCTGGGGAATCTGTGCATTGGTGATCACATGCGCCTTCTAAAGGATTGCTGGGCTGTTTAAGCCATTGGAGTTTACCTATGTACCTGGGGAAGCACGTGGAGTCGCGATGAGGCTGGTCCAATGGCCGCGTTTGAGTGTGTACCTACGTATGGACATGCCCCTGGAATACACACCCAGTATCCATCATCAGAGCTGACAAAGCACTCGCAATCGAGACTTTAGCAACGAAAAATCTGACAGCGAAGCACTTGTCAGTGAAAAAGCTGACAATCTATCCATGCCCTTTTGGATACGTGACATTTCAGCGTTGCGCTGACCAGCGTATTACTGACCGATTGATCAGCTTTACCCACATACAATAGTTACCAAATGAATATGGTGATCAGTTGAGGAAATATCGAAACGCATGCAGCTCACCTAAGCGAGGCCTTCTTCATGCGCCTAACAACATTGCGACATGCTGCAAATCATCCGCATCCGGTATTTCGCATGAGGCCGGCGCTGTAGCAAAGTTTTGCAGCATAGAGGATGATGCCTGGGCACGGTTCTCGGCTAGCGTTAAACTACAGGCGACGATCAACGGGGCGTGACGAGCTTTGTAGCCTCCATTTCGCAACGAATGTGTGACGCGGCTGCAGAGGGCAGAAGCTGCAGCCTTACCGAAAAAGGAAAATGCGCGGCGCAGCAGCTAGGGACACCCAACATCGGTCAAAATATAACGCCGACGGGTAGGGGATGGGAACACACAAGAAGTTGGGGAGCAATCAGCATCTCTCTTCTGTTGGCCGGAGACCGTTGTAGGGGGGTGGAGAATCTGCTGCAGGAGTGAACAAGGGCGGTTGCGCAGGGTTCAAGCCAACCCATGACCGGCGACGCGTATAGTGGGTCGCCAAAATTCGTATCCCTCGCAAAAAAAAGCAAGTTCACAAGTGTTTCAGTTCAGTAATTTCACCAGGGCCCCCACCAGGCCGGACGTAGTTGATGAAGTCCGGTCTTCTCGCCCTCCACACCTGCTGATTGTCTGACCGGTGAGCTGGACAGCAAATCCCTAGCCATGTTTAGTAGGTCCGTCTTCGAGTGTCGTTGACAGCACATCGTTAAAGTTAATGTCGTCTAGATAGCCGAATAGCGAAAAATGGGGCTTTCCCGTAGAGGCTTCGCACTCGGGTGAAAGTTTAACAGAACACCTTCGACGAAGTTCATGATGTAATTTGGCTTGACATGAGCCTTTTGCTCCTGTGGGTGTTTTGGCATGAGCCTTTTGTTTCTGAAGGTGGTTTGGCATGAGCTTTTTGTTCCTGAAGGCACACAACGGTGTTAATCCCGAGCTGCGGACATGGGTGACGCAACGACTTCTCCATGTTGACCTGAATCATTCTGGTGATACACTCGCGTCGGCCCTCGTAAAATCTCTCGAACTCGTATTCCTTGGTCTTAGTGGTATCATGGATTTTCATCTGAGGTACTCTCACGCACAATAACGCTGTGTTCTTTTCTCCGGCCAATTGAGCGCCCATGACCATGCTGACATTGACAGCATTACTATTAGAACTAACGGTGCTATTGCCTACGTATTTCCCAGCAGCTTCTGCGGGATTCAGCAATTGAGTTGGGTTAATGTTTCGGACGATTAACGATCTGCGGCATGTGATTGGATTTGACTTCGCTTGTCGCATTACCGTGATTGGACTGACAGGCATACTGACATAAGCCTTAAGAGCCACTGGATATACCCTCAATTCGGTCATGGTTTAGCAGGCTATAGATAGGTAGCTATTAATGACTGCAGGGAATGTTGAAGTACGGAGAGCTGCACATATTGATTACCCAAAATAGACGGTCTATTTGGGCTTAGTCCTGCCTCCGAGTGTATAGGTAGTCTCCGCTAACTATTGTCCAGACCCTTCGGAGGTCAATCAATTGTGGTTTCAACATGGAGCACGAAGTGGGGAACTCCCAGAACGAATTGAGTGCCGAAGTTACCCACTGAACATGACTAACGCCAAGACCACAATGGCGGTCGGCATGTTTATCTTGCTCGTAGACCATGAACTAGGTACAATGTGTCGGACGGGGATATGAGACACCAATGAGTGAGTCCCTTGAAATACCTTTTGCTCGTTACCGAGGAATATCCATGGATCCCATACTAACAGCTGTCTCATAACCCCGTCCGACACTGTAGTTCAATGCGACAATGTAGGTCTTGGGTGGTTTGCTGTGTGGGACCAGAGTAAGATCAGTATCAGTCCATCATCGTTGTCATTGCTCAAGGTATCCTTTCCCCCCGGAGTCCTGCTCTCTGAGCTGCCCGGAGTGTGTTCCAGAGGGCCTCCGTGTATTTCTCCATCCAAGCCACTTGCATCGCTTTCTCTAAATCACTGCTGCCTGATATTCCATCAAATAAGCTATGCGCCTCGTCTTTTCTGCATCCTTGCTGTCCAATCTACCACCATGAAAGCTATCCTCGCTTCCTCTTCCTTCCTTCCGTCTGGTACATGCTCATGTTCTTCCGCCTCGCCGAATCAATACTACCATCCAAAACCCTCGCTGCTTGGGAAAGTGCGTCTGCCGCATTCTGGATATTGTAGCTTGCCTCGGCCAAGCTCAAGACCTCTCCCTCAAAGCCATTGCGGGAAATCTGAGATGGCTGCGAGGATCTGGTCTCCGTCAAGCCGGTGTGCATTTCCTGCCAGATGACGCTTTAGTCTCGAAGGAGCTGACCGAATGACCGTACTATTACAGCCCTCCTAGAGTAGACACATGCGAGGAGTGAAGGCATACTCTCGACGGCGACCCGCTGCGCTGCGGCCATGTGACCCTCGTCGAGCTTGTGGGGACATCCAGCAAGATGACGCTTCAAGTCGAAGGAATTTTGCCAAGTGGTCTTACTCGCACACTTTTCTCCTTCAACAGACACGTCTGATGAATCCAGCGTCGATTTCCAATATGGAGGCGCTGATGGTCGTTGAAGGACCGTTTAGTGGTAGAGACTGCTGTAGGACCACAACCCTACCCAAGGCATGCACGCGGCATCCATTTATGCTCTTTCATGTGCTGTTGGAAAGCATTTTTCACAGTATACCTTTTGCCGTAGCCCTGAATTGGACAGAGAAAAGGGGGTTTCATCTTGCGGGGCAGCTTCTCGGGAGTACACGATAACTCATATTCGAATGTCCTATGTAGGTGTCTAGATGAGAAAGTACAGCCGAAGGCGTGGCTTCTGCACCGATGGCGGAAACGGGTAAGTGGATCCTTAGCTACCGATACCACTTGATTGATCGAAGATGTGAATTGGTTGATAAAAGAGCCCTGAATGACATTAATGCGGGTGAGCGCATCAAGCCAGGGGACAGTCTCAGTGGGCAATAGGGAAGACGAGGGAGTCATGGCCTCAACCATAGCGAGGACCAACCCAGGATCGTTTTCATCTTCGCCTTCGACAGAGTCAGCTGTGTCGTCAGGGGTAATAGGCTGTTGAATGCCTCTTCAACTGCCGCTGCAGCTTCCGGGCTTAGCTCTTAAGCAAGGTGAATAATTGAAGCAGATGTCCAGATGAAAATATGGATATTCAATATGTACAGTCAAGCCCAGACGTATCGCTACTTCCCCGACCCATTCGCTGCTTAGCAGCTCTCCGCTCTGCAGACGCCGCAATGTCGTCGCATGGCGGTGCATCGACAGGGTATAGTGCCATTCTGTAGGGTAGAAATAAAGTTCTTATCGCGTTATTTTGATTCGCACCTCTAGCCTCATGCGCCTTAAGCCCCAACAAGAGAAAACTGTAGATCGAAGACAAACCTTTGTAGACCCACGAACCGTACGATAGGATGATAGCATACATGCAAAATGCACGTACGAACCTCAACACCAGGATATCTTCTAAGACATGAGCGCACAGCCAAGCGCGAGAAGAGAAAACTGAAATGGACGGGGTATCTCTGCTAAATTTAATAAGGCTTGTCGGCGTCCTGCTCCATGGGATCGCCTAAGCAGTGCCCCTTTTCGCCCACTTCTTTCTGCAGGTACTTCAGGGTGGCTGGGTCTTTGGTGAAGAAAGATGCGGATCTCGCACCGCAGGCGATGTTAGTGGTGCCGCCGGTGAGCTTTTGAGATCGCAATCGGCCCGTGCTGTCGGTCGTGTCGGCGCCTTCGTTGACATTCGCAATCTCGGAAGGAGCCGAGATGTGATGGAAGAGCTCGGGATTGGCACTATAGCACTTGTAATCCAGGTCTCTGCAGGCCTCCAGGATGCGCACGTCGAAGGCCTCGCAGCCGCCATCAGACTCCCTTGCAGCGAGCTTGGTTAGGATGCGGTTGGCTGAGGCGCGGGTGACGGCGTAGCCAAAGGTGCAAAGCGGCCACTTGGAGCGGTGGACCATGCGCTCGCCTTCTTGGAGGCCGAGCTTTTCCAAGAATTCATTGGTGTGCGAGTGCATTCTCCGGTGAGGGAGAAGGGTGTCGTCGCGGTAGACGCGATGCTGGAGGCTGTCGAGCTTGTCGGCATCGAAGAAATCACCACAGTGGCCGAGATAGAGGATCTCCCATTGGTCCAAATCGCCCCAGTAGGTCGTGTCGGAACCCAACAGGGCGCGCAGGTTCTCGGAGGCAAGTGGGACCTGGACAGTCCGCAGGTGGATGTCCCAGTCGACATCATCCTCGATAATAAGCGCCGTCTCCAGGCCAGAGTCTAGAAACCTGTGGCACAAAATTAGAAGCGGAGATTGCAGGCAGGAGGCCCAAAGGGCGAGTACCATTTGAGGGCGTTCAGGTGGCCCAGCCACGCCAGGGCAGAGCCACGTGTAATTCGGGAGTCATGCTCAGCTCGGAGCTTGTTGAGGCGTTCATCGGACCATCGCGGTTGATGCGGGACGATAATGTCGACACCGGTCAAATTGGAGGCGAAGAACAGGGACTCCTGCCGGGGCGAGTTCTCGCGCGAGACGGCTAGGACGGCACCAAACTGCGGGGCGGAAGGGTCAGCGCAAGCCTAGGCAGGCAGCGGAGGCGGATGGCATACGCCTAGAGTGGAGTTGGCAGGGTGCAAGCGCGTGTAGTTCAGGCCGGCGGAGAAGGGTTTGGACGGCGGCTGCGTCGCGCTCGCTTCGCGGTTGACGGCGGCAGGCGCGTGGAACCACAGCGACAGCGCTACGAAAAGGAAAATCAGGGCCGCGCCGAGGCGCTGGAACCGGGGCTCCATTCTTGTAATTCGGCGCTTGAAGGAATACGGGGCAGGGTGCAATGGCGGGTGCGAAGCTGCTGCACAGCTGGGCGATTGCGCGGCCGCGCGCCTTTAAGGAGAGGGCGCGAAGCGGCGTTGCGGCGGCGTGATCGGCAGCAGTCTTGACGGCGGCGCTTGGCTGCGATCTCAAGACTACGACCAGGCCGCGCCTCGTATGAGTGAGTAGAGGGCGTTGAGCATGCGGTTGCAACCCTCGTAATCTCCCGTGCTACTGCGGATTGCATAAGATTTTGGGCTTCCGTGCCCTACGCGGCGCTCCAGGTCGTGCTCCGCCGGCGGCTGAAGCAAACAGCCAAAAGTAGAGTTTAAACGGCCCAACGCTCCCCGCCTGGGGCTGCAACTACCCGCGCGGTAAGTGCTATTCCTGAAGTCGAGTTCCTCAGTCCCTTCCGAGCGTCAGCCTTACCGCGCCAGCTCGGAAGGGCATCGCGCCCGGTGTGGGGATGGGCACCCTGCGCTGCCGCCGTTCCTTCCAGCCCACAGCCGGCTTATTTTAGCCAGCCCTCGTCCTCCCGCGGCGTGACCACTGGCACCCCCGCGAACCACGCTAGCGCTGGCCGATCCAGCTGCGAGATCTCCTTCCCTGGTCCTTCCTTGGCCCCTTCTTGTCGACGCCGGCCCGCATTCCACAATCTTCCGCACGGCAGAGCCTCTACCTCCCTTGCATAGTACAACCTTCCGTGTCACCATGGCGGCTGCAGAACCCCAGCCCGCCCCAGCCTCCGCTGGCGCCCACCAGGAACCCAAATTCTCCCGCTACCGCTCTGTTCGTCGCCAGCAACATCAACACCAGCATGACCCGCCCGTCATGCCTCCACTACCGCCAGAGCCCACCCCGCCCACGCCCACGTCCGCCACAGTGAGCCGTAGCATGTCACGCTACCGCCGCCAGCGCCCAGCCACAACTACCGCGCCCGTCGCCCACGACCACACTGCACCTCCGCTGCCCACCACCATCAAGCGCGCGCCCACCCAGCCTGTCGCCCCCGCCGCCCAGCTCGAGCAGCGTCGCCAGCGCGCCGCGAGCAATCCCCCAGTTCGCCAGCCAACCCGCCCTTCGAGCGCCCGCGTGCAGGATGCCCCAGACTCTCCCACTTTGGCGCGCGAGGAGGCCCGCAGGCTCCTGGAGGGCGAGAGCCAGCGCCAGGCCCGCATGAACGCCCAGCTCAAGGCCGAGAAGAGGGCCAAGATCGAGGAGGCCGAGCGACAGCGCGCCCAGCAGGAGGCCGAGGAGGCCGAGCGCCGTAACGCCGAGCGCGTTCGCCAATACCAGGAGAAGAGAGCCGAGGACCTCAGGGCACGACAAGAGGCCGCCCGCGCGCAGGCTGCGCGTGCGCGCCAGGAAGAGGAGAGACAGCGCTCTGTTGAGCGGGATAGGCCACGCACCGCGAAGACAGCCGGCGCCAGCTCCGACTCGGACGCTCCTCCTCTTCCGCACTCACCTGGAAGCCCGTCTTCATCCCGCAAAAAGGAGCGGCTGGCTGGCTTGTTGCGCAGGCGCAAGGATGACCAGCAGCATGATGCTCCCTTTATTCCTGCCCAAAAGCCGCGCCAGGTCAGTAACAATGACAACAACAACTCGGATGCCTACATCAAGGCTGGCGGTGGTGGGGTTGTTCCCGGCATCGATGCTCCCCTCTCTGCCGTCAATGCAGGCGACCGACGAGTGATGGTCGAGTGCAACAAGCAGAAAATCTTGCTCCCCATCACGCCTACCACCACTCCGCAGGAGCTCATTCGCACCGCCGCGAATGTTTTGTCCGAGGGCATCGACGCCAAGGCGTCGGTGCTCCTGGAATTCTTCGCCAAGGTCAGCGTGCAGCGCCCGTTGCGCAACTACGAGCATGTCCGAGACGTCATGAACTCCTGGGACGATGATATGCAGAACACGCTGATTCTGGTCGACTCTCCAACTGGGGGCAACGATGCTGAACTCAAGGCCAGCTCTGTCCCGTCGGAAAAGCCCGAAGGCTATTCTTGTTGGCTGCAGTATTCTCAGAAGCCCGGACGATGGTCGAAGAGATACATCACGTTGAGGAACGACGGTCAAATGCTGTTGGCCAAGAACGAGAGCGGGAAGGATGCGACTAACGTTTGCCATTTGTCTGACTTTGACATCTACAGCCCAAGTGCCGATGCAAAGTCTCGCAAAGTGAAGCCGCCGAAGAAGTACTGCTTTGCTATCAAGAGTCAGCAAAAGTCTACCATGTTCATGACGACGTCGACATACGTGCACTTCTTCTGCTCAAACGACAAGACGGTGGCTGCTGACTTCTACAGCCATGTGCAAGGGTGGAGGAGCTGGTACTTGGTCAATGTCATGGGTGAAGGTCAAAAGAAGGCGAAGGCGGCTGAGCAGGCCCAGGATAGTGGCTCGGGATCTCGCCAAATCTCTGGTAACCAAGCTTCGCTACCAGCCATGGCCGTTCACAGGCCGAGCACGTCGATAGACTCGCACTATCAGCTGGGCTCGTTCAAACCACTCCTTGACATGAGTCAATTCGACTCGTCCGGCCTAGCGCCCGCACCAAACTCGGCAAGATCCCCGGTTGATGATGATTCCGGGCTAGCCAATGGCGGGCGGCTCCCGTCGATGCGCACCCGCGATCAGCCGCAACTCACGTCACCAACGCATCTTACCTCCCCCACCACGTTTTCCAACGTGACATCGCCCAGTACCCTGGTTCAGCAGATTCCATCCGAGGATGAAGACGGCACCTTCGCCGCCGGCGGTCTCCTCGGCCGTGCTTATTCGCAACGCCAGAAGTTGCTAGCGGAGCGTGAAAAGAATCTGAAAAACTCCGGCCCGTTCACCGAGGGCCCGTCCCTCCTCAGCTCTGCTGATGCCCTCCACACACGGGGTAACCGTGCTTCCTTGGACGGCGGCCGCCCGCAGCGGATGAGTTCCGTCCGCTCCACCCGAGGCCGAGAATCTGGTGAAATCAAACGGACAGCCAGCACTCGCCGTGCCATGCCCAAGCCGCTTGTGGATCTGACCCCACAGTACAAGGAGCCCCCGCAGTTTTCAAAGAGAGGGAAAGGGTACCGACTTGACCAAGTGGGTCCGGGTGGACTAGTTGACGCCGCCACGAGCCCTGACGTGCCCATTCCCATCCCGCCCAGCCAAGACTGGCGTGCGCGCCGTGATCCAAGTGCAACTCGACCCGGAACTTCCGGCGTTGATCGCACTAAGAGCTTGCGCGGCCATGGACAGAGGATCAACTACATCGCCAATAACCACTCCAACGTCCCAGATAATAGCGCTGAGGCCTTTACTGGACGCGGGTTGCTTGCATCTGCGACTTTTGGGCCTACGGCTTCCGCAGCACCCTTCGGCCACGGCGTCATGGACGGTAGCAAGGCAAAGGGACCCATGATCGACCTCAATGAGGGTAACCGTTTCCAACCTGGAAGCTTGCTCGAACGCGTTGCAGCACAACAGCCTAACGTACCAGTTATCGACCGGGAGAAGAGGCGGAGCATTGACGTTCCCACTGGAGAGCGTCATTGATGAATGGGACCGAGAAATTGTTGGCGTGTTCCAACGCAGCCATATGAGCTATTGTATTGTCTCACAGCTTGATCGTTCGGAACTTTGTACTCGAGACACCGATTGATCGGCTGGTTTTGCTCGAGTCTTGCTTTTATTCGTTTCTTATACCCCACGGCATGCATGCAGGCCGACGGCGATATTGGCAGTATGCCTGTGGCAGCTGCTGTTGAATAGCGCTTGTATTTCTTTGAATCTGTTTCTTGAATTTGTTACACGATCAGACCGCATCTTCCTCTCTGGCAGCGGAGGACTCTGGCCTCATCTACGGAACCCTTCCAATTTCCTAGCATAATCTTCTGTCACGCTATACCCGGGGATCTTAACACACCCAATGGTGTCGTCCTCAAAGACCATCAATTTTCCCTCTTGAACGGGTCACCCCACTAGTGGTCCACATGATGCACCCTGTGAAGAATCGGCAAATGCCGAACTCCTTCCCACTATTCTTAGAGAAACCAGTCACATAGGTGAGTTTTGTGGCGTTGTGGTGTGCTCGCTGTCATGGTTACGAAGGGTCGCTTTTTGTGGCGCCTGGCGTTCAACTCATCAACCATTTACGCCCCGCGGATACGAGGGACACGCCAAAGCAATACTCGGCCACATTTCTATACCCCTCCGGTTAATCGTCAAGGGACCAATCCTGGAGCACGTCAGGGTGCGGGGTCGTCACGTGTACATTTTCATCAAGTTTGTTTCAAGAAGTCACACAATTACTAGCTCTTGATCAATCATTCTTTGTGTTAGGCTTCTTCCGTGAACCCCTTTCCTATGTCCGCAAATTTGACAGCTTAGTTGTACAGCCACGTGCCAGTTTGCAATTCTGATGATATCAATATGATGTATTCCAACGACTTCGCATTCCTACACACAAATCGTGCTAAAACACATTCCAAAGGCTCGTGAAAGATTCGTCGAAACAAATCTCCAATCTCCAATCTCCAACAACTCGCAAGTCATAGAGCGCGTTCTGCCGTGGCCACAAACTTATAATTTCAACAACAATGGGCCAATTCCTCATTTAATATCTCAGCGAGAAACCGGAGGTAGGAAAACACCAATAGCAGCAAACTCTCATAGTTGATATGATTCTGCAGAGCTCAGCGACAATTATCGTAAGCTGACTTCTCAATGTCGAAGGGTACTTTTCATTTGGCGACTTCATTTGCCAAGGGTGTAGCACATCTATTGTGGCTGAAGGCTTAAAAAAAAAAACGACAACGAGCCAGTGACGAAATCCGACAATAAAGTCATTAGGAATGATTTTAGATAAGAGAAATTCATAGAATAGACATTTCTGAAGGATCATTGGCACTTGGTCAAAAGCTAGACCTTGCGTAGTAGCGGTATGAGTTCAATAGTGGGTTTCTGGGGAGCACTGAGCTCCAGAAACTCTAGATCGAACGATGGTGGATATGCTTCAGGCAACGAAACGTCGGTCAGGCCTTGGCCATAACAACTCAGCCTCGTGAGATTGACAGATCTGACCCAAGCTGGCGGTGTGCGGTGGGTTAAGGCGTGCAAGGGCCATGTCAGACGCCGGCACAGCCACTGAACGATGGCCACCTCTTCGGCGCCAACCTGATGCGCCGAGATCTTAACCCAAACAGGTATGAAGCAACGATTCGCGGGTGATCTCTGGCCACCGCCATGGATTATGATCGGTGCGCTAGGATGCGGCGCAGCACTGCGGAGGAACCGTGGGCCAACCAACTCCCCACACGCACGCAGACACCGCAGCTGCCTTCAAAATCTGCCTCACGGACTCAGCTTGCATCGGCCGAGTTTTGCCTCTTGCAAACTTTTGAGTACTTCAGGAGCCTCACGTTTCTTTTGATTCTTGTGAAACAGTGATCAGCTTGGTACATATCCAAAAGCAGTGAGTTACAGGAGGCTTCATCTTGACCGCCTGCATCAATTGAATACTAACAAGGCTAGTAGAGAGATTCCCGGAAGATCGAATCACTCTCTCACCCTTTCTGCAGTCATCTTTGATCCCGCTAACAATGGTGTCCCTTCCAACTCGCTTCAAAAATGAGGCGCCAGCCACAACGCCCGAAAGCTTATCCGGCGACGAGAAAGATTGGGAATTGGTCGGCGATGGCTCACCCGAGGAGCAAAAGAAGATCGACCCTACATCTGTCGGGCTCGATATTCATCGGTCGCAGGATTCGGACGGGGTAATTGTCTCAGTACGTTCACCGAAGGGGGCTCCGGCAAGCTTAGGCGAAAGACAACGCCTGCCGGTCGACATTGTCCTGGTGATCGACGTATCATGGAGCATGGAAGACTTTGTCGATTGCCCCGTGGAAGTAGGCGCCCAGTCGGCTTCAGGAGACCAGTCCGGGAATGAGCCCAGCTATCGCCATTCGGTGCTGGACCTGGTTAAGAACGCGGCTCTCGCTGTTATTGAGAACTTGGACGAGCAAGATAGAATCGGGATTGTCACGTTCGGATATGACGCCGAGGTATTACCAAGTTACCCCGTCTGTTGGAGAGCACATGACTGATATGGAAATCCGGAGCAGATAGCGCAGGAGCTCACTTATGTGACGAGCGAATCTCGCGAGTCTATCATAACAAAAGTCCAGTCCCTCGAAGGGAACGGGGCAACGAATTTATGGGCGGGCCTCCGGAAAGGATATCAAATGATGTCATCTGCCGGCCTGCGGTCAGCGGAGAAGTCTAGCAACCAAGCGCTTTCTGCGATCTACCTGCTGACGGATGGCTTGCCGAACGTCATGCCTCCGGTGGAGGGCTACGTGCCAGCTTTACGGAAATTGATTGCACGTGAAACTGGAAAGGAAGGCGGCTCCGTTGTACCCTCACTCCATATCTTCGGCTTTGGGTATAACCTTCGCTCGGGGCTGTTACAGTCAATGGCCGAGGTAGGTGGAGGATACTATGGATTCATCCCCAATGGGTTTCTTATAGGTCAGTCTTGTCGTCCTTTCCAGGAATATTCGCTCACCAATATTTTCATTCAGCGACGATCTTTACGCACGCCATTGCAAACTTATTTGCAACTTTCACAACATCTGCAACTTTAAGGGTCACCGTCTCCGGCTGCTCGGAGATGCCAAAGCCGTTAGAGGGCGCGGCCTTGTACAGACAAAAGGAAAACGCATTGGAGATCTCTCTTTACAACCTCCAATACGGACAAACACGCGACGTGTTGCTTGTCTGGCCAAAGGAGCTCGAGAAGTCCAATTCTGCCTCGATCACGATATCCGCGGCACTCGAGTACACGGGTCCAGGACTAGGCTCTCAGCCAGCGAAGATCACAACGGAGGCGTCTAGCATCCCGAAAAACCCTAACCCGGCCTTCGCAAAGTACCACCTGCACCGTTCGATGGTCTGCGAGTTCCTGAATTCGCTCTCCAAACTCGATGGCGACGAAGAGTACATTACTATGCCTATAAACGACCTGGACAAGGCCCTGACCAGGCTCGACGAGCTTATCCGGAAGATCAAGTCCAGCGATTGCGCAGGAAGCGGCAGCCAGGACTTCCTGTACGATCTCGGGTCCAGTCTCGACGAGGCGCGAGCGAGCAGCGCGGATCCGGCTGGCCAAGTAATGCAAGCCCTGTTCCGCCCAATGTATTTCGACAGATGGGGCAAACACTACCGTCAGTGAAACAACTCTAATCCCCAAGAACCAACGCACAAAAGAAGCTGACCGCGTGTGCAAAACAGTCCCATCCCTCCTCCACGCCTACCGCAACCAGCTCTGCCTCAACGAAAAAGACCACGGCCCCAAAGCCTTCGTCGCCACCAACCCCCTCTTCCACCACTTCAAAGAAGCCCAGAGCACCTCCTGGGACAAAGCCCAAGACCGCCTCATGGAGATCGTCAAGAAGCAGGCCCGCGCCGACGCCGAAGCCGCCGCGCGCGGCGAGCAGCAGCGGTCTCCGCCGGCATACTCCTACTCCAGCAGCCGCGGCCTGGCGGCACAACCAAGCTCGCGCGTCATCTCCATGGCCGCCTACAACAACCCCCACAACCCCTGCTTCGCCGGCCCGTCCCGCATCCTCCTCGCCTCCGGCCGCCGCATCCCCGTCCGCCTCCTGCGGCCCGGCGCTGCCGTCCTCACGCCCGCTGGACCTCGCCGCGTCGCTGCTGTCGTCGAGACGGCGCTGCGTAGTGTCGCGTTGTGTGAGTTGGGCGAGCTGTTGGTCACGCCGTGGCACCCCGTGTTCGACGCGCAGAGCGCGGCGTGGGTGTTCCCGGCGACGGTTGCGGAGGCGCGCGTTCGGCGTGGCGTGAAGGTGTATTCGGTGATGCTAGAGGAAGGGAAGGGGCCGGAAGCGCATGCGGTAGATGTTGGGGGCTATTGGTGCGTCACGCTTGGCCATGGGGTGGTGGAGAAGGTGGAAGGGGATGCGAGGGGGCACGAGTTTTTTGGAGACTATGCGAGGGTGAGGGGGGAGCTGAGGAGGCTGCCGCAGAAGGGGAAGGGTGGGGTGTTGCGTTGTGGTGGTATGAGGCGGGATGAAGTGACGGGGTTGGCTTGTGGGTTTGAGAGGCCCGGTAGAGGACGCAATGGCAAGGTGCGGCGGCGGTATGGTGGGTGCCAGCAGAAGATCTCAGCTATCCTCCCATGAAGGAGGTTGGGCTCTTCTCATGTGGATAGTTGAAGCAAATATCCGGGTGTAGATGTGCTTTTCGGACTGCACGAGTACATCTGAATATCAGTTTCAGCTGCCGATATAAAGGGGTTGATGCAGAGCACTAGTAGTTAAAAACACATTCGGGGCCATTTGAGGAAACGCAACCTGTGTCCTGATATCTTCTGTACCATCTGTTTAGATCAAGTGGACGATTGTACAATCGGAATTTTAGGACTCCTGTGCTGGATTGAGAAAGGGTAAAGAATGAAGGGTGGGTTCAAGTCAAACGATACCAAAATGAGGAAAGTAATTGAACCGCGGTCCCTCCCTCTCAAAAATCGCAAATTGTAGAAGAAATCATGTAGGTCGTAATCCTTGTTAGATGTCGTCATGGCAGTATCTGTCAATACCAACATTGGTTCCTCCTGATTTCCCCACAACTGTTAAAAAAAAATAGCAAGAGGGCTCTCCGAGCTTTTCTAGTTAGATCAGCATGATGGCCCCGACATTGCTTTGAATCAATCTTTACAACTCCGCTTTTCGAAGCGCCACCCGACCTCTTTCCCCATTGTTCCTCCTCTTCTCACTTCTCAGCAAAATCCAAATCCTGCCAGACCGCCCATCTTCACGTCCTCGAGGCTCTCGACACCTGGGTCATCATCTTCGAGGATCTTATCGATGCGAGCGGGATCGCGGATGCGGAAGAAGGCGCGAGCGCCCTTAACAAAGCGGCGGGTGATGGGCGCGATCTCTTCCTCAGGGCAGGCGGCGAAGCACATGCGGAAGCAGTTGTAGCCATCGCGCTTGGCGAACTCTGGCGTAGCAGCGAAGATGCTACCAGGAGAGACAAGCACGCGGTAAGGCACAGTGGTGAGGAAGATCCAGAGGGCGCGCGACAGGCGGGCGTGGGGGATGACCTTGGCGAGCGGGTGCGTAGTAAAGTCGAAGCGGATCCAGACGAACATGCCTCCGATCGGGCGGATAAAGGAGTAGATCTGGTTGGTTTCGACGACGGCCCATTCGTCGGCGTCGTAGTCCTCGACGGTGCCGTTGGAGGAGGACGGGTGTACGAGCGAGCTCAGCGAGCTGCGCCGGCCCGTCTTGACCAATTGTTTGCCACCATCGAGGATGTCACACATGGTGTTCATGCGTCGCTCGTAGTTGCCGCGCAGCCCTTCGAGCCAGCGTACCCACCCGCTGACGTCCCAACCACGACCATCCTTGGCGCCGCCTTGGCCGCCATCCTGCTTGCTTTGCGGACCCATGAGGAGCTCGGCGATCATGGCCTGCACGAAGCCTGAGGGCTGTTGAGTCGACGTCTCGGTTAGACGCAGGATGCGCTCGACAATGGCAGGCTGTGCAGTGAGCCAGCCAAGACGGCATCCAGGAGCGACCGTCTTGCTAAAAGTGTCAATGCGGATGACGCGGCCCTGGTAGTCAATCGAAAGATACGATGGCACAAGGGAGTCGAGGAACTCGAAGCCTGAGGACTTGCCTTCGGGCTTCGAAGGGGTGGAGTTGGGAGATGACGACGGATATTGAAGGTACCAGTAGGGGTCATCTTCGACAATAATTATGTCATACTTGACGCAAATATCGTAGATTTCTTTGCGGCGCTCTACGCTGAGCACGCCGGAGGTTGGGTTCTGACCGACTCTGCGGATTTGTCAGTGTTTGGATTATTCAACAACTTCGTCTTAAGCATGAAGAGCAATCACGCAGCAGCACAGGCTGAAGCTTGGGATAAGTGAATGGCAATGATGGCTCTTGGAAATCAAATGAAATTGCATACGTTACGGTGTAGATCAGGTGAGGGCGTCGGCCTCTCGAGGCATCCCAGCTGTCGAGAACGTCCTCGAGACCACCTTCGCCTTTGGCCATCATACCCTCGTCATCAATCTTGACGGGTATAACGTTGACGCCGCGAGGGCGCACAGCCTGCATGGCATTTGTGTAGCAGTACTCCTCAACCAGCACGGCCTCCCTGTCATCTATGGGGTCCCGGTCCTCGTCCCACTCATTAGTCAGAGCTTGGACGACCTTGGAGAAACCATCGGTAGAGCCGCAGGTCAGAATAATCTCAGGGCCGCCCTGGTAAGGCACATTGGGGTGAAGATTCTGAGTGGTGAATTGGCGGACAAATTGGTAGAGCGGAGGGTAACCCTGGGCGGTGCCGTACTGCAGAGCCGTGTCCAAGTCGATTTTCCGCAAGAGATCAGTGGTTCCTGAGGTGTGAGGAACAATGATGCGGGTGGACTGAGGGGAGTCGGATAGGGAGGCTTTGGACAATTCAGCAGTGGGAGGGTCGACAGGGTTGTTGGGAGTGGGCTTGAAGCGATCAGGCAGCGCTACACGGGCTTCAAAGTCGTCGTAGGGGAAATATTTCTCGTTAGGAAGACCTGAATTTATCGCATGAGCGCTCAGTTGACTGCTGGGGGATCGTCAAGGAGTCAGACCTCCCGCAAGTTGACCGATGCCTGGAATCAAAAAGTACTTGTAGAAGGACTTCATAGACGACGGCACCCTGTTCTTGGCATTACGCGAGAGATGGTGGGAAAGGTCAACGGGCTTTGGCAGCTCTTTGCTGGCCTCCATCTTGGGCAAATGGATGAGGTCCGGACTGGTGCAGCGGTATGGGAGAGAGGCAGAAGCAAGGAATGTGGGGAAGAATGGGGAGTGCGCTGTCGCGATGGTGAGGTATGGATTGCGATAGCGTCGGCGATAAGAGAGCTGCAATTGTAAGCAACCAGACGCGAGCTGCCCGTTCGGAGTGCGGCACTCCCGTCCAGCGCGCGGGCACGGACACGGACGCGTGCGGACGGCACTGGTCGACGCGCCGGCCCTGAGGCATCCAGGCAGGAAGGCGGCCGGGCGGCCTGGCGCCAGCGCACCGCAGTGGAGACGGCCTCCCGTCAGCGTCGCTCGCCCTTATCCTAGCCGCTTCGAGCCAGTCGGGCTCCCAAACCACGTCGACTGCTGCTTCGAGATGGGGTGGACAAAGTTCGGAGAAGACGAGAGCCACGAGCTGCCCGGCCGTGCTCCCGGGGCACGTCATGACCAACGCCAGGATGCAGGTACGATTCGCCCAGCTGACTGACGCCTCACCACCACCACACCTTCCCTCCTTTCCCAAGCCTCTCCGCTGCCTTTCTCTTGTCTCTCGACCAGTCCATCATTATCCCACGCTGCCCGCTCAACGACTCTCGCTGGCCGACGTCGCTGCGCTCTCCCGCCACTAACTCCGGCGCATTCCGGTCTGACAGCTGATCCGACCCAGACCATCTGCCGGCATCGGGTACCACACACATGTCGCAACAATACCAGGACGACGAGCACCCGCATGCGGAGTATCGTGACGATGCCACAAGTACCGTAGACTCCGATGCCACCGCCACCAACAACCATCACTACAGCTACGACGACATCGACGACCTCCCCGCCCCGCCTAGCCCGCCCGAGTATGTCCCAAAGCCTGTCAACCGCGTCGTAAACTCTATCGCCACGTGGATCAAGGGTCCCCAGCCTCCGCGCCCCTATAAGATCACCCCCTTCTTCCCCGCCATCCAGACCGCCCCGCCGCGACTGTTGGACAAGTATGTGCCGAAGCGAAAGCACAAGGGCTGGCTTCTGGTGGCTTTCTATGCTCTTTGGCTCCTCTGTTTCTCGCTGGTGCTGCGAAAGTCGGCCTTTTCTTCGGATATTGGCGACTATGGCTCCCCGCTGAGGCTGACGTGCCTTTCGCGATTCTGGTATGCATGTGCCTGCGAACTGGAGCCCGGGCAGCGGTTGGCTGACTTGCTGCAGGGCCGATAACAACGGATGCGGCTTGAACGGAGACAACTGCCGTCCTTTCGGGAACAACTCTTTTGCCTTTCGCTGCCCCGCCAACTGCAAGCGTGTCGAGGTCGTGAACCCACATGCCGTCGGTGATCAGGAGGTGAACTACAGACCTCTCGTGATTGGTGGTCCCACGGAGGGCGACGGAGAGGATAACGTCGGTAGCACCATTTACCGCGGTGACTCGTTCATCTGTGGCGCTGCCATCCATGCCGGCTTCGTCAGCAACAAGGCTGGTGGCTGCGGCGTCGTTTCACGCATCGGCACTCAGAGTCGATTCCCCTCCTCCAAACATCATGACATCGACAGTATCGGTTTTGATTCTTACTTTCCGCTCTCGTACACATTTCTCGAAGGGACCGAATCACAATGCAAGGATCTGCGCTGGTCTCTTTTCGCAGTCTCGCTGACCTTCACCGTCATCCTCTCCCTTTTCACCACATCGCCAGCCGTATTCTTCCCCTCAGTCTTCTTCGGCATCTTCTTCCACGTCGCACTGGCGTCGGACCCGCCTGACCTTACCGACTATCATGCTCTTGTCAGCATGGCGCTGGGACGCTTCCTACCCGCCGCGTTCTGCGCCTTTGTCATGTACAAGTTCTCCGTTCGCCCCACCCTGGACGGTCTCACCGCTCAGATCGAGAAGACTGTTCTCTGGCTTGGTGGTTGCTGGGTTGGTGCACTGAACAACTACACATTCGACAAGATCCCGATTCAGCGTCTTACGCCGCACGATATCCAGCAGCAACCTGGCGCTGTTCCAGCTCTCATCATCATCGTCCTTTCGCTCTTCTGCATCGCTTTAGGCCAAGCTTACGCTCTGCGTGTCGAAGGACGGCTTCCGCGGTACCTTGTCATTTATGGTATCATGAGCGGTTGCATTCTTGCCCTGGTGGCGGTTCCGAAGATGAACGTCCGCATTCACCATTATATCCTGGCTCTTCTACTTATTCCAGGCACGGCGATGCAGAACCGGCCGAGTCTCCTGTACCAAGGTATTCTCGTCGGCCTGTTCATCAACGGAATTGCTCGCTGGGGTTTCGACAGCATTCTGCAAACCCCGCTCGAGCTTCGTCAGGATGCGCATCTTGGAACGTTGCTGCCCGAGATTCTTCCTCCCATTATCCACAACGTCTTTGATCCAGACTACAGTATCATGCCCAACATCACGTTCGAGTGGAAGCTGCCGTTGCCAGAAAAGTATGATGGCGTCAGCGTCCTCGTAAACGATGTCGAACGATTCCGGGCGTATCTGGACGAAGACAAGACGAGCTTCACTTGGGTTCGCCAGGATATTGAACTTCCTGAATATTTCCGGTTTGCGTACATGAATGGACGGCGTTCAGGCGATTACACCAAAGCCGGAAAATGGACTGCTGAGGGCGGGTGGCAGCACATGCAGCCTGGGCCAGGTTAATGTGTGCCACCATTTTTAAGAATGGTTTACACTGCTGGTTAGAGGAGTCGTTACACGTTGGAAAGAAAAAAATAAATCACTAGACGCAATTGGACAGAGCATTCTTCTCATCATGCACTTGATCTATTTTTGTCGCAGTAGAGATAGTCGCTATATATCCCACTACGTTCATTTAGCCATTGATCGCCCCTATCGCGCACGCTTGCTTCAGGCTACGGGATCGGCTTCGATCCAGTACCGGATTTACGTTAGACGTTACTCCGCTTAGAGGGTCCATCCGAAACATTCGGCTCCACAGGTGGGGGGGATCAGATCATCACAGCTCAACGTGTGCAGAAAAGCTTATAAGAAGCTTCTTTCCTACATGCCTCAGAGGTTTCATTGCCATCACTCCCCCCCTGTCTCGAACACAGATCTTCATAACTTTCCAGCCTTGCTCTCGCGTTCGCTTCAGCCAAGCATAAAAAAAAATAAACAATGGCCGCCGACAAGCAGCACCCACCTCCAATCACGCTCTTCTGCTACCCGGGCTCGCCCTACAGCAGGCGCATCAGCTGGTACCTCGACCTGCGACGCATCCCGTACGCCACGTCCATCCAACCGCCGATCCTGCCTCGCCCGCTCCTCCAGGACGGCTTGCGCCTGCGCTACCGCCGCATCCCCGTGCTCGCCGTCGGCGGCTCCGTGCTCTGCGACACGCGCCTCATCCTCGCCAAGCTCGACCGGCTCTTCCCGCCGTCAGAGCAGCATCCGGCCCTGCTGCCCACTGGCCCCGCTGTGGGTGGCCTTGCCAAGATGCTGGAGCACTGGACGACGGCCAGCGCTGACGGTTTGTTCGTTCTTGTCGTCGGCCTCATACCGCCGCAGTCGCCGATGCTGAGCGACCCGGCCTTCCTGCGCGACCGCGAGGAGCTGCTGGGCGGTGGCTTGAAGTTGGATGGTGCTGACGTGGCGGCGAAGAGGCCTGCGTGCCGCGCGGCTATCGAGGCGGCGATGGGGGTCGTCGAGTCGACGTTTTTGGCAGATGGGCGCGAGTGGTTGCTGGATCGTGAGCAGGCGGCGGCGATGGGGGGTGGGCCGAGCTTGGCGGATTTGCAGGGCGTTTGGGTTTTCGACTGGTTGCTGTGCGATCCGTTTCTGCAAGGCGCGTTGGGGAGCGAGGAGGAGGTGAGGGGTGTGGAGGAGAGGTTCCCGCGGACGGTGGCGTGGGTGAAGAGGTGGAGGGCGTGGTTGAAGGAGAAGGGGGCGTGGGATGCGGAGAGGGAGGGGCCGAGGGGTGCGATTAAGGACGAGGAGGTGCTCGAGAGGGTGTTTGGGAATGCGTTTGTGGAGGACGGGGAGGAGGTTGTGTGGGATGAGCAGAGTGCGCGGGTGGTCGGGCTGGAGAAGGGGCAGGTGGTGGAGGTTTTCCCGACGGATTATGGATGCGCGCACAAGGACCAGGGCCGGTTGGTTGGGCTGGGAATTGATGAAGTGGTGATTGATGTGGATGTTGAGGAGAGGGGGAAGGCTGTGAGGCTGCATTTCCCGCGGACTGGCTTCTGCGTGCGTAAGGTGTAGGAGGAGACTGAGTAACATGTTGCGTGGATGAAATAAAGCTCTCAGACCTACCATTTCTACTCACCCTGTGCTTTCAACATCCCGAGTGCATTGGGATTGCTCAATTTAGCGTTTTGTTCGCAAACCTATGCAAGCGAAGTTGTCAACACCATCCGAGCAGGAGAGATATGAAGAGTTCAGATGGAAATTTTGACGTGCATGATAGCATGACTCACGATGAACTGTGTTCGTCCAATTCTCTGAACCATGAATCTTGTGTCCGGAAAGACGTTCGCACCCATGTTCTATCCCCTGTCGTAAGCTTGCCCTTTCAGGATAGCGCATTCGTCTACCCCACAACCACCGAGCAAGCTCCCCCCACGCCCGCCGCCACCATCGCACAACGTCACCACCTCCCGCATCCTATAAAGGAAAAAGAAAAAAGAGCAAAAAGGAAAGAAAATCGGCCCCCAACCAATCACAAACGATGCCGCTCTCCCTCGGCCTCGAAGACACGCACGTCCTCATCACCGGCGGGGCGGGCTTGATCGGCGGCGCCGTGGTGCGGGCCTTCCTGTCCGAAGGCGCGCACGTCTCGTCGGTCGACATCGCGCACGCCGACGTCGCGTCGGACGACGAGGAAGAGGAGCCCGAGAGCGAGTACAGCGGGCCGGGCACGCTGCACGAGTACTACGGCGACGTCGCCGACGAGGCCTCGCTCGCGCGCGCGTGGCGCCGCGCCGTCGCCGAGAACGGGCCCGTCGGCTGCTGCGTCGCGCTGGCCGGCCTCGACCTTAGCGTGCTTCCCCGCCGCCACGGCGGTGCAGGAGACGACGATGACGCTGGTGGTGTAGGTGGTGGAGGTGGCGGCGGCGGAGGTATTGTCGATGTTAGCGTCGCGCAGTTCCGCCGCACGCTGGACGTCAATGTCGTCGGTACGTTCCTGACGGCGCGGCAGTGGTTGAGGGGTATCCGAGATGCCGAGAGTAGTTGGGATTACTTGGAGAATGCGTCCTTGGTGCTTGTGGGGAGCGAGAGCGGCTGGTTCGGCGAGCGAGGCTATCCCGACTACGCGGCGGCGAAGAGCGCGGTGCAGGGCGGCTTGTTGAAGAGCCTGGCTGCGGATGCGCCCAGGGTGTATGAGAAAGCTCGGTGAGTTTTTCTCTCTGGATTTTGTTTCGTGTTGTTTAATGATTGCCCTCCCCTCCCGTTTTCGTGCCTATTTCGGTCGCTACTCTTGCTTTGGGTGGAGATCGTGTTTCTGACGCGATGATACTTGTCTACTACAGTGTCAATGCCGTGGCTCCAGGACCTGTTGATACCGTGCGGTTCAGGCAAGAGTGCGCCGACAACCCTGACCAATTGTGGTTGGATGCGCAGGCTACGGTGAGCAGGCATTCCCCAGTGTGCAATCCATGTGGTCTGACGTCGATTCCTACAGACTGGTCTTGGGAAGCCAGTCCCAGTCGAAGCTGTAGCCCGGAGCATCCTTTTTCTGGCAAGTGACAACTTTAGCAGTCATGTCCACGGCCAAGTGCTCAATGTGGATTCTGGGAAGCAAGGCAAAGTTCTCTGGCCGAAGGAAGACATTGTGGATTATCGGTCGTCACCCTCTCAGTCGCAAGCGTCCGAAGAGGATTGAGCATAAGGAAAGAATGTGGACTAGAAGAGTGGGGAACAGGATGCCAACTTGGTCTACGGACTACCAATGGACGGCCTCAGGCGCGGTAGAACGGGGTCTACGGCATGGCTGACGCAATTTGACTGAGATGGACGACTTCGGCACTACGTGGCAAGTGCATTCGGGAACGGGGCGAGCCTTTGGGGTAGGAAAATGTTGGGTATCTACATGCCCATGGCGAACAGGGGACGACCTTGGATCAGTCATATTCCAGGACAGCGCCGCCTATTCACCGGTGACACCTTCATGAGTCAATGTAAACGCTCCCCAACCATGCGCGCGGCTAAGGGTCCTCGTGTCGGAAATCTAGCTACGTATGCCCAAAACCTTGGCTAGCGGACGGTCGGCATGTAGATCCTCAGGGACCTAGGACACAATTCTTGGCATGATGAAAGCACAAAATGGGGGCCAACAAGGAAACGGAATGGCTTCCGAAGCTGAAGTCTTCTTTCGTCGGCAAAAAACAAAAGGTGTGATGCTCGGGCCAAAGGTGTCCGGTCTCGTTCAACCCTTTTCTGTTTGCCACCCGATCGGCGGTACCCTAGAAAATGCGCGAATTCTCTCCGGGTCTCGAAGGAGGCAAGTCGTCGAGTCATGCAAGGGAAAGGTCGGAAAGCGGATTATGTCACGAGGTGGGAAAAGCAAGCAAAAGCGATGGCGAGAGCAGCGGATTGTGGACGGGACGGTAGTCAGAGAAGCCATTTTCGTGCCTCTGCCGGCGCTAGGAGAGCCCAAGACCCACCAAAGGAATAATAAGGGGTCTCAAAGGACAAGAGCTTGACCGCTCTCCGCCCCGCTTTCCGCCTCACGCAAACGTCGAATGGGTTGGATAGATTTCGGATTTTTTGAAGCACAGGGTGGTGGGACCCCCCGTGGGGACGCGCGCATGACGGCAGCGGCGCAGAAGAGACGGAACAACGATTAGCGAGCCGATTGAAGTTCCACCCTGCTGGCGGTTCGAGTATCCCGAACTGGATGGTCGAATGATAAGAGGTGAGGACGTGAAACATGGCTTTTGGACCCTGATTCTGAAATTTTGCGCACCGAGGCGCCACGCGCCGCTGATTGGAGTTTAGCGGCTTGCCTCCCACGAGGCCGACCGGGTGGCCAACGAGAAGGTTGTCTGGTGAGCGTGTCGTGAGCAGGTGACGGCGCATCACGGACCAAGTATGACGGGCTCTATTTCCTCTGTCTCGGAGCTGGAGCACGGCGGCTCACGAGTGGCGTCCACTAGCCGTCGCTGGGGAGAATTTGTGTACCTTCCGGTCAAGTCAAGGGGAATGGCGAAAGGTTACTGATGACGACAACCAGTGGAATAGCCTCAGCCCGGCCCGCTTCTGTCGGTGTAGCGTACAGTTCAGCCCGTGCTGACTTGTCGACGACAAACTCCAGAGCACTCGGATGGAGCGGGCGGTACGAACAAGATACCTGAGCAGATCCCACGAACCACGCAAGGGTCTGTGGCATCCCTCATGCGAGCCCAACGGACTGACGATCACCCTGTCCGAAGCGGGGGACAGACGAATGGCACGGCGAAAGCCGCCGTCGAGGGTGCCGGGTGTAACGGTTTGAAGCACTTCGGCAGCGTGACCCTCGACGGGCAGCTAAGGCAAGCCGGCGAGCTAGGTGACGCCGCCGTCGGTCATCAAGCGAGGAGGAGGCCGCCGTGTCTAGCTCGCATTGGGACGCGGGCTAGGGCCTGCGTCTGAGTGGTTCAAAGTATGCACCTGTGTGAGGCGTGCGATGTGTGCCAAGAAGTCAATCTTCGAAGCAGGGAAGATCAACATTGCCTTCTGCCAGGGTCTCACAAGATTTGGTGGGCGCTGCTTGCCAAATCGAACAGGGATCCGCGAGCTGCGAAGTGGAGGCGCGTCAGGTCAGCGGGCGGGTGGAATGGGTCTCCCACTGTAATAGGTGGATCCTTCGCGCTGCAACCGGCCGGCCGTCCATGCTACCGCCGCCTATGTAGCGCGAAGCAAGTCGCGGAGAGGTCTCCGTCTAGCGTGAGCGCACGTTTCGTCGCCGTATAGCTGTTTGCAGGCTCTGGAGCGCTGGCTGGGCAACAGTGTAAGGATCTGTTAGTCGATGAACAGGTGAACAAGATTTGCGTAGGCCATGTACATCGCATTACTCTCGTGGGTAAGGAGCAACAACAATAAGCACCATGACATGAAGCCAATAAATGATGTGGATGGGACAACCTTGTAGATTCGTACGTCATATGTGGAGAATCTGGTAGAGATGATCCGTTCGAGATGCGTCGCTTTCCCGACATCCAAACCAAATGTACAGGGCGTTAATACGCTGCAAAAGTAGTCGCTATGTGAAAACTCCGTCCCAAAATGCTTCCTAAAGTCATGCGCCAGTTTCCGACCTTCGTCCCGCTAAAATTTCAGATCGTGAGAACGGTAGCTTGGAAGTTTTGCTACTCGTGAAACAAAGAGGCGACCCATGTTCCCGCCATGGTTGCGATCGTTCGACTTCCAGCGTCATTTTAAGACGAGGTGGAACTGACGGAGCCGCGACTCGAGTCGGTGGAGAGACTGGTGGAGCTGCCACCCTGCGTCCGTCTCCGGGCAGAGTTAGTTGCGCTCTCGAGCTGATGCTTGGTGTGCTCATGCATGACGCTATTAATCGTTAGTAAGCAAGTAGAATTATCTGATCTAAACAACGTACCGAGCGTAGAGGCTCATGGAGGCGGACGGGTTGTCCAAGTCGTAGTGGTTGGCGAAGTTGTGCTGGGCCGACATGGGGGCAGAGTAGTCGTCGGTTACGTAGACAGTGGCGGCGGCAGCGGACATTGCGGGTGTTGGTGGTTTAAATGGTGAGAGTTGCAGTTGTAGTGGTTGTGATTGCTGATGAGATCGAGATGCTCGTAGGCAGAAGGGCTCGGTCATATATAGGAGCGAGGCTAGGGCACCTGAGCGCATGGGCAGGGCGGGGGAAGGGCGTGGTGGGCGCAACAAGGGCATGCTAGGAGAGCGAGCGCGCTTGTGGCGTCGAACGATATCATAGTGTCGATCACTCGGCGGTCGTTCAGGGTCCAGCGAGGGCCCGATAAGAGCGGCACCACAACAACACCGGGATCGCTAGCCCTCGACTGGCCCAGCTGAGCAAAGAGTGAGCGCCGTGGACCCTGATCTGCTGGGCGCTGTGTGTTGCCTGTCTGCGCGTGCTGCAACCCAGCGCGGGCCGGGGTCCACGCCGCTGACAGCGTGAGCCCCGCCGGTGTGGTGCCCCAGACGGGCATCGCGCGGGCGCAGGGAGAGAAATGACGCTGTCGCGTCAGCGGAATGGCCGTGTGCGACAGGCGGGAGCAGCACAAGTAGGCGCAGCCGAGCGGGAATGAAGTCAGCCTGGGGGAGCGCCGCGCCGAGAGCGGGCTGGGGGAGGGCGCGTGGCGGGCGCGAGAGTTGGCGGCGGTATGACGATGCTGCAGGGTCTGCTTTCGTCTAGCGCTCGACGCTGACTTCATGTTCCTGGCGCGGGCTCGGGGCCCACGCCCGCTGCCTACTCACCGTCTCCGTCTCCGCGCCGCCTGCGGGTCATTTGCGCGCAACGCCGCTCCCTGCTGTCCCGAGGTCGAGACCGCGCTACGACCCGCCTATGCGGCTCCCACGCCCCAGTTGATCCGCAGTGCGTCACCTCCTCAACGCTCCTCCAGAGCGTCGCGCAAGCCTCCCCCTCGGTTCCATGCCACACCTCACTCGGCACTTTGCGACGCTGCGTAACCTCAGTGCGGCTGCCGCCCAGGCCGCCCTAACCACCACACAAGCTCCTTCTAGACGAAGTTTGGTGCACCGTTGGTCTCTGTAATTGCTTGAAATGCACTTGATTTTGCCTGCGGGCGTTTGCTTTGCTGCAGCCGTCTATCTTCCGTCAATCCCCTCTCAGCTTCCAATCGCATTGCAATTCAGCCGCCACGCATTTCGGCCTTTGAACACGCTAGGAATGCTGATGAGACAGATCCTGTCCCTACTCGCCACCCGTCATGCAAAGTGATTGCCGTCGCCGAGCCTAACTCTCGACCACCTCTCTCCCCGCACGGCCGCCGCTCCCTCGCGCATCATGATCTACGGAACGAGTATTTGCAGGTTCCTCGTCGCTGGCCCTGTGTTCCAAGGCGTGGTGCGTTCCGTGAGCGATGGTGTTGCTGGTGCGACGACGCCACCTCTGATGTCATAGCCCGGACCAACATCTCCTGCACCCAGACGCCCGCCTCCTCCTCCTCACCCTCTGGCGATCCTTGGCCTTCAAACGTCAGGCAGCATGAGCTTAACTTCGCGCCGCCAGCCCACCGGCCGTGAACGGCCGCCCTCCGGTTACCATGCCGTCCCCGCTGACGCAGCCCGTGATATCACTGCGAGCCCTCCACCAACAGACCGCACACTCCTCTGCGCCAATTCCTCAAATTGTCACCAAACCCGTTCTACACGCACGTCATATCCGCACCACCTCACCCCGCCGGTCCCTCTGTGTCAACTGCAGCCGACTCGGAACGGCGCCAGGCCAGCAACCTGTGCGGCTCCACCCGCACGGGCTCTGCTGCATCGTCGACCACATCTCGCGAGCTAACGGCTGGGTCGATCGCTGCGGGCGTCGCGGGGCGGCCGCTATGTTTGCTCGTTAATCTCACTAGTGTTGCTCAACACCGGCTCCCTGTGCCCTAGTACGTAGTTGGCTATCTATCGAGTGGAGGCCCTCCGCTCGGCGCCGGCCAGAGGGCGTCCTTCTGACGTCGCCTCCCCACAAGTATCCTGGTCAGCCTGCAGCAGTTCCTGGCCTGCTTCCAATCAGTGCACGGTTATACAGGGGAGCCGTTTCCGCCATACATACACTCCCGCGCGCACAGGCGCACTTCTACATCATGCGCGCGACCCTCGAGCGGCCTAGATGGAGGCTGGAATGTCTTAGCATCGTTCGAGCCGCCGTATATGCACTACCAACAAGTGCAGTTAGATCGTGTACCTCCCCACGCATGACGCATCACGCATGGTGGCCACCTCCCACCACAACCTCCAGCTTGCTATTCGGGCAACTCGCGCAGCGTGTAAACCAACAAGACCCCTACGATGCGGACGCACGCCGGGGTGCTGCCGTTGGTCGCTGACTTCGCGCCGTGGAGCGAAGGTGGCCATCCTAGATCGCGATTGTGATCGGGATCATCGCAGGCTCGATCTGGAAAACACTCCACCATCTCGCTTCTTTTCATCGCCGTGACGCAAGAAAGTCCGCGCTCGTTCTCGCTGCCCGTGCCGGTCATCAACATCTGTGCCGTACTCGGCATCTTGTCCTCGGACCAGCTTATCCGACGAAGTAACTGCTTGCCTTTGGATCATGATGTCGCCATGAGGTGTAGACGGACAGGATCTCTGGTACAGGTTTGGTGGAGTCCTCGAAGAGAATCGCTTAAGCCTTCCCGCCTACGGTTTCGTTCCGAGAACGTAGGTAGGGGCTTGGGAAGGTCTGCTACATCACATCATCTCATTGCATCTGGAAAGTAACGCATAGGTATTGGTGTGTTTGCAGGATTAGAAACGTCATCGCCAATGTTGTCATAACTCCGAGTGCGTTGCGAGTCGCATCCCCTTCTCAGTCCGTTCAGGCCTCAAGCCATTTCACGATCAGTTCGTTTGCGAGCAGGTCATACTCAACAAAGTGCTAACTTGGATCTGACCTAGTTCTACCATAGAATCTACCTACCCCTCGAGTCCCGAGCCTTCATGAACGATACGTCGCTGTCCACAGGAATATCAGCATTAGAAACAAGCAAACACACATCTAGGGCCGGTGCAGAAATCATAAGGCAACCATAACGGCATGGCATACCAACCCACCCAATAGGAACTATGTTCTGAGGTTTACATTGAAGTGAGGACTCACGAGACTGGATACCTTGTTGGCTATTTCATGTGTCACGGCGACATGAAAGCACACACACTTCATTATGGAATCAGACCGATCACACTACCAGTCTTTGATGCTCGAGAGGTCACGGTGAAGGTGCACATGCAGCGGGTACATTCTTATCCGGATGCCTCACTTCTGTGTCACAACGGAAGCAGGGCGGAGGCCTGCAGCTCACCTGTACATGGGTACTACCGGCAAAGCGCATAAGTGAGCTGCAGTGGTCCACGAAGCTGCCATGCACCTGGCCCCCATGACTTTCTGATGTTAAATACAGTCCCCTCTCGCAGTAGTGCGGATCTACTTTTTGCTCATGTCATGGGTAGCTGAAGCTATCGTCTGGACGTGTACGCAGAATTTCTAATTCCACATTTTCATCCGAACGGTGGCTTCAACTACCCACATATGTTACTTTTCTAGAAGCAAGCTCAGTCATAGTTACGCCTGGAGCCTTACTCTTCTTCACGCTAGCCTTCGGCTGCGATAACCCCCAGTATAATGTTGGCTAGCATGGGCTTTTCTTTCATTCGCACAAGCTAGCAGTGAACCTATACTCGCATAAGCCATCCAGTACTGCACTCACAAGCTCAGTTAATATACAAAGCGATTACTGCTTTCAAGATAGCTGTGAAAATAGATACACATCAATTCGCTAGGAAAGGCAATCGTTTCACTAAGGTTGGCTTCTAGCCGGCTTCCGTTATTCCACTAGTGCTTAGATCCAAACCATACAAGTTTTCTACCAAACCGTCTTCCTATTCTATGGAGATAAAGTGCCCACTTGACAAGAGGAAGTCGGGCCGCACCTGGAGCCTGAGGCAAGACAGGGAATAACACGTGACTGACATTCGAAAAGGGAAATTTAACCGCGCGCCGCCGGGTCGGGCCCGAGCTCAACGACTTCGCCGGCAACCATCAAATCTACTCCAGCCAATGCATCTTCTTGAACGCAAGAGGAAAATTAAAGATGTGAGTACTGGCTCCGCTTCAGCACCCCTCGCCGATACTGACGTAACAGAAGGTCGGATGAGGAGGACCGAAATGCCTGGACTCAGGACGATGATGCGTGGAACGCTTTCGGCAAAAGAACCAAGATTAGAAGGCCGCAAGAAGACGAGGACGATGGAGAGAATGCTTGTAAGCCGAGCGCAGAGTATTAAGAAACAAAGCCGTTCTTTTCTCGTTAATGCCTCTACAGATCTCGAAGGTGAAGCGGCATTTCAGCGCTACATAGAGTGCCTACAATGGCTCCTCTGTACCCAAGCCCGCTGGCTGGTCCACGAGAAAGGCATGCCAGCCGACCTTGAGGTTGGTCTTCTCAACCATACCCACGCCCACGACTGTCTACTAAGTTTTCTATCTCCCGCAGGTCGTCATCCGCGACCTCTGGCACATCCGCCTCCGCACCCTCTCGTGGACGCAAAACCGCGACAACACGACGCCCATCCGCGCGCTCGACACCCTCGTCCTCTGCTACTTCGGCCTAGTCATCCTCCAGCTCCCTACGTCTCTGCACGACCTCTACTCCTGGCTCTCCTTCGCCCCTTCCTCCCTGCAACCCGCACCAGCACCAGCACCATCATCAACCACCACCACCACCACCACCACCACCACCACCACCACCACCACCCCTTCCGCCGCCGCCGCCGCCGCCACCGAACCCACCACCAACAACCCCCCCACCACCAACAACCCCCCCACCTCCAACAAAATCGACCACCTCCTCTACTACCTCGCCCGCGACCGCGCACCCCCCTACCTCCTCCACCGCCTGCCGGGGCCCTACCTCAACGCCCTCATGCCTGCCCTGCTCACCCCGGCCCGCCTGCAAACCGGCATCCACACCCTCGCCCGCCTCTTCCGCGTCGACCTGGGCGTCAGCTTCCCGCCGCTCAACTTCGCCCCGCTCGCCTACCGCGCCTACGTCGACGCCCTGGCACTCCCGCTCGAGGCGCTGCCCGTCGTCGAGAAGCTGGCGCGCGGCGCCGCCGTCGCGTGGACGTTTGTGCCACCGCCCGGTAGTAGTAATAGTAGTAGCGAAGGAAAGGGGAGGGGGAGTATCAGCAAGATGAAGAAGGTCGACGCGCGCTGCTGGCTGCCGGAAGCGCAGTTGGCGGCGCTGGTCGTCTTGGCGATGGAGACGCTGTGTCCGCTGCACGACATCGAGGGAGATGGAGAAGTGGAGGGGTTGGCGGCGGCGGCGAGGACGAAGAAGAAGGTGCCGGCGTTTGAGTGGGATGGCTGGGTAAGGGAGCGCGAGCGCGCCGCCGTTGCTGCGGTAGCGGAGCAGGGGGTGGCGACGGCTAACGCAGTTGGACGTGCGAATGGGGGTGGTGATGATGGGGATGAGTATTTGAGCGCGGCGGAGAAGATGCTGCAAGGGCACGACGCGGATGACTTGGAGCAGCTTCCCAAAGCGCCAAAATCTCTGGGTGAAGCGGATGGAGCACATACGGATGAGGATGACGACGAGGGGGAGGCGGATATGCTGGAGGGGAATGAGAGGATTTTCTACGAGGTTGTCGCGAAGCAGGCCGTTATGCCCGTCTCGCTGCTGGTGAAGACTGTGAGATTGGTTGAGATGAGGTTGGAGGAGTCGGCAAAAAGGATAAAGGAGGTAAAGAAAAGGTCCGGTAGGGTGAGATAAGGCGGACTATTGTGGCAGATCAATATATAAATATCAGAGCTTCGAAGAAATTTGGCCGTCAAGAAGGAAGTGTCTGTTTTCACATCATGCCAACGAACGAGCTAAGAGGATGGCTGTAAAGCACATCGTTGTATTTGCAAATTACTCCATTTACCAAACAATAAGCCTTAGCCTTCGCCTTAACGGCGACCTTTGAAACGCCTAGCAATGTGTGTGAGTGTCTACCAACACGAATTTCAATTCTCGGCAGCCCACGCTCTTGTTTCGCAATTCATACCCGATATTGCTGCCGGGCGTAAAGTAAACCATTCCCCATCAAAAAAAGCCTAGAAGGCAACCACGCAATCGTCCAAGTTCTCCGTCTTTTCTACGCATTGATGTTCCTCAAAGCGCCCAACCTCCCGTGTCCACCAAGCCCGCTAGGCGCAGGGCTACCGCCCCTACTACCTGGGCCACTGATGCGAGGGCTGCGCGGCACGCTGCCGGCACGAGTACCCACGCCCTGGCGGCCACGGATCGCCTTCAACTCGTCGTTCTTCTGCTGCAGCAACATGTTCCTGTCGTTGAGCTGGATCTGCAACCGCTCCATCTCGTCCTTGTACGCTTCCTCGGCGCTCGTGAGGCTGAGCTGGCGCGCCTTGTCGCGCTCGCCCGTCTTCAGCTTCGAAAGCTCGCGCACCTGCTGCGTCAGGGTCTCCACGCTCTCGGACAACTGTGTCGACTGCCGGGATGCCGTCTGGTACTCCGAACGGAAGAATTCCGAGCTCTTGTTCTCCGCCTCGCGCAGCTTTTGCACTCGCTGGAGCTTTGCCAACGCCTCGTCTCGTTCCCTCCGTAGCTGCTCCCGCTCCGCCACTTCCGGCACCGTTGAGCTAGCCAACTGCTGGCGTGCTTCTTCAAGTTGCTCCCTAAGGGTGTTGCGCTCGTTTTGGAGGCCGTCTATCGTGTCATTTTGCGACCGGATGCGAGCACTGACATTAATATGATTCAACTTGAGTTCTTCGTTTTCCCTCTTGAGTTGCAGGATTATATCCCTCTGCTCTTCCTTCTCGCGTTGGCATTCTGTAAGGGCATCCTCATACTCTTTCGCACGTGCCTTCGTTTGCTCAAGCTCGAGCTCTCTACGAAGGTCTTTGTCCATAGTAGAACTCGAGTGCACGGGGGCGGAGTCGCTAACGTGCGTGATGTCATTAGGATTGATAGTGCCGGTTTCGGGCTGTGGCGTTATCCGCGTCCTCTTAGCCGACTCTTCCTCTCCCACATCCAGGTGCCTTTTCTGGCCAGCAACGGACGGACTTAGAGCTCCAACAAGAGCCGAGGACGAAACGGACAGCGTAGAGACCATTGAATCGTCGAAGTGGACATCATTCTTGATGCTACTCACACGGAGAAGCGGCCAGGCTTCATGGTGGTCCAGGTCCGACTCGATGCTGGGTACAAGGAGCCTCACCGCCTGATCAGCCTTGGTGGACACTTCGACCCTGCCAGCCAGCTGCCTTAGCTCGGTCACAAATCGCACGACCAGCCTTTCCCTCATAAATCCTTGGACCGACGGCGAGATGCAACGTTCGACATGTTCGACCGAGTTGGTGACAATAGGCGTTATTACTGGGATCGAATCGGTTATGCTGCGACTAAGATGGTTTCTGAGGGCCTTCATCTTGGGGTCGTGGCATTGGACCGTTGAATCCATGGCGAAAATAAGATGAGCCTTGGGGAGGCTGGTGTCGACATTGTCAAAGTCGGTGGCGAGGATAGTGACAAACAGAGATTCTCGGGCCTCAAACGCCTCGCGGTCGGTATGGCCTCGAGAATATGGGATTCTCAAGCCATCAACGTACTTCTCGATAATATCCATCAATGGTCCTTGGCAGCCCAAGACCACAAAGTGGAATTTCGTATCGCGCAACTCTTGGAGTATACCGCCCAGGAAGCGAAACTTGGTGCTGCTGTTATTAGACCAAGCAACCATGCCATTCTCCTGGCCGCCTTCGTATTGGGTCAGAGCATCAGCGTTCCCAAAGCCAAGATCCATGTGAGTAATATAATCGTTCAATCTCTTGAGCAGGCCCCGAACTTCCTGGGCGTGGGTTTCGCACACGGGATCGTCCTTGAGGAAATGGGTTATGGAATCCTCCTTGAACGTAATCTCATGCCTGTATTGATCCCCCTGTAACCCCTCCATGGAAAGTCCAACGAGGTACTCGGCATCACCAACAATGGGGTCATCCAGAAGGATGCTGGGTGTGCTGCCGTCATGCATGTCGGTGTCGTCGTCGAGATGGTGGATGTCTGGCATGTCGTGATCGTTTTGTGCGGTAGGGAGGTGGCTTTCACTAGGCCGAGTTTCGGCCGAGAGATTCGAGGGAATCAGCGTGTACTGCGGCTCCATATTTGTTTGAGTGACGTTCGGTGGGATCGTTGATGGCGATCTTGTACTTGTCTCAGCTGAGGGTGACTTAGGAACCGACTCGTCTACTGCAAAATGCTCGGCCTTTTTGCGCTCTCTTTCTACTTTGCTTCGAGAATGGATTTCACGAAGTCGTTCTGTGAGGGATCGAGATCCTGTTGGAGCTGCTTGCTCAGTACCACCGACCGAACTGTTAGGAGCTTGCGAGGACCGGTGCATTCCGCGGGATACCTTCCTGTAATAACCTCTTAGGGGCGATTCTCCTCTAGTCTCGACACTAGGTACGATGTCCTTCGGAGTAGGAACGTCCGAGTCCGTTAGCTCGTAAGGACGACGGATGACGTTGGGGTCGGCTTGACCAAGAACACTCGGCTCTAGGTTGTCTTGAGACGAATCTTTGCGCCTTGGGCTTTGTGTGTGCTTGAGATCGCTACTGATGGGAGGGTCTGCTTGCTCGGATATCTGCGTCCGATGACTTGATTGAGGTCCGTCCAAATCTAACTCTGGAACGTACTGTGCAGGCTGCAACGATTCGACGTGATGCTCCGAAGAAGAGTGCTCTTCAAGCTCCCTGGAAGCTGCCGAATCGAAGTCGTGATGAGGTGCGAAATCCCTTTGAGCAAATTGCAGATGGAAAGTATTCTCAGGAGGATCTGTGACGTCTTGTGTGGATGTTTCCGCCTGATCTTGCAGCGAAAATTCGGCTCTCTTTGCAGACTCGACGAGAACTTCTGCGGCACCTTCTGTGGTCCTCTCAGGGCAGGTCACAAAACGGTGAGCTTCTTCTGAATCTGTAGATTGGTCTGCAGAGCCGGTCCGTTCGTGCTGATGTTCCGTGTAGCCTGCCTCTTCTTCGATATCCCGAGTGCTTCCAATAAAAGTAGGTACGACTTCAGCAGTGAACTCTTCCTCTCTTTCCGGCGCAGTGTGACCAGCGGATAGAGCCCCAGCAGCGACACCCTCCTCGGCTTCAAGTACGTGCCGATCGGCGAATAGGTCTTCACGAGCGGCTCCTTGTCCACTATCCTGAGCGTTCTCAATAACACCGGGTGCGGCTTCTGCAATAAAGCCTCCCTCTTGGTTAGGTTCGTGCTGGGCCTCTTCACCGTCTTCTTGCTCTACTTCTGGTTCTGGTTGTTCGTATTGCTGGTCCTCGGTTGGGAGACTTTGTGGTACGAAAACCTGCGAATCTTGCGGTCCTTCCTGTTCTTCAATCCCTCTAAGATCACGATCAACTTCTTCCTCCCTCTCGAACTCTTCAGAAACGTATCCTCCAACTGCAGTCTGTTGAGGTTCCTGAACCTCGGGCGAAGGTTGGCGTTGGTCCTCCGGCCTTGACTTGGGGCTAAGAGATCTCGAAAATACCTCTGCTTCAGAGTCTTGGGCGTGCTCGTTTTCAGCGGGTGCAGGCGTGCCCGCTTGAGCTTCCACGAACGCCTGAGTGTTTGCTACACGGCCTTCGGACTGCGTCGATTTGACAGGCGATTCGGTGGGAGGGGGCGACGAGGCAGAACTAGTCGTGTGCCACGGTGACTCGCGCGGTGGAGGGTGTCTCTCTTCGTGGTGGCTGTGGGTAGCCGGACTGGATGGCTCGTCTTCGATCGGGTCTGTTTCTGGAACGGGTGCGGAAGAGTCGTCCTCCTGTGGATTGGTGAACTGGGCCGAGGCCGAGGCCGAACTGTCTTGCGGGGCTGGGGCGTTTGCAGAGCCGGGAGGCTGGGACTGAGTTTGAGCTGACTGGCTCTCAGCACCCGATCGTGTCTGGGTGGACGGAACGTAGCTCGAATCCCCCGGCAGACTCTGTGAATCCGGGATAACAACTCCGCTTCCAAAACGGGGCCGCTGGAGAAGTCTCTCTGCGGGGATGGTATGGCCCCCAGGGCTCTGCTGAGAACCGGCGGATTCTTGCGACGACTCAACTGTTGGGCGGCTTTGCTGAAGCTGCGGTGAAGATCCCGATGCCGTTTGCGACGAGTTCCAAAGAACCTGTGACGCGGAGATATGCTCGTAGTCGGACGGGTTGTAGTCAGTAGGGTGAGTTATGTGAACTGCAGGCTCAAGACGCGGCCTTGTGTCCCGTAGCTCTGTCTCTGGTACAATCCGCGAGTCGTAGCTTGGGAGAGAGCTGTCTCCCGGAAGATTGTTTGGCGCAGAGTGCGGATCGGGAGATGAGCTTTGAATAACCCTGCGGCGGTCTGGGATGCTGGACTTGCGCTTAGGCTGAGGCGCTGGTGCAAGGCTGCTCTCGGTAGGCGAAGCTGCGGCTGTGGCGGGGCTGAGCGCGGGAGCAGCCGCGGATACGGATGTCTGTCGGGGATTCTTCTCTCCACGTTGCCTGCGCCTCCAATCTTCAACCAATAGTTTGTTCGCGTTCCTCTTGGGTTCCCAGGTTGGAGCGTAGGTTTCGCCGGTCGTGGGGTGGTCGGCCCAATCAATTAGGTATTTATTCCCCTCCTCCTTGAGAATGGCCTTTGCTTCGTAGAAGGGCTCGGACTCTTGGGAGGATTGAATGAAATCAGCCGGTTTGCCCTTGGAGGAGCGGCGGTCGGCGGCCTTCTTCCGGCGCTTGGGCGGGGTTGATGTAGCTTCGCGAGACTCGGGGATGCTGGAGCGCTTGCGCTTGGAGTTGCTGGGTCGGCCCGGTGCCATTATGCGGTCTGGACACCGCAGATGGAGTAGGAGCTGTGCGCGCAGGGGGAATTAGTTCGGGCGGCCATGGTGGTCTTGCGGGTCGAGAGAAGGGATGTGTGAGAGTGCGCTGTTCCGGGACAAACGAGACGCGCGACCGCCGATGATGCAAGGGTCCGACTTACGCTTGCTGGCTCGAAAGCCGAGATCGTCCGCTTTACTGTTCGCACGTGATCGCGTGCGCCAGTGAGATCGCGTCAGCACGCGTGGCGGATCGTCAGTCGCAAAGAAGACGCCGAACGACGACGGCGGTGGTTGCACGGTCGAGGGTTGTTGAGCGAGGTGTCGGAGAGAGCGCAAACGGCAAGGAAGTCACTCGCTCGCGATTCCGCGTCTTTAGTCTCGAGGTGCAAACGGCAGCAAAGCGAAGTCGGGTGAGAGCGTGGTCGTTGATTTGGTGGCAGCGGCAAAAATTTAGAAGGAAAGGTAAGGTGTGCAGGTGGTGAAGAACGGGCGGGCGAGGGCAGTCAAACCAGCATGAGCAGCCAGTCCCATTTTGTTACACGTGGTTCACCCCAGGACAGGTACTATAGCAACCGTTCGTTTGTCATTGTTCATGCTCGATGTTGCCTTTCCTGGGTGCGCAGCCCGGCCGCGGCACATCCATATGGACCACGCTATATAAATTCGCGCCGTCGCACCAACGCCTTGATTTGTCAACACATGTTTATTTGTTCTCGCCTTTCTTGAAGCGCTCTTCTCTCTCCTTCTCGCGCTTGCGCTCCAGCTCCCTCACCATATCCGGCGGACTGTCTTCGATCAGGTTGCTTTCCTGAGTCAACCCATCCCATTTAGGCAAGCCATCTGGGATATCCATGACGCGCTGCCCGTAAAACATGTGGCAACTATACATGCAATTAGCAATCTGCGAAACTCGAATGCCAGCGCAAACGACGTACCGAGGCTTGAAATAAGCCTTGTCTTCATCCGTCCTCAGGTGGATCAAGCTTGGGAACAAAAGTATCATGTTGCGGCCCTCGTCCATGATAGGCGAGTGACAGTACGAGCAGCGGACCTTGCACGGCAGCTTGTGCTCTATCGACTTGTCGGTTGGATCGTACCATTCGAGGTCGTGGTGTCCGTTGGAGAAGTTGATATCTTCCTTATGAAAAATAGCAGCCCATTGGAAGGGTGCAGCTGCAGAGCAAAGACAGTCAGCACTGGCGCCTTTGAGCGCAGAATTCTCTCACCATGCTGAGTCTGGCAGGTTGTGCAGTGGCACAGCTTGGAATCAAGCGGCTCAATTCGGCTGAGCTGGTACTTGACGCGCCCGCAATGGCAGTTTGCTTCGTACTTGACATCAAAATGCTCGTTGGGCTCGTGCACACGATAGGGAGCTCTCTTCTTCCACTCGCTCATGCCCTCAGTTTCCTCTCCTCTCGACTGCTGCTTGTGCATGGCTGCGAAGGTATGCAATTTTGCTGCAACTGCGGGGCTTGTCTGTCGTGTAAGCAGTGTCGAAGACGGCTTGCGAATTGCACCGGCACAAGTATTGCTGGATAATCTGGGCACCCAGCGGCTGGCGAGAGACATGGGAAAACAATCTGCTTCTCGGGGCACAATGGGTCTTTTGAAGCACAGAAATGCAGGAGCGAACGTGGATGTCCCATTGGGCAATTTTGACGTCATGCACCGTGGCACCAGCTCCCCGCCAGCTGCGTCCGGCGTCGACACTCCGGTGACAGCATCATCGAATGTCTTTAGCGGCGGAATCGACCCCGCAGAACAATCTGCCGTTTGCCTATACAGAGGGGTATCGCAGCCGACGGCTAGCATGAAGAACAGTAAGACCACAGTCTTTCTTAGAAAAATAACATATGTGGGTAGTTGTAGCTATCGTCCGGACGAGAGCTTCCACTACGCGTGACATGAGCAAAGAAAAGAAAACCCCCCCGCTAGCCATCCGCTGCGAGAGGAGACTGTAATGGGTTGGGTATAGTGTATTAATACTTCCTCCTGTATGGATATGCGCTCGCCTGCCACCGTATCCGTCTTTCGAGACTATTGCCGCCCATGCGCTTTGCCCCAAGAGAAACGAACGCCTTGCGAATGCATCCATGCAGGCCATGCAGCACTAAAATCATCAACATCATCAAATCTCGCCTTCCGCTTCTCTACAGCTTCAGCAGCTTCATCGCGTCTTTCGAGCTGAGTCCGAACACGTTGACCAGGTAGTCGAGCCTAGTAGCACGTTAGAAAAGTACATCGCTGGTGTTGCACAACCGTGTACTCACTTGATATCCGTTGCGAGCCGCTGCTTCAGTTCTTCGAACCTGTGCTCGCACTGCTCCCAAACGATCGCCCGCCGCTTGGGGTTGATTGTCTTGACCCGGATATTGAATCTGCCACTGACTGGCCTGTGGTCCGAAACGCGAACTTCATGCCTCCTGTACTCCAGCTGCTTGATGCGACCTCGGCCCCGGTAGAGCAATCTATCGCACCATGCTGGAGAGCGCTTCTTCTCGCTAGTGTCATATCTGTCCGTCCCAACGTCGTATTTGTACGTCGGTGCAAAGGTGATTGGGTTCTCTCTGAAGGCGCGCAACCGGAAGCCGGGATTCCTTCTCTTGGTCCGAAGGAGTTGATCGTTCTCCAGCAGTCTTGTCAGATTTCCCTCCTTCACATGTCTAATCACCGTGTCGCGCGTCATCGAATCGATTCGGTAGTTCAAATCACCGTTGAGTATGCATATTTCGTGGTCGAGGATCATGGAGCCATCTCCTCCTCCGATGAACACGTCTGCGCGAGCTCCAAGGTCCATTTGTGGTGGGAGTGCCGATGTCTCCATGATGGTGGCGACATCGTTGTTGCGATGAGCCGTTTGACTCTGACCTGCCGCAAGGTGGCAATTGACGAAGCAAATGGAGCTGTCGTCCAGAGTGAAACGGACAACTAAAGCTCCCTGACGTAAATGTTAGAATCCTCAGGGAAGCGGGTGTGTTCGCCTTTACTTACCTTGTTTCCGTGCAAACCACCCATACCAAGCTTGATTTCGGCAGCGTTCATGTCTCGAATCCTCATGCGTTCCGACTCCCTCACGAAAACGCAGGTGAAAAGACCAACAAGGTTCGCTGTATGCAAGAGGTAATAGCGTTCACCAGGGAGGTAGTCCTCGATACATCGAACAAGATGGTCTCTCCAAGCACGATATTGGCGGCTCATGTGCTCTTGGTCCGACGCGTCTTTCTTCTTGCTGCTCTTGAAGAAGCTCTCTGTAGACATGTAAGTACACATTCCAGAAGTATAAGGGGGGGAAAACACTTACTTGCAGTAACCTTCTTGTCCTCCAGATCGACCAATTCTTGGAAACCAAAAACCAGAATGTCTGAAGGATCATCAGGTCGTAGCAAATCTCTGAAGAAGCTGCCATCCTGCTCTTCGAACCTCCCGCTGAGGCTCGTGGGCTTTGAGGCGCCTGCGTTCCATGTCATGATTGTGGCTGACACCTGTCGGAAATCGCAGAATTCCACATCGTGCTCTTGCATATCTGCCTCGAGCCAATCCTCCCTCAACATACCGTCCCATATCCTTATCACGCTGTCCGTTCCCAGTGAGGCAACCTGAAGCCTGTCCATCTTCCACAAGCTGCTTCGATCTGCTTGGATGCCTGCGACTGGATTGCCGTTTGCATGCGCATGCCAGTCCTTCTTGACTTGCCACGGAGTTTGAGTGGTGTCATACACGTAGATCATGCCCGTGTTGTAGCCTGCCCAAAGGTAATCGCCTGCACCCGCTAAGCAGCTTATCTTGTACACGCTAACGCTGACGACCCCAAGGCAAGAGTAATCCTTCCGGGAATAGACAGACACCTTGCCATCATTGTGACCAAAGTAGATTCGATCCGGTTGGCTGGGAATCATCGCTGAGGCTGTAACTTCTCCAGCGTTGGGATGAGACAAGGCTTGCGCAAGGACGGGCACGAAGCCGTGCTGTTCTGGGCTTCGCTGATAGATTCGTATCTCCTTACCATGCGCAACCCAGAGCTTGTCCCCGGAAACGATGGAGCAGTTGTGGTTTTTGGGAATCCGGAAACTGTTCGGCGTCTGTTGCAGGATCGGGGACCCTGTTTCATCCGGAGGCCAAATGTTCACTTTTCCGTCCTCGTCGATTGTCCACATCTCCGCGGCATACCGGTAAATCTTTGTAATTTTGCTGGAATGAGCATTCCGCTTCTCCGCGACGACAGCTCCAGACGGGATGTCTAGCTCAAACAGCTCGCCCTTCTCACTCCCAAGCCAAATGTGGTCTCCCTCTTTCTCCACATCAGTCGATGGTCTGAAAGCCATAGCCGTCATTTTGACTGATTCCGCTAGAGCTGTGTTGAGCAGCATTTCGCCAGTCACTAAACTCCAAGCCCGGGTGAGATATCCGGAAGCGCACACTACTTCGCCACATACTGCAAATAGCTTGGTATCGTAGCCCAGAGAGATTTCGCGAGGACGTTGTCTGAATGTCGGTGGTCTTCTGTTTGCCTGAGACGAGTCGGGATATTCCGAAAGTATCGTCGTCGCTTTGTCGGATTGCTCGACATCGTCTGAATCGTCTCTGTAAATTGCACTGTAACGCTGGCTTTGGGGTTGTTTTGTGGCTGGAATTGGTCTGGGCGTTGATCGAGATGGTTCATTGTGGCTGCTTCCATTGGTTGCGGGCGTTTTCGAGGGCCCAATTGTAGATGACCGCTTTGGAAGCTTTGGGGTCGGTTCACTTGCTGCAGCGGCTCTTGCGGCATCGAGAACCGCGGCTCTCGATGTGTCCATCGAACGACGTGCTGGCGGGGGATCCGGAGGGGGTGGTTTCGACCTTCTGATGTCACCGCCACGCCGTGGAGGCAAGCTAGGTCGTTCGTCAAGTGAGTCGCTAGCTTCTCCGGCGGAGACATCTGATGGAGCTTTCAGAGGCCGTTGACTTGGCTGGTTTGGCAATTCTTGCTGATTTTCTGATGGTCGTGTCGGAATTTTCTGTTGGAAATAGCTGTTTCTTTTTGGAGGAGCCACATTAGAGGGAGCGTTACTGTTGGCTTGACTGCGTGGCGAGGGACCACTCTCGTCGCTGCTTGGGGGCGTGCTAAAAGGCGACAGCCGCTCCTCAGTAGACGCATGGCCAGGGTCCACGGCTAGGGAGGCTTTCCCGGCGGTGCCTGAGACCGAAGTTCCCGCAACTGAAGCTGGCTTGCTAGGAATTTTCGGCTTGCCAGCCCGATTGATAGGGGGCGGCCCGCCAGCACTTGAAGCCACAGAAGCTGACCGACCAGTGTAATCCCTCTCCAGTGGTGCAGGTGTTTGCTTCAGTGGATCAGGAGAAGGAGTCGATGTGGCAGCTGATTGTAGGAAGGGTGCCTGCAGAGCTTCGATGGCCGGCGTAGCCGGTTTGCTTTGTACCCGAAAATGACGAGCGCCACTTCCATGAGGTGAGCCGGAGCGGGCAGAGGGTAAGCTTGGTGGAGGCTTCGGAGCGCTTCGCGGTGTAGGTGACTTTATCTCAGGCTCGGAGAATGTATTTGGTGATTTAGGAGGATTGACGGTGACGACAGGCGGAGATCTTGTCGGGGACCTGGGCGGCGAGCTTCGCGGAGACAGCTGGTACATGGAAATTGGCCTTGATCTGTTCGTGTCCAACGACACGCCCCGTGTCTCCGGAGTTCGTGGAGGTGCATAGAGCCCCTTCGGGGATGTGCTTCGCAAGCCCACATGGGGTCGCGGCAGATCCAGCGACATGCGGCCGTCGGCGCGCGCGCGAGACTCGTCGGGCCCATCGAAAATGTTTCCCAAGCTCGGTCGCGCATTCATGGGGCGTGGCGGATCGGAAGAGGTCGAGGACTGGCGATTTAGCATGTTCTCAAAATGGCTCCGCAGCGACGACACAGGCTTCTATAACGCACACATTAGCTATAGCTCTGCGGAGGTTGCAGGCGACACTTACGATGGAGGAGCCATCAGTGCTCTCCGTCTTGCCCGGGGGTTTCTCCATGGCTGCTCAGTAAGGCAGCAGCACAAGTTGTTCACCGGCGGGCTTCAGCGGACTCATGCCCCCAGTTTGGGCGATTATAATGATCGGAACTGGCCAGAGCGGCGCGAAAGAATAGGTCGGAGTGGAGATGGCAGCAGCAGCATGCCCAGCGCAAGGGAGCTCGAGGTGATTGAGAGAGCGCGATCGGGAGGTGTTGGAAGATTAAGTTTCGGGGCGCGATGGGCGTGAGTCGGCTTGGGCTGGCGATGATGCGGCAGGAGGGCTGGCCGGGATGGAGGGGTCCTGCGTGAGTACCTTGCAGCGGCCGTGGCCCCCTGCGCGCGAGCGAGTGTGATGATGGAATTCGGCTGAGAATGTGGCGGTGTGCGGCGAGCAGCACGGCAGCTTGCGCGTGGTGACGAGTGAGGCTGTGGTGATCGAGCGGCGTGCGAATGCTGGTGCCGTACGTAGGGCAAACGGCGTTTCCCCACAGGCGGCGCGTGGTGCTGGCCGCGCCCTGGTACAACGGCTTTTTGCGGCTTGCGATGTCATCTCCCATCCCCTCTGTTGCAGCCCGAGTCCCACGCTTAACCCAACTTCCACCCTTTTCGCGTCGCGCCTGATACATCCGCCTGAGGCTTCCGACTCGTCCGCGACCTCCCGCTGCCCGCTGACACGTCCGCCGCCATGTGGTACGTCGCCGCCCGCTGCTCCGCGCCCCCTGTGCGCCGCCGCTGACCTCCGCCGCTCCGCCGCAGCAAGCACATTCTCAACGCCCAGGTCGCAATCCGCAGCCCCTGCTGCAAGAAGTGGTTCGACTGTGCTGAGTGCCATGCCGAGAGCCAGGACCACGACCTCATGAAGAGCACCGAGATGACCTTCGCCTGCAAGAAGTGCAAGAAGTGCTTCCGCAAGAACGCCGAGGAGTTCGAGGAGAGCGACGAGTACTGCCCGCACTGCGACAACCACTTCGTCATCGACGCTAAGACCCCCGAGGCGCGCCTAGAGGTCGAGGGAGAAGACGTGCGCGTCGACTCCAGGTACGGGACCTTGAGAACCAGCCATGTAGAATGCAGTCAAAGCTCACTAGTCACGCAGAATGCTCAAAGACGAGCGTGTCCAGAGAACAGACCCGAAGTCCATCTGGGACATCAACGTCTCGGACAGACTTGGCTAGACGGCCTCAAAACAACGCGCATTGGGCGATACTATAAAGTGCATGGGGCGGCGTTTACATACAATTTACTTGGTAGTAGAGGGGTCGTTTTGGCGTTCGCAGACATTCTAGACGTGAGACGAGCGGCATCGTGATTTGGGGCGTAAATGCTCTTCCATGAGTTCATGCTACTATACAGGCTCGAGAAGCTCTATCATCCGAACGCCTGTGCTGCTGCCATCACTATCCATGACCTACACTGCGCAATCCGCTTTAGCTGGAACCCTCGCCCGAGGGACGCGTCAGAATGGCCGCGGTACCCGTGCCTGGAGTCCTTCCCGGGCGCCTGGTAGCGGCCTCCTCCTGCTTCTCAGTGTTGATGCTCTCGACGTACTTCTCGATCTGCTCCACAGGCAGCATCTCGATGGACTTTCCAGGTGCCATGATTGCGATCTCAATGTTCTTCGCGCCGGTCTGGACGACCTCGAGCAGGGACTTGACCGTAAGCTTGATAGTCTCCTCCCGGTCCATGTCCGCCTTGTGGTTGCGCTCAAGAAACTCGCGGACCGTCTTGCTCGACCTTCCGATCGCATTTGCCTTCCTGTAATTGTATAAGCATCTAGTCCACCCAAGCCAGAGCTGCTCCAAAAACATACCATGCCGAGTAGATACCCGAAGGCTCCGTCTGGTAAAGACGCGGGGTCTTGTCGTTCGGATCGAATCCAACCATGAGCGTGCTGATGCCGAAGGGGCGGACACCACCGCTCTGCGTGTACCTCTGCTGCACACCAGCAACATACTTCGTGATGTACTCGATCGAAACAGCATCCTCAACAGTCAGGCGGTGGGACTGTGCTTCTAACCGGGCCTTGTCGACAAGGATGCGAGCGTCGGCGTTGAGGCCAGCAAAGGCCAGAGCGACGTGGTTGTCCACCAGGCAGATCTTCGAAGGGGTAATGCGGGTATCTTGAAGCTTCATCGCAGAGCGTTTCTCGCAGCCAAGGACAACGATGTCCTTGCCCTTCACGGCGACGGCGCAAGTTCCTAATGATGTCAACACGGCGGGACGGGAGGATTGTCTGGGTCATAGTACCTCTCTTGACAGCCTCCAAAGCATACTCAACCTGGAAGACGTGTCCATCGGGACTGAAGACTGGAGACAACAGAGCAATTAGCTACACTATGATGCTGATGAAGGTGGAGTCGAGCTCACCGGACAACGCTCTGTCGTAGCCGGATGCCATCGCGGAAGCTTGTCGTAATGTGTGTGGTGTCTGAACGGATCCGGCGAGCGGTTACTGCTGGCGCAGGAAGCGGAGGCGGGAGCGGGTGGGTGCGGGCAAGGATAGTTGGGGATGGCGTAGTGAAGCCGCGTCGTGCTGAGCTGCCTGTCCAGAGGTGCGGCGCCAAGGCTGATCCGACGGAGCTCGCCCAAGCTCCGTCGCGGCGGCGCCACTCCGATTCACGGCCGGCCATGACATCTTTTCTCACTTTCAATTCACTTTCCGCTCCATTTCCGTCCTTACTCCGCATCCCCCACTGTACCCCCATTCCTGCCCTCTACTTCTTCCTCAGCACCCTATTTCTTCGTATTTCCTTTCTTTGTGTTTTTGCGCCCTCTTCCCCATGGCGTGCCCCTCCAGAATCGCCGGCGCAGCGCTGCGCAGAGCCCGCTGCTCACGCGTTCCGCTGCAGCAGGCCGCCCGCTTGCACCCTGCTGTCCAGGTGCGCTGGACTGGAAGCACATCTGCAACCAGTGAGCCTCACCAGCCGGACAGCAAGGACGGCGTGAAGGGTAAGCCCGCTCCGTCTAAGACCGTCAAGTTCACCACCGAATCGTATATCTTCCCACCAATCCTACATAGGCGTATTCATAACTGAGAATTGATTCAGGTACCCGCATTTGAAGCGCGATTCCAAGTTCGCGGAGCTTACGCCGGATCATGTGAAATATTTTAAGGAACTTCTGGGGTCTCAGTCTGCTGTTATCGACGGGGTTACTTCTGACGCCTCCGACGACATTGAGGCTTTCAACAGCGATTGGATGCGCAAATTCCGCGGCCACACGAAGCTCGTCCTCAAGCCCGGCTCGACGGAAGAAGTGAGCAAGATTTTGAAGTACTGCAACGACAACATGCTGGCTGTGGTTCCCCAGGGCGGCAACAGTGGTTTGGTCGGTGGATCGGTACCAGTGTTTGACGAGATCGTTGTCAACATGTCTCGCATGAACAAGATCAGGTCGTTTGATGAGGTCTCGGGAATCCTGGTTGTGGACGGCGGAGTCATCCTCGAAGTGGCCGACAACTTCCTCCAGGAGAAGAACTACGTGTTTCCCCTGGATCTGGGCGCGAAGGGATCTTGCCATATCGGCGGCAACGTTGCAACCAATGCCGGTGGACTTAGGCTTCTGAGATACGGCAGCTTGCACGGGAACGTGTTGGGTATTGAGGCCGTGCTCCCTGATGGCACCATCGTCGACGACCTGTGTAAATTGCGCAAGAACAACACTGGATATGACCTGAAGCAGTTGTTCATCGGAGGCGAGGGCACAATTGGCATTATAACTGGTGTCTCCATTGTTTGCCCGCAAAACTCGCCCGCCATGAACGTTGCATACTTCGGACTGGAGAGCTTTGAGAAGTGCCAGCAGGCCTTCCGTGAAGCCAAGGGCCAGCTATCGGAAATCCTCTCCGCCTTTGAGCTTATGGATGGTCGGAGTCAAAACATTTTGAAACAGGCAATCAACAAGAAACTACCTTTGGAGGGTGACTACCCTTTCTACTGCCTCATCGAAACCCGGGGCTCCAACTCTGATCATGACAGCGAGGTATGTATTATGACGTAACATTTTGGGAATTCGTAGACTGACCACGAACAGAAACTGTCGGCTTTCCTTGAACATGTCATGGGTGAAGAGATTGTCGCTGATGGTGTACTCGCTCAAGATCAAACCCAGATGGCTGAACTCTGGTCTTGCCGTGAGGGAATCACTGAGTGCTTGGGCCACTGGGGAGGCGTCTACAAGTACGACTTGTCTATTCCTCTGGAAGAGCTGTACCAGCTGGTTGATGACACGCGCGACCGCCTCACGAAGGCCGGCCTCGTTGGAGACTCGGACGAGTACCCTGTCGTCGATGTTGTCGGTTACGGACACATGGGTGATAGCAACCTCCACCTGAACATCCCCACCAGGAGATTCGACAAGGCCGTGGAAAAGGAACTTGAGCCGTTTGTCTACGAATGGGTGGCGAAGAGGAATGGAAGCATCAGCGCCGAACACGGTCTCGGCTTGACGAAGAAGCCATATATTGGATACAGCAGGAGCGAGACTATGGTCAGGCTGATGAAGCAGATCAAGGACACCTTCGACCCGGTAGGTTTGCAGACGCTCATTGAAGTCCATGTATACTGACTCTGATATAGAATGGCATTATGAACCCTTACAAGTACATATGAAGACTCTGAGGGCCGATTTCCGCGAAAAAAAAAAAAAAGAATGGTTGGGCAGAATACCCCGTTTGTCGGAATGGACAATGTGTACAAGAGCAAAATTTGTCAGAGAAACAAAAAGCAATGGTTTGGTCAAAGCTCGCAACCGAATTAGGGTCGCTTCGTAATGCGATGCGTGTTCTTGCAGTCGTTGAACTTCCCGTTCGCGCAGGTCGTATGCTGTTCAACGGTATGGTTGGACGGAAGAAATGTTTGAGTGGTGTGGGTCTCGACGCTTGGCTCACAGCGGACGTTCTCACTCCAACAGGGACGAAAGAGGGCACACGTTGAACGCAAAAGTGGATTACAAAAGACTTTTTTAAAAGGCCCGTTGTGTTGGGACGATGGCGCATGCATGCACAATTCGGGACGAAGCGTCAGATCGCAAGGGTCACGGAGCTTCATTCGAGGACTTTCTCTACCGACATGGTGGCGAACGGGCGAGAGGCAGAGGCTCGACCAAGCGGATTCGCGTCGACCTGCCATTGAACAGGGGATGATTAGTGGAGACTTAGGCCGTAAGATAAGTGCTGCCAAGATGAGCTTGCGCATGGGCTGGCAACCACGCACTCATCCATCCGCTGCCAGCCGCCGTCTCAGTCGACAATGCGCCCATGAAGGTTCGCAAGCCGCGTCGCCCAGAACGCGATGGATGCTGGCTGAGAGGCTGATGGCTGGTCGGCATTTGAAAAAGGCGTCGGCGTTTGCTCAGCTCACACGATGGGGAGTGCCGTGAACGCCTCCCGCCCCATGTCCCCGCATCCCCGCCCTGACATTTCTCGCTCGCAACTCGGCAGCGAAGGCCCAATATTGACGACACCAAGCTGCTTCGGGAGATCGTCCCCCGCTCAGGCCAAGGTCAGCATCCACAGCACCACCACGCCAATCTGGGGCCCCATATCCCGGGTCCGCTTTTCTGCGTCGCGTGGTGCGAGTTCGTCGGCTTTTGAACGATGCGGCCTCGGGCTGCCCATGACGTGAACGGGCGGAGATTCTCCGTCTGCATATCACTCCCTGCTTGGTGTTGCAGACTTCTTTTTTAACCTCACCGCTGCCCTCCCCATGTTGCCGTAGCCGCCCACCACTCCTCCTTCCCGCCGGCTCAGTCTCTCTGCGCACTACGCGGGCACAAACATGTCGTCCTCCGAATTCGACCCACGCGTCCCCTCCAAGACTGGAGTTGCGAAAATATGGGACGACATCAAGACATACCGGAAGGCTTACTTCCTCACTGCTGTCGCCTCGTTTGGCGGCATGTTGTTCGGGTGAGTCACGACCTTGATTTTCGCTCAAGACGATACTGATGGGCATGACAGTTGGGATACGGGCTTGATTGGAGGCGTGTTGACCATGGACGCCTTCCAACACTCGTTCAACCTCGACCCGGACAGTGACTCTTTCGCCAACCTTCAGGGAAACATCGTTTCGGTTCTGCAGGGTGGCTGCTTCTTTGGCGCTGCCTCCTCGTTCTGGTTGAGCGACAAGGTGTAAGTACACAGCGCTCGCACTGCCGGAGGAGAGAGGCTCACCATGACCGAATAGTGGCCGCAAATGGGCTCTGATCCTCGCCGACCTCATCTTCCTTATCGGCTCCATTATCCAGACAACATGCGCCCTCGGTGCGACAGACGATCTCGCTCAACTCTACGTCGGCCGGTTCATTGGAGGCTTCGGTGTTGGTCTCATTAGTGCTGTGGTGCCCACCTACATTGGAGAGAATGCGAACAAGGAGATCCGTGGGCGCTGCATTGGATGGTGAGACAGTCTTTTCGCACGCTGTTGTTCAATGACCTGCTAACGTAAACAGTATGCAATTGTTCAACGTCACGGGCATCATGCTGAGCTACTTTGTCAACTATGGCATCAGCAACCACATCCCGAGCGCCACCGATTCGACCAAGTGGCGCGTTCCCTTTGCGCTGCAGATGCTTCCTGGCGCGTTCCTCCTCCTTATCATCTTCCAGAACGAATCTCCGCGTTGGCTGGTGGAGAAGAACCGTCTGGCTGAGGCTAAGCGTGCTTTGGCACACGTCCGGGCCAGGTCTGAGGATGACCCTGTGCTGCTGCAGGAGCTTGACGAGATCATTACCGACTTCCACGGCAAGGAGAGGCTTTCCCTGGTTACGCAGATGAAGTCAGTCTGCGCGAACAAGAAGATCTTCTACCAGTCCAGCATGGCGGTTGTCTTGATGTTCTGGCAGCAGTGGACTGGTACGAACTCGATCAACTACTACAGCCCGCAGATTTTCAAGAGTGTCGGTCTCGCAAGCCAATCTGCCGGGCTTTTCGCTACCGGGATTTACGGAGTTGTGAAGGTCGTCTTCACTGCGCTTGGGCTGATGCTCGGCGTCGAGCAAGCGGGCAGGAAGTGGTCGCTGATCTGCGGTGCTCTTGGGCAGGCTTTTGCCATGTTTTACATCGGCATCAACCAGGCGGTTCACCCCAACGACAGCAGCCTGTCGGGAAACAACATCTTCGCCATCATCTGCGTCTACCTCTTCGTCGTCTTCTACTCGTTCGGATGGGGCCCGATTCCGTTCATCCTGTCGTCGGAATGCTCTCCAAACCACGTGCGGTCTCTTGTCATGGCGGCTGCTCTGATGACGCAATGGCTCTTCAACTTCGTGATTGCTAAGCTCACGCCGATCATGCTCGACGAGATCACATACGGAACGTTCCTGCTATTCGGCGCGTGCTGCATCATCATGCTGGTGTACGCCATCCTGTGCGTGCCGGAGACCAAGGGCGTCCCGCTCGAGAGCGTCAATCTTCTGTTCGAAGGAAACATCATTGCTGGGGCGACCAAGGACACGATCCCGCGGTACAGCAGAGCGAAGAAGCTGCAGAACCACCATCTCGGCAACGATGACGACAGCTGGAGGGCTCCAAAGTCGGTGGATGACGAGGAAGGATATGCTGGGAAGGCGGCGAACGTGCAGCACGTGGAGCAGTCGTAGTTTGTTTTGAGTTTGTTGAGCGATACCATGTTATAGTTACTTGAAGAAGAAGAGCAATGGAGCGAGTCATGGACTACGTCATCCCGCGTGCAGTCGACGTCGTCAGGGGATGATACTGAGGCCCAGATAATGGCGGGTGAAGGATTGGTTGGACCCAAGGTTCAGGCTAGGCTCGATCCTGGGTGGAAAAGCGGCTGGGACGATCGGCATGGCTGACATTTTGATTTCTCAGATGAAGTATTCTGCAACAGACACATTGCGGGGGCGGAGTGGAGTCGCTCTCGTTTTTTGGAGGTGGAAACTCTCCACGCCCCCATTCTACGCCATCCCGCAAACCGCGTAGCGCGCGGCTGCGAGGGCGGGCAGTCGATCCCTCTGCAATCCACCACGAAGGAACCATGACCTCTCCCAGCGACGAGGCTGCCGAGATCTCGGCCCAGATCATCCGCTCCATCCAGCAGCAGCTCGCCTCGGTGCTGCACAACCAGCTCCTCGCCTCGGGCACCCTTATAAAGCCCACCCTCCATCTCGAGGGCGTCATCCACGAAGGCTGGGAGGGCGCTGCCAACGCTCGAGCCGTGTCCCGCCGCATCGATCTCGTGAGTTTTATCCCCTGTACGCCAGCCGCCACTCCTTTGCTGAGTCGCGCCGGGGGGTGAAAAAAGGGCTCAATCGACATCGCCGCAATCAGAGCCGCGTCGGCTACCCCCCACCACACGCCTGCTCCCACTGATGCCCCGTCTACCCCGGCCGGTGATGCGAGCAGCAATGGGTGCACACTCGCCTTGACCCGGCCCCAGCGCGCGCGCCGCCCGCCGCCGCGCGATTACCTCTCGGACCCGGAACCGGCTTCTAAGCGCAGAAAGGAGACGGGCGGTCTCCGTCTGAGCCGCCCGTCCTGTAACCCGTCGCCTAACGAGCTCGAGGAGGAAGACTCCGGGCCCGCGCCTGTCCGCCAGATCGAGCCCGAGACGAAGAAGTTCCCTCAGCGCAAGAAGGTCGCTCCCAAAGTCCGTCCGCTGCAGCCCTCGACCTTAGACCGTCTGATCATCGGCATCTGGGAGCAGATTCACGGGAGTATCAGCTTTGACCCGCAGATTGTTGTAAGTTCCCATGTGAACATGTTGTATTATATGTCACTTTGATTTCCATAGACCCTCCGGACAACTACCCCTTTCATATCACGTGAAAACCTCTTTCTTGGCAACCCATGAGGACAGCATAGCGGCCATAATACACATTTGCAAGCACCTATCTGACGGGTCGTAGATTGACCAATGGAAGGAGCCGCGGGCAGTCCAGAAGAGTATCGACTCTGTCGGTGCCCCATCGCAGATGGCACTCTCTCCCATAGGAGCCAAAACATCATCTTTCAACAGGATGAACGTCCTCTGTAGGAAAGTCACCACTGCAAGTCGCTGCTGCCGCTCTCTCGAGGTCATAGTCCAGGCGTATTGGATCCAATGCTTTGACGCAAGAGTGCAAGTTTTGTGTGATACTAACCCCCAGCAATCCCCAACAAAAAGCCGGAAAGCTGCCCTCATGGAGGCCTGCCAGGATTTCGGCTGGAGCGAGAAAGATCTCAGAAACAAGATGTACGCCCGTATATGAGAAGCAACTTGTGCGAAGCTAACTTCAACATCAAGGGCCATATGGCGGGGCTACTATGAGATCAAAGAAGCAGCCGGATGGGTCGCTCTGGTCTTTGCTGGCATGGGTATCTACCGCTTCTGCAAGTATCGCATCAGTTTCGACAAGGAGGCCATGCAACGTTTGGCTACTCTCCGTCCCCGATTCGAAGTAGCAGCCGACACCTTGCAGCCTCAATGGCGACAGCTGCTCTCCTTCATCGGCGAATCGTCCGAGCGCACTTTCCACGGCCATCCCCATGACTGGGTGGTTGCAGATAACAGAATGCCCGTTCCGCTGGCCCATACATACCTGCAATGGGATCCTAGTTTCACATACGAACACATCGACTCTTCCATCCTAGACGTCGAGGCATGGGGACTGGCAGACCCCCGCGAGCTTTCTTCTGACAAACCCCAGCAATCTTTCACGTGCGATTCTTGCAGAGAGTTGCAAGCAGACGACCCTGCCGTGAACTGTTGTCGCTGCTTCCCCAACCTCTACGGTGGCCCGCGGAATCCGTGTCCGGTCCAGGTCTTCCGGACGCCCAACGGCCGTAACAACGGCCTCGTGGCTTGTTGCGTAAGTTAGATTTCTCTCTCCCTCTCTCTCTCTCCGTGTCTCCACCCAAGTCGTTTTCACACCTTCGTCTGACACCACATCATCCCTTTTTTAGCCATTCGAAAGGGGCATGGCGATAGGCGAGTTCGTCGGGCTCGTCACCCGCGGCCTGCACAACATGGACGTCATGCAGGGCGAGACCAACGGGCGGACGTACCAGATCTGGCAGGGGCGCCAGGGCAACTACACGCGCTTCGTCAACCATTCGTGCCACCCGAACAGCCAGTTCGAGAAGTTCACCTGGCTCGGCGTCCAGCGCATCATCCTGGTGTCCAAGGGGATAGAGGCTGGCCACGAGATCACCGTCGATTATTCCGGCAGGTATTGGACCAATTTGGATAAGGAGTGCTTGTGCGGAGAGAGCTGCTGTAGGTATCGCAACAGGGGTGGTAGTAGAGTCGAGACTAAAAGTCACGAGTAATGAAAGAAAGAAAAAAGTGCGCTTGGAGGGAAATGCTATTAGCCGGTTCCTTTGTCCTTCTCTTTTTTTTTTTTTGACTTTTGTGGTTTGCTATTGGTGGATGTGTGTGTGGTACATGATATCGGCGTATTGGCAGTTGGTGCATGGTTTCGTGTTGCTGCGTTATTGAACGCAGCTATCAGACGACACCCTAGGCAGAACTGATCAGGTGTTGGGAGTTGGTCGGTGATCTTAACGAGAAACAAGTAAATAGCGTATGCATATTTATTGTGAAATGACTCCATTCACCATCGTACCTTTGTTTTCCTGGCCTTGGAATTGTCGTCCGATTTCTTCATGCGGCAATCAGGAGGGAATGTCCGTGGCTCTCCGGGCTGTGGTACATATATGGCAGACCGTTGTTGCGGTCGTTGTTGTTACAGAAGGGACCATTGATGGGCATTATACAAGAAGGTGTACGGCTTACTGAGGCGAGAAGCTGAGGAGATGAACGGGCGATGTATTGAGCTATCCGCAAGAAAGCACTAAATACACCCCTGGCTGATCGCTCCCTCCAACAACGGGTACTGCAGCTGATGGCTAGCGTGAATAAGAGCAAGACCCTTCGAACATAGCGTAGATACGCCTCCGCTCTCTCTCTCTTTTCCAATGAAAAAGAACATATATGGATAGTTGAAGCTATCATCCGGATGTAAATGTGAAATTAATAATTATACATTCACGTCCGGACGATAGCTCCAACTACCCGTGGCATAAGCGAAAAATGAATTTACACTAACAATCGGCTGCAATAACCCTCTGTACTCGTGACATTGACAAATATCTTATCATTTTTCTTTTTTCGGCAGGAAATAATATGATTTTGTCCAATTAGTAGTTCCCTACGACCGATGGCGATGATGCACCAGCAAGATGGGTTTCAAAGGTACAAGAAGTCGTGAATTGAATGATCCAGAGCTAGGTAGGCGTACTTTGGCACATTGGATGTCAATCTAATAAAGAGGGCAGGGGTATAAGTGTCTGAGACTTGAGAGCGCTATTACACTTTAGCTACTACCGACATCGGATTTGCATTGTTGGGCACAGTTTCGACCGTAAGACATGAAAGATAGCGTATTACTTGGCGAGGACAAAGTGGGGAGGCGGGAGCAGAGGTGGCTTCCAACGCCAGGTAGCGCATCAGTACGAACTGATTCAGGCTGTCGGTGGGGTCAAGAGGGCTGGAACTTGCATGGAAGGCTATTCACCGAGCAGAATGTCCGAGTTGTTGGCCAGTTCCACGAAGCACAGACGACAAGGAGCCATGATTGCGGCTCGGATGTAAGCATGTTTTGCGGTTTCGGCTTGGCGTCGCCTCCACCCTGATTAGCTGTCAATGACCCAGCGGAATCGCACGTGGAAATAGCGGCGTTGAATACGGGCACATCCTAGGTGGAGTGTGTAATGCATTGGGAGGGGTTGGCTGTGCTGCCTGCAAGCATCAAGGGCTTACATGGAAGTGACTAGACATATGTGTAGGGCAGGATTTGCACAGCTAGCGGGGGTTGATTGAGTGATTTTCTGCCCGGGCAGCAAAAATGGTCGGGTTGGTGGCCAATAGCGTGGTGTGGGGCGAAAGGGAGCTGCCGGGTGACAGGCACGCGGCTGCTCCGCACAGCGGCGGGTCCCTTGACCACCCGCTTGACTCTCGGCTGCTGTCATTGTCCGTTCATCGCGACCACAGCTGTTCACAGATGCAAGCCATTGGTGAGGATAGCAATGGCATCAAGAGGAGCGCTCGCCGGTGTCCTCGAAGCCTCCTGCAGTCCACATCCTTCGTGGTTGCCATGTCTCGGCAGATGGAACTAAGTCTGCGCTGACGACAAAGCGCCGTGGCTCCACAAACTGCCACTCCCGTTGCGGCAGGCAGGCGCAGGGCTCTTACCGCTCCCGCCAAGCTGCTGTTGAGATCGATCTTGCACAATCAGTCTGACTAGCCATGCGTACTAATACCTTTGCACCTCCTGTCCAGGAAGTGACGCGTTTCCCGCTACCATAAGCCCACCTGCACCACCCGCCGTTGTATTTCTCGCGCCTTCCTTCAATTTGTTTTCTATCATGACTTCGAGCTCTTCAGATAAACTTGACTCGGGCGAGGGGGCAGGCGCGCCTCTCGCCCGAGAAAAGTCGTTTGCGGATTCGTATACCTTTGATGGCCTCAAGGGATGGCGAAGATACAGAGTACTTCAGCCCGGTCGCGGCATGTACCACGATGTCAAGAGGCGCCTGCCCTATTACTGGAGCGACATCACCGATGCTTGGACCTACAGAACGGTTGCCAGTACGATTCGCATGTATTTTGTCAAGTAGGCATCATCCCTGACGAACTACAAAGCTTCTCCAGATCTGACACTTAGTTAGTCTTCTACCCGCCCTCGCATACACTTTAGATATGTACCGCCGAACTGGCGAGTTCTTCGGCGTCAACGAGGCACTCTTCTCCTCTGCCCTCGCTGCCATGGTCTTCAGCATCCTCGGCGCGCAACCTCTTACCATCGTCGGCATCACTGGCCTCATCTCGCTCTTCAACTACACCATCTACGACATCATCATCCAGTACGACGCCTCAATATACCCACAATTCATGGCTTGGACCGCCATTTGGGCCGCCATCTTTCACTGGTTGGCTGGAGTTTGGAACCTATGCGATTACATGCGTTATGTGACCGACTTCTCGAGTGAATCCTTCGGCATGTACGTCGGCATCATCTACATGAGTAAGTGCCATCTGCTTTCACTATTTTGCTTTAAGTGAATCTTCGGGGTGCTTACTATTTCGAAAGTCAAGGGGGTTGAGGAACTTGTGAATGAGTTCAGCGTCGAGGGAAACGCAGCAGGCTACCTTGCGTGCATGATTGCCATTCTCTACTTCGGGAGTATATATGGCCTCGAGAAGCTTGGTGCAAGTGTCATGTGGAAACCTTGGTTCCGCGGTCTTCTAGCGGATTACGCTTACGTGGTAAATAAAGTTGAACACCCCTCTGCCGAGCATCGTGCTGACTGGATAACCCACAGATCGGGACGCTCTTCTGGGTCGGCTTTTCACACATTCCCGGAAACCTAAAGTCGACCCATCTTACCTTCGTCCCCATCTCCCGGGCCTTTCATCCCACTCAGCCTCGCAGCTGGCTGATAGACTTCTGGAATCTCGACGTCAAATGGGTTTTCGTTGCCCTGCCGTTCGGATTACTGATCATGCTGCTCTTCTACTACGACCATGTCAGCACCATTCCGTAACAAAAGTTCCCTAATAACAATAGAACGATGCTGACGCATTCTCGAGAGAGCAGAACGTGAGCAGCCTCACGGCCCAGGCCCGCCAATTCCCGCTCAAGAAGCCGGGCGGCTTCCACTGGGACTTCTTCCTGCTTGGCTGCACCACCTTCGTGGCCGGCATCCTCGGGCTGCCCATGCCCAACGGCCTGGTGCCGCAGGCCCCCGTGCACACCGACTCGCTGACCGTCTACGAGACCGACCTCAAGGTCATCGCCACGGCCGAAGGCGAGGGCGCCGAGCTGCGCCATCCCGTCGTCAGGGCCGCGGCCGTCGTCGAGCAGCGCGTGTCTCACTTCCTCATGGGCCTGGCGCTGATCGGCACCATGACGGGTCCGCTGCTGATCGTGCTGCACACCATGCCGGCGGCCGTGTTTGCTGGTGTCTTCTTCGTCGTTGGTGTACGTTGCTGCTGCCTCTCTTTCTCCTTTTGTTCTTCTGCGCTCTCATTCGGCTGACACGCATATATGCGGACTTTGTCTTGGCTGACGGGAGATTTTGGAGCTTAGTGGGGTTCCATCGAATCGAACGGCATCGTCGGAAAGCTTGTCATGCTTATGCGTGAGCGTCGTTTCATCCAGCACGACGAGCCGCTCCTCAGAATCGAGCGGAGGAAGATATGGATGTACATCGGCTTCCAGGTCGTCGGCGTCGCCGCTTGCGTGGCCATCTCGCAGACGATAGCCGCCATAGGTGCGGGATACTTTCTTTTAACCCCCCTCCATTCGTCTGATCGTGGGGATGACGTGGCTGCTTGTGTCTAACTTGAACTCAATCGAAAACAGGCTTCCCGGTCCTCATCTGCGCCATGATTCCGCTGCGAACGCATGTTCTGCCCAAAGTTTTTACCAGGCATGAACTCGAGGTCTTGGATGATCTGACGGCGAACAACTCTGCGGTGCTGGCGAGCTTAGGCGGCGCACCGACGCTTCCGGAGAATGCCACGCCGGACAATTATGGCGTGGAGAAGAGATATCATGAAAAGGGACATGGGGTCGAGAGACAAAGAGCTGGAAGTATCCACCGCTGAACATGGTTTGGGTATTTACAGGGGAACGAAGTCAAGACGAAAGCTAATGTGATGGATGCATGTGACGAACAGAGCGGAGAGGACTTCACGGCCGAGGTGAGTGAGGTGGGGTAGGACATGGTCAACCGTTGGCGGGAATAACGCATGGGGACACAAGTGAGGGGGAATAGCGGAGAACAGTTGTACGACCGACACACCTAGATCACTTTGAATGTTAGCCAGCAGTGGTTGCTACATTCTTTGTCTCACGTACGATACCTTATGGAGCTACTCAGGATGTGAGTCTGACCTTCAGCATAGTATTGTTTTGCTTTTGCCGTGGTCCCAGTGTATGCTTGAAGTACAAAATACGTTGAGAGGGAACGGATCATTAGTCCATCTTCTACGCCTTCATGACGTTGTTCAGCGATATTATTAAGCCCTCGCTGTACATATATAGCACCAAGACGGCTCGTCGAGAACTTTGGCTATCGGCGGCTAACGACGTAGGTCCAACTAATCACTTCCACTTGGGAGTTCATTACCTAGTCCTCACTAGTGCTGATTTTTAGTAGAGAAACGGGTTCTTAACCTCGGATATTTTATTGGACAAAGCAACAACAGAGTGTGCGGGACCGCATAGACGACTATCCGATGCTCGGGGAATTACTGAATAGGGAATGTGTTCGGCCGAAGTCATCTGCTGCATATGTAGAGTAACAATCACTTGTCGAGACTATATATATGTGAGCTATGGGACCTAGGACACATCAGCATCAGATTTGAAACAATTCACATCTCAAGCAACAATGGCTGGAGAGGTGGCTCGTACCGATGTTTTCATCTGCGGAGCTGGGCCGGTCGGCCTGCTGCTGGCGTACAGTCTCGCACGCCAAGGCATAAGCTCGCAGGTTGCTGGTGTGTATCAAATTTCTCCCGGATCTCTGAAGAGAAGATAGGTTACTGATCGTAGCGCAGAAATGTATGACCGCAAAACCCAAGAGAAGTTCGGCCGCGCGTGTTCGCTGTATCCACGCACTTGCGAGCTCTTGGAACGCGAGGACCTGTTCGACCAGATGGCCCAGGTTGCCTTCATTGCACGCAATTCCGTGACGTACAAGAATGGCCAGTTAGTACCGGGTCGCGGTTGGCAGGTCATGTGGAAGGCGATGTTGGATTCCTTCCATCAGTATTTTCTGAACATCCGGCAGAAATATTCCGAGGAAATATTCCGCACAAACTACGAGTCTTTTGGATACGAGGTACAGTATGGTTGGGAAGTGGTGGGGTATGACATTGTCAAAAGCATTGGCGATGGATGCAATGTCACGGTGCGGATTCAGCAAGTGAAGGGCAGCGAACAAAAGACTGTCAGATGGTAAGTCTAGGAGACAAGAAGATGGTCAGGTATATCAGAACAGTAGCTTACCCTGCGTGCAGCAAGTACCTCGTCGGTGCTGATGGAGGACGCTCGCAGATCCGCCGTTTGTCCAACATCCGCATGGAAGGCGACCAAACAACTTTCAATTGGGTGCGCCTCGATGGCAAGTACAAAACAGACATGCCATTCCCCGACGCCGGTGCTAGTTCCATCGAGACCGAAACTCACGGCAACGTGTTGTGGGTGCGTCTTGATGGCGATGCTCATCGCATTGGCTACGTCTTGTCGCCCAGGTTGTACGAGAAGTATGGTGACAACATCACCGAGGAGCAGGCCATGTATGAGGCGGTCGAGGCAATGAAACCGTTCTCTCTGGAAATTGAAAGGCTTGACTGGATGACGCGCTACAGGTGAGTCTCCACCGAGGTCCGCTTGGGGAGCTCAGCTAACATTGATGACAGCATCAACCAGAGAGTTGCTGAGCACTTCTTCTTCAAAGACTATGTCTTTCTCGCTGGAGATGCTGGCCACACGCACTCGTCCGGCTTCGCCCAAGGAATGAACACGGGTGTTCATGATGCCACAAATCTCTCCTGGAAGTTAGCCGGCACAATCAAAGGCTGGTATCAACCTACCATCCTCCGGAGCTATGAGGATGAACGACGACCATCTGCACAGCACCTGATCGAGGTCGACAAGTTGGCGTCTGCGGCCATATCTGGCGTTGTGCCGCCCCAGTACAAGCAACTCGCAGCCGAAACTTCTCCCAATCAGGTTCTGTGCACGATCATGGAGGAGACTGCCCCGTTCACTGTTGGTCTGGGAATTGAATATCCCAACTCGCCCCTCAACCATCCACGGCAGCGTAAGTTGATGATCGCTCAAGGCAGTCGGGCTCCCGATGTCCTCCTGCAGAAGCCAGGTGCTCTGGTCAAGACTCGGCTCTACGACATCAATAAAGCACCCGGCCTTTGGACAGTCCTCGTTTTCACGGGAAACCCTGCAATCACTCGGCCTGCATTAGCACAGTTGCGCGAAGCTCTGGAGTCAGCGACAAGCTTCGTGAAAAAGATCGGGCACATGATTCAGCTGTTGACTATTATACCTGGTACTGCCCCAAGCGCATGGAGCGTACTCGGAGGCCCGGCCTTCGGAAAAATGTTCATCGACCCTGGCTTCGAGGCCCACGGTAGATACGGCATTCCTCAGGAGACTGGCGCCATAGTGGTTGTGAGACCAGATACCGTGCTTGGATTTGCTGCCGACTTTGGTAACGTTCATGAGGTTGACAAATACTTTGCTGGATTCTGTAACCAGCAGGGCTTCAAAGCGAGAGCCCTCATTTGAGTCTGGGAAAATTTCAATTTGCTTATATCCTGTTTCCGTACGGAAAGTTCCCTAACAGTTTCGGTTAGCACATGGATTTTTCTTAAAGAGCAGCAGTAGACGCCGCAGTGAAACCGACTTTTGGACGTATTAAACACTCTGCCTTGTCAACCCGTCCCATCCACTTGCACTCACATAATCCTCCAAATCGATATTGTTACAGTTACCAGGAGCGTTAACTGGATTGCACCTGACAACACCATCTGTGGGCAACTTCGCAACATAATTGCTACCATACCTGCTAGCCATTCCAACACCCGGCCAGTCGGTACTCACGACCTGGGCACCCGTCTCAAGAGCTCTATTCAGCCGGGCCTTCGCAGCGTCATCGCCCATGAGAACGGAGTTGATGGGCTCGTCCGCACGCGTGCGAATCAGGTAACCCTTCCGCACCAGCTCCTGGATCTCCGCGAGGTTGTCACCAGAAGGGTCGTTCCGCTTGATGAAAGCGGCGTCCGCCTCGCCAGGTAAGGAATTCGTGAATACTACACGGCCTTCAAGACTCGTATGACCGTTGGCACGGTACGAGTCGCGGATAGCATTGGTGTCCGTGGGGTTGTTATCCATGACGAAGAGGAACTTGCCCCTGCTCTCCTCGAGCGTTGGCCAGCCATACTGCAGCACTGCGTCCTCGAGAGTGAGGCTTTTGTCGGTCTTATCGCGGCCTCGAAGACGCACATCGTCCGGCGTAATGATCTTGTCGTTGCCCAGCACTGCGCGAATTTCGTCGTCCAGAAGACCCAGACTCGTGGCGTTCCACGGTTCGCCCGGCGCGCCACCGACGGCCCGAAGACGCTCATCCACGGTTTTGTACTCGACGTCGATGATGACGGGCACGTGGGCGGGGTGCTCGTCAGACCACTTCCGCAGCTCCGAGAGGCACACCTTTAGAGTTGGGCAGACGCTGCGAACATCAATGTCGCTCACATGCAGGACCTTAGCTCCCGGCGCATGCATATGCTCCTGCCATGTCTGCGGCGGCCCGGGCAGCTGCGCAAGGCGGTCTATAAGCGGATTGGCGAATTGGCCCGGAGAATAATAGTCGGCATAGACATCGAGCTCGAGACTCCGGACCGACTGGTAATTCAATTGATCGGAGAGCGAGGCATGGCTGTAATAGAAGCTTTGCGGGGACGGGACTAGAAGCTCAAAGATTGGTCGTGCAGATATCGAGACCTCTCGATGATAGCTATTATGAGTGCCAATGACTTGGATGTGGTTGAGGCGGAGATCGGCCGTGGTTGATGCCGGCTGGAGCGGGTTCGCGTGCCCAAACTGAAGGATCGCTTCAAACAGAGAAGTCAGATGCCGCATGGCTCAAAAGAATGGGAGCCGCACAGAGTATGATGGAGCTGATCTGTACCGCTCCTGTGAACGACTGCAGTTGTATTCCACATGATGAGTCTCCGCAAACGCTCCCGGCACTTCCGACGACAGCGGCCGTACCATGCTGGTGGGGTGACGTACTGTGGATCTCGTCATTGCAGCTGATATCTGTGATCTGGGTCGGAGGCGCTGATAAACTGGAATATGTTGCAAACAGTTGAATCCTAACAGTTCGACTTCGCAATTCATCAGCTCGTCATCGTGAGGTTGGAGTCAATGTCCCTTGGATGCTTGGCTCTTTCTCACGTGTGGCGACAAAAGGATTCCAATTGGCGAATACGCTCCGCAGCACGTGATTCTAAACTCAACATTCCCTGTGCATATGGCGGTTACTTTCTGCATCATTTCCGTCTTATCCTATCCGAGAGCCTTCACATTACTGGCTGCTCCGGGTGAGGCGGTTGCAGCCTGTTTTCGGAGTAGCTCCGGAGCGGTGGCAAGTGAAATTCGCCGCGTGTGAAGGCAGCCTTTTTCCGAAAGGTCATGCTCAATCTTATGGAGAGTGTAGCGGGGTCGGTGTGAGACAGTGTGGTCCGAGTTGCGGCGAAGCAGCTTCGACTAGACGAGGGCTAGGGAAGTCGTATCCCAGCAACTCACGGCGGTTTCATAGTCGCGTGGATGCGGACAGGTGAAACCAGTGTACGCGGGGAAAACCAGGTGGACGCGAATCTGCTACCGCTTGGGGTAGCAATATTAAATTCCACTTCCGAAACCGGTGCCTGGGTGTCTACCTCGAACACATGCGCGGTGGAGGCCGAAGACGATCCCAGGGCTCGAAGACGCGCTAAGTTGGGAGCTGACCCGAGCAGAGCGGGGCGGAGGCTGGGAAGCGGCTTATCGTGGGCCATGGCTAACGCGAGGCGTGACGTGCGTATGAAACGGCAATAATGCTGTGTCTTTCCGGGCTCGCCTTGCGTCGGCGGCACGGGCTCGCGAGTAAGGGCTCTCGTACAGTCGCCAGCTGAGTGAGTTGGCGCTGCGGACGAGGCGACTTAAATTGGCCATGGTGGCGAGGCTCTAGGCCTGTGAGCTGAGGCTAGGCAGCTGAGGAAGCGCCGGATGCGACGTTTGGGGAAGTTGAGTCTGGGGCCGGCGGCTTCATCACGATCGGAACGCGGTGCAACGCGTCGCGTCGCGTTCGCGCAACCCTGTCGGCGCAGCGTGTAATGCCGGTGGCGGGCAGGGGCGAAGAGGCTGGGAACCAGTGCTTTGACAGCTCGGCGTCCTGGCGCATGACGGCCAGGCACAGCAAACCGGTTTCGATCGACTGCTACTGGTAGAATAGCTTAGTGGCCGGCGCAGGCCCTGGTCGCCCAACACCAACAGCACACGGTGCAGACGCGCCCTTCCTTGCAGGCGCCACAGATCGCGTCTCGTGCGACCGGGCTGACGCCCGCCCTGGCCCGATATACACCTCGCGCGCCCTCGACCCATCCCTCTCCTCAGGCTTGCTCCGTCTTCTCCAAGTCCTCCGCGTTGCGACTCCTCGCCCTGCGTTGCTAAACTCACCGACTATTGTTGCTGCCTGCCGTCCGTGCTGCCGTTCCCCGCTCCGTCGGTTGTTTATTTCTCTACCTTTCGCGGGCGAACGTCAACACGCACATCCCCGCGCACGATTCGCGTCCGAGCTGCTCCACTCGACGCAAAATCAGCAGCAGCAGGACCGCCGTCTCCGAAACCATCGCAACCGCATCCCAGAAAATGACTGCTCACGTTCCTGCACGCCAGCCCTTTGCGGCCCTGGATGGCCCTCGTTTGAGGAACCTGACCAGTGCGAAGAACCGCCAGAACTGTAAGCTAGCTCGCCTGATGCCGATCCACCGTGCCGTGCTCACCCCTCTGCAGCCATTTCTGCTTCTGCATTCCCGTTCCCCTCGTCTGGCAAGCAATCTAAGTACTCGCCATCCAAGCGTCGCCACACGACCTCTCCCTTCGATGAAGCCTTCGACAGCGAGAACGTCGACCCTGCTGTTTTTGATTCGCCCACCAAACGCTCCAAGAACTTGGATGGAAGCCCGAAGAAGGTCTCCAAGTTCGTCGTGAGCACTGATGCCGTGCCCGCTGCTTCGCCTGCCACTCGCTGCTCGAAGCCTCTGTCGTCCATTGAGAAGCCGCGAACATCCTCTGTGCCCACCCAGTCGACTATCAGCACCAGCCGCGGTTCCCCGAAGCACAAGCGTGTTGGCCTCCTGTCCAAGCGTCGTACCACTCGCATTGATCCGCCGTCCTTTGGTCTCAGCCCTCGCCACAACGCTGGTGTGCCTTTCTCCATCGACGCTGCTCTGAGCGGTACCATTTCCGACCACGTGCCCGCCCCTAAGCCTGCTGCGCGCAAGCCCGCCCCCACCCTTGATGAGGCAATGCCCAAGGGTTGGTTCTTTGAGATCCACGAGGACAGCCCTGAAGAGGAAGCTACAAACATGATGGAGCACTCCGCACTTGTCCTGGACATCTCATCCGACGATGACTCCGACACTCGTGCCGAGAACGAGTCACGCGAGAAGGGCAAGGAGAACATCCCGCCGCCTGATTATTACCTTGTCGCGAGCTCCCGCTCTGCGAACGGCCCCGACGCTGGTTCCGAGCCGAGGAAGATCAAGCAGCGCCGCAAGGTTGAGAAGGACGCCATGGAGGAGGATCGCTCGCCGCTCTCCGCTCTGCCTGCCTCGGACTACTTCGGAGAAGGGCTTGACGGGAACTCGTACGTCATCGTCGATGGCACTGCCCCAGAGAAGCCTTCCTCGCTGTCAAAGGAGTGCACCTTTGACGACGTCCCGTCACGAGAGGGGAAAGATACCGCTACCGCCACCGCTACTATCACCAAGTCTGCAAAGAACGCTTGCAGCACTGGCAATGACCTCGAACCAGCCATTCCTGAGGTCTCTCCGTCAGAAGAGAGCAACGACTTCGTCATCTTTGACGAGTCCGCAGCCGAGGCGCCAGACACGAGCACGCCTGCGAAGGTTTAGGCCTCCTTTTCCTCTCTGTCAAAGTGACGAAGCGAGCGCTTATGAGTATTATACCCCTTCTCACTGTTAATTCTTGCTCGCTACCCGTTAGCTACGTCTGGCGAGGTCGGGTTGGCGTTTATGATGGCTTGATGTTTTTTCATTATCTGAGTTTAGCGATTGTTCTAGCGGGTTCGGTTCTACATGGGTAAAAAGCAGAGGCAAGGCTGCCGGATGGGTGTTCATGTGCATTGGTTTTGATCTTTTGGTTTTTCAGCGGTCGATTCTGGGTGCTGTCACGATATCGCGGATGAAGTTCCGATGCCATTGTGTCACGGTGCATGTCTTGAAGACAGGAATCTGTAGTTGATCTTAGCAACATACGATAATTGCTGCCTCAAACGATGCGTTCCATCAAAAGTGCAAGGTGAATTTTGACAATGTCGTTGCATTACAATTACAATTATGCGCACGGACCACGTCGATCGGAGCAGTCGGCCGTCAAGCTCCGTCGGCGGGCTGGAAAGTCGACAGCAACGCGACTCCACCAAGCCCACGCGCCCCAATGGCTTCAACACAGCGGTGTCTTGCTCGCTTGAGCAGGAATGTCCTCAATCCCTCAATACGGCCGACTGCCGGTCGGGCACTCGCCCCTGCGTTGATACCCATCCAGCAAATCCGCACCGCTATCGCGGGAAAGGGCTACAAGAAAAAAGACGACGCCAGCAGCAAGAAGAAGAAGAAGCCCCGGAAGACCTACCTCACCCCCGACCTTAAAGAAGCCGAGCAATTCGCTCTGCTGGATGCGATCCGGTACGGTTCACCCTCGGCCGATATTTGGCGGTCCTCGCAGCACGCGCCTCAGAAGCAATCGCACCAAAAGCAACCCGGAGAACCAGATATACTGACGCCCGACTTCCGTGCAGGTACATTCGCGCTTTCGAGGCCGGCCTAGATCCCAAATCTCCCAAATATGAGCTCCACCTAAAGCTCCGCACGCTCAAGAACGGCCCCGTGGTGCGCAACCGCCTACGCCTGCCGCACCCGGTCAAGACGGGCCTGCGCATCTGCGTGATCGCGCCGCGCGACTCGGAGGCAGGCCAGGCGGCGCTGGCCGCGGGCGCGACTGTCGTTGGCGAGGACGAGGTGTTCGACGCCGTCAAGGAGGGCAAGATCGATTTCGACCGCTGCCTGTGCCACCCGGACTCGCTGCAAAAGATGAACAAGGCGGGACTGGGCCGCATTCTTGGTCCAAAGGGGCTCATGCCCAGCGCCAAGATGGGAACCGTTGTCAAGGACCCGAGCTCGGCGGTCAAGGAAATGGTCGGCGGCGCCGAGTACAGAGAGCGATTGGGTGTGGTCAGGATGGCCATCGGGCAGCTGGCCTTCACTCCGGAGGAGCTGCAGAAAAACATCAGGCACTTCATTGACAGCGTGAAGAAGGATATGGCGCAGCTGAGTGACCGCATCTCGAAGGACATTCATGAAGTAGTAAGTTGTTCATCCAATCAGGTTCCCATAAAGGGCTGTAACTGACCCTTTCCAGGTGCTGAGCTCAACGCACTCGCCGGGATTCAGCTTGAACGGAGACTTCAGAGGGCCTGATTCGCCAAACCCGAAAGACCTTGTATCTGTAGATTAAACAAACTTTAAGGGTATATATTGGGCATTGAAAGCGGACACGGAAAATAGTGTATTATCATGAAATGACTTTTGGAATCCATCGGTATACTGCGGCTGCGTGATCTGGGTATTATGTGCTGCTTGGAAAGAAGACGCTCTAGAAGTAAAGGGGGTTACCCAGAAATGCTCGTGGGTCTTCAAGAGCCTCCCTTCAGGACCTTGACAGCCTCGATGCCTTCGTCCATTTCTGCGTAGATGCTCATGACTTTGAGCACTCTATTCTTGCCTTGCGGGCCCGCGGCCTTTGCCGATTTCAGCTCCGCTCCAAGGTCCAGCAGCAGGGTATTCCGAATCTTCGTCAAACGAGGCTCCTGCGCGACCAAGAACGGGTGTTCTTTGCCAATCCGTCCCGCGGTCTGGCGCACGCTCAGGTACTGCCTCGCCAGTCTCCTCAGCTTCCCTAACGAGACGCTGCTCCCCAAGCTCTCCTCTTCCTCCTCGTCGCTCTCCTCATCGTCATCATCGTCCTCCTCATCGCTGCTCTCCGTGCTCTCTCCCTGCCCCTTCGCGGGCCCCTGCTGCCCGACGACCAGCGCAGCCTCCAGCTCGCCCACCCTCCTCTCGACCTCCAGCAGCGCCCTCGCGACGGCGCGCTGCCTCCTGACGGCCTCGCGCTCCTCGACCAGGCGGCGCACCTCTTCCTCCCTGCCCGCGACGGCGCCGCGCACCTCGCCGACGGCCTTGCGCAGGCCGAGCAGGCCGACGCGCACCTCCTCGACCTTGTCCTCGCCGCCGTGCAGCGCCTGGCCCAGGCTCAGGAAGTCGGCGTAGTTGGCGTTGACGAGGTCGAGCAGCTCGCGGCTGATGAGGCCGCTGCGCGCGCGCAGGTCCGACCGCAGGTCCGCCAGCGTCTGGTGCCGGTGCGACAGCGTCGACAGGTACTGCGCCGCCGAGAACTGCTCCGCCGGCACCGTGAAGGCGCTGCGCGGCAGCGGCGCCGGGTACGGCAGGTCCGCGTCGTCGTCCGAGTCGGAGATGAGGCCGCCCGTCGAGATGTGCACCTCGGGGTCCGGCGTTGAGGGTTCTGACGTGGCGTTGGAGGAGGGGAGCTGCAGAGAGCGCCGTTTCATGTTAGTGGAAAGCTGTCGGTTTTTGGTAGGGGCAAGCTGGAAATGAGGACGGACTTCGAACTTGCTCATGGTTGCAGCTTTCAAGTGTTCTGATTTTTGTTGGAAGCGCTTTGCAGTTTAAGGTTTGAAGTGGTTATAACCTCGATTCTGGCATTGGTTTGGTTTCGCTTCTTGTGGCAGGGAATGGGGATTCGAAGTTGTAAAGTTGAGGTACAGGTGTTGGTTTGGCTTGTAGACCCGCCCCGCGGAGGTTCGCGCTGATCTCCGCGCTCCTCCGCACGTCACCTATCCAAGGTCCCTGCTTTCCCAATTTGCAGGCCAATGAGCATTGATTTCAAGGATCCGGTATGGCGTTAAGAAATCTATTCTGCTTGGATAAATTCTCTATTAAAAAACCGAGTGCCAATTTCAAGCCGGCTGGGCAAAATCTTAGAAGCAGCTTGACCGAAACATGTTTACCTACCTCCAATCTTGTGATCAAATACATCCCATCCTGAGTTGCGTTCTTGAGAAGCAGTCTTCATACAGCCGTGATGCTCTCAATAACACCTGGAACGCCGGTCATTACAAACATGCCTTGAAAGTCTTTACAATCTTCCTGGCTCTACCTTCATTTTCCCTTGATGAATGACAGCTTTCGAGCTATTCCAGCTTCATTCAATATCTTTAGCCTTCAATCGTGCAAACTACCACCACTTGACGTATCCACTTTATCACCGAATCCCCAACCCTCCAAATGCCCTGTCTAGCTCAGCCCCCTCATCACTCTGCACAACCCCCTGCATCGCCTCCCCTTGTTGCTGCTGCTGCGGCGCCGCCTCATCCAGCAAGCTTCCCCCCTGTTGTCCACCACCACCACCGTCACCTTTCCGCTCCGGCACCAGCATCTTGACGTCCTCGTCCAGCCAGCCGGGGGCGACGCGGCGCTTCTCGGCGAGGTCGCGCTCGCGAATGCCCTCCTCCCACTGGCGCACCGTGGCGCGCGCGTCCTCGGTCAGCCGCGTCAGGTGCGCCTGCAGCGCGCGGCACGACGCGATGATGTCGTCCGGGTGCGCCGCGTGCTGGCCCGACGCCGACATCACGTACGCCGGCTTCGGCGGCACTCCACCCCCGGCAGCGTTAACATCTTGTTGTAGTTGTTGGTCGTCGGTGGCGTTGGCGACGGCGGGAGGGTCGGTGACGGAGGGTGGGAGGGTCGAGGGGAGTTGCTTGTAGGTGTAGGGCAGAGGGGTGGCGGTCGGCAGGGAGACGAATGGCGAGACTGTGAGGGGGATTTGTGCGAGCAGCGGGTGCGGGTCTGCGAGTGGACAGCAAATGCGTCGTGGTTAGCGGAGAACGGGTTGTGTTGTTGAAGATGTGGGGAAGCTCGGCAGCGTACGGTCTTCGTGCATGGTGGGCGAATGCGGCGTCGCCCGGGAAAGAGACTCGGCGGGGAATAGAGCTCGTGGTGTTGGTAAACAATCGGCGACCTGGGTGAACAGAGAACAAGTCCGAGTCGGCGACTAAGGGACGGGGATGGGCGGTCGAGGGCAGTTGACATGCGGGAAAGCTAGGTGATGAGCGCTTGGAGCTTCCGCTTCGGTGTGGCGTCAGCCCTACAGAATGGCCTGATTTCATCCACTATTTTGCGCAGACAGCTCTGGCTCCGCCGGCATTCCCAAACGCCCAATCCTCTGCGCTCCCTTTTCTCCAGAAAACACCCAATCCGCCAAACAGTCGTCTTCACCCACACTCGCAACAATGAACACCGTAAGCTCTCCGCCACTTCAATTGCAGATGTAGTTCCCGCTGACGCCCGCACAGGTAAGGTCTACCGCGTACGTCATTCATAGTCATTCCCGACCACCTCCGTAGGACCGACGCTCACCATAATCCTCCACCAGGTACGGATGGGGCGTTCTCATCGTCGGTACGTCTGCACCAAACAATGCCCCGGCCGATCAACAATTGCCTCCGCGTTGAAGACAGCCTCCTCAGCGAGAAATACGCTCTGGACTAACGCGAAATCTTCCCAGCCGGCGGCGGTGCCTACTACTTCGCGAAGAAGGAGATCAACGCCGAGCGCGCCGAGAAGGCAGCTGCCGACCGCCGCAAGCGTGAGATGCAAGCGCGCCTCGAGGCGCAGGCCTACGGCAACGGCTCCAACGGCGGCGCCAACCCTAGCCAGGAGGCCAGCCAGGACCCTGCGCCGACACGACACGCACCCGAGAATGCGGGGCAGCAGGTCTTCGAGAAGAGCAAGTACGAAGCGAACGATCCGTTCCGGAGCAGGAAGGGAGACCGCTTCAGTTGAACGAATGATGGCTGATGGAATACGAAAGGAACCGGTGACGGAAGCAATACGAGTTGCCATGTGGAAAAGAAGGGGCAGTGGGGAATCTAAGCGCGGATCAAAAGCTGGGGGATTGATTGCTGGCGTAGCTGAAATGGGGGTGGCCAGATGGCTGCATGAATGCAGTCGAGTCTCCGGAAGGTTGTTTGCGCTTTCGAGTAGAGCAACCGGTTTATGTTTCGTTACGGATGGGACCCTCGCATTGGTTACTGGAGTATGGCAGCGAAGCATTCAGCTCCAAAAAGCTTCTATCTGAAATAGTTGCGTCCAATTGTCTTCGGGAAAATAATTGGTCTGGTTTGTATCTCAATTACCACTCTCAACTCTGTACAAAATTGACTATACTAAAATTGTTCATTGTGCTATGATATCGTCGAAAATGCAGCTCCCAGAGGGAGAAGCAAGCCGCTCGGAATCAAACGAGCGACTATTCAGTCAATAAATGAAATCCTGGTATATTGCCGCCAAACGCCAATAGGATGCTCCAATGGGAGGGCTTCGCCAGCCCTTGGCCCCTCCCTAACCTTCAGCCGAAAGTTACACCTAAGTCCCTGCGCCGATACCGCTCAAGCGCTGCATGAAGCAGCGCTTGGCAGCAGAAGAAGAAAAGTTGAAAGCGGATCATGGCAGCTCCTTGATCGGCAGGCACTTTCCCTCTAGAACTTGGGGCTCGGCGTGAAAGGGATCGGCGGCCTAGCGTGCGGTGCCCTGTTAGTCCTGTGTACACTGACCGAAGTGGAGCTCCCCATGTACAATGACAGAAGTGGAGCTCCCCTAACTGAACACGCCACTTGCATGGTATACGCAATGCTGTATCCAAGCGGCGAAAAGGAGAGATAACTTACTTGGTCATGTAGGTGCCGTCACGCTTTGCTTGGCGGGTCTGCAGGTACGGGTGCACAAAAGGCAGCACGACACCGGCGGTGATGGCGCTGTGAGCGACGAGGAGCTGCAGACGCGAATAACGCGGCACAAAGGCACGCGAAGAGTAGTGGCGAGCGGCGTGTCCGAAGAAAGGCATTGTGGGTGATTTGGAAGCGGTTTGCTCAAGATTGTTTGAGAAACGAAGTTGAGTGGACCTCAAGGTGCTTGTTGACTTTGGGTGTGTTAGCGCGGGGTCGAGTCGCTATAGCTTGAGTGCTGCGCCGCTGGAATATATGTGCGGAAATGAAAGAGAGGAAAAGATGCTGGATAAGAAGAATAGAAAGGTGGCGGGACTTGCGCCATTTTGTAGAAGCCTTGGAGGCTTGTGGGCAGTTTTGGCGTGAGGTCTGACAGGCAACAGGGACTTACCAGTTGGTGACTATGATGCCAGACCGCAACAGGGCTGAGCTGGTGACTGACGAATGCCGACGCTAAAGCCGAGACGGGCCGTAGAGCGATGTTCGGGCGTATTTTTAGGTCTTGGGAGTTTGAAAGTTGGTGAGCTCAGGAGCAAGCGCGTTGGTACGGATTAAAAGTACTTCTTCCAACAGAGAAGCAGCCGGGGGGCGTGGGGAAATGATATATGCGCCTTCATGCAGGACTAGAAATTCATTCCTGCCGCCCTGGAGCTGCGTGCTGAGCCCTGCGAGTAGAGCCGCCCCTGCACCGAGCCGCCGGGGCCATGCGTGAGTGTGGGCTGGCAATCGCCTGACACGGCCGCCCTCTTCCCGGGTGCTTCTCGTTATTGGGCTCGCCGGCCAAATGCTTTCCCCCCCGCCTACCCGTTTGAGCCCGCCATTCCAGCCCCACTGTCACATGGCAGCACACCATTTCGGCCTTTCATGCCTCACTCCAGCCATGACTGTCCCTCCCCCGCCATCGCGAACCAGCAGCCTGTCACCGGTGCTTCTTCCGGCGCTACTGTGCGGTGCAGACGCCTGCCACAAAATGTTCCGATCTGCCTGGAGCTCGGGCGCTTGCCTTACTGGGCCTGGGCCTTAGCTTGCGTGTTGCCTAGGTCGCAGATGCTGCAGAGTGACGCCGTCTCCGATCCTGATGCGCAGGGCAACATGAGGATCCGTCAAATGACGACAGATCAGGAGGCGCGGCGTCTCCACGCTGTTCCAGCCTGCTGGTTGCAATAGTGAATCTTCGCCTGCCACGCGGCTATTCCTAGGAAAAGTAGGTGAGTAGCACAGGGCGTGAGGAATGGCCACTAGTTGTGTGGCCGGGCCAGGGACACGATAGTCAAACGTGGAAGGCGGATCCTCGTCAGATTTTGGTGCGCAGATACGGCCTTGTGCACGCGACACCTCTCGCAGAAAGAAAGCGGTAAACTCGAGATGCGATAAAGAATCAACAAGACGTCAACTCGAGACGAGCCTTTAGCAGCAAAACGAAACGAAACCTCGACTGCACTTGCTCTCCCGCGCCCAAACGTTGCCCAAAGCACCTGGTCCCCCCAAATCTCTCACCACTTTTCTCCGCATTAGCTGCCGCTCTTCGTCTCCGTTCGCCCACGCATCCCGAGCCGTTCCGTGCGCCAGCTGCAGACCCCTCCCTGTCTGCAACCATCTTTGAAATGCCTTTTCTCCTATTGGATGAATGGACCCCTGTCTTAGGTGTAACACTTGCCCATAGCGCACGCCATGTTGCCACGGGAAAGTGGATATCGCTCAAAGCCACGCTTGAGAACGTCAGCTCGTACAAAGATGATTCAATCACAGGGGAACCGGTCCTTGCACCGGGAGAAAACGGATTTTTGGGCACGTTGCAAGAAGATAGCGCGGATCCAACACTGTTGGGAGGACGGACAAGTTGCTGCTCTTTTGCTGCGTGCATGTTGCTCGACTATCCACGCATGCGAGTGCATTAGCACCTGCCAAACGGCTAAAATGTTATCCCTCGACCTTGTCAATACCATGCAAGTTTCGGACCCTGTCATGTTCACTTGCAATCGCATAATCCAAAAACCTGCAGTTGGGCCTTCTGAAGAAATAGCGGGCCTTACTTTTTTTTTTCTTTCGCCCTCTTCCTCCTTTCATCTCATCTCGCCCTTGACTCCGTCACACTAGTACCCATGTCGGCGGCTAGAGAATATACCTCAACTGTTGGTCAGGTCCCTCAAATGCACCCACTAAGGAGGAAAATGAAAGACACTATTGATCAGTAGTTTTCGAGACCCCTGAGCGATCTGCGGTCCAGTCAGATGGCGTTCAAAAAAGCAAGTATGTGCATGCAAGGTACGGAGTCACTGCATGCCAAGGTCATGGATCTCTTGAAAAGACTCACGTGTACGGACGTAAGTACCATGCACGTCAGAAAATCATTGTATGAAAACCTAACCTTTTCTTCTGCCCTCTACCATAGCCGTTTAGCGTTTTTGTGACGGCTTCGAGCACGTAGAGCCTTGATGCGGTGAAATACCTTACCTCTCCCCAGCCTTATGCCAGAAAGCACTACATCTAAACTCCCCAGACCACCACATTCCCGTCACCACCGGCGCTGGCGAACTCGTTTCTTCTTGGACAGAACGCTACGGCGCTGACGACGTCTTTCTTGGATGTGCCTTTAGCCTCCCCATGCCGAAGCTGATGCAGGGTAGTGCCCGAGACCACGTCCCAGGCAAAAATGCTACCATCTTCACTACCGGCGACGACGACGTTGTCTTTGAGACCAAGAGTTGAGCGGATGCGGTACTCTTTATTTACGTACTGTAGCGAGTCACTAGTATGCGGGAGATGACTAGAGAAATGTGGAATGAGGAAGTTCCTACCTCAGGTGCTTTGTAAGACTGCAGCAACTTGCCGTTAGACCTGTCCATCAGACGTATCGTCGAGTCGAGCGTGCTAGTCAAGATCGAGTCGGCATCCCTAGTAGTCGTGATAGACGTGACGGGATCTGTCTCGTGTCAGTAAAGCCGCCTGTAGCCTACCGGGACAATCCTCGCTCATCCTTATACTCACGTCCAATAAGATCCACGAACACCTGCCCCATCCGGATATCGTACGTCCTGACCCTCCCGTCTACGCACCCGGTGAAGATCTCGTGTCCCCAGACGCAGATCGACGAGATGCTATCCTTAGCCTCCGATAGCGTCATGAGCGGCTTGTGCGACTGGCTCTTGAGGTCCCAAAGCTTGACCGTGGCATCGAAGCTCCCTGCAGACAAGCATATCATAATTAGCTTCCCGCACGTTTCCACAGGGCTCGCGCGCACGCCCACATTCCGTCGGCCCAAGCCTCCTTCCCGAAGACCCCACTGCACATTCCCGCTCCTCCTCTCCGCTCACCCCACAATTCCTTACCCCAAGAAAGCAACAAAACTTAAACACGGAGCGCATGACTCACCGCTGACCAAAACGTCGCCCTGCGCGGCAAAGGCGACGGCATTGCACTTGCCGCTGTGCCCGCTGAGCCGGCGCAGCGTCGTCGCCGTCGCGACGTCCCACAGGAAGACGGCCTTGTCGCCGCCCACGCTCGCGAACCGCGCGTTGTCGTCCGCGACGGCGATATCGAGCACTTCGTAGCCGTGCGCCTCGTACTTCTGTACCAGTCCTCCACGCGCTGCGTTGAACAGCCGGATCGTGCGGTCGGAACTGCCCGTGAGGATCTATTATTTGCGCGCCGCGTTAGGTAACCGTGTGTTTCCTCGTTCGTGGGGGTAAGTGGGCTTCCGTCATCGAGCGGGGGAAGAAGGCTTTCTGTGGCGTTTGCGGGTCGGAGAAGCGGTTTGAACGTACATATTGGCCAACGCCTGCGCTATAAGTCACGGCATGGACAGGTCCTGTTGTAGCGTTAGAGCTTGTTTCCAGTCAGATTCGAGGATATATGCTGAGAAAGCTGGTGCAGAATATTACCATTGTGGCCAGAGAGCTTGGCAATCTGCCTGGTTGGAAATTGTGCCGTCATGACATGTCGCAGTAAATGTAGTTGCGGAGCGTTGGAGGTGTCGGAGCTATTGGCGGGAGCTTGGATACAATTGCGCGGCCTTGGCACCCAAATCACAGAATCAACGTGGCCCACATTACACAAGATTTTAGCTCAAGGGCAACGCAAAAGTTCATTAATCTACAATGGGGGAGAAGTGGAAGATGCAAAATTAGCCGATGCTTCCCCAGATTTTAATGCGTCTCTCCCAGCTTGAAAACTCCCAACTACGCAACGGTTCCCGCGCCAAAACGGAATCCCCTCCCGCCGCCGCGCTGCTTAAGAAAAAGGCTCAGTTGCGAAGTCGCAAAGCCTCAAACCAACTTTGGACTGAAGCTCGCTAAGCGCCATTACAAACGTACTGAAAGACTGCAAATGAGAGGTATCAGAAGAAAGGAAAAACCGGGTGCGCAGTGCGAAAGTGGCCTAACGACGGCCGTGAGAGCGGGTAACGCTGCCCTGCAGTGTCTCGACCTCTGCCTCGAGCTGCTTGATGACGGCGTGGCTCTGCTCCAAGTCCTTGTTGAGGCGGTCGCGCTCCGAGATGAGCTTCTGCTCCCATTGGCGGAAACGCTGCTCCTCTACCTTGACCTGCTCCGTGAAACGCTTGCGGAGTGCCTCTTCCTCCTCCTTGAACTTGGGGTTGTCCAGCTTCCTGGGCCGAGCCTCGCCAAACTTCCGCGTCTCCATCTGCTGTGCCCTGTACGCTTCGTAGTGGTTCTCCTCGGTCGTGTGGATCAGATCCAGCATGTGCGTGCGGATAAGGATGGCGCGGAGCTTCTTGAAGTCACAGTGCTCCTCGTTCTCAACCTCAGCCACACCCCAGGCGTATTGGCGACCCTTGACGGTACGGCCATCAGTGGTCTGGACGTCCTTCTCAGAGCCGATGACGGAGAAAGGCATGGCAGCGATCAGGCTGCGAGCGTGCTGGAGACCGGCCTCATCGTCCTCCTCGAGCGGGGGCTGGTAGATCTTGATGCCCTGGGCCTCGATAACAGATCGGATCTTTCGTATTTCGTTAGTAAAATAGTACGCTAAAAAATCCACTAGAAAATCATACCTTGGCCTTGAACTTGTTGAGGTCAGCGGGGCTGAGAGTGTCGGCCTTGGCGACAACGGGAATGAGGTTGACGCGAGTGCAGAGACGCTTCATAACCTCAATGTCGAGAGGCTTCAGGGTGTGGCCGGTAGGGCGGATGAAGTACAGGCAGGCGTGGACACGGAGATCAATCTTCTCCGTACGCTTGGGCTGCTGCTCCTGGAGCATGTACGACTCGTGCTGGTCATCAAGGAACTCAATGATGGGTTGCCACGAGTCGCGGTTGTTGACGTAGTCGCCGAAGCCGGGCGTGTCGATAACCGTGAGGCGGACTGTAAAGCGAATGAGCCAATGCGCGCATTTGGTCGGCGGGGGGTCCCCTATACTAACCCTTGAAGAACTTCTCCTCAAGCTCGGCCTTGGTAATCTCGATCTCGACCGTCTTGTCGACCTGCTTCTGGTGGCGGCGCTTGTGATCGGCATAGTTCTTGATCGTGGTGGAAAAGAGAGTGTTGATGAAGGTCGTCTTTCCCAAGCCGGACTCGCCAGCAACCTATCACACCACGTCAATCCCTGATCCCGCTGGATGATTGCGATGGAGCTGTACCATAATAGTGAAGGCGGCACCGCGCTTCGCAACGATCTTGTGCCTGCGGTGGTGTTAGGTGGCGCGGTCGCGATCGCAAGGAGAAGCAGGTAGCTATTTACCGTTGGTTGGGGAGCTGGGGGACAGGTCAGCAAACGTCGGGCGCATAAAGATGGCGGGGTCAACTCACATTGGCAATGCCAATCGGGGACGCAGATTCCGCCATTTTCGGGTGGTGAGGCGCGCTGCCTTTGGTGTGGTGGTAGGAAAGTGTGGAGCTGGAGCGAGCGTGAGCGGATGCGCAAAGTAGCCCCTGAAGAGATGAAGCTCACAATGTGGTGACCGAGGCCAAGCAGGGCGCGGACGTTGGTGGAGCGAGCGGAGGAAGTTGGAGGAAGGGCGGGCGTCAATGGGGCGGCGGGCGCTGGAAGGCAGTGGAGAGCGGTGGTGGAAGCCCCTAAGTCGAGGTTCCCCTTCGGCGAGAGACCCTGGGGGAAAGCGCGTTGGGCCACGCTAGCACGCGCGCTCGGACCGCCATGCCTGTGCGCCAAGCCCTTCGAGAGCTGCAACACCAAAAAGTTTCCCGCCCGCAATCGATAAGTCCATGCCGCCATGAAGACCGACTTCAGGGTACGTACCGCCGTCGCACGCCTTGCTGCCGCAGTCGCTGACCCGCGCACAGTTCTCGAATTTGCTGGGCACTGTTTACAGCCGCGGCAACCTTCTTTTCACCCCGGATGGCACCTGTCTGCTGTCGCCCGTGGGCAACCGCGTCTCAGTCTTCGACCTGGTCAAGTGCGAACAAACCTCCAACTTGCACCACCATTCATGACGCAGGATCTGACCATTTCGCAGCAACAAATCGCACACTCTTCCTTTCGCGCACCGCCGGAACATTGCCCGCATCGCATTAAATCCTCGCGGCAACTTGCTGCTATCCGTCGACGAAGATGGCCGCGCCATTCTGACGAACGTGCCCCGCCGTATTGCGCTTTACCACTTCTCGTTCCGATCGCCTGTCTCGTCCATAGTATTCGCGCCGGATGGGCGTCAGTTCGCTGCCGCAATTGGCCGTCAAGTCGAAGTGTGGCACACGCCGTCGACCCCGGATGCCGGCGCAGACGGCGAGCTGGAATTTGCGCCTTTCGTACGCCATAGAGTATATACCGGCCATTATGACAATGTTGAGAGCATAGAGTGGTCTGGCGACTCTAGGTTTTTCCTTACGTCTTCAAAAGATCTTACGGCAAGAATATGGAGTTTGGATCCGGAGGACGGATTCGTCCCCACAACCCTGTCCGGACACAGGCAGGCCGTCGTGGGTGCATGGTTTTCAAAAGATCAGGAATCGGTGGGTATAACTGCAGGCGCGTGGAATCAGGGCGAGGTATGCTGACTGAGTTACAGATGTACACGGTCAGCAAAGACGGTGCGCTTTTTGAGTGGCAATATCTTCCAAAACCTGGTCTGGATGAGGACGAGCCGGAAGAGGACACGGAGCGTTGGAGGATAGCTGAGAAGCATTACTTTATGCAAAACAACGCGCACGTTACTTGCGCCGCGTTTCACGCCGAAAGCAACCTCCTGGTAGTGGGCTTCTCAAACGGTATTTTTGGCATTCACGAGCTGCCTGAGTTCTCCACGATCCAAAACCTCAGGTACGGATTCCGAATGATTTCCCAAACCCTCGACTAATTTAAGTAGCATCTCGCAACATGATATTGACTACGTCACCATCAACAAGACCGGCGAATGGCTGGCATTCGGCGCATCCAAGCTTGGTCAATTGCTCGTCTGGGAGTGGCAATCTGAATCTTATATTCTCAAGCAGCAGGGCCACTTCGACTCGATGAACTCAATCGTCTACTCGCCAGATGGTCAAAGGATTATCACTTGCGCTGACGATGGCAAGATCAAGGTCTGGGACACTGCTTCCGGATTTTGCATCGTTACTTTCACCGAACACACCAGTGGCGTAACGGCTTGCGAGTTCGCAAAACGTGGTAACGTCCTTTTCACGGCTTCTCTCGATGGCTCTGTGCGAGCGTGGGACTTGATCCGCTACCGGAACTTCCGTACGTTTACCGCACCGAAACGCCTTTCCTTCTCCTCTATCGCTGTGGACCCCAGTGGAGAGGTAATCTGCGCTGGCTCGCGTGACGACCCAGATATCCACATCTGGTCCGTACAGACCGGACAGCTTCTCGATACACTCTCCGGACACGAAGCACCCGTATCGTCTCTCGCCTTTGCGCCGAACGGAGGCAATATTGTCAGTGGCAGCTGGGATCACAGCGTACGCATTTGGGATATATTCGCACGGACCCAGACAAGCGAGCCTCTTCAATTGCAGTCCGACATCCTCAGCTTGGCGTTCCGTCCAGACTCAAAACAGATCGCGGTAGCGACCCTCGATGGTCAGCTGTCGTTCTGGTCGGTATCCGATGCAACCCAAGTCGGCGGGTTGGACGGTCGTCGCGATGTATCCGGTGGTCGCAAGATGACGGACCGACGGACCGCGGCCAATGTGGCCGGCACTAAAGCTTTCCAGACTATTACCTATAGCGCAGATGGCACGTGCGTTCTCGCCGGCGGCAACAGCAAGTACATTTGCTTGTACGACGTGCAGTCTGGCGTCCTGTTGAAGAAATATACCGTCAGCGTTAACCTATCGCTAGACGGCACGCAGGAATTCCTCAACAGCAAGCTCCTAACCGAAGGTGGACCTCGTGGACTCATTGACGAGACTGGTGATGCCTCCGACCTGGAAGACCGCCTTGCCGGCGATAAGACACTGCCTGGCGCGCAGCGTGGCGGCGACATGAGCTCGCGGCGTACTCGTCCGGAGGTCCGCGTTCCTGCAGTAGCCTTTGCGCCCACGGGTCGCGCATTCTGTGCCGCAAGCACGGAAGGTCTGCTCATTTACAGCCTCGACAACACGCTGCAGTTCGATCCCTTTGACCTCGATGTGACGGTAACGCCTGACTCGACGCTGGCGGCGCTGAAGGAGGGTCAGTACTTGCGCGCGTTGGCCATGGCTTTCCGGCTGAATGAGCGTGGCCTTATCGCTCGAGTCTACTACGCGACTCCTCTCCAGGATGTGGCACTTGTCGTGCGGGACCTTCCGCAAGTGTACCTTGCCCGCCTCCTGCGCTTCGTTGCAGCTCAAGCAGACGAGAGCCCCCATCTCGAGTTCAACCTCCGGTGGATCGAGGCGCTACTTACCAGCCACGGCCGTGTGCTCAAGGACCGGCAGGGCGAGTTTGCACCGGAGCTGCGTGCCGTCCAGAAGGTCGTTGCGAAGGTGCAGCGGGAGGTGGCACGGCTTGCGGAGGACAATGTGTACGCCATTGACTTCTTGCTCACCCAGCCAGTCGGCAGACAAAACGGTGCGCTGGGTGCCGACGACGTGCTTGGGCTCGTCGAGGACGGCGAGGAGATGGAAGTCGAGGAGGGTGAGGGAAGCGACAGTGAGAGCGGTGAATGGATGGGACTCGATTGAATCCTTTAGATCCTTGCTCTCCACTTTTTCTTTCTACAAGTTTCTTGTTAATTTAGGGGGCCAAGAGGGAATCAAAAAAGGAGTTTGTGCTTTTTGGTGGATGACGCACAGGTAATCATGCATGTTGGTTGTCATAGCGTTCTCTCAGGACTCAACGCGAAGGTGAACTGTGGCGCCCAGTGGGGAATGAGGCATCAGTAACCCACCAGATCCACATTTCGAAGGGCTTCAGAATAGATACGTGTTCCATCATCAATCAAGATTGTAGTGTAAATTTGTGCAGACGTCCGTCTCTCATGATTGACAAGTATATACAGAAGAGTGAACTGCTTCCGCCGAGACCAGTCTCGAGCATCTCCCAGCAAACTATTCACAAGAAAAGGGAACTTCAGCCAACTCATACGACACCACCACCACTGCAGTGATCCAGACATCAGTGGCGCTCAATGGCGGAGTAAGGGGCACATCAAGCCTCTACCATCTAGCACGTGAGCGCCGTGGGGCCGGGAATGGCGTAGGACGTCGGGGTGGGGTAGTAGAGGTTGAAGACGATGCCGGCGTCGTCCGTCTTGTAGGCGCCGGGGAACTCGACGCCCGAGGGCACGGCGTCGGCGGTGCCGCCGGAGACGTTGATCTGGGCGCACTCCATGTACAGCTGGGCGCCGGGGTAGGTGCTGGCGCCGTGCAGGGCGATGAGCTCGACGCGCAGCAGGTAGTTGCCGTCGGGGATGCACTTGGGCATGGTGAACGACACCTTGCCGGCGTTATCGATCATCTTGTCGACGGCCCACGTGCCCGACGCGCCGTCCAGGCCGTCCTCGTAGATCTTGAACCACGACAGGCCCGTCACGTCCTCGACGGTCGCGTCGTCGACCTTGGCCAGGTACGCCATGATGGGGCCCTTGTGCGAGGCGCTGATCGGGTCGTCGCCGTCCGACGAGTCGGCGCCCGCGAGCGTGTGGTGGAACTCGGCCGTCACCGAGGCGCCGGCGGGGATCTGGAATTTGCGTCAGTGGATCTGAGTGGATATGCAAGTCATTGTGCATGCAGAGTGGGACGTGAGAGTGATGTTGACGGTGGGCGCGGGAAGAGAGGGGATTTCGAAATTGCCAAATGGGGAATTAATGGTGCGGTGCGTGTTTCAAGTTGTTTCCTCCAATCCTCTTTTTCCGTATCTATGCTCTTACTCAGAGGAGTTGAGGGGTCTTGGTAGGGCTTGGCTGTGCTCATGGGGGCTGTTTGACCACCCGGTGTCCCTAACATCGCTTGCGGTAGGGGTCTTATAGTGGAAGGGATCGACGTTTTGAGATTGTAGGGCGAGGTAAAGGAGCTATGTTTGCTTTTGAAGATGGTACTTACATCGATGATAGCCGTCGGCAGCGGCGTGTTCAGGGGGTTGACACCGCCGTTACAGATCACATCGTTGGAGGTGACATCGGTGATAGGGCTGATGGGAGGGGAGGTTAGCGAATCGAATACGAGGGTGAGGCTGTGTAGACGAAAGAGGCAAGGCGATAGTCAGGAACGCACCCGTCGTAGTTAGGCACGCGAATGCCGGTCGTGTGGCCCTGGGACACGCCATTGACGTAGAGCTCCTGGAAGATAGTGTGGGCGGAAGCAGACGCGACCAGCGCACATGTCGAAAGAATGGACCTCATGGTGGATAGTGGGAGGTGGAACAGTGGAGAAACCAGAAAGAACACGGCACGGCCGATCTACGATTTGGAAGAGGAAAGGAGCAGTGCTTTTAGGACCAGGACGCATCGCATATTTATTTGGATAATGAGGGTAGACGGAACATTTCTGCGCTTCCGCCGGCGACGCGCTCCGTGGGTCCAGCAGCGCAATTGGAAACGGAACGAAACGGCCTGGGCCGCCAGCAGGTGGCTGCTCGCATGATACTGGGACTGTTTCTGGATGACGACCAGGGGCGTCGCCGCACACGCGGCCGCGGCAGCGATGCAGGCTTCATCTGGCTAAAGGAGGGTCATAGAAGGTCCAATATAGCACAGAAAGACTCGCGAGCGGTTGCCGCATGGAGCGTCGAGATGCAAGAAAAAGGCAAGAGTGGCTTGAGAATCGATGGAGCTTGACCCCACAGCGACCGGTTTTGGAGCCAGGCGAGGCCCGAAGAGAGGAATGAAACAGTGGGTAGAAACGTCCGGGGTGTCGCAACGGCGGTCCGGGTTGTCGCGAGCACCTATAAGCATTTTAGCGCGCCAGGTATTGGGCGGCGTGCATGGGCGCGCGCCGCGTGCCCGGACAAGCCATCCGCTGCGGGCGAGTGGGGGCTCTTAGCTGCGTGCGCTGAGCTGCACGAAAGCTTGTCTCCGATTTTTCCGGCGTGATGAAGCAGGCTCGTTGTTGGCGGAAGAAGGCGTGCAAATAACAGGAGCAGCGGCTATTGTAGGCGAGCCAAAAGCAAGGATCCTGGCGCGCGCTCCTGCTGCAGCTTTGAGTAAGCTAACCGACCTTCTCCAGGAACAATACAAAGGTCCTTGCCCAAACTAGTGGAACACGCCCTTCTTGGCAGCAATCAACATCAATCAAACGCCCACCGCCTGGCATCCAACGCCCTGTGTTCTGGCCCGCTGACTCGCCAACCCTGGCCTCCACCATGTGTCGAAACACGCCGCAACTCGCTTGTCACGGGCCTTGCTGCCGCTCCCTTGGCTGACCAACGGGAGCCTCTCCGTCCCAGCTTACCGTCAAGCCCGCCAGGGTGCCTAAACAATCTAACCGTGCGCAAGTTATGCGCCGCCTGAGTTGGCAAACTTCCTGAGAAATGGATATAAGCCCATTGGCTGCCGCCAGCCGTATATCTCTTCACCACCACGCGCCCTTCGCTTTGCCTGGAGGACTTTCTCTTCGCTCTTTCCCTTGTCATTCGTTTTCCATTGGCGCCGGGTCGCCAGCTTCACCATGAAGTTCCCAACCATCCTCAGGGCTGTGCCCCTACTTTCGTCTCTCCGTACGCATTCTCAACTCTTCCGTCGAATTCAAGTCCATTCTGACCCCGTGCAGTTTTCCCCATTGCTTCTGCCCAGACCGGCTCTTACTACACCGATGCAGACACCGGTATCAAGTTCTGGGAGTACACCATCCCGGAGGCCCAGACCACTGGTGGTTTCAAGTTCGGTATGGCTCTGCCCGGTGAGGCCGGCGGTACCAACGATGAGTACATCGGCCACATGGTCGGTGCTATCCAGGAGGGTGCCGGTTGGTCGGGTATCTCCCACGGTGGTGGTATGACTTCTGCTCTGCTCCTGCTTGCCTGGGCCGACGGCGACGAGGTCAAGACTTCGTTCCGCTACGCCAGTGGCTACACCACCCCCGAGATCTACACCGGCAATGCCACTGTCTCCGAGATCTCCCACAAGGTCAACGAGACCCATTTCGAACTCATCTACCGCTGCACCTGGTGTTGGGCCTGGAACCACAACGGTGCAACTGGCTCGCAGCTGCCTACCGGTACGGTCGAAGTCATTGGCTGGGTCCAAGCCAACGACTCTCCTAGCCCTGTCGATGACCCCGCTGGTACCATTGTTCAGCACGACAATGGTATGGGTCAGTATGGCCACATTATTGCCAGCGCTAGGAACACTGCCTACACCAGCTGGGCTTCCTCGGCCACCTCGGTGCCCACCACCACTGCTGCTCCCAACGGCACTGCCACCGCCACCTCTGCCCCTGTTGCCAGCTGCACGGCCACTAACGTCCCCACCGACACCTATGACTACATCATCGTCGGTGCCGGCGCTGGTGGTATCCCGCTTGCCGACAGGCTGAGCGAGTCCGGCAAGAGTGTGCTTCTGATCGAGAGGGGTCCTCCCTCCTCCGGCCGCTGGGTCGAGGGTGACATGCCCTTCTCCAACTGGAGGCCTGAGTGGCTCGATGGCACCAACTTGACTCGCTTTGACGTGCCCGGTCTCTGCAACCAGATTTGGCAGGACTCTGCCAACATTGCTTGCAACGACATTGACCAGATGGCCGGTTGCGTTCTTGGTGGCGGTACCGCTGTCAACGCTGCTTTGTGGTGGAAGGCCCCCGCTATCGACTGGGACTACAACTTCCCGACTGGCTGGAAATCGACCGATATGCAGTCTGCTGTTGACAAGGTCTTCGATGTGATTCCCGGCACTGATCACCCCTCCACGGATGGCGAGCTCTACTACCAGGAGGGCTTCAATGTTCTCCAGAACGCGCTTTCGGCTGCCAACTGGAAGCAGGTCACTGCCAACGACTCTCCTGACCAGAAGAACAAGACTTTCTCCCTCGCTCCTTTCATGTATGCCAACGGTGAGCGTGGTGGCCCGATGGGCACCTACCTTGTGAACGCGGCCGCCCGTAGCAACTTCAAGCTTTGGATGAACACGTCCGTCCGCCGCCTTGTTCGCAACGGTGGCCACGTTACCGGTGTTGAGGTTCAGTCCAACGGCGATGGCGGCTACTGCGGTACCGTTAATGTCACTGCCAGCTCTGGTCGTGTCATCCTCTCTGCCGGTACCTTCGGCACCACCAAGATTCTGTTCCGCAGTGGCATTGGCCCCCAGGAGCAGCTCACGGTTGTCAACGCTAGCACCATCGATGGTGACACGATGATCGACGAGAGCCAGTGGATCAACCTTCCTGTTGGCCACAACCTCGATGACCACACCAACACCGACGTCCAGATCACCCACCCGAACGTTACCTTCTACGACTTTTACGGCGCCTGGAAGGCTCCCATCGAGGCAGACAAGGAGGCGTACCTGAACGGCCGCACTGGCATCCTGACTACCTCCGCTCCCAACATCGGCCCCGTCATCTGGGATGAGATCACCGGCAGCGACGGCATTGCTCGCCAGATCCAGTGGACTGCTCGCGTCGAGGGTGACACCAACACCTCGATGACCATCTCCCAGTACCTGGGCCGTGGTTCCACCTCTCGCGGTGTGCTCTCCATCACTTCGGGTCTGGGCATGCAAGTCTCCACCGTGCCTTACCTGCGCTCCGACGAGGACAAGGCCGCCGTCGTCCAGGGTATCAAGAACCTGATGACGGCGCTCTCCAAGGACCCGAGCATCGTCTTCACCCAGCCCCCCGCCAACACCACCGTTGAGGAATACGTCGATGCCGTAATATCCCTCCCCCTCCTCTTGCCACTCTATTCGACTCCATACTGACTTTCCCCAACACAGATGCCCGTCACGACGTCCAAGCGCCGCGCCAACCACTGGATGGGCACGGCCAAGATGGGCACCGACAGCGGCCTGGTCAACTCCGGCACGTCTGTCGTCGACCTCAACACGCGCGTCTACGGCACCGACAACCTCTACGTCGTCGACGCGTCCATCTTCCCCGGCATGGTCACGACCAACCCGTCCGCCCTCATCGTCGCCGTCGCCGAGAAGGCCGCCGAGAAGATCCTGGCTTCCGAGCCTGCTGAGGCAGTTAAGAAAGTGAGTTAAATGCTTCAGCTGGGTGGCGGTGTTCGCCAGGTGGTGGAAACAGCTGTGTGGAGGTGATTGGGAGTTACTGTTACTGTTGTTGTCGTTGATGATGATGACCAAGACGCGAAGGCGTATGTTTCGTTCTTCTTTGACTGTGATCTCGCAACCTGGGAGTTTGCTTGCGCCAGTCGTCCCTTGAGGATTTCAATGCTAACACGTAATTTTTCAATAGTACTACCAATGCGGCGGTCGCAACTGGACCGGCTCGAGACATTGCGAGGAGGGCCTGACGTGCACGGCGTACGAGGGCAATGTGGACTACATGCAGGTGCGTTGCTCCATTTCCAACCCCTTTTGACCATGACTGATATTTTGTGTAGTGCGTGTAAGCAATGCGCTGCCTGGTGAGGAAGAGAGACGCTTTCTTCTTGAACATAGTTAACTTTCTTGTGGATACTTCCAATTAGAGGATTTGTTGATATCATCTTGCGGCCTCCTGTCTCATGCTTCTCTGGTGAGCGCATACTGCGTGAATGTCGTGGTACCTTTGCAGAACGTTCTCGTCATGCTATGCCACCTTGCCAATGTTCGAAAGCGTCTGCCTGCAGCCTTGCCAAAAGAAGAGACCCTGTATAAGAAGTGGACCGGTATGCGTCACACCCCAGGCTGAGCACACAACGAAAGGTCAGCCGCGGGAACAGAGCCGTGTGAAGCCCCATCCGGGATACGTCATCCGGAGGTCGTCGGGTAGTAGCGGCAGTAGTTGTACATGGCGATTTCGCAGCAACAGAAAGGTGGATGATGACAGTTGGGCCCCATGACCACATTCCCACGCAGCATACAGCCGCATCGATCAACGGTGCGACTAGTGCCACGCGGGACTGACGTAGATAGCAGCCCGAGATCTTCGGCCCGTTGATCGGGAGGGCGCGGGAGGGGGTTGGGTGGGAACGCGCGTAAAAACGGTTGGTCGACGCGCGCTTGTCCCGGCTGTTGCGGCTTACCGATAGAAATGTGAAACCGCAACACCACCTCGTGCGGTGCCGCAAAAGATAAGAAGAATGGCAAAAAGAACGGACACCAAACGGAGCAAAGTCCGCCGTTCGGCGGGCTTGGGAACGGATACATCGTTGCACACGTTGCTGGTGGCGATTCGAGGCGGACGAACGGTATGTATCCAGCCTAGCCATCCATATACTCAACGCTAGCCTCGGCACCGCGTGAGCAAAATCTCTTATTTTTTGCATGATAGGGAACTGGAATGGACCCTGCTATCTGTACTTCGGCCGACCAAAGTCGGCTGCACTGTGCCATTGGCTGGAACTGCACAAGCTGCCAAACGGAGCGGGAGCAACTCCACAGGATTGATTAAGATGGGGTGACGTGTGGTGAGGAATTATGAAAGGACCAGCGGGAATCAATGAGGAGGGGGAAAGTCTGGGCATGTTTCGTCAGGTTGCACAAGCAACGTCGTTGGTGGAAGGCGGCAGCCAACTGCAGACGGCATTTGCTGGCAGGCCGGAGTGCCGACGCACCATCCAGACGTGGTGGAGTCGTCTCCTTTTCAAGAAGAATGCGGTTGCACAGCTCTGGCTTATTTCTGCACGCAGCCGACGATGTGCAGCAGATAAGTTGGCGGCGCTAGCCAACGAGATGGCAGCATATCCGCCGTGCCTCAGTAGATGTTGCAGGCGGGACGTACAGATGGGGCTTCCCGAGAAGATGGGCTGGAGGGATTAAAAAGGCGCTGGCTATAGACGCGGCAGATCGGTGATACCTTCGCATAGACTCGTCGACGCCCCGCTGTTATGCAAGGCAGGCACATGTTCTTGAAGGCAATTGCCCCCACGCTAATGGAGGAGGGGCGTGTTTCGAGAGAAGGCGGGGCTTCCAGCCACAGGCAGAAGTCGTGGATGAAAGGATGAAGGACTCGACCACAACTTTCTTCGCAGAGGGTTGCACGACGGCGAGAGCGGGGGAGCGCTCACGGGAAGAGTGCCTGTAGGGTGCCTTCCGCTGTGCGGCTGACGGAGCACGTCGATACAGGCAGGCGGGCCCGGCGCTGAGTGGTGGACGCGGGCTGGAGGAGGGGTCGACCACGACGCGGACCGGGGATGGAGACATGCAGGTGTTCGTCGCTGTGGCTTATGCGGGTGCGGAGCAGCGACCAGGGCACAGAGTCGTGTCTAAATGCGGAATTGATGTCATTATTCCGCGACAGGTTCGCAATGAGGGCGAGCGGCCGGCCCCGGGTCCGAACAGAGGGCGAGGCGATTGGCGGGCGTGCTGGGTGGAGTTCCTGTTGCAAGCCAAGCTTTTGCGCGAACAGGGTAGACAGTTGCAATGGCGATCGTATCTGGCGCGTCGGCGCTGGTCGGAATTCTGGCAGACCCTGCGCTTAGTGTCGGCTGGAGTAGGAAATGACGACCTCTGACTCTTGCCCTTTTCAGGGACGCGCCCCTCCCGGCAAAGATTGCGCCGCGGCTGCGTTATCGGGCTGGAGGATGAGGGATTGTGATGCTGAGAGGCAGACGACGCGCTGCAGCCGACGCATGCGCAGGGCGGCGCGCTCGAAGAAACACCAGTGCAGCTGACTGGCGCGCGACTCGTGATGCAGCCTGTTCCTGTGGCATGCATGGCTGCGATGGGCCGGCGATGCTCCCCACTAGACATTGAACAGTCAGAGCACGGCCGGCGCATAAAATGCGGCGGGCCCCTCGCCGCGGTGATGGAGCAAGAGCCTCGCGCACCCGGCACGTCAGCACTCGCAGCACCGCATCGCATCGCGCAGCTCGCCCGCTCAGCTCACTGGTCTTGGCGCGTGTTGCGCTGCTCCCGCGACGCTTCGGGACAGAGGCATTAGCTCTCCCCCACGCCGCCGCCAGAGACCTGAACCTCACCACCGTGCAACCTCCCCTCTCCTGCGCGACGCTAGTCACCTGAGCCCGCCCGCCGCAGCTCTCTTATTGCCGCCAGGCGCCGCTCGCTGCTGAGCTCCATCCCCGCCCCTACTCCCCTCCGCTTCCGGGTATGAACTTCAAGAACGACACCTCGCACTGGCCCGTTGGACAAGAGGACATCAACCGCTGAGCCGGCGTCGACAAGGGCCGCCGCACCGGTCAACCCACAACTTCCCAATCACCGCACGCCCGCTGTCCCACGCGGGCTGCGCCCTAGCTTGCTTTTGCGAGCCTGTCTTACACCCTCCACTGTGCGCCTGCAGCCTCCCCGATCCAGCCGTGGCATTCCACTCCGGGTGCCTGTCGCTTCCCCAGATTCTGCTACTCCCAGACGGGCAGGCGCTCCTCCAACCAGCTGCCCCCAGCGCCCAGCGTCTCAGAGCGTGCCAGGCGGCCGCACGCCCCGGCTGCCTGTCCGACTGGCTTCTCGCAACTTCCCGTACAGTCAGGGCCGCCGCCATGGATTCCTCCATGACGTTGCTCAATGCGCATATTCAGTTCCTCGTATGTCGCCTCCGCTTTTTTCGTTCAATAATGTCTGCGCCGCGCCGTGCGCCTTCTCCAATGCACCTTGCGTCCCCCTCGACCAATCGTGGCGCGCTCGTAAGGCTGCGTTAAAAGCCCCAGCACGTCGTGCCTGTGTTGCCTGCACCTTAAGCTTAGCACCCACCACCTCTTCCATCCTCTCGTTGCTGACATGGTCCTCTCGTTCCAGGACACCCAGCTGGCTCTGATACACATCCCGCTGCACCTCTACTCCAACTTCCTGCAGCCCATCCTGCAGCTGCTGCTGCCCTCCAGCCGCCCCGGCAGCTCGGACAGTGCGTCCACAAATGGCAGCAGCGCCCCGCGCTCCAAGAAATCATGGGCCTACGAGCACCCCTTCACCAACATCTCCGTGACGCCTGTCGAGTGCTCGATTGCGTGCTCGCGTGAAATGGCGGAGGATCTCTTCACTCCTGTGCGCGACAGTCTAGATCCGTCAAGTAGAGATCAGGTGTCCATCACAAATGAAGACTACATTGTCATGCAAGTCGACGGCGAGGGGCTTGACGCTGGCCAGCGTGTCCTCGAGCTAACCAGCCCGCTCGCAATGGCAGGCATGTGCGTACAACTCCTTCACGACCTCCCCCAGCCCACCGCTTCTCCTGAGCCCCAGCCCCAGCCCCAGCGTGTCCAGCAGTCCCACTTGCAGCCCGCCCACTCCCTTCTTAGACCATTGGCGCGTCGTCGCCGCTCGACCCGAAAGAATTCAGCCGATTCTCACACCACTGGTGCCGATAGTTCCATTTTCTTCATCACCACCTACTTCTCAGACTACATCCTGGTCCCCGTCCGCGCCCGTGGCCAAGTCATCAAGGCACTCGAGGACCGCGGCTTCGCTTTCGAACAGACCACCTCGTCCTACGTGAACCCCATTGCCAACTCGTTTAACACGCACACGCGCAACAAGTCCAGCTCCTCCTCCTTCGAATGTTTGCCCCCACCGCCGGGCACGCCCCCGCCCGCCAGCATCCACGAACTCCAAACTCGCACCTTCTCCCTCCTCAAGCGCCGCAACATCGTCTTTGCCGTCGACCCGTCCATCCAGCTCGTCCAATGCGCCGGCAGCAAAGACAGTGCGTCTGCGCGCCCTGCGAGTGGCGGCGTGCTGAACGGCAGCTCGCTTGCCGGACGCGGCAACCAGCCATCTGTCGAAGACACACTGCATCTTGGCCTTGTCAAGTGCTTGATCAGTGCACCCCGTCCTAACTTCCTCTCCCTCACCCTCACCGACACCGAACCGGCTTCGATACTCCTAGAGAAGCGCCTTCTTCCCAATTTCGCTCCGGATGTCCTGCTTGGTTCGAAGGAGGACGTGCTCGTCCCTATCACTTTGGACCTGCGCGATCTTCCCCTCGAAAGTACCGGTATCGTCTGTGGCGTCGCTGGCAGATTGGTCGGCGGGACGAGCGGCTTCGGTGGCTTCGAAGGAGAGGGTAGCGACGCAGTCGAAATGAGCTACCTTAGTACAGCCAGAGCCGGGACCGTTATGGTTGGTGAAGAGGAACTTGAGAGAGCCATGGCGGCCTTAAAGGGCGTTGATGAGCAAATGGAATGAAGTTGAAGGCAGGAAACCGACTTCGAGCACATGTGGAAAATGAAGCAGCAAGCCAAAAACTTTTCATTCGGGGCGAACTATGGGGCATCACAAAAATCAGTCTGGGAAAACAAGCAATTGGGCGCAAAGCATTGGATCAAAAAAAAGCGAGTGGCATTATTTCCTTATGCTAGTTCGGTTAATTGTCATTGTTTGTAGCTGCATATCTCCTGGGAGCGTTTTGCCAATTTTTTTTCCCCCTAATTTCTTTGGATCTCAACTCATACACAAAACATGCGTCCAGTAAGGTCAATGGCTTCCTGTGTAATCGACCAATTCCCGCTTGACCCATGATCAAACATGCATCAAGTGCAGCATCTCACTTGACGCCACACGTAACGATCGACGCACCTGCATTATCTCCGTCCACACGATCGTCCTGTGCTTTGTTTTTCCGGAATAGCGCGGCAGTACGGCCGACAGGCGGACACAGAAAAAGGCGGAGGGATAGGCGCGGCTACTCGAGTTAGTCGGCCGTGGCGCTTCCTTGCGTCATCCTTTGGCCCTTATGCAAGTAAGACAGACCGTTAGTCGTAGCACCTTATCTTAGCCAGGTAACTGGGAACCCCTCCCCTAAATCTTGTTTCATTTTCTAGCTTTGCTTGGCTCCGCCAATGGTCCCCTTCTGTCGCATTTTAATCGGACAATATCGAGGCTCTTAATTAGCTCCCGGAGTGTGCTCCGTCCCAGATCGCGCTGGATAGCAGTAACCCTCCAAAATCCTCAACTTCCGCGTGACCACCACAACTCGCCACGTAAAAGTTGAAGGTGACCATAGGCACGTAAGCCCTACCACCAAAGCCGAGACACACGTGTCAGCCCGCCCCCTTTCTTTTGTTGTCCTTTCTGTACCAGGATCTGCCCTGGGGAGAAGGGTACACCGCTGCTTTTTCGGACGTCGGGTGCTTTCGGTTTATCCTGACACCACACACCCTGTGATTAGATTATCAAAGCTTCCAACCCGACCCATTTTCGCTCCTGCACGCCTCGATGGTGTACAGATAGCGGACGACCGGACCCGTTGTGGCGGTATACTGTCGTGCGAGAAATCAGACCATTTTTATCTTTTTTCCACCCCGCAAAAGCAAAAGAAGCAAATGTATTGGCTTTAGTTAGGCGCTGACTCGAGTCATAGGGGTATATTCAAACAGCGACGAGAGAATGGACCAGCTGATGGAACGAAGCTGATTATTCACCGCATCAGTCTTCTCCATTCTTCTCCAGTCTTCGACGTCTGGTTCTTGTTTTCCATGTCCCATTGGCTCAAACAAAAAAAAATGGCAGCGCGCTATCAGACCAGTCCCTGAGCTTATCATGAAAGCAGCGAGTGGAGTAAAGACCGAGAGAGCATGTCAAACAAAAAGCATGTGACGGTAGTACAATCAAGCTCACCCGAGGCCATTGGAAAGGTGTTGTTACGCAAATGTGGCCAAATCGAGTAACTTAGTCCATGTGAAACTACTTTACCTGCAGCATGGCAGACTTCTTGCAATCGCTGAGGGCCACATGGTTGGGTCTCCTGCCTCACAAGCTTTGAATATTTGCCCACACATTGAGAGGATGAGTCCTCCAATGGAGATCCGTAACTAGAACTCAAGCGCTCGATGGTCTTCGCCGTTCGGGCATCTCTGCGGAGATTTATGCTGGTATAATCAAACATGGAGTGAGTTGGGTCGGCGGGGAGCTTCAGATCCTGGTCAAAATACACCTTCTACAATATAATGGCAAGCCACATTTGCATCAGTGTTTCAACTGCCTTGCATTGCTCAAGAAGCAAGCTAGCATTTTCGGTCATATGTTCTAAACTGTACGTGTAGTAGGTGTAACGATTGTGCTCGCCAAAGACGAGGTCTTTATTTTGGATTACCAAAATCGCAAAGATCTCCATAAATTTGTCCAATTATAGGGTAACCCTTTTGCGTGTTGTAATTCGCCGGCCAGTATTGGTGTAGCTGACGCAGGGAGGGACATCTTAGGGATAACTTAACGCATCTCAAACTTGGCATGCAAGGTTGCCTAGTAAAGTTCACGTTCGCCCGCGGGAGGCTCATCTTGGCGTATCCTTGTCGTATTCTTAACCAGAAACCTTTTTTTAAAAGACAATTTCAAAGCCGCTCGGTGGCTGTTCTGGAAGGGGGTTCTGCAACTTTCGTCCTTGACATCAGCTGGTGTTCAACCCCTTGCTCACCAATGTGTTCGTTCTCTCCAGAGCGATTGATGCCAGCTTCTAGAGTGGCAAGAACCTGTCTCGTGGCATCTTTATCTTCGACGGAGAAATCTGCCCGAACATGCAAAGCCTGCTGCTGTGAAGACTTGGATCATATTCAGTGCACAGCTTCGACGTCCTCGAGAAGAGTTAAAAGCGGTGTGCTCCCAGCCGAGGCGATGCGTCTCCGAATAACCTAGAGTCTAATCACCCGAATCAAGAATTGCCCATAATTCAACTGTTCCTTCCACCCTGTCACCCCCTTTGACCTTATTCCCCACCACAACTGTTACCTCACGTAATGTGCAGCTCGTCTACCCGCGGTGTACTTCGGGGGCTACGTAGACACAATATGCCCCCCACTGGGAGCTATCGCTATGTCAGTGTAGTGCTATGTACTCGTGTATGTAATGTCCCTGGCTCAATCCGTGTCGATGCTCTCAATCATAAGACTTTGACTCGCTCCCGTCCGTCGCCATGTATTTTAAATGAAATTTCCTGCTCGTGACTTGAAATACCATTTTTAAACTCCTCGCTAAAGAACGCCTGAATGCGTTCTCCAGAGAGAGAATGGGAACGAGTCGGCTAACTCATAATCTCGCGCCCTACGCGAACGTCAATTTCCGGTGCTCGAGGTCTCCTTGCGGAACTATGCTGCTGTCGTCAGAGGCCTGCCGCTGACACTAGAAACGCCCGAGGGTGTTCTTGGTGTAGAGCAGCGCTGCTCAGTTGTTGCCGTAATGGGGTTGTTTATGTCTGTTCGCACCTTCCTTCCCAGCGCGCCTTCCCCCCTACCACCACGTCATCGCCTTCACCGTTCGAACCGCCCTTAGGGCACTTATCTCGCCATTCAGCCGTTAAAAAACCAACAGGAGCAAGGGCAAAAAAATGGCAAAAAAACTGCGCACGTGTCCTTATTATGGACATCGCTACATTTGCAGGAAAAACCCCCAAGCTTGCCCAAGGCTTCATTGGGATTTTTATTGTGGATAGGCTTTTTTTAAGCTGCTCTTTCCTTTTATGTTTTCGCCTAGATACAAGTGAAGTTAGCATGTTCTTTCTTGTTTAAATGGTAACTGGAATTGGTTACCATTCTGCCACGAAACCGTGGCAGTGCCCTTGTGGGCGAAAGGAAGAGCTGACTTGCTCACCTATATGCCTCACCTTTACTTCCAAGATCTTCCGCCGAGCAAAATGCTCACCCCCACTCAAACATGACGGCGTATCCTCCCAACTCACTCTCGTCGGTCGCGAGAGACACGTCCACCCCACCCGCGAAGTAACTGTCACTCATTCCTGAACGAGGCACTCACTGACCAAAACGCCAGAGCATAATGATTGCTTCCATAATCCGTATATCCTAAGATGCCCACTTCTAGAAGATGCTTCCTTTTTCAGAATCTGCTCTTCACACACTCCTTCCACCCTCGTCCCCATCCATGTTTCCACATCCAAATATCGAACGGAGGAAAACAACCCGACAATGCTCTATTCATCCCCCGCCCGCTCAAACGGGACGACGGGGGGGCAAGCCAGAACACAAAAACCCAATGCGCTCAAATATAAGCCAAACAGCCATCATCCCGGACCTTCGCCAACACGGGCAAAACCGCCTTACCGCCCGACACGCTCGGTCCCATGACCACGACCTCGCCCTTGGCCTCCTCGTCCGTCGTCTTGTACTCGTCACGGTCGACCAGCTTGATCTCGACGCTGGTCACGGGAGCGCCGAAGTGGCTGTACTGCTTGCCCTTTCCGCTCGCCGTCTGCAGCTCCTCCCTCCGGTAGTCGAAAACGTTGGTCTGCGTGACGGCACCGGCGACCTTGGCCGCCGTGAGCGCGTACACAACGCGGGCGTGGAGGTAGATGCGCAAGTCCGACAGGTCGGCGCTGCTGAGCGGAGGGGCGTCTTGCGCGCCCGCACGCTCCGAGACGTGGACGAGGCGCAGCTTGCCGGGGGTGGTGCCAACGGCGGCGCGCGTGGGGGCGTTGAGCTTGGTCAGCAGCGTGTTGGTCGGCAGCTTTCCGGAGCTGGTCATGGCACGGGTCTCGGTGTAGTGGGCGAGCTTCTTAACGCCGCTAGTCACGGAAGCCGACGTGGCGCTGTGCAGGTTGGCGGCCGTCTCGGCGGAGATGGAGATGACAGTGGGGGCGATGCCGCGGGTAGCAAGGCTGAGTTCAACACCAGGGCCGGCAACAGACGTGATGGCGAGGGAGGCGTGGCTGAACAGAGCGGCCATGGTGAGGGCCAGGGTGTACGAGTTGGTAAGAGAGTCGGCGGGGAGGAAGAGATCCGAAGGAGTAAGGCGCTGCCCGGCAGGCAGAGCGGAAATCAAGCTGGCAATGGCAGCAGACATGTTCTGGGTCAAGTTAGAACCCTGCGTGAAACTCGAGATTCGATCTTCAAGCTTACCTGCTGTGTGAACTCCACAGTTTCTCCTTCTGAGCCCTCACGGTCTTGCCAAATGGTGACAAGATTCTGAGCCCTGTCACCGGTTGCGTACTGCGGAAGCTCAGTGGTGGCGCCAGCTGCATTGTCCTGCACCAGCTCATGCCAAGTAGAGACCTCAACCTTGCCGCCAGTTCCTTCAGGGACTTCGTTCCAGTCAACGTGCCTGCTGGTCTTCTCAACGACCCAAATAGCCTGCTTCAGATTCGGGACGCCGTTGGCGACATCGTTAAGCGGAATGGAACCAGCTTCAGCAATGAGCGAATCGGCGCCGCTGTGCTGAAGCATCGCCACAACGACATTGTGCGGTTGGTTATATGGGATCAGGACAGGAGAGAAGTCGTGGAAAGCACCAGCTGCAGAAAATCATGCCATCAGTCGAGGTCTTGTGTTAGGCAACGAAGGTCAAGTACTGGGGAAGAGCAGGCATACCAAAGATTGTTGTGAGCAGCTCGATGGAGTTGGGCAGGTAAACAGCAACCCGCTTGCCGCCGTGCTCCTTGACGTGGTTGCCTATGATGTTGATTTCCTTCGTGATCTCGTCGAAGCTGTGATCCACAATCTCTTTTCCAATGACGGTGAGAATCTTGCCAGGGCTGCGAACCGCCTCGCCATGGTCGGCGGGAAGCGTGCCAAGCACCTTACGCCAGACGTCGCGTAGGTCGCCGTCGCGGCGCTCGTAGCGTTGCGTACCGGGGATGCTGAGGCCTGTCTGCAGAGGGTAGCCGTGGGGAACGTGCGGGCTGCGGTAGATGGCGGACTCGCCGGGCTGGCGGATACCGGCAGCGACAGAGCTGCGCTGCAGCAGCATGGGGTGGATGTCAGGGTCCTCAAGGCCGAGGTAGATGCTGTAGGCCAGGAAGCCGGCAATGGCCAGCACCAGCAGGGTTGTGGTCGAGTTCCATCCGGCGAATAGCTCCACGAGCTGCTGGTCGAGCTGTTCTACGAGGCCGGCCATGATTGCAGCATCGAGCGGTGTTGTGGTGGTATGGTCGTGTGTTGTGCGGAGGTGTTTGGCGGAGTGGGCGGAGCGCGGAACTGCGGCGCAGCTCACAGCGGGGACAGGGCTGACGGCATCGTGTTGGCACTGACCTTCCCCAGGGTCCGTCCGTCGGATCCCGGACGAGCCGACCCCGACAACGGCACCCGGGTAGGTTTCGAAAATAATGCACAAGTATACAATTGACTACTCGTCCCTGCAATCTAGCCCAGTAGGTATCGCATAACACATCCTCATTTGAACATCCAAAGCATAAACCAACAGCGTCATAACCTCACTAAAGCTATTGCTCCACCGCCTTCGCCTGTGATGTTCTATTCTTAACACGTGAAAATCCGTTACCGTATCCCGAGCTCCTCCAACGCAAAAAAGCCTACCTCTTTGTGACTGGAAAAGAATAGGGACAGCATAAAACATGAGAGTGAGGCCGCATTAAGCTCCGGAGCTCGGACCCTAAACGCCTTGCCTTCTTCCCCGCCAAGCTGGGTGCACCTACTGCACCTGGTTGACGATCTCTTGCGCGCGCGTTAGCGACTCCACCATCTGCTGGCACTCCTTCCTCCTGCGGACCGTGTACTCGCTCTCCTTGAGCAAGTCGTCCAGCTCCTCCGTGCGGTACATCATCTCGAGGAACTCGCGCTGCATCTCGTCCTTCGTGTATCTGTCGCCCTTGCGTTAGCTTCGTATTTGGCTACGTCACCGCTGAAAACTTACGTCACGAGGTTCAACATGATGGCCTTGGGGACCATGTCGATCATGGTCCTCTTCACAATGTTGAAGTACGAGCTGATGAGCAGCTTGATGACCTCGACCTCCTGCGCCTCCTTCTCCGAAAGAGTGCCGCTGGCCTTGAGCTGCGGCGGCGGCGCCTCCATGGCCGCCATCTTCTTCTTGTTTTTGCTGGCAAAGAAGCTGCCGAAGAAACCGCTGTTGCTGTCTCCGTCGATCGACGGGCTGGCCGATCTCGGGGGAATGGCGCTGGGCGGCAGGGGCTTGCCGGTCTTGGGGTCGACCTGGGTGGGCTTCGATGCGTTGTGGCGCTCGTGCACGATGGCCATGGCCTAGATTACACCCTCATTAGCTTTCTGTTCTATTTCCGTAGAGCGCGACTTTTCTTACCCTGGAGCCGTTGATGAAGTCGGGGTGGCCAGTGTTGATGTAGCAAGCCTCCATGGCGACCAAGTCCTTGACAAGCTTGTTGGTAGGCTCCATGGCCTTCTTGAAGAAGTGGACCGCAACCGCGTGGAACTTCTCCTTCAGAGCCGGATACCTCCTGAACATGGGCTTGGCAAGAAGCTGGCCAAGAATGCGGATGAGTTCGTCGTAGACGAGCGAAACGCACTTCAAGCTAGGGTCTTCCAGCCTCTTGATCTGCTGCTTGACGATCAACTCGAAAGCCGTGGTGCCAACGAAGAGCGCAGGTGCCGAGCCAGACGAGTTGTACAGGACAGTCCTAATATCGATATCCTTGACCTGATCGAACGGATCTACGGCCTTGACACCGTTGGAGTACAGCTCGTGGTAGACGAAGCTGATACGAGCGCCGCCAGACAGCTCAATGCTGGATAGCTCCTGGTTGTTACCCTCCAGCACAGACCGGTATTCGTTCGAGAACTCGGTGATCATGTTCAGGACGATGTTCGACGAGTTGCCGAGTATCGAGTCGCCGAGCTGTCCAAGTTCGATCGAGTATTTCTGGAGCGAGGAAGCGATGCGTGCCTTAATATCGGGGAGGGTCTGTTTGATGTGCATCATCAAAATCTACAGAAAAGTCAGTTTGGCACTTTTTTTCCCCCTCCACCGGCTTGAACCCACCAAGTTAAGCTTGCGCGCTAGGTAAGGAGTACCGCAGTACGCGCTCTTGTTCCTGTACGCCTTGTGGTTCTCGAAGTATTGCCTCTCGTGCTCCAGGGCGTAGGAGATGGGCTTCTTGTTCTCGATGTCCCTCTGCCCACGGTTGACGACGGGCACGTAGCCCAGACGCAGAGGGATGATGCGACCAGCCAGAATGTCGACGACGTCAGTACCCTCGTCCATCAGGTCAACCTTGGTCAGCACACCAATGGTACGCTGTCCCTCTGGGTCAACCTCGCGCGCCAGCTTCAAACCATCCGAGTTGGCCAAGTCGGTGTTGGCGGCAGTAACAGCCAGAATAATAGCATTGGGCTTGCTAATCTGCTTGAGGACCATCTCCCTAATCTGCCTCTCGATATCCCTTGGCTGGTCGCCAATGGGCACCTTCGTCAGACCAGGCAAATCGACCAGCGTGAGCGTGAGCACGTTTGGCGAGTATATGCGCAGGTTAATAGGAGCCGGGGAGATGCCAGCATTGCGTCCGGTCTTCGCCTCCGTCTCCCGTACAATCTCCTCTCTAATCTTATTGAAGTCGTGGAACTTCTGGCCGGGAATGTGCAGAAACTCGCCCCACTCGTCGACGTTGGACTGGCTATCGGTGGTGCCCTCGACAGACTCGCTGGTTCCATTGGGTGTCTTGGATGTGGAGGCGCGGTTGATGAGCTGGAGGATGAGCGGACGGCGCGTAACAATACCGGTACCTCGAGGCAAGCTATGGCCATGGATATAAGCTTCAGGCACCGAAATTTCAGGGACACAGTGGCCTGGGAACGTACAAATCTCTGCCGACTATGTTTTCTAGCACTGAACTCTTTCCGCTGGATTGGGAACCGACAACGGCAATCTGGGGCAGATCTATGGGGTTTTGGACCTGACCAAGGCATCAGCATTTCTGCGGTGCGCGGCGGTGTAGCAACGGGCAGTGACGTACGCCGACGGTGGTGAAGACATCCTGGAGCTTGTTGACGAGGGTGATCAAGCCCGGGTCATTGACATTTATGCTAAATTCATCGCGTCAGCCAGATGCGGCTTCAAGAGCGCGCGCGCGCAGGAGCCATACGCAGTGGGGTTCGCCGTCATGGTGTGCGGCGTGCGTCTCAGCGATATCGCAGAGTTCGTGGGGCAAGTTGGGGGCAAGGCAAAGCAGGCCGGTCGCGCTCGAAACTATGCCAGATGCGCGTGGGTATGAAGAGGGTGAGGAGGAAAGTTGTGCGGTGTTGAAGCTTGCTGGCACGTTCATCATAGGAGAGTGCAGCCCGCCAAGCGACAGGGCCCGACCCAGCGACGCCAACCTTTGTGGCCGGGGTGGCGCATGCGCCGCGTAGGCCGGGGCCCAAAACAGTCACCAGGTACGCACATGCAGCCACACGACGCAGCCCAACCCGACTGTTGCTGGGCGAAAAGAAGAGTCATCATGTACATTCTATCTACGCAGCCTTGGCGCGACTGCGAAGAAAAATTCAAAAAAAAACAAGTCACTTTGGTTGCTGCGTTTTACACACGCCACACCGCCTCATCCAACCTCCTTGACCTGAAACCATTCGCCCCCGAGATCTACTCGTCCGTCACAGATGCAAACTTCTCCTGCATCTTCTGGTACAGCTCCTCGTACTGTCATGACGTTAGCACGTGTTCTCTCTAATTGTTGCGCGTGTTCTGAACGTACCTTCTTCGTGATCACATCCTCGCCCTCGCTCGGCACCTCGAACTTCATGCTCCTGAGCTGCGACTGGATGTCCGACGTCGCTTCCCTGATCTTAGCCCAGCTCTGACCTTGTGCAACGGCCTTCTGTGCCTCGTCGTGGAAGCCCATCATCGCCTTCATCATCCACTCCGTCTTCCACAGCGGGCAGAACTGGTCGTAGTCACTGTAGCCGTTCTGCTGCAGGAAGTCTTCCTTGATCAACGTCGCCACATCCAGAGTAATCTTATCCGAGTCACCCAGCGCCGACTTGCCGACCAGCTGCACGACCTGGTCCAGATCCTCCGAAGTAGAGAGCAGCTCCTTGATCTTGGCACTCAGACGAGGGAATTCGGGGTTGTTCTCCTGGTAGTACTTCTCAAGAGCGCCCGTGTACTTGCTGTAAGACGCCGACGTATTGACCGAGGGGAAGTGCTTGCGCTGAGCCAGCTTCTTGTCAAGACCCCAGAAGACCTGTACGATACCGAGAGTGCTGCTGGTGACAGGATCGGAGAAATCACCACCCGGCGGGCTGACGGCACCGACGATACTGACACTGCCAGTGCGGTCGGGGCTGCCGAGCGCAGTGACGCGACCAGCACGCTCGTAGAAGGACGCCAGCTTGGCACCGAGGTAGGCGGGGAAACCCTGGTCAGCAGGCATCTCACCAAGACGACCGGAAATCTCACGAAGGGCCTCGGCCCACCGAGAAGACGAGTCAGCCATCATGGCAACGTTCTTGCCCTGGTCACGGAAGTACTCGGCGACAGTGATACCGGTGTAGATGGAGGCTTCTCTTGCGGCGACGGGCATGTTGGACGTGTTCGCAATAAGGGTAGTACGCTTCATGATGGGCTCCTTGCGGCCGCCGACATCGATAGTGAGCTAGCATTGGGTTAGCACAAGTATATCCTTTGGAATTGGTGCAAGGCGTACCTCGGGGAAATCCATCAGGACTTCGGCCATCTCGTTACCGCGCTCGCCGCATCCAACGTAGACGATGATGTCACTGTTGGAGAACTTGGACAAACTCTGCGAAATGACAGTCTTGCCGCAGCCGAAAGCACCGGGAATGCAGACAGTACCACCCTGGACACTGGGGAACAGAGCGTCCAGCACACGCTGACCGACGACCAGAGGCGAGTTCGAGAACAGCTTCTCGTTGACGGGACGAGGCACACGGACGGGCCAGTTGTGCATCATGCTAAAGTCGGTCTTCTTGCCCTCAAACTCGACCTCCAGAATCTTCTCATCCACAGTGTAGCTGCCCTTCTCGGCGATGTACGTGATGGTACCACGAGCCCTGGGGGGCAGGAGGATCTTGTGCTCGCTGAGGAGGGAGTTCTCGAAGACGGCACCGAAGACATCACCGCCAGTGATGTGGTCGCCAACCTTGAGGCTGCCGGGGGTGAAGTCCCACTTGACCTTGCGGTCCAGCGCAGGCACGTCAATGCCACGGGGAATGTAGATGCTGTTGGAGACGTCGGAGATGCTGCGGAGGGGACGCTGGATACCATCGTAAATGGTCTCCATCAAACCAGGGCCGAGCTCGACGGAGAGAGGCTTTCCAGAGCGAACGACGGGGTCACCGACGGTAACACCAGCTGCAACGTATCAAATGACTGCTTGACGACCTCGGTAGATCCAAGCTTACCGGTTTCCTCGTAGACCTGAATAGTGGCCTTGTCGGCGTCGATTCTAATGACTTCACCGACCAGCTTATCGTGACCGACACGGACAAGCTCGTACATGGCACAACCGATCATGTTCTCGGCGACAATGACGGGACTGTAGGATTATCAGCCGGCGTGAGAGCGAGGCGGAGCTTGAACGACGTACCCGGAGACGGAGAAGACGGAGCCTGAGTGGCATGATTGTTAGCATTTTGGAGCGAGGATTGCGAGGATGTCCGCCATACCATACTGGTCTTCGCCGGCTTCCTGCGTCTTGCGCTGGTTCTGCTTCTGTTCGTCACCGCATCAGCCACCGCTCTTTCGCGAGGAAGATTGTCGAGCTTACGGGAGGCATGGTTAAGTCTGCAGGTGGGATGGCGTTAGTCGGCAGAGTTCTGAAGCGGATAGGTTGGCGGGAGCGCAGGTGCTGGGGCGAGTCGGGAAGTGGGACCTCGTAGGGTGCTGGACGGTCGTCGTCCTCGTCAAGCTCGGAGTGCGATGGTGTAGAGGGACGCTTAACGGCGAGGTTGGCGGTCTTGGATACGAGCTCGAGTAGAGAGGGCCGGGACTTGAGCTGGGGACGGAAACCGAGCATGCAGCACCCGGGCGGTGGGTTGGAGGATGATGAGGTGGGTTGGGCAAGCTGTGTTCAAGCTGCGGTCGTCACAAGCTGCTGCACGGATCCCGGTTGCTTGGCGCCGCCTAACAAATCGCCCCGCTTCCCAAACACGCGAATAATCGATGTGCCGATGCTGCAGGGACGTGAGAACGTGAGTAATGGCGCGCAAGAGAGAGCCTGAAGGCGGAGAAGATGCCTGGCACTCTGTTTTAGAAGGCGCTGCGATCCATCGCGCCCAAGACCCCACTAGACTTGATTGGTGGCCTCGAGTCCTCTTGCTGCCGCCTATCTGGGGATCAGCTGGCACGCGCCACAACTGACCTTGTATAGTTCACTAGGTGTCAATCCCCCGAAGAAGTCGTGGCCGCCAGATCAAGACCGCAGCAATGTCCAGATGAAGCTGTCACTGCGATTTCCTGCGCTGTTCTCGTTGGGCACGGTCGCAACGCCCAACCGCGCTAAAGGTTGAAACGTCATCACCAGTCTGGTCCATATGTTGAAGGCATATCAGTAATGAGAGTATTTTGGCGGGGACGAAGTCAGATGATGTTTTGCGACCTTACATCACAGCAGACGCCTGAATGCCTGGCGCAGACATTGGCAAAGTAAATAGTGCAACTCTACGTGCAAAAGACGCTTTGACAATGAAGTTAGTAAGTAATTGTAGCCATAAAGGTAATATACTCCATCACATCTCTGTATCCATGCCTAATATCTGTAGCCCTTCCACGCTCTCCGTGATCCAAGGATTAGCTGCTTCTAATATAAATCCGGACATGTTATTCGGAGCATTCAAAGCATGATTTAGAAGATGAAAACAAAAACAAAAAAAAAAACAGGAAGCCTGGTTTACAAATGTCCTGAAAGTTACGACGGTGCAACTTAGCTTCCAAGATATTCTCCCTTTCATACCGAAAATTATTCCAAGCTTTAAACTAGCACCGGCTGAGATTTTCCGATTGTACGGGTTGACTGCTGCCAAGGGTTGGCGGGGTCAACTGCCAGTCCCTGTCCCGCATCGAACGCCGCTAGCACATAAAGAGTACCCCCCGCATCACCGCTTGCCATATAAAGTGGCCGCTTCCTCGCCAATCAAGGGCACCGCAGAACCACCTCAGACCATCTCGTTGCTCGGCTGCACCGCCGTAAAACAACCTGCCTAAAACGCTCACAGGAGCTGACAGATGACCGCAGATACCGCACGGCGTCTTCACACACGGTGACCGTTTTGCACCGCAAGGCTCCCACTTCAAGCGTCTGTTTATAGTTTTTGTGAGAATAAAAACTCCTCTACTTTTTCCAGCTTTCCGGTGTCTTTCATCCCGCGTATTTGAGTTGGACTGCTCTTTTGGCCTTATCAATCGCCCAGCAAAGACCACGATCGTACCTGCTTCTTCTATCTTCATTCAATTCTAGATCGTAGGGACATCCCCTCTCAAGATCACGCAAGGGGGAAAAAGATAGGAAACAAAACAAGATGCCCTTCAAAGTCCAACCCACAACCCTCTCGGACATCCCGCAGCTCGTCGACATCTACCTTGCCGCCTTCTCCAACAACGCCTTCGGCAGCGCCGTCTTCCCGAACACGCCCGCCGTGCGGCAATGGTGGATCGAGACGCTCTCACACGAGCTGCAACACCAAAAAGGCGTCGCCATGTACAATCTCGTCGAGTACGCCGCCGGCACCGACACCCCCGTCTTCGCCAACGACGAGAGCCTACAGCAGCAACAGAAGAAAAACATCATCGCCTTCGCCAAGTGGCTGCGGCCGATGGAAGGCGTTGACCCGGCCGAGGCGGTCGAGATCCCGACGCAGCTGCCCGCCGGCTGCGACGAGCAGCTCTTCCAGCGCTACTTCCCCGAGCTGAACCGCCGGCACCGGGCTTGCATGGGGACCGAGGCGCATTGGTGTACGCAAAACAATGACCCCCTTTTGCATTCATCCCCCCCCCTATCTTCTCCTTCCTACTTTATGACACGTTTTCGAGACTTATTATGGATTGAGTTTTAGACCTGGAACTCCTCGCCACGCACCCCTCGCACCAGCGCCGCGGCGCCGCCTCCGCCCTCGTCAACCACGTACTCGGCGCTGATAACCCCGTCAACGCCGGCTACGATGCCTACTTGGAAGCCAGTCCGGAGGGGCTGTCGACGTACCAGCGGTTGGGCTTCGAGAAGAGGGATGGGTTCGTCATCGAGATCAAGGGTCAGCCTTATGAGACGCTGATGATGGTGAGGCCGGGGAAGGCAGGAGGTCAGAAGAATGCCTAAGGGCGAGATGGTAGTTACTCTGAGGTTGGGTCAGGTGATTTTACAGTGACGAAGCAATCGGGAGTGGTCAATGCAAGAAGTTGATGTGGAATGATAGGGGGGTGCTTTGGCATGGGTGCTTTTCGTTCCTTCTTCGTGACAAATTCGGGACGGTGTAGCGGCATAGTAATCCACGGTAATAGCGGTCAGTTAGGAAGCGCACATGAATAATACGAGAGCAAGCTTGGCTGTCTTTCGGATGCTCTTGCACGGTACTTTCATTTTTCCCGGTTCATCACGATCAAAGAAAGTGACGACAGGAAGGCCAAACACAGAAAGCTGACTCAAGGAATAAGACATCAGGCGTGATGACGTTGACACCAGAGCCCGACAATTCACTCCTAATGTTCAAGGAATTGGTCGTTCAAGGCCAACTCCGAGCCTTGAATGCATAACATGCTGCCATTAAGTTATGATCATCTATTAACCAGTCCTGACCGCCACCCTTGAAACCGAACTAAAGAAAAATACCGCGGAACACCACTCACACACCGAAAATTGTCATCGACTCTCTTTTGCAGTCCATGCAGAGCTGCTGATCAACAAAATGCATGCTCCTCGTCGATCATGGTCCTTGTTAATTTTTGCGGGCGGCACGAGCCAGCATTAATTTTTCTTCTCGAACCCATACCGCCTTTTCAACCAATACAGTAATGAATGCTAGCAGTGCAATACTAATCGGAGAATTCGACTGAAACAGACGTATAGCAACTCACTGTACCCTAACAACCTTCTCCTTCCTCTCCTTCGCATCCAACAATGCTTTACACCACCCTTCCACCTCCTCCAACGCCCGCTCCGGCTCTTTCTTACGCGTGAGCAAGAAATTCTGTACCTCAGCCGGCGACAGCTTGCCCTCCGGCATAAATTCTGCGAATTTGTCCGCCATGTGGCGGAGCTCGTCTTTCGACAGGGCAGGAAGCGAAACGGAGACGGGAAGCTTTGGCTTGATACTTTCGCCATTAGCCGCGCCGTTGAGCTTAGGCTGTTTGTGCACATTGTTGGTGACCCGGCGGCGGATGGGTTGGGACGATTGGTTGTCTTCGTCAGGTGAGTACATGCGGATGAAGATGTCGCGCATCTGCTCGTGTGTGGCCAGGCTGAACTCGACCTGCATGTCCACACGACCGGGCCGGATGAGCGCATCATCTAGCTTCTCCGGGTGGTTGGTAGTCATGACGAGGACGCGGCCTTCGTGAGTAGCAACGCCGTCAATGGCATTCAGAAGGCCTGAGAGGGAGATGCCTTGCTTGGTCTCGTCGGCTTGTTTCTGCTTGCGGTTGGCAGTCGTGAGCGCCTTGGCTAGCGTCTCTGCGCTAAACTCTTCCTTCTTTTTGTTTGGGTCCGCGGCGTCGTCCTGATCGCTCTTTTCGTCGCGGAGAAGGCCGGCGCTGTCGATGTCTTCAAGGAGAACGATGCAGCGCTGGGGGAGATTGTTGAACAGACGGTTCAGGTCAGACTCGGTCAGGGTCGGCTCGAGCAAGGAAATGTTGTAGATATCGAGACCGAAAATACCGGCGAGAGCGTACGCCAAGCTGGTCTTGCCAACTCCGGGGGGGCCATGGAAGAGGTAGCCTCGACGGTAGGGGATACCCCGCGTAGCATACCAGCGTGGGCTGGACGGGTGCAAATATTCGTTTATATCGGCAATGATCTTCTCCTTCTGAGCAGGATCCAGAGCAACGGTGTCCATTGGACGAGAGGGTTTCGCCCTAAGGCGATCCCAGGCACCAGCGTATCTTGACCGATCCTTGCTCGCTGGACGGCGGATGACCGTCATTGCCGTCTCCTTGTCAATCGACCAAAATTTGACGTGATCTAAGAGGGACTTGATAGGCAGGGTGCTGCGGCCGATGCAAGAAAGCTTGATGAGCTCTTCATCTCTGCGGCTTGGTTGAAATGGATTGGGCGCCACTTCTCGGCGGGATCGATCGAACATGAACAGTCGACCACCATGCCAGAAGTGGTGACTGCCAAAGTACGGCTCATAGCGAGGCGGGATTTTGGCGGACCACTTTCCATAGTTGAAGATTCCCTGCTCGTCCATAGCGCCGTCACTAGCCTCCTCAGCTTCCACATGGGACATGCCATAGCGGGTTACTGCTTTGATGGATCTAGAAACTTTGGACATGCGCTGATCGGCAATCCACTCCAGGACAGAGTCGTAAAGATCATCTGAGTCGTCAATGTAAACATTAGACATGTAAGAGTCCTGGAATAAAGAAAAGGCCTTGTCCCAAACGTATGTAACGGATGTAACGACTGCAAAAGCCAGAAGGCCAACGGAAACGACTAAACTGATATCAAATCCGAATGCGTCGAGGATGAATCTTGATATTAGACTGTAGCCTGGAATGAATGCTTCCAAGATGTTGCTGGGAAGCTCGGTAAGGTTCGTAGCGGTGCCATTGAGGGGTTCACCTGGAAAGTCCCGGACAGCGCTAAACTTTTTCAGGCCCATATTGTAAGATTGTCGAAAAATGAGGCTGTAATGCTGAGCGAAGGATGCCAATCAACCAAGAGGTAGATCGGGGGGTTTTGTATAGGTTCGTGGCGAACGATGACTGGATGCTAGTCGCCTGCCTGTGGTGGTATGACTGAAGCTTCCCGAGCTGGATGTACTTTATCAACAACGGAGTTGGTTCCACGACCGACGCGACGAAAATGAAGCTGCAGCCTTCAATACGAGAATCAATGAGGTCTTTAGGCAGAGACAGCGGTCTGCGCCTTTAAATCCTGCAGATATGCGGCGTCAATTGTTTTAAGCCTCAAATTCCTTCAATTACTGCTCATGTCAGACAGAGAGTTTAGGGAAAATTGCCGAGAGCGGATTCGGCTCACCTGAGCCGCAACTGTAAACGGACAATGGAGCAACGCCGGTTAGAAAGGATTCGCGATGTTCCCCGCACAGATATGTCGCCAATAGTGATACAGAGATGAGGCTGCAGATGATGCTGCAAGGCTGACTCTCAGCCTCACCAACCGATGATGCAGGAGAGATGTAAGCGAACGAGCCGCAAGATTTGCCGAGTGAGGTAAATGGCCGCGATCGGCGTACGAGTAAGCACGCGTGTCTGGCGGAACCTGCTGCCTGCGGGCTAGAAGCTTATCAGAGCCGCAACCACGACTTTATAACTTCCTTCAAAGCTGTTGGAATGCAGAAAGGGGGGTGTGAGAATCCTGGACGAGCTGATGAAGAGGGCGGTGCATTGCCACAGCGAAGAACGATGTATGCGATAATGGTGGCCATTTGTCAGGGAAGGCAGCAGCGACGCGCAACGCGCGGTACGCGGTGAGTAGTTCGTTCGGACATGGCGGGAGCGGGGGCGCCACACAACGTCAGCGATCCACACCAGCTGATCACTATATGGACGCTACGGGAAGGCCGTGGATTGTGTTCTGGAGAAGAGATGGTGTGGGAGAAGAGATGGAGTTGAGTGGGCGTGCGGGATTGGGGCGGAGCAGAGATGCGCTCACAACGCCACAGCTCGTGGCAAAGCTGGATGCAAGGAGCTGATCTGCAAGCACATGTGACCAACCACTGAACGGGTGCTGGCAGCGTGGTAATTTTTTTTCAAGCGGTCAACGGTGGCGTAGGGCTGGCACGGCATGAGCCAGAACAATCCATGCTGCGAGCCGTCTTCTTGCTGGCTACTGCGTCGCCTATCACGGCACTCCCGAAATCACGACAATCAAAATTTGCAAAGCATAATCATCGTTATAGTGTTGCTAGTACTAGCCACTACTACAGCTGCCTATCCGATGTGATGCAGATTTCGGACGTTGTTTAGAAATTGAAAGAAGTTTGTACAGTAGGAACGTATGCCCATCGCGGGCCAGGCGCAGCCCGCACCCAAGCAGGGATCGGTCTGATATACTGTAAAGCAAGAAGAGCTAAGAGAAAAAAGCAAAAATGGGGGTTATAGTCAAAGTCAAAACACCAAGCCTATTCTTCTTCTTTTCGTCCCGCATGAATAATCAAAAGCACACACAATGCCCGGAACACCATCCCATATGCCGGAGATCTGTGTCGAACCCACCGGCCCTCTAGGCAAGAAGGCCGTGCTCGCGGCGGTTGGCGTGGTGGCCGTGGTGCATGTGGCGCTTGAGCTTGGCCGCCGGCGTCGCGTAGCTGCCGCCCGTCGCCGTAACGTAGACGATCTCCTCCTCGATCGCAACCTCGTACACGGCGCCGGCGCTGGTGAAGGTCGTCGTGCCGATGATCTCGCCGTCCTCGTCGTCGTTGGCAACCGGCGCAGGCGTGACGCTGGCAATCTTGGCAACGGTGACACCGCCGCCGTACGCGTCCGAGGCGAACGACTCGCGGCCAGTCGAGTACGAGAGGGTGGGCACAAGCGGGGTGCTGGCGTGGGTAGTGGTGGAGATGGCGGGCGGGGAAGTTTGGGCCGACTGGGCGCTGGCGTATTCGGGGCCGTACTGGATAGGGACGTTGCCGCAGAGACCGTCGGTCGGACCCGCGCAGTTCTCGTCGGCGAGAACCTCAGGGACGTCGAACTTGCACTGCAGCATGTCGCTCTCCTCTTGCAGAGTGAAGTGCTGGCAGTCCTCGACCTTACCCGTATCCGAAGTGCAGTCGCGGATGGCGTTCGTGAGGACAGTAATGTCCCAACCGGACATGAAATCACCGTGGTACCCGTAGCCGGTGGGGTCACCGTACGACAGGACGAACTCTCCGTCGACGCCCTTGAAGCTGTTGGTTGCCCAGATGGTCTCGTACATCAGGGAGGGCAGACGGGTGTCGAAGCCCTCGGGGCAGGTGCCGGTGATGGTCTGGTCGGGGTAGGCCATGTGGTCCCTGTGGTTGTCCGAGTCGATGTCCACGCCGTTCCAGCACGAAGGGAACATGACCTCGAGACGAAGACCGTCCGAGCAGTTCTCATCGAGGAAAGTCTTGTCGGGAAGGAAGTGGCGGTACAGGGTAGCCTCCGGCGGGTTGACGTCGTAGTGAAGACAGTTGAAGCCAAGGGCCTTCTGGGCAAGAGCCTTCTGGGTGGCATCCTCACCAGACCAGGGCTTCTCCGGGTCGGGGACGGGGAGAGTGAAGTTGCGCTGGCGCATGTCACCAGCCAACATACGGAAGCCCTTGGGGAAGGGCTGGATGTTGTCTCCGTAGAGAAGGTAGTAGCTGCAGCCAGTCAGCGCGCGGTATGGGGGATGGCGTCTCGCGACTACTTACGCAAGCATGCCGCCAACCTGGGGGACGACGACAGTGGTGCCATTGGGGTAGAGGAAGTGCAGCGACGGGGTCCTGGATGAGAGATTTGGGTCAGCGTGCGCGCCTTGTCTTGCGGTCCAAAGTGAGGCTTACCAGTAGGCAGACTTGTCCTCGGTGGCCTGGCAAGAGGTGCAGGACGAATCGAGCAGCTTAGCATAGTCGGCGCTCATGCCGAAGCTGCTGCCGCCATGGATGGCGTGGGCATGGGTGGACACGACGCCGGTGTCGACGATGGGGTCGATACGTGCAAGACCGGTGCGGCCACGGCAAGGCATACGCCAGAAGGCGTTGGCAGCGCCGCTGAGGGCGAGCAGGGAGAGAAGCTCCGTGTTCTTGACCATGGTGACTGGAATCCGAGGTTAACAGGGAACGAACGATAGGGCCGGCCCGAGGAGGGTCGGAAGGTCGGAAGCGAAGGGAAGGTGTGGAAGGAGCGAAGAGGGTTGGTCGAAGAGAGGAGACGGGGCGCCGGTGGAGTAGAAGTGTGTTTGTTGGAAACAGTGCACGGAGACTTACACTTCTGCGTAATTTGCGCGCGGGATACGGACGGCCGTAACCTCTCTGGTGGATAGTAGGTGGTGATGGATCTTTCTTCAGCCCTACGCGACCAGATTCGGGTCTTTTATGGAAAGGTAGCCCTTCTCCTTAACTTCAAATTGATTGCGCCCGTGCTGGAATCCACCGGGGACAAGAGATATTGGTCGATATGTCCAGGAAACGAAGGGCGCTGGGTGAGAGTAGCGAGCGGCAGAACAGAGCTTTCGCAACGAACGAACGAACGACAGAGGTCAGCGGGCAAAGGAGCGACTGATGCGGGGAAAGGCAAGGAGTGGAAGCGCGCGCGCAGCAGCAAAAAGTCACGATGAGGATAAGGAATGTTCTTTTCAGGACAGGGAAAACATGGGGGTACACGTTGACCTGAGACACGATGGATCCCCACTGGAATCTCCCTGACACACGGTGCACAGATTGCCGGGCGGCAGGGCCCAAGACATTCTTTCCCTGCTCAGGTGCGTCATCCCGGCGCCGGCGTGCACATCCTCGTTTGCCCTCCGGCCTGAAACGCTGAGGACGACCGCCCGATTGGCTTGGGCTCTTGGCCTGCCCTGCGTCCGCCCTCGCTGCAGCGCTGGTTCGGCTCGGATGCGGCTGGCGGCGCGCGGCGACGGCTCACCGAGGGCGGCGCTGGGCTGCAGGAGCGCGCTGGTGGAGCTGCGGCCGGACAGCATCGTGACCCGAGGCGCCACCGTGCTGGCCGCCATCTCCGCTGGCCTCTCCTAGCCTCCTATTCGAGCAGGTAGCGCAGCGTCACGACCGCTTGACTCGCGATCAGCGAGCTCATCTCGCTGCGCTCCGCTAGAGGGGCGGTGCCGAACAATAGGCCAGCAGCAGCCGCCAGCACACGCTGCGAGGAGGCGGGCAAGCGCCCGCAATATGGCCAGGAGCAAGGCATACGTAACGCAGCGCCCAATCGTGCCACGCACCGGCCTGCCGCCTCTCTCAGCTCATCACCCGCCGTCGAGGGACGCGCCGCTGGGGTGTGGCTGCCGTTTCACGTCCTTCGGTGGCGGAAGCTTGGTACTCGGGACCTGACTACGCTGTGCGAGCTGCCGGGCCACTCACAACCGCCATCAGGCCCTCCCGAACGCCCTGGGCCCTACCGGCTTGGCTCGGCCGCGATAGAGGCTGCCTCGTATCGCGCGTGGGATTCCGTGGAACCTTCGTAGAACTGCTGTGCTCGCGCACAGATCCAACAGCTGAATTTCTTTTTCATCTGCGCTGTCCGATTCGCTGGCCCTGGCTTGACCGACTTCCGGCGCATTGTTCTCCTCGTACTGTGCGCCCGCTACCAACGCGCGATGGAAGAGCCGGCGGCTCTCAGGGGTCATGCGCAGAGGCTCGCGGTGGGGCTGCCCCCGATATGCCGGCCACGACTTGCCCGGGATGCACCCCCAACCCGGCGAAGAGGTCCGCGACAGGAATAGAAACCGAGTGGCCGTTTCGCGAGCGGTCGGAGGCTGTTATCGCGACCGGGATTGTGTTTTCTCGGAGCGAGACGTCGACGGGAGTCTGATGTCCGGCGTCGGGATGTCTCTTATGCGGGGAATCTCGTCTGCCCTAACTGTGGTTCGGCAAACCGCCGAAGGACGAATGACAGCTAACCATCGGCATGCCTCGTTGCCCCAGCGGAAAAGCCGCGTCGGCTGCTCGACGAGGAATCCTTGAGTGACGCCAGCCTCCCGTCCTGCACGCGTCTCAGACAGCCGCCCTCTCTGCATGACGGTGCCTGTCGATCACCGGGGAAGACATCATACCCAGCCAGCCCGCATCCACCGTCCCTCAGCGCTGAAGATCACCTGTTTCGAGCCGAAAAGCTTGGTATGCAGCTTTTGAAACCGCTTCAAGCAAGGAACGGCCTTGCATCACCATCAACCTCCCCCGGCCCGCTTCTTCTACTTCTACCGCACCCCTCACGCACCCGCGACTCCATAAGAACATGCCGTAGCTGCATCTGGAAGCGTTCTGGCACCTGTCGTGCCATCCCAACCACCCACGCAGTCTACTCAAAACGCATCGCAGGCAGGGGCACGTTTAGTCCCACGCTGCCCACGACAGGAAGAGCACGAGATACATAATCATGATGCAACCGATTGATTGATCAACCGAGCTATCTCAGACCTATCTACCGTTGACAGCAGCTAGTCGCATTCCAGCGCATGCGTTTCGTCTGAAACCTTCGCTGGCAAAAGCCTTTGTGGATATCACCATCCCTTTCTCCTGCAACGCCGTTACCGCCCGTTTTTACCCAAATGCACGATATAGACCATCAAGCGAATATGACCGCGGCCCTCGATGAAGAGACTGCAGAGTGAGCATAGTACACACATGCCGCCGGAGATTTGCCGCATTAATGCATAGCCAATAATGCCCGATGTCCCAGGCCTGCGACCGGCTGCCGCTTTCTGAGACGATGGCGACTCGCTGCACAAGCTGAGGGAAATTCGACACTCTTACCAGGAGCACATGTTCACAACAAGCCCTGCTTCTGAAGGTCATAGTAGACCTTCTCAGGCATAACGTTGCCCGCCGCATCCTCCATTTGCACAACGTTCTCCTGCGCCTGCTTCTGCTTCTTCTTGTCGACCTCGATCTTCTTGTGCAGGTTGATCGCATCCTGGATGCCAGTGATTTCCCTGTAGAGACCGGTATCCTTGGTGATGCCCAGGCACTTTAGGCCGTAGAGGTGGCGACCCTCGGTGAAGTGCTTGTCGAAGGCGCGGCGTCCCATGTATACGAAATTGCCGCAGATTTCGCAGGGGAACTCGACACCGAGACCGTGCAACTTGTACAGCCAGAAGGGAATCGGCTTGCCATCCCAGGCGAGCGGCAACTTGAGCGGGTTGTAGATCTTGTCCTCGTCACCTTCTTCCTCACCTTCACCCTCCTGGACCTCTTCCATGCCTTCGGCATAGAGAGCGTCGAGCTCCTGCTGACGTTCGCGCTCAGTCATACCCTGCCTGCGCTCAACATTGACGCGGGTGTCGCCACGCTGCAGCTTCATGGCAGCCGCAAGCTTCTTGACAAGGAATTCACGCTGCGCGATGGCACGCTCCTTAAGGCGCTTGGTGTTGACAGTGCCGTTCGAAGGCTGACCCTCGGCAGCCTGCTCGCCCCTCTCAGCCCTTGCGGCGGCATTTCTCTTGTGCTTCCTTCCCTCGAGGTGAGGCCCGTACGTGTGCTCCTGGAACTCCTTCTGGCAGTCAGCGCACCAGTACCCAGAGCCAGAGCCCTCAGTCACAGGGCCAGCAGTGGCACGCTTAGCTGCATCCTCATCCTCCCAACCGGGGATCTCGTTTGCGTCCCATCCCTTCTGGAATTCTTCGTCGAACTCAGCGAACAGCTTGTCCAAATCCTCCAGCGGCCTCGTCTTCCTCATGAAGTCCTCAAGATACGAGGCCAAATCGCCGAGGTAGCGGAAGTAGGCATCTGTCATCTTGTTAGGACGCTTCATCTGGGCGAAGTTGTCGAACGAGTCTAGATACTGCAGGTAGGTGGTATGTTTGGCGTTCTTGTTGCCCGGCAGGTTCTCGTAGGCATCGTGCAGGATCGTCATATCAAAGAAGCGCCCAAAGCTTTCCTCGCCAGTGAACATGGCCTCGACGTTGGGAGCCATGGGCTCAGGCTCGCCAGGACGGCGCTTGTAGGCTCGCTCCAAGTTCTCGACTGCCTCGTTCGGGTATTCTTTGTGGTGGGTCTTGATTTCCTTGTATTCCTTGTAGAACTCTTCGAAGATGTCGCCGGTGGAGATGGCCTGGACTTGGCGAGTGCGTTCGCCGTTCGCATCGGCGTAGATGTCCAGCAGGCGCTTCGATTGGCTCTGAATGCGACCAAGAAAGTTCGCCATCTGGTGGTCACGGCGGAGCTGGTCCCTCGTACTCCTGGGGTCCTCGAGAATGCGCTCGGCGGTGGCCTGCTCGAGGCGCTCGATGTCCTCATGCAGCAGCCGCTGCTCCTCGAGGAGGATGCTCATGGCTGCGTATGGAGCTGCGCTGTGGTAAGCGGGTCGGGACTGCGGAGTAATTGGCCGTGGGCGCGGGAGGAAGGGTCCGTTTGCAGGATGTGGGGTTGTTGAGGTGAGGTCGGGATCTGGGAGGCAAGATTGTCTTGACGCGACGACGAATGCCAAGCCTTTTTCGCGCCAAAAGCTCCGCGCGCGCCAGCTCCCCGGAAACTTCACCACCGCCGCTCGCCGCGCTCAGGCCGCAAACACCGTCCGACTGCTTCACGCCCGCCCGCTTTCCCACCACCAACAATTATTACACAACATGGCCGACGGAATCGACAGACGTGCCGATGAGAAGATGGAGTTCTCCACCTCCAAGGAGGTTACGGTGGCTCCTACCTTCGAGGCTATGCACCTGAAGGAGAATCTTCTGCGCGGTATCTACGCTTACGGCTACGAATCGCCCTCCGCAGTTCAGTCGCGTGCTATTGTGCAGATCTGCAAGGGCCGCGACACCATTGCCCAGGCCCAGTCTGGTACCGGCAAGACTGCCACTTTCTCCATCAGCATTCTCCAGGTTATCGATACCGCTGTGCGCGAAACCCAAGGTGTGTGCTTCCATTCCTATTGCGCCTGAGCAATTCACTGATTTAGTGCTTAGCTCTGGTTCTCTCCCCCACGCGCGAACTTGCGACCCAGATTCAGTCCGTCGTCATGGCTCTTGGCGACTATATGAACGTCCAATGCCACGCTTGCATCGGTGGCACCAATGTCGGCGAAGACATTCGCAAGCTGGACTACGGCCAGCACGTCGTTTCTGGCACTCCCGGTCGCGTCGCTGATATGATTCGCCGCCGCAACCTCCGCACTCGCCACATTAAGATGCTTGTTCTGGACGAGGCTGATGAGCTGCTCAACCGTGGTTTCCGCGAGCAGATCTATGACGTGTACCGTTACCTGCCTCCTGCGACCCAGGTCGTCGTCGTCTCGGCCACGCTTCCGTACGACGTTCTGGATATGACCACCAAGTTCATGACGGACCCAGTCAGGATTCTCGTCAAGCGTGACGAACTGACTCTTGAAGGCCTGAAGCAGTACTTCATTGCTGTCGAGAAGGAGGAGTGGAAGTTCGATACTCTCTGCGACCTTTACGATACCCTTACTATCACTCAGGCCGTCATCTTCTGCAACACCAGGAGAAAGGTCGACTGGCTTACCGATAAGATGCGCGAGGCAAACTTCACTGTATCCTCGATGCATGGAGAGATGCCGCAGAAGGAGCGTGATAGCATCATGCAGGACTTCCGTCAGGGCAACTCTCGCGTCCTGATCTCGACCGATGTCTGGGCCCGTGGAATTGATGTTCAGCAGGTGTCGCTGGTCATCAACTACGACCTCCCCAGCAACCGTGAAAACTACATTCACAGGATTGGTCGCAGTGGACGTTTTGGCAGGAAGGGTGTTGCTATCAACTTCGTCACGAGCGAGGACGTGAGGATTCTCCGTGACATTGAATGTGAGTGCGGTCCTCCTAATCCATTTGAACCATTACTGACGTTAGCAGTGTACTATTCTACTCAAATCGATGAGATGCCGATGAACGTCGCGGATCTTCTTTCGTAAACGGTCTTGTTTATTGGCGTTAGTTCGGAGACAGCTTTCTTGAAAGCACAAAAAAAGGGCACTATGCCTATATTCATGAAGGGCACTTTTAAGCGGGGAGGAAATGGGCTTTGTAGCCAGATGGTTAGTTCTCTGTTTCAAAAGCTTCACATACTTGGCTCTGACATTCCCTACGCCAAAGATATCTAGATTGATCATTGCTTTGCACCGGAAAACGACCACAACATCCTTCACATTCCCACTTGGGTAGGCTCAGGACTAATTCCAAGGTACTGCTGACTAAAAGCGAAGATGTCAAGCCCGACGTATTCCCAAAATAATTTGACAGATTATCAAAGCAAGCCAGGCAGAGGCTGAACCGTGTCCCCCCATTTTGGCATGAGATTCGGGCCACCATGTGCTTTGAAGGTTTGCACCAACCAAAAGTCACCTCAAGAAACGCTTTGCGAGCCTCAACTACTGGTTTCAATGCTGGCCAGTGCTCGTGGAGCCCACTCCTCTGGTTTGGGCTGCAAGGCTACGCTGTCGACATAACCTACGGTTGTACGCTTCAAAGCGGTAGCTTTCTTCGTTGGCTGTCTTCGCTAGCCTTTGGCCATCCTTCCTTTCGACTCTTGGTGCGATCTTGGGTATCGTCAGAATTTCCGCATGCTTCTTTCGGCAGCATGGCGTCACGGTGAGTTGCAGAAGGCTTTACCCTTCCCAGTGAAAGACATTACTTGGGTAGTTGAAGTGTAGGCCCTTGGCCACAGGAGAGCATCTAGACATAACCTTCAACTACCCAAGTAAATAGAGTGTGAACTACCTCATGAAAAGGTTTGAGCAGGTTAAGTACTTTTGACACCTGCTGTGGGGTTCATTTCAGGATTCAAGGAGCCCAACCGATGTTGTTGGGTATCGAGTCGGGTGTCTCCCACACACCCTGAGAAGTTTCGCCTAATTTTGCTTTCCTGAAAGAGCGTCGTTTTGACATTGCTGATGCTGATAACCTTGAGCCGTTCGAGGTAATCTCAGCTGGATCGCAAGGTATTTTGAACGATGCCCGATCCCACTGGGGATCTCTGGAGCTGTCGAATGATTGGGTGTAAAATGCCGGATGAGGTGAAAGTAAACCGGGGCTTGAAGTTGCCGCATGAACTTTTGGAGCAGTGGGAATTCGATCCAGAGGCACCTCCGCCGGTAGTTCGACTGGAAGCTCTGTGGGTGTATCGACCTTGGCGTCCTCCGGTATGGCTTTGAAGAAAGCTTGCAGATAGGGAAAGGCCTCATCAAGAGTAACTGCTCTTGTGTGCTGGTTGGAACCTGGAATATGATGTCAGTAACGAGTTCGAATCGCAACCTTTTCCACATTTCGCGCTTACCTCCGCGCAAGTCTTCTTCAACATTCCTAGGTTTTTCGTCCTTTCTGCTCTTAATGAACCTTTTCCTTGTCGAGGAAGGCCTCAGCATCGCATCGCCTTCCGGCCTGTACTCCCACGGCACTACTCTCTCATCATTCCGGCTCGACTCGTAAGTCGGCAACCCCGCAATACTATTATCGCATCCCCCTCCTACTACTAAGCCCGCCATCTTCCCCGCCGTGCCCGCCTCGCCCACCCCTACCACCACCCCCTCCTCCTCCATACGCTGCATCTTCGCCACCGCGCTCAGCAAACTCGCATGGCACGCCGCCAGCGCCGCTACGCGCTCCCCCCGCACCCCCTCCCCCTCCCCTTCCTTCTCCCTCGTCGTCGTGGTCGCCGTCGCCGTCTGCCTAAGCGCCATCATCCCCCACTGCCTCCTCCACCCATCCGACCGTACAGCCTCCTCTCTACTCCTCCTCACCACTTCCCCCTCGTCGCTTCCTCCTACCTCCCCACCCACCGCCGCCAGCGCCTCCAGCGCGTCCCGCACCACCTCCTCCACCCACGCGCGCTGCGCGGCGAGGAGGGAGAGGCGCTGCTGCACGGGCGGCGACGAGTGCAGGCGCAGGGCTTCCGCTAGGTCGTGCTGGATGCGTTTGATGAGGGGGGCGGGGTGGTCGTCGGGCTGCTGCTGCTGTGGGGGAGCAGGGGAGGAGGGGGAGGAGAAGGGGGAGGACGACGGGGCGAAGGGTGCTAGGAGGTTGGGTTTTCGGGCGGCAGCGTCGTTCTGGTGGTGGTGGTGGTTGTAGGGGAGGTCTGCGGCGAGGGCGCAGGTGATGCGGTGCTCCATTGATGGGGAGCGAGGAGATTGTTTAGGTCGTTGGTGGTGGGTGGGTGGGTGAGATGGGTGTGTTGCAGGTGTCGAATTGGTTCACTGGATAAGAGGAGGTGCCGAATTAGATGTAGAGGAGGGAGAGTAGATGATTGTTTGTGTGACGTGGTTGTAGTCAGGACTCTGCGAATCGAGGTAAGAAAGATGTTGTGCCAGATGCGCACTGTGAAGAAAGGCACAAAAAGCATACGTGAGAGTCAAAGCGAGAGATACCCTGGGTAACGAACGGGGCACAGACGATCAAAGATAAAGAATGTTTAGAAACGCAGAGCAAGCGACAGAACATCCTTGAAGGGGGAGTGATTGCTTCGGTTGCGACGGTTACGCGACTGATTGGCTCATGCAGGAAACGTAACACATGGCTTAGCTTTCCAGGTCGCGGCAGGGAGGAGTGAGGGTGCAAGTTTCCTGGCCTGCGTCCTTGAAGGGGCGGGTGGAAGCTGCCGGACCTTCCTTGCGGGGACCCAGGGGAGCCTCAACTTGTTTGAGTGCGAGCGAGGCGTTGTCGTGCGATGCCCTGCAAGCTTCCGCGTCACTCGGCAAGCCACCGAAGCCGCTTCTGGCTTTGATTAGCAGTCAGGCTACCTCGCAGAAATGCAGCTGCGCCTCGTGCGGCATGGGAAATTAACAGCAATCATCGTCTGTTGAGAAGTGTAGTTTGGGCTCTACTATACGGAAGTTTTTTTTTAAGTGTAGAAGTGAGTAGTATCAAGACAAAAGTTGTGTGAGAAAAAAATCAAGTTGCAAAATATGCCCCTAAATCTTTTTGCCTCCGGTTTCAAAATCAATCCTATGGAAACTACTTTTTCCTGCCAAGCCCTAACAGCATGGAATGGATTCCGATCCTAGTCATGGCACAAGGCGGCAGCGGCTTCGCGCCTGTGTGAAGCGCCTGTGTCACTTTGTGACGATAAGACCTTGTGTGTCAGTGGACCGTTGCACGGTTGCTCCGCTGTGTCGTGGGGGCTGGAATGCAGCAGGGAATTGTGCCGGCTGTTGGTGGCATCAACTACATGCCTCATTCGCTGAGGCCTACATCATGGCTTGAGGCTGACATTGCCTATCGCTTCGGAAAAAAAGACTCCAGTGAGCTCCAGCCTAGGCACTTGCCTTCGAATGCGCCATTAATTGTCGTATGATAGGCAGTTGAAGCATCCATCTAGACATTAATGCACGACAAATAATTCGTAAGCGAAAGTATCCACACCCGAGCTTCGTCTACCTCAGCCTTGTTGCAACATCAAGTGAACTGGACAGTTCCAGCCTAGAAAGCGAAAACGTAAGGAAAAGGCCAGTTAAGAGACCAGCCTGGCAATCTCCATATCCTCAAACGGGCGTGGGCGGCTGAGTCTTTCCCCATTCTCGTCGGTGATCTGAAGCAAGGCTGGGAAAATAACAACGCTCCCAGGTCCGTGATTGGAGTCCGCAAGCCACTCGAATTTCCAGAAGCTCGGGTGAGAGAACAAGAGAAAGGCGAAACCTGCTGCGCGTTTGAGGATCTCCTCGAGATTTTGCCGTCGGCTCGCATTTTCGTCTCTTCTCGCTCTCAAGCGTACCAGAACAGAGTCAAGCTCCTCGAGTGCATGGCCGATGTTGTACGATCTAGGATCGCTTTCAGTGATGAAGTTTGAGCCATAAGTTTGTTGGAGCATGCTTGCAGTTATGGCTCGCCATTTGCTGAGAAGTGTTGTCCGCGCTGTTTTTCTGTAAGCTTCAACTCCAGCTTAAAATTCAGATAAAACGAACCTTGGTCATTCTCTCGCATTCCCGTCATGGATTCAAGGCAGCTTGCCACTTCTGGCGGAAGAAAGCTTGTGCTTGGATGACTTTTCAGGCCAATCCGCGAAAAGATAGCTGATGCAATCAGATAGCGCAGCGCCGGAGTGCGTATTTGTGGATCCACGATTGCGGATCTCAACTGCGACACTGAGAGTTGAGGGTCTTCCACAATACCAGCAAGAGCCGTTTCGTCGATTGAATCCTGGTCAATTTCTGAAGTGCGGTAGTAGCTCACGACATGATTATTGATCATGCTCTTGAGCTTTGACATTTCTGTTGAAATGCTGTCGTCCGCTACTGGTTGTGGGAGGAGTTTTTCTGCTTGAGACTCCCAAGTGCCAATTGTTGTGATTTGTGGCAGACCGGTCGGTTTGCCTTCCCCATAGGATGGTGCCCGCTTCAGTGGAACTTCGGAGTCGTAGCGTGGTTGGCTCTTCCTCGACCTTCGAAAGCAAATGAAGAATACAAGAGAAGCAAGCAAGATCCCGCCTATCGCAGCCCCAACTCCAACGCCTGCGGCCGCTCCGGAGCTGAGTCCCTTATTTTGCGCGTTTGTTGATCCCGACGCAGAAGGTGACGATGTTGGGGTACTGGGGATTGAATTGTGGGCTGTGGATGCCTGCGTTGTAGTTTGACCTATCTCTGATGGGTTCACGGTCGAGATTTTGACAGATCGGACGCTGCTCGCAGAAGAGGCCAACATATAAGGGATTGACTCAGCAGTGAACACTTTCGTGTAGAAAACTTGGGCCACCACCGGTCCAAACGTCGCTTCAATTGAAGTAGTCGGTTCAGCAGGGATTACACTGGGTTGAGTGAGAGTAATGCTGTAGCTGCTTTTTTGGTCATAGTAGAACATTAATGTCTGAAGGCTAAGAGGATTGCGAGTCTCTGGCCAAACTACCGGCGAGGTAGTTTTTGCAGCGCTGGTTGCCATGTTAGGCAGCGCAGGTTCTGAACCCAATGGTTGGGTAACAGTGCGCAGTGACGAAGTGGAGGAAGTTGACGGCGTAAAAGTCAAAGAGTAGAAAGAGGTCTCTGAGGGTCAGCTCCAGAAAGGTGGCCTCGCGCAGTAGTTCAATCCTCTGGCTGAAGGAAGACCATGCCTGCATCCACGCACTGGCCATTACCGGGGTGCCAATTTAGCAGCTGGGCTGATACACAAGGGTAACAGTCTCGGCTTGAGCTGCGCGGCTCAGAAATGCTTGGGGGCCGGACGGAATCCATGTGATTTTCATGTAGGTGCCCGCGTTGTGATCCCCGAACTTTGCTTACAAGCAGCGGGCAATGCACCGCGATTGGATGAGACTGGTCCAATCTGCTGTTGCTCAGCATGTCTACAGACGCAAGTGCTACATCGCACCAGTTTGTCGGGTGAGCGTGTAAAGGGGGGGAACTCTAGGCCAGTCATTTCTCTTGGATCGGACACTGAGATGTTCATAGCTCGCACAATTGATTCTTGTGAATGTTCAGGTCGGCTCGCCCGAGCCTTTTGCCTCGAACTTGAGGCTTGCGAGGCGTGAGGGGGTGGTCTGGTGTGACGGGGCGTCACTGCAGCCTGTACATTCGTGGCAGGCGCGTATGGGCTAGAAATGGCCGGCTGCGCCGCCGGTACCACCCACATCGCCATTCAGCCTTGCGAAGAGCAGGGGGGATCCGCTGGGGGCCGAAGGCGCGCGTAGCGGATGAGATAGCGTTTTGCATGGAAGATGTCAAAAGCTTCCGCCGCAACCGACCTACTTCGTACGTTAGTATTGAATTCATTGCCTCCCCTCAAAACGGACCTGAATTAGGCCCACAGCCATGTACTTGAACGGGGTAGATCGACAGCAGATGTCGGCTGACAGGCCGCACATGGTGGTGGCAGTGGACTTCGGAATGACCTGTAAGTAATAATTCTAGCCGACCGTAGAGCTGATTCAATTTTCGCGAAATCGCGATGAGGACGGGGGCTGGGGGTGGTTGTGAGATGAGCGTGCGACGTTGAAAGCCGCGGCTGGAATGCGCTTGTCACCATCACGTGTGCCCCGCCCTCTTTCCAAGCTGAAATCTGCGTCTCTGGTCCACTATATCAATACATTCGAAGCTCACATGCTTTTTCAGGTACCGGAGTTTCCTACGCAAACCTATCCATCGGCTCCGAGACCATCCGCTGGATTCAAAAGTGGCCCGGCCGCGGACAGGCGAATGAGAACAAGGTCCCTACTGTCCTGGTCTATCCTCATAACTCGCAAATTCCCTCTTCATGGGGTTTCAACTCCGAAACGATCTCCGAGCAGACGGCCGACGACAGAGAATACCGAGAATGGTTCAAGACATATCTCGACGTCTTCAGGCTCCAGAGAGCACAAGCCGAGCTCCCAAACGATACTCCAAAATCCATCCACGAAGTGGAGAAGCTTTTTGAAGACTACATGCGACATTTGTACCAACACATTGAATTTGTGCTAAGCTACGAGCTTGCGGGTGCCTACTGGCCTGACGCATACATTGAATTCATCTTCAGTGTTCCTACAACTTGGAACAACCACACCGTGGAGAGATTCAGAACGATAATTCATCGAGCTGGATTTGGGCAACACCTGAGACATGTCGTCTCCATAGGTCTTACCGAAGCGGAAGCCGCGGCTGTCCACACCTCGACTGAAGCCTCTGGAATATTCCGAGTATGTCTCTGAACTGATCAATCGTCTGCGACAATGCGACACAGGCACCTCCGCATACTATTTATTGACTTGTACAGGACCGAGACATCCTCCTCGTGTGCGATGCAGGTGGTGGAACTACTGACCTCTCCGTCTTGAAAGTTGTCACCAATCAGAGCCAGTGGATGTCTCTGCAGCAGCTCGATGTTGTCTTTGGTAATTAAAGGCTACGAGCCCCTTTGAGGTCTGCGCTGAAAAGCTCTTAGGAGAGACTATCGGCTCAGCAGCCATCGACAATGACTTTGAAAATCTGGCTTTACAACGTCTATCGAGAATTGACCGCTCCGCCATCGGGCTAGAGCCCGAAGAAGCAGCATGGCAGATGATGAAGAGCAAGGAATTTCAAAACGCGAAATGCGAGCATGGGTCGCCCAGTGATACGCCTATCTTCTCCATCTGTGTTCCACAAATCGACAGAAACTACTCGCAGGTGGACATTGGAGTTATGCATGGAGAGATGAGATTTCGAAGGTATTGAAAACGTCTGTTTGCAGAATTATATCTCGATTCATTTCCCTCTCTACAGACAACCAACTTTTATTGTCATGATTGATCTCGAAATATTTACTAACGCTTTGACAGAGAAGATTTGCAACTGCTTTTTGATAAGCAAGTACAAAAGCTATTCGGACTCATTGACCATCAACTAGAGAGGCTCCAGAGAAGATATCCTGGTGAGCAAGTGGTAAGTGATGCTTCTGGATGATGATTATGCAGCGCTTATGCTTTTAGACCCACGTGATTCTTTCCGGAGGACTTGGAAATAGCGCATACGTACAGAAGCGTCTCATGGAGAGATATGCTCGTGGGAGACACACCTTCCTCAATGCTCAAAACATCCACTTCCGGACTGCACCGGATCCTCAGTTGGCTGTCTCCAAAGGTCTTGTCACAGACCATCTTCGAAAGCTTAGGAGCGGAAAGAGTGTTTTGGACTGGCGCTGCTGCAGGGCATCATATGGGACCTTGTGTAAGGTTGCCTATGAGAAGAACAACCCAGGTATGGGTCTTGTCAGCAATTCTTCCAAGAAGCAGTGCCGTTTAACTTTAGTGTAGACCACCGTGGCAAAAAGGTGCACAAAGACCCCATTAACGGCAAGCTCTACATATCGAACGCCATAGCTTGGTTCATTCGGAAGGTATCTATGAATGTCCTGGAGATAGGACTAAACACTCACATTTACAAGGGCGAGCCGATCCGCGTGAACGACGCAATCATGCACAACTTCAGCAGAAAGCTCACACCAGGGGACCCGCAGCGCGCCTTTCCGACATGGATCATCAAGAGCGACAACGACGTCGACATCCTGCCCTTCCAGATGGGGCCGGGGGCCGAGATCCTGTGCGAGATCCAATCCGACCTGTCCAACGCCGATCAGCGGGAATTCAAGCAAAAGAACCGGCGCTTCTGGCAAACGAGCCAGCGGCACTACCTCGTCGAGTACCAGATCCAGGTCATCATCGGCCCAGCTGATCTGCGTTTCGAACTGTGTAAGGATCACGCGCCGCCGCGGCCCAATGGCAGTGCCGGATGTACGAAAGAAAAAAAATGTGAGGCTGACCACGTGCGGGTACTGTGACAGGGTTCAACGGCCAGAAGCTGAGCAGAGATCAGCCCATCCGCGTCGAGTGGTCGCCCGCAACGCCGCCGACGATGATGACGACGGCGGTGGTCGCTGCGGAGATGCCGGCTACGCCGCAGACGCGACATGCCTCGGAAGAGAGCGTATACGTGCCGCGGAATGAAGAGCACAGGCGTACGCTTGGAAGTTTGGCAAATATCCTGAGTGGTAGATAAGAGGGGAAGTGCGGTTCTAGAACCAGACACAGGCCACAATGACTCACAGAAGGAAAGAAGTGCACCCGCATGTTGAGCTGCTTTACTGCAAAGTGATTATGGGCAACCTCTATTCATCAGTCAAAGTGTTGCTGCCAAAGTACACAACATGAGTGAGACTCTGTATGCTCCTTCAACTTGATGAGACGTGGAAAAGTCCATTGTGATGCCACCAGCGACGAAAATTGGAGAACATGAGGACAGTGTGCGTTGGGTCTTTTTCTTCCACAACATCTTTTCTTCAGAGCGCAGTGATCGTAGTAGCCTACCTTTCGGTAGTTCTTATCGGTACCTATGAATTCTCGCAGCTTGAGGGCTCTTGGTCCACTGAATCTTCATTCATACCCAACATACCCAAGGGTGTGATCAGGGGTTCTGGCGTGCACGAGTCCTTGTTGATCTCTGCTGGCGGTCTGGTCCAAGATGGCCCCCAAGGAGGCATATCCAAAATGGGGTGACCGCGAAACCTTCCTGAAGTACCAATTACCGAGAACGGGGCATGTGGCAAGCGTCAAGGAGCAAAAGTAATCTGACCCTGGATGGATCCTAAGCAAAAAAAGGCGACCATGTTTCACTGCCCTGCATCACACACACCCTTGCTGGGCTTGGTCACATAAGGGCAAGTGTAGGATCGACAAGGGACGCGGACCGACTGCTGCAGTGTCCTGGAAACCACACCGCATCTGGCAGTCCGTCGTAGCACCTCTTTGTTCAGCCTCAAGGGCTTATCGGCCGGAGGCGTATCCAGTCGTCTCTCGGCCCCGAAGTAAGACCTCGTGCGATACACCGTCTTTCGTGCGGCCCCTGGATTGGGGACATGGCATACGAGGGCGTAATAGGCCGATCAGAAAGGTGGCAGTGCAGACGCGTGGAGTGATGCAAGGTGCCTGAGTTAATGGAGTGAGAAAAAACAGTGGGGTGGATGCAGTCGCCCAGTATATGTGTTGGCAAGCCAGTAGAGCACCCTTTGAGACTAGGGAACACTGGGTATCCCTTTATTGGTATTGTCTCTTTCAGCCTCGGACCTGGTGATGCAAAGGCCGGACGCAGGGAAGCCGCAGATCAACGATACGTGTGCTCTAATAGTACCGAGACCGAGCAGCTTGTGGGCAACAACTACCGAGGCAGGAACACGAGAGCCGAAAAGCGGTATAGTTATTGTCTTGATTGGCTGACGACCACGAAAAGCGGGAATCTCTGAGCTCGTGACTATGTTGAGCAGTTCTACGAGATGGTTGTGTCGTCATTCGAGCGAAGCTGCTGGCTGGTTCTCGATGATCTATTCTGGGGAGCACAGCCTCAACCGGATTGTGAGCATGCCGATCCGGCATCTGATTGTGAGAGGAGGCTTGATGTCACGATAGACTCACAGTCTCTCAGACAACTGGAGACGTACTATAAGGCTTGGCAGCGGCAGTTAAAGAGGCGGGTCGCGCAAGGAGAGAGTTGAGGGCAGCGAAAGGAGGTGATAAACCTTAGGGCTGCGCGATTGACGGTTTGATTTGCATGCGGAGCCGCCACATCTCCCTGAGTACTGCAATGTAGGCTCGGACGCACTAGAGGGTAGTGTGCTGGCAAAGGCCGCAGCGACCAATTGCAAGGCGCCGAGGCACCGACGAGTGTAAAAGAAAGTAGGCTGAAGGTGGCGCGCTAGCTCCGCAGCGCACAGGTGAACGAGGCTTGGCCAGACGGTGAGCACGGGCGGGTTCGCTGGACAGAGGAGGCAAGATAAGAGCGTACGGGTCGTCAATAGCGCAGACGCAAGAGCTACCACAACTGAGGCCGGTGAGAATCCCTGGTGGCGCGCCGACTCTCGCGGCAGATGGCTGAATGGGATATCGGCACTGCTAGGCCTGCGGGATGACAGCCGAGGTTCCGAGCCCTCGAATCCACATGCTGATCGTAAGCCCCCAATGCAGTAGCAGTGAGACCGGCTCCAGACACGAAATCCCCGAAATCACGAGTGGCGCCGATCCAGACCTGCACGTGGGCGCAGGAATGATCCCCAGGCTGAGTGAGGGATGCGATCAGCACGGCTATCAGTAATCCCACATGCTTACAGCCTCATCATTCCGGGCCAGAGGAGATGAGGCACGATGGCTGTGCAGCCGTTGAAAGAGACCAGCAGGGTTCTCTGCTGCGCAGGGGCTGCGTGTGCGGCGCGCAGGACAGACCGCCGCACACCTCAGCCGCATCCAGCCCCTGGCCGCTGGCAGCTCCTTCGCACAAGAACGGTTGCTGGACGGCCGAGCTGGGACCACCTGGATCTGCGCGCGCTAGGGCTTGGCCGCTCGCAAGCTGGTCCCAGGCGAGAGAGGTCAGGCACGCGCGTGCTAGGCGACGCCAGGCGGCCTGAGGAGTGACGAGTGCAGGGCGAGAGGGAACGGCTGTGACGAAGGGCGGAGAGAAAGCCACGGCGCCACGAGGGGCCCTGGGCGGGCGGCAGAAGCAGCGGAAGCTTGTTGTGTGGAGAAGGCTGCGGGGGATGGGCAGTCGTGGCCGGCGAAAGGCCCCCACAGCCTGAACGAGCGCCAAGCCGAGGGCGGAAGCCGGTCGCGCTTCCCCGGCGTGTGCGCCCGCGGGCAGCCCAGCGTCGCTCGGCGTCGGCATAATTTTTTTTTCGTGGTGCGACGGCGAAGGGAGCCCTCCACCAGACGGGCAGCCAGCGCAGACGGCCCTGCCTAGTACAAACCTTCCAATCTCCAACAAACTTTGCGACTTTTCCCAGAACCGCCGAGCCGCTCACCTCATCATTACACCGCATCACCGCGACGTACCTAGCTCCGGCTGTCCTGCCCGACCGCACCTTATCACCAAGCCACGCTGAGCCTCAAGCCCTGCCCCTCGAAACCACGACCTCGCACGTCATCCAGATGCCCGCCACCAACAACCCTGCTAGCCTGGCACTTACCGAGGACGAGGTCGACGATCTCTTGTACCTCGCCCGTGCGAACGAGACCCAGGACCTGCCGCAGTACCTCCAAGAGCTGTCGCAGAGCCATGCGGGCAGCTCCACGGCCGACATTGTAGTCGCCGCCGTCGACGAGGCTTCCGGCAACAGCGCTCTCCACTATGCCGCCGCGAACGGCCACACTGGTATGTTGGATACCTGCCCCGCTCTGTGATACCCCAGGTGGAGCGGGCTGACCGAATCCTTCCGCCGCCGCTGTGCAGAGATCCTCGACATCATCCGCAATGCCCTCACCTCGGCAGTTCCCTCCCCCGATGCCGTGAAGGAATCGTACAAGTCGTTCGTGAACCTGAAGAACTCTGCGGGGAACACGGCGCTGCACTGGGCCGCCCTCAATGGCCACCTCTCGGCCGTCAAGACGCTGGTTGCACTCGGCGCCGATGCTACCATCCTCAACGCTGCGGGCCATGACGCCGTCTTCGAAGCGGAGCAGAACGGAAAGAATGACGTGGTTGGGTGGCTGCTCGTTGAGGGCGGCGCGCTAGACACGGTCGTCGGTGCGTTGAAGGATGAGGAGGTTGCCGAGTCCAGCAAGAACGGAGCAAGGGATGATGACGAGGGAGAGGATGTGGAGATGAAGATCAGTATGGGCGACACGTCAGAGTCAGGTGTGGAGAAGGGCGTCGAAAACCTGCAGGTGGATGACGCAAAGGCCAAAGAGAAGGCGAGCGGGTGAAGGCTGTGGGGCTGACCATGCGCAACTCGTCCAGCGCTGCCACAAGTGAGAAGCCGAGAGGCCAGGTGCGGGAGTTGTTGACATCCAGGAACTCGGTTCCTTTCCGCGTCCGTATGGCGTGCCGGTGCAAACGCTATGGCGGCCGGTCCTCCAGCTAAGTTAGCCGCAAATTGCGAGGCTGAGGGCCACCGGATGCATCACCACAGGTGCCGCACGTCTGAAGGCACAGCCATCCGTTGGGAAAATGCCGCAAGACTTTACTATTGCGCGATTATCTATCATGCAGAAATGACCGAAACGGCCCTTTAAACTTTTAAAGCCCTCCGCGAAATGTCACTCGAAAGGGCCGAGTCTAGAATGAAAAGCTCTGTGGTTGTGCTGTGTTCCATCAGTAACGGCTGAGATACGATGCCACTGTTCTCTAAGAAGGTCAATGCAGAGAGAAATAGATGGAAGGACATGATTCAAAAAGGGATGAACGAACCCACCGTGCCGTTAGTGCATGTTGAGCACCCTTTGGTCCAGCTAACGCCGTAGAACATGCAAGAAGAAAGAGCAGGGCGGCAGAGCATCCGTGTGCTTGGACGACTTTTTGTCAATAGGGGAGTGCGAGACATTGCGAGGCACTCACTTGACAAATCAGCTACTAGTCTCTGAGCCATGCGCGCCTCTTCTCTTCCTTCTTTTTCGCGGCTTTTGCCTTGAACGCTTGGAGCTCCTTCTTGGAGAGCCGCTTGTTCTGACGCTCGGCCTTCAGGCTTCTTCCGTCATGGCTATTGGCGGCGGCATCAACATCAAAATAGGCATTGAGCTGGCGCCGGCTCTTGTTTTCGTCGTTGTGCTGCTCAGGGCCGTCAGTGCTGGCTTGGAAGCGGCCAGTGAAGCGATTGAAGTTGGCCGTCTGCGCGTAGGCATCTCCGCCCAGCGCAGCAGCGTGCACGGCGGCGGCGGCGTTGGCGTCGACGGCCGGCTCGGTGCTGTCCTCTTCGAGATAATCCTGCGCGTAATCGGCGTTGGGGTCGAAGTCACCGTGAATAGCCGGATTGTACCCGCCCGCGCGCTTGCGAGGCGGCGAACCCAGACTGCTGTTGCCGTAGGCTGATGTACCGGGCGGCGCAGGCACGGCGGACGACGAGGTAGCATCCGGTACACGAGGGTTCTCCCATTGAGTTACACCCGTGTGTCGGTTGTAGAAGTAGTAAGCGCCAACGTTGTGGTCCCAGAGAGCCTCCCAACCGTCGTCCTGCTGTGCCGGAGGCTCTTCGTCAGGCAAGGGCGGCGGGAGCTCATCGGTGGGCAGCGGAGGAGCGTCGGCTGCGGTGGTGGTGGCAGGGTCTGCGGCTTCAGGCTCGGGGCTGCGCTTGCGCTTCTTGGTGGCTTCCGCAGCATCGTCGTCGTGCGCGGGGCTCTTCGCATCCGGCTGAGTGTCGTCGCTCTCGCCGGATTGATTATTGCCGGGAGCCGAAACTTCAGCGGTTTCCTGGGCGCTCCTGTCGTCGGACGCCTGGTCGCTCGGCACAGGCGAGGCGGCGGGCTCAGGCTCCCGCGCGCTGGCATCGCTCCTGGCAGCGTCGTCGGACATGGCTGGGGCGGATCTTGGTGCGGGCAGGGAAGAAAGATATCTGGCGGACAGGGCCACGACAGAGCGATGCAGTGCTCGAAGCCTCATACGACATGGATGGCGGCGCTCGTGAGGCGCTCGGGCCCCCTTGACACGTGACGGGCGCCCGCAAGCTGTCCATCGCTCGTGGCGTCCCGCGCGGCAGGGATGAGCCCCAAGCGTGGAGTCGCCAACTACCGTGGGCACGCCCGCACAGGGTGCCGGCACTGCGACGGCGAGCCCGCCACGGCGCACCGCTCTGCGCCCGTAGCTGCACCCGCGCGCGCGCATCGCAGCGTGCTGCCCCCCATGGCGGCGGGCAGGGCGAGGGCGTTTGTCAACAGCCGGCTCGTCGGCCTCCAGATCCCGCGCCTGTCGGCAGATGCTGAAACTGCCTGCAGCAACCAGGAGACGCGCCTTAATACGCTTGCCCGTGCGAGGCTAGGCCTGGGGGCAGAGTGCGGGACAGCGAATCGATCGACAGCTAAATAGCGCTCCCCTGCTCTCTGCCATCCAAGCCGCCATTGCCATCACCGTCCCCAGCGCGCCCTAGGATTGCCCGCCGCCACGCGTGCCGTGCTGCTTGCGCTGCCTGTGCTCGGCCCCCGTCTGCTCTGCGGGCACGCGCTCGAGCGCCCGTTCGCAAGCGCCGTTTCACCGTGCGCGCTGCACATGTGCTGCTCCTTTGTCGTCCCCAGCGCCCCTCGTCCCTGGGTTCCGCTCCCTGCCCGCGCGGCACCCGTGCCCTGCTTCGACTGCCGTCGCAAACGGGCCGAAGTCGAGAGCTCAGCGCGCACTGCCGGGGCATCAGCTGCGCCCTCGGTACTTCCGATTCTTCCCCAGCCATTCTCTCAACCTTCGCTCGCTCACTGCTTGCTGCCCGCCGCCCTTGGCCTGCCCTCCGCTCCCAGCCTTGGCTCCTGCTCAGCCGAGCCCGCCCCCCCGTCAGGCCGTCCGTGGTACCGGGTCGTTGACTAGCTTCACACCTTCGATGGCCAGAGCTTGGCCTGCCGGTAGTCGCTCGGAATATAACTAGTCCCAGCCCTCCTGCACCTCACAGGGTCCCGCCCAAGGTCATCGATCGCTGCCCTGCAACCGCCATGGAGCCCCAAGCGGAGTCTGCCCGCGTTGCGCATGTTCTGCCTGGTCTGCACGCCTCTTCTCGCTCGCCGGACTCGTATGGATCCTACAGGACGCCGCCTACCGCTACTGCTGCCCCGTCCGATCGCTTCTATGGCACCGTCTCGCCCTCACAGCGCGCCTCCTCGTCCGTCCCGACCAGCGAGGGCGTGCAGCTGCCCAGCCTGCGCACTCTGATCAATCCCGATCTTCTGAATCCTGCCGCTCCAAATGCCTCGCCTGCTCCCGTGACCCGTCTGCCCAGCCTGAGCGGCTTCGATTCGGCCTCGTCGACGGACCGCCCCGTCAACGGTCACGCCTATCCCGCCCGTGAGGACAGCCAGGCTTCTTCCAACCCGGGCCAGCCCGCTTCGTCCGCCTCTCAGCCCTACCCGGCTTACACCTCTGCGCCGAGCATGCCTGGCCCTCTCCATGCTCCTGCCACGGAGCCCGCCCATCAGTTTCTTCGCCGCGGATCCATCTCGTCTGGGGCCAGTGCTGGCTCGGAAAATCACTCGCCACGCGAGGAAGCCAGCGAGGGATCTGCAGTAAGGGTGAAACGCCGCATCGGAGACATCTCAAGAGGCCCAGTCCGCGCTGCACGTTGCATCGGCCAGCAAGACGTTCCCGGAGAGGGCTTGTGCTACGTGTACGAGGATGGCTCATACTGCCGGACCATCATCGACGGTGAACCCGTCAACCCGTCCTGGGGAGTCACCAAGGCCGGCAAGCCTCGCAAGCGTCTTGCACAGGCCTGTCTGACCTGCCGTGAGAAGAAGATCAAATGCGAGCCAGGCATTCCGAAGTGCTCTCAATGTGCTCGTGCCCGACGGACATGCAGAGGGTAAGTCGTTCTTCTATTTTCGCAGGGATCAATGCCTGCTGGCCAATTAAGGTTGCATGCTTCGAGTCAGCCAACCCTCTCGTGGCGCGAGCGTTACCACCCACGGACGATGGGTGGCCTGTTGTCGCTTCCACGTGCCAGTCGAAGCTAGTTCAACGGCTGACAAAAGTTGTAGTGGTCTCAGTGGTCAAACCTCAAACGCCGATGGCATGAAGCTCGATCTGACCGAGACCTTGGTCACGTCAGCGAAACAACATCCAGAGGACACTCTCAGTGTACGACCATCGCCCCCACAGCAACCTCAACGCGCATCGCCCCCTGCATCTCGCGGCTTCTTGAAGCCGCAGCACATCTTCAGTGAGATTGGCAAGCCGGGCGATGTAGATGAGTCGCGGAAACGCCGCTATCGCAGTTCATCGGACGAGAGGGAGACGCTTGGCTCTGCTTTCGCTCCCCGCATCCCCACTGCTACTGTAAGAAGCTCGGCAATGCACGCCATGGCGCGCTCCAGCCTGGACTCGGATCCCTACGATGCGGATCCGACACTCACCAAGCATCTTCTAGACCTGTTTTTCACATATGTCAACTCATCAACATACGCTGTCTTCGCTCGGGAGCCTTTCATGAGATGGGTCACCAACGGTCAGCCTAAGACCGCTGACGAGAAGCTTGTCATCTACTCGCTATTGGTCATGGGCAATGTCTTCTCCACCGACTCCGAGTGGCGTCGCATAGAGAAACAGCTGCTTGAGATCTGCAACTCTGGTCTGCAAAAGCGCGTCGGCAAGTTCACCCTCCACATGTGCCTCAGCAGGTTGTACGTCGGGTTGGCACATTTTGCTCGAGGACGGCACGAGGAGGCTTGGGACTGGTGTGGCGCATTCCTGCGGGCCATCAGCGCCTTGAAGCTTAACCTAGAGGAAGGCGTTGCCTGCGATGAAAGCGAAAGTTTGTTTGGATTCGACCGGCGGATGACCGAAGAGTGCAAGCTGCGGACGTTCTGGGCCGGGTTCCTGATGGACGTACGTATCACCCCACGTAATTCTCTCACATCAGAGCTAACTGCGTATCTAGCGTTACAATGGGTTTTCTGGAGGCACCCTCTTCACCATCAATGTCGATGACGTCTGCGTCAGGCTCCCCTGCTCAAAGGCAGCATATGACGCCGGTCGGCCACTCGACACGCCCATCTTTGATGGCGGCCATATCGAAGAACGAGCTCTTCTGCGGAACATCAGCCCGATGGGCTACCACGCTCTTGTCTCGGCAATCTGGGGCGATGTGTGGACTTTCACAGCCCGAGCTGCGCGCAAGCACACAAGCATGCGGCTGAACGAGTACACTGCATTCTACGATCAAACCAATGAGCGTCTGGATGAGTGGCTCGCATGCCTGCCTTATGAACTTCAGTTCAACGAAGCCAACTTCTACTCTGCAGTAAATGCTGGCTATGCCGGCACCTTCGTGGGCATGCACGCTCTCCATCAGGCAACAATCATGCGCCTCAACCGGTATGCTCGGCACTCTTCACTGCCTCCTCACATCCTTTCCCGCAACGCCTATCGCGCCAATGTCACTGCTCGCAACCTTCTTTGTAATATTATTGCGCCGGTCACCAAGGCAGCTCGCTCCCAACGTCTTGGGTTGGGCAACGCTTTCGCCTTCGCTACACCGTTCCCTGGTTATGCTGTACTCATTGCGACCGACATCTTGTCTGCAGGAGGGTTGGCGTCCGACCTGCCCAGCACAATTGAATCCATCAGCAATGGACTGCAATGTGTGGACGAGATTGCTTCTTTTTGGTCTAGCGCTCGCGCTCAACAAAAGGCTGTTGAGTCACGCTTGCGTTTCCTTGCTCAGACAGCATTGGGCGAAGTTGCGCTGGTAAAGAATTTCGAAGGCCGTAAGGTCTGGCGATTGGAGAAGCCACTCGAGTCCAACTTCAACGCTCGGGATGATGTTGTGTATGGGGCCGATGACGAAGCGTACTTTTCAGCATTACTCCACGACGATTTTGCGAAGAGGAGGGAGATGGTGGCTCCCTGACCTTCGAAGAGGGAAAGAATAGCGCGTACTGGCTGCGCTGCACATTACGCACTGTAACTGTTTTTCTTTTACATATACGAACGAAAAGATAAATACACGGGTACAGTACGGTCGGTATAAGGCTGGGGGGGTTTCATTTTTCTTTGGGATGGGGTTTTTCCTGGACATGAATTCTCACGGTATTCTTTTTTATCTCCTCTGACTCGCAGGGTACGGTCATTTCATTTCTTTTTGGTCCTGTACGATGGTCTCTAGCGTTGAAAAGCTCAGGCGTTCTCTCACTTCAGTATCTTTTGTTGTAAATTAATCCATGGCAAAGCGTGCTAGGGATGCGAAGGAACATAATCAGACATTGACACTGACGCTTTGTTGATTCGTTTGGTGAATTTGAATGTGTGAGGTAGAACTACGAATAGTCTACGGCCCGCGGCTCTTGCGTAGTCACTCCCACTGTTACGATACTGGGCGCGAACACATGGTCAACCATATTTCTTGATGCTGTTGCTTGAGTTGTTGCAATCCCCCGCACGAATCGACCAGCATGTTCTCCGCGTTACTCTATTAAGGTTCAATAGTGGCACTCCCTGAAGCACAGAGTGCCTCTGCGGCACGGAAAGCGCTCAGCCCGTTTGGTGATAGCCTGACGTATGGTGGCCTCTGGATCTCATGATGCCTCGGCCGGATCTGGGCCGAACTGCAGTAGGCTTTCTGCATACTGACTCACTTCATACTTCTGGAAATTCGCTCGCGGGTTTAACAGTTGCTGCTCAAATCCGGTCGCGAGGTGTTTAGTAAACACAGCATCCAAGAAGGAAAATAAAGAATTCAAACTAAACTTTGGTCACTTCGGAGGTGTGCTGCTTTTGGGAGATAATTGGGACATTCTGCATGCTCACAGCAAATTTGATACAACAACACTGGGACAACCACCCCTGTCTTCGCTCCCTGATTGGCTGCTTCCCCTGGGTGTTGGTGGCAAAGAGAGGTTATACGGACAAATTTCCTGATTTGGTATTCTCATCACACAGCCACAGAGTACGACACCGGGTATTGGTGCATACCGGAAAGCATTTAAAACTATGTCGGCGGCGCAGTCGTCATACGCGTGGCAATCTCAGGCTGCGAATTTGCCGATGTCTTCCGTGCGTGCTCCCTCTCGCAATTGCTAAGATGATAGTGCCTGGACCACTGCAGACTGTCTCTCTTGAGGAAAGACTCATGCTGTGTCTTCAAAGAGTCGTCAGCAAAGAGCTAAATCCGTCTGCTCTCAGGGACCACGATGAAGTGTTGCAGGGTGAGCGTAGCCTCCTGACGCAGGAGATCGAAACAGTCGACCAACGAGGTCTGCGAGAAGCACGAAAGAAACAGAAAATGCCTCTCGAAAAAAAGCTTATTTGCGCATGGTACGGTCCCGGGAAGAGAGCACTTCCGGTCGGCGTAAACGCGTCTCATACGACGATGGGATGGGCAAAGAGGAGGTGACACTAGACTCGTATGACCGATCGACGTGCAAGTCTCCCGTCGAACGCGAAAAAGTCAGTTCAGACGTATAGTACACGCACACACAGCTTGTTTTCGTTGCCCGCCGCGCTTGATCGTCATCCCCGGACTCTTCTCGGTAGTTCTCTTCCGAAAGCATCCTGCCGAGATGCCTTATCCACTGGCGTGGTACGTGTAAGCTCTCTTGACTCTTGTGATGCAGACAGTAGGCCTGACTAGTCATTTATCGTTTACAAGACCTCAGTAGCTCAGGTTGTATAGGTTGCATGTATGTTAATACAATAGTGTTTTTCTGCTGTATGACGAACAGAAGAGGTATAAATAAAAATAAAAGATAGGCTATTTGTGTGCTACTATATAGGGTGATAGAGAAGCCGACGTTGTAAAGAGATAGTCATCCCTGTAGGTGGCGGTATGACGAAGTGATGGTGTTGTCTCGGATGCGGACGTTGTGATAGTGGGCCATCAGCTGGACAGTGCATTGAACACTGCCCTCGGTCACATGCGGCAGCCACGTGGCATGCCTACACAGTAGAGCGCAGGCCAGAACTATGAGGGCTACGCAATGGCAGAGATGGGCCAATGAACGCCAGTGTGTATCATACTTCTCCGCATTCAGAAGTGACAGCACGAAGCTTCAAAAATAAATTTTCGACTCCCACACAACTGGCCGCAAAAGAATTTACCCATATGAATCTGCATTACTAAATAATACACCATACTTGGCTGGGTTAGCTGAATGTTTTGGAGTAATTTCAAAGCTTGCGTTTGTGTCGGAATGCTCGCTCTAATTGCTCCTGCAAGGAGTATTCTGTCCCTTGTGGCACCCAAAACGGTATATCAAAAGCGAGCCCTCGTACCGAAGTGGTACCAATCAGGCAAGCAGAGCGCGAGGCAGAGAGCAGTGGGCATCGAAAACACGAAAATATTTCTCCGTTAGGTGTTGCGCAAGGATCTCGACGGACGATTTCCAGCAAACTTTCCGCAACCCAGCCTTGGGCAGTAGCAACGGCGAGAATAATGCCCGCAAAACCTTCTTTCTCCCTAACCCCGTGCCTATCCGTCCGGGCGCTAACCTTTTTATTTCATCAGATGGCCGTTCGGCTCGCTTAATTGCCCGCCCATCGATCTCCGAGAACCGACGACCTGTATCCCCGAGGCTGACTGACTCATCTTGCCTGCCCAAACCACGAGCCGATGTATTGCCATACTTTAATCTTTAACCCTTTTTCTTGGCTTTATCCCGACGAACAAGTTGCCGAACTTGCCGTGCCGATATTTTGGGTGCCGGTCGGACTGTCCGACGGCATCAGGTAGGGATCCCCATGTCAAGCCTAAGCCACCATCCCCATCCCCCCATGCAACACGTGGAAGAGGCGGCGGCGGAAAGACAAAAGAATGAACTGCCGGTTGCATCCGGCAGTTTTGATGTCTAAAAGCCTTGTGGCACAGATATGGGGCAAAAACGTGGGGCGTGGGGTCATGTGTCTTCTCTTCGGTCCACTCCTTCACTGGTCTTTTCTATTTTTGCATTCTTGCAAGTGGCCATTCGTGTTGCCGAACGGTTATGGTCTTCCATACGAGAAAATTCCATCGCAAAACACGACTTTTCATTCGTTGTCTACGGATATACGAGAGAGAGAGCGCAGCCTTACTATTGCCGGCGATGTCGGGGATGGGACATCTAACTTCTGCGACATCACCGCGTCCAGAAGCTTCCTTGCGCCGTTACAGATTGTCTCGGTAGAACCTTTAGGGGTCAGGGCGGGGTATGGGGGTAGGCGGGTGCTCTGAGTCGTGATTCGAATACGTAGTTGCGTAAGGTGGGGGGCTCTACCCTCGTAGTATTTCTTTGCCCGCTTGTTAGGCTAAACGGCTTGGCTTGGCTGGCCTTTTCCTCCTTGACCCTCTTATTATTTTGCCGGGATCGGGTTTTCTCCTGAACGCACGGGGTACGGAGGTGTAGACATGACATGTGAGACGAAATGGTATATAACATATTATGACGATGATGTCGTCAGGCATTTTCGATCCTTCGTGCCAAGAAAACGGTATGGGCCCAAGCATCGCCATCCCTAATTCACTTTCGATGATAGTAAAGCCTTTTTTGTTTGATGAGGGGAAGAATGACTTGGTAGCTTCGTGATTGTCCATGTGCGTTATCAATATTTCCAGGGAGACAGGACGTACGGTAGAAATGAGTGTTGTTACCAAGGAATGGCTAAGGTGAACTGTTAACCTGCAACGGCTATGCGGGATATTCAAAGTTGCGCTGTGGTTTGCTGCAATGCCTCCTTTCGGAAAGGATAAGACACCCAAGCAACCAGTCATTTCCTTGGAACTCCTCCTCAGAGTGGCTCGAGTCGGCGCAGAACCCATGCGCCGGGAATAACGGAAGCTCGAACACGAGGGCGGGCCGCATCTTGAGCATACGGCCAAGGCAGATAGCAAACCTAGCCCTCGGGCAAAGTTAAAATAGTAGAGAAAGGAGACAGATGCATAAGGCGGATGTCATGCGTCGGGCTCTCATTCGCCAGGTTCCGACTCAGCCGACTCCCAGAACGAAGATCCGGCTCTTGAAAAACGGGGCTATACCGACACGAGACGAGCGGTAGTCATTTGCCGGGAAGGAGGATCGTCGGTAACCCTAAATCCCGTCGGCCAACGACCAAAATTGCCGACCACCTCACGATCTTCTCCTCCGCTCCTTCCAGACGTCGAACGGCTTTGCTGCCCGTCGCTCTGCACAGACTTGCCGTGTGGGATTGTCGTCGACGCGTCATTTGAAGCAGATTGCTGGGTAGCGAGTGTTGATGGAAAGTCGATGCCCCTTGTCATGTACACGACTCGTAGGCCGGTACCACGAACTGTCGGAACTGCCGAGAAAACGCGAAAGCGAAGCCACATGAAAGCCGACGGCAGTCATTGTTGTACACAATTGGTTGCCCTTCAAAAAACCATCTCCGCGCGGTTCCAACCGGCATTTTCCTGGCCAAACCAGTACGGTTGACCATTCCGAAATGCCGGAGCACTTTATATATATTGGTAGCCAGTTCACCGTGACGGAAGAATTTCCATGGGAATTGATGTGACGAGCCGGCTTCAATGACGTGGGTCTTGCTGACAGATGGACATGGCAAGCTTATCCATGATTTAGTCCATGTAATAGAATCATATCATATGAACATGGTCTGGTTCCGCCGTCCAATAAGTGGTTCTGGGAGAGAAGTAAATATCGAATACTTGGGTAAACGTACCTACATGTTTAATAGCTAAATAGCCTGCAGACTTTTTTCTTTGTCAGAACTTGATAGTATCCCGATTTCAGTGAGCATTCAATGAATCTTATACCACAGGCGTGAATGCATTCACCAATGCGAGCATGTGCATTGAACTTTATCGAAATTCTTTTCTGTCGAATGAGGCAGCCTCATGGAGCCAATGCAGCCATCCAACAACACCTGAACGCCCGCTTTGAACGCAGCATACCCGACCCAAGCCCAATCAGGACGCCGTCCGTAGTCCATCCCATGCCATTTCTTTTTTGCCCGTCCCTTTACTCGTTCGACGCGTTGCCGTTCATCTCGTGCTCGTTCTCGTCGCCCCCTGCCAGAACCTTTGTCTGCGGCTGCTGGGATGCGGGACCGCCGCCGGGCGTCACGGCCACTACCTCGCCCTTCTCATCGACGAACTCGAAATTGTAGCGGGAGAGGAGGTGCGGAATAGCGGACAGCTGGGGGCCATAGCGGGCGGTGTTGTCGTAAAGTTCGAACAGCGGGACGGCGAGGAGCTTCATGTTCTTCGGGACGGAGAGGACCTCTGCAGACATTGGTTAGCGCAGCTCGCGGGTTGTGGAGTGATGACGTACTGCTTCGGGGCAGCTGGATAAAGTACAGCTTCTTGCACTCCTTGGGGCGGGTGACGTGGGCGGGGATGAAGGGGTACATGAAGGTCTCGAAGTTGGGGCGCCACCACTGGGCCAGGGTGTCGCCAATCTGCCACTCGTCGTTGACGCCCTCGCCGGTGAACTGCGAGCCGACGGGGGCGAGGCGCTCGTTCAGGCGGGCCTTGAAACCCTCGATCTCGTCATCCTCGGGGCGCAGGTAGTCGCCGGGCAGCTTGAAGAAGGCATTGGCGATCTGCAGCATCAGGATGTGGGGGTGGTTGTGTTCGTGGCAGACGAGGATGCCCTCGCAGGTGCGGCGCATGCCATGTTCGTTGTAGTGCTCCTCGAGGCGCTTCAGGCGGGCGAGCACGGATGGGTCCTCCTCGGGCTGGTTCTCCTTGGTGCCGAAGGTGTAGTTGCTCAGCGGGTACAGGCGAATGGTCTGCGGCTGGTTCGCGTTGAACTCCCTGGGGAGAATCGGCCTTCTGTAAGTTAGCATGACTCTGGCAGATGGCGGACGGCATGGCGACGCACGGGTAGGAGCTCTGAAGAGCGCTCTGGGTGATGGTCGACATGGCTTGGGGGGAGGTGTGGTGGTTGGAGCAGGAGTCGCGGGAGCTGTGGAGCTTGTGCGGTCGCTGCAGCTGCGAGTCGGCCATGATTTGCCCGACCCTTGCTCTGCCGATCTCCGACCCTCCACCGCCACACTTTCCCCGACCTCACCTCACAAAAACAACTGTGCGTGAAACAAATGCGATGCACCTCGGGCTCGGCGACAGAATCTTATTCTAGAACTGAGGTCACTGCTTGCTATCCTATTTCACCGCGTGGATCGTCTTCGGCAACACTCGAAGTGAAATTCTAGGGCCAGCTAACAGTAAACAGCAGAAGTTCTGGCTCTGCATTTCATGTGAGGCACTACGCGCTTCTCACGCGGACAGCCGAAATACCAATCCGGATGTAGATACAGGAGTCTAGACTACACAAACATGTACAAACAAAGACTGTCAAGTGCAACCCTCTACGCCTCGGTGCCGCCATTCTCGCCGTAGACGGAGGCCCAGCTCGTCTCGTAGTTCTGGCTCAAGTCAACGCCCATAGAAATCCACGCGAAGACTCCATCCTCGACATCGTCGCCCAGCAAGACATAGTCGAAGACCGGGTCGCTCTCCGTCTCCGTCTCCACCATGAACACCCTATCATCCGCATTCTCCACAATGTCGATCGTGTTCTCAGTGTAGGGCGAAACGTTCGCGTTGATCTCCGAGATGAGGGCTTGGTCGAAGAACAGCTGTCCGATGTGCGTGACGTTGCCGCCGGTAAGCGTGCCGTTGGCCAGCTCCGACGCTCCGGTGTGCGTCACGACGTGGATGTGCGTCGCGCGACCCGAGTAGTGACCCGGGAAGATCGTCTTGAAGCTGGCAACACCCTCTTCGTCCGTCTTCGCGATGCCGCGGAGGAAGGTCCTGTTCAGGTTGGCCGTGTCCTCCTCGTTGCCGTTGCCCGACCCGACAACACCGGCATACACGCCAGTAGCGTTGCAGCTGAATTTTTGTCAGCCACTTCACCCCAATAACGACAAAATCTGTGTCACTTACTGCCACAAATCCCAGTACAGCTCCGTGATCGGCTCGCAGGTGTTTATGTCGATGAACTGGCCGTCGATGGCGACGGGGACACCAGGCTCATCATCAGTAATATCCTCGCGGATCAGCTCGCCGAGAACATCTTTCGAGCGAGTCAGCCTTCTTACTGGAGAATCCTGAACGGGAACAACACGTACAGTAAGGTCCAATCTCGCCCTCAGGGCTCAGGACGCAAGAAGTGTTTTGGAAAATCAAGTCCTCAACACCAGCCATGTCAGGGGTCACCGTCAAGTTGGACAGGTGGCTAGTGTTAGCCACCTGCGCGCCCCAGTCGGTGAGGGTGGTGTCGTCGCCAGGAGCGCCACCACCAGCACCACCGCTAGGAGTGGGCATAGCACCGCCAGAGGGGGTAGAAGCGGCGGCAATGGCACGCTTGGCCTCTTTTACACGACTGGAGTCAACAAGGTGCATCAGCGCTGCGAAGAGGAGATGTCTTACTTTTCTTGGCTGCAACCTCGGCCTTCAGCGCCTGCACCTTCGCGCTGCGGCGCTCAATGGCACGCTGCTCGACTCCACGAGCCTTCAGCTTCTCGGCGCAGTGAGACAGGTCCCGCGGAGCATGCTTGAGGTAAGCAGCACGCGCAGCGATCTCATGCTCAAGGCTGTGTCCTGCATGAGCCGACACTGGGTTCGCAGCCAAAAAGGCCGTGATGAGGGCCACCGTATTGCGGATTTGGACCATGGTTGACAGTTAGAAGAGGAGTAAGAAGAGCGGAAAGTTGAATATGCTAGTGATGAGCAGGATACAGGCCATATTGGTCGCTACATTCGAGTATTTATACCGACCCCTTCCAGCTCTGATACCCCAAAGTCATGGACCCGTCTCGCCAGCACTCAGCCTGAATCAATGGTGTACGCAAGCTGTCCCGCTGCCAAGAGTGTATACAGATGCCAACGAGGTCGGTTCGCCATTGCCAAGGCGCCTGTGTGCTTGAATGTACGCAAGCATTTGCGCAAGCGATGCAGGAACAGGATGTGATCTTCCTCCGTCCAAGGCATACCGCCTCCATCACTGGACGATTCATAATGCGCCCCGGCTGATAGGCTAAGAGGCTGTGCCGTCAAGACTTGTGGGGCGCGCGGCTAACTTGTTTCCGAATCCCGTTCGAGTACGAGTCCTAATTGGTACTCCTCCTGCTTTGCTGTTTCATGCCGTCACCAGAATCCAATACTTGGGCCAATAAAGGAGAATGTGAATGCGACCACTCTATCAAAACGAACACCAGAACTTCGGTTCGTCTTCTGCATGGCAGTCAATGTTCCAAAGTCGCTCGAGACTGACTTGTCTCCCGTTTCTAGGATAGGCGCTTCTCCACAACCGGAAAACAATGCTACCAAGGAACACTTCAGCGAAAAGGCCGGAGATGCGTGTCCACTTAGCAGCGGTGTGCGTAATCGATTGACAGAGCCGGTCACTTTGCGGGGATCATGCGTCGAACGGAGCGCGAGGAGTCCATAGAAAGGGTAGGTGGACGCGCGCGCCTTTAGGGTGCTTGCGAAGCCTTGCTAAGATTTGCATAATTATGGTTAGGCCTCCGACCAATGAGACGCCATCGGTAGTCTATTACGGCGCATTGGTTTTATGGAGCTCGTAAACAGGTTGTTTGCCTCTCCTGGGACCAAGATGTGTTAAGGCCGAGGCTTACAACCGAGCTCACCAAATGCCCGGATTTTTGAGAACTACGGAAATTTTGTAGCGATTTTTTGTGATATCTGAACGCGCTATATGCTAGAGAAACGGAATAAGCTTTTAGCGCTGAAAAATTCTTGAATATCATGTTTCTGTGGTTTCTTTGCTGTAGTATGTCTCGGCGATTGAGTAAAGGTATAGATTATCTCCGAGGCGGATTGATTATCACCGAGCATGAGAAGTAGGCAGGCAGTATTGTACAGCCATTCAGAGGATCACATTAACTGATGACAGCTATTGTCTCTGAAGACGATAGCTTAGGTTGGTACCGTTGCGAGACTGAAGCCTTCATGATTCCCAAATAGGAAATTAGACAAATCGTAGTGATGGCTAAGGTACGTTGCGCATCCGATTACTATTCTTAATTACACATTTCTTCTCAAAGCCCAGCTGACCAGTAGATGGGAATAGAACATAACGCCTCATTTCTAGAGCTAAGTCATCATACAGGGTTCGGTAGTTGTGTGGCTGCATATCACTCGGCAGTGTCTGCATCCGACGCCAAGCAAATGCAGAGGCCCACCACATATCCCTTGCAGATGCTGACGCGTTCGCAACTCGCGAAATGCAAACGTTAGGATTGACCGGCTATGTTTTACCGTTTCCACATCTCCTCGGCAGATTGCAATTGCAAGGCAACCTGAGGCGAACGGCTATCTGACCCAAGATCGCGAAAGTTTGGGGGATGTGCGCGCCGCAATTGTGAGTTAATCTCTCTAATGACGTCACATATGGCTTGCTGAACGCCTGTAGTACTTCTGTGATGCTTCGCACTGTGGTCCAGCCCGAGTGAAAATGGCAGAGCGCTGACTCTTTCCACTACTCAGATCCTATCTATCCTGGCCTAATATCTTCGGATTTATCGCAATAAAGTCCGTTCGGTGCTACAAAATAATCAATCAGTACGCGTACACACGCGGAGCTCACAACCTATCGCAAGTTTAAGAAAGCAAAGCATTCCGACTTCCCAAAGCCCAGCGCATGGCCTCGTAACACTCCCCACTCCGCATGCGCTCCTATTATGCAAGCGATCCTCATAGAGGAAACTCCTACAGTCCATAAATAACAAGAGGCTGTGCCTCTTCTACCGCACTTGACTTACGAAGATAGCGTCGTCCGTTCTTACAGACGCCTGTGAGAACGTTGGGCCGGTTACTTACCTCCGCTTCTACAGACTGTGTCAAACGACGAAGACAAGCTTGACGAACTTTCCAGTACGGTAGAATGCGACAGAAATGGTCGTGAGAAGGAGTTGGACGTCCTTCCGCATGTGGTTAGTGAAGGGATGGTCTTGAAGCGAAATCATAGTCACTCTCATTTCCCAAACTACCGTTGATGTCACAACAAAGCAGAAGTTTAATCTTTGTGAAACAAGGTCAGCAGGACTTTTTTTTTTCTAGAGGCCGGATGCGAATCCTTCCATTCCATGTAACTTTTGCGCACAGACCGTTGGATACGAGTCAAGTCACGTGCGGTGGCGCCTGGGGCCTGCGCTACCCCACCGGTGGCTGCCTGGCTGCCTGGCACTTTATACTAACGTAAACCTGTTACAACAATGTTCTCACCGCCGCTGTATTACATTGCCAATATCTCCCAAATCCACAGACAACATGACCTCGGCCATTCTTAGCCTCCCAGAGGAGCTCCGCTACAACATAGCCCATTTTCTTGAAGGAGAGGACCTCGGCTCGTTGAGACTCACCTGCAAGCAATTTCACGCAGCCGCCACAGAGGCTCTATTCTCTTTTGTCCGCCTCTATCCTTCTAGAGAAAGTATAGATAGATACAACAAGATCTTAGAGCACGCCGAAGTCAGTAGGCTTGTCAGGCATGTCGAGCTCAATACACTTAAGAAAGACGAGGTATTTCCATCCACATCAAGAACTGAGCAATATGCTAAGATATGCATAGGTTGAGCACCAGATGTGGGGGCGAGCAGAGCTTACAGACGAATGCCTCAGCGCTTTCAAAGCTTTCCGGGGCTTCACCAACCTAACTGGCGTCACTCTCCGTTTTTCGGAGAACGGTTCCTCGAACAGCCGCCATGAGTGGACCGAATGGCCGCAGACGGTTGAATTCCGCCAACCCATCTTGCAAGACTTTTTTAAGACGCTGGCCCACCCCTCCGCTTCCAAAATCAAAGACATTTGCGTCGACAACATCCAAAACATAAATGACAAAAGCTTCATGCAGTCAGAAACAGCCCTGAATGTGCTTTCAAGGATTACCGCTTTGCGGCTGTACATAGCCACCGAGTATCATGATGCTTCTCCCGAATGTAATCTTGAAATGGAAGAGTAAGTTTGACTAATTGTTGGCTTTCTCCACCTTCCGTCAAAATAATGTACTAATACGCACCATAAGGCTTCACGACTTCATGGCACAACTTAGGCCTCTCTGGCTTGAACCTGCATCCAGTAACCTCACGACTCTCGTCCTCTACCAGTCGTTCTACTTCGGCTTCTCGCCAAAGCTGGATCTCCGTGGGCTGCATATTCCAAATCTCCGCACGCTTGCATTGGGAAACTACGTCTTCACGCATGACTGGCAGCTGGACTGGCTAAGCAGCCACTCATCTTCACTACAAAACCTTTACCTAGACGACTGCCTCGTTGTGTTCTACGCCCTGTTCTACGAAACCGAAGTCGATTCTGAGGGTTATCCGGTCATTGATACGAATGGCTCAAACGATACATCCCGGATGGACCAGTATATGTTTTTCGACCAAACGTGAGTGTGAATGTTCTCCGCCTTCTCCTCTTTAATGCATCATGGCTTCACTTGTTCTCAACCGAGATCCCAAATTATTTGCAAGTAGCTCCACTGAACAAGCACGCTGACAAACGATGACCAGCTGGTCCCGCATCCTCGGCCACTTCCGTACACACCTCAGCTCGCTCCGCCACTTCCGCATGGGCAAGTCCACGCGCTGGCAGCGCTACAACACTCCGTTCCACCCGTCCGAGTACGAGAACCTCGAGATCGGCATCTTCAGGGACCGATACCAGATGTTCAACATGGGCATCGGCCCCTGTCAGTACACGGACGAGTTCACGAGTCGCAGCAGCCGCACTCCGCTGGAAGATGTGTTCACCGAGGAGGACGGCAGAGGGACGGCAGATGGAGACAAGGCGTATGCCTTCTTGGAGAGGTTCGACGAGCAGGGGCGCGAGGACACGAACGCGTTGGTTGAGTTGTTGAATGCCATTGGGCAGCCGTTGCCGGAGGACATAGACAGGGTCGGAGATCTGATGTTGCCGGGGTACTAGTCGTGGTGGGTCCACGTGCCGGTAGGAATACACAGGCGTATTGGTGTGGGAATTTGGAAAACGTTATTCAGACGCATTTGCGAATCTTAAACCTGTACAGTTGCATCCCAACATAATCCAGTAAGTACGGTATAACTCCGCGGGATAGTAGTTTTGGGAAAGGCGAGTCCTCCGCGATCGACTTTGCAGCCAACGACTTCTTCCAAATTAGATGCGAAAAGTGAAGCATTTTATGGCCCACTGTCCCCCGCCTACAAGATCCTGTCCGCCCAACTCTTCAGCCCCTTCTTCTCCACCACAACCTCCTCCCCATCCCCAACCGGCACCCCCTCAATCTCGGAGCTGTCGTACACGCCCATGGCCTCGTACACCTCATCCGGCAGCACCGCCTTCTCAATCATTGTCTCCTTGGGCACGAACGCATACTCCAGCGCCAGATACACCACACTCGTCCCCACGAACCCCAACAGCCACCCAAACTGGTACGGGTGCACACCGACGCCGACCTCAATGCTCGAATTAATACTGTTAATGAACCCCGGCAAATTCGGCGCGACGCCAACGAGAAACGCGACGACGGCGCGCCAATTGACACCGCCCGTGTAGCGGTATATGCCATGCGGCGCATACAGCGCGCGCGTGTCGTACTTGCGCTCATGCACGACCCAAAAGTCGAACAGCATGATAGCAGCGATGGGGCCGAGGAACACGGCGTACGCGCTCATGAAATTCAGGAAAGACCCCGCGCTCGCCAAAATCTTCCACGGCACCAGCGCCCACGCCAGCACCGCGCAAGCCAGCTGGCCGCGGCGGATGTTGACGAAGCGCGGGAACAGCGCCGTCAGGTCGTTGGCCGCCGAGAGGGAATTCGCGCTGATGTTGACGCCGAGCGCGGCCAGCGCGAAGGCGAAGGCCGCGAAGAAGCGGCAGGCGCGATTCGGCCACATGGCCACCAGCGCCATCGGGTCCCACAGGTAGTCGCCGCCGTACTTGGCCGAGCCGGCGGACGAGGCCGCGATGCCGATGAAGGAGATGAAGGTGAAGACGGCCGGCAGCATCGGCACGTACAGCATCTGCCACTTGACGGACACCCGCGAGTAGCGCGAGAAGTCGGCCTGGTTGACCGACAGCGTGGCGTAGTTGCCGATGACGGACGTCAGGTTGGCTAGGAAGGCCCACGAGTAGGCCGACCCGTGGATGGTGGCCTTCTGGTCCCAGATGTCCATGCCTTTGGTCGAGACGAAGGCCCAGATCAGGATCGCGATGAAGGCGATGGGCACGATGATGGATTTGGCCATGAAGAGCCACCGCAGGTCGTTGGGGTGCATGTAGAGGAATGGGATCTGCAGCAGCCAGAAGATGAAGAAGGAGATCATCGTGTTCGTCTCGATGCCCTCGTCGGCCGGGATGTGGTTCGGGAGGGTGAGGAAGGACGGCCAGATGGCGCCGATCCTGCGATTATCAGCAATGCTCAATATATCAGGTGGGCTGTCTTGCTCTCTTCGTGCGGATACCTACATTACTCTGACCGTATTTGCTCCATTCATCGTTTGGATAGCAAACCAGAATATTGCGAGAATAACTCTGGAGATGATTGCAATGTACGAGCCCCAGAATCCCCAACTGGCACGTGCAAGGACTGGGAAAGGGGCATGATCTGGGTGATCCGTTAGCCGTTTCTGTTCGCACTGAAGGATCCGTATGGATGCTCCGTACGAATGACGCCCGTTGCACCATTGAAGGCGATGACCCATGATATGATAAAGAAGGCCAAGGCCACGATTCCGAGTGATTCACGCCTAGACGGTTGTGTCAGCCATTGAGTTGTACAAATGTGAGGTGACCGAAGCGGGAGCCACATCGTGAGTTACGGAGATTTCCACCCTCTCATTGAGTACGAGAGAAACCGTTCACATCTTACGTAGGCGATTGAAGCAAGTATCTGGAAGTGGTTGTAGGCTGTGAATTTATACAGAACCCACCAGACCCAGGCTTCAAACCTACGAAAAATGTATGCAGTGCCCCCCCAGAAAATAATTGAGGAATGGAAAGCTGTATATAGTGTGGTTAAGGAGAAACCTACCATGTAAGGCCTACAGCAATTATCGAGGATGCAAATTCCCATGTTGCCGCACTGCAATCAGACGCTATGGTCTCAGTATCCGTCACTTTTGCAGCACTTCTCGCTTTTGCTTCAATGTATGCTTACTTGAAAGCGTCGGATATCCAGTATGCGATGAACGAGGTGACACCCCATTTACGGGCGTATTTGGGAACGGGATCGAGGTCGACATTGGTCCTATCAAAAAACGGTCAACCACGTTGTCCGCACTGACGCGCTCATAGAAACCACTTCTTAAACCAAGAAATCGAACTTACCACCGCGCGCTTCCCTCAGCAAATTGGGACTTCGCCTGCTCGACGTGGAGCTTCGGTCTCCTGATCTTGAAGCCCATTGTGGCAGAGTACTGGGCGCGATCGCGCAAGATCAATGCGAGGAAAGAGGGGGAAGGTCTCCAAGATGGTGGAATGCGTGGGGACTGGGTAAGCTTATTATAATTTGGAACTTTCGTGCTACCCTTGTCATTCCCTGCATTGGCCGGACAGGCCCGTATCACGCCGAGGCCCAGAGCGAGCTCTGATGCGATAGCGATAAGGGAGCTCGAAAGATGTGGCTTGCTGGCCAGCGGCTTGCCCGAGACCTGCTGCTGATAAACAAGAGCTTAAGACGACTCAGTGAAAAGATCAAGATCAAGCAGTTCGAGGAAGCGTACACTCCACTGCTGCGGACATGGTAATGGAAGAATACCGCATTCAAGACCGTAGTTCAGTCTGATCTGCGTCCTTATCTTGAGGCGTAACATCATGCATCGCGCGGCTGAATCGTGGACCTGCACGTTGACCACACTTGACAGTGGCTGAGATGTGACACCGCTCTCGTAGCTTCCGCCACAAGGCTGTAGCCGACCTTGCATCCATCAGCCGATTTGTTTGACGCATTACTGATCTCTTGGGCTGGTGGCAGAGGGCGAGCGACCTGCAGATAAGAGAGGTGAGCACCCAGCCAATCAGACGACGCTGCCCGCATCCCCGGCACTGATATCTGGGGAAGCTCCCGTTCGCTGTTAGACTCGGCAGTCACCGACACGTGCAGTTGTTTGGGCAGGGGTTACCATGAAATTCTTTCTATCGACATAACTGCTAGCTCTGAATATGGGGGACGACTGGGGTGAGTCGAGCTTACTTGAGACCAATCCTCTACTCCTTCCGATAATGAAATAAACCTGAAAAATGATCCTCACTGCGCCGCATCGAAACGCGTCCCAGTAACCGTTTTCCCAATGCGCCTGATGCTGGTTACGTACACTGGAGGCATCCTGAGCAATCCGAACCTCCTTGGGTATCCTGCGCTGCTCTTTTCGCAACCAATGTTTCATCTAAAGCAACATTTTTCATTTCTCGCCCTGACTTAGCTTCACCCGTACACTCTTCCAGGACTTCCGTGGCCCGAGCTTCTCCGGTTCCTCTCGTACAGCCAGCGGCTCGTCAGAGCAACCGAAGGGCCCTTGCCACCGCCCAGAGGAGTGGGCGTGCCAGGAATCGCGATGGACGCATCATGGCTCGTCTCCTTGCCCAGACTCTCATATAGCTCGTATCCACTGGTAGCAGTAGACTGCGAGGCCGAGAGGCTGTTCCTCCTCCTCCCACTGATGGCCTTCTGCAGCAAGGGACTCGTAATGGGGCTGTAGGGGCTCGAAGCGGACTCGCGGAAGCCGTAGCTGGAGCTGAACGGGCTGCCGGACGTCGGAGATCCGGCCTGCAGCTGCCTGTCACCACTGCGCGGGGTGGCAGAGCGGGCGTAGCGCGGCGGGGTCACGATGGAGCCGCCGGGCGTGTGCATCCTCGGGTCCAGGCCGAGCAGGGCGCGCTGCGAGGCGCTCAGCGGGATGTCGGCGACCTCGTCCCTGGTGCGGAACAAAGGCAGGAGCGTGACGGAGCCGTTGACCGCGAGGACGGCGCGGACAATCCAGATGATGTATCGGATGCTCAGGAAGGGGACGTCGGCGATGGCGCTGGAAGGGGGGCAGATCCATTGCGTTAGTCTTTTTCTTCCCGTGTTCACTTTGGGACGGAGTGTGCTCACGCTTCGGCGAACCAGGCGGGTGTGAAAGCGGTGACGGCGAAGGTCAGGAAGAGGAGGCAGGCGGTCGAGAAGAGGCTCTTGGCCTGATCCTCTCCAAAGGCGCTCGCATTCTGGCGTCTGGTAATCTCCTCGAACTGGGGATGGCGCCAGGTGCCGGTGCCGGGGGCAGAGCCGGCGACAGCAACGGTAGAGCTGGCGGGGGTGGCAGGTGCGGACATGGCGTTGATTTTTCGCAGGCGTGTGCGGGCGGTACAATGGTGTCGTGGATGCGATGGGGAGGTCGGGACGGGTGCGCTACAGCTGTGAGATTAGTGGTCAGTGGTGTTGGGCCGCACGCGGTCGTGGGCGCCGTGGTCGAGAGATGCGCGCGGCGGTGCAGTGCTCTGGGCGGCAGCCGGTGTTGATTGTTTTGGTGACGGCTGATCCCTGTCGCCGGGCAGCCCACATCCACTCAGCGCGAGTCAGGTCCTGCAACTTGATGCGCCGTCTCATCACTATCTTCACGCTTCTCAGTTTTAGATTTATGAGCAAAGCGACCTTGTGTAGTCGAAGTGGCAAGCTCTACCCAGCTCATAAGTGATTTGTACATCCATTGGCCACCGTTGTCCTGCTCTAGAGAACATCGCGTCGTCATCGCAGCGCCTCGGCTCTCTGACCTCACCCCACTGTCGCGCCCAAGCTCCAACCAACACCACCAAACAACTGCGCTCGCCCGAATAACCTTCCTACGATCAATCGCGTCGCAATGCTTCTCCTAGGCCTGACCGGCTCCATCGCGACCGGCAAATCCACCGTCTCAAACCTTCTGCGCAGCCCGCCCTACAACCTACCCATAATCGACGCCGACGTCGTCGCGCGCAAAGTCGTCGAGCCGGGAACGCCGGGCTACCGCGCCATCGTCGAACACTTCGGCCCCACCACACCAGACCTGCTGCTTCCTGCCTCTGATCCTGCCTGCGGTGGCAAGGAGGAAGGCCCTACAGGCAAAGGCCGTCCGCTGAACCGGCCCGCGCTCGGGAGGCGCGTCTTCGGCGCTGGCGATGAGCGCATGCGCGATCGCAAGGTCCTGAACGGCATCGTGCATCCTGCCGTGCGGCGCGAGATGTACAAGCAAATGCTGTGGGCCTACCTGCGCGGCCATTGGGCCGTTGTGCTCGACATCCCGCTGCTGTTCGAAAGCGGGTGGGAGAGGTACTGCGGCAACATCATGGTTGTCGCGGTCAAGGACCCGGAGATCCAGATGCAGAGGCTGAGAGCTAGAGACCCGCATCTGAGCGAAGAGGACGCGAAGAATAGGGTCCTCAGCCAAGGAGACGTTAGGGAGAAGGCCGAGAGAGTCCAGAGAAGGGGAGAGCGGGCCAGCGCTGTCATCTGGAACGATGGCAGCAGAGAGGAACTTGAGAAACAAGTCGCCAAGGTCATGGCAGACATCAAGAGACGCAGTCCTCAATGGTGGGCGTGGCTACAGCTATTTTGCCCGCCGCTTGCCGCCTTGACTGCTTTCTGGAGCTTCTGGAAGATGCGCCGTGTGCAGCTCCAGTGGGAGCATGAGAAGGCGCAAGAGAAGGCCAGACTGTGAAAGCACTCGGTAGCATGGACGAAGGTGTTGGGTCTTTCATCTTGGGTGGAATCTCTCATATCCCAGAAGGGGTTGATAGAGACGTAGCCTCATACCCATTTCCATTGAATTCACTGGCAAGCGAGCATTGAGCACAGGCAGGAGCGGCGCCGGGCCGTGGCATTGGTAACCACTGGCAAATGCGTGAGAATACGGGTGGCATAAGGCTCGTAGGTATAGTATGCTTCTGTCAGCAAGCATTCCTTTCTGTCTTGTCAGTGCTCGCATTTGATACAAAGCGGTTGAAACAGAGCCGGGAAGCATCTTGTCTGTCACATTGCTTTCGAGGAGCCTTGATCTGATGTACACTCGCATGCAGCTCACAGGCGTTCAGCGCTGAGCGCGAGCAGCAGCGCAGGTGAGGGCGTGTTTTCAGGGTCCAGTGCTTGCCTATTTCTATCAACCATCCTTTCAAATTCGCCCTCTCTTCCTCCGCAACCACCTCCACCTCTCTTTTGCGCCACGACCGCGGTCAAGACAATCATTTGCGCCTGCGTGGTCCTCACTTCGTCACTCCTTCCTAAACCATGCCTCCTTACGCAATGAGCGCCATCGACGACTCCTCGGATGTCGGTGTCTCGCGTGGCTTTAGGCCTGGACGTTCCGGCGTCACGGCTGCCAACCACAGCGAGCACAAGAAGCCTGTCAAGGGCCATCAGCACGACACTGCTGTCGCCCACATCGCCGATGACAACGGCCGCAAGAGTCACAGCCTGTTGCGCCACCAGGCCAAGCCGTCTAAGCTTGCCAGCCTGATTGACGACAGCTCCGACATTGGCGACCGCAAGCCTAGCAAGAAGCACGCGGCTCACCCGGCCAAGAACAAGAACGAATTTGACGATGTCGACCCCGGTGAGGAGGAAGCTTTCAAGCGCCTCATGGCCAAAGTCAAGAAAGCTTGCAAGACCGGTAGTGTCGAGACCGAGGACGGCAAGTGGAAGTACGATCTGCACCTCGTCCGTGGCAACAAGACCCACAGTCTGCTTAATGGCAGCGCCGTCAACGACTCTAGCTCGGCCAAGAACAAGGTCTCTTCTCGCCCTGGCAACGTTCCTTCGGTATTGTCCCCGAATTCACCTCCCCTTCACTCTATCCCAAAGACAGCGAAGGCTTGAACCTAACTTGTAGCTAGGGCACGCTCAAGCAGACGAGCGCTCCCCAGGAGCACGCCGGTCTGACTAGGCACGCCAAGCCTGCTGTTTGTAGCAATCAGAAGGTTACCGTTAGCGACCACGTCGGCGGTGTGCCCGTGTTGACTACGCCTCGCAAGCGAGAGGTTCTCGTCGCTCATGAGATCACCGACGAGGAGCGCGCTTCCAAGCCTACGGCTCATGTCGTTCATAAGAAGTATTCCGACCCCAAGGGCAAGATGCCCCGCTACGGAATTCTGATCCCCGGCGCTGACGGTAAGATTCGTCTTGTCAACAGCGCCAACGGTCCTGTTCTCACCTGCCGTGGAGCTGAACCTCGTCGCTCCCGCCCCGTCAATGTGAAGCCCACTCCTGTTGCTCAGCCTCCGGCCCCGGCCACTGAGGATCGCACCAACTACCAAGCTCCGACTGTTGAGTCTGCCTCTGACTCTGGCGACCTTGCTGGTTTGTTCGACTAGATCGACAACTTCTTAGATGGTGGGAATGGCAGAATTTCACTGACGGATAAACATGGGTTCATGGATAAGGGTTACACCTAGATAGGGTTTCATGCCACAGCCGTCGTTCTCCTGATTAACGAACGGCAATCTTACAATTTCACTTCCTTTCAACTCATACAAATGGCTTTCGTGAGGTTCTGAGCCCTTCTGCTGTGCCTTTCAATTGGATATTGCATGGGCAACCAGCGTTTGCCTAGGTACTATTGTCAAGCATATGAGGTGAGTCTAGCCAGACCAACAGTTCAGCTATCTACTTTTCGTACTAACTTCGCTTCAGAGCTTCGCGGCCACCTTACCATCCTTCCAGCCATTCACCATGCGCTGTTTATCCAAAGTTCTCCACCCGCTCGGTCCCTCTTCTAGTCCATTTGCTTTATCTGTTGGCCTCTCCCTCCACCTCCAGGCTTTGACGTACTCCGAATCTTTCTTTCCCTCAATGACTTCGACGACCTTACTTCCCAGCACCGGCAAGAACTTGAACCCATGCCCGCTGCCTCCGCTACAGACGACCAGTCCCTCGGTCCCAGGCACATAATCCACCAAGAAGTCATTGTCGACACTATCAGTGTACCAGCACAGCCTTGCCGTCTCGATAGGAAGCGTCAACAAGTCTGGTAGATTCTCCTCGCAGAACTTCTCCACAACCTCCATCGCCTTCTCCGGCACCTCGCCGCCTCCAGTCTTCGGAAACGACACCTTCTTCTTCTTTCCCGACCCATCATCCCTCTCATGCGCATAGTTGGTCCACTTGGCGCCCCTGAATCCAAACTTGACCACCCCATCCGGCGTCCGCGGAAAGCCGTACAACCCACCCACACTCGTCCTGTTTTCTCCACCCGCATTCTTCCCATACGACGCCATCTTCCAGCTCCAAACAGGAAAATTCTCGGGCGCGAACTTGTCCCACAGATCGGGCCGCTCCGCCTGCGGTATCCGCACCGTCAGCACGCTGCCCGCCGTCGTCTCGAGCAGCTCATCCGCGTCGGGCAGCAGCGCCGGCGTCCACCCGCCGCACGCGACGACGACCAGGCTCGCCGGGTGCGTCTCGCCATCCGCCGTCACGACGCCCGTCACACACCGCTTCCCGGTCGTCGGCGAGACGCCCGTCTCGTGCCGCACGTACCTGCCCTGCTCCGGCCCCAGCCGCAGCTTCACGCCGGCCTGGGCGCACAGGTGCAGCGCCCACGCGCAGGCTTTGCTGGCCAGCACGTAGCCGCCCGTCGCGTCGAGCACGCCGTCCAGCGGCAGCCCGCGCGCGCGCCGATTGAACGGGTCGAGCTTCGTCGCGGGGATGCCGTCGCGCGAGACGGCGTCGGCGGCGCGCGAGGCGTCGTTGATGTGGTACTGCGTGTGCTTGATGGCGGCCGGGAAGTTGCGCTGCGTGATGGCTTCGTGCTCGTCCAGCCCGTTGTCGCTGAGGCGGAGGAAGCCGGCGGGGACCCAGATGGTGTCGGTGGGGTGGAGGCCGGTGGGGAGGGTGGTGGGAGAAGAAGAAGAGATGGAGCTGTTCCAGGATTCCCAGATGGGGATGGCAGAGAAGGCGAGGTCTTGGTAGATTTTGCGGTCGCCGTACGAGGCGCGCAGGATCTTGTTTTCGTCGGCGCTGGCGGCGTCGCAGCCCGCGGCGGTGGAGTAGCCGTTTTGGTTGTAGGGTTGGTAGTCGAAGATGCTGGTGGAGGGAGAGGGGTGGTTAGCGGGTTGGGGAGGTGGTGTATACTGACTGTGAGGCAGGAGTTGGGCACACGGTGGGTGCTAACTTACGTTATGTCTTTATACCCGCTCTTGGCCAGGTGGAGAGCGGTGGAGAGGCCGAAAACACCAGCGCCGATGATGGCGATGGGCTTGCAGTGCTTCAGCTCTTGCTTCTCGCCTTGGGCTCTCGGTGCCCCTTCCATGTTGTGGTCCTTGTCTTCCGGCTGCTTGTACTTCCATCTCTTCTGTAGCTCCGGCTCGAGTTTTCCCTCAAGCATGTCCACGACCCGGTCTCCCAGGACGCAGAGGAACTTCCACCCATGGGCCGATCCGCCGGTGACGAGGGCAAGCTGTTTGATGTTCGGGTGCCTGTCTACCAAGAAGTCGGACGTTGGCGTGTTCGTGAAGAAGCACAGCTTAGTTCTGTCAAAAGGTTGCTGTGCAAGTGGAGGGAAGAGTTCTGCGAGGTTTGCTCGGAGAGCTTTCTCGGCGTCGGCGGGAATGGTGCTGGGCGAGTCCGGCGGTGCCGAGACTTCGAAGCTCTTGCCAGTTGCTGAATCGGTCACCGTTCTGGTGTTCGTGTATCCAGGCGACCGCCGCAGGCATTTGATCTCTCCGTTGAGGGGAGGGAAGATGTTGAAGCCGGTGGTGAAGTTGGTGGTGATCTATGTGGTGTGAATGCACGCCTTTTTCGTTCAATCGAGGAGGGGGCTCCTACCGGCATGTTTTTGTACCGCTCTTCCATCTCCGGCGAGAGCTTCAGCCATGCCACCTCGTGTCCAGTGGAAGTCACTTGGTCTCTCAAGTCAAGGAGTGTGTTGGTCCAGGCGCCCGTGGCTAGGATAACAAGGTCAGCGGTAAGCAGCTTGCCATCGGCAAGCTCGACACCCTTAGCAACCCCGCCTTCGATGACGACCCTCTTAACAGGATTGCCAAAAAGGAAACTCGTGTTCGCCTGTCTTCGGCACTTGTGGTAGTAGACACGCATGCACTCCTCGGCATTGACGAAGGCCACATCCTCGTTCAGGTAGCCCTCATTCCACTGCTTCTCGCCTGCATGAGGCTCGAAACCCTGGCCGTTGACGCGCTTGAAAATGGCCTCATGAGACGTGAGATGGCGAAGATATCCTTGGGCTGAGAACTCTCCACTTTCGATACGCTTCTTCTGCAGCGCCTGGGCCGAAGCATATTCTTTCTCCCAGACCTGGGAGCCATGACATCCGGCTCCGCTGTGGGCATAGATCATGCCGCTGCGGTAATAGTGGGGTCCGAGTTCCGCGTCTTGCTGGATCAGCCGCTGGGACTCCAGGGCGAGCTCCGAGTAGACCGGATCATGGTAATCTGCGCGGATCACCCTAGTTGTGTCTGGTATAGCGTGGTTAGCTTGCTAACCCATTGTACGGGGAGTTATCGTAGCTATGCCTCAATTCTTTCTCAGAAAAATAACATATGCGAAGTACGTACCGACTGATGTACCATCGGGGACAGGAGGCTCATGTCTGTCGATAAATGTGATCTTTGAGCTGGGATAGCGCTTTGAGAGGGCCAGGCCAGTAGAGAGTCCGAAGACGCCACATCCAACGATAATAACTGAGTCCATCTTTGCTGGCGTATGAGCAATACTTGCGTGGCGAAAATTTCACCTCGTTAGGATTATATATAGGTTCTGGCAGGTCACGCCACGGTGTTGACTCTCTGAGGCCGAAGTCCGGAGGGTTTATGGAGATTACATGGATGCTGTGGTTGATGGATCAAAAGCGGAGAATCGCGATGGGTAGCGGCAACGCGGACGCGGAGCGATGCCGGGGTCCATTTGTTGTTGCCGCTCAAACTGCAAGTCAGGGCCGTGGAAGCGGCATCTACTTTACGCAGATGAACTGCCGGGGTCCCGCCCACTCTTGACGTGCGATCGTCCCCTCTGCACGACAGGCGCCAGCACAGCATCTCCAGGAAGGTCCAACACGGCTCGGCGCTGCACCTATCAGCCTATCTGCCCTCCTCAATGGCCATGATTGAACAGCGCTGATTGCTACACCATCTCGACCCTCTAGGTCAATATCGCCTCGGAAGCCACCTGAGATTGAAAACTCCATTTGAGAAATTTAATAGAAAGCAGTTTTGTTGATCATTTGCATGACTTCCTTCAAGCTTGTTGCTTGCAGTAAGGGCTGTGTGAATGTTATTTAGCTTAAAGACAACGAGGATGTGCCGCATATGCCTTGCCGTCTCCGCACGCTTCACCCGGAGGGGGATTCACATCGACTTGGCACGCAGGCATGCAATACCGCCTTGCATCCAAACGACGGGATCTGCTATCACACGCGACACACCCCATTCTCCAATGATATGATAAGAATTACGACTAGATTATGCTTGCGGAATATAAGATCGTCCCTTGCAGGCTGGTTGCCAACACTGCTTCTGACAACTTTGAGCTGGCGAGACTATCCGCAAAGTTCGACTTATATGCCCTCGATCATATTCTGAGACTGCCTCCGGAATCGACTCACTCATATTCGCGTTTTGAGCGCGTAGCGCAGTCTGCCAATGTCTCGCTCCAAAAGCCCCGACGCCGCCAGCACCAAAGATCCCTCCCAAATTGAATACGGAACCATCAGCAAAGATGGCCCAGACGTCGCCATCGGGGACGTATCCGCTGTCATACCTCGGATTGACACCGCCGCAGAGCGCAAGCTGGTCCGCAAGCTCGACCTCCTGGTCATGGTCATGATCTTCTTCATGTACTTCTTCAACAGCATCGACCGCAGCAACCTCGGCAACGCGAAGACGGACGGCATGGACGTCGACCTCGGTTTCGTCGGTAACCAGTATTCCATCCTGGTCATGGTGTTCTACGTCCCCTTCTGCGGCCTCTGTCTTCCGGCGAATCTGTTTACCAGGATGCTTGAGCCAAAGTTCTTCTTGGTGGGCTTCATGCTGGGCTGGGGCTCTATGGCTATGATTTGTGCTGCATGCAAGAACTTTGCGCAGGTGAGATTTCCCTTTTCTTACAAGGACAAGCCACAAGTGGCTTGGCTGCCGGGCTTGGTGAGCTTGACTGACCTTATCTACAGATCTTGGCGGTGAGGATTCTGTTGGGTGTTGCAGAAGCTGGTTTCGCTCCATGTGCGATGGTATGTATTTTGAACTGACTGTAAATATGCCCAGTTACTGATGCAGCTACAGTTTTACATGAGTACCTTTTATACTCGCGGGGAGCTTGCCACACGCTTCGCAATTGTAAGTCTGCAGCAATCAAGGTTTAGTGCTTCATTTCTGACCAGACACTAGTGGTATTCAGCAACGGTTCTCTCTTCGGCAGTGTCAGGGCTCATCTCTTACGGAGTGTTCCAGATCGGCGGGGCTCTACATGGCTGGCAGTACCTTTTCCTGGTTGAAGGCGGCCTTACAGTGCTGATCGCTATACTGGCCGCTTTCATACTCCCGAAGAACCCGTGGACCTGCCGATGGCTGACCCCAGCCGAGAAGGAGCTGTGCGTCCTGCGTGGTGAAAGAGACTCGACGTCCGACGTCGGCTCCGCCTGGAACTTCCACGAAGGCATGCAACCATTCAAGTCATGGCAAGTGTACGTCGTTGTCTTCAACCTCAAAAAACATCTCATAACTCCACATCTCAACTAACACACAAACCACACCAGCTACGCCTGGGCCCTCATCGGCCTCTGCTACGGCACCTCGGGCAGCGCCGTCGGCTCGTTCCTGCCGCAAATCGTGCAACTCATGGGCTTTCCCACGCTAAAAACGAACCTCTACACCGTCGCGCCCAACATCGTCGGTGCCCTCGTCCTCCTCTGCATCGCGCACTCATCCGACCGCTTCCGCGAGCGCAGCGGGCACCTCGTCTTCGCGCTGCTCGTCACCTTCGTCGGCTGGGTCATCCTGCTGGCGCTCAACCCGGCCGCGCACATCCCCGTCGCCTACTTCGCCTGCTTCCTGCTGTGCGCCGGCGCCATGACGCCCACCGTCCTCTTCCACTCGTGGCACGCGTCCAACATGCACACCGAGAACGGCCGCATCTACGTCATGAGTTTTCTTACTGGCGCTGCTAATAGTGGTGGTATTGTTGCGAGCATGACTTTCCGCGCCGAGGACGCGCCGCGATACTTGCCGTTTTTGGGTACGGCGGCGGCGTTTGAGGGGATGGGGATGGTGCTCATCTTGGCGCTGCGGTGGTGGATGAAGTGGGATAATGCGCGGAGGGACCGCGTCATGGGGAGGAGGTTGGTTAGTAAGGATGTCAAGTTGAGTGAGCTGGTCGGGGGGTCGAACGACATTCGGTGGAGGTGGTTTGTTTGAAGGGGAACCAACCCCCGAAGGCTTTCTGCCCATGTATCGGAGCTGTTCCCTTTTTACATTTATTCCTGTAACAATAAGTGGGGTCTCCCGGCGTGATGCGCGGAGAATGTCATGAAATCTATCCATAGGAAATGGAGCAAATACCCGATGTAGATCTAGTACGCTTTTTGGTGCCCGCTGCGTCTGTAACTCGCTGGCATGGGACCTCAAACGTGAAAGCATATGATGTGACCCCGCTTCGTCGCTCTTTTTCATTCATTTCTTCTATGCCAGTCACAATATTCTCGAGCCGTCTTTTTATCCACACCGGCGCATTCATTCCGCGTTCTCGAAAGTAGACGGACCGCTTTTTGGGAGTTGGTCTTGCTCTCTGAGAAGCCATTCTGCGTTGCACAAAGGGTTGTCTCAGCATCACACCCAAACCACTAAGCTTTAGTCTCCTCCGCCCCCTTGACGTCAACAGTAAACAGTTGGGGTGACGGAGTCTCACCCTGTTCACCATCCTCTGATCCCGAGCTGTACCCTCTCCTTGCCTTCTGCGCCTTCTCCCTGTTGTCCAGGACCAAGGTCGCGAGGGCGGTGCCGATCAGTAGTGGGCCGCCAATCACTGCAACCGTGATGAAACCTTTGCGATACTGTGGCGCATCGGTTTGCTTCCAAACTATGAGGGGTAGCCAAGCCTGGATGACGTAGGCCATTTGGTTCATACTGCCGATGACGATGGCACGTTCCTCGTTGTCGCTGGCGCAGATCTCATGAGCCCACCTGGTGGGGTGCATTAGCTTTTGTGGGGTAAGTACAGAAATGGTTTACTCACGACATGCATAGTCCGGAAAGGCCGCTGTTGAGACCTGCTAAGATGTAGCAGGCCCAGTGCCATCCGGTCGGGATATCCCATACGGCAAGTGATACGTAAACGATAATGTTCCAGGCCTAATTTGAATTAGTACACTGTGGGTTTATTTGGAGTAGTATGACTTACACCTGCGAATATCATGGGCGGCCAACGTGCTCCTTTCAAAAACGAATCCGACGACCATGCGTAGATCAACGTTGAGACTACCGCTACAGCATACGTGGTTGTTGGATAGGCATTGATCTCTCCTATGGAGTACTTTGGGTTTGTGCTTGCTTTGAGCCATTGTGCAAAGGCAGGCTGAGCGAACATGTTTCCGTTGTTGAACGCACTGTCTAGTGGTCAGCTAGCTGTACAACCATGACGATGTTATGCACTCACATGTAGAGAAGAGTGAGCACGTATATATGCCATGATTTCAGAATCTTCATGACCTTGGCTTTCGTGTATGGCTCTCGGGGCTTTCGACCCTCAAGCTGCATTCTCTTGTTCGCATAAGCGACCTCTTCTTTTGTGAGATAGAAGGGCTTGGAGATCTCTGGAACGTCCGGAAGTATGAAAAAGCCGGCCAGCGCAATTGGCAGTGAAATAATGCCGTCGACAATGAAGAGCCTGAGGTGATGCATTAACATCTGGATTGGTTAAACGCACATGTGGGAACATACCATTGCCATCCTTTGTACCCGCCTTTGCCGCCGAGGTGATAGACGGCAGCCATGAGGTAACCGGAGAACATGGATGCGATGGCGCTACTTGTATGGAAAATGCAGCTCCTCTTGGCCAGCTCGTCCTTTCGATACCAGCTACAATTACTGTTAGCTCCCGGAACACGGACGTGTTGTGAATTGAGCGGACATACCTGCCAATGATGTACTGCATTCCCGGATAGAATGTGCTCTCGGCGAGACCTGAAGTTGGGGTGTTAGCAGGACCAAGTCACACTGGATCCCTCGGGGTTGTACCAATGAAGAATCGCAGAACATAGATCTGTTTTGCTGTAGAACACCTGGACAAGCAGAAGGTGAGGACGGTCCAAAGCACCTCTGCGGCGGGGATCCACCGCGAGGGGCGAAGTTTGGTCAAAAGAATGTTGCTGGGCAGCTGGCCAATAACGTAACCAACCGTCCAGCACGTCTGCATGATATTGAGTTGTTCTCCATAAAGTCCCAAGTCCTCTTTCATGCCCGACACGAAGGCCGAGTTGATATTCTGCTGATCGAGGTATTTGATAAAATAGCCTGAAAGCGTTAGCGAGATTTTATGTGTGGTCGCTGGTTGGATCTTACCAAGGGAGGCAAAACTCAGGAGAGCTGCATCTAATTTCCCAAGGAATTTTCGCTCTTCAGGACTCTTGTCAAATGTGTCCCAGAACACGCCCTTCCACGTCTTCTTGAGGTCTTTTGCGACTACCTCATCCGCCTTTTGCGTGGCATGGCCACGGTCCTGATCTTGAGCCTCCGACATGGTCAAAGCTAGCCACCAGGGAGCAGGTAAGCCTTGACAGGTCGCGCGGTCTGAAGGGGGCGTGTAGCCAAATGTTCGGACAGCCGGGCCCAAGATAAAGCAGCGGACTTAGCCATATCTGGGCGAAGGCGTACTTAACCCGTTGAACCACGCAAAGTGCGACCGGGCGGTGGCCCCGGGTGTGCGAACCTAATCTGTGAGGGTGGCGAGTCACCATGTGCCGTTACAATTGCGTGCTTAAGGTTGGTTGGGCGGCAGCTTATGCATGTCTAACAGTTCGGGGACCTGGGACTCGAGTGGACGCCGATAGCAGGGACAAAACCGGACTGGAAATGCCCGAGAGGAGCCCGGTAGATGATTGCCCTGCAGGATATGCCGGCGTCGTAAGGGCCCACCGGCGGATGACGAGCCCACGAGCCCATGACCAAGCCTTTAGCGCGGGCGGCACGGGCAGCTTGACTCTCGCTGAGGCTGCTTAGCGGAAGAGGCTGCGGCACATCTGAGCGGATGGAGGGTGTCTAGCCAAAAGCGCGACAGGCGTGGGATCGTACTGGGTGACGAGCAACTGGGCGTAGATGGCGTGCGACCCAACTTGCATGCCGTCGGCATTTGCGGTGTTTGCGGGCTTACAGCGCGCGCGAGAGGGAGATACGGCGCCAGTGTGAGCTGGACGAGCAAAAAGCTGTCAAGAGAGGATTGCATTTCGTATGATAGCAGCGTTCCCTCGCTCGGTGTTGAAGTGTCCGTGGTGGAAGGGGCGGGGACTATGGGCAACGACTTTCCTGCCTATCACGCACCAGCCAATCTAAGCGAAGGCGGCCTGCTTCACCTCCAAACCGTCACCATCACCGTGACCATCATCAACAAGGCTCATCGACAACACGTGACAATCTATTTCTCTCTATCAAGCGACAGAGTCTAACATGCTGGGAACCATTCGTCCGACACCTGAGGCGCCGGCTGCGACCCTCTACCTCCACCCAGCAGGCTCTTGATCCTCTCGTATGCGCCTTCCTTTGCAGCTACAAACTCTGGACTATGCGGCGGAATAGGCTCTCTGCCACGTCCCTCCAAGTCCTTGTTGATCCAGCCGAGGATCTCATTCACGTAATCAATCTCGACAAACTTGAGCGAGTTGAACTTCTTCCCAAAGCCTTTGGCCTTCACTCTCGCCTCGTACTCCTTTCTCATCTGCTCTTCGCTTGGCAGCGCAGCCCCACCGGAGAGTACTGCGGCAACAAACTTTGCCTGGAACTCAAACAGCGAGTATGTTGCAGTGAAGTACGGCACGCCTATGAAAATCAGGCTCGGATCGGGGATGTACCAGATGTCCTTGTGCAGGTTGTGGTACTGCGATCCATCCGTGACAATGACCTTGTCGTCCGCCTCCTCTGGTCGAAGATCGTCTCGATGATGAGACCGCAGGAAAGGAAGCGTGACGTGGTATCCGGTTGCAACAATCACGTGGTCGATGTCGCACAGCTTATGCCCGGACTGCAACGTGATGGTTCCTGGAATCGCCCCGCTGGGCTCGGATAGTTCTGACCCCGACGAGCTTCCTGCATCCGACCCCGTTTCCGAACCCGAAAGGACGTCGCCATCAGCTGCGGGAAGGTCAAACGATGCGATATTACCGATCCGTTTGGCGTTCTCTGGCAGCACTGTCGCTGGGAAGTCGAAGTCCCCTCCCCTTGAGGTTTGCCAGATGCTCTTGGCATATGGCGAGATTTCCTTCGCAATGTCTGTCGACGATGTTCCTGATCCGATCAGGAGCACATTCTGTCTCCTCTTTAGCATCCTCCAGCACATATCTTGCAGTTCAACTCACCTTCCCCTTGTACGCCTCAGGAACCCGGTAGGACTTTGAGTGCTGAACCCGGGTGGGATAGCGTGCTTTCCACTCAACGAGCCCTGGAATATCAGGTACTCTAGGTGCATGGTAGTGGCCGTTGGCTACCACTAGTGCGTCAAAATCCTGCGAAATCTCAGCAACGTTGAACTGCTGACACCGAGATGCTCCCGTACGTACGAGCGTCTCTCCCTTCTCGTCATTCTTCGTCAGGTCTCGTGCTGTTACTTTCCATTTGCCTCCTTCTTTGCTTGCATTCTCTACGAGAGTGCGATACCTGATGGAATCTTCAATCCCTGTCACTTTGACGATTTCGCTGATGTAGGCAGCCATAACAGAGTGGTTGCTGTAGTCAGTGGTGCCAGGAGGGAACGGGAGCAGAGTAGTCTGCATCATATCCCTGTGGACATTTGTCGTCAAGTCCCGGTAACACGGCCTGAACTTTTCGTCAATGGCAGTCTTGGTCACTTTGGAACACTGCTTACCCTGGTGGTGCTAATCCGAGATCTTGGACTTGGCTGTTGTCATGGTTCTGCTGTGTTGACCGCCATCGTGCCTTTGGAATGTCCAAGGCAGCTGAAGCCGTCACGGATGGATAGTCCGGCTCCAGAGGTTGACGCTCATCGTAGACCCTGGACTTTCATAAGCAGATGTCCATGCTACTGAGCTTCCGATGCACTCTTGAACAGAGTAAAGCGCTAGATGGAAGGCCAAAGAGGAGCACCAGTGGACTTGAGCAGCTACACTCGACTAATGAAAGAGCAGTGTACGTCGAAGCTTTGGTCAAGCTACCTTGTCCGTACGTGCTGCCATTGGTGCGAGTTGGTTCAAAGGGTTCTGAAGATCACTAACGTTCCGACTTACCAGACGCCTCCTGGCTTACCGGTCCGCTCGAAAACAGTCACATTAATGCCGGCTTTCTTCAGATGTGCTGCTGTGACGACGCCGCTGATTCCAGCGCCGATGATGGCGACGTGAGATGGTGAAGTTGCAGACATGGCACCAAGCAATTCAACACAATCTGAAGTTGGATTTTGGAAGTCAGATTCTCGGGCGCCGGAGACACTGAGAAGTGTCACAAGGGACTAGATGGTTGACCAAAGCTTAAGGCCGAAATCCCAGGCCCCCGATTGGCCACCGGAAAGCGACGGCGTACGACACCAGATAATACCGCGCACACCTCCGCCATACGATGTTGCCATCAGCCATGATTGTGAGGCATTCGGCTGTTGAAGGCTGCGCCTCGCGGGGCTTCCTCTCTTGATGAGACCTCTCATTACAAAGCGCACCACTGCCGGGTTTCTGGCGTGACATGTTTCAATGCTCCAAGTGTGGGCCTGCAGATGGCTCATGGTCGGCGACCAAAGCAAGCGACAAAAGAAAACGACTTCGTGAAGCAGGGCGCCAAAGATAGCAAAAGCTGAAACGTTAATTGGCTGGGTCCCGGGCGGGGTCCGGCAGCCTCCCGCTTGCCGATGCATGTCGTGGGTTTAGAGGCAGATGGCGCCATTGAGTGATCGACCAACACCACGACTTAGCACTGGCGGGGTACCTCCGACCCCAGGAATGTGCTGGCACAAGCCAATTGTGCTGCTGACGAATCAGCGAGATGATGTATGATGAGGGGGTGATGATGTGATCCCCGCGCCCCTCTCAACGCCGACCTGCTATGCAACAGCACACGATAGGCATCCGCCCTCGGTCTGCCGAATGCCTACATAAGGGCCTGGATATCAATGTTGGCGACAGCCGAGACAACCCTAGCATCTAGAGAAATAACACCATCCCAAGTTGCTGTGGCGGCATCCCCCAAATCTAATCTGATTCCAACCCCTCCATCAGTTCCAGCCATGGCCCCCGCACCGATCGCAATCCGTCCGGAGATCAAGGACGTTGCTCCTCCGCGCAAAGATACCCTCGGCCTTCCAGAGCCGACGCGCAGGCGGTTGGAGAAGGCTGGCATTGACCTGTCCAAGGGCTACCCCTACCGCCCCGCACGCCCTCTCTACCTTGACGACGTCTACAAGATTCGCGACTATGACCGCCCCTTTGTCGACCCGGCCACCCGCGCCGATCCCGAGAAGAAGGCTCTCCTCTCTGCTGCTGAGAAGGTCATTGACTTGACAACGCACATCGGCACTGAGATTGTTGGCCTGCAACTCAAGGACCTGACCCCTCAGCAGAAGGACGAGCTTGGTCTGTTGATTGCCGAGCGTAGCGTTGTCTTCTTCCGGGACCAGGATATCTCTCCCCAGCAGCAGAGAGAGCTTGGTGAATGGTATGGCGAGATTGAGGTTCACGTGAGTATTCCCCAGTATCAATCAATATCCTAGTTTTCCCAGAACCAATCCTCCCACAAATTCACACTGGACCATTCCAACATGATATCAAATACTAACACCCCCAACAGCCTCAAGTCCCGCAAGTCCCCGGCGTCGAGGGCGTCACGGTCATCTGGCCGGAGCTGCAGTCGACGGAGCGCCCATCCAACTTCCGTCAACCGGGCGGCGCGTCGCGCTGGCACACGGACCTGGTGCACGAGCGGCAGCCGGCGGGCGTGACGCACCTGCACAACGACGTGATCCCGTCGACGGGCGGCGACACGCTGTGGGCGTCGGGCTACTCGGCCTACGAGAAGCTGTCGCCCGCCTTCCGCAAGCTCATCGACGGCAAGCACGCCGTCTACCGCTCCGCCCACCCTTACCTCGACCGTAACAAGCCAGAGGAGGGCCCCAAGTACATCGAGCGCGTGCACCCGCTCGTTCGCGTCCACCCGGCGACGGGCTGGAAGAGCTTGTTCGTTAACCGCGCGATGACGGACCGGATTGTGGGCTTCGACAAGGCGGAGAGCGATGTCATTCTGAACTATCTGTTTGATGTGTATGAGAAGAATGTGGATATTCAGCTGCGCTTCAAGTGGACGCCCGGCACTAGCGCGCTGTGGGATAACCGGTAAGTTTCACTCCACCCTTTTTAGAAAGATTGATTTGGGCTCGTGCTGACATTGGACTGCAGCATCACCATCCACAACGCTAGCTGGGACTACGCCAACAGGGAACCTAGGCACGGCACCAGAGTGACTTCGCTGGCGGAGAAGCCGTACTTCGACCCTGCTGCGCCCACGAGGAGGGAGGCTCTGGGTCAGGTGCACCCGGATGAGCTGAAGGAGCAGGGCGTCCCCGGCTATTAAAGGGCATGGCTGCGTGGCGATGAGGATTTCTGAGGGGGAAATGAAAAGAAAAAGTAGCGAATGATTGACGTAAAGAATGAAATGAAATTAAAGTAAACCAACATACCTTGACAGTACATGCGTGCGGCATTGGTTGTTATGCGTGGAGCTCATCATTCATGTTGAATGCTGCAGCAGTTAGAGACAGTCTAGTTTCGAAAATACTGCTCAGAAAAGGCGCGAGTAGGTGAGGCGAAAGCAAGCACGCCAAGGGCGAGCAGTTCATGTCGGTTCTCTTTGGGTAGTAGAGCTACCTCTTCAAAGAGAGCTGTGGAACGAAGAAGAAACGGTTGCTTGATTGATGACCGAGCTTTTTATGGCGCCGAAAAGGTAGTCATTAGAACGCACGTGCGATGCTCTTGGGCCAACAAAACAAGTTTCGTAGAGGCTATTGTTCTAGGGCCTCAACTTACTATGCGCAGAATTGGTTCTTCTTCCTGCCGTTCGTCACTATCAAAGCTTAATTCTGAACGCCGCTACAGTACAGGACATTACCTTTCTATAGTACTGCCCCAAACCGAAGGGCGAGTCGTTCTCGATAGTTTGTTCGGTTTATTGGAGCCACCTCTTTGAAGAGGCTGTTATGAAGTGCAGAAGAAGTGGATGTTCAAGCTTTAAAAGCGCCGACAAAGCACTCATTTGCACACACGTGCGACGCGCTCGCACCAATCAAACCACGAATGAAACAGTCTAGATATGAAAGCAGAATGAATTACGTATTGACAAGTACTGACGCACTCCCTTCAATAGTTAGACCAGGGTATCTAAGCACGAAAACCCGAAAAAAAAAAAAAGCCGAACTTTCAGAACCAATTCCAGACCTCACCACCGAGCTTCTGGCCATAGCGTGGGAATCTGCTCTAATCCTCCAACCACGTCATCCGTGTAACACTCTAAACGCCAGTCTCCTTCGCGGCTAACTGCACAAAGTAATAGTCAATGCTGTCCCAGAGTTTCTACTGCGCCGAAATATTGTCACCTAGACAAATTCGCTTTGCTTCCTTCTCTTGGAGATCCGAAGTGCTGTCCAACCCTAGACCCTGCGTCTTCTTCAAAGCAGCAAACGCCTTCTCCTTCACTTGCACCTCAACCCAATGCTCCTCTACCCACTTCAACACCTCTTCCTCCCCATTCTCTCCCATATGCCTCAACCAAGGCTTCTTCTCCTCCAACAGCGGCTCATCGCAAAGCGCCAGCGTCCCCCCTTCCACCCTCACCCACCTCTTCAACCCCCTCACCACAAGCGCCAGACTGACGCCCTTGCGCGGCACCTTCTCCTTGATAGCCCGCCACAGCTCCTCTTCCCGCGTCGCCAACCGGTACTCGGCCAGCCGCTCATCATGCTCCGCCCGCTTCCCAAACACGTCCAACGCCTCCTCCAGCACCGCCTCGCGCGTCCACGCGCACGCCGCCCCGGCCTCCGGATGCGCGGGCACCCACTCCTCAACGAAACGGCGATACATACCGCGCTTAGCGCGCCGCGCGCGGTCGTTGTGATTCTCGCTCTCAGGCCTCTTTTCCTCCTCCTCGCCGCCGCCGCCGCGGCGCGGCACGACGGCATACCGATCGAAAAACCTCCCGCCCGCCACCCACGCAAACACCTCCTCCTCGCTCCCGAACTCAGCCCTCTCATACGGCCCCGGATCCAGCCCGAAAAACGCGAGCACCGCCCGCGGCTCGTGTGACAGGTGCACCAAGCTGGCCTTCCTGTTCGCCTTCTCGATCGCCGCCATGCGCACGTGCAGGCCGCGATCGGTCGCGGTGAGCCCGAGCGGCCGGTGGACGACGCCGAGGATCTGGGCGAGGTCGCCGTACGAGGCCTGGAAGAGCTGCCAGTCGAGGTAGCCTGGTGGGCATTCCTGCACGTCGAGCTGGACGAAGGTGGATGGCGTGGTCGGGTGCGGGATGGCGTAGTTGGTGACGGCGCCGTTGCGCTTGAATGCTGCGGCGTTGAGGGATGCGGCGATGGCGGCCGGGGTGGTGTGGGGAAGGGGCCCTGAGGCGAGGATGTCGACGTCGCCGTGGTCGGGTTTGGTGGGGATGGTGGAGGCGTGGGCGGTGCGGTGGTAGAAGGGGGAGAGGGCGGCGGCGTATTCTTGCTTTAGGATGTTGTAGAGGGAGGTGGGTATGCGGGGCGTTGCGAGGCCTTCTGGCTCAAATGAGTGGCCGCCCATGCTGGAGGTGGCATGCAATTGTGGGTGTGTCGTTTGTGCTTGTCTGGAAATTTATGACTCTTTCTTTAAGGTTGCTCTTTATGGCTTGTGTACAGTCAGAGGTTGAGTCATTCAGTATTCCCCGGCCTCGCTTGTGCTCAGGCGTCGGAGAAATCGCGGATCAGTGTTGATGGAATGTGCTGGAGCCAATGACTGCCAAATATGGCAATATCACACAAGGAAGTAGAGGAAGCTGTGGCCAGCTAGTACCGAAGAGAAAAACTTCCATAGCAGCTTTACCACTCCTTTCGTATGGCTGCATTTCCACCGGTAAGACAGGACTTTTTGCATAGCTAGCCAGGTCCTGCCGAACTGAATGTGCTCTGGGATATCATGACAACAGACATCAACTTCCGGTGCGTCTCAAGGCTTCTGCACACGATGTCACTTGTACAGAAATGACGGTTCCAATAACAAGAGCACCCTTGCCAGTTGCAGCTAAGAAGCCCTTTCCTCGCAGTCCACTAACCGCAGCGATGATGGCGCTTCCCGTGGCTCCAGCCGTTGAGCCCATGAGCCAGCAATACCAAAACGGGCGCGGAGGTGTCTCGCTGGAGAGAGAGGCTGCCAGGAAGTTGTAGGTGCCGAAACAGAAAAACAACCTGCTGGAATGGGGCGCCAACGCGCGGAGAGTTGGGAGTCGTCTGTCAAACACTAGAGCCTGGTAAGTCACCTCAGCGAGGCCCCCGGAAAAGCCACCAACTGCACCAACAAGCGCTGTGCGGGCGGGCGGAGGAGGCTCCGAGGCAGGGCTAGAGAGCAGTGACTTGACTATGTCAAACGTCCAGAAACGTAATGCAACCCGGGGAACTTGGATCGATGCGTGTGAGCGGAACAGGGTAGAGATTGGGATTCTTGTTGACGAGGACAGCATTGATCCGAGCTCGATGGGAAATATGGCGGCGCCAGCAAGTGCTCCTGCCGCGGTATACACCGCCTGTTCCTTGATTGAGGGCAGACGGGAACCCTCAGCGGCGTCCAACATGGTAATGAGCTGGGCTTTTCGGGACGGAAAGAAGGGGATTCAGGAAGTTGAAATAACGGAGTTCTGGATTAGATATGCTACCCGACGATTTCATTGGGTGTGATGTTGGCTCTTTGTTGCAGTCTGCAGACTACGTCGACGTGATCGCAATACAAAGTGGACTCGAGGGTTGTCGATCGCTCGGTAGATGAACGACCACAGATGAACAGTTGAGGTGCAGGTGCAGGTGCAAAACAGGCGTGAAAAACACGGTTGGAGAAGAGCACCAAGTCCACATGGGCGATTCTGGGATGATGACAGCACGTGGGTCGTCGCCGTATGATCGGCTTGTGTCGGGAGTGAGTTTCTCAAACGCAATCTTAGCTCTGTCAGCTGAAGTGTTTTGGTGTTGAGAGTTGGCGTGCCAGGTTGCCTGAAGGATGGCTTGCCGATCGGGCGTTCGCAGCAGCCAATCGGTGCCGACGCCGCTCATCCATGACATCGACACCCGCCCAGCCGCAGTCGTCAACCTGTTCTCCACCCGAAAGCAGACACGCCATGCACATGCATCGGATCAAACAGGGAATAGAGCCTCATTTCCATGGCCTTGCATATATTACCTCCATCCTACTTCTCCGATGGCTTCCCACCCCGGCCAGCGTCACTATCAGCATTCGCCGATCCTCTTGTTCACCATAATGCTGCCAGCTACATGGAGCTGCTTTGAGAACGCATGCCTACTAGTATGACTTCCAAATATGGTTCTGAGCCGTCTTCCGATCTCGACGAGCGATCTCCGCATTCTCCGGGTAACCCTAGTCGCCAATCACGCATCCAAAATATTTCGCATCGGGTTAAGAAGAAGACCAAGAAAGTACTACACGTCGACAATACGGAGGGCCTGGTGCGCGCTAAGGATAGTGACGACTTCGACGACGTTGAGGCCAACCCTGCGTTCAACCCCCAAAAGGTCTTTCAGAAACCCGTCAGCGTTGGCGACGCTCTCCACCAGGCCAAGGATGGCGCCCAAACTCTGGCTCGGGTCGTCGTTCATCCCAAGGACTCTGCAAAGCGGAAAGCTGCCGCCAAGCTAGCCGCCCCGGAGCAGCCATTCTTGTCACAGCAGGCCGACAAGGTGCTTTTGGATGCCCATGATCGGCTAGAAGCTGCGCGCAAGAGTTCGGACGGCGACGATGAGGATAACGCCGAGGCGTACGAAGAGGAGGTCCAAAGCCTACAGGCGCAAAGAGAAAGCCTGAGGGTTGCGTGGACGACAAGCAGATTCGTTCATCGCGTGCGTGTCGTGCCCGCCCAGTATATTGAGCACCCTCGTTTCAAAGACGTCGAAATCCGAGATTCCGACGGGGCATACGTTGGGACAGATTGGACCAAGTTTTGGGGAAACGTACGTGGCCATCCCTGTACCGTGCTTGTGGAGTCACTGACGTTTCGCTCAGTGCTGCCTTTACGCCACTCAAGATTACCATGCCCTCGGAAGCGATGCGTTAGATCAAACGGCCTTTAGTCGTCACCTTCTAATTGAGCACTTGGAGCGCATTTTAATGGCATCCGCACCCTGGCAGTCATACTTCCTGAAGCTACGGGGGATATACCTCTGGGAAAACCCTAGGAAATCTGGGAGATGGATGGCAATTTTCGTCTTCCTCTGGTGGGCCGACTATGTCTTCTCCTTTATCCTCCTCTGGTGTGTATTCATCGTACTTCGGAGTAGGTACAGTCAACGCTCCATCAAGTCGCTTCGCGAATCGCACGAGCGGGTCATGGACCAGGGAGCTACGGCCTTCAAGATTAGCGAGCTCATCCATCGCCACGGTCCTGGAGAGTGGTTGGACCCGCTGATTGACGAAATTGGTCCTCGAGCTCAGCTACAGCTCAATGACCTCGCCGATCATCTTGAGAGGATGCAGAATTTCTACGACTGGAAGTTTCCCGAGCGGACATGGGCCACGTTGTTCTGCATTGCCTGCGCAATTCTCCTCGGCGTCCTCACGCCGACCGCTTTCTCGATGAGAGTGCTGACTTTTGTGGCAATCTGGTGGTTCTTCATGGGGAGACCAGTTGCGAGCCATTACCCACGATTCAGACGAGCCGTCTCCCCTGTGTCATATGTGTTCTGGGGCCTTCCGACGCACGCCCAATGGTCTTTTCGCTACCTGAGCAACCAAGCCCAGCGGATGCGTGCGCGAACTGCGGAGCGAGCAGCAGAAAGTGGCCATAGCATGGAGCAGTCCGTTGTCGAAGAAAACAACGAAGTCTTTGTAGATGCACCATCATTTCCTGGCGAATACGTAAACTTTCTGACTTTTCGGTGCCGTTATCACGGTATTCCGGCTCGTCTTGCCATTTCAGCAAGCGGCATTTCGCTGATTCGCTTGTTCCCGGCAAAGCAGCTGTGGTCGCGTCATTTTTACGAAATCAGCGAAATGCGGAAAACCTCGGGGTCGGCACTGGGTCGCGGTCTTCGTAAGGTGGTCGAGGGAAAGACATTGGAGTTTGCCTTTATCGACGGAGAGATGGATCAGATCGAAGCAGTCAGGCGGCGGGACGAGGCATTTAACAGCATCATCGGCTTCTCGAATCTCATGTGGCAAATGCTGGACCCTGCCGAAGGAACAAACGAGCAAGAGGTCGAGGGCGGTTAATGTGTTACATCCAGAGCATTTATATTAGGGCGCGGGTTAATCGCTTAAAGTCGTACAGCAATGTGGATTTCAATTACCACCGCAGATAGAGTGCAGTATCTCCAGTGGTGCATGCTGGGAAAATATCAAATGTGTCGTGTCATCGTGTCGCAGGGAAAGCCGAGTCATCCTATCTGACTGTTCTGGCATGCCTTTTGTAGCCATCTGCATCTAGTCCATTGCTCTGGTCATAGGCCAAGCGCTCTCCCGCTGTTGTGCGATGATTGTGCAAACGGGCTCCACATCGATGGGCTGTTGCAGCGGTCACCGGACGGCGCTACATTCCGGGGGCCTTGGCGTGGACTTTATTATGAGTCTCTTCACTGATGAACGATTACGCATCTTGTCTGGAAATCAGAGGCCGGTGTCGGGGATGGGTCTGGGTGTTGCTGCCAAGGTATGAGAGCGGAATCTGGGGCGTCAAAAGTCAGAAGTTCCTGCAGTTGGGATGACAGGCGGGGGGACACAAAGTGGCAGCAGACAGCGGACGGATGATGTTGAGCTGCAGGCGGTTGAGGGCGTAGGAAGCCTTATCGCGCGCCCCACCGGTACCCGTCCGGAGCACGGGGACCGCTGCGCGATTCGGAACGCCCTAACACCGTCACAGCGTCATCTGACTGTAGCAAAGGGACGCGCGAAGACGAGAGCGTTGGATGTAGAACGGGCGCGTGTGCCGTCGCTGCTGCACATCACTGAGGCGGCCGGAAGGCTGCAGCTGCTGCATAAGTTAAACGCTTCCGGGGCGAGCCAAGACGCCCGCCGACTGCCCCAAGCTGCCGACATCACTCCTCCCCAGACTCTTCCTCTTTGCTCCCCGCGACCCAAGCCACAACCACGAATCCTGCCCGTCCAGCGCACCAGTCTCCACCCGGGCCCCGGCTCGCAGCTGTCCCACGTTCGGCCCGCGTATTGGGCCACGATCTACCTGCTCCAGCACCGCAAAAGCCGGCTCTCCGACTCCAGCTCCCGCCGCAGTAGACGCCTACGACGGCGTCGACACGGCTGGAGCGCCCTCCGCACGCGCGCCCGCTCGCCACTGCAGCTCCCCATCCGCTCCAGCAGCTCCCCCAAGCCTAACCGCTCCCGCACCCATTGCAAGAGGCCTGCACCACCTCAGCGCCTCTTACATCCGCCAGGCCCGCCGAGCTGGCCGACGAAATCCCTCACGACCATCCCCCTACACTCGCCCCCGACTCCCCAGCCGAACCACGTCCGGATCTTCCATCGTACACGGCATTCTCAGCACAATCTGCAGCCCGCAGCACGCCCGCTGCCCTTACCTCCGTCCCGCTCTCCGAACCAGACCAACCCTCGTCAGCAGTGAAGCGAGCGCGCAGCTCATCAGAGGCCACGCTCTCTGATCCCGAAAACCCACGCTCCGGTGAGGCCTCTCGCGGCCCAAAACGCAGACGCCGAGCCGATCACACAATGCGCCTAGGCTCCGATCCATCGCGGAGGTCTCCATCGCCTTCCCAAGCTTTCGCCAACGGCCGCAACGGCGTCTCGCCATCCGGCCTTGGAAAAGCGACAAACGGCAGCGCACATGGCGCGACTGAGAGCAATGGCGACACTACTTCCTTCACCAACGGCAGCAGGCCTGGCGCGCCCACCACCTTCTTCGGCCACGACAGAGAGGAGGTAACAAGGATCTTGATTCAAGGCCTCTCAGATCTTGGATACCACAACGCGGCTGCCTCGCTGAGTCAGGAGAGTGGGTTTGAGCTCGAGGGTCCGACTGTTGCAGCGTTTCGGAATGCGGTGCTCCAGGGCGATTGGGCTGAGGCCGAGGCGCTATTATTCGGTACAACGATCGAGGATGGTGGAGGAGTAGGCATCGGTGATGGTGCATACGGCTATGGAAATGGAAAGGAGCCCGACAGGTCTGAAAAGTGGTCGTCTGGGACCCAACAAATCCGGGGTCTGACATTGGCTGAGGGAGCGAACAAGGACCAGATGAGATTCTGGATGCGACAGCAGAAGTACCTGGAACTCCTCGAACAGCGCGATCTTGGAGCTGCGCTCATGGTGCTCCGTCAAGAGCTTACACCTCTCCATCAAGACACTCATGCGCTACACTCTTTGTCAAGGTATGCTGTCTCACCCCTGATTTCCACAATGACGCGTCCCGTCGTGGACTCGCCCAGTTTCATGGAAGGTGTTCAAACAGCTGACGCTTGTGTAGTTTGATGATGTGCCAGTCAGCCGAGGATCTCAAGCTCCAAGCAAGCTGGGATGGTGCAGCAGGCGAATCGCGGAGTATTCTTCTCTCCGAGTTGTCCAGTAAGTAGCGCCCGACTGGTTCGACGATTGCGTTGCTAACCATGGCGCAGAATCCATATCCCCCAACGTCATGATACCCGAACACAGACTCGCAGTACTCTTGGATCAGGTGAAGGATCATTGGGTTAGCAAGTGTCTTTACCACAACACCTCGGCCTCTCCTTCGCTTTACCTCGACCACCAATGCGACCGCGAAGAATTCCCGCTTAGGTCGGTGCTTGAGCTTCGTCATCATCTTGACGAGGTCTGGTTCCTCAAGTTCTCCAATGATGGATCCATGCTTGCAACCACGGGCAAGGACCAAAGGATTAACGTCTACGACACATCAAACTACACGCGGCGTTTCGCTCTTGAAGATCATGAGAACGGCGTCTGCTACCTCGCCTGGAGCCCTGATGATACGAAGCTCATCAGCTGCAGCCAGGACAACTCTGCCAAGCTGTGGGATATGACGGTAAGTTGGGAGTCTTTTCGAATTGTTATACGGGCCACTAATCAGTCATCCAGAACGGCCAACTTATTCAAAGCCTCGACAAGGGATTCGACTACCCCGTGACCTCGGCGGCCTGGGCTCCAAACGGCGAGACCTTCGTTACCGGCTCCCAAGACACCAACGCTGGTCTCTGCATCTGGACCAAAGACGGAGAGAAGAGACACACGTGGAAGGAGGATGGCAGTGAGCGCGAGCGCGGCTACGCTCTCCGTGTCCACGATGTAGCTATCACTCCGGATGGCGAACGTCTCGTGGTTGTGCTGGAGCATCACGTCATGGTCTACGACTACCTGACTCAGGAGAAGCTCTACGAATACGAGATGAGCGACGTCAAGTTGACATCCTTGAGCATCAGCCAGGATTCACAACACATGCTCGTCAGCATGAACGAGAACAGGATTTGCCTTATGGAAATCGAGACTGGCGAGCTCCTGCAAAAGTACGAAGGCCAGAAGCAAAGAGAATACATAATCCGGAGCGCTTTCGGAGGAGCTAGCGAGAACTTCGTCGTCAGTGGCAGCGAAGGTAAGTTGTTCGACGATGCCATGTCGTAGCGAGTAGCCCAATGATGCTAATTATAGCAGATTCACGGGTCTACATCTGGCGGTCGAACGGCAATCTGGTCGAAAAGCTCGAGGCACACAGATCCGGCTGCGTCAACTGCGTTGCGTGGCACCCCAAGGATCCCACGGTCTTTGCCTCTGCAGGCGACGATCGTACAGTTCGCATGTAAGAAATCCCCGGCTTTTGTGTCATGATTCGCCTTTGATTTCTAACGTAGTCTCAGATGGACCAAGCCATCAGCTCCCAGACTGAGTAGAGGTTTCGATCGATAGTGGCGTTCCATGACCATGGCCTTAGACGTTCTTTCCTCTCCGCTGAGGACGGCAGCATTGCACGGTTACAGCTACACGGCGGCCCCTCTTTCATTCGTGTCTTCAAACACGTCCTTTCAGATGATGAAGCCCAGAGCATTCACCAGTAAATAATTTTCTTCAGCCCTTCGACATTCGGAGCAGTGGATTTGTACCGTCGCACTTCCACCGAGCTCGTCCGACAAGTTCTGCATCCCCTTCCTTTTCCCACGATTAGCACATGGCCGGAGTACGGGTATGGATTTTGTTGTTATTGTTGTTGTGCAACACGCTTCAGGATGGCGGGTAGAAGGAACGGCGGGCTGGATGTTTGTGGCTTGGCGTTTTTTGTGCTGTTCTGGTTCACACAGACTCTCTTCTCCTGCAAGTCATTTGACCCCCCCAAGGCGGGTCGAAGATTTCCGACGAATGTCAACGAGGGACCGGAAGGTTATTTGTTGCTCGAAGCGATGGGGGCATTAAGGCCTGGATTGATGATGAAGGGAAGTTGGTGCATCTGGAAATGTAACAAGAAGACAGATGTAGTAGGATAGAAGAAATGAATGATAACACTCAAGTACTGTAAACCGTGCTTGTGGTTGGGTTTGCACTCCGACATGGTGCTGCTTGCACGAGAGCGTGAGGTGGCGCGCAATGAGCCGATTATTTTGGGGACCCATCCGGACAATGGCTAATCGGAAGGCTGCCGCCAATCAATGGGTAGAGGACAAGGTCTGCTGAAACGGGCGTGGCAAGTGTTGAGCGTGCCACCCAGGCGCGCGCCACATGAACATGCGTCATGCATTCAGGTCGAGGGCGGGGGGAGGCACCGCCACAGCGCTTCATGCACGAAGCTTGCCCTGCTCCCGTTCGCGCCCTCTCACGCCAGCGAAGCCTTGGTTGCTCCCATGCAACCAGATCCGCTGAACACACACCCTATAACACTCCCGCTTGCGCCCCAGCCCATCAGCCGCCCGAGCACACACTCCCTAAAATCATCGCTCTTACTACTACTACTACTTCTCACACCGCCGCCGCAGGCAGCAAACCAGGCAATATGATCAGCGCCATTCTCATCATCCTCATCACCATTCTGAGTAAGCGCCCCTTCCTGCCCCCCGACGCGCGTTTCCCCTCCTTCGTGCCCACAGCCTCGCGCGACGCGCCCTGGCTAACACGCAACTGACACACAAAACTAGTCCCGCCCATCGGCGTCCTCATGGTCGCGGGCTGCGGAGCTGACCTTCTGATCAACATTCTGCTCACGATACTCGGGTGCGTATATAACCACGCTTCTTTGCTCACCCTCATCTGTGACAACAGTAAGTGTGCTGATTCCATGGGGCGACAGATATTTCCCTGGTCACATCCACGCGTTCTACATCGAGTACGTCTACTACAAGCGCCGCGAGGACGCCGCACGCGGCTTCTACGACTCGAGGCCCACGCCGGGCGTGTACAGTGAGAGGGTGCAGCGCGGCGGGTACGGTACCATGGCGGACCCGATGTAGACGGACTCTGTTGCTCCCTAGCCCAACAAGGTAGATGGACGATTGGGAATGTGTAGGAAAGAGAGCGAGCTCTGGAGATGATGACCGATGCGAGATGGACAATGGCAATTCGAGCGTGATATATCATGCGACCGGGGATCATGGGCGATGAAGAACTTGCTGATTTAAGAACATTCTCCCCCTTAGTTTTCGTGTCTTGGAAGCTTTGAAGCTACTTTATTGTGTGTGCAAACATCCATGTGATGTAGGAATGTGCAGGCCAGCGAGACGCGGTACCTGCCAAGCCTGTGTCGCCGGGTCGGCCGCTTGCGCACAAGCCAGTGGGCGGGGGTGACGTAGCAGCTCTCCGCACATCGGCGCTTCGGTGATCGGTGCGAACGTTCGAGCCAAAAAATCCTCCCAAACTCCAAGCCTTTCCGATAACAAGGGCAAAAACGTCCCGAGCGCGAGAATCGTTTGGCGAATCGCGAGACGGCATTTCACACATGCAAGACTCATGACCGCAGCCCCTCGGGTTTTCTCTCTCCCCCCTCCACTCGAACCCCATACAGCTTTGCTTGCCATCGTGACCTTGCCCGCTCGTCAAAAGTTCCTCTTCACGATCACGAGCCGATAAGCAGGGGAGTTTTGAAGGGGTAATAGAAATACAGCAAACACCACGCGCTAAGCCGCTCTCGGTACAACTGGTGCAGTTAGGACCTGATCGAATTTTTTTTTCTTGCCTTCCCTCTGGCCACTCGGGCTGCTTTGATTTCTTGTTGGTTTTTGGGAGGAGCGGTCGGGGTCGGGTCGTTTGGTACCTTTTCAAAATAGACCGTATAAGTACCGCCGCTGTGCCCTGGTGGGGACCGACTGTTACTGCTGGTTGTTAGCCTTTGGCGCACCACCACCCTTTCTTGTTAGCTTGCATTCCTTCCTCTCTCTCTCCCCTCTGCCCGGCGTCGTCGTCTCTCGCTTCGTTCCTCTCTGTCTCGACCCGCATAAAAGTTTCTACCCGCGCAACGCTTCAGAAAATATGCCTGCCAGCCAAGATGTCCCGGAGACCCGGGTTTTGATCGTTATTACCGGTATGGCGGCGCCTCATTGACTACCATGTTGAACCTCACGCTTACAACTATACTCAGGTGGCACGATCTGCATGCAAGAGTCCGAGGATGGTCTTATCCCCGTGAGTTTGGGCATAATAGGGAGAATTTTCTCTTATCATCCGCGCCGGGTTTTCTGACTTTAGGCTAGGCACGTGGTTTCCTGAAGAATTGCCTGGCGCCGCGCCCGTCCTTCAACGACGGCTCATATCCCGAGCCGCTGGAGATCGTCACCAACGACAAGGGCGCCAAGAAGGCGGTCCAGAGCTTGCGGACGCCGAAGAGCTCCTACGGCCGGCGCGTGCGCTACTCGGTGCTCGAGTTCGAGAAGCTGCTGGACAGCAGCTCCATCAACGCCGCCGGCTGGGATGAGATCGCCCGCACTCTGTACCGCAACTACACGCTTTACGATGGCTTCGTCGTGCTGCACGGCACCGACAGCCTGGCCTACACGTGCTCCGCCCTCAGCTTTATGCTGCAAAACCTGGGCAAGCCGGTTATCCTGACCGGTAGCCAGGCGCCTATGATGCAGCTCCAGAACGACGCAACCGACAACCTCCTCTCCAGTTTGGTCATTGCCGGTCACTTCATGATTCCCGAAGTTTGCCTGTTCTTCAACTTCAAACTCTTCCGTGGAAACCGCTGCACCAAAGTCTCGGCCGACGACTTCAACGCTTTCGCCAGCCCCAACCTGGCTCCGCTGGCCACCATTACTAGCCTGCGTACGAACGTGCAATGGAGCCTTGTGCACCGCCCCACCAGCGTGCATCCTTTCAGCATCCAGACCAATCTCGACACGGCGCACGTTGCCTGTCTGCGTGTCTTCCCCGGTATCAAGCCGGAGATGCTGGATGCAGTCCTGCGTTTGGATGGCCTCAAGGGTCTCGTTTTGGAGACTTTCGGTGCCGGCAACGCCCCTGGCGGTCCCGACTCAGAGATGACGAAGATCATGGCCGATGCTGTCAAGCGCGGCATTGTCATCGTCAATGTCACGCAGTGCCTCAGCGGGAGCGTCAGCGCCCTCTACGCACCAGCTACCGTCCTAGGCAGGGCGGGCGTCGTGTTCGGTCAGGATATGACGACCGAGGCCGCGCTGACGAAGCTCTCTTACCTGCTGTCTCTGCCCGACATGACACCTGTTGAGATCGCTAAGAGGATGTCGGTAAGCCTTCGCGGAGAGCTGCAGGAGAGTGGAACCACGCACTTCCAGCACCCCGACAGTGGTCTCATGAGTCCTGAGATCCAGAGCCTGGTATCATTGGGCTACAAGATCAAGGATGGAGATCTCAATGGGGTTAAAGATGTCATAAGGCACGAGCCGAGATACCTGCTCAATGAGACGGATTACGCCGGCAACACACCATTGGTGAGTCTTACTTCCTTGTTTTTCCGTCGTCTCTCCCTTAAGTGGATGAAGCCGCCACGGGCTGCGGTCTCGGCTGGGTAAGGTAGTCCGGTGGGCGAGCAGGCTGCATGCGAGCGTATCTCCGTCTCCACAGACGACGGGCGACGTGGTCGGGGCAAGCTCCTCCTTCACCAGGCGCGGAGGAGCTGTTGGAGGCGTCGTCGCATTTAGCAGCAGCATCGCCGACTGGTCTGCCGTACATGCCGAAGTGGCGCATGAAGAAAGAGATTACCTTGCATGAAAGCTGACATCTCAACGACAGCACTTGGCGGCATCCGGGCCGAACGTCGAGATCTTGCGCGAATTTCTGTCGCAGGGCGCATCTGTTCACCTACGCAACCGAGAAGGACACACGCCGCTCTATCTCGCAGCACACGCGGGGCAGGGCGATCATGTGCGGCTGCTGCGCGAGGCGGGCGCGCACCTGCACGCCGAGGAGACGGCGTCGGCGTCGCTGCACGCGGTGGAGAAGGGGTGCGCAGAGGTCTGGCGTCTGGCAGGCGTCGGCGAGAACTGCAGTGGTTGATGGGCGGACGGCGGGCGGCTTGGCTGTGCCGCAGCGTCGCGCAATCGCGGCTGACGGAGGATGGGGTGCCAAGCGGCAGGCGGGGGCGGAGCTTCAGTGTGTCTGAGGGAAGGTGGAAAGCTACGAACCCACTGTAGATAGGGAGGCGGTCGTATTGTAGGTGGTCGCGGCGGGGCCCTGTCAGACGAACATCAGGCCAGGGCCGCGGCGATCTCAAATGCGGAGGAGAGGCTCTCGCTTGGAGCGCAGGCGAGCGGCGGAGGACAATCCGGGGAAGCAGCGTGTACCTGCCGCTTGAGGCGGGCGTTGGCAGCATCGCGGGCGGGCAACAGCGAAGGGCGGCGTAGCTCCGCGGAGATGCACGCCAGAGCGGGGGATGCGCGCGCGCCGAAATGGGATTCTTAGACAATGGCACCACGGCAGCGCGCAAGGGCCAGGGTGCATTTGGCGCTACGGCGCGGTGAAACGCGTTGGAGGTACCATCGTTAGTCAGCTGCCCTGCAGCAATCGCGATCTCAGCGCGGGCGGGGGCGGCATTGGCTCGTGGCGCGGCAGTCGTCCGCCTAGCGGGGCAGGGGCAGCAGCAATCGATTACCCTCTCGAAACGCGCGCTCTTAACAACGCAAACCCGAGCGGGCAGCGAGGTCGGCACGCGCAGGCCCGGCGCGATCTGCCTGCGCTGCCGCACCTGGCGGGGCGCTCTCCGTGTGCGGCAGGCCCAATGGAGCGCCGCAATGCGCCACGACGCTGGAATTCAAGCTGGCGGGCGACGGCGAGGGGCAGCGAGGCCTATTTTTGTACCTGCGCGCCGTCCGGGGGCCGGGCGCTGGCCGCGACTCATCAGGTGTGCTCTTCCCCGCATTGCCCGCGATGCCCGCGAAGCCCGCAACCAGACCGCCCTGAGCACTTCGTCACCGTCCACGGCTGCATTGCGCTGCTGCTGCTCCGTCTCACGTCACAGCGCGCGCGCTCTCCAGACGCCACGATTCAGTGCAGAGTCAGCCGAGTTGCCCCGACACGCTGCTATTAGGTAATTAGGCAGGATTCACTGCCCTGATGCGCGCGCAGCCTGGCCCTATGTCTGCAAAATTCTCTGCCTCTCCTCCCAACACAGTCACGTTCCATGAGATAAATAAGGCCGGCCCGTTGCTCCCATGCGCCTGGGCCCTGTGTTCGTACGGGAAGCGCCTCGCACACCCTTGACCGGCCCTGTCTCTAGATAGCGCGCACATGCACGTACTGTCTGCTCAGGCCATGTCCAGCGCTGTCCGCCCGCCATTGCGCTCCCTCACCACCACCAGGATATAATTTCCGTGCCCGCGCCCCTCCGCCCGACCAGCTCCTCCCCAAAGCCGACCCATCACACCACGCCAAAGGCCCGCAACGCCCTCTTGAAAACCCTTCTCACCGCAGACACGAGCTCCGCATGCAAGACAGAAAGACGGTCGTTACCATCAACAGCACCGGCCGCCAATCGGCAAGCTTCATCCGCGTCGCCGCCGCCGTCGGATGGCAGGTCCGCGCCCAGACGCGCGACACCCAGGGCATTGTTGCGCAGGAGCTGGCCTCGACTCCCGGAGTCGACCTGCGCGTGGGCTCCCTGGACGATGACCACTTCGTAGCCGACCTCTTCAAGGGCGCCCAATTAGCCTTCATCAACACCACCCACTGGGGCGATGAGATTGCTACCGGCCGCGCCATGGCCATGGCCGCCAAGAAGGCTGGCGTGGAGCACTTCATCTACAGCAGCATGCCCGACCACTCCATCTACGACAAGGGCTGGCGCGCCCTGCCCCTCTGGGCCAACAAGTTCGCCGTCGAGAACTTTGTCCGCCAGATCGGCATTCCCGCGACCTTTGTCTACGCCGGCACCTACCACAACAACTTCACCAGCTTGCCCTACCCGCTGTTCCGCATGGAGCTGCAGGACGACGGCAGTTTCGAATGGCAGGCCCCATTCCACCCCCACATCCCCATTCCTTGGTTGGACGCCGAGCACGATGTCGGCCCTGCCATCTTGCAGATCTTCAAGCAAGGCCCGCGTAAATGGGCAGGCCAGCGGTACGTCTAAGCGTTGTCTCACGGAGAGCACGCCTCAGGACTTCGAGTCCGGTTGTGCAAGACGCCACATGTCCTGAGTCATTGTTGAGTTAGTCATACTAACGCAAATTTCATATGCAGAATTCCCCTGGCCTTCTCGCAGCTCACTCCGGTGCAGGTCTGCGAGGCCTTCAGCCGCGCGTTGAATCGGCCGTGTCGGTACGTCCGTGGTCCCGTCACCTTCCACGTCCCCGTGCCAGTTGGGTATCGCGAACATCTGGAGGTGCTCGAGGAAGTGCTAGGGTGGCAGAACGCGCCCTACTTCGGGCCCGACCTGGAAGAGGACTGCACACGGACGGCGCTGGAGTTGTGGGAAGGGTTCCGCGACATCGAGGAGTACGCGCGCGAGATCTTCCCCGTGGAGGAGCGGGCCAACGGGCTCACCTGGATGGACGAGGACGACACGGATACTCAGCCCGAAGACACGCCTGCGGAGACGCCACTCAGAGACGTGGAGAACTACTTCCAGGTGATGAACCTCTGAGGGCACTCGTCGCATTTTCGAGGTAAAGAGCATTTTGCATTGCGTTGGCGTTCTTACTTGCTGTGGATTCGTCGGTTTGGCGGCGGCATTACAAAAAAGCTTTAGCGGATCTACTTTACTTGCTTCTAAGACACACAGGATGGTTTCGGCTGAGCGCACCGTGGGTATCCATCAAAAAAGAGGTAATCACCAGCACGATTCACGTTATCACGAAGGCATTTTGGATTTCCCGTTCGGTTGATAGAGCTTGGGTTCCGGCTGGACGGTGGATAATGTTTGTTAGATCCTGCAATCACCCCTCTCTTCGGTTCGATGGCTTGGGAAAACATGTATGGCTGTGATTTGGTGCACATCGCTGAAAGGGAGCCCATGTTAGAGTGGTCCTGCATCGTTCAAGTTGGCGAGGAGAGCGTGGTTTTTTGGTTTGGCGGAAGTGTAGAGGTGGCATTTCACCCTGACAATTTTCACCGATCTTTCTTGAACAAGTCACCGCGTGAACATCACTGATCTTCAAAGAAGGCCCTATGGTATTACCTTACTCGGTTAGATCTGAGGTTCCACCCACTCGCCAACATCCATGAAGCCATACAAGGGCATGACAGTATTCTGGGCGCCAGGAGCAAGAATTGATTGTTCCGCCGATCGCTCCCTGCTTTGTATCCTGTCTACTCTGATGCCCGTACCACTCAATGGCACGGAGGTCGCGGGCGCTTCTTGTGCGGGATCGTGGCGCTTAGTCAGCATCACGGCCGCCTCGGCGGAAGTTTCAAGCTCTCGAGACACCCGCGGACTTATCTGAACCCACCCCCACACAACATGGCAACACTACGCCCGGCTGCACGGCCACTGGCCGCCTGGAAGACCGCGCTGCGGCAGGCTCGGTCCTCGAAGCTCCAGCAGCGCTGCTTCGCCGATCTCACGAATAACCAGCCCAAGGCTCTGCACGCCAATGGCTTGATCAAGCGTACGTCCTCACCACGCACACCCAGACGACCCCCGAGGACTCTCTACAAGCGATTTTCGGCCGTTTCGAAGCTCGATTGAGCCAATCCGCCCTTTACTGCTGCAATTGAGCCCTCGGGGAAAGGAAGGAGGACAAATATGGGGGAAAAGTATCCGCAAACGGCGGGCTAACGGTTCATTTCCCAATTGTGCAGAGTCGGGCAAAGTCCACAACCCCATCAAGGTATACCCGCCGCCGGCAACAGCAGCAAACAAGTGCAAGGACCCGATCGCGGCGGTGACGGCGACGCAGCTCTCGACGCTCGACCCGACGGGGGCGCGCGCGCACCTGTTCTCCAAGACGAACCGCGACGCGGCGAAAGTGGGCGACATCCTGCTGGTGCGGCAGCGCAACGGCGACCCGTTCGCGGGCGTGTGCCTCAACATCCGGCGGCGCGGCGTCGACACGGCCATCCTGCTGCGCAACCAGCTGACGCGCGTCGGCGTCGAGATGTGGTACAAGGTCTTCAGCCCCAACGTCGAGGCCATCGAGGTCGTGCAGCGCCGTGAGAAGAGGGCCCGCAGAGCCCGTCTGTATTACATGCGCAAGCCTAAGCACGACCGCGGTAGCGTGGAGAACATCGTCAGGCAGTACCAGAGGCAGAAGGCGATGCTGAGGGGCGGTGGTTCGATGAGAGGGAGGGGTGCGAATGCTGGGAAGAAGGCTGGCAAAAAGGGTAAATAAGTGCGGGCAGGGAGGGAACAGTTGGAGTGGGATTGAGCAGCTGTACTCTGGGGCTTCATGAGGGGGACGGTCTCTGTGCATGTATTATGGGTATCATTTCACCGCTGAAGGAAGGCATTCAGCCAAAGTCCAAGGAGCTTACTGGCTTGCAAAATACGAGATCCTTGTGCGGTTTCTTCGAGATGGGCGAGGCCCATGCGTGAGAGTGGATGGGTGGCTAGAGAACCAAGTTGGTCATCAAACTCCTACGGACATTTAAACTCCGAACGGACAACATCGAATCATCATCTACACAGACAAACGGTATCGGTGATATCCGGGAGCTGGGTTCAACGCTGACAACGGAAATAGAGGGCTAGACTCTATTACTTTACATGGAGGAAGTGGCCGGGCGCCACAGCCCACTTTAGAAGTTGTTGGGGGCTCAGCACTCAAAACACAGCCGGTGGATTCGAGACTCACGATTCTTAGATGCGTATAACAAGAGGATGGCACTGGGTCTGGCGTAATGGCTTGGCTGTGTGCCGGCGAGATTCCAGGTTGTCGCGGAGACTCCTTTGCGCAACCCTCGGCCCTTATCTGTAATGATAGAATGCACTCCTGGCTTCTGGCGAAGGACAGATAGCGCGTCCTCTCAACCGCGTCCGGGTCAAAGGCTAGCGCTGCGCAGTACCCGCTTGGAAGTGGACTAGACATCCGATCCCCCGCAATGTTTGTGCGTTCGAGCAGCGGTCGGGGAAAGTACCGGGACGGATTGAGGCACAACTTGGCATAAGCCGCACGGGACCGCGCGTTGGGGTGTGGTTGCCGACGGCAGGCAAATCAGCATGCAGCCGTTGGCACGGCCGTGCGGAGCGCGATTGAGGCGCAAAGGGTCCTGGACGCGCGAGTCAGTTAATGACGGCATCCACGAAGAATGAGTCGGGCTGATCGGCCTGAAAACCCTAGTTGCTGTTGCATCCCAACATTTTTACCTGCTCGCCTCCACGTTATTTGTGCATACTTAAAAGCGCCGTCCGTCCGGCTAGATTCTCGCCGCACATTCTCCCTCCCAGACCTCCCCCAAAACACCCACCTCTTATCCTATATTTCTACCAAAATGGCTCCCTCCGCCACCGAGCAAACCGACGTTACCTACGAGGACCTGATCCAGCTGGAGCAGGAATTTGAGGATGCCGACCTCCAGATCAGTACGCCGCCCTCGCCCGCGTTGAATGCGCTCCCCAAGCTGACCTGCAGCCAGTCCGCCAGCAGTACAAGATCACCCAGCCTCTCTACAAGAAGCGCCAGGACGTGATCTCCAAGCTCCCCAACTTCTGGGCCCTCGTCTTTGAGCAGGTGCCGCCCGAGCTCGACAACTTCATCCAGCCCTCGGACTCCAGCATCTTCGCCGACTGCCTCAAGAGCATCGAGGTGACGCGCTTCGAGATCGACGACCCGGCCGGCTCGCCGCGCAGCTTCTCGGTCAAGTTTGGCTTCGGCCCTAACAAGTACTTCGACAACGAGGTGCTGGAGAAGAAGTTCTGGTACCGCCGCGCCCTCGACGGCTGGTCGGGCCTGGTGTCGGAGCCGGTCAAGATCAACTGGAAGAAGGGCCAGGACGTGACCGAAGGCCTCACCGACGCCGCCGTCGAGCTGTTCGAGGCCCGCAAGACGCTGTCGGCCGAGAAGGTCAAGAGCGAGTTCAAGAAGCTGCCCCAGTACAAGAAGCTCCTGGAGAAGATGGAGCTGAGCGAGGAGGGCACCCTGAGCTTCTTCACCTTCTTCGGCTTCGTCTCGGCACGGCCCTTCGTCACCGCTGAGGAGTCTGCTAAGGCCACCAAGAAGGAGGCCGAGGACCGCGCCAAGAGGTCCAGGGGCGAGAAGGTCGAGGAGACGTCCCCGGAGGACGAGGAGGATGAAGAGATTCAGCTGTTCGCTGAGGAGTCCGAGGTCTTCCCTACTGGCGACGAGCTGGCCACGCTCATTGCCGAGGACATCTGGCCCAACGCCATCAAGTACTTCAGTACGTAACCGTTCGCCAAGAATTATTTGAGTGCCATGTGCTAACAGAGACTAGCTTCTGCCCAGGAGGCTGACGACGACGACCTCTCGTCTATCGAGGACATTGAGGATATCGACGTCGACGACGATGAGGACGAGCCGGTTGATATCCGCGCCCTTGTTGGCAAGGGCAAGAAGGAGAAGAACGGCGAGAGCTCTCCCCCGGCCAAGAAGCGCCGCACTTAAGCAAAGATAATTGCTAGGTTCGAAATGATTGGGTCTGATTGGATATAACAAAAGAAAGCTAGATACCCGGGGACAGCATTGATGGAATTGGGCTCAGCGGATGGATGCGGAAGGGTTGGCGTGACTGAGATTGATTTGGATAGAAGGCGAAAAAGACGTCTTGAATAGTTTCTTGAGGGACCAAGCATCCGGTAATTCACAGCATGTCTTCAATTGATTGGCGCTGGCGTTTAGATGTTGTCCTTTCTCATTTCGCGCCCGAGCTTGCCGGAGTGCACCTTAGTCATGGTTGCAAGAGCGGTGTTGGGCCGTCCCGCTGCCAGGCCAATCTGGGCGCGGAGTTGGCTCTCCGTCTTTCTCCCCCGCCGGGGCGCGTCAGGAACAAGTAGCGGAATGAAACGATCCTTGACTTGTTTATCCGTAGCGCGGCTCTTGTTGGTCCGTTTAAGCATCTGCTCGTCATCGCGCCTCGAGGCTCCATGTTTTGCCGGCTCGTCACTGGTTAACCCTTGTCAATGGAGCTTGGACTCCTCATCCGAGCTCAAAGTTTCCTTCTCCGCCACGCCTCTTTTCTACCTGAACCCCGCTCGACCATCGCATGAGAGGATCACGGACCGGAAATGACGACTCTGGGCGCTGAGAATATTGACACCTCACCTCACCCCATAAATATGCCCGCCTGCCGCTCCCATCCGGTCCTGTGTGGCCCACGGACTCTGCCAACTGACCACCCGCCATGCCTTCCCTCGTCCTTCCCGTCCTTTTGGCCTCGTCCGCCATCGCCGGCGCCCAGTTGACCTTCAAGGAGCCGGTGGGAAACTATTCGACAAAGACCTATGCTCTCCCCGCAATCGAGACGAAGCACAGGTCCAACACCGACTACTCGGACGAGGCATTGGCATTCCTGTGGGATCAGGTTGGTCCCATCTCCACCGGTCCCGTCACCACCACCGTCTCGCCGACGCCCGAGCCCAGCGTGCACCCCGGCCCGGGACCCATCCATCCGCTTGTCCCCAGCTACGACACGAACCTCACGAACCTGAAGCTGCCCAAGGGTTTCAAATGGGGCGTGTCGTCTTCCTCCTATCAGATCGAGGGAGCCGCCGACGCCGAGGGAAAGGGGCCCAGCATATGGGATCTACTGTCTCACCGTGCCACTAACTTCGTCGCTGACAACACGACCGGCGACGTCGTGGCCAGCCATTACTGGCTGTACAAGCAGGATTTTGCGCGCTTGAAGAGCTTGGGCATCCCGTCGTTCAGCCCCAGTATCAGCTGGCCGCGCCTTTTCCCCTTTGGCAAGGGCCCCGTCAACGAGCAGGCTGTGGCTCATTACGACGATGTGATTTCGGAAATGGTGGCCAATGGCATCAAGCCGAAGATTACGCTCTTCCACTGGGACACGCCTTTGGCTCTTTTCAACGAGTACGGAGCGTGGACCTCGCCCGAAATTGTTGATGATTTCTTCAACTATGCGAAGTTCGTCATCTCCCGGTATGACGAGTACGTTGATGATTGGTTCACTATCAACGAACCGCAGTACTGCGACTGGCAGTACTCTGTCTACCCTGCTGGTGACTACTATCCTGCATACAACAACTACACTGGAGGTCTGCCGACGCGCTTCATCTGTGGACACTATACCTTGCTTGCTCATGCAAAGGTTGCGAAATGGTACCACGAGGAGTTCAAGGTATGTATTTCTCGTGTTCTAACAATGGGAGATGAAGTACTGAACGGCAACAGGGACACGGTACTATAACGTTCAAGAACTCTGGGAATTACTTCCAGCCAAACACTTCCTCAGAGGCAGACGCCATTGCAGTTCAGCGCAACTTCGATTTCGTGCTTGGCTGGTTCAGCGGACCCTGGACCGATGGAGACTACCCCCAATCGTTGAAAGATACTTTGGGTGACATCCTCCCAGAGTACACACAGGAAGAGAAGGATCTGATCAAGGGCTCGTGCGACTACTTCGCCATCGACGGCTACTCGTCCTTCACCGCCTTCGCCATCGACGACTACGAAAACTGCTTCACCAACTCCTCCCACCCATCCTGGCCCACCTGCGCGGGCAGCACCAACGCCGCCCCCGACGGCTTCCCCCTCGGCCCTGCCGGCGACCCCGGCGTCTCGTGGCTGACCGACGCGCCGCAAGGCCTGCGCCGCTTCCTCTCCAAGATCACAAAGGAGCTCTACCCCTCCGTCAACGAGATCATGGTCACCGAATTCGGCTTCGCCGAGCCCTTCGAGTCGCAGCTCGACGACCTCTCGACCATCCTCTGGGACCTGCGCCGTGCCGACTACTTCCAGTCCTACCTCGACGCCATCCTGCAGTCGATCCACTACGACGGCGTCAATGTCACCGGTGCCTTTGGCTGGGCCATCTTCGACAACTTTGAGTGGTTGGTCGGCCTTAACACTAGGTTTGGTCTGCAATATGTCAATTACACGGATTTGACGAGGACGCCGAAGGCGAGCGTGTTCCAGTTTGTTAACTGGTTTAAGTAAGTGGATTCCGAACTTCCTTTTGTTTTTGGGGTGAGCGTGCTGACAGTGTGATTTACTAGTGAGCATGAGGACGTGGATGAGCCGTCTAACACGACAGCCAGGCTGTTGTAGAGGGGAAACTTTACGAGTGTGTATGCATAAGAGATATCCATCCGCGTTTTAGCTGCGGCTTAGGGTCTTAAATAATGAATCAAGTTGAATCGCTTTTCCACCTACGAAATGATGTATTCTTAAGTGTGTGCAATTCGTGAAGCTAGGTCGCTGTAGCGAATAATTATGAAATACAAAAGGTGAAAAGAAGATTAAACTTAAGCCACAGATAAAAAGAAGCTTAATAATAAGCTAGGTAGAGAGATGGTTAAGCTTAAGTGGGAGTAGAAAGATTAAAAAAAAATTGCTTCCGAAGACCATGCTAATGAGAATTTACGTACCTTGGTAACCAGTTCTAAGATCCACCATTGTCGAGGAAGAGGAGAATGGGAATACAAGGCGTGGGTAGAACTTTTACTGAGTTTCAAACAGCGTTAGTTAACTAGCTGTCCGGTATGGACACGGTGCTGGGAATCGGAAAACCTGTCTCGATTGGTCTCAATTGGTTGTGGTGCAGAAATGCCATAGAACTGTGGCAATATTAGCAACTGCCAACCCAACGTTAGGATTCGAACGCATGGTCTTCGGAAGCTAAATGAAGCACTGGAAGCACTGGGGACGGTGCCACCCAATACGTCATCTGTCTTTGTATGGTAAAGTGTGCTCGCGGACCCGTATTTGTGTCCGAGGTGGGGGCAAAACGGCGATCCGGTCCATGATTTCTTAGCGGCCTGAATAAAGTGTGTCGCGACGTCCATGGTCATCGATGTCGTTTTCATCCTCGTGGCTGTTGTCGTAGACGGATGACTAGAGCCTGACGCTCACTTCGCCTACCCTCCTGCACATCATATCCTTTCACTTCGACTACTGAGGCGGATATCGCACGCAATACTCTTGTTCTTTTTCATCTCCTTGCTAACGGCGGTGAGCATGGAGGTCTTCACTTGGAGGTGCGCTACGCGCTAAGACTGAGAGACTTTCGAAGCAGCAAGTACTCTTACGGCGCCTGTGATGTGATGTGTGCATGCTTGGACACCACGACATGTGTCACCCCGTGAGACTACGCATATTAAGATACCGAGACTCTGTATTGTTCTGCAGACTTAATATATACCTGCTTTAGTGCTACTGCTATGCTATGCTCTAATGCCAAGTTCCTATTCCGTAATCCTTCCAAACTTTCCACCTTCTCAACTCAACCTCCAATCTGCCCTGCTCGATCATATCTCACTCAATCAACTTGTCCACACCGACCCAACACTCAATCGTCGCCCTCTGCATCTCCATCCTCGCCACTCTCACCCCCCAGAAAAGCCTCATGGAAAGCCTGTTCAAAAGCATACTCCTGGCTGAGATCATCTTTCGTCTTCCGGCAAGGCGTATCTTGCTTCAGCCTCATGGAGTCATACCACTCTCTCATGCCCCTACGAATCTCCTCGACATCGACCTTTGGCCTACCCAGATGCCCCAGCCACCTGTATAAGTCGGCCGTCGCCTGCTCCTCCATGTGAGACGGACCGGCCATGACGGCGGCCTCTAGAGCGGCAGCATGAGCCGGATCATTGTCGCAGTGGCCGTCGTGGCCATGGTTGTGGTGGCCATGGCCGTCTTCATCATCGTGCCAACGGAAACATGTGGCGTCGTCGACGGCGCTGCACGCGCTGTTCTTGGGCGGCGACGGAAATTCGTCCAGCGTGACCCAGACGGCAGACGAGGTGGGCCGTTTTTCGTCGCTGCTGATGCCGAGCACGGAGTCGACGGCGCGGCGGCGCGGCGGGCAGGGTGGTGCGGAGGCAGGGCAGACGGGAGTCTTCGCTCTTTGGACCAGCTCGGGCGACACCGACATGCCGGGGTAGTGGGTGACGTTGAAGCGGGAGGTTTTCTTGGGGGGAGACGGACGGCTGCCGCCTTTGCCTTTCGTGGTCGGCTTCATCTCGAGGGGTGCGTCGGAGCCGTTCAAGTCGCACGAGGAGGGGATCGTGTGGGGTTGGTAGATGATGATGTACTCGTCGTCGGTGGCTTCGAAGTCGTCGGCGGAATTGTCATAATCTTTTTGCTTCTCGGCGCGATGCTCGCGTACGGGCAACGTCTCCCATGCAGGGACATTTCGGCCCCAGCGTGGACTGGGAGGGGAGAAGCAAGGCGCTTTCACCATCGCCTTCTTCTTTTTCTTCTGTTTCGTGGGCGACGAAGCGGCTGAGCGCTTGTGGGCTTTCATGACGTCGTCCAAGTCCTGGTCTCCTGGGGGTGGGTGGAACAAGGACCGTTTAGGACAGGCCTTCTGCGGTTGTAGCATTGTATCGTCAGGGGAAGGAAGCAGGCGAATATTAGTCGTCCGGCATACGGACAGCTGAATCCTGACGCGAATGTGTCGTTCAAACATGGCCCTTGTAGGGAAGAAACGTTTGCTCACGGTAGACAAATCCACGTTAAGACATGCCCGTACCTCTCGATCTCCCATGTTTGGAAGTGGCCGAACGTAGCCTCGGAAGCCTTCGGCGTTTTTGTCCCAGTCAAACTTGATCCAATCAGACGCGAGTCGGTACTCTGGCTGTGCAATGATGGAAGTATAGCCCGGTTCCAAGACTGGCTCTGTATACGAGGGGCGAATTTCGCACCAACCTTCTTCGCTCGTGAAGACGTCCAGTCGTTTGAATTTCATCAAGGGACCGTAGCGCCTGAGAATTCCAACAACCTTCGGCTCATTACCCGAGAGGGAGGCAGAGAAAGAGACATTCACTGTGGGTTGAGGGTCTCCATCCTCGAAGCAGTCACGGGTGCGTAAAAATTCGCATAGCGCGTTGTAGAAGTTGCCGCTGGCGGCAAGCCATTGATGCTGGCATCCATGACGTTTGTAGAGCTCAAGCATGTAAGTGATGATCTCACGAACATTGACGGCAATGTTCTGAGGCTCGAGCTTGTCGATGAAGTTGCAGATGCGACCATCTAAGTCGCCGGGGTAACGATCTATCGAGTTCACACGTAGTCAGCATTTGTAGATGGCCATTTTAAGCAAAGACTTACCAATGTTGCAGTTATCCATTTCATCCACAATGTCGATCAAGTGGTTGGAAACGACATACTCGAGGACAGCTGCGAACATCTCTTCCCAGAACTTCAACTCTTCGGCTTGCGCGGTGGTCAACCGCCTCCAGGTTGATGTGGCGTCGAGATGCCGATACAGACGGTCTTTGTTGGAGTCATATTGATGGAAATCCGGAACGTACAGGTCGAGGTAGGAACCTCTCGCGGGGAGGGCGTCGGATTCAAGGCGAAAGTGGATCTTTCGTAGGAGTTGCGACTCGCTCGACAGGTTGCGGAGCCTGGAAAGCTCAACACCATAAACATGGGTGCATTCCATTGTCACGAATGCTGCTTGCGAAGTATGTTGGCCGATATGCTTCAGGAAGTATAGAAAATCGCTGTTCGCAGTACGGATGGCGGTGGTGTCGTGGACTTGGACGCGCAGTCTGGATGGAACGAGCCTTTTGTCTAAGAGTTGGTTGGGGCAGGGTCCTGGCGGAAAGATGCCACCTGGCGCAGCTTCGCGACTGCCGCTTGAGAGAGGGCAAGAGACGCCGCTCGCTTTTTACAGGCAAGTTCGGTTCACACGGCATCCATGCTTGCCCTTGTCGTGAGCTGCTCATTCTTATTGCCCAATTTGGAAATCTGCAGGAAGACATCGACCCCGTAGCCTTCTAGGCTGTGCAGCTCCAGACTACCCGCCCAGTATTCTGCATAGATTCTACTCATAGGCAAGCCGATTCCTAGGCGCAGATCGGGCGGGCGGCTGGTCAGAGAGCTGAGGGAGCCGTCGTGGTGTTCGCCCTCTACACGGGGCTTGACTTCTTGCATGGTTGCTGCCAACTTTGGAACCCTCGACAAGTTCTCGATACGGAGCTTGCTGCGGGGACCCTTGCTAAAAGACCAAAGATATGGTAGCACGTCCTTTGGGACACCGCCTCCCTGATCAGAGATACGGATAATGACATGCTGCTGCGTCTCACAGATGAGCACTTCTATGGGCGGAGCCCCCGTTCCCTTGAGTTTTGTCTGCTCAATGACGGCCTGGATAGAATTCCGCAGGAGTTCACCAATGATGTACTCCAGATGGGTGAGAATGTAGGGGAATGTAGCGGTGATGTGGCCCTCAACTTTGACATCTGGGAGGGGGATATCAGGTCCATACGTTTTCTTCATGAGATCCTTGGTGGTGTTTGCGCAGTGCTCGACGATCTCCTTTGCATTACACTTGAGGAATATTTCACCCACAGAATCCATGTGCGGGTCGAGCTGGAACTTTGCGTCGGGGAAATGCCACGGGGAGTGGAATGTTTCTGTAAGAGCAAGATGCTGCTCTGCGATGGTTCGGCGGGAAATGCGCTGCCAAAAGTCAGCAAGCGGGCACTGGGCAGTTCCTGGAGGCGGCACGTACCGATCTAAGCAGCGTGGTCATGAACTTATCCGTCTCTTCAGGCTTCATGGCACCCTGAACCTCCAGCACCCCAATGGCCAAGCGCGGAATGACGGTGAGGTGCTCATCCAACGTCTCTCGTATAACCTTGCACAACTCATCGTTGTCTTCGACGGTCTTGACTTCGGGAAGACGGCGATATCTCTCGAAGGCGCGGTAGTAGAGCTCGTAGACGTAGGAGATGTTTGGATTGGTGACGACAACGTAGGGGAGGGTTTGCATGTCTCGAAGGCGGTGGGCAATACTAGACGGGGATCAGCCTCATGGACTAATCGACGGCCACCGGGGGTCGTACCGCGTGGGCAGTTCGGAGCGGACGTAGTTTGCAGAACCCAGCAAGCGCGCTTCTGTCAAGCGGGCGCCAAAGAAAGTCAACTGGCGCAGGCTGATGGGACGAGCCTCGCGTTGCACCCAGCTTGGTCGCGTCAGCGGGCAACAGTGACTATCGAGAGGTGCGCGCCTACTCATCGAGGACAGAAGACGGCCGCCACGGGGGAGCGCCAGAGAGCTTGACGGTACTGAAGCTACGGGCGCTTCTGGACGCCGAGGAGATGCTCGCGCGCATGCTCTTCTGGGCATGCACGCAGCGGGCTATAGCCATGGCGGCGAAGGCGGTGGGTTGCGGGGCTCTCGTGCAATGTTTCGAGAAGCTTGGTTGCGCGAGGGGAGGGCAGCGAGGGAGCTTTTTTCGGGTGTCTGGCGCGGCGGAGACTCCGGGAGGGCGATTTGCTCTGAGCAGGGCGCAGGGGGATCTCCAGCAGGAGCATGCAGGAAAGCAGCAGCGTGGTGTGAGGGTGATGTTAGCTTGATGCTAGCTCCTATGCGCAGCGTCATGCTCTGGTAAATTTCGAGACAACCTGACTCGCGCCGCCTGGCTGCTTATCGAGATGCCTATCGATACCGCCGCCGAGCTGGTACCAGCGCCTGGCCAGGCTGCGGCGGGCACGCGACGCGGATAGCGGGCGAGATTGTAGCAGGGTGGAATGGCGGACGCGATTCCCGCGAGACGTGTTGGCGGCGGCGGCGGCGGGGCCTGATCGACTGTCATAGAAGATACTGAACACCGCCGCGCCTTAGCGTCTTGCGGCAACCACGGCCAGCACTGCTCCCACGCAGCACCCCGCAAACCCTAGCCTGTCCACGCCAGAGCCCCCATCTCCCTTCATAGCAGCACGACGTTGCAGACAGCGGCGCTTCCGGCGACGACAAAGACCCGCCCAAGCGTCCTCAGCCAACCGCTTCGTCATTGTGTTCCCCGCCACGCCTTAGCGAGCCAGAGCCGTACCTTAGCTTGCAACTTTACATGTTCAGGCCTGCCCTCCGTCTGCCTGCTCACCTCACCACCCACGCCCACCCCGCGCATCCGTGTGCGACGCCGACCCAGCCCGCCGACGCCGCCCATTGCTCCGCGCCGTCTAAGTCCGTGCCGGCTCTCGTGTGACGGCACCAGGGCGCAGACGTCAGGTCCGCCGCCGAGCTCACTGCCTGCAAATCCACCCAAGTCTATCCCACGCCACCCTAGCCATGGACCAGGTAAGCATGCTCTCTCCGCCTCCTCCCTTGCCCCTTCCCACCGCTCTCCGTGCCTGCCCGCATGCCGTGGTCACCAGTCGGCTTACTCGAGCGCCTGCGCCGTCCTCAACAGCTCGGCAGTGACATGCTCGTCGACGCCGAGTACGACGAGAAGCAGGACGTTGCCATAATCTCTCCCGACGACGCTATGGACGAGGCCGAGCAGGAGCCCGAGCCGCGCGCCGACGACTTCGAGGCCATGAAGAAGCGCTACATGCCCGAGCTTCCCGACCTCGACACTGAGGCCGAGGCCGCTCACACATGGGAGATCAAGGAGTGGAGGAATATGGCCCGCCGGGAGCATGGTCCCGTCTTCAAGTGTGCAGACCACCCGTGGCGGATACTATTCTTCCCCTACGGAAACAACACGGATCACGCGTCCTTCTACCTGGAGCAGGGCTTCGACGACAGCAAGCCGCCTGAGGATTGGTATGCCTGCGTGCAATTCATGCTTGTGTTGTGGAACCCCAACGACCCCTCCATCTATGTCCAGCATTCCGCAACACACCGCTTCACCGGCGACGAGGGTGACTGGGGTTTTACACGCTTCGCCGAGCTCCGCAAGCTCTTCCAGACGCCCTGGGAGGATCGCGACCGCCCGCTGGTCGAGAACAACAGCGCCAACGTCACCGCATACGTCCGCGTTATCAAGGATCCCACCGGCGTGCTCTGGCACAACTTTGTGAACTACGACTCGAAGAAGGAGACTGGCATGGTTGGATTGAAGAACCAAGGCGCCACCTGCTACCTCAATTCGCTGCTGCAGTCGCTGTACTTCACCAATGCTTTCCGCAAGGCCGTCTACCAGATCCCCACCGAAAACGAGGCCGAGCGCAGCAACAGCGCCTACGCCCTGCAGAGACTCTTCTACCAGCTACAAACAAGTAACGTTGCAGTATCCACCAATGAGCTCACCGCATCCTTCGGCTGGGATTCCCGGCAGATCTTCGAGCAGCAGGATGTCCAGGAGCTGTCCAGAATTCTGATGGAGCGCATGGAGGAAAAGATGAAGGGCACCGAGGCCGAGAACGCACTCCCCAAGATGTTCGTGGGTAAGATGAAGACTTACATCTCCTGCATAAATGTTCCCTACGAGTCATCACGTATCGAGGACTTCTGGGACATCCAGCTCAACGTTAGCGGTAATAAGAATCTGGATGACAGCTTCAAGGACTACATCCAGGTCGAGACGATGGACGGCGAGAATAAGTATTTCGCAGAGGGCTACGGCCTCCAGGATGCCAAGAAGGGTGTTATCTTTGAGAGCTTTCCGGACGTCTTACATCTCCAGCTGAAACGCTTCGAGTATGACTTCAACAGGGATGCCATGATGAAGGTCAACGATCGTTACGAATTCCCCGAGGTTTGGGATGCTGCACCGTACCTCTCTGAAAGTGCAGACAAATCAGAACCCTACCTTTACCACCTTCACGGCGTGCTCGTGCACAGCGGAGATCTCAACGCCGGCCATTATTACGCTTTCTTGAAGCCTACCAAGGACAGCCCCTACTTCAAGTTTGATGACGACCGTGTCACACGTGCCACCGTCAAGGAGGCCCTGGAGGAGAATTTCGGAGGCGATTATACAAATCTCGTCAATGGCAATGCTCAGCAGCGAAACCCGTACACCCGTACTTGGTCGACTAAGAGATCCATGAGCGCCTACATGTTGGTATACATCCGGGAGAGTCGCCTGGACCAGGTTCTCCCCAGCGATGAGGAAGTGCAGCCTCCTACACATTTGGGTATGTAAAATTCTATCGTCGATTGACTACATCTAACAGTTGGATATAGCACAAAAGTTCGCAGAAGAGCGAGCTGCCTTTGAGAGAAAAAAGAAAGAGCGCGAGGAGATGCACCTTTACCTGCATGTTTCCGTGGCCACCGAAAAGAACTTCACCTCCCACCAAGGATTTGACGTAGCTCCATGGTCGAAGGACGTCGAAGGCGATGCATCGCCGAAGACGTACAAGGTCTTGAGGACCATGACAATTGCTGATTTCACCAGCATGGTAGCTCAAGACATCGGTGCTGAAGCTAAGCTCCTCCGGCCCTGGGCTATGGTCAACCGACAGAATGGAACGGTTCGTCCGGATGCCGTCATCACCTTCCCTGACATGACTGTTGAAGAAGCGGCCACCAAGTTCGGCACCAAGTCTGGAAACTTTAAGGTCTGGATGGAAGAAACAAAGGAGACGGATGCTGAAGGCAAGCCCGTGTTTGGCGATGCGCACGTTGACCTCCACGGAGTCGCGAACAACAGGCCAATCATGCTCTACCTGAAGTATTTCGACCCGGATGAGCAAACTCTCTTCGGAATCGGTACTTTCTACGCGGCCTGGCAGGATAAGGTCATGGATCTGTCTCCTCAAATCTTGAAACTTGTGGACCTTCCGGCCGGCACTAACCTGAAGCTTTTCGAGGAAATCAAGTCGAACATGATTGAGCAGATGAAGCCCAAGGTCACCCTCGCTTCCTCGGAGATCCAGGATGGCGACATCATTACAGTCCAGAAATCATTGTCCGAAAAGGAAGCCGCGGCCATTTCCAGCACTGGCCGATACACTGATGTTAGGGAATTCTACGATTATCTGTTGAACCGCGTGCATGTGCACCTCGCACAGAAGGGCCAGGACAAGGACAACGATACGAGTTTCTACATGTGGCTGAGCAAGAAGATGACATACGATCAATTTGCCGCCAAGGTGGGCGAGCATCTGAAGGTGGACCCTACGCACATTCGTTTCAGCACAGTCAACATTTCCACCGGAAAGCCTAAACTGCCAATCAAGAGGACCGCAAACATGACGCTCAGCCAAATACTCTACCCTAGCACGTACCCGACGTACGGTAACCCGCACAATCAGAGGGTAGACGCATTGTACTACGAAATTCTCGAGTACAGCTTGTCCGAAATGGACCAAATGAAGAGCTTCAGGGTTTCTTGGCTGCCCGAGGGAGTGATAAAGGAGGAGCAGTACGACATCCTGGTGGCCAAGAACGGAACAATGGACGACTTGATCAAGGGCTTGCAGAAGAAGGCGGGCTTCGACGATGCAACGGCCGCCAAGGTCCGCCTTTACGACGGCTCGAGCAATCGTTTCAAGCAAGAAATTCCCAGAGAAAAGGGAGCATTGAGCATTCACGAGTTTGCTACTCTGTATGCGGAGAAGATACCGGAGGAGGAATCGACAATAGACAGTGAAGCGGGAGACAGCATCATCACGTGCTTCCATTTCGACAAAGAGCCGTCCAAGCCACACGGTATTCCCTTTGTCTTCGCTGTTAAGGCCGTGAGTATCACATTTGGCGAAGTCGTAACTATGCTAATGGCCTGCAGGGCGAGGCTTTCAAAGACACCAAGGAGCGTCTCTCGAAACGTACTGGCATCAAGGGCAAGCAGCTCGAGAAGATCAAATTTGCCATTGTGGTGGGCAGTGGAGGATTCCCTAAGGCCGAGTATCTTGGCGATGGTGAGCAAACAGACCCCAAAAACACGGATTGATTTGTGACTTGTTACGCAGACGATATCCTTGCGGAGAAGATTAGCAGCCATCAAGAGGACATTTCCCTCGGCCTGGATCACGTCAACAAAGCGCGCTCAACATGGGGCAAGACAGATTCGATCTTCATCAAATGATGAGAATCGTACAGTGCTCGCGTGTTTCGGGAATTATTGCATAGGGCGCTGGATAATAAAGGGCCGGGGACGGAATAAGGTAGGATTGGGGGCGACGGCCTGGATTATTTGCGGGGTGAATTGATTAGCGACACAGTTTTCGAAGATGAGCGGGTGCAGAAAGGAAATGCTCGCTGCGTGCATAGAGATGGCGTCCGTTTCCTCATCTCCTTCACCTTCCCCAACGTTTTCCGTGGTTGCACAACTCGGGATCTGTCACCGCGGATACCCAGGCGAGAGTACATGTAGAACTTGGGCAATAGCATCTTTTATCTTGCTTCAGTTCGTGCTTGTGCATGTGCTGCCGATCAGCATGCCAAATAGCCAATGCATAACAGGCGACAAAAGAATTTGGCTCTTCCTAAGCTTTCTCACTAGAAATAGCAGCTTTCTTACATGGGCAGTTGAATGCAATGTCTAGATGTATTTGTAACATTTTAAAGGCAACGCATACGTCCAGATGTTCGCTTCAGCTGCCCAGGTCGAGAGCGTTACGCCTTTTTTCGAGGCTTCAATCTCGCGAGTGCAATTGGTGCAGTCTCCGTGCTCCCAAAAGCTCATGAGTTTTACCGGAGTTCTTCCGGGCGATCCCTAATCCGCGACACCTGTCCGCCAGGAGCTCCGACCGCGACGAAGCTGGCACGACTGACAACCGCCCTCGTTTCTTTCCACACCAACCGCCGCCAAAATGCACGCCGCACTGCTGCTCTCGAGCCTGGTGGCCTTCTTCGCCACGGCCGTGTCCTCGACCGCACTCACCTACAAGCTTGCCGCCAATGAGAAGTCGTGCTTCTTCGCCCACGTCAACCAAAAGGCGGCCAAGGTCGCCTTTTACTTCGCCGTACGTCTTCGCCCACACCTGCAATGCCTTGCCGATTGCCATTTTCCGCGAATATACGCCGGTCCGCGACGGCCAAAAGACGTCGCACAGAGTATACATGAGCTGATAGGAGATCGTGTGTAGGTTCAATCCGGTGGCAGCTTCGATATCGATTATGAGGTCGTCGGACCCAATGAGTACAGCGTAATGGACGGCACCAAGGAGCGCCAAGGCGACTTTGTCTTCACGGCCAACACCCCGGGCGAGTACCGCTTCTGCTTCAACAACGAGATGTCGACCTTTGCCGAGAAGATCATTGACTTTGAAATTGCGGTATGACAATTGGACTGCAAAAAATCCGGGGGAGAGGTCGAGCAGTTACTGACGCACAGGGACATACAGGTCGAGAATGAGGAGGCGCGTGCGAAGCTCCCGTCCAAGCAGGGCACGTCGCCCGAGCAGACTTCGGTGCTCGAGGAGTCGATTCTCAAGCTGTCGTCGCAGCTGTCAACCATCAACCGCAACCAGAAGTACTTCCGCACCCGCGAGAACCGTAACTTCAGCACCGTCCGCAGCACCGAGCGCCGCATCTTCAACTTTAGCATCATCGAGAGCGTGATGATGGTCACCATGGCCGGTCTGCAGGTCTTCATTGTGCGCTTCTTCTTCCAGGGCGCCAGGAAGGGTTACGTGTAAATGTTGGGATTTTTCTACGATAAGGGAGCGGGTTGGACGAACACAGTTGCTGGGGCCGGTGTGGATTGTATCATACTGGAGCTTGGGTCTAGCACGCCAATTAGTTTTGGCGTACGGCATGATGAGGAATGCCTGGCTTTGGGTGCGCTCTTCTGAATGTTTCCTAAACTTCGGGCGTTCGTGCGGCATCTACCATTTCAAGAATGCAAAATACACATGAAGGGTTTTAGGCGGGTGAAAATGCAGTTCAGACATGATTAGCACAATACAATCGTCATTTTCGAAACCAGTATTTTCCGTGCAGTAGTCAGTTGTGGCGGAGCACACGCCCGTCTAGACCTAAGATCCCAGGGCCTTTCCTAAAAGCGCAACTTGCTGGCGGCACGTGCGGGAGGCGGGACGACGTCACTCCAGATCGCATCTGCCAGATCTGCACCCACTAACAACTACACCTCCATCGCCCGGCTCCGCGGCTGGAAGCGCACTGGATCCGCTGGACGAACGGGCGCCATTCCTACGTAAATCAACGCAGCAGTAGCAAGAACCACCGCACCTCGGCCAATTACCATCTATCAACCTCGGCCTATCCCGTCCGTCAGCTGGGACTGCTGTCCGTCCCCTCCCTCCCCCCCGTCTCACGGCGACTTCCACCTCACGGGACCGAAGAGGGGTAAAAAGAAAAAAAAAAGAGAAAAGGATTTGAAAGGGCCGCAATGTTCACAGCCGTCACGTCGGCCCTCCAAACCGTCTGGCGGGAGATCAGCGCAGAACTCCAGCAGCTTCCACTGTCACCGCGGGCCTCCATCTCGTCGGCGTCGGCCAGCTCGCGCCTGCTGCCGGCCCCACCGTCCCGCTCGCCAATCAACCAGGAATTCATCCCCAGCCCGCACGATGTCCAGCACACGCGGCTCCTGCTCGTGCGCGGCTTGGACCTGCCCGTCGAAATCGTCGACATGATCATCGACGCGGCGCAGTACTGGCCCGCCGTCATCGGCACCACGACGTCTGTTGGTGGCGTGTCGTTGCGGTCGTCGTCTTCGTCGTCGTCGTGGACGTCTGGGGGCGGTGGCGGTGCGGAGAGGGGTGAGAGGGGCCCCATGGGAATCAACTTTGGCGGCAGCGGCGTCGTAAGGGCAAGCGACACGCGGCGGAACAAGGCCGCGCAGTTGGTCGTGGCTACCGGGGCGGTGCCGGCGGATGAGGATGTGGGCGGTATGGGGAAGGGGTGGGAGGGGCTGAGGAAGATCCGGGTCAAGAGCGTGAGGTGGCGGGTTAAGAGTAGGGATCAGGGTTGGGTGAGCTCGGGAGCTGGGAGGAGAGGTATGTTCGAGTTTATCTCATGTTTTTTCCTTGCACTGTTCTTGCTGTTTTTCTCTCGCTTCACACCTTGGAAGTTATACATGGTCTATAACTTTTACACCATTCTTGTGTCCGGAAGATCCAGTCCTACTCGATCACTTCCCCCATTCCCCCTTACCACCACCTCACTCAAGAAGACCCCCCAACTAACACACACTCTCCACCAGGCACCTACCACGGCTCCTCCTCCTGGTTCGACGCCTGCATCCTCCGACCCCTCCCCGCCTCCACCCCACGACCGCCGCTAGCACCAGACGTCGCAGCCCGCATCGACCTGCTCCAGCAGCGCTTCGGCCCGCCCCCGGGAGAACCCTTCCCCACGTTCCTGGTCGGCAACCTGCTCTCGCACGACCCGGAAGACGCCCGCGACTTTCTGCGCTCGCTCGGCTGGGACTTTGTCGAGCGCGTCGAGCGCGTCGAGGTCGACGGCGAGGTCGGCGAGCGCCGCGGCGTGCTCTGGAAGCTGCAGGCCAACGTCGTCGCTTCGGCTGAGTACCACGTGCACGACGGCGAGTGGTGGAGGCGGAATGAGCATTGGGTGAGTGCGGAGGAGGCGGGCAGTGCGGGGAGCGGGGATGGGCTAGGGTTCGTGGATGAGATGAGGTCTGGGGATCGGGTGGGGATTTGGGCGAGGGCGATGGTAGGTTATTTCTTTTCTTTCTCTCTCTCTCGTTTTGTCCACTAAGCTCTCTCTTGACGAGCTTGCGTCACTGGCATCTTGGGGCTGTGCTGACATGAGTGTGTGCGTATAGTTTCCGGGGTGGGTGAACGACGTCGACGACGTCAACGTTGAGATTAGGTATTCTGTCTGAATAATGACGGTGGGTGGGGGCAAAAATGGCCGGGGCGAAATGGGTGTTTGGAAACTTGGGCGGGTGAATGATCGTCAATCTTAATCCCTTCTTCACGATGGCATGTGCGAAACAACCTTTTTTTTTATTCTTCACGGTATCTATATGTTCGTTCGGTCACACGTTTTTGTCTTTGCACACATGTACCATTAAAACCAAGTGCATTTTTCTGATGCAAAACCAATCATAGGTTATAGAGTTCGTTTCTTTTTTTCCAACAAAAAAAAAAAAAGAGTTGCGTGCGCAAAAACACACGCGGCCCGCCGGTTTTAACCAATCCATGCTTCCCTCCCGTACCTCTCTCCCTTCCTAACGCCATACAATGCCCATCCATCCAAAGTAAGCCCTCCCACACACCAACAACAACAACATCCAAGCCGTCATTATCACCCCTCTTAACCTTCATCTTCGTCCACAACCATGCTATCGGCCGCGGCTTCCTGCATCGAGTCTTGGATCTCGCGGATGCGTCTCCTCCGCTGATTGCGCCGCCGCACCTCGACCTTGCTCCCGCGCAGCCTCTTCTCGACCTCTTCCTCCTCGCTCTGGCCCATCAGGTCCACGCTCTCCACGGCCTCGAGCGCGCGGGTGAGCAGGTCCGTGGCGATGGGATCCTGCGGGCTGATGGCGAGGGCCTCGTGCAGGGCCAGGACGGCCTCCCACGCGCGGCCCATCTCGAGCAGCACGAGGCCCTTGGAGCAGAAGACGCCGGCGTCCTTGCCGCCCTGGCGCAGGACCTCGTCGAAGGCGGCGAGGGCGTCGTTGTAGTTGTGCGCGCGGCGGTGGGCGTGGCCGAGGTTGGTGCGGGTCGCGAGGATGGAGGGCGAGGCTGGGGCGAGGGAGAGCTGCTCCGAGAGGGTGAGGGCCAGGGTGAACATCTTGATGGCGAAGTTGAGGTGGTCCTGGTGGTAGAAGACGACGCCGAGCTCGTTCAGGAGGAGGGGGTCCGTTTTGCAGAGGCCGTAGGCTGTGTTGAGGTATTCATGGGCGAGGGAGAGATTGTTGAGCTGCAGGTTCTGCATCCCCAGGAACAGCTGCGGAAGGTGGGTCCCTTGGAACAGGCGGGCGGCAGTGGAGTAGGCGGATATGGCTTGATCGTGTTCTCCTTCGGCGGCAAAGGTGTGGGCAAAACCGATCCAGGCAGGTCCAAAATGCGGGTCCATCATGGAGGCCTTGGAGAAGAACCTTCGTGCCTCAGCTATCCTTCCGATGGTCAAGTAGTACACACCAATAGCAAGCCACGACGTCGGCTCCTCTGGATGTGTGTCGGCGAGATCGTGAGAAAGAAGAAAGAGCTCGTTCTTGTTGTTGAGCTCGTGGAGACAGGCAAGGTGGACTGGCATAGTCGAGAAGTTGTACTTGTCTGTTTGGAGGATGGATGAGGTAAGTGACAGAGCCTCGCTGAAACGACACTGGGTAAACAGCTGCTCGGCCTTTGATAAAAGGATGTCAGGGTTGCTGGCAAGGTTGTAGTGTGTTGACAGCGTCTCAACGGCAGCGGTGAACTCATCGGGGTTCTTGTATTTAGACAAACGGGTCATGTACAGCATCTTGGTGAAGTCGGCAGCCTCTTGGGCGGACGAGGGATCGTCGGCGGTCACAGTGTCGAAGCTGAGAGAATCGAGGAACTGCAACTCCTCCTCGGGAGACATGAGAGAGTTCTTCATGAGCTGGTCGAATGCCTCGAAACACTGCACGTCGATGCGCACGGCATCCTTGTAGCATTCCTTGGCGCGGTCAAAGGCATTCTGCTTTGCGTAACAGAGGCCGCGCAGGTAGCACATGCAGGCCTCAGCCTTGAGATTGTCAATGTCCTCGCGCTCACGCTCTTCGCTGCGGTCGACGCGGTCGCTGCGCAATCCCTTGTTGTGGTGCTGCCGGGTTGGCCCGTTGCGGGAATTGGCCTCAACGTGCTGCAGCTTCTTCCGGGCGTTGTCGGGAGCGGCGACCAGATGCACTGGATTCTTGTCGCCGAGCAGCTGCATGGCCTCATCGTACTTGGCCTGTTTTATGGAGCAGTGGGCTAGCAGGTAGCGGCATTGTGGACTGCTCTGTTGGGAGTCGGTCTTGGAAACAAAGCGTGAAAGGATACTCTGGGCGCGGGCGTAATTGCCGGTGGTGAAATGCACCTGGGCAAGCCAGAAGGCATCGCGGTCATTGTCTGTGCGGGGGCAAGTCAGCGCATGGGGGAGCTTAGAGGGTTGATGGGATGGACGAACTGCTGATGGCCAGAAGCTTGTCGCCGATAAAGATGGCAGACTCGTACTGGTGCTTGCTCAGGGCGTCCTGGCGCCAGTCGCGCAGGAATTTTTCCATATGCGCGGGTGGGGTGGGGGTTCTCGCAGAGCCATGGAGGGGAGCTCCCGCGGGCGTGGTGTTTGGGTTTGGTGTTTTGGCGATCACAAGCCACGCCCAAGCTCGCGACTGCCCCAGAAAGACGCGCCTCGGCGTTTTCTGGCGCCGACCGTCATAGGGCTGAGCCAAGATCCAGCAAAGGGCTGGCCAAGATAGGAATTAACAAATTAAGAAAATGCTTAGTGAGGACTGTACGGCTAGACGATATATTCTTACAATCGCAAATTTGTGGCGTGAGGGTTGCCTAGAGCAGTTGTCAGGGTACCATGAGCGGTGGTTTTGGCCAGGTTGCGCAGCTGCTCGCTACAGTCGGCCGTAGTATGTTTATCGCTGCGCCTTGGTCCGCCGCCGCCGCAGCTCCCCATCCCGCATTTTACCATCGTCAGCGCCGCTGCGTCGCAAGCATCCGCCACCACCGCTCGACTCACCTACTTCTACACCTTTTCTACAGCCAGTCTACTCCGTCGCTCCCCGATCGCCGTTCAGCCTCCCGACCCTAGCCGCCAACTCCTCACCACTTTAAAGAGCAGCCATGTCGGAGAGAAAAGTGCTCACCAAGGTATGTTCTTTGTTTTGTTCTCGGTCGAGCTCCCGCTGACTACGTTTTAGTACTATCCGCCCGATTTCGATCCGAGCAAAATCTCGCGCGCGCGCAAGCCCAAGGATGCCGGCCCCAAGGTTCAAACCGTTCGCCTCATGGCCCCCTTCTCGATGAAGTGCATATCGTGCGGAGAGTTCATCTAGTGGGTGCCCTTGCGCCTTTCGAATCTATATACATGTTGTGCTGACTTTTTTTTCCCCGCAGCCGCGGCCGTAAATTCAACGCGCGAAAGGAGGTCACGGACGAGACGTATTAGTGCGTTTCCTGCTCCCATTAGCCTTAATAATGCCCTTTTCTCTAACATACTCTATCAGTGCCATCAAGATCATCCGCTTCTACATTAGATGCACCAGATGCTCCGCAGAGATTACCTTTAAAACGGATCCGAAACATATGGATTATACCTGCGAACGGGGCGCGAAAAGGTGAGCAGAACCGGTGCAATGCTCAATATGGTGATGGAACGCTTACAGGAAGCATAGGAACTTCGAACCATGGCGCGAGGAGAAGCTGAACCAGGAGACGGATGAAGAGCGTTTGGACCGACTGGAGCGCGAGGAGGCCGAGCGGGATGCTATGGCTGAGCTAGAGACGAAGACACTGGACGCCAAGACGGAAATGCAAATCGCAGACGCCCTGGACGAGATCCGCACCAGGAACGCAAGGATCGAGCGCGGCGAGTTTGCCGCCGAGGCCAGAGTGGAGAAGGACCCGCGCGATGCTGAGAGGGAAAGGCAGGAGAAGGAGGACGAGGAGACTGCCAGACGCGCCTTCGAGACCGCCAGCGGTGAGCGTGTGCGCCGATTGGATGAGACGGCCGCAGACGACGAGCCGGAAGCTTCGTCTTCCTCCGCTGCTGCGGACTCGGTTGCCATGCCTCCCCCTTCGTTCAAGAGGACGGTTAAGAAGAAGAAGGACTTTGGTGCTGCCCTGGGCATCAAGAAGAAGTCGCTGGTCTGATTCTGGTTATTGACGGCTACATGAGATTTAGGATGGGTGCTTTCTCGAGAAAGGGCGTTTACAGGAACTTCAATGCTCTATTTGAAGGAGAATCTGGTGCTGCTTTATGCATCAAGAAGCAGTCAGCACGGGTCTGGTACTAGCTACCAACGGCTCGCCAGCTTCAGAAATGGTTCATCTCCACGGAAAGGCGTTTTCAGGCAGTTTATGGTTGCGTTTGGAAGGGACCATTACCACGGGTATGCTATTCAAAGCAAAGCGATTTTCAGATACTACAACATGGGATTCTAATTCATACACAAGGTTCCGTCAGCATATCACTGTTTCCTATGTGCAATGCCACCAAGCGGAAGAGGCTAAGCACAACTCAACTTGCACATTTGCTGATCTTGAGGTATGCTGCTGCCGCGAGAGCGTAGCAGAGCGGTGTCTATGGTGATCGCGGCGTGAAGTCCGGGCTCCAGTCAACTGCCGTTACCTCAGGCCTAATTCTCTAAAACACCGCACCTGTCAATTCATGAGCCGCACGCTCTATCTCGGGCCGGTGGTTGTCTACTTAGGTGCCGCTAGCTGACGTGGGCCGTCGGCGGCGTTTCCGTCCACCAGGTCATCCCCGCTCCAACAGCGCCGCGACGCGCTAAGTGAGCCCAAGGCTACCGGCCCTACGCGCCTCAGACCGTTTGGAAAATGTTGAGCTGCGAGCAGGCGTAATCATCTAGACCCATCTCTGCAGTGTGCCACAGAAACCGTAATCCGTCGCCACACGCCATCAGAAGAGAGGTTCTTGAGCATCTCGGCTCGTCTAATGCTTACGGAGCATTTAACTATGCATGCGGCTCTGACTGATCGCCGCATGATTCCTCCCGCGGGTCCAATTGCCACATTGAGTTTCTCCGCCGCCCTGCTTGTCACTCCATGGGGTCGACCGTTTGGATGTTGGAGACGGGAATAAGGGTTTGTCGAAATGTTTACGGAGACAACGACGCACACCTCCATCTACCTTAGCACACTATCATACACCAACACGGTCCCTGAATGTACATAGCGGGCCCCACATTAGCGCCGGAAGATGTGTGTGCAAATCCCCCGGCACTATAGAACGCCCCGAGAACAGCTTCCGAAGTTATGATCTGATTCGGCCTGTGCGAATATCTATCCTTGACCTTTTTCGGCCTGGATGTGGGTCCTCAGCCTCTACCGGGACTAGCCAACAAGGCGTACTTCTTCGCCATTCAAGCTCCAACACTAAAAGTGCGCATTGGTGCGTCGTCGGGGGATGACGTCATAGTCGGGCTGCATCTTGCGCAGACATGAGTAGTGTATGGCGGGCGACTGACTCTCCCCAGCCGCCCCCCGCTCCAGTGTGACGGCTGGGGCAAACTAGACAGTAGCTTGATGCGGGGTGCAGCTCTTGGAAGATCGGCCGTCCCCGCCGCCATGCCATCATCACATTTGCACTGGCCATCCCAACTGCGCGGAGGGAATTGCGTCGACGCGCACAGACAGGCCTCCAGCCCAAGAGCAAAGACTCAATCTTGCATGAGGCTACAGGTGCATCCCTGGTCCGCCCTGCTAAGTGCACCATAACTGTGATCCCCGCTCTGTGCCAACATATATGCTGCTCGCGGTCACCATGAGCCCCCAGCATTCTCCTCGACCATTGCAACTATGGCGCCTTACTTCGGTCTCAAGGGCGGCTGGCTCACCTTCTGGGTGACGGTCGCCTGTGCAACTGACATGACTTTGTTCGGTGAGCAGAACCGCTGCAATTCTGAATGTAGTGACAGAACACTTACATGAACATAGGCTATGATCAAGGCGTCTTTGGTATGCTCGAGCCTCTCTGTCAGTTACGCCATTCCTCTAACGAGTCCAGGCGGCGTTGTTGTGACGCAAGATTTCCTCGACACTCTGAATCTCAACGGCAAGACGACACTGATCAGTACCGTCACGGCTATCTACGACATTGGCTGCTTCTTCGGTGCCATTATTGCCTTTATGATTGGCGAGAAGCTGGGCCGTAAGAAGAGTATTCTGCTGGGCACTACCGTCATGTCAATTGGTGCCATCATCCAAATCGCTTCATACGGTGTGCCGGAGATGATTGTCGGCCGGTGAGTCCCCCAGATTCTATTCCCGGCATGTTCAAATTCCAGAGTCTGCTCTCGCTCTAGTGGACTGCATGCTGACTGAGATTCAGTGTCATTGCAGGACTCGGAAATGGTATCAACACAGCTACGGCACCGGTCTGGCAGGGCGAAACATCCAAAGCAAGTTGGCGCGGCAAGCTCATCGTCATTGAGATGATTATGAACATCGCTGGCTTCTCTTTATCCAACTGGGTCACATACGGCTTCTCGTTCGTGGGCGGATCCGCCTCGTGGCGCGTCCCGCTGGCCGTCCAGTTCATCTTCATCTTCATCCTATACGGCACCACGCCTTGGCTGCCCGAGAGTCCCAGGTCAGATCCCCCCTCCTACAACCTACACAAACAATCCAGCTGACGAAGCCGCAGATGGCTCATCGCCCGCGGGAGGATCGACGAAGCGGAGCAGATCCTCGCCGACCTGGAAGCCCTAGGCATCGACGACCCGTACATCATCACGCAGTCCAAGGACATCCAGTGGGCCGTCAACTACGAGAAGGAGAACGCAGTACGGTGGCGCGACCTCGCGCGCGGCCGCACGGGCAATCAGGGCGGCACCTGTACCATCCGGCGGCTGGTGCTGGGCATGGGCACGCAGGCCATGCAGCAGCTGTCAGGCATCAACGTCACGTCGTACTACCTCACGTACGTGCTGATCGAGTCGGTGGGACTGAGCAACAACCTGGCGCGCCTGCTGGCGGCGTGCAACTCGGTCAGCTACCTCGTCTTCAGCACCATCGGCATCCCCAACGTCGAGCGCTGGGGCCGCCGCAAGATGATGATGTACGCCGCCGCCGGCCAGTGCTTGTGCTATGCCTGTATTACCTTGTGCCTGCGCTACTCGGAGCCTCAGTTTTCTACGTCGCGTCAGTGGGCTTCGGCCTCTATCGCGTTCTTCTTCCTGTATTATGTCTTCTTCGGCATCGGCTGGCAGGGCGTACCCTGTATGTTGTCAACACATCTTTTTTTCAACACCACAAGCTAACAAACACGCTTTTAGGGCTTTATCCCACGGAATGCAACAGCTTGAGCATGCGCACGAAGGGTGCGGCGTTGGGTACGGCGACGAATGTGGGTTGACCCCTTTTCGTTGGTGGTGGAAAAACTGACCCCAAAAACAGTGGATCTTCAACTTCATGGTCGTCGAGATCACGCCTCCGGGCATCGCATCGCTGGGCTGGCAGTTCTACATCATCTGGACTGTCTTCAATGGAGCCTTTGTGCCCATTGTTTACATGTTCTACCCCGAGACGGCCGGCCGCTCACTCGAGGACATGGACCGCCTCTTTATCGAAAACCACGACATCTTCGTCTTCCGCGACAAGGATGCCATCTCCGCTAAGCGTCCCGAGAAATATATCCAACATGAGAAGGAGGAGGTGAGGCGCCACAGCAGCATCAAGCCCGAGGACATCACGGGTGCCGTCGAGGCGCACAAGAGAGAAGTGCTGGAGGGGAAGAGCGTCGACGAGAAGATGGAGGTTGCGTGATGAAGATGTGTCAGACTGTATTTGTATGTATGTACTATGTATGATTGGGCTGGTTCAAATTGCGAAGGGTGGACCGTAGCTCCAACAGCGCCGCAATGCGCTGAGGGAGCCCAAGGCTACTGGCCCTACGGGCCTGAGACTGTTTGGAAAATGCTGAGCACCGAAAGCTCTTGGTAATTACAACGGCAAGATAGCAAACAAAAAAAGTTCACTCGAACCACTTCCATACACTTTGCTGCTATGGCTTGATGTTTGTCTTTGAATGATTGCTTACAGGCCCTGATTGTCACAACAATCAATTCTGAATGGTGAGACTGTACAGCTGCGCTGCCGAGGTGAGATAGCTCAGCCCGTGCTCTCAATGCATGGCAGACTGGGAATTATAGCAGCTTTTACGTGCCACCGCTCGAACTTTTGCCCGCACCTGAGGCAAATTGTAGGGTCCAGCACATGCAAACGAAGTTAGCACCTGCTCTAAAGCTCGAAGGTTTGCCTGCACATGAGGCAAATGCAGGGTCCAGCACATGTATGTACAGTCCCCTCTCGCGGCCGAAGGCTAGCGTGAATTTACTTTTTGCTCATGTCATGGGTAGCTGAAGCTATCGTCCGGACGAGAATGTCGAATTAAAAAGTCTACATACACGTCCGGACGATAGCTTCAACTACCCACATATATTAATTTTTCCAAGGCAGAGCTGGGGCATAGTTGCTCTATGTTCTAGAGCCCTGCTATTCTTCGCGCTAGGTAGCCATCGGTTGCAGCACCCCTCTGTACAACGAAGCCAATACGTGCCTCAAAGCTGCTATCACACTTAATTCTGTTCGCGCAAGTACTTAAACCCAACTTCTTCAGCCGCCTGTCTGTCTTGCTGTCTGGCCTTTGGCCAATTGCTGATTGCCTTTGTTTTTTTTTTACCCCTCTAAAGAGAATTTGCTGGCTTTGCTTCTTTACTTTAAACCCGGGCTGGCCGCGCAAGTCTCTTCTCAAGAACACCGAAGGTGCAGATCAATGGAAGAAACCCATCTTAGTCAACGCCGTCGAGAAAAAGTACATCGGCGAAATCCGCGATGACCATCCCAATGCTTCGCTCACCGATTTCCTCGTCAGGCACCCTGTCACGCGCAGAGACAGGATTTTCCTTGAGAACTACAAGAACTACACTAATGACGACGAGCCCCTCTCCCAGTTCGTGTAACGGCTGGCCAAGAGGCCCCTAGAGAAGCTCGACCATAAGGTTCTCGATCGCTTCAACACGAGCTTCTCCGCCGAGGAGCGTAACGGACTTTTAAACGGCAGCAGGGTTATGCAGCTTCTTACCGAATATGAAAACGAACTCCTACAGGATCTGCAGAACGATAACCTCGTCTTCACCCTTGCCCGGCCTAGGTCCCAGCAAGATCCGGAGCAGCCTGGCCAGGACAACCAGGAAGCACCACCCTGATCGTCCCGAAAATCAACAGCCTGTCCCTCTTGCCCGAGTTGAAGAGGCGTCTGGTGAGTTGCGCCTGGCAAATTATTCCCGGCTCCTTCGGTTACCATCTCGGAGAATCACCTTGACACCAGCTCAGAGGATCATCTAAATACGTTGATTGGACGACTTCTCTTCACTGCCAACTCATTCGATGGCCTCTTTGCTTACCAACCTAACTCGGTGGTGGTGGCCTCTCTTCTCTTGGGTACCGCCTCACCCCACGGTCCATCTTGTTCACCAGCTCATTTGACGGTCCCTTTGCTTGCCAACCTACCCGGTGGCTTCTTGGATATTGCCTCACTCCGCGGCCTATCTTGTTCACCAGCTTATTTGACGACTCCTTTGCTTACCAACCTACCCGGTTTTCGGCCGCAAAGTCGCTATCGATGCGTCCATGAGCATCTACAGCTTCCTGATCGCCGTGCGCTCCGATGGCCAGCAGCTCATGAACGAGGCGGGCGAGACCACCTCTCACATTATAGGTATGTTCTACCGCATACTGCGCATGGTCGACAACGGCATCAAGCCGCTCTACGTCTTCGACGACGCCCCGCCCAAGCTCCAGTCGGGCGAGCTGGCCAAGTGCTTCCAGCGCAAGTCCAAGGCCCAAGAAGCCCACCAGGAGGCCAAGGAGACCGGCACCGCCGAGGAAGTCGAAAAGCTCTCGAGGCGCGCTTCTTGGATATCGCCTCACTCCGCGGCCCATCAGGAATGCCAGCTCATCCGGCAGCTCACCCATCGGTGCACTCGGCTGCTCATCTTCAAAATCAGCTTATTCGGCGGCCCTTCTTGGTCTGATGTCCTCTTTGCTTATCAACCTACTCGGTCGCGATCGTCTCTCTTCTCTTGTGTGTCGCCTCATTCGATGACTCTCCATGACCACAAAGGGCCCGGAGTCGGAGTCGGAGCCGGAACCGCAAAGCCAGCTCATTCGGCGGTTGACCTTAATCATCGGCTTATTTATCCCGTGGTCCATCTCGACTACCAACACAGCAGCCCCTTTGCTTACCAACGGGATGTGTCGCGCAGGATGGCACAGCAAGCCCAATGCCAAACAACATCGAAGGCTACCCGCCAGGAAAAGGGCGCCCAGAAAACAGATATCAGCACTGCGAAAGCAAGAGCTCCAATCACACGCAATAGGAGGGGAACGCCACCATCTTACGACAGCATAGTAACGATACCGGCCGGCAACCCATGTTAAGGCCACCCACGAAGACATGAAAGTAACGATTTGACACTTTTTATCATTTATTTACCGACTTCCTCAAAACTGGCAGCCGAAACTCATCTACCGGCATCAGATGCAGCTTCAGATGGACAATTTGGTGCACATGGAGGAGTTTTATATTTGACTTGACGAGCGAGTTTCAATTTCTTGTACCGAGATACCCCTGCACTTATATCTGTACTCTAGTTGGGTATCACAAATTACGAACTGTAGTATAATAGTAATAGAGAGAGATAGATCTTGCTTCATACCTTCGTGCCTACACCTTTCCATCCTTCTGTTCCGCTGTTCCATCCTGTCGTAGCGCCACACTTTCAGATGTGCAAGGAATGGCAACACCTTCGTGGCTGTGACGTAGCTCATGTTCTCGAGGTAACCCTTAGTAAAGATAAGGTCGATTTCCTCAAGAGACCGCATCTTAGTTTCGGAGTAATAGAAAATAAGGACTGGGAAAAGCAGGAAGCTTTCGGATTCTGTGGGCGCAGTAGGCAAAGTTGTCATTGCATCTTGGAAACATGACTCCGCAACGCATTCAGAGATCGAGGATGATGCACAAGATTCGCTAATACCGAAGATACGGTCACTGAAGCTCTACCACGGCACACCAAGGGCGCTGAGCTCGCTAATCACACAGATGAGAACCGGCATAAAAGTAGCTATTACTATAGAATAGTCAATTACCTGAATTTAGTCTACAATAATTACTAGGTACTATCGCCAGCCGTCTCTAATACATTCAATCCTTTCCTCACGCAACTAACCGGCCACTCCACCCACTCTCTCCACATGCCCTCCTCCTCTTCCTTCCTCTCCAGCACCTCAACCACACATTCCACCACCCCACCACTCCACCCTTTCATGAACCACTGCTCCTCACCCCAATCAACCCCGCATTCCACACTCCCCACCAACACACAAAAATATGCCAACACCACCAGCGCGACCGCGCACTCCTCCTCCAACAATGCCAGCACCTCCTCGGGAATGACAACAGCCCACGTCCACAACCGATCCCTTCTATCCCCCACCCGCGCCGCCACCAGCAACGCATACGTGTGCCGCAGCGCCTCGACGGCGGCCAGCAGCGCGACGCGCTTCTTCGCCTTCGCCGGCGTGCCGACTAGTTCGCGTCGCAGCGCGTCGACAAGCGCGTCGAGCTTGTCGACGAACGGGCCCCGAGGGTGCGCGACTGGTTCTATGTGCGCGAAGAGGTCTTTTAGGGGCCCGCTGCGCGCGTGCTGCCACACGTCGGGGCTGAGGAGGAGGAGGCTGATGGTGCCGCGGAGGAGGGAGAGGGACTGGGTGATGGAGGGGAGGGTGATGGGGGTGTTGTTGTGGGGGTGGGCGAGCGGGTAGGTGTTGAGGAGAAAGACGAGGGAGCTGAGGAGGAGGAAGGCGGGCGAGGTGGTGGGGGTGAGGGTGGTGGTGGTGGGGGGGAGGGCGGCGGTGAAGAGGGTGAGAGAGAGGGTTTGGTGGTGGGTTGAGAGGTGTGTGTAGTGCGCGTGTTGGTGCGGGTGCAGGTGGGAGAGGTGGAGGGCGGAGACGGCGAGGAGGCCGCGCATGAGGAAGGGCTGTGGGAGAGTGTTAGTGTGTTGAGGTCGGAAATTGGGGGTGGGGAGGATGGACGTACGTGAGTGCAGGCGAGTTGCGGGACGAATTCGGACCAGAGTTTGTGTCGTGAGGGCTCGGTGGCTAAGGTCTTGGATGTTGAGACGCAAAAATGGTGGAATAAACGGATGTCTTCAATCGATTCGGGAGGCGAAGTTGTTGGTGGAGGCGGCGTTGGCGGCGCTGGGGTGGCGGAATGAGATGTGTTGATAGAATGAGATGCGTTGTGCTTTGAAATAGTGTCAATCTCAGCCTGCAGATTAAGAACGAGTTGTTCAAGTCTGGCAATGCGTTCGCTATCAACAGATGAGGTGTTTGACATGGAGTCAGATGGTCCGAGCGGCAGGCTGTCCGGAGTGGGTATCGAAGCCGGACCATCTTGAGGAGGAGCGGGCCGTAATGTCAGAGGCCCTCCTCGAAAAAGTATAAGACTGCATTCCACGCCCCGGCGTTCGCAATTCGTGCATGGCCGTTGCTCGTTACACTGCCCGCCCATGCATCAGTAAATAAGAAATACGGACAGGATGGGTTTGATTACTTTCACGTGTCTTCTCTTGCATTGCACGCATCCGTGGCGGGACTTTTTATGCACTGTACGAAGTCGGCGCTTTTTGTTGTCCATTGTACATGAATAGATGGAAAGAGGAAGTGGGCAGCGGTAAGCTTAAATCCTGGTCCCCATCGTATAAAAGCCAATCAGAGAGCTCAGGTTACGGGTGAATACGCTCGGCTTGGCAGGGGCGCAGCTAGCTACTCATTTCACGCCTTATCCTGCAGCTTCACCGTCCCCGCAACCGTCGCAATCCACAACGCGCCATCGGGCCCCAAGTACGGTAGCATCCCGTTGTTGTTGTAGGTCCCTCCGGCACCTGCTCTGACCCTCCAGCGCTCAATGCCGGTCCGAGCATCCAGTGCCACCCAATACCACATCCAACTCCCTTCCTTCGCTAGTTCGCCATCCAACGCATACGTATACAGTAATCCTGCAGCCGTGGACAGTATCGGGATGCTCGTCTGATAGAATTCCTTTTTCTCCCACACAACTTCGCACCTTGTCCCATTTCCCTCGGGAACTACAGCCACCGACAGAAACTCGCCCGGCATGACTGTTAGATCATTCCAAGCTGCATCGTTGATATCCGCGGGGAGACCATCTCTGAGATTCAGCATGGTCGGCTGATGAAACGAGTTGGTCACCACGATGCTCGCCTCTCCCGTCTCGCCGTCCCAATGCGTCACTAGCGCGTTGTCGTTCGCGCTCGCATTCACGCCGAACAGCGGGAGGGAGCAGACCCTGTTCTTCTGACCGGCGGCGTCCAGCACGTATCCGTTCGTTACCTGTTTGTACACGTTCAGGTGAATCCGGCCGTCCGCGTTGTCCGTAACGGCAATGTACGCGTCCCCCACCATCCCGGGGCTCGATCCGCTCCCGCGCGCAAACGCGCCAGGCTTCAATCCACTCCCGGCTTCGTAACTCTCGTTGAACACGGTGCGCACCCCCTTCTCGCGATCTGCCTGGAAACCGAGCAGATAGCCCACCGCGTCAGCGTGGTCATCCGCCCCGGCCGGCCCCGTCGACATGTACACCGTCTCCCCCGACACGGCCATGTTGTTCTCCGCGACCTGGTTGTCGATCGACACGACGTACACGCTGCCATCATCGTCCGCCGCGACGTATCCCACCGTCGTCCCGTTCGCAGACGCGTCGTCGACGCCGACGATGCCGCCTGTAGCGAACCAGACGTTGCCCGCTGCGTCCCACGCCGCGCCCAGCACCGTCTGGCCTGTGGGGATGTGCGCGCTGACGTCCATCTGGCGAGTTGTTTGGAAGGCGACGGTGCCGTTGTTGGCGTGCGTTTCGCGGTCGACGACGTACAGCCGCCCCTCGGCCGTCGGCGCGATGACGCTCGTCCCGCGCACTTGCAGGTACGTTATCTGCAGCGTCTGATTGTCCGGCGGCGACCAGGAGGCGAGGGTGGAGAGGGTGCGCGGGTCGAGCGCCGCGATGCAGGCGCGGGAGCCGTCGCAGAGGGCGATCGACGTGAGGCTGGTGCCGGTCGTGTTGTCCCAGAAAAAAGGCGATTTGGGGGCGGGCCAGGTGGATGGAGTGATGTTGAAGCCGAGCGGGCCGAGCGTGTCTGAGCTGCGCGTGTTGCCGCTGTCCAGGTGGAGGGTGTCGGCGTAGGGGGCGTAGCGCGTTTTGGGGCTCATGGGGTTGGGAGATGTGGCGTCGCCGCTGAAGATGGCGCCGGTGAGGTTCTGGGAGGAGGGGAGCCCGGCGGCGGCTTGACGGGCTTGGCGTGTGGTGGCGGCATGGATCTGTAAAGTGTGATTTAGCGGACGCTGAAGGAGTCGTGTGGAGGTGATGAGGCGAGTCACGTACAGTGTGACAATGCACAGTTGCAAAGGTAAGAGAAAGAAGGTTAACGGAGAGACGCATCTTGCTCAAGGTAGGGAATGATTAGACTTTGAGGCTGATGCTTACTTTCTGCGGCTGCTCTATGGCCTTTTTATATGTGCTTTCCAACGAATATGAGCTGCACGAACACTAAGGGTACAGGATGTCATTCGAATCACGACCAGTAAGAAACGAAAGTGCCGTACCATTTACGACTTAGCTGTGACTACGGATTGCACTGAAGCGACCGTATTTGCGCGTACAGCGTGCTGTGATTGGCTCTTGTACGAGCCGATGATCTTCACTTCCCCTTACGAAAGATAGGGTCATATGGCCGACACTAAAGGTGGAGTAAGTAAGTTTGGCAATTATTGTTCGACTCGGAGAATGTTGAAGTCCTTGATATTTATCGTCTTCTACCTCTTGGTGTTCAGAAGCCAGGGGGCATCGAAGTGTCTTGGCTCTTCTTGCATTTCGATGCGTAGGAAGCCTTAACATTGCGGCTGGTGGCAAACATCTGCAGCGGTCAGATAGCTACTCTCCCGCTTTAGGATTACTCGGTAACAGCCAGAGGTTGGGTTACGGACCAACTAACAGTCGGCCATTGGCTCCGGCTGGACTATAAAGCTGTGAAAATCTACGTGACTGCCTCGTATAGATCTCTGAACACCGAGCCCGGCGTACTTAGTCTCAAAGCTATCAGATCTATAGTTTTCTAAGAACGGAGTGGCTATCTGCGCGGTGCTCACTTCAACCCCATTTCACTGTTAAGCAAACTCCCTTCATTCTCCCTTCGTCCACATTCGGTTCAGTCTGCCAATGCCAAGCCGCCTCTTTAATTCAGCTTTTTTCAGCAAAATCCGGCTCTTCCCACTGGCCCTTTCGACAGCCTTCTGCAGATCTTTGATATCGTACTCATAGAGCGATAACAATATCTTGATCATATAAACTTCATCCCCGGATGCTGCTATCGAGAGAGCTGTGTCCCCAAACGAGTCTTTCTTGCCTAAGCTGTTTCTGACCTTTACGTCACCGACCAAGATGTCAAACGCTTGACGGTCCCCCTTAAAGCACGTCCAAAAAAGAGCAGTACGTCCGATTTGGTCTCGAATTCCGGGATTCGTCGCTTGCTGGTGGAGAAGACGCAACATACACATTTCACTTATTTGTAACATGTGCTTTAGTCGGGGCGTCTCGGAAAAGATGAATGCGGCAGAATAAGTATTATCCCTGGGATCCCTGTGCATCAGATCTTCAAGTCGACCTTTCATCCCACTATGGGATATTACAGCGTGGTGAAGTGGAGAGAGGCCGTAGTAGTCCTGCGCGTTGAGATCCACTCTACGATCTCTTGTGGCTTGTGATGTCCCAGCGAGAGCGTTTGTGATGCTTTCAGAGCAATTGAAAGAATTTTCGCAGTCAATTAGCAGTGATACTGCCTCCAGTGATGGTATATGGCAGGCTAGATGGAGGGCTGTTCGGCCGTCTTGATCTCTGAGGTCGGGATCCACTCGGCCATCGTTCAGGAGCAACGCCACTATCGGAAGGTTGTCTTCCTGTATTGCGAGATAAATCGGTGTTGCAAACTTCTCGTCTTGCCTATTGGGGTCTGCTTCTGCGCAACTCAGTAGTGTTTGCATCACTTCCTCCTTGCCACAAAGAGCAGCCCGGTGGAAAGGGGTTTGGAGAATCCGGTCTCTTGTGTCGAAATTGATCAGTTTGGATAAGCCGGCGGGGTCCTGAACAGAACGGGTTCGTGGAATCGTGCTTATTTGGCCCGACTTCCGCAATAATGCGCGCAGTGGACTTGCCAAGCCATTCTCTGCGCAAAAGTGAGCCAATGTTGGCGCGGGAACCTTTGACTTTCTTGCGAGATATCTCGTTTGCAGCAGAGTCAAGAGTTCAACGCGAAACTGATCCCGGGGCCAATGGAAATATTCAAGGAGGTCGGCTTGGTCAACATTGTAGCGCTCAGTGTTCTGCAGATGGGATCCCACATTCTTGGCTGCGTAATCCAGCAATGCGAAATCAGCGTCTTTGAGCGGCCAAGCAGTGGTGAGTATTCCCCGAATATTCCGGCCAATCTCGCTCATGAATAGATATTTGATGCATGACCTTGATAAATAGTGATTTGCCCTCCCTTTCAGGACTTCCAAAGGTGTGTTTTCGGGGATATCATCCAGAAGATGAAATCCAGATTCAACAAAGTAGTCAAATACCGTTTGGTGGATGAATTGGACCCCCAACCTCGAGATTGTGTCAACGGTTCGTTCGACCGAATTGCTGCTCCACTGAATCTCCACAAGACCTTTTGACAGGTTCCGTATTGAATTCACCATGTCTTCGATATCCCGAAAATCCGGCCTGGCTCGGTATTGCTGGATGGAAACTTCCTTCATATCTGGTGAAACCATTAAGGCTTGTTGCATCTCCCCGACGGTTAATGGTCGCCCGGCGAAGCATACCCAGAGGAACATCCTTCTCGTCTGTTCTTTGTCGCTTGGATGAATCTTTTGAAGAAGGTGCTCATATAGCTCATGCAGACCCTCCGGAACAGCCTTGATTTCCTGTTGGATTGACGAAGCTGATTTTCCAGATCGATGAAGTTCGATGACTCTTGCGCATACTATCACAACCCACTGGAATATTCCACGTGATCTGCCAACTATTTCATCCTGTAGGCGCGTGCGTTTAGACTCCGGCAACACGGAAAGTCTGTGCTCTACTACTCGAATGATGTCGCCCATGTTCTTCTGTTCCATAGATATTGATAGACCGCTCGTGAACAGATTCGGGTAATATCTGCAGGAAACACAAATTCGCAAGTTACAATCCGGTTCGGTGGCGGCGGCGGCAATAGCGCTATCAAGAAAATATCCGATGCCGTGCGGATCCTCGGCACACTCATCCAGAGCATCTACCAGAACCAGAACAGGCCTTGTTCGAGAAATCCTAGCCAGGGCTCGTTCGAGATACTCCTGTAGCCACTGCAGCTCCCACGTCCACGATTGACCTGTACTGGTCTTCTGCTTGTGCTTGCGCGACACTTGTGCGAGATCCTCGTAGCTCTGTTGCAGAAGCTGGTGGAGTAGACATCGATAAAATCCTAATGGAGTCTTCTGAAGGCGTGTTCCTCGGCCGTGGAAGAAGAAAGAAATTAAGAGTGTGCTTGCCTCCATGGTTATTTTTGTCTCTTCCAGAACGTGCTTCATTAAGGTCGATTTACCCACGCCAGGATGGCCTTGCAACCAGAGAAGGGATTGATTTCGTGAAAGCCAGGTTCGATACTCAGAGTCCCGGGCGATCCATTTGCATGTATTGTGTCTAGCCAAAACAATCTGATCAAGCCGCGAATCCTGCTCGGGGAAATATAACGAATTAAGGCAGTCTAACCAAGTCAGCAGAAGAGCTTGGCCGTGCCGGCACGGATTCTTAACCTTCTTCTTCCTTGGAAAGCTTGACCTCGGAGGAGCCTGTGCAAAATTTCATAAATAAATGTATATTGGTGCTGAGAGGTAATTCCTACTGACCTTCCTTAGCCGTCTGGAGAAGGCTCTGCAACAAAGGTGCTACTTTGTTAACATACACAGGATCATTCGGACCGCGGAACTTAACCAGCTCCGAATGATCCCGATCAATTGGCTGAATGGATCTTCTATCATGTTCTCCCATTCGACCATGCGTTGCTGATGACATCTCAACCAGTTTTGTGCGTGGTCCATTCATCTTCCAGACTCCATTCACCTTACACAGTTTTAGCCACGGCGCTGTATTTTGACAATAACAGGACATACCTTTACTGCTGTTCTAGATTCCTTGGTCTCGTAGAATGAGATGATTTTGAGATGATTTGAAACGTTACTACCAGCAGAATCGAACGCCTTTGTCCATTGCTGAGCCTGCCGCCGTAGATCTGCAGAGTCTTTGCCTAATGATCGAAGGAAGTCCTCGTTGGCTTGCCCGTGAACCATGGGTATAAGCGTGGCTATGTCCATGCCATGATTTGGAGTCCCGAAGAAGAGCACGGCCTGTATTGATTGTAGAATAAATCTTTCCTCGGCGACATCAGACTCACACAACTTGCACAGAGCCTTTCAAGTAGTTAGACTCTATAGAAATATTTTTATTCGTTTTATTTCTTACCTCTTTGACCACCAAACCGCCGAGAGAATGTCCTATAAAAACCAGTGGTGTTAGGACCCGCCGTTCCTGCATCAACGGTCAAACGTTTGCTCGCTGAAATGTGAACCGGGAGACTTACCCAAAAACGCGCGCAAAACAGAGAAACAAGATCCGACTTGAAAGACAAGCCCAGATCTTCAAGACTCTGGAATGAGCTATTCATTTCCAACATTGTATCGTAACCGTAGATAAAAATACGAGCAGTTGGCAATCTTCGACCAAGGTCGTCGCGAAGCCACATGTAGGATCCTCCCTTCTCTTTGAAAGATCCAAATGCATGTCCGTTCAGTCCAGACAAGGCGACTAAGCTTTGTCATAGTTAGCATCAATAGAGACTCCACTGGAGCTTGTAATACTTACTCCAAGTCATAGACAGAGTCATCATGGGCATGAAGCGGCGTGAACCCCAGAAAGTCTGTATCGAGTTCCAGAATCAAGCTTGAGAAGCTGCCAAAGTTGCTGGCGGAATTTCGTCTGATGGGCGATCCTCTTGCTGGTGTCCCGGATTGAGGAATCGACACTGGAGGTTTAGAAAAATTCAGGGTCGCCACCATTTCCGTGCTTCTCAGTGGATGCGGTGCCATCGACAGAATATTGACGGTATCATCGTCCGTGACACTAAAAGCTTCTCTGACCAGCTCCTCGGCTTTATTTCTTGTCATTTTAGCCCCGTCGAACTTATTAGGAAGTCCGTGGAGCCTGAAGACGGTGTGCTCGACAACGCTCGTGGTCGGGGGCTTTCGGATTCTGTGGGCGGCGCGGAAAGCAAAGTTGGCTGCCGTACCAGTCAGGAGGGCTAAAGCAGCCTTGGCAACTACGCTCAGCTCGTTACTAGTTGAATCCATAATCTTCGAATACTGGAACAAGAGGTTAGCAGGTTACTGTGGAGGTGATGAAGTAGAAGTTGGAAGTTGGGAAGGCTGGGGCAGACACGTCGCTGCGGCTGAGTTTCTTATCCGAGAGGCGAGCGGCTGTATGTTTGGAGCCATTGTAACACCAGGAACAATATGAGTCAGCTGGCACAGCATGAACTCCAGACTCAACCATTGGACATCAACTAGTCATCAGGAACTGCTCATTTCCTCGGTGATGCTCACTGCTGGCATCGATATTATACATCATATATCATAGTTCCTGGTCCATCAACCAGGACACCACCCTCTCCCCTCAACCGCATAATCATAAATATTATCAAGGAAAAAGAATCCCCCGACGGACAGCGAACGCCTTTCTCCTACTCCATCTCCCAAAACCCCGCCGCACCCTCCAAATCATCCACATTCAGCAGGTCCACCCCCTCATCCAGCAGCGTGCGCCAAACAGCATTGCGCGTGCCGACGGGATACCCCGGCGTGTCCCAGTACCTCGCCGCAATGCCCTTCGCATGGACCGCACCCACCTGCTTCCTTAGCGTCTCCAGCTGCGTCTCATTCAGCGCGGGCACAGCCGCACCCTTGACCTCCCCAAACACGGCCGCGAAATCCGTCGACGCGACGGGAGACACCTCGGGGCCGGTGATCTCGTCCGGCATGTCTCCCGCGAGCGGCGCGTCGAGGAAGAAGTCGCGGACGTCCGCGCCGTTCTGGTCGAGGACGTCGGACAGCCGCGTGTTGCCGGTGCCGATGACGGTGACGGCGCCGGGGACGAGGGAAGAGTTGGACGGGAAGTAGGTCGTTAGGTAGCCGGCTTGGCGCAGGGGCTCGAGGGCGGCGTGGGCGGCCGGGAAGGTCGTGTCGGCCGAGGTCTTGAGGTCGATCCAGAGGTAGAGGGTTTGGCCCGAGGACGTGTCGAAGACGCCGTTTTTGGTGTTGGGCGGGGCGAAGGGCGTCGTGGGGTTTTGGCGCTTGAGCGTGTCGAGGATGGGCGAGATGTAGAGCGCGTCGAGGGTGCGGACGTGGGTTAGGGCGCTTTCTTCGTGGCCGACCTGGAGAGGAAATGTGAGTCCGTTGTCTTTTTTTTTTTTTGTATTTATCCTTGGATGTAGAATGAATGACACTTGCTGGGACTTTGGGATTGCGGATAAGTGCAATCAAGCTAGCTCGGTTGCTTGCATAATCAATGGAAGGTGCAGTGAATCGTCATCCTGTTGGATGACTTGTCATGATGAAGCAGAGAGCAGATGAAACGCCCACGTGTGCAAGAAAAGACCAAGTAGAATATGGTGGCATTGGCTATTGATGTTGACAGCAGGGAAGAAAAAACTCACGTAAAGCGTTCCATTGATCAACCATACATCCGCCTCTGTGGAGACTGCTCCGTACGACAGCCCGGAGTAGAAAGGCACATCCCTCCAGTAGTCGTTATGGCTGTGGAACGGTTTCTGATTGGATTCATCGTCATCAGCGTGGGCCAATTCTCCACCAAAGTAAACGTGATGTCTTACGGGAATGATACCACGGGTCAGGTCAGTGGGATACGTGTACAAGTCGCTGCCATGCGTATTCTGCAGAATATTCTGCAGGGTGCTCGACACGTCGGGTATGGCTGCGGCGTCAACAACACCAGCGGCCGCGAGTGCCAGCGTAGACGAGATGACCGATGACTTCATTTCGACTCGACAGAATTTTCCAAGCTCTTGACGTGCGAAACAATTTGCTTCTCAATGCTGTGTGACCAGCGTGGAAATAAGGAGAGGAGTCGGGAAGGCCAGAGCTCGGTAGAGTGGAGGAACAGCGTTGATGCAAGAGAAAGGACGCGGCTGTCAGGGTAAGCAAGAGAACCGGACGCCTGAGGGACCGGTACGGCTTTAATATAGGCTGGGCGGTGACGGGTGGCCGAGCTGGTGAGATGACGGGATTGCCGGGATGCGGGACATTCGGCTCAGGGTCAGGGCCGGGGCGCGGGCGAGCCAATGGATGACGCATGTGCCTGGCGCCTTTCCTCCCACGTGCGTGGCTCAGCTACCAACGTTCCTTCGACTTGACCTGATTTGGATCTTGGTGTCTGTCCAGACGTTGATCAATGTGGGTTCCTCGCATTCCAACTAATTTTAGTCGTTTGTTACATTCATCATTCGAAACTCTGAATTTCATGTCCGCTCGAGGATACTAGATCATGTCCTCATGCTTACACCAATTGCAGATGAAGCTAGGAGTGATGTTGCGGTTTGCCCGCATTTTCGTCTATTGTTTTTGTTATAATCTGCCAAAGAATGCATTAGTCCCGCTGAAGCCAGTCCAGAAAAAAATTGAACCAACGCCGTCCCTGACCCCGTATCGATCTGTGATCTGGCTCTGATGCTCATGCAAAACCGCAATCTCCAAACTTGAAATATAAATACACGCGATGCAACCCCGCACTACATAGGAAGCGCCCGCTTGTTCTGCTTTCCAAGACTGCGCTTGAGCTTCTTGAGCGTCTGGTTGCCAGATGCCCGCAGCTCCTTGTTCTTGTCTCTGTTGTACTCCATGTACGCCATGTCCTGACCACCGCTCAGCTCGCTCAGCGTTCCAGCAGTGCGACGGACTCCCTTCTTGAACCTATTGCCGTGTTTCCTATCGAAAAGATCTCCATCGTTCTTCTCCACCTCACCCGCAACGTCGTTCTGCAGCATGACGTCCGTGAGAAGTTCTCGACGCTCTTGCGGAGTGGCGTACACAAGCCCAGGGAGGTTTTCGATGCCCTGGAGCCGAGTGATGACACGGAAAGAGTAACCCTGGTCCACAAGGAATGCCTGTCGCTTCGAAGAATAGAACATTTCGGTTGTATCCTTCGAGACGAGCGAATAGAAGAAGGCGTTGAACCCTTCATCGTTCCTACGCTTGGCTCGTAGAATACGGCCTAGACGCTGAGCCTCTTGACGTCGTGAACCGTAGTGCGACGAAATCTGGATGAGGCACGTTGCTTCGGGCAAGTCAAGAGACGTGTCTCCAATTTTGGAGAGGAAGATGGTCTTGACATCCTCGTTGTACATGAAGTTCTGCAGAACCGTCTGCCGCTCCTGGTTGGAAGTACCGCCGTAAATAAAGGCCTTGTTGAGTCTCCTTGCGTATGCTTTCAAGGCGTACACGTTGTCGGAGAAGACAATTGTCTTGTCACCTCTCTTTTCGTGGTAGTCGATGAGGAATTGCGCTGCTTGGAACTTGCGAGGGTTCATCGTGTAGAGGAGTGACTTCTTGTTCACTGTCTTGGCCTTCAAGTACTCGGCATAGAACTCTGTCGTCATTTGACACCAGACTTCCGAGCAGATGACCTTGGCAATGAAGCCGTTTTCAGACAACTCTTGCCAGTTGGCCTCGTACAGCTTGGGGCCGATGAGGAAGTTCAAGTCCACAATCTTGTCATCCTCACGGAGCAAAGTGGCCGTGAGACCAAGCTTCGCGTGTGAGGGTACAGCGTGCGTGACTCGACTGAACATTTCTGCGGGCACGACGTGCACCTCGTCGAGAACCATCAGACCCCATTCTCTCTGTGTGATGAAGTCCATGACCTTCTGCGAGTCGTACGATCTGGTCCGGTTCATGGCAATCATGTTGTACGTGGATATCAGAACACCCGTGTTGCCCGAGAAGAAGTCTTTCTGTTCAGCAGTGAAGACGGCAATGTCGCTGGGGTTGATGTTGGACCATTTAATGAACTCATCACGCCACTGCAACACAGACATGGTACTTGTGCAAAGCACGATGCAGCCCTTCCTCACGGTACATGCAGCTGTGATACCGACCAAGGTTTTGCCAGCACCGCAGGGCAAGACGATGATTCCACTACGAGCACGTCCGTTACCAAACATCTTGGTAAGAGCTTGTTCTTGATACGGCCGAATCTCAACACCAGGCCGGATGTCAATTTCCAGATTGGCGTTGGCGAAATCATTGCGGAAATCGTACTCCTCAGTCAGTGGCAACCCGATTGCTCGGCAGCGCTTCGAAACGGTCTGCACGCTAGGTCCGTCTATCTGGAAGGAATGGACCTGGTCTTCTTCCTCATCGTCATCTTCCTCCCTGAGCACGTTCATCATCTGATCAGCGTCTTCCGGCTGGGGCTGTGCCTGGGCGGCCTGCTTGGCACCGGCGGCCATGTTGGTACCAGGGATAACCAGGTCTCCCTTCTTGGCAGCCGTCGTCTTCATCAAGCCTTCGGTGTTGTCTATTCTGCATGGACCGATGATGGAATCTCGCAGTAGGGTACGGAGAATGTCGGGATCAGAACTCTCGACGAAGTACTTGGTCTGTTTCAAGACCAGCCTGACCTTGCCGAACGACTTTGTGGATTGGATGATGAAATCCTTGACCTCGTCGTCCAGGGGCGTCTTGGACAGCTTCTCAAGCTGGTTGATGATCTCGTCCGTCGAGAGACCGACCGAGACGGCAGCGAACAGGCTGTTGGCGGTGAGAGAGTATTCATGCATGAGGGACACACGCGATTGAGGCTCGGCGATGTTGATGAGGAAACGCTCGGCAGTCTTGAAATAAGGAGAGAAACTTTCTAGGATAATCTTGCCCTCGGGAGTGACCCAGAGCGGGCGGTCGGTATGCTCCTTCTTCAGGTCCAGGCTCGAGTAGTCATGGCCATGAAAGTGGCTGGAGAGGGCATCTGACCTCCTGAAGCCGGGAGCCGCAACCTTCTTGGAGCGTTGGAAGCGCTCGACCAGCATTCGCATTTCCTCCTGTTCCGCAACCTCATCCGCCGTGGGCTCCGTGTACTCGTCGTCACTGCTGGCTATGCTGATGGGCGTGTTCACGCCGGACGCCACCCTCTTCGAACTGCCGCCAGTCGGCGCGGTCGCCTTGCGCTTCGCTGCCATGGCTCCTGCGTGTAGAAGGGTCGGCTTCAGCTGTGGCGGGAGCAGCGCGACGAGCTGCGGCGAGTGTCAAGTCGACGCGCAAACGGCCGGGGAGCTTGCAGGCGAGCGGAAGTCGAGTTGGCGGATTGTTCGGAGGTGAAGTATGCGGACGTCGAGTACAGGGTGCGGAGTGACGACGCGTGGATTGACAAAGAAAGGCGCAGACAACGGCGGCGATGATGAATGATCCATGGGTCAGCGTCGGCAAACCAGGCAAACGCGCCAAGCTTGGCGGGCTGGGCGGCGGTCGGGGCCGGGGTGCTTGGGGCAGTGACGCTGCGCTGGGGCTGCGCGCTCATCGCAATCGCAAGCTCTCTCTCGGAATGGAACAGCTTCGCCGCGACATGCCACTCTGCCGCCGATAATGGGCGCCTCCGACTCCAAACTTGTCTTCAAGCAAGGCATCATCCGCCTGGCTGAGCAGACCGAAATCCCAGCCGACGACACCTACTGGACGGGAGTACGCGCGCCGGTCAAATGCCATGTATGCCCGCAGAGCTGACCAAACCCACGACAGTTCTGGGAGCTGCCCGAGTCCGCCGAGGATGTCTTCACTCTCTTCTCGCCCGCCGACATTCGCCGCACCCGCGACAATGCCCTCGCCAATCTCGAGACGCTCGTGCTCGCCGTGTCCTCAAGGCTCTGCGTTCTGCGAAACCACCCGTCCTTCCCCGACCCTGAGCTAGCGCCCGAGAGAGACGCCCTGAACTGCATCCGCGTCCTGACCCGCCTGCTGCCCTACATCTACGAGGCCGACCACCTTGACGCCTGGGAGGACAAGTTCTTTTGGGGTGCGCGCCGCAAGCGCAGCAGAAAGGGCCAATTGCACCGCTCCGAGGTGCTGTTCGACGGCGCAAATGCTGAGGAGCCCCCCAAGGAGAACGCCCAGGACTTTGAGGAGGTCAAGCCGCTGGCTGAGGAGCTGATCGACACCCTCATCGACCTGCTGTTCTTTGCCGACTTTACCCTGCCCAAAGGTCAGCCCGGCAAGGGAAAGGTGACGTATGCGATCTGGCAGAGCGGCGTGGGCTGCAACACTCCGGTGGGCACGAGCAAGGAGTTTGAGAACAATCGCACAGAGATCCTGCGGCTTCTGCTTACTCTGGCGAGCAAGTCCATGTACACATCTCCCAGTACGTTCCTCTTCGCTGCCCCGCCTGGCTTCTCTAATAATTTCCAGACGTCCTTCCTGTCAAAGGCGTGAAGGCTATCACGTACATTACGACCTGTCCGGACAAGCAAATCGTCCTCTCGCTTCTCTGTTCGCTCCTCAATACGGTGAGCCTCGCCAAGACTGTAGACGAACATAGCCCACATTAATACTTCCCCAGACGCTCAAGTACAACCCCGCCAGCTGGCGCGTGCCCTACGATCATGTCGTTTTCAAGGATCCGAGACAGATTCTTGTTACGTACTGCCTCCAGTTCCTCCTGGTTCTGATACTCTACCCCATTCCGGAACCAGGAAATGGTCCGCCCCCCAAGAACTTCTTCCGCCATTTCTTGGGCAGACTCCATAGACCTCAGGACTTCCAGTTCCTCCACGATGGCCTGACTAGGATCTTGAATCAGCCTGTAAGTTCTTCGAGCAAAGAAAATCTCTACCCTTTGCAACCAAAATTTGCTCGCAACATGGCAGCGCTCGACGCGCATGAGTAGTTGAAGTCAATATCTGAACGTCATTGTGCAACTCTCAAGCCTACATTGAGTTCCGGATATTTCCTTCAAATACCCATTAGGATGAACCACATATGCCTTCCGAGATTGGTTGGGAAGGGATCATCGACTAACACACATGCAGTTACAAGCGACCACTTCCTACCTTCCTGGCAGCCAAAAATCCCTGACATGGGCCCCTGAGATGCTCGTCCTATTTTGGGAGGCGTTGCAATGCAACAAGCGTTTCAGAACATTCATCATCGATACGGACCGAGCTCATGACTTCGTCGTGTTGATCCTCTTCTACGCCATCGACCAGTGTAATGATCCTTCGAGACAAGGCCTCATTCGCATGTGTATTTTTATCCTCCAAACCCTGAGCACTGAACCGAACTTTGGCAAAAATCTCAACAAGAAGTTCGAGGGCCAAGAGACTCTTCCGGCAAGCATCCGCATTCCGAATTTCCACGGAACATATGCGGACTATCTCATCACGGTAGGATTATCAAGATGTGGCCATCTTTGACTTTGACTGATTTGTGAATAGTCGATATACACGCTTCTCACTACCCGGAGAGGGAAGCTTGATGCCGTATACCCTGCTCTGCTCGCTATTGTCAACAACGTTGCAGCCTACGTGCAAAATCTGGGCAGGGCAACTTCCTCAAAGCTTATTCAGCTTTTCATCTCCATGTCATCTCCGAGTTTCCTATTAGCGAACGAGTCTAACCACAGTCTCCTACACTCCTTGCTTGAGGCTCTGAACGCCATCATTGAGCATCAATACCCTGGTAAGTGCACCGCCTGCTACTTCCTTTACTGCCGTACTGACAAATTGACAGCCAATCCGAACCTGATATATGCGATCTTGAGGTCAAGGAAGCGTTTCCAAGCATTAACCGATTTTACTCTAGAAAGCGCGCAGGATGAGATTGAGCGCCAAAATCAGTTAAGAAAGGAGCGGAGAGCTAGCGACGGAGGAACGTCAACAAGAGGCAACTCTCGTCAAAACTCCATGGATAGCCTAAGGAGTCCAATCAGCAGCCGTCCTCCCACGCTTAGCAACGTGCCAGAGGAAAACAGTGCGTTTAGCATCGGTGACGATGATGATTCAGGTGACGAAGAAGACAATCGTACACCCCAGCGCCGTTCCCCAATGCAGTCCGGAAGCAATTCGAGAACTGCATCCATCAGTTCAGCTGCCGATGAGTCTGTTCCATTGCAGCTGCGGGGAATGTCAGAAAAGGCAAGGGGAAAGATGCCTGTTGGAGCACCTTCCTTCTCCAGGCAGAACAGCACGAGCAGCTTGAGCAGCCTGGCCACGCCAACCGTCATGTCGAACGGCAAGTTTAATCCTACGACTGAATGGGTAAGCATCACACCGTTTTGGGGAAATGGTTGTTTCATGAGCTGACGCCTCGACAGTTGGAAAGCTGGGTCCCCGAACTACCTCTGCACACCATCCTGACGCTCATCTCACAACTGGGCCCACTGGTGCCTGCCGACTCGTCAGCAGACACTGCAGCAGCACTGGAGACGATCAGAAATACCGAAGTCCGGGGGATCGACCCGTCAGCAATACGTGTCCACCTGTTCGAGTGGTCGCCACTGTCGCTCGGGTGGTACGAATCCTTACTTTGGAGCTTCATCTTCGCCAGCGAAATGCTCGTGTCCAAGGGCACGGCAGGCGTGTGGAACGGCACCAGCATCAAGCTCTTCCGAGTGCAGGAAGTCGGACCGCAGACGCCGTCGCTGCTCGCGCCCCGCGGCGCCGTCGACGCTGTGGGCGACAACCTCCGCCAGCGCATAGGCAGCCTCAACCTCGGCCGCACGTCGATGCAGGGCGGCGGCAGCGGAGCAGGCGGCGGTGCGCAGAGCCCTGGCGGCGGTGGCAACGGCCCGGTCAGGGATATCTAATAGGTACGCTTGAAGGAATGAGGCTCACTAGGGTTCGGGATTGGAAGAGAAACGACAAGGGCAGATGGTGTGACGAAACTTTTCCTTTTCCAGTGGGTCGGACGGATTGGGATGGGATGGTGGAGGGTGGCTGACTTTGACTGTTTTTTTTTTTTTTTTTTACTTTCTTCCTCGTGCAGATGATGCTTCTAGCCTTGGCTTCTTGTCTGTTTACATGTGCATAGTAGGAAATATCAGAGACCGAGCTTATCACGCTTCACCGGGGAGTGTTGCTATATTTTGCATGTTGGTTGATCGCTGCTTTTACGAGTAGGCAGGTCGGTGATCGCTGCTGTTACAAGTAGGCAGGTCGGTGATCGCCTGCCGTGCAGCCGTCTTTTCCGCCCTGCACTGCCACGCTCTGTTGCGTGGCGTCTAGACCTTGCGCATCCCGGTCTGCTGCTGTGGCGTTGATCTTTGCTGTGGCGAAACGGTGGCCGTGACGTGTGATTGGCGTGAGTTTGCATGTCGTGTCCAATCAAACATCAAACTGGCATGGTCGCACGCGGGACAGCGAACGCGCAATTGTAATGTGGATTGAGTGGAGAGATGGGTTTTCGCTGTCGGTTTTTTTCCTTTTCTCTGGGGTATGGGATTCCGCGGTGAAAAATGGGATAGTTTCGCCTTGAAGGCGTGTCACACCCTCTTCCTCTTATTTTATCTCATCCTCTTCCGTGTCTGCGAAGAGGTTTCCTGTTCTTTCTAACCCCATGAGAAGTCCTATTCGACGGAATCCAAGCAAGCTGAAGCCATGGCTGGAATACCCTTGGGCTTAATCAACGGAGTATCTCCCCAGCCGGGAGGGATCAAAGCAGGAAACGACGACCAGGATGCTGCTGCTGTTGCTGTGGAGCCGTACAACATGCACGTATGTCTCACATCGTCCATGCACCTCATTCTTTCATTCTGCAGACGACGATAATGCGAACGTAAAAGGTGGTGTGAGACACATCTGGTTTGCTAACGTGGGGTGCATACGGATTGACAGGTCTCGGCCAAGTACCTCGAGTTGACGAAGCGCAAGCTCGAACTCACGCGCCTGCCGCACGAGCTGGAGGAGCTGCCTGAGGACCGGAAGTGGGACTACGGCCCACCTAAGACGGTGTTGGAGCCTTTGGTCGATTATTGGTAATATGGAGCGACAGTTTTCCTATATTCCTTTCCTGGTCTTATGAAGGAGCTCTTGAGGTAGTTGAAGCTGCTGTCCGGGCGGAGATGTGGAGTTATTAAATACATATCTACGTCCAGATGGCAGCTTCAACTACCTATGTAAGTCGAGTGCCGTCGCTCTCGAAGACGATTGCGGAGTATCATTTCTTTTAGCACCTACGCGTGCTCTGTAAAAATCCAGGTTGCTCCCAGCATCCACTCTTTCTTTCTTTCCTCCTCTCTTTCCTTTCCCTACCCATCGAAGCAGACCTCTGCCTGCCCCACCCCAAGTCTCTCTCTCTCTCTCTCTCTCTCTCCGGAATACCAGGCTAACCGATTCGAACCACCAGGCTCTGCGACTACTCCTGGCGCGCCGAGGAATCCCACTACAACACCGCCCTCCCCCAATACCGCACCGGCATCACCATCCCCTCTCCTTCTCCCAGCGGCACCAGCGAGACGCTCCGCATCCACTTCGTCCACAAGCGCTGTTACCGCCCCGATGGCGCTGACGGCGACGTCACGCCGCAGCCCCGTGCGCGCAAAGCCGTCCGCGTCGTGCCGCTGCTCTTCTGCCACGACGTGCAGGCGTCGTCGTTCCTGGACGTCAGCGGCGTACTCGACGCTCTGACAAGCAACGGCGGCGGCGGAGGAGGCGGCGGCGGCGAGGACAACAACATCGCGTTCGACGTCGTGGCGCCGAGCGTGCCGGGAACGGCCTTCAGCGACGCGAGCGGCGCCGAGGGGTTCGGGGCGGGCGAGACGGCGGATGTGTTTGATGCGCTGATGAAGAGGTTGGGGTACCAGCGGTACGTTGCGTTTGGGGCTGGATGGTAAGTGCCACCACGTGCTTCGTCGTCTATCCATTTTCCCCCCTATTCTTCACATCGCGGTTTTTCTTTCAGAGAAACATGCTGACCAGATACGCTAGGGGCTTCGCCGTCTGCCGTGCCCTTGCTCTCCGGCACGGCCCGGACAGCTGCGTCGCCATTCACACGGCCAACCCGGCGTCGTTCTTCCCGCCACCGTCGCTGCAGAAGACGCCGCTCGAGTGGATGCGGTACCAGTGGGCCCGGGTGACTGGCGCACGTGTTCCGGGGTTGAGCTTCGGGTACACGCCTACGGATTTTGATGGCGGTGCTCAGAAGTCAGGTATCAGATCAGGCAAGACCAAGTTGACGGACGAGGAGAACGCGGTCCAAGAAGTCCTGCCGAACGACGACGATTCTAGCAATGGGACGGAGGAAACGGTTTGTCTATCTTCTCGTCCTCAGACGTTGGCGTACGCCTTGTGCGATTCGCCCGTCGGATTGCTTGCACACACGCTGGACTTGCTGAAACCATGCTTGGCGCTGGGCCGTGCAGGCTACCTGAGCACGGTTTGGACGCCTGCAATCCTGCTGAGTTGGACCATGTTGCAGTGGCTTCCCGGGCCCGAGTCAGGGTTCCGGTGGATGCAGAGGGCAAAGAGGGAGAGCGAAGTAGGCGGGCTTCTATGGAGGAGGCATAGCGAGGTGCCGCTGGGTATCAGCCAGTTTGGGAAGCCGCACGGTGTTCTGAGATGGGCACATGCATGGCAGGAGGTGCGGTGGCTGAAGAAAAGGGAGGCGTCCGACGTCATCAGGCCCGAATGGGAGAGTCCAGAGGAGTTAGCCCAAGATCTTCGCGAGAGCTTTGGGAGCGTATGGAGCGAGGCATGATGATTATGGTGTTTGGTCCGCGTCTCAGGAATCGATGTGCTGGTGTTTCTTTTTTTCTTCCTTGACCAACTTTTGTCGTTTGCGTCTGCATTTCATTCATCCTTGGACATTATTCAATTAAACAGAGCAGCCCAACGGTGACATGGGTTTGGATACTCCTATTTCTCGTATATGGGGGTGATGACGCCGCTGGGCAGCGAATCCTGCTAGGATGCCGTTGGATTTTGGTTTCGGTCCGTGAGGCATTTTAATGGGAACCCCCGTCTGTGCGCATGGGCGTGGGTGCCTCTTTGCTAAGAGAAAGTGACGATTCTTCGAATCGGAAGGTTCCGAATAGATATCAAGATGCAGAGGTCGGGAGCGGCTGCAGGCAGGTACTTTGTATGCTGACCGGTGCCTGCGGCTACGTGCACAACAGTGGGCTGATGGGGAGGTGCGCATATCGGGGGAAGCTCGACGGATCGAGATTAAGGCAGGAGGCTCGAGCCTGGATTGGGCGGCAAGCAGCCGGGAGGATAGTGCGGAGAACTTGGCAGTAGGTAACCGCTACGACGAGGTGTGCAGAGTCGCCCGCGGTTGTGGTGGCCCTTTGAAGGGAAGCGTGGCAGGTACCACGGTTAGGGCGAGTGATTGGAGGGTTCTCGAAGGCAGCGTGGCTGCGGGCGAGTGAGATCGGGGCGGGCGCGTGAATCGGGCGGCTTGGGCGGAGGGCATTAGTCGCGGCTGGCTGTGACGCACTGGCGAGGGCTTGGGCCTGCGGAGCCACACCGAAAATCCACACCCTCACACGACTCCGCGTCCTGCTTCTACTCCAAAACACCTCTTTGGCCCAGCCAAAATATCCGATCACCTGCGCAACTCTACTGCGATTCTCCCCCTCGAGGTAACCTCCCCGCGCCCGCCACCGTCGCGCTTTGCATGTGCTCAAGCTGACGCGCGCCAGGCTTCCTTGGCCTCCCCTCCCAGCGCCGCGTCGAAGACAGTCAAATTTTGACTGACGCGGACCCATTGCGCATCTGTCGCGCCCACCCTCACCCGCACACCCGGCCCGTCGGTCACGCTGGCAGACCTACCTTCCTCTGCAAATTTCCTTCCTGCCCGGCTGTAACCAGCCACGCAGAACCCCGCCCTCGTAGAACCATTGCTTGAGTCCATGCGTCAAGAGGACCTTCTGCGTTTCCTGTCCAAGCCCGCGAAGTACGTACAGCGTCTGTCTGCTTCCGATCGCACGAACGCCGCGCGCTAAAACCTTTCACCAGGCCCAGATAACACTCTCGACCAACCCGTCTTCACCCCCAACCCTACCAGATCCCACCTGAGCAGATCTCCTCGTCTGCTGGACCCGATACTTTCCCAGGGTATCGGTATCTGACAGTTCGAGGACTACAACCGATTGACGCCATTCCTCCGCGGAAAGCGTACTTTATTCCTCTCCGTACCCGCCCTCCCTAACGTCCTTACAAGGCCGTTCACCCCATATTCGTCCATTGCTGCTGGCAAAAGCCAGCCTCCTCTTCCGTCCACCTTTTCGTGGGCCTTCTCCTTCAGGCGAATCCGCACCATTCGCCTGGGTGGCAGATTGTGCTTCACTGCCGAAAGCCACTCCTCTTTTTCGCCAGGAAAACTTCCGTTGTAGAGAGACTAGGCTCTGCTAGTCACCAATCCGGAGATGGTCGCTGAAATCCCCAACCACTACACGCACTCTCCGTCCTCATACTACGGAACGCCCCATCTGACGATCAACAAAGAGGCCACCATCGATCTCGACTCTTCCAGTGCCTTCGAAGGTACCGATTTGTCCTGCATAGCACTATGTGATAAGAAACTGACAGCGGCGCAGGTCCTGAGAAGCTCCTGGAAGTATGGTTCAGTCCGTCGGCTAACATGCTCCCGGCTTCGGCCAAGCCCAATGGCTTGAAGTCGGTTCCTGCCGACACATGGAAGGATATGCTCGACCTGGTCAACTGCAAGGTCCTTTCCATTGTCGAGTCCCCCGACGTTGATGCCTACCTCCTCTCCGAGTCGAGCATGTTTGTTTGGCCGCACAAACTGGTGCTCAAGACCTGTGGTACCACCACTCTGCTCTACGGTCTTCCCCGCATGCTCGAGATTGCTCTCAACGATGCTGGATTTCCTGGCGTTCAGGCCAACCTGCTCAAGGGCATCCAGGCTGCTGCTACCCCGTACCGCGTCTTTTACAGCCGCAAGAACTTTTTGTTCCCCAACCAGCAGCGCGGCCCCCACCGCAGCTGGCGCGATGAGGTCAAATATCTGGACAAGATGTTCCTTGGCGGCAGCGCCTACATGATTGGCAAGATGAACGGCGAGCATTGGTACCTGTACATCACTGGTCCCGACACCCGTCTTACCCCGCCATCTTCGCCCAACAAAGAGCATCACCCGGAGACGGAGACGAGGTACCTGAGTGTGCCGACACCGATGATGGCTGGTGTGACTACCGATGAGGCGCAAGACGAGACCTTGGAAGTACTTATGACCGATCTTGACGAGGAGAACGCCCGTCAGTTCTACCTCGAGGACGCGAGTGCGGTCGCGGAAGGTCGTTACTTCCAGAAGGCCCGTGAGGCGCGCAAGAATGCTATCAAGAGCCTTGGTGCCCTCCATGAGGATGGCTCTGCCGAGTCCAGCCTGGCTGGCAGCACCCTTCTCAACGGATCCAACAACGAAAACTTTGACGTCTTCGAGCAGACGTCCTCGGACCACAGTGGATTCCCCTCGGACGCTTCGGACGACGACCTGACGTTCCCCGAGGAGCTCACGACCGAGGGCCACACTCTTGGAACGGTCGTCTCGGAGTCCTGCGGCCTTTCGGACGTCTACCCGACCAGCAAGTACCCCGACGCACGCGTTGACGCCTACCTGTTCACTCCTTGCGGTTTCTCCGCCAACGGCGTCATCCCTGCTCCTGGCGGCCCCAACGGAACCGATGCCACGCACTACTTCACCGTCCACGTCACGCCGGAGCCGCAGTGCTCGTACGCTTCGTTCGAGACCAACGTGCCTGCGCGCCAGAGTGGCCGTGAGACTGCGGACATCGTCGAGCAAGTCGTCAAGATCTTCAAGCCCGGCCGCTTCAGCGTCACCCTCTTCGAGGCCAAGCCTGATGGAGACGACAGCCTCTCGTCGGCTGCTAAGCGTAGCGCTCGCATGGACAACATCAAGGGCTACAAGAGGGTCGACCGCGTCATTCACGACCTTGATGGCTACGACCTCATCTTCCGCTACTACGAGCGCTTCGATTGGAAGGGTGGCGCTCCTCGCCTCGGTGAGCTTGGGTGCTAGTTTTCTGGTAGTCAGCACTGGGTAGTTCTCGGTCCTTTGATCCTGGTCGATTCTCTCCGTTGATGTTTGTTAATACCGTCATTACCGCACATAGTCCTTCGCTATCGATGGCTTTCTTGCTCAACATGGCAACTGGGAGGGTAAGAGGTCATTTGCTTTTATTGTTATTCTTTGCCGGTTTGCTTTTTTTTTCAGCAGGGTATTGGGTTTTATTGGGAGTTAATGAATACACGGCCTTATTGTTCCTAAAGCTACGATTCTGTGGATGTCAGTGAAGTTGCAAATGTCTCGGATCTAATGTCATTAGCAGTGGTTGCAGATAACGGTGCTCATCTGATGACGGAAGCTCATTCTTAAGCCTACCGTCACGTCGGTGTCAAACGAAATGATCATGGGTAGTTGAAGCTACTATCTAGACGTAAATGTGTATTTAATAATTCCACATCTCCGTCTAGATGGGAGCTTCAACTGCCCACGCAAATGGAGCTTAGATGCTGATATAAATTAGTTCCGATTGCTTAGATCTTGCGGCACCTACTGTGCGACTAGAGCTTAGTCGTACTTGGAAGGAGGCGGGAGCGGGACGAGCCTTTGGTTGGTCGCGCTAAAGCTACAAGGACAGACCCTGATGACTGAAGATGTCGTCAGAGGTGAGGCTTGCTAGTCCAGTATTCCTGTTAACTCTGCCTGAACACGAGATTCAGAAGCTTTCCGATTCTCGTACATACCTACATGAATGGCTTTTGAACCGGTGAGGTTTTGTTTTCAGCCTTAAACTTTATGCCCTACATCTGACGCAAAACTATATTTAGTTCCACGCCGCAGCAGCCTCGAAGGATTGCCCTGCGCCCGAACACACGTGATGTCGTGCCGCGTGGATCTGCAATCGCAAAGCCTCTTGTCCTCGTAAGCTTTTTGTTCCCACATTCCTTTTCCTAACGTTCTGCTTACCGTGGCGGATGATTATTGATTAATTGCTGAGGCTTTGCTGCTCCTGCTCACACTACCTCGCCGGCACTCCTAACGGCATCACGAGTGTGTGTGTGTGCACGAATTCCTACCAATTTCCCTTTTTGTTTTCCACCATCGTCTTCGCCTTACTTTCGTTTTCCCTTCTTTCCTTTCTCGGCCCTGTTTGCTGCTCTCGCGCAAACAACGAACCAATAACAACAACAAAAATGGACCACCACGCCGGCGGCAGCCCGCAACAAGTGGAAACGGTGCGCACCTGCCAGAACTGCGCGCACGCTAAGATCCGCTGCCTGCGCAGTCAGCCCGCCGGCGCGTGCGACCGCTGCCGCCGCCTGCGCAAGGACTGCGTCTTCCGCCCCGCCCGCCGCCGCTTTGGCGGTGGTGGTGGCGGTAGTGGCGGTGGTAGTGCTCACCATCCTGCTCCACCGCTGCTGGGGTCCGCCGCTACTACCACTACTACCACTATCGCTTCGATAGGAGATGGTTTCGGGAATGGCGCTGCTGCTGCTGCCGTAGCCAATGAGGGCTCTCAGCAGCAACAGCAGCACCAGCTCGCCTCCATCGAAGCGAAGCTCGACCGCTTGCTGAGCTTGCATCATGGCGGCAATGGTAGTACCGGGCAGGCGTCAGCAACGAGCTTCTACAACGCACCGCGGCCGCCGTCCTCGTCTTCCCCGGCGTCGTCGTACAACCCTCCCACCGTCCCGGCTTCCTGTTCCTCCTCCACCACCGCCGTTCATCCTCCTCTAGAAGCCAGGAGCAACAGCGTTGCCGGCGCTAGTACTCACAGCGCCAGTGGAGACATCATCGACGACGGCATTCTCTCACTAAAGCAAGCGCAGCACTGCATCCAGCTGTACCGCACCGCGCTGACGCCGCACTTCCCGTTCGTGGTGCTCGATGATGCTGACGGCGATGATGATGACGACGCCGTGATGCAGCGGCTGCGCAGGGAAAGGCCGTTCCTGTTCCTGGCGGTGGTCACGGCCGCGAGCTTCGAGGACGTGGGCGTGCAGCGGGAGTGCGGGCGGCGGTTAAGGGAGGTGGTGGGCGAGAGGGTGGCGGGGAGGGGTGGCGGCCGCGGGAGGAGGAACGCGGGGGTGGATGTGGATTTTTTGATGGGGTTGTTGGTTGGGTTGGCTTGGTGAGTGGGTGTGAGATAGCTCTGTTGGAGGGAGGGAAGGGAAGGAGAGAAGAGGTGGCTGGTCTTATGCGACATGGATGATGATGATTGGCAGCTGACTTTTGCTTGTTCAGGAGTCATTATCACCCAACACCGAGACCGAGACCGTACTCGCAGCATCTGCACATTGCTATCAGTATTATTACTGAGCATAGCCTGGACCGTCCGCCGCGGACGCAGCCTTGGAAGACTCACGCAGGATCTACGATATATGAGCTCATACCAGAATCCCACCCGCCTCCGCCAACTAGAAGTAGAGAGATTAAGAGGGTTGTGGCTGGCTGCTACTATCTTTCTGCGAGGTTTGTGATCCCTTGGCTCTCAGAAGTGAATCATTCTGACTTCTGTAGCGTTGCGTCTCTCCTGCAAAGGACCAACACTTTTCCATGCACTGCCTACATCGAAGACTGCTGTAGGTCTTTAAGTGCGGATCCCGAGTACCCTACCGATAAATATCTGCATGCCATAATACGTCTGCAGCGGGCTATAGAGGAAGTCGACATGCCTCTCATGGCTGGGTTTTCTACCACCGAGCAAGCAGAAGATTTGGCTGGAGTGGTTCCACGGACAAGTCCGAACTCTATCAAGGCGCAGATGCCCTTTGACTTGAAAGAAAATGGTAAGGATATCCCGGAAAAGAATAACCTCTTCTAAGGTTCTGACATCATCACTCTAGAACTAGTGTATATGCTGTTTCATACCGCCGAGCTGAACGCGGTGCATTTGCGGCTGTTCTTCTCTGGCATCCATCAAGGCACTTCCTTGGACGTGAGCGATTTGAACAGAGGTTTCAGGGCAGCAGGCTCGCTGCTAGGCTTTTACTTGTCGCTCCCGTCTCGCCGAGACCTGACTTTCAATAATTCCGAGTGGCTGCAGCTTAGCCTCGCACTGACGGTATCCGCGAAACTGATCTTCGCCGCCTCGCACCCATCCCTCGGGACGGCTGGGAAAGTGCAAGCTTCTCTCGACCTGAAAGGTCTGCTCTCTCAGATTGTACTGAGGCTCAGCACCCTGGAGCACTGCTGGGACGTAGACAGTGCGAATAATCACCCGTCCATCTTTAAAGACTTCACGCGACGCGTACAGCGGCTGCAGAAGTGGTTCGACGATCGATACGCGCGCGTGCAAGGTGCCGCCGCCACGCAAGCGGCGCTGGATCCGTCTGCTTCCGGACCACCAGGGGAGCTGATGGACTTGCCGCAGCTTTCAGGGAGCGAATTGTTGCTGCCTGATCTGCTGGCTTTCGACGGGTTGGCGACGCTGGATCAGCAATTGGCGGCGTTCTTCCCGGACATGCAGATGGGCGACGCCATGGGCGATTGGCCAATGTATCCGGGCGGCTTGTGAAGATCATTCGAGGTGCTAGAGGTAGATCCATGGATGTCGCTCGATCACACCCAATCCGGGAAGTCATCTTTATTCCCGTATGCAATTGTTATTGGTGTTGACGTTACAGCAGGCGCCACTGTAAGGCATTTGCATCGGGTTGTCGTGCACGGCCCGCATTCAGCTACCTCGCTCTGGTGTCTGTTTTCGAATAATGCTGATGGAAGCGGCACAGTAGGTGTTTGTGGGGTGGCTTGGTGGCTTGGGGGCATTGTTAACGGCGGGAAGCCTAGTCCGTGTCCGTGTCCGTGTCCGCCCCGTAAGACCAGCGCGCCGCTGCTTCAGGCAACAATAAATGCTCCCTGCTGGTTGGGTGGTGGTACCAAGCCCCCATTTTTAAACTAGACGAAGGATTCAACTGCGCCTCCTCCAACGGTGCGCGTCTCTGCCGTTGCCGACACGATGGTGAGAAAAACAATGCCGGTTTCGACCAGCACCGCCCTCATGCTTCCCGTCGTGAGAACTCAAAAGGACTTTGAGGCCGTCTACTTTCTCACCATCATCACTCAATTCCGCATCCGCCGGCAACAAAATGTCTGAGTTCAACATTACCATTCCCGGCGTCAACACCAGCGACCCCAATTTCGACTATGGCGACTACTGCACACTAGACCTTTGCCCAATCGAACTAGCAAATTTCACCTATGTGCCGACACTTGCAGGCAATGCCACCTATCTAGCCATATTCGCCGCCCTTTTGCCTTTCCAGCTATTCTTCGGCATCCGCTACCGGACATGGGGTTTCCTCGTCGGCATGTTTGGCGGCCTGGTTCTCGAAATCATCGGTTACGTCGGCCGAGTGCAGCTTCACTTCAACCCATTTCCCTTCGACCCCTTCCTTGAGTAAGTAGCCAGCCACAATCCATCTTTTTTATTTCCTTCTCTTCCATCTGTACTAACGCGAAGCCTGAAAAACAGATATCTCATCTGCCTCACCATCGCACCAGCCTTCCTCAGCGCAGCCATCTACCTCTGCCTAGGCCGCATCGTGGTCGTGTACGGCGAGCACATTTCGCGCATCGCGCCGCGCACCTACGCCATCATCTTCGTGTGCTGCGACCTGCTGTCGCTGATCCTGCAGGCGGCCGGCGGCGCCATCACCGCGACGGCCGACAAGGACCAGCCCGACCTCAGCGACACGGGCATCAACATCATGATCGCCGGCCTGGCCTCGCAGGTCGCCTCGCTCGCGGCCTTCATCGTGCTCTGCGCCGAGTTCGCGTGGAGGGTGTACAGGAACAAGGATAGGCTGAATGAGAGCTTTGCGGGGCTGAGGAAGACGTGGTTGTGGAAGCTGTTTTTGGGTGGTGAGTAGTAGTCCTGTTCGCGGGTTTTTGCTGGAATGTTTGTTCTGACTGAGAGTACAGGCATCGCTCTTGCTACCACGACCATCTTCATCCGTTGCATCTACCGATTGTTGGAGTTGAACGAGGGTTTCAACGGCGAGTTGGCCAACGACGAGGTGTTGTTCATGATCTTGGAGGGCCCGATGATCATCATCGCTTGCGTCGCCTTGACCGTCTTCCATCCCGGTATCTGCTTCCGTGGGAGGTTTGGCGAGGCCAACTGGGGCTTTGCAAAGAAGGGAGGCGCGAACAAAGAGGGTGGGTTTTCTGAGACGGATGAGGACAGATCATAGATGGCGGAGTTCTCTCATGCTCCTCGGCCAGGGTAGTCTGCGAGCTGTCCGGTTGGCAGCTTTGAGGTTGCGGGACAGGGAGGCACTACCTCGAACCGTGAGACGGACGAAAAGAGAAGAGAGTGAGTTTCAGGCGTCATTTGGAGAGCGGATACGATTCCCATCATCAGCGATTTCTTTTATTCCTACGAGCCCCAGGATTTTACTGACCTATGTTGTTTTCAACGTCTTGTCATTTACACTGTTTTTGTTAAGAGTCTAGACTTGGGAAAATTTATGCTAGATACCCCCTTATCTCTTTGACAACAAGCCAAGCTCACGGCGTCTCAATACGCACCGAGAGATCAAGAGAATTATTCCGTGCAGCGCACCGCGAAGCTTGTCCGAATCGACGCTACACTCCGCAAAATGTGGGGCAAGTAGGATCGCGGGGCTCACCCCAGACCGGAGCTCCGTAGCTTAAAAGAAGAGGAGGATCGCCGGCGCAAAGCTTAGCAGAGGAGGTACCAAAGCTTCTGCTGTCATCATCATCAGCATCTCAAAAAAAAAAAAAGAACAGCACCTCCCCCCCCCAAAAAAAAAAACATGGGCCTCTACAACAACCCCATCCTCCCAGGCTTCAACCCCGACCCCTCCATCATCCGCGTCGGGTCCGACTACTTCCTCGTCACATCCTCCTTCGAGTATTTTCCCGGTGTGCCCATCTACCACAGCAAGGATCTCATCCGGTGGACGCTGATCGGGCACGCGCTGACGCGGCGCTCGCAGCTGGACGTGCGCACGCCCGAGGCCGGCGGCGGCATCTGGGCACCGACGATCCGCTGGCACGACGGCGTCTTCTACATCACGACGGCGTGCTTCGACCGCTACCGGCCGCAGGCGGACGACCGGGTGTGGCCGCGCGGGTTTTACGTCAAGACGGAGAATGTGTGGGAGGAGGGGAGTTGGTCGGAGCCGGTGTGGTTGGAGCAGGTGGGGTTTGATCAGGATGTATGTTGTGTTCTTTCTTTCCTTACTACCTTATACTGACACTTTCTGCTATAAGCTCTTCTTCGACCCCCCGCACACCTACCTCTCCACCACCCTCCGCAAATCCCCCCGCACCACCATCCTGCCCCCCGGTCACCCCCCGCTCAAAGACTTCGCCATCCACCTCTCCCGCCTCGACCTCGCCACCGGCCGCGCGCTCTCCGCTCCGCGTCTCATCCGCGAGTCGCTCGTCGGCGCCGGCGTCGCAGAGGGCTCGCACCTGTTTAAGCGCGGCAAGTGGTACTACCTCTTCACGGCCGAAGGCGGCACCGAGGGCGGCCACAACGAGGTCGTCTGCCGCAGCGACGTGGGGCCTGAGGGACCGTGGGAGGTGGGGCCGACGGTTTTGGGGGTGGGGGCTATGGGGGATGGAGACGGGGACGAAGAGGTGGGGAGCTGTGGGCATGCGGATTTGGTCGAGGATGAGCAGGGCAGGTGGTGGGCGGTGTTTTTGGGGGTGAGGAAGGGGGGAGGGGCAGGAGGGGCGGGGGGGATGTCGGTGTTTGGTGAGTTTCTGCTGCTGCGCGTTCTCTTTCTCTGCCTATCTGGGGGGTTTTTTTTTTGTGGAGGGCGGGTGTTGTGGATGGGATGTCGTCGTGGCTGATGCTGACCGTGGTGCTGTGCGTGCGTAGGGAGGGAGACGTTCCTCGTGCCGGTGACGTGGGTGGATGATTGGCCGGTGTTCAACGGCGGGAAGAGAGTCGGGCTCGTGGGCGAGGCGGAGGGGCTGTATCAGCTTGCTTCGTCGCCGGCGTGGCGGGATGATTTCGGGGCGGAGAAGATGCAGCTGGGGTGGTATCGCAAGAGTAAGTTGCGTTCTGCTGCTCAGTGTGTGGGAAATTGCTGACGAGGGACTTTTGCCCAGATACGCCGGTGGTGGAGGACTTCTCGCTCACTGAACGGCGCGGGTTCCTGCGGTTGTATGGTGGCCCGTACACGCTTTCCACGCCGGCCTGCCCGACGTTGTTTCTTCGCAAGCAGACGCACGATCCGGTGACGTGGGAAACGAAGCTGTCTTTCAGGCCGGATTCGCCCAGGACCGAGGCCGGTGCTGTCGTGTACTGGAACCAACATACTTACTCGAGCATCGGCATTCGCAAGACACCAGGAAACAGAACACCTGGTGGGAGGATAATACGGTTTCGTAACGCTGAAGGAGAGACGACGGACTATGAGCTGCAGTCGTTGGAGTCGGACGTTGTACTGACGATTAAATCGGATCATGGATATGAGTTGGGATTCAGGGAGCTTGGGCTGCAAAGTGAAAAGGTAGAAGTGAAATGGCTGGGGCGGGTGAGTAGCGAAGTCATGACAAGAAACCCAGACGTTGGAGCGGCTTTTACGGGCATGATGTTCGGCTTATATGAATTTGGCGAGCTGGAACAATGCTTCGCGCCAGCCGATTTTGAATATGCCGCATTTTATTAGTTCGTTGATGTCTGGATGTTAACTTCATACTTTCATCTCTTGAATAAAAAAAACTGGGTAGAAAGCTCCAAATAGAGCGGCTCATCGACGCGGATGCCCCTACTTTAAGAAATTTCTCAAGCAGACTTCATCTTCAATCAGTGATCCAGATTTTCTTCAATATGTACATACATCATACCTCAGTCATCTCCCCCATCAGCTCACCCCCTCAAGCCCACTCCAAAATAATACTATCCCACAGCCACCCCCTCCACCTCGTACTCCTCTCCACCACAAAACTCAGCGTATTCTCCCCCTCCCTCAACACCCCCGGCGCGACCTCAAACTCATACAAATGCCACTCACCCGCCACCGTCGCGCTGCGGTACAGACTCGGATCCGTCGGCACGCTATCCGTCGTCAGATTGCCCACCCGCGTCTCCCCATTAACATATATCCCCGCGCTGCTCCCACGACTGAACCCGGCCAGCGCGACGCTCAGCAGCGCCGACCTGTTCCCATTCAACCCCGCGTCCGCCGCGTCCAGCTCGAACACGACGTCCCACGTCCCCAGCGCCGACTGCGCGAAATACCAGTCGGCCGCCGGATCGGACTGGCCCACCGTAAACGTCAGGTTCGCGGGGACCTCGTCGACCAGGCCGTGCGTATACGGCGAGCCCCCCAGCGCGAAGCCCGTCGCCTTGCGATCCACCTCGCCGATCTGGAAGATCTGCGGGCCCCGGCCGTCGGTGGGCAGCTGCCACGCGGGCAGGTCGGACAGCGCGACGGTCGAGTCCGACGCCGCGATCGCGATGTCGTTGGCGACGTAGGATGAAGTGACGTTGCGCAGCACGTCGCCGCCGTCGGCCCACGCGTACAGCGCGTACGTCCCCGCGCGGACGGAGCTGAAGTTGAAGTTGCCGCTGGCGTCGGCGGTCGCGATGTAGTTGTACAAAGCGCCCTGGTCGAGCGTCGTTTTGGGCGAGTTGTTTTCGCCGAGGAAGACGGAGGCACCGGCGGCGGGGCGGCCGTCGGAGAGGGTGAGTTGGCCGGACACGCTGGCGGCGCGCGACTGGTAGCTGCTGTCGTTGAGCCAGGGGTAGGGCCAGGCGGCGAATTCTTGTTGCTGCCGGGTCGAGGCGTCGGATTTGGAGCCGTCGTTCTGTGGAGGGTGGGTGTGGTTAGGAGAGAGGGGTTGTGGGAGAGTGGTGGGGAGAGGGGAAGAGGGACTCACCAGGTACCAGAGCCAGGGGCCGAAGATCTTACCCTCAGGGAAGTCGTCGGCGGAGGAGGCCATGAAGTGCGTGCCGTGAACCACGTTGAGCTGCACGGCGTCGCCGGTGGCGGACTCACGGTGGACCTTTCATGGATGTCAGCTTCGAAGATTGAAAAACGAAAACGAGGGTCATACAATGAGCTCTTGCTTCAAATGGTTGCCGTTGAAGTAGTCGCCTCCAGGACGGATGTACCAGCTGCCGAAGTCGTCTCCGTAGACTCCGTAGAAGTCAATGTCGCGGATAAAAGCACTCCAGTCGTACTTGGTGATGTAGGTGCCATTGGCGAGCTCCCAGGTCTCGTCCTGGACCTTGGTGGCATTCTGGTACAGATACCACGGCGGAAGGGGCTCGTCCTTGGTGTTGGTACGGCCATTGGGGAACGTCTGGTTGTCGAGACGGAAGAGAGACCGGAAGACGCCCAGCGTGGGGAGATCCCGGTTCACGAAGTACTGGTACGCGCCGGCCAGGTCGTCGAAAATGACCCAGTGGAACTCTCCCAGGTCGGCGGTGAAGCTGACGTCGATGTAGTTCTCACCGCGCGCCACGATCTCGGCTGACTTGAAGACCAGGTTGTTTTCTCCATCTGTGCTTGGTTAGCAGCTGTGGTGTGTGGAAGTAATTGATGAAAGGGGAATAATACTGTAGCCGACATAGTGACCAACCGCTTCACCAATGATATCTTTGCCCTTGTAATACGCCGGCTTGCCATATACGGAGCCCTGCGTAATGTTCCAGAGATCATTACCGATGACCCAGCTGCCGTTCAGCGTCTGCAGGAACGGCCCTGCAGCCGCGCAGAGCTGCGAGAAGAGCAAGCCCAACCCAACCGTGGTCTTAACCATCGTGATTTTCTTCCTGGTGCCGTGTTGCGTGGCTTCTGAAACATATCTGTGTCCCTCATCTTTTATATAGTCGTTTCCCCAATGCTGCAGGTACGGGGCGATGGCGTGCTCCTCGCCAATGCTGTCGCGGGGATCCACTCCTCACACCATTGGCCAAAATACCGCTGTCCCGCCCTATTCCGCTTCGCGCAGTTGCATCTATCGCTTTCAAGCGAGACCCAGAAAAATTTCAGCCTATTATCGACGGGGTCAATATACACCGAGGGCCAGGGGTGCCAGCACCGCAGCGTCGAACTCAGAATACCTTGAATAATAGAGCATCGCAACATGCTGTTCTTCCATCCCGAAGGCAGTCTTGTGTCCGAGTTTGCTAGATAATCAATGGCACCAAGCGCCGACGGAATAATGTCATCCGTCGCTGATAGGAACCCAGGCGGAGCCATGGCTCGATTGGGGCCCGCCCCGGCTCGGTAAACGAGGAGACCAGCTCGGCTTTCTTGTCGATGCCATCAATCACGGCCGCAATAAATACGGCGATTGACTCTTGCGATTTCGCTTACAAGGTCGCGCGATTGATGGCTTTTATGTCGCATCCCGCTATCAGTGACAAGGCGGTCTGAATGCTGAAGAAAACTTACCGTCTCCCCTTTGCCACCTTGAATGCTGTTCCTCCACCTATTTTCTACGTTGATATTGTTTTTTTTCCCTTATCTTTTTAAAAAGTCAATTTTTCATAGCTTGGATCGAAACGTCAGTCCTCTCTCCTGCGCTCGGCAGCTACCGCATCACAGAGAAAGGGGCGACTGCGGCATATACGATGGTGAAAAGATGGCTTAACTCCGAGGAATGCAGTATTTTCGGTGAGCCATTATCGTTTCCCGACGTGCGCTCTGGACACGGGCAATCCATTCTTCGGACAAGCTCCGGTGCAGATCGAGACATCCCGTCTGTCTGCAAGGAGGGGGAATGAGAAAGTCGCGTGTTCATAGTGTAGATTCGAGAGCTTGATCGGGTTTCGTCAGAGGTGTGCTTAAGGACAAAATGTAAATGCGAATAAGCTTTTTGTGGCACCCACACACGTCAGGTGCCGTAGGCACCGCCACTCATCATCGGTCAGGCTCAGAAATTATCCCATTGATCTGAAGCTCCTCCAACTTTTCGTCTTGGTCATAATTCATTTTTGCGTGCAACTGGTGCTACCTTGTGCATTACCAACAGAGAAACGCTTACATAGCCGCCGCCCTTGATAACTTTCAACGCTATGCAAAGAACCGCCATTCGTGGAACTCCCATCTCGACCAACATGTCATCATCCAACCAACCAAACGAGGAAAATTCGAGGAAATCGTCGGCAAACGTGTCGTGGAAGATGTCGTGAGATGAGGCCGTCATCATCAGGCCGCTCCCCAAGCCTGCCTCGCTCGTTCCACTTCCTCGTCAATCTCGGTTCTCTCCCGCTCCTCCTTCTGCGCTTGCGTTTCACGTTCGTCATCGCTATCATAATCCCGGGCTTTGGCAGACGAGCCATTCTCCGTCACAGACGTAGAATGCGTTCTCTCATGTGTGCTGTCCCTTGTCGTCTCCATAGAGGCCTTCGTGGATCCATCAAGCGATGCCCTTCCATCAAAAAGAATCTTGCTTTCGATCGGTGAGGCAAGCGAGGCAGTGCTCCCAGTAGGCGACGCAAGTGGGACGGGAGACGAGGCCGACTTGTCCGAGGCCGTCGACTTGCGCCAACCAGCTCGTTTCTCCGACGCCCACTGACTCCAGGATGAGAGGTAAGCACTCGCGCGTTCAGTCCGTGTGCTACCAGCCACGCTTGCCGTGGGTGAGTTGCGGCCGTCTATCGCCTCTGCCGCCGCTTTCTCTGCCGCGATGCGTTTGTCTTCCTCGGCCTTCTTACGCTGCGCCTCACGCATCGACTCGATGTCATTCCACAGGTTGTTGAAGGCCGTAGAGACCTTCTTTTGGCCTTCGGCAAGTTGTTTCTTTCCGTGAGCGAACCGCTCGTCGAGGTGTAGCGCTTGGACTTGAGCATTCAACCGCCGTTGCACATCCTCCATGGTAAGACCACCGCTGCAAGGATGTTCGGGAGTGACAATGTCGAAAAGGTGCTCGTCCGTGTTCTGGTTGAAGATGCGGAAGTTCTCCGTCCTCATCCATGAATGCATGAACTCATTGTTGAACTCAGCCGAAGGATCGCCATCTATCTCATCAATGACAGGGCCCTTGGGGTCGTCCTTGTGGGCTTCGCGATATAATCGATACTTTGTCGCCGAGAGTAGGGCCAGGAGATATTCCTCGAACTGAAGGCGGATGAACTCCTCACTACCGGCATAGCCAAGCGTGTTGGGCCGTCCAGGGTTGTTTTCGTCCCAGGTGTCATTGACTTGCTGGGTCAAGAAATCAATCCATCGGCGATCCGGAGTAGACAGACCAAGAGCGGTGCGGAGCGAAGGCGAGGAAATAGTAATAGTGTCTTCATCAAGCTGCAATTGCAGTTAGCAGATGTTTGACAGATTAGAGAGGTGGGGTGGTACATTGATCAAGATATCACTGTACCGGTCCTTCTGCTGCAGCAACAGGGAGTTGGTCGAACCAACAATGTAAGATTTGGTGTCCCTGTCAGCAAGCAGGTCCAGCTGCTGAAGCGGAGTGTAAGGCCCAAATAAGCTTCCCTAGATAAAGTTAACTCTAATTATTATCCATAGTCAATGCAAGAGGGCGCTAACCTTCCCAAAAAGCTGCAGAGGTAGTCCCATGTACGCCAATACTGTGATAATGTCAGCCCCGCTTAATGGAAGAGGACAAGGGACATACACGATGCGCGCTCGCTTGTCTTCAAAGATGTTGGTCTTTGCAGATTTTCCTCGTATGTGTTGAAGGCTGGATCGGCGCAATCGTGGAGCTGGCGGATGAGATTGGGAATCAACGAGACCAACGAAAACTGGAGGAGACACAGGCGTTCGCAGTTTGAACCAAAGAAGAGCATCTACAGCGTTTAGCAAAGGCGTTGTCAAGTGGAGGCTATTGGGGTACCTTTGGCTGCAGGAGGCAACACTTGAAGAGAACCAGGGTCTGTTGCTTGAATTCGCGAATGATCTCGCGGAGAGATAGACCTAGAGAGACGTCAGTCGTGCTCGCGTGGAGGCGAGTGGGGTTCGGCGTACCGAAGAACTGGTCCCGCTCATGTTCCCGGTCCTTGAAAGTCTTGGCTAAACTCTCTTGGAATCGCTGTAGAGGTTTAGCATGTGACATTCTGGCAGCATTTTGGGTAGGCAGCTTACCTGGAGGATTTCCAGGTCGGTAAAGTCCCTAGGGACAGTCAGCCTTGGCCAGCCAGCTCACCGGTTACTCGACGAACCTCTGGGCAAACCAAGCCTTTGTGACAACCGAGAGCTTCTCGCGCAAGTGACCAAAGTGTTGTGGGCTGTCGGAGATGACGACGACGGCCTTCTGGACGGTGGAACGAGTGACGTCGGCCGGGCGGTTGATGAGCTCGTCGGCGCCGAGCTGGCGGGTGCAGGCGATGCCGAAGAGGGAGGTGGCGGGGCTGTCAGCCGTCTTCTCGTGTCTCAGTGTAAAGTAAGAGAAGTCCTCGGTGGCCCTGGGGATGTCAGCATGGTGGCGCGGGATGCAGGAGTCGGACTCACGCGTGGGCGCCGTCGGACAAGGCCATGAACGGCAGCAGCGGCCAGTCATTCTCGGCTGAGGGATCAGAGCCATGTTCGACACCGATCCACGTCTCTACTTCAGGGCCCCTGTGGAGGCGTCAGCGGGGAAAGCAGCTTGGAGCAGCAGGCGGAGGACGGACCGGGCGTGGTGAAAGTCGACGATGCAGACAATGGGCGGAAAGGGAGAGCGGGGGGCCATAGTCCAGGCATAGCAGAGCCTCAGCGCGCCTGCGTGTGGAGGCGGCAGCGGGTGCGTGTGTTGCGTCGGCAGCCCTACAGCACCCTCTAGCGCGACGATTACCAATCCTGCGGCTGCGGTATCGTGGGCGCGCGATAGGCCAGCGTCGTTGAGAACACATGTTTACGCTGGCTGGCGAACCCACCTGTACAAGCTGTTCCCCGCGCTAGCTGTTTCCAGAAGCTCCCCTGCGCCGATCCCTAAACGCGTCTCCCCGACACCCGAGACCGCGTCGCGCTCAACACCATCCGCACGCGCTGCCGTCCACCTGCTCGCCACGTCGCCGTCGCCACTATTGCATCCCTCACCGTCGCTAGGCCCGCGTTCCTACCGCGAGGACCCCGCTCTAGCCGGATGCGATCGTCGCAACGCCACCCGGCATCCAGCCCGCCACTCAGCAGGGCTATCTTAACCTCTCACGGCGGGCCTGACGATCCGCGTTTGCCTATGCACCCCAGGAACGCTTGCGGTTCGAGTAGCAATTACGTGGTTCCAGGCATGTGCTTCGGTTGGCCCGCCTCAGCCTGGATGAATCTGCCGCCGCAACCTTCGACACGAAACCTCATCACATTCTCGCTGCCAGCATGGGAACGCATTACCGCAGCCAGCTAGACGCTCGTCGCAGAGGCCGTGTCTATCGTTTTCTTGAAGACCGTTGCTTTTGAAATTTGACCACTGACTCCCACGTGATTCCCACGTGTTTCCGCTCCTCTCAGGTCTAAGCTCACTCTTTTTAGCTACTGTATAGAATGGTCAATTCTTAGTGCCGCTAGCCTGATTCCAATTTTTTGACTTGGTACTGGGAGTCGCCTCATTCTGCGACTGAGAACGCACTAGCCACCTTCCATTCCCCAAGAGATTGCCAACAATGCAAACAACTGAAGCAGCACGAGGAAAACAAGCACTGCCAAGCGAGGATCAAGACGCCGCCTAGGAGCTCGTGGCAGTTTGCTGGTCATGGTGCAGCTCGTTGCAGAGAGACTGCTCACTGACGGCTAAACTGCGAATTCAACACATATTTCCATCAAAGTCTTCATCCAGACCCTGCGTAAGAGGCTCTTGGGCCGTCAATCTGATCTGCAGCTCTTTTGCCCCTCGAGTTGCGTTCCTGTCATCTCTCCCACCCCAACGCCAATCTCACCCGCCCTTCTAGCCCCGGATATTGTTTTTTTGTTTGGCTCACGGAATGCCCGTAACTCAGCTCTTCGAGTGTACAAATTGCAGCCCGCATGGCCCTCCCAGCTCTCATCTCCAGCATCCTTCATTCGCTCACTTGTCAACACAAGCGCTCTGCTTCTCCTGGGACATTGACTTCCGGTTGTCCCGCCTGCACCGAGCACAAGCGGTGCTTTTCCTTCTTTTCTTCGGAAGCGGGAGGCAATCATGCGTGCTGCTGTCGTCGCACCCCTCCTGGCCTTGGCGGTGAACGCCCGCCCCCAGGACCCTCCTACGTCTGTTGGTGAGGCTAATCCCCTTTCCACCGAGACCTGTTGTGAGACGACCGTCTTCACCGAAGCAACAATCACCGTAACGAACACACAAACGTCCACCTATGTGGGCGGCGGCGAGGCTTTCTTCACCGTCACTAGTGTCATTGTTGGCTCCTCAACATCAGTTATTGCCGGTAGGCAATGCCCGCCAATGCACTTTGCGAAACCGAGTCCCGGCTTTGGTCCATTGCTAACTCGCACTTGTAGGGGCACCTTGGCAAACTCCTTACGACCCGTGGCAAGACGATCCGTGGCACACCCCTTACGACCCGTGGCCGACCCCTTACGAGCCGTATGAGCCATACGACCCGTACGAGCCATACTGGGACGATAGTGTCTACTACACCACTGTCTACACGACCGAGTACGACGAGATTTGCGAAACAGGCCTTCGTCCGCATCACTACACAGTCACTGACTACTACACCGGTCCGACGTATGGCCCTCATCATCCGGACTATATCCCTCCGGGATTCACCCGCACCACCGCCGTCTGTGATGTCTGCGATGATGGCTACCCCACTAAGACTTTGACCGTCCCTTGCCACGACCGTACTCCGCGCCCTGGCTATGGTCACGATGATTCTTACGGTGGTTACGACAAGCCTTATGGCGATGACTATGATTCTTCTTACGGTGACTACGACGATTCTTACGGCGGCGACTCTTACGGCGGCGACTCTTACGGCGATCCTTACGGCGATTACAACGATGAGTCTTCTTACGGCAACAAGCCGTCGTACAAGCAATACCCTGGAGGCTACGACGACTCAAGCTACGGGCCGAGCTACTACGAGGACTCCTATTCGTCCGACTCTGAGTGTGGTTCTGGTTGCGACAAAGACAAGCCGTACTACGACCCGGATGACTCTTGCTACTCGGAATCTGAGTGCGAATCTGGATGTGACAAGCACAAGCCATACTACCAGGATGACTCGTACTACTCGGAATCTGAGTGTGAATCCGGATGTGACAAGCACAAGCCGTACTACACCCCGGATGACTCGTACTATCCCGTCACAACCCCCTACAACGACTACTCCGACCCGTATGCCACGCCCGCTTATCAGAACACCCCGTACAACAACGGCCCGGACTACGACGGCCCAGACTACAACGGTCCAGACTACTACAGTACGCCGACCTACACTCCCGAGTACTACAACGGTCCGGACTACAATGCCTACAGTACGCCGACACCAGACTACTACGACGGTCCAGACTACTACAGTACGCCGACTCACGATTACTATAACGAACCAGACTACTACAGTACGCCGACTCAAGACTACTACAACGGACCAGAGTACTACACGCCGACCTACACTCCCGGCTACAACGGACCAGATTACTATGACGGACCAGACTACCGCACAGATGACGATTACTCGGACTCTGAATGCGATTCTTGTGACAAGGGCCATAAGGACAAGCCGTACTACTCTGAGCCGGAGTGTGAATCTGGTTGCGACAAGAACAAGTACCACTCAGACTCTGAGTGTGACTCGTGTGACAAGAAGTATCACTCGGACTCTGAGTGTGACTCTTGTGACAAGAACAAGTATCACTCGGACTATGAATCGGAATGCGACTCGGGTTGCGACAAGGACTCAGGCTATGAGACGGAGTGTGAATCTGGCTGTGACAAGAAGCCGTACTACTCGGACTCGGAGACGGAGTGTGAATCCTGTGACAATGGCTACGGGGACAAGCCTTACCATACTCCTGGCGACTACTACACACCGACTTACACGCCCGGGTACTACGGCCCAACGCCAAGCTACTACGACGGACCGGATTACAGCAACGACTACGACGGACCGGAATACAGCAAAGACTACAACGATTACACCACCTCCGGCTACTGGTCCTCGCCGTATTACACCCCAAGCTACTACCCGACGCCGAGCTATGCCCCGAGCTACTACGAGACTCCGCCGCACTACAACGAGGAGCCGTACCAGACTAGCTACCCCGACAAGCCATACTACTCAGATTCTGACTCGGAGTGTGAATCCGACTGCAAACACAAGGGCAAGCACCACGACTACTCAGACGACGATGATTACACGTCCGGCTACTGGTCCTCGCCGTACTACACTCCAAGCTACTACCCGACGCCGAGCTACTACCAGACCCCGCCGAACTACAATGACGAGCCGTACCAGACCAGCTACCCTGACAAGCCGTACTACTCGGACTCTGACGACTCGGAATGCGAGTCTGATTGCGAACACAAGGGCGACTATGACGGCGACTACGAGGGCGACTACTACACGACGACAACAACTACCGAGTGCGATGATAATTATCAGACGAAGCCACCTTACGCGTACAGCACTCCTTATAGTCCTCCCAACTACTACAGCCCGCCGAACTACAACAGTGAGCCTGACTACTACACTACGGCGCCCAACTACAACTACGAGCCCGACTACAACACCAAATCGTACTACAACAGCGAGCCCGACTATTACACGACGCCGGAAAACCACTACAACGAGCCCGATTACCACACGCCACCGCACAACTACTACAACGAGCCCGACTACCACACGCCAGGGCCCAGCTACTACGACGAGCCCGAATACCACACGCCAGGGCCCAGCTACTACGACGAGCCCGACTACCACAGCACACAGTACTACAACAGCGAGCCAGAGTACTATTCTACGCCGGTCACACCAGGATACTACCCCACGACGCCAAGCTACTACGACGGGCCGTACTACAGCAACCCCGACTACCATACAGACTCAGACTACTACACCACGGAAGATCCTTACTACTCGGAGCCGACGGGCTACTACGACGAGCCCAAATACGGCGATCACGCCACGTACACCATCACCGTCCACGAGTTCTGCTCCACCGGCCTCCACCCCGCCACGTACACGGTTACCGAGGGCTGCAAGCACAAGTGCACGTCTCACGGAGATGACTACATCCCCAAGGGCTGGACCACCACCTACTCCGAGTGCAACGAGGGCTGCGGCCCGACGCCCATCCATGCTACGCTCACTGTCACCTGCCACAAGTGCCACGACGACGATGACTACGAGCCCACTTACGCGCCTACGTATGAGTCCAGCTACTACGAGCCCCCGTATACGCCCACCTACGAGCCTACGTACACGCCTCCGTACACGCCAACCTACGAGCCTACGTACACGCCTCCGTACACGCCAACCTACGAGTCCAGCTACTACGACGAGCCCACCACTTACCAGTCCAGCTACTACGACGAGCCGTCTACGTACGAATCCTACTACGAGCCGTCCACGTCCTACTACGACGAGCCGTCCACCTACGAATCCAGCTACTACGACGAGACGTCAACGTACGAGGAGCCCCCCTACCACCCCACCACTCGCGAGCCCGACTACACCACCTACGACCCGTACGAGCCCACCACCGCCGTCGAAACTCTGCCAACCTCCTACTTCGGCGGCGGCGGTCCCGGTGGCGACGACGACGACAGCGAGACTCGGACCGGTGGTGGCGCCCCCGGCGGTGGCAGCGGCGAGGGAGCTCAGACCGGCGGTGCTGGTGGTGGTGCTGGTGGCGCCGGACAGGGAACTCAAGGCATCGCCAGCGGCGAGCCCTTCCCGACCGGGACGGGTGGTGGAAGTGGCAGCGGTCCAGGCGGCAGCGAGCAGACCCGGGTCGGCGCCGGCTCGACGAATCCTGGTGGCACGCCTACGAACGAGGGCGCGCCTACTGGCTTCAGGCCTACCGGTCCTCCCGGCGGTCCTCCTGGTGGTGGCTCTGGTTCAGGCTCTGGTGGCCCTGGGTCGGGCTCTGGCTCTGGCTCTTCTGGCGACGGCTCAGGCGACCCAGACGGCGGCTCCACCGACGGCGCGAGCAACAGCGACGACATCTTCGGCAGCGCGGCGTCGAGGCTTTCGGTCTCGGTGGCGGCGGCGGTCGTGTTCGGCGGCGTGTTCATGTCGCTGTGCTTCTTGCAACTATAAGAGCGTTTTTCTCGGCAGCCGGTTTTGTGGCGGCGCGGCAAAGCAAAAAAGCACGCATGCATTATACTCCCCCGGAAATGTTTGTCACTGCCTTTTTTTTTTTTACTACCACTTGAAATTGGGAATATTCGTCATTTATTCTTTGCTTTCTATTATTCTTCATTCGCTTATTTTGGAAATCTGTGTACTCTAAAACTGGCCTGCTTCCTCGTGTAGATAGGCTCCCGGTTGGTTTTGGCGAGAGGTTTTAAAAAGCACAAAAAACTATTATCGAGGAGGCGGGGAGGGGGAGAAGGGGGAGGATGGCGGTTGCTTTTTCGGAGGGAATACTGGGAACTTAGGTAATACTGTAGTGTAGGAATGAATAATGAGATGGGTTGCGTATAATTTGGGTTCTTGACTGTGACTGAGTGACTGCTTTCGGGGACGCCATCCCAATGAGCGCTATCATTATGCAGATCCTGACTAGACTTCTAATTAGAACGGAGGCATTCCACGAAGCGGAAAAATCGGGAACTACGCCCGATTCTGGCATGGACTATTCAAGTTGCCGTTGAGACGCCCTTGCAGTCGGTGACGTACTATTGTTTAAATCAGGAAATAGTATGACAACAGTGAACGGTCATGTTGAAATGGTACGATTTATCAAATATTTGATCAGATTCCAAATTTCTCCAGCTTGTTCACCAAAGAATGAGTTTCTCGCGAGGACATGCGCCACAGGTGGTACGACAAGGAGTTTGCGATGTTGATTGAATTTGAGCGCTGCTCAAGACCCTTCGGTTGGGCATGTTGCCGACGTAGTCGAGACCCCAGATCCCTTTCAGCCATCCAATCCGGGCGACCCTTTCTTGAGCAAACCAAGCCGCCCGCAAACACTCCATTCCTCCTACTTGATCTTCGCAGCATCCAGCGTCATCCTAACCGCCTCCCTCACCGACACCGGCTCCACCCCCACCAACTCATTCTCGACCAAATGCCAGAAATTCGCCGCGCTCCCCTCCTCATTAAACTGCCCGCTCAGCGTCAACCCCCTCATCGCCTGCTTGATCTCCCCCTTTTCCAACAACTCCAGCGCCTCCGCTTTCATCGCCTTGATGTCGGCGTGCTCGACGGAGAACTTCTCGCCCAGTTCGGCTTCGAGCGCTTCCAGGATGGCGTTCTGCGTCAGGTCGCGCACGCCGCAGACGAAGACGGGCCTGTTGACGATGGCGTCGGGCGCGCGCAGCATGTTGAGCAGCGCCGTCGCGATGAGGGGCAGAGGCGTCCAGCAGGTTAGGTTGTTGCCCGTGCCGTAGATGGTGGCTTTGCGGGCGGCGAGGTCGAAGCCTGCGGGGCCGCCGAGGAGCCCTGTTGTTGGGTACATATGTTAGCGGGTCGGGTTGAACAGATTTAATGATGACAAAGACAAATGACAGACGCCTGAGCCTATGATCCTTATGGCGGTAAGATTAAATGAATGGATGTCACTCACACATATCAAAAAACGGCCCCCCATTCAACGCCGTCCAGCAAATCTTCCCCTCCGCCGCCAACCCCATGAGGTACTTCCGCAACTCGACCTTATCCCCGACGTACGAGGGCGGGAACACGGCGTACTGCGGCGTCATGATGTTGGCCACGAACTCGCTCGGCAGGAACAGCTTGACGCCCGCCGCCACGGCCGCGTCGATGAGAAGTTTCTGCGGCGCCCATTTCGCTTGTCCACCGGGGACGAGCGACAGCACCGCGTCTTGGTTTTGCAGCGCCGCGGTGAGAGAGGCTTGGTTGTCGTAGTCGACGACGGTGACGGTGATGCGTGCGTCCGCCGGTTGGTAGGAGCCGCGGGTGAGGGCGGTCACGTGGAAGGTCCCTTCGCGGAGGAGGAGCGGGACGATGGCTTTGCCGACGTTGCCGCCGGCCTGGGTGGGGTTAGTTGGTGGTTGTTGTTGGGGGGTTGGTGGATGGGGGTTGTGGTTGCGCATACTCCGACTATGGCGATGTTTTTGAGCTGCATTGTTTTGCGGGTCATTGAGTTTCTGCGTTGCAACTTGTTTTGTGGTTGCTTAGATTCTGAGAGCAACCGTGGTGGTCTATATACAGTTTTTGGTGTTGTCGGAAGGATGCAAGGCACCGGCGTCAGCGCGGCAGCCTAGTGTGCCTGTTCAGGCACCGGATCCTTCGCAGCCACGCCGCAAGCCACAGTGGAGCGCTTATGAGGGCCGAGACCCACCACAACCTCGTTCATGCAAGTAGCCGTACCATGTGTATATGTGAAACATTTAATAGGAATACTTAGGTTGCCAATCAATGAAGGTAGAAATCCGGTCGAAAGCCTGCACATCTGTGTAGCAATACTCACAAGACTTCCTTCGAACAGCACTCGATAGTCCAAGTTTGGTATCGAAGCCACGACCACTGTTTCACTTGAATCACCAAATAAAAGGGCAAATTATGTAGTCATAAAGATCTTTTTTTAATCTCTAGATCAAACTCCGAACTCCGAAAACCAATGCGTGTCGAATTTAATATCCCAAGCAGAAATCAAACCTTGCTCAAGGGGAAAATCCAGAAGGGTACTCAGCGAATAGTAGGAAGACTTAGAGAGGCCACTAGACGACGCCAGCAGCCCTCAATTTCGCCTTCATCGCATCCTTCAGAGCTCTCTTCGTCTCGCTATTGAACATGCCATACTGCTTGCTGCGCAGCTTGTAATCCAGTTCAATCACCACCGCCGCCCTACTCCTCAAATCGGCCATTTGAACCGCATTGTGGCGGAGCAGCATCCTAGCAGGATAGGTGTTGGAAGCTGCCGGAGCAGGATCGATGTCGTTCCAGGTCCTCTCCCAAACCCAGGCGTAGTAGTCTTGCGTGTCCACCGAGACCTTGAGGACATCCTTCAGGAACTCGGCGGGCCCGAAGGATGCGTCCTCGGCATGCTCTTGCAGCAAGTCGTGCAGCTCCTCGCGCTCGAGAAAGCCGCCGTCGGCGCAGTGCTCTGCCAGCCCCGTCATCGCAGTGACCACATCAACCCAGGCGAACACCGTGCGGACGTCCAGCGTGCCGCCGTGCTGCTTGAACTCGATCGTCCAAGTGTTAGACGCACGCTGGGGATCGTGCGGGTGGTAGTGGGTAGCGCTGCCGCTGGCACCGACGTTTGTGCCTCTGTACGCCGGCAGCGGCCAGAGGTCGGGGACGAGGCAGTTGTTCAAGTTGTAAGCAACCAACCTGCTACCACCCGTCAGACGCTGAAGAGCGCGATTCAGCGTGACGACGTGGTTCGGGTCGTTGCTGCCGGCAGTGAGGTCCTCGATGACCTTGCACCAGCTCAGCGGGGTACCCTCCTCGGAGACATCCGGGTCTGCGTCACGCTTCCATCCGGAGGAGGGAGGCGTGAAGAGAGGGATCTTGATGTAGCCGTTTTGGTCGACCATGTCGACCGTCGGCTCAGCCCAGGTCGATTCCTTGATGCGGTCCGCCGAGTGGAGCTCGTCGATGACGCGCTCGAACCCGGTCGCCAGCTGGTAGAGGTTGCCGATCGTACGGAGGGTGAAGATGCGAGAGGCGTCATCACTCTTGCCGACGTGGACGTGAAACGCGCAAGTCTCGTTCACCAGTAGGCGCACCGAAGGGCAGAGGCCCTGGCCCGAGTTGAGGTTGTCCTGGAGGGTGCCCAGGACGTGGTTGATCTCTCCACGCCAGTAGTCCTGGTCCTGCAGGGAGAAGATCGGGCTCTTGAGCTCGATGGCCTCGGCGATGAAGCCGCTCGGGAGGAGAAGCTGCTCGTCGTTGCTGAGCCGGACGGTAGGTTCGGGGGCAACCGTCCACTTCTGGTACCTCTCGCTCATGGGGCCACCAATGTTGTCCCGCGGCGTAAAGCCGTTGACCACGGCTTCAACGCTGTGGTTGCTCAGGACCCTGTGAACGAGCTGACGACCCTTCGAGTGGAAGAGCGCGTCAAATGCAGGGGCGCCGCTGCTGTAAAGCTGCTGCTTCATCTCCTGCCCATCGCCAATGAGAATGAATTCAAGCTCAATCCCGAAGGTCAGGTCGGGGATCGCCTGAGAAGAAGCGTTTGCACTAACCTGCTCCATATTGAGGTTTGTGAGAAGGTAGATTGAAGCTGTTTGGGAATGTGTAAGGGGGATTGTGGGATCGTTGGATGCTTCGCGGTGCTTCAGTGAGGTAGTGTTGTCGTGTTTCGCAAGCAAGGTAGAGCGGAGTATATATACGTCGCATCCTGAGCAGTGTTCCTATACAATGGTGTTCTCACTATATTTGAAAGTGGAATTCAGTGTTTTTAACACGAATATTGTGCGAATACAGTAAAATCAGTTCTTGAACAACAAAGAGAATTGTCTCAGCGTACAACTGTCTTTCCGACACATTAGCAAACACTTTGTTGAAACGCACTGCACGGGTACAGGTTAATGAATGCCAAAGAATGAAACAGAATGGCAGAAGTCATCTAAATGCCATATCCGCTAGAGACAGCACCAGTTACAACGGACCCGTGTGTGGGGCAACCAGGATCAGAATATTCAATCTCGCCAAAACAGGTATCATGACATCTACACAAGATGATCATCAGTGGTGTCCCCGCTTGATTTCGTGAGCAGACCTACCCTCCGTATCTGACTCCGCATGCATTCATGTAGTCTTTGCAAATCATTGCAGGGCATGCGAGTTGGTGTAGTCCGAAACGTCCGTCTGTGCCTTGAGCGATTGAGGCGGAGGTGGTGGCGAAGAATGCAGAAGTGGTCAAAGACAGTTGGCTGGCGGAGATGGAAGGTCTCTTCGTGGTGATGAAATGGAGGGAAGTGCTAGTGCCCGGGGTTCCATTTTCAGCAAAAGTTCGAGACGACATCACCACCGAGATAGTTTTGTCGGGTATCGTAACAGTTGGCACACTTGAGAATGGTGAGGCCATGGCGACAGCCACGAGGGGGAATATACAATGGATGCTGGAAATTAGCATGGTGACTTCCGGAGTGATGACTGTAAGGATGGAGTTTGAAGCTTGGTGAGCCTCGACTTAGGTAGTGCCCTGAATTGATATACCCCAAGTTCAAGTTAGCCAGTCTTACCACACAAGCAGCTACTGAGTTTTAATTTCCAGCTCTTGAAAATTTGCGGAAGCTTTCGAGGTCTCCTGGATTCTGGAATAGCCCTGATGAGCTTAGCTGTACTACAGAAGTGGCGCGAACCGGGATAAAGGCTGTGTTCGACCTCATTCTCCTGATGGGAGGTGGCAAGAGAGACGAACTGGCGTAGTCTACCGTGGCAATGGGTGCTCGATATTGGTGATAGAGAAATCTGTACGGGCTCGCCGACGAGATGCAGACATTTTGGCGGATTAAGCCGATGAACGAAGGGAGCACAAAGAATTAGCACCAAGAAGAACGCAAGGGTGAATGCCCAAACTTCAAGATACGCGAAGAACATAGACATGAGCGAGTAGCAGGATCTCAAGTCCTCAACAAAGATGACTGTAGAGGGATGCGGGATATGTTAAGACGGGCAGATTTCAAGTCGAGGAATGGTGGTGACTTGACAGTGAGGTGAGTATCGTCGGGTGGCTCGTACCTTCCTCTTTGGGAAAGCAGCCAAAGGAAGCAAACACGCCAAGCATCGCGGACAGGGATGGGTCCGTGAGATAACCCTCGGTCGCGCGCGGTGCAATTGTGGACCTCACGATACCAATGTCGAGCAATGGCACCCGCCGCCACCGCCGCAAACGGCGTCGTCCGGCGCCTTGAGCCATCGCGACTCATCATCAACGCCTCAGGTCCGGCTGCTGTTTCCACAAGACGGGTCCGACGCCGCCTCTACCTGCCGACGTGTACCTCGGGAGCTCAACAACACCAACGCCGCCATGCCCACGCCATCTCGGTCGATCTCCCGCCCCCATCGATCGCTGAGCTGCTCGGCTCCGACTCCGCGCCTCAGACCGAGTCAGCACCTGCGATAGCGGACGCTCCGCCGCCGCCGCAAAGCGTACGGCCAGATAATTCGACTTTGGAGCTTGTTCCCCGCATCGCCCGCTTCCCCGGCATAAACTACAAGCGAGTGCTTCCACACGCCTTGCGCGCCCGCGATGCCGACGTTGTCGTCAATTGCATGCTATTTGGCGCACACGATGCCGCTTTCGTCTCGTCGGTCCCTCCGGTCGCGTTTACCGAGATACTCCGCCTGGTTTCCACCCACCATGCCTTTGAAGCGGCTGAGCAAGTCTTGAGGAACTCGTGGTGGGCGCGTGGCCTCGGTGTCTCGTCAATCACGGGCTCAGTGGACCAATTCCTGAGAGCTGCGCGCATGATGGTCGCTCATCGGACTCAGGCCAAGATTCCGCTGGGTCTTGCAGACTACAAGGTGCTCCTGCGCTTGGCGGCAACTGCCGCTGACAGGTCGGTGGCCATGGATCTGTGGGGTGACCTCCACAAGGGCAGTCTGGTCCCTGACACCGAGTGCTACAATGCTCTCATGCACGCGCTTCTATGGGACCGACGCATAGGCCGAAACGACAGCACCTGGCGCAGGCCGCTCGGCTGGAGGGCGGATGGGTACTTCCAGTTGGCTAAGAAGAAGGGCATCCTGCCATTTGGCCCTCCTTCGGGCAGCTACGAGGGCATTGTGTCGGCCCTTTTCGACGAACTACTCAATAGCGAGCGGCTCGGCGATGAGACTACTATCGTGCATCTCATCACCGCTCATGCTCGCGACGGCGATCTCACCAACGTGAAAAGCGTACTCCAACGCATATGGAACATCCGTGTCGACGAGCTCGCGGCCCACGGAGTGCAACGCTCACCGCCAAAGAGCTTACCTCCTTCATCTCCTATGCATCCGACTTCCCGTCTTCTGTATGCAGTCGCGCATTGTTTCGGCGTCAATTCAGAGCTTCCGGTCGCGTTGCGGCTTGTTGACTTCATCAGCACCACCTACAAGCTCTCGGTGCCGCCAGACGTGTGGTCTGAGCTGCTGAATTGGACATATGTCCAGTCCACGATCCGTTCTGGTCGCTTTAAAAAATTACATCGAGTCCAAACCCAGCTGCCTCTGGGCGCAACCGAGCGGCTGTGGAGCATATTGACAAGAGAGCCGTACAATGTACGCCCGACGATGAAGATGTTCCACCTCAGCGTCAACGGCCTCACCAAATGGCAACGCCACGACATCGCCTTCCAGCGCATCCGCGACGGTATTGGGCTTTACCGCCAGCACTGCATTAATGCTCGAGTTGCGACGCGCCAGGTCGAGGCGGCGAAAAATGGTCTCGCCGTTCCCGGCGCGCCCATTCACTCCCTCTCCAAACTCCTGGCCACGCAGACGGTTTGGCTAGCTGCCGTCAAGCGCGACCGTGCGTATATCCGGCAGTGGTGCAAGATGTACCTGAAGCGTGGCTACGGGTTCGGCTTTACGGAAGAGTATGTGGACGAGAATGGCGAGAGGGCCCGACGTCGAGAACTCATGGCTGAGAGGCTCCCCGAATGGGCGTACATCGACGTTCCCAATTTCGTGGCCGAGTTTCGAGGCTTTTGTGATCCAGTAGTCAAGTACCGCACGCACACTGGCATCGTAGAGCTGGAGCTTCTCCAGAGAAAAATCGCGGACAATGTGGCCATTAAGGGATTCAAGAAGGGGTACACTCCGGAGCAGGTGATTTCTTTCTGGGAGGGACTCAAGGTGAAGCAGATGTTTTCAAAGCTGGTGCGATGGGTGAAGGCGAACAAAGACTAGCGTCTAGAGGCTTACTGCATTAGACACAGAAGCTGTCATGGCCAAGTGTGTATATACCAGGACAGCTTAGACCGAGAGATAAATTCCAGAAGGATTTGGGTGTATATAGCTTGGCGCTGGCGCGGCGATCAGCCACAGCGCCACGGGCCGTTGCAACGACGGCGACAATTTAGCTCGCGAGAAGGTTTCGGCAGAGGCGCGCCGCACCTTATCATGACGTAGGAATCGTCCCCATGCATCATGAATTGTCCCCGACCGCGCAACTAACGGTCAACCGACCCAGCAGATGATGGTCTCGGCAGCTAGATGGCGGAGGGTAAGACAGCGGGACGGCAATGGGCTTGGCGCCGCGCACGGGACGGGCCAAGCTGTGGATGATGACGCCGACGATTGCAAAGACAGCTCGCGTGGCGCCCCGGCGTTAAGGCAGCAGTTACGCCGGTTCGCAAGCACTGCCGCTTTTGCCATCATCTCCCGCGAATGCGACTTTCTGCTCCTCCGCCGCGCGCGTGTGCCCAGAGCCTCCTTCTTCTCGACTTTGTTCTATCTCGCTCCGCCACTCTTGGACTTGTCCCCCGCCGAGACCATGCCGACCATTCCCGCGTGCTCCACTCGAAGCGATTAGGAGAGAAGGTGCGCCTATAGGTAGGAGCTTCTCTCCCCAGGATTACATTTACGGGCGTGCGCTCCTTCAGGCGCGCACTGCCCCAATGCCACCTGTGTCACCTGTGTTTCTCTTCTGACCTCGCCCAGTTTAAGTCCCTCAAGCGCTCCCGTCCAGCGGGCGCACCGCGACAACTCAAGGCACCATGGCAGTCCTCGGCCAGACATGGACTCTCACCAAGAAGAACCTGCTCATTGTAGCCCTTCGCCACCCGCTGTCGACTATTCTGCGTGCCGTTCTCTTGCCTATACTGTTTGTACGTGCACCAGCGTGGGCAGTGGCGGCGGTTGTGGGAAGTACCTTGCTGGTACCATTCATAGCCGTGGCCGTTTGCCTTTCCCCAGAAGACCATGCAGCAATACTGACCCACGCAGATGTTCTTTATTTCTTATGCTAAGAATTTCTTTGTCCCGCCCTCGGAATTCGGAATCGGCTCCGCTGCGCCCGTCCGCTCGCTCGAGAACGCCCTGAACGCCGCGCAGGGAGGTCGCAACAAGGTCGTCTTCGTGAACAATGGCTTGACTGGCGGGGATATTGAGACGGTGATCAACTCGATTGCGGGCACGGTCCGGTCCGCTGGCAGGAAGGTTGCAGTGGTGGAGACCGACATCGACCTGCTCTCCGAATGTCCCAGCTCCTTGCGTGGCGTTTCGACATGCTTTGCGGCCGCGAATTTCCATTCCTCCCCCAGCGAGGGCACCGGCGGTATTTGGAACTACACGCTTAGGGCTGATGGTGCTCTGGGAGAGCGCATCTACGTCGAGGAAACGAACAACGATGCCCAAATCTATATTCTCCCTTTCCAGCACGCCATTGATGCCGAGATCGCCTCTATTAGCGGCTCTTCGTTGCCAAGCACCGTCAACGAATATCCGTTCACCCCCAGGACTGCTCAAGAGCGCCGAGACCAGATCCGACACTCGTACATGGGGGCTCTGATCAACATTCTGGCCGTGGCCTTCTTCATTGGAATATGCGGGATCACCTACCAACTGACCGGCCACATGGCCTCGGAGCGAGAGCTAGGCATGTCACAACTGATCGAGGCCATGACTCCGAACAAGCATGTCTGGCACACCCAAGTCGCGCGTTTGCTCGCCAACCACCTGGCCTTCGACATCATCTACCTCCCGAGTTGGGTCATCATGGCCGCCATCATGCGCGCGCTCGTGTTCCCCTCGTCCAGCTACGGCCTCCTCATCATCTACCACCTCCTGGCCGGCCTGGCGCTCTCCAGCTTCTCCATCCTGGGCGGCAGTCTCTTCCGCAAGGCGCAGCTCTCGGGCATCACGGTCGTGCTCGTGTCCATCATCCTGGCCATCGTCGCCCAAGTCACCAAAACCCGCTCCGTCGGCGCCGTCGCCATCCTCAGCCTGCTCTTCCCGCCGATGAACTACACGTACTTCATGATCCTGCTCGCGCGGTTCGAGCGGAAGGACAGGGCTGCGAATCTCGTCGAGGGCGCGCCGGACAGCCCGTGGCAGTTGCCCGGCATCGCTTTCTGGATCTTTCTGATCATCCAGATCTTCGTCTTCCCGGTCATCGGCGCTTTTGTGGAGAGGTCGCTTTACGGAACGGCGTCGAAGACGCGCAAGATGACGCTGGATTCTGCAGATGGCCCTCCCGTCTCGATCAGGCTGACCAACTTCACCAAGCGCTGGCAGCCCAGCTGGTGGCACCGCAATGTCGCATGCCGGCTCGGTGCTGCGCGCAAGGAGACGGTGCTGGCGGTCAATGACTTGAGCCTTTCGGCGCTGAGAGGTCAGATCATGGTTCTCCTGGGCGCTAACGGGTCTGGAAAGAGTACCACCTTGGATGCTATCTCCGGTCTCAACACCATCTCGAGCGGATCCATCGAGGTCGACGGCAACGGCGGCTTGGGTCTTTGCCCTCAGAAGAACGTCATGTGGGACGAGCTGACCGTATTTGAGCACGTGAAGATTTTCAACAGTCTCAAGGCTTCCAAGAAGGACACCAAGGAGCAGATTACCGAGCTGATCCGCTCTTGCGACCTGGATATCAAAGTGAACGCCAAGGCAGGGACGCTCTCCGGAGGTCAGAAGCGCAAGCTACAGCTCGCCATGATGTTTACGGGTGGAAGTCGTGTCTGCTGCGTGGACGAGGTTAGCTCCGGTATCGATCCGCTCTCGCGTAGGAAGATCTGGGATATTCTACTGGCCGAACGTGGAGCTCGCACCATGCTATTGACGACGCATTTCCTGGACGAAGCGGACTTCCTTTCGGACTTCATCGTGGTGCTGTCTCGGGGTAATCTCAAGGCTGAAGGTACTGCAGTGGAGCTCAAGCACAACTTGGGCGGCGGATACCGCATCGTTCTCGATAACGCTCTTGTTCAGTATGCGCCGAATGCGCTGCAGAGCGTTCCACGCAAGGTTCTGTTCGATAAGACTGTCTACCAGGTTGCGGATTCAGCTCAGGCCAGTGTCTTGACGGCCGCGCTCGAGCGGGAGGGCATCACGCAATATCAAGTCAACGGCCCCACTATCGAAGATGTTTTCCTGAGGCTGGCAGAGGAGATTCACGAGCAGTCTTCGGGCCCGGAAACTATTGTTCAGGGTGCCAACACCAAGACGCTAGAGAGTATTGATCCTAGCAAGGCGGCTTCAGACTCGGAATATGCCTCTGAGGTGAAGACGGAAAAGGGACAGCTGGAGATGACGACTGGAAAAGGGACAGGCTTCGTCAAGCAGACTTGGGTGCTGTTCATCAAGCGCCTCATCATTCTCCGCCGCAACTGGTTGCCCTATCTTGTGGCAGTTCTTATTCCAATCGTTGCCGCTGGACTGGTCACCTTGTTCCTTCAAGGATTTGAGGGCGCATCTTGCAGTCCTGGCGCTTCAACGAACAACCCGAAGTCGGCGAATTTTGACCAGTCAGAGGTCATTGAAGATGGCCTTCTCATCCCCGTCGGCCCTGCGACTGCCGTTTCACCCCGTCTTCTGGCCGCTGCTTTCGGAATCGATGCAAGCAACTTCCATCTGGTGAACAGTCTGGACGAGTTTAATACCTACGTTGCGGATAACTATGCAAATGTCACGCCAGGTGGATTCTATCTCGAGCCCAACGCTGCGCCGACATATGCTTACGTCGCCGACAACTATCAAATCTACTGGTCACTTCTCACTCAGAACATCTTGGATACCCTTCTTGCGAACACTTCGATAGTCACGTCTTTCCAGTCGTTTGCAGTTCCATACTCGCCAGGTGCTGGAGACACATTGCAGCTTATCCTCTACTTTGGCTTGGCCATGTGCGCCTTCACTGGCTTCTTTGCTCTCTATCCGACCATGGAACGGATCCGCAAAGTGAGAGCTTTGCACTACAGCAATGGTATTCGGGCTGCTCCGTTGTGGATCGCGTACACGATGTTCGACTTCCTGTTCGTTCTCCTCGTCTCGGCGCTCGTGACGATTATCTTCGTTGGCGCGTCTGGCGTCTGGTATTCCCCGGGCTACCTGTTCGTTGTCTTCTTCTTGTACGGATTTACTTCGATCCTGCTGAGTTATGTCGTGTCCCTCTTCGTCACTTCGCAACTCGCCGCTTTCGCCTTCATGGCAGGCGGGCAGGCTGTGTTCTTCCTTCTCTACTTCATTGCATATATGAGCATTCTCACGTACAGTCAAGCGGCCTATATCGACCGCGACATCAAGACGGCACACTTCACCATCGGCATCATCACTCCCTCAGGCAACCTTCTCCGCGCTCTACTCCTGTCACTCAACTCATTCTCGCTCCTTTGCCGCGGCGATTCAATCGCCTCGTATCCTGGCGAGATCACAGTGTACGGCGGCCCAATCCTATACCTCATCATCCAGGCCGCCGTGCTCTTCGTCATCCTCGTGTGGTGGGACAGCGGCTACAAACCGGGCTTCCTGATGCGCTCAACCCACAAGCATAAGCACGTCGAGGAGACGGAAGCGCGCGGCGCAGATGTCACGGCAGAGATTACGCGCACCGAGCAGTCGGACGACCGGCTGCGCGTCCTACACCTGACCAAGCACTTCGGCAAGAACACAGCCGTCGACGACATCACCTTTGGCATCCCGTCAGGTGAAGTCTTCGCCCTCCTCGGCCCCAACGGCGCCGGCAAATCGACCACCATCTCCCTCATCCGCGGCGACGAGCGCCCCTCCCAGCCCGCCGACGGCAGCCGCCGCGGCGACGTCCTCGTCGAAGGCATCAGCATCACGCAGCGCCGCGCCGCCGCGCGCGGCTTCCTCGGCGTGTGCCCGCAGTTCGACGCCATGGACCAGATGACGGTGCTCGAGCACCTGCGCTTCTACGCGCGCGCCCGCGGCGTGCCGGACGTCGAGCAGAACGTCGCGGCCGTCGTGTCCGCCGTCGGCCTCGCACTGTTCCAACACCGCATGGCCGCAAAGCTCTCGGGCGGCAACAAGCGCAAGCTCTCCCTCGCCATCGCCCTCATGGGCAACCCGTCCGCCCTCCTCCTCGACGAACCTTCGTCCGGCATGGACGCGGCTGCTAAGCGCGTCATGTGGCGCACGCTCGGCGCGGTGGCGGCTGGCCGCGCGCTGTTGATCACGACGCATAGTATGGAAGAGGCGGATGCGTTGGCGACGCGGGCGGGCATCATGGCGCGCCGCATGTTGGCGGTTGGCACTGGGGAGGAGCTGCGCCAGCGCTTTGGCGATGGCTGGGTCGTGCAGGTCGTGTTGGCATCGGCGCCGGCGTCGGCCCAAGAGGAGATGGATGCTGTTTGGAAGTGGGTCGAGGCGAATGTGCCCGGCGCGGTGCTCGATCCGAGGGTTGCGCATGGGCAGGTTAGGTTTACGGCGCCGTGGTCGAGGGGTGGGGAGGTGGTGGCTGAGGATGGGAAGGAGGAGGGGAAGAGTGGTGCGGGTAGCATGGGGATTGCGGAGCTGTTTGAGAAGTTGGAGAGGAGTAAGGCGCTGTTGGGCATCGCGTATTACTCGGTCGGCCGCACGACGTTGGATCAGGTTTTCTTGAGTATTGTGGGGAGGCATGATGTTAAGGAGGAGAGTTAGTTGAGCGGGTGGGTGGGGCTTTTTTTCTCTTTTGCTGCTGCTGCTGCGGCGGCGGCGGCGGCGGCTGCTGCATCTGCATATTTGCATGGGAGGGGGCGTGGTTTGGATTCTTTGGGCCCTTCAAAGTAAGATAGACGAGGGGTTTGGTGTTTCTTGGAAACGTGGGATAAACGTGAAATGATAGACTTATTCATAATTTTTAACGACGTGTGCATAAACTCTAATAGTGTGTGTGTGTGTGTGTGTGCTGTCGCGATGGCTTGGAAGTGATACGAGGCCAGGAAGTCAGTTTATCGTTTTAGCTCGGTCCCTTGGCGGTGTACTTTCCTATTTGAGTTACTTCATACTTCAAGTGAAAAAGGGATGGCATTATTGAAAGCTTCTCGCGTGTCTTTTGGAGGAATTGGCGGTACACTATTATAGCTCAAGGGTCCATCATAGCATTGGTTTGGGCACCTCAACGATAAACCTTGTATGTGACATGTGTGACAGGGACGTATCGTGGATTTTCTTCGCGGTTCAACAAAAGGTACATCAAATAACTTGAGACGACGCCCTTATTGGCTGACGCACTTCCCCATAAGACGTCAGTACCCAGGAACTGGCTCCGGCGCAGCGCTCGGATGCTCGAGAACGGTTCCGCGGCCCGTAGCGAGCCGTTACGAAGGTTAGTTCCGTAAGATTATACTCCACAACTCTCTCCCCATCCCCACCCCTGACGATTACGTAGTATGTCCAATGCTGACCACTTCTTCTCCGAAGAACTCCCACATCGTGCTCAGATCGATTATTGTCCAGCTCCGATGACGCGCGTTATCGGGATCGGGTTCGTTCTTGTCTGCACGACCCAAGGCTGATTTACGGATCATCCGTTTTTTTTTTTCTTGCTCGCCGGCCGTGTCATGGGTTGCATATGTCCGGGCACAGAACAGTTCCGCTGCCCGTTCTCCACCACTTCTGCCATGCACGCAGCCAATTGGTCGGACGTTGCCCGCACAAAACCCTGTCCAGCGGAACCGCGAGCAGTGAGACACTGAGAGGACAGTGCTTGCTGGAACGCAGGCATGAAGGTTGGCAGGTGGCTGATGATGACGAAACAGAAGACCGTGAGGCCTCAACACTTCGTAAATTTGCCAACGTTTCTGCGATAAGCACAAGGTTTGACCGGATGCGCAGTTTTAATATAGTTCCCGCGGCGCTAGGAGAGCATTGAAGTTAGCTGGCTGCCGTTTCTGGAGGTGCACAACTGCCCCTCTTGCCCTCTTTGCCCTTTCCCCTCCTCTTCAGCCTCGCGGGACCGGGGTGAGAGCTGTGCGCACAGGCGCACTTTCATCGTCCCATCGAGAACACACGCTTTTCCCTTTTCTTTCCCCGGTGGTGAGACAGCCCCGCACTCGTCTTCTTCATCCTCCCGGCCTACATACTTCATCAATCCTTCGGCCCAGCTACCTGTCAGCCGGGTTGCAGCAAGTCATCCAATTCCTACCAACCCCCAATTACCAGAACCACGGTTACGCTTCTTCACACGTCCGGCACCATGACCAATCCAACCATCGAGCCCGCAGTCGAGGTCGATGCTTCGCTCGAGAATGACTCCGCCGCGGGATCCGACATGTAGGCAAATCAACACCAAATTCACCTCGAAGCTCTACACGTTCGTCTTTCTGACTCTGCTCGCTGCATTCTTCGGCAGGCAAAGCTACTCGACATCGCTGGCATCATCAGTCCGAGAATACAAGATGGAGCACGGTCGCCGCTTTCACGCCTACAAAGATGGCGCTTATAATTTCCCCAACGACGACAAAGAGCAGGATCGGCTGGACATGGTGCACCATATGCAGATGCTCGCGAAAGACAAGAAACTGTTCCTGGCCCCGCTCTCCGCGCCGCCAAAGCGCATCCTCGATGTCGGCACTGGGTACGTTTTTAGCTTGGTGGTGATGATGGTCAGCCCCTTCCCCAAGGGGCAAGACGAGTCACACAACTCCTGTGCGAGAAGGATTCTCGCTTCCCCGCTTCTCTCCCCCTCCCCGCGTGCGCATGTGTTGATTGGCTTTCTTGCTGACCTTTGTGCCTTTCCCCCGCTTTGTGGACTACAGGACTGGTATTTGGGCGATTGAGGCTGGCGACGCGTATCCAAATGCTGAAATCATTGGCAACGATTTGTCTCCCATCCAGCCGCATTGGGGTGAGTGGTTGTCCCCTTATGCCTTTAGCCTATATTACTTTCCTTTTCTTTTTTTTTTCCTTTCCTCCTTCTCCAAGCCCCCATAGCTAACCATCCATCCCAAACAACAACAGTGCCCCCCAACGTCCGCTTCGAAGTCGACGACGCCGAATCCGACTGGCCCACCGACCGCGCCGGCCTCTTCGACCTAGTCCACTGCCGCTACCTCGCCGGCTCCATCGCTGACTGGCCCCGTCTGATGCGACAAGCCTTCACCGCCACCAGACCGGGCACCGGCTGGGCCGAGTTCTCCGACTACGAGATGCGCTACTACGCCGACGACGGCAGCATGCCTGCCGACTCGCACATGGCCCGTCTCGCGGACCTGCTCGTCGACGGCTGCGCCCAGATCGGCCGCACCGTCTCCCCCGGCCCCCAGCTGCAGACGTGGATGGAGGACGCGGGCTTCGTGGATGTGCAGACGCGCCTGTGCAAGTTGCCGCTGGGCGCGTGGCCGAAGGATCCGGTGTTGAAGAAGATTGGCGCGTTTAATTTCGTGCAGACGTATGAGGGGTTGGAGGCGTTTGTGTTGGGCGTGTTTACGAGGGTCCTCGGGTGGTCGGCGGATGAGGTGCAGGTTTTCGTCGCGAAGTGTCGGAGGGATATGAAGAGGAAGGATGTGCATATGATGCTGAACTTTCATGTTGCGTATGGGCGGAGGCCGGAGGAGACGGCGGTGTGAGGATGGGGGGAGTGAAGGTAATTGCCATAGTATCCACGGCTGATGGATGGCCGGGAGTTACGGGAAGCATATTGTGCAAGTGTAGTAGTTAGCGAGCGACAGTGCTGCTGCTGTCACCATCAGATACCATAGGTCCCTCGCGCGGCTTAGTTGGGGCAAACACGTAAAACAGAGGAGTTTGGGAGTGTCTCAATGCGAACACACCGGGTGTTTGAATGCCATCGCTGGTGTTCGGGTGTCTTTCCGATCAGAAGCGTTTTCTAAAGAGTTGCGGTTCCCTACGGATAGTCTGACTTTTGCATATTTTTGTTTCTGCCTTCTCGTCTGTGCTCTCTGTAAATGGGCGCCCAACTTCGCTAGCAATGATTTGTTATTTAACTGTTCGTTATGAGGTCTGTATCAGTTTAACTTGTTGTGGTGTTGTAATTATGAAGAAGTTCAAAGACTCATCACAATGCTGTAGTTCTACGGATTTTATAGTAGACTGAAGACAGATAAACTCATTGTATCATATCTACGAAATCGAAAATTTCGCAGGTACGGATGGACCAAATTGCTCGGTTTGTTAGCGGATGGTTTAACCTATCCGCCTAGGCATATGCCCAGGCGTCTTCCTCACCAAACTTAAATTTATGTGTGCGGTCCAGGAGGGTATGAAGGCAACCAAGGCGTGGTGGGAGCTCCAGAATTTGTAAAAGCATAGTACACGGATTCACATCGATCTAGGCTCGTTCTCTCTGGAATAATATGGTTATTCTTTGGGGTGCAAGATGCAACCCTTACGCCTGTACATCCACTGGGCATAATTCTCTTCCTTCCGGGTCCCTCACATTCATTGAGCAGAGCCATCACCGCCGAACCGCCGTGCATACTCAAACCCCAGCCTCACGACGCACTCGTGACCTAACGATAGTGGGTATATCCTCCGCTATTGCCAGTAGAGAAAAAGAGAAGAGAAGAAAGCAAGGGAAAAAAAAATGAAATCTGTCTTCTCCAGCTCGGAACCCAGATTCCATCCATCACCTGGAACCATCAAATCAATCATGAAGGGGAAAAAAGAGCCATTTGACAAGCGACCGTGGGTATATCCTCCATGCAAAAAAACCGGTTCTCCATCCATGCACACATCTCCTTTTTCGTTAATTCATCATCGTCATTCATCGCTCTTTAGTCGAAGGAGAATCCTGCGAGCGACCGTGACCGAGGTTGGGTATTCATCTTGTGCCGAGAGAGCAAACCAGAGCTGAAAGCGAGAGAAAGAAGAGAAATTCGAAAGGTTAAAATCCGGATTCAAGTGTCGAAATGCTGAGGAGACAGACCACGTGCCGGCGAAAGAAGAAGAGTAAAGACGGTCCAGCGCGCGGAGGCGGACTTTGAAAGTAGTCGGACTTGGTGAAGGCAGAATGCTCAAGACTGAAGACGCAGGTCGGTCTCGCGGATTGGACCTTGGCCGTCAGCGCAGACACAGTTGCTGTGAGAGATTTGTCAGTGAACAGCTCAACTGAATGGAAAAAGAAAAAGAAGATCGATCGACGAAATTTTCGCTGCCGAAAGTGGGAGGTTGAAGTGAGGCGTCCAATTCACCACTGCACAATGACGCAACAGCCAGCAGCTTCGACACGAAGCCCGCATCCACGCCCAGCAGACCAGCTTCCTCTCGAACAAAGGGAAAGAGAACGCAGTCGTTCTCACACATGACAAAGAAAGAACAAGGAAGCGAAAGAGAGTCACAAAGAGAAAGATCTGCTTGCTGCACACACAAACTTACCCGTTCTCGTCGCACCTGCCGGTCATTCCGGCGGACTGTAGGCCGCACTGCGCGTCGCACGCACCCCTGCCCACCGTCGGGCACAGGATGGGGTCGACCAGGTCGCGCGTGTAGTCGATCTGGCCCTTGACGGCGCGCGGCAGGTTGCGCAGGGCCGGCAGCGGCGACGACACGGGGCGCGCGGCGGTAAGGGCGACGAAGGCGAAGAGCAGCGCTGCGAGCGCGCGCACGATGGTGAAGGAATGCATTTCCGCGGGGGGTGTTTTGGCTGAGCGATATGCGCGATTGCGTGGAGTGCGTGGTCTGCCGGGATCTGGGGTGGCGAACGTTGGGAAGCACGCTGCGCGCGATCGAGGGCTGTGGAACCCGGTGTGTGTGCGCGTTGCGAGGGTGTGTGGGAGAGGGAAAGGATGGAGGGCAGGTGGCGAAATCGGTTGTCGAGGAATGGGCAGAAAGCCGGGGGTGTCGCAGGACGAAAATGCGGAGGATCTTCAGGCACGGACGGGGGGATGGGGGCGGGTTGTGGGATTGAAGGTGAAGCGTGACTCTTTATTGCAACTGTGCTTCCTTCAGGCCCGCTCCCGTCACGCTGTGTGCGCCCAGTTCGTCGATCCCATAGTCATGCCATCCAGGGCTCGAGTGAACCCCGCCTTTTGTCGGACCTTGGCCTTCGACACTCGTGCTCCCGCGGCGTATGACCGTCGCTGTTTGCCTTAGACTCCTTTGGGCGCAGCACTGGCCCGCCTAGGCCGAATGCGGGACGGCTAGCGAGCGATGACAGAGGAGAGGAGCGCTTGAATGACGGGCGCCGAGGCCCCCCGATGGGCCAATGCCACTTCGAGTAGCGAGGTACGGAGTACCTGGCAGCTGGCGGCCTGCGAATCGACGCTCTGCCCACGGTGAGGCAGCCACGCTGCTTAGAGAGCAGCTGTCATGGAGATCAATCTTCTCGATTGGGCGATTGACGGCGAAGGGCAGCATCGCAGCCGAGCACAGCAGCTCGAGCAACAGCAGCACGAGGAAAGCTGTGGGGAAACAAGCACCGCACTAGAGGGCGATCTGGAGGGCTGGAGGGTTCTCTGTCATCGGGCCGGTGCGTGCGAGAGCGAGACAGCCATCGCCGGGTCACGGTGTGGCGGATGGCGTAGGGGTTACGCAGGCATGCCAGTGGCGCATCATCAGCGTCATCCTTAGATTATTATTATCCGCCGACGGACCGCAGCGAGTCGGGGGTCGGCCTCGACGAAAAAGCGACTGCAGACCCAAGGATGTCGACCGACCGCAGCACCGTGATGATGACTGTCAAGGGAGCTGAAGCCACTGGCCGGCCTCTCCTCCGGCCCAACTTGGCAATCTGCGATCGCATCACATCACATCTCTCCCAGTACCACGTCTACGGTGAGACAACCCGACAGATGAACTGCCTGCGGCCCATGCCTCCCGTTGACCCGCCAGGGTGGGCGGTGAGGCAGCTGAGAGCCCTGCGTCTCTTTGTCTCTGGCCGGAGAGTGCCAGCCAACCGCAGCGTGCAGCTGCAGCTCCATCTCGAAAATGACCGAATGACGCAGTCTGCACGCACCCGCAATATTGCTGCGAAGCAAGGACACCGCCGCCCGGCCTGGCCCGGCTCGAGTCCGGCGCCGCATCAGCCTTACGATACGGTCAAGAATCGTCGAAGCGAGAGTGCACTCGTCACAGACATGCATGCGCTAACAGTTCGTCATCTCTTGTGTGCATCCTGACCCTTGGCGCCAATTGTCCTGCAAAGCCACGTTCCGCCGAGCAAAAAGCAGGCAGCCAGGGAGGCCGCCAGCACACCGGCCGGCGTCGCCGCCTGCGAGGCTGCGACGGCCTCCTTCGCGGCCGAGATGGACCAAACTTCTCCAACGCTCGACCGTCCCTCGAGCCATACTTTATACCTTGCACGCGGCGGCCGGTCATGCCACCGGCACTGTCGCTTACAGCTGCATGCAGCGAGTCACGAGCGCCGCGTTGCAGCCTGTCAGCCTTATCGCATCCAGCCCCCACCGGCCTCGCCGTGACTGCGACGGCATCGCTGGGCGCTAGACAGAAGCGTCGGCAGCCACATCATGCGCAGGACGCACTTCCGCCGTTGGCTCGGCCGCTCGCAGCCCTCACTGGGCGACGAGGACCGTTGAGCGTGAGAGCAGGCGGTGGCCCATCCCTGCCCGTCCTTCAGCCCTATCGCCTGCGCCGATGCAAATGCCTGTCGCGTTGATTTCCGCGCTGCATGCTGCGGCCGCCTGGTGCCTGCCCATCATGAGGGTCAAGCGTGCCACAGATCGCGTCTACCAAGAGTGGCATTGCTGCGCTGCAGATCCTCAAGTCTGTACTGCGGCGACGTTTCTATAAAACCGCGTGGCCCCCAAATTGCCGGTCCAAGAATCCCCGGCTGCAAAAGGCACCTCACGGTTCCACCGCTGTCAAACTTTATAACGTCCTCCTCCAAGGGGCAAACTCTCTCCACTCTCGCGCTCCTACATGTAAGCAATGGTTGGTGTGCCGAAGAGCAAAGGTTGTGCCACTTGTAGGGCGAGGAAGATCCGCGTAAGTCTCTCCTTAGTCGTCGCTAAGCCTACCGCATGAGTACTCATCCTGCGAGCGAGAGAACAGTGCGACGAGAGCTGGCCCGTCTGCCAACAATGCCGTCGCAGCAACCGCCAGTGCCCCGGCCCATCCAACCCCTACGGGAAGTTCATGGACGAGGGCCCACGCCAGCGCGCTCGCGGAAACACCTCTCGTAACGCCGCCGTGCCCAATGAGCGCTCCACCGAGCGACCTCTTCCTCCCTCCCGCCCCAAGACCCATGAAGAACACCATGTCCACCAGACCCCGTGCACCGATATCGAGACGGTCCGCACCAAGACGACGACGAGCGGGGCCGTCTTCAGCACCATGAAGATCGTCAGCGACGAGCCGCAGAGCGACCCCGCACTCTCGTACCCGCCACTAAAACACCAACGACTCCCGCCCGCCCACGTCTTATCGCCACAGGACGTCCGCGCTAAGAAGCAACTACAACGGCAAAGAGCCGTTTTTGGCGGCCTGCCGCAGACGCTGCCCCTGTCCGGCATCGAGATCTTGACGTCGAGGCTCGTGGCGACGCTGAACGAGGAGGGGCCTTCGAATCAGATCAAACTGTTCGGCCCATTTATCGGGGAGGTGCCCAGACGGTTGGGCTCGACGACGGCCTTGAATGACGCAGCCGCCTGCTTGACTACCACACACGACGCCATTATCCGCAAGCACAGCAAGACACGCATAAACCCGCAGCTGTACGCCAAAGCGTTGAAGAGCCTCCACGCGGCCATTCAGGACGAGAGCCAAGTGAGATCGACATCGACACTCTGCGCTACAGTTCTCTTGGCAATCACAGAAGCATATGTGAGTATCCCTGCCTCGCTAAGTCCAGCTCTGCAATGTGGCTGACCCATCCAGGCGGTAGGAGTATGCGGGACGAACCGCAATTTCATCACGCACCTGGGCGGCGCAGCCCGCATTCTCGAGCTCAGAGGCCCGGAAGAATTCCAGAACCCTTCCTCATTCGAGAGAGCTCTGCTGCGAGCCATTACCGTCGGCGTGGTAAGTCCATGCAACCTCCCCATCCAGCCTAGCACCGGAGATAATGGCTGACCAAACGCAATCTAGGGCCTGGACGCCATCTTTACAGGGAAAGAAGACATCCTAGCCACTCGGGAATGGCACGACATCGCCTTCGACACTACGGGCGTTACCGAGCCTCGCGCCTCCATGTTCAAGATCTCCCGCACACTTTCCCTGCTCCCCTCCCTCACCCGTGATGTGCGCGCCTTCTTCGCCGGCACCTTCTCCACCTCCTCATCCCCCCGCATGACCCGCCTCGCGCTCCTCCACCGCGCCGAAACTCTCCTCAAGATGCTCGACGAGGTCAGGCCCTACATCGACGCCACCCTCGCCGACGAGGCACGTGTGCGCCTCGTGCCAGCCGCCAAAGAACACGCCGACCTGTGGCCCAAGGCGTATCGGTTCGCCGATGCCGGCGTAGCCTTCGTGCTATGGTTCTTCTGGAACATGCGCATGATCGCCTCATCCATCATCATCGGCCTCCACCGCCGTCCGGATCCCCCCTCCACCGCCACCTCCTCACCATCCCCATCGTCCGCCTCCCCCTCCGCCTCCCCCTCTCCTCCCTCCTCCTCATCCTTCCCCTCGCCTCCCACCTCCCCACCCTGCCCTCAATCCTCCTTCTACCCACCCTCCCTCCTCGCCGCTCTCGAACGCGACACCATCCGCATGGCCCACGACGTCTGCATGAGCTGGGAACACGCCCGCGCCGTGCGGCCTCTCGGCGCCATGTACATCGACGTGGGGCTCATCATCGCCTACGGCATCTTCGCCACGGCTGGGGATACCGCTCGCCAAGGCTGGCTGCTGCGCGCCCTCGCCGACCTGACCGAGGGCCACCCGGGCGAGGGGACGGGCGAGGGCATAGCGGGACGCGCGTTCGAGGGCAGTACGAAGGATTGGACGGCTGAGAGGGTCGAGTGGTTGGGGCGGTGGTTTTCGGCTGGTTGTGTGGATTTTGTCGGTATGAGTGGGTTGAATGGAGAGGAAGAGGTGGGCGAGGAGGCTACTGGCTCGGCTGGTAGTAGTCCTGTCGGGTCGGCGAATGCTTCGCCGCTGTTGACGGATCGAGACGCTTCTCCGCAGCTCACGTCGTCGATGTGGGATGAATGGGCGTTCGCTTCTGGTGGCGGGCAGGCTGACTTCTTCGGTGGCTGGAACAACGCCTCCGACCTGTCGTCTTTCCAGGCCGCCGGCAGCAGCAGCGCGTATGGCGCCGTAGCAGCAGCAGCTCCCACCGGCGGCGGCTACGCCGAGTCCATCGCTTCGGGCTCGACTGCTACTGGTCTTGCTGCTGCTGCTGGCGGTGCCGCAGTAGGCGGGAGTAGTCGTGGATGGAGTCCAGATTCCCTAGCCTCGTCGCTGGCGGATACGGACAGCTTTTTGATACTGCAGCCGACGGGTAGGCGGATCAGGTGGCACACGCCGACGACGACGGCGACGGCGAACGGCGGCATGAATTACGGGTTTGACAGCTTTAACAACAACTTTGGCGGCGCGCCGCTGCAGAGCAAGTCTTTTGTTGCGTAAGAGATGGAAGGAGATTTAGGGCAGATCATTTGGTTTTCTTTTTTTTTTTCTTTTCTTTGCTGTTGGGAAAAGGAGGGCGTTCTTTCCTTGATTGTTTGTCACATCGAGCCACCGCTCCACAATTTTCGTCGCTGGTTCGATGGAGCTGCTTTTGTTATTTTTTTTGGACGTGCTTTGGTCCTATTATCTCCTTCATTCTTACTCTTCGGCTACGGTAATTTGTATAAGTAGTTTTTTGGACGTTTTCCGAAGGCTGGTGCCTCGAAGAAGAAAGAAAAACATCACTTTTCTCCCCAGCTGTTCCCGTCCACTTTCCTTCCTCTGTGTTCGTACCGGCATTTTCTGGTATCGGCAGAATAGAAGAAATTTCTTTTTCCCACCACATCAGAACGTGCACTGCCTCAACTATTGAAGTGAAACGTGTGTATGCGGTGAGACCTTCCTCGTGCATTACCGATCCTTGATCTCCTTGTGCGATCCCCTTCCGCACGGGTACCTGCCTTGCCGTAGGATCGTCGGCTGAGTAAGATATGCAGGGCTTGATGGATGAGCCCGGTTCCCACGGCAGGTCCGTTGCCAGCCTTGCGGGAGCTGCCTAGGATGTGTATCGTGAGGATTGCCACTAAAGGCGTAAGCGTGATACAGAAACGATGATTAGTAAAGTCTGTTAAATCGACGGAACTGGACACGGCCAGGTCAAGTGTGACTAAAAGTGTTTATTGTTGTACATTAATAGGTCTGCTCTCGTGCTGGTTTCATGGCATCACTTCATGTCTGCTGATGCAGGACCCCAATTCGCCTGGCTACTAAGACACTACATGCCTCGTCGAAATCCAAGCTTATTATCGGAGATCGTAAACCAGAACTATAGAGAATTAACAGTTTGAGCAGCTCTATTTCTGCCGCGGCAGACAAATGGTCGAGTTGCTCTTCTTGAATGCTAGGACCGCCGCGATGGCCAAGACGGCGTTGCATCAGTGAACACCGACTCGGCTGGCATGGGCAAAGTCACTTCTCAGCGTCCAGTGCCAGATTTTCTTGCTCGATAGCAATTCTTTCCTTCTAGGGAAAAAATGGGAGACCTTGCATCTGACTGGTTCCTCAGTGATGTCCCACCCTTTTAAGTGATGTTTGAAATCGGCCACAGCCAATTTCAGTCAGTTCGATGTGAGTGGAGATTTCCCGTACTTCTCTCGCCACCACCGCCAATGCTCTCTCTCTCTCTCTCTCTTCAATCAACCACCTCCAACGGCTTCTTCCCATCCGGCGGTCTCGTCGGCGGCCCATCCATGCCCACGCTCTTCATATCAGCCAGCAGCTCGCGCACGTGCTCGTCCCTCTTCTCGTTGCTCTTCCACCGCACCGCCTGGCTGTAAAACAGCAAGTCCCACGCAGGCGGCGGAATGCACTGGAGCAGTCCCGAACCCACATGCATCTTGGCGCGCTTGTACGCCTTCCACAGCTCCTGCCGGATGACGGGCCGCGCCTGCGGATCCGTCGCGAGGTACGCGTGCCGCAGACAGTTGTTCAGCCTTGCCACACTCTCCTTTATCCTTTTGTCACTACTGCCACTACCACCACTAACGCCCCGCACCCTCAGCGCCTCCAGCTCCGCCCGTACCTGCTCCGGCTCCGCGTCGCCTAGCAACTCCACAAACTCCTCCCCGTTCCCCTCGGCCTGCGCCTTGCCGACGTCGATAATACCGTCATCATCATTATTATACACCGCCCGCAACCGCATCAGCGTCGCGTCCAACTCCGCCTCGTCGCTGTTCTCGATCTGGTCGATCTCGCTCTCCAGCCGCGCGATCTTGGCCCGTAGCTCCGCTGCGCGCGCTTCGTCCGCTTCCATCCGCGCGAGGTTGACCGGTTGCGGGGCGGACTCGCCTATTTGCGAGACGTCCTGCTCGAAGAAGTGGATCGCTGGCTGGTGGGGGTCGTCGCAGCGCTGTCGTTGTGGTCCGCCGAGGAGGTTGAGAGGGTCGGTCGGGTCGAGGAGGCTGGAGCGCGGGGAGGCGGTGGCGGGGTAGGTGTTTGTGTTGGGGATGGGTTGGGCGGCGGCCGGCGGGTGGGAGGGGGAGGGGGAGGCGCTGGTGCTGGTGGACGAGGTGGTGGTGGGTTGGCGTCGGCGTAGGCGTGCGGCGCGGGCGCTGCGGGCGCTGAGGGCGCGGGTGGGTGGGAGGATGGTTGTGGTGAGGCGGGCCTGGAATGGCCGTGGGAGGAGTCGGGAGGCCATTGGTATGAAGTAAAGAACGGATGAGGCCGGTGCGCTCGTGGTTGGTGGTGTTCAATTGTGGTGGTCGTGGCTGGGGAAATAATTTCGGCCGAGTGACGTTGTTGGTTGTCGCTAGGTAGCATGACTAAGCGATTTTGCCCTTCACAACAATGTCAACCCCTCCAGCTTAACATTGCGGATGGCAAGCATACTCTTGACATTGGACTTTCAGCTTTGAAAGTTGGCATTGCATCTTGATCAAAATTTGAGACGAAGGGCAGTAATAGCCTTGGATAGAACGCTGGTGACTGCTTCAATTCGTGGCATTACGCTTTGAGCTACTGATGACTGAAGATGCATCTGAACCGACTGTCTTTTCCGGTCCTTATCTCTTCATAACACCCAGCATACTTGACAATAATGGTATGTTGCAAGATGCCTACCTGAGGATGATGTGGAAGTTATCAGGGTCCTCGACCTTATGTTTTCCCCGCGCGGTTCAGATAGCGGGCGGGAACGGAATCTAAACCATCACCGTTAGCGCCCGGCCAAAACCCCGCACAGGTTGCTACAGCGTCTCGAAGCATTCTCTATAATGCCATGAATGTATACGGAAAATACGGGAATTCAATGGCTCGTGAATATCGGTGGAGAGCTCGTACTGGAACACGAGCATGTCGACAAGCCACATTGCAACGGTCCAACTGCGGGATTTCTGGCGCGTATTCAGGAACAGCCTCAGCGGCTCGGGCTTCATCCCTTGAGCCGTGAAATCTAGCTTCGAGTCTGAGCTCATTTTTCCTAATAGAGTAGGCGTGGAATACGAAGTGGCCCCATTCCTGGTGCAAAGCACGCTAGAGTATGAAATGAAAGTGGCGCTCCACGTCTCGATGGATTGCCCACACGTGGAACAAAGGAAAGAACGTCGGAGCAGGCCGGGGCAGTGCAACGAGTATTATTTGGATGGAAATGACGATGGGCTGCCACGGGAAGTCGATGATGACGATGCGGTGAGGGTCAGGGCCGGGGAGAGGATCAGGCACAACAGCCACAGACGACGGCGGGGCGAAGTGGGGCTGCCAGCGGAACTGCGGCACTGCACTTCTCGAGCTCGAGCTCCTGCTGCCCCTCACCATCCAACGCCTTTGCACATGTCGAAATTCGCTCAGCAGATTGTCAGGGTCCTCGATCGCGCGCTGGCACGTTGCAATGCTTCACTGAGACCCTCTCATCATCGCTGGCGCCAAACGGCCCCCCGCTTGCATCACCCCGGCCCCAGCTACAGCTCCAACCCAGCGCCATTGTGGCTCGTGTCGGAGCAATAGGAGCCCTCGAAAGCTTAGCCGCCGCCATGGTGTCAAGGAATGGCCGAGTAGCCGGCCGCCGAGTCCAGGGTTGTTGCTTCAAGTGTGCATTCGCGCATGCCTTCTGGCCTACCAACGCTTGGCTGTGCAACTGGCTGGTGCCGGGCTTCCGTGTGGAGAGGGATTGAAGCCAGTCGCGGAGCTGCGCTGGCAAATCCCGGCCGTTCTGGAAACGATGAAAATAGGCTCGTCATTCCCCACACCGGCGTGAGGCTGATACAAGATGTGGGGCCCAGAGTTCGATCTCGACAGTCCACGTTCTGGATTCGCATTGGACCAGCACAGCTCCAGCCTCGCAAGGCGCAGCATCTAGAGGCTGGGAGCTTCAGGAAGCTTCGTGGATTGTGCCAGGGACGGCGCCTGGAACGCTGTGGCAAGGTGGAGCCCTGTGCTTGCTTGGCCTATGATGATGGCGTCAGCGGGGTCGTCTGTGTGCCTGTCTGTTGCCTCAGAAGCTTCATTCCCTGTCGGGAAAGAGGGGCACGGGGACCCTGAGCTGCCACTTCCTTGCCCTTGCCGCGTGCGTCCGTCGTGCTTGTGCTGACGAGAGGGGCTACATAAGGCCTGCCTCTCCCTCTTCTTCTCTTCTTCAGCTACGCTCATCACTCTCCTGCACAACCAACTACTTCATCCAACAACCACCTTTCCAACCCACCAACACACACCTGACACCATGTCTTTCCACCTTTCTGCCGAGGACATCCGCATCGAGGACAACCACATCCTCAAGGCCCGCCTCCGCACCGAGAGCGGTGACTGGAACGATGCTGAGATCGACCTCAACAACCACCTGGGCAACCAGGACGGTGAGTTTAGCTCTGATGCAAGCTGAAGGTTGAGACCAAGATGCTAACCATTGCTCAGGCATGATCCACTGGGATGGCCGCGGTACGTAGCCTCAACATCCGATACCATCACTTCGAAGCCCAATCCGAGCACCAAGCTGCGTCGTACCTCTACAATGACCACAATTCTGACATACTGCAGACTTCTCCCACTCTGCCGAGAACGTCACCTTCTCGATCGAGGGTGGCGGTGAGGTTCCCGTCCTCCGCACCTTCCTCCGCTCCATCGACGGCGAGGAGTTCGCTCGTGACGTCAACCTTGCCGAGCGTATCCAGAACCAGGATGGCCACTTCGTCTACGGTAAGGATGCTGAGCCCAGTTGGACATTGAATGCCGGCTAACATTTGCTGCAGTCTAAACGACGTGCTCCCACCATGACCGAACCGGAGGGCTGAGAGATGCACTCGGAAATTGACGGCAATGGGAGAAGGATTGCATGCATGCTCTGGAAAACGACATGATATGGGTCCGAGGGCTGAGGTTTCCATAGCCTAGTCTGCATTACACGAAAACACATTATGGTTTAAATGCAATCGCGCCTCCGTGACATCGTGTCGTGTTCTGTGCCTCTAACCCCTCGTTACACGAACACCACTTCAAGCGGTGAACGAATAGCTCATGAAAATGGTGCCCTCCAGGTCGGTATCGTAATATTTCTCCGTCTCTCTGAAACCATGCCTCTTGTACAGCTTCAGAGCCCCTTGCATGCGCGGCAGCGTGTCAAGCAGCACTTCAGCATACCCCTGCTCTCGAGCCACTTCTATCGCCCGCTCGACAAGCGCGTTGCCAATCCCGAGCGACCGCCCCGTTGGCAATACATACAGCCGCTTGAACTCGCCAATGCGGCGCGCGCTGCGTTGCTGCTGCTGCGCTGACGCGTCATCGTCACCAGCCGCCGCTCTGAAAGCTCCAACACCATCCGTTATGTCACGCAAAGCGATGCACCCGACAGCCTCCTCTGTCTCCTCCCCATCGGCAGAATCGCTGAGCAGATACGCCAGCAATATCTCGCCGCCTTTCCCAGGCGCGTATTTCCCGGGCAAGGACGCCAGCTCCGACTCGAACGACTGGAAGGACAGGTCGATGGCTAGCCACGCAGCGTAGCCGCGAAAGAGGTCGGCGACCGTACGAAGCTCGGCTGGCGTGCGGGCGGGCCGCACGACGAAGGCGGGCCGCGTGCTGTCGCTCGGGGATGGCGCTGCGGGTGTCGTTGCGGGCGCGGGGGAGGAGGCGTTGAGGAAGTGGTCGGAGGAGGAGGGCGTGGGGGATGCCATTGCTTCGGCTGCTGGCTGCTGGCTCTGACGGCAGGCGGCGGCTTGAGAGAAGAGAGAGGTATGAGGGGAATGGAGGCGTGGGTGCTACATGCTGGGAGCTTTTTTCGGGCGTTGATGATAGTGAGTAACGGTTCCTGCGCGGGCGCGCCCTGTGACTCGAAGCCTGGAAGACCGCTGCTGCTGCTGCCCTCGGCTTCCCTTCCGCGGCGATCCCGCGGGGCTATCCCGCTCGCTACTTTTGCGTTTCACGGCTAGAACACCACTTCATCGCACTTTTCGCCATGGAACGAAGCTGCATCTTCAGCTGATGGCGCCTTCGACTCGAGCTCTGCCGGCGCGGCGCAGTGCAGCGCGGGGCAGCGGCTGGGTCGATCCCGCCCGCCGGCATCGGGCTGGCCGACGGACGCGCAAAAACGTCCGGGAAGCTCTGGCCAATCACGTCGCGAGTGCTCGTCTCGTGGGAAGCTCGCGTCCCTGACACTCCTAAAACTTCTGCTATCACTGCAATAGGAAGCTCAATATCCAGCACCCGTCCAATGGCAAGCTGTCAGCTGGTCTGATCATGCCTTTCGTTTCCCTGTCGATCGTATTCGCCGCGGGGGTTGGCGGCTGAAAGAAGCTGCAGGCTATCCCGGTCGTGAAGATGTCTTGAGTGCTATAAAAAGGGTTGCTTGTTGGGAGGGTTCAATTGTACCCTTCAGTGGTTCAGTTCGCTTTTTTGCAACTCTCACGATATGCTGACGACAGCTATCTCTTCCCCATCAGCAGCCCTGGCGCTGGGGCTGCTGCTACTCCAACCGCTAACCTCCGCCGCAACTCTTCCACTACACAAGAAAGCACCCAGCAACGATGCCACGGCCGCGGTCAACACGACCACCTGCAACGGCAACACCTACACCTACCGCGCCCTCGCCGGCTACGGCTCCGTCTCAGGCAGCGCCCGCGACAAGTTCGGCGACACGCTGGGCGGCCTGGGCAGTTCCATCGCCATCGAGCACGGCTCATGGAAACGCGAAACCAACGACAGCGACGGCACAGAACTCTACACCGGCATCCTCTGGGCGCTGCCCGACCGCGGCTGGAACACCAACGGCACGCTCAACTACAACCCGCGCGTGCACAAGCTGGGCATCAGTTTCTCCCCCGTGACTGCAGCAGCAGCGGATGGAAGTAGTGGTAGTGGCAGTGGTAGTGTCAGCAGCCCCCCGAACCTGCATCTCGAATACCTCGACACGGTGCTCTTCAGCGACCCGGCCGGCACGCCGGTCACGGGGCTCGATCCGGACTTCGCGGAGGTGCCGATAGAGTTTCCGGGTTTCCCCGCCATGCCGGTGGCCACGTACGAGGGGGATGGGTTTGGCGGGGAGGGGCCTGGCGGTAGGCGGGTGGCGGTGGATAGCGAAGGTCTCGTGCTCGGCCCTGATGGCGAGTTCTGGGTCAGCGACGAGTACGGGCCGTTCGTGTATCGGTTCTCGCGCGAGGGCAGGATGCTGGCTGCCATCAGGCCGCCCGAGGCGTACGTGCCGAGGAGGAATGGGAATGTGAGGTGAGTAGTGTGTGTGTGTGTGGCTTTGATCTTCTACTGTCGTCGCCAGGACTTCGCGGCCCTGGACTTTTTTTTTTTTTTTTTGAAGAGAGAGTACTGACAAAACACCAAGCTTCTCCGCCGCCTCCGCCCCCCTCTACGACCCAGACCGCGTGCCCGTCCCCGAAGACCCGACCTCCGGCCGCGCCAACAACCAGGGCTTCGAAGGCCTGACCGTGTCTCCCGACGGCTCGACCCTCTCCGTCCTCCTGCAGTCGGCCCTCATGCAGGACGGCGGCCAAGGCGGCAAGCAGACGCGCCGCCACGCCCGCCTGCTGCAATACGACATCACTGCCTTGTCCTCCTCCTCCTCTTCTCCCTCTTTCCCCCATCCCTCCTCTTCCTCATCCTCCTCCACAAACACCTCCTCCAACCCCCTCCCCAAAGCCGAATTCGTCGTCCCCCTCCCCACCTTCCCCAACGCCGACGGCAAAACCCGCGTCGCCGCCCAGAGCGAGCTCCTCGCCCTCAGCGCCACGCAGTTCCTCGTCCTGGCGCGCGACTCGAACGCCGGTCGCGCTGCCGAGAGCACCGAGAGCTTGTACCGGCACGTCGACGTGTTCGACGTCAGCGCCGCGACCGACGTCTTCGGCGACGACGACTCCGTCTCAGGCAGCGTCGCGGGCGCCGAGGACGGCGTGTTGGACGACGGTATCGCGCCGGCCGAGTATTGCGCTTGGTTGGATTTTAATGTCGGAGCGGAGTTGGCGCGGTTTGGGCTGCATAATGGGGGCGTGGATGATGAGGGGTTGATGAATGAGAAGTGGGAGAGTTTGGCGGTCGTGCCGGTGTTGGGGGAGGGCGGGGAGGAGGTCGAGGGCGAGTGGTGGGTTGTTAGTCTCAGTGATGACGATTTTATTACGCAGGACGGGTATATGGATGGGGGGGATTTCCTGTATAGTGATGAGAGTGGGGCGAGTTTGGATAATCAGGCGTTGGTGTTTAGGGTGGGGTTGGAGAAGGGGTTGAGGCCGGCGGGGTGGTGAGGGAGGCAAGGAGAGGTGGGGGAGGACAGACAGGGTTTGGGCTGTCGAGATAGTATGAGGAACCGGGAAATATGTTCGTAAGGGCGCCCTGGTCTGCTTAAAATTAGCATATATTGGATCTAGTTGTTGGTCACGTACTGCCGGTCTAGTCCTACTTCTTTAGTGGAAGCATCCTCTCTGAGAGTCTAGAACTTGTCTCAACTAATTTTTTACGGGTCACGCTGCAGCACTGGACACCGGATCCTTGTGTACTATGCCACCTAGTCCGATTGGTGAAGTGTTGTGAAAGGGTGTGAGCGTGTGGACCCTCCACTGCTCACTTGCGATCCAGTCATCGTTTAGATTATAGGCTTGAGAACCTAAAATCTGAATTGGTTGTAGACGGGTGTCATCGAGTGCTTGGTATGATCGGAGAGCAGGCGAATTGGAGAAGGCCTGGCCGCGGTGGTCGTGGTTTGGTCACTCCGAGGAAACTTGATGCTGGAAGCATGCTGTAGTCAGTTGTTCTTGCGGTACGGCATGTCGCTTGTACGTTTGGCTGATGGAGCTCATGAGTGCTGTAGTGAGGCGGCATTGCGCCTAGGCGTGGCGAAAAAGTTTGCTGCTTGGTGTGCTGTTGCTGAGCTGGTGGGTCGTGGCGAACTGCTGTCGCGATCCCGCGCAAGGCCCAGCTGTGGCAGACGTACAAGATGGAAAGTCAGCACGGGAATTGTAGAAGCGTCAATCCATGGTTTACGTCAAAGTTGTCGCGCTGCAGCTGGCGGGCCGTTGCGAAGGTCGTAGACGTCCAGCGGTCGCGACCATCAGCACCATGGCGAAGGTGTCGCGCGCGAGCAAGCAATGTCACCCCGTCGGCGGAAGCTACCCACCACGCAGCGCATGGATGAATAGCCAGCGCTGCGCAGAGTTTCCGTAGTGACGCCTGTGCCGTCCGGCTCTGTCTATGTTCTGGGCGAAGGCTCATCGCGACGGCCGCCGTAGTCGCACACGTCCATAACCACCAAGCCGATCGCAAAGATCCATCGCAACGTCAGATCCTGCCTCTCGACCGCCGGCTCAGCTAGGGCACTGCGTGTCTCAGCCCATTCGCGCTCACCGTGGGCGTGGCATCGAAGTGACGCGGCCGACCTTTCGCGACGCCCGACTTCAGATCTTCCAAGCAAAACACCAGCAGCAAAGAAAAACCAAAACCTTCCTCAAAGTCCAGCGCAGAGGCCAGAGCATCAACGAAAGAATGTTTTTTTGCTTGCCGAGCAAGTTGTACATGCCATCAAAAATTGTCCCGGTGCCATCGCCGAAGCGACTGCATGCATCCTTCCGCCACGCTGTGCAATGCAGGGAGGGATATCAGGCTTCCTTCCTCTTGATCAAGGACAGCCCCGAGTAGGTAAGTAAGTATGAAGAAGAAGAAGAAAAGAAGAGGAGAGGAGCGAAGAATGGACGAGTATTTATAGGCGAGGATCTGGGGGTTGATCTGGGGCGCAGATGATCGGGGTCTTGCGCTAAGCCTGTTTGGGGGGAGTTGATGGGCGGTGATGGACGTTCAGGGTTCGTCTGGCAGTGGCTCGGCCGCATTGGGCAGCCACTTCGCCACGGGGCCGTGGATATGAGGGCGGAGGCGACACGTGCGGGTGGTTTGAACTACGATTTGGAAGGTGCGTTCTGACTTTGAGCATGAAAGGCAGGACACGGCTGCTTCTTGCATGCCCAGGTGACGTTGAAGGCCATGGAAAGCATATTGATGACGCTGGACAATGGGTCACGCCGTAGTTCAGGTAGCGGCTTCCATGGTGGCTTCTTTAGCATGTGGCTAAGCTCTGGATGATACTGCATGTGATAGGCTGCAGCTGATACACCCATGGCAATTTTGGTAGGAAGATCTTGCTTCAGTGCTTCAGCGTCGACTACGGTGTTGAGGTGAGATCTCTTGGGAACGGCTGGCTAGATAGGTGAGTGATAGACGGGCATTTACTATACGAATGAAGTGATGCGCAGAATAAAATTATCAATTAAAGATAAAGTCTACGTAATGACTGTTGAGTCTGGATATTATAATGAGACTTTGCAAAGATTAGCACTGTGCATATAGAGCTGAACTGCGTGTCCCAGGCCTTTCTACTCGGATGATGCCAACATTGGCATTGGGTCAAGCACTCCATCCCTCCTACCTACGATATGACATCGCCCTCGGTGAAATAATTAGCGATTAGCGTAAATATGTAAGCTCATAGAAAAGGATTTCATCATGTGTGTTCTCCCCGCATATATCAAATCCATCTCCCTCACAGCAGCAGTATGGCTGCAAAACCTACTCCCCCCAGCATTGCACTGGCCTTCCACCCATCGAATCGAGTAACAGACCCAGCGTCAGTCGTAGCTGTGGCCGAAGTCGCTGCAGCGGTGCTCGAAGTTGCCGATGAGGAGCGTGAGGTGCTCTTTGTTGATGTCTTTGATGTTGACGATGTATGTGCCGTAGTCTTGGTGGACTTTGTTGAAGACACGCTCGACTCCTCTTTGCTTCTCGATTTCGTGCTTGTGGATGACTTGGTCGACATCTTTGTGCTCTCAGCCGTTACAGACGGCTCAGTGGTTGAGCTCTTTGATGTTTTGCTAGTTGGCTGCGGAGCTGGTTTGTCTGATTTTGTCGTACTGGATGTCCGAGGCGGCGACTGGAGTATCAGAGTGCTAGAGCTGCTTGTGGTCGGGCGGGATGTTGTCGTGGGCTGGATCTCGCTTGCCACGACATGCTTGCTGGACGACCGAGTAACTTTTGGCACATTGAGACTCTCCGCAGCTTCTACTTCCCACGGTGGGTCAAACATGCCGCTATCTGCGACTGGGAAACAAGACGTCCATTCGGGCTTTATCTCTCTTATGCGTGTAGGCATGGCGATCAAAGGGGTACATGGGTTATGAGGATACGGAGTCGTCGTTAGCGCGTCATATGCATCCGTCGGCCAAGGGATTGACGTAGTCGGGTTGGCAGGAAAGCTATAAGCACTCCCGGATGACCGAGGGCAGCCCTCAAGGTCAGACCAAGTCATAGGCAGTGTAGTTGTGTTCCAGAACATGGTCCAGTCTCCTTTCGTTATGCCAGCGACGGTGGAGGTTCTATTGATCAGCGTTGAGACCCATGTGATGGTGCTAACTTCGTCCGGCCCCAAGGCAACGCTGGTACTGACTGGGCTGCCGGTTGTGCGCGTCATGCCGTCGCAAGGGACCTCAGCGGAGAGGCCTTGAATGGAGAGCCAGACGCTTGACGGAGGGTAGCCGCTTGCGAACGAAAAATGGTATGTCGCTGCCTTCAGTTGACATCTCTCTGGACTGCAAGTGCTCGGTGGTGGAAGAGCAGGTATGAAAGAAGTGGTCATTGTGGAGAATGGTTTCGTCGTACTTGGTATCACTGTGACAGGTGGAACAGAGGGAGGGTTTGAAGTTGTCGGTGGTTCACTCGTCTCTTGAGTCGCACTTTCTGAACTGCTTGGAGGTGAAGGTATCGAGTGCCAGCTCTGAGGAGGAGGTGGTAGTTCGGTGAAAGAGAAACTGTTGGAGTGATGAGAATGGGGTGGCGGTAGTGGCGGAGATGGCATTGATGGTGCCCAAGGTGGTGTCCAAGGTGGTGTCCAAGATGGTGATGGGAACGTGATTGTAGGTAAAGGTATTGTATGGCTTGTTGTTGGTGCTGCGCTTGTCGGAGGGGGAGGTAAAAGTGGGTTTGTAGTGGATGGAGTATTTGTGATCGAAACCGGGGGTAGATTTGTGGGAATAGGTGTACTTGTGGTACTTGTAGTAGGAGGTGTGCTCGTGGCAAAGGTGATGGGCGTTGGGGTTGTCGTAGGATGTGTTGTAGGGAGGATGGGCGAAAAAGGCGTAGATGAGGTAGTGGGTGGTTGAGGGGTTGGAGAGGTGCCTGTATGGGCAGTTGAGTGCGGCTTGGTAGGTGATTGAGATGAAGTGGCTGATTCGGTTGGAGTGCTTATTGTAGGCACGGCTGGAATAGTTGTCGAAGTTGTGGATGGAGGTGGAATCGGTGTATTTGTCGGGTGTATGGTTGAAGTGCTGGTGATTGAACTGCTCATAGTCGGTGTGCTCGTGATTGAAGTGCTCGTGGAGGTTGTAGTTGGAATACTCGTAGAGTATGTGCTGGAAGTGGTTGGTGTTGAAGTGGATGACTGAGTTGTAGTAGTGCTTGTGGGTGGTTTTGAGGGTGAAGTACTTGTAGAGGTCGGGGAAGGAACGGGCGACGTGGTTGGAGTGCTGGTTGTAGGCGGAACTGGTGTAGAGGTTGTGGTGGTAGGGATTTCATACGTTGAAGGGGGTTTGTCAGTCGTTGTGGTGGATTTTATGGTCGTGCTCGAAGATGGAGAAGGGCACGTTGGCGGGTTAGAGGAGCTCGATATTGCTATGATGCTGGAAGTGGGTGGTTCTGTCGCTGTATGTGTGGTTTGGGGTGTGGATGTGGTGCTGTTCGTTGATGAGGTACATGTAGTATTCCATGGAGTGGAAATTGAAATCGAGATCTTAGTTGTGGTCTTGGTCGTAGTGGGAGTATTCGATTTCGTTATAGTATCCGGGGTTTGTGTCGTTTGTATGGTTGTTGAGGTCGAGGGTGGCGGCTTTGGGGTTGTCCAGTCCGATGAGCGAGTGCATGAAGAGCTGGTTATCGACATGCTTGTGGGTGGTGACCACGGTATTGTAGTGTTTGAACTTTTTGTATAGGTGCATGAGGCACTGCTTGAGTATTGGGATGTGCTGGATGTCGTAATGACACTCGAAGTTGACACCAACGTAGGAGATGTGATGAGAGAGGAGATGGACTGTGTGCTGCTGCTGGTGACTGGTGGATTTGATGATAGACACGTCGAAATGTAGACGGTGATGGTACTCGTTCGCTTTGATGTAGTCGAGATGGTGTGCCAGTGAGTGTAAGTGCAAGTGCTGGTTCTCACCATGGTGCCTTCAACGATGTACTTGAGACTTGTCAAGAGCTCAAATGCACCTGCGTCAAACTCATCTCTTTTCACTCGAGCCCATGCAGCTGGCGCCGAGTAGTTTGAGGGACTGCTCGAGGGAGATATCTCATCGCTGTTGTCGTTGGTACAGTTTCCCCACGAAGATTGGCACCCATCACCACAGAAATCTGGCCCCGAACCACTGGAATATAATTAGTAGCTGAGCGATATGCCGAGGAATGAAATTGCCTACCAGTGTCCATTTTTGGAACAGCATGTTCCATGGGGACAACGACGGTTACCGCCTTGCGGGCCGCAACAGGGCTCCTCGCTGGGGCCGGGAGTAGGGCTGTCGCTGTGAGACGTATTGCTCGTGTCTCTATTGCTTGTTTCGGTTCTGGTGTCACATGCTGTCTCAGTGAGCCGCTTCGCAAAAGGCCAGAACGTCCCTTACCTGGAAGACTGCGACAGTGTGGATGAAGACACAGAACGTGAAGGGCTGTCGCTCGGGTAAACGCTGGATGAGTTTTGTGTCGGGCTAATAGCGCGGCTCTCTGAGCTCGTGTGACCTGAAGTTAAAGTTTCTGCGGTCGTGGATCCGGAAGATGTGATACGCGTGGTGTTGGTCAAGTGAGTGGTGCAGCTAGACTCATGGCTGGTGTAGCTAAGCGAAGGGACGACGAAGGTGGTGCAGACATAACTCGTGATGTAGACGGTCTCGCAAGCATTGTCGAAGGCGTCTTCTCCGGGTCAGCCGGGGGCGTTCAAGCGTTGCGACAACAGATTGACAGCATTGCGGGGGATAGCTGCAACGTGGGGAGACTTACCTCGCGGAACGGGGGCCCTTGCATGCGATTGGCGGTTGTCAAAGGCCCCCGCAAGCGCGGCTGCGACAAGCAAAAGCGACGCCGCCAACTTCATCTCCTTGACCTCTCTTCAAATGACAGCGATAAGCGACGATAACGAACGGAAGTGACAGCAGGACGACGATCAGACATCGGCACCAGAAGCTGATGAGCCCCGGCCGGATCCCGCAATATGTAGGCAGCGCATCGGGTGGCATCATGCGCGCTGCACAAAGTTACGACACGGTTGCATCGTCGGGCCACTCGTGCAGCTCTGTGAGTCCGAGCCTCGCCCACTGACTCTCCGCCATTTTCGCTCAGCCTGACCTGCGCAGATGCGATGGCAGCCGGATTCCCCTGCCTTTCAGACGCCCCAGTTCCAGCAAACCGCACACCTGTGGGACGAATCCCACATCGCTGCATCTATGCGCACCCGCTGGAAGACCGCAAAATGAGCAGAAGACAGAACCGGGCGGACAGAGGAGATGAGGAGGCGAATGGCGCTGCCCACTTCCCCAAACGGGAACCTACTTGAAGCAAAGAGGCAGCTTGTCCTCTGCCACACCTTCCTCCGCCGACTGCTTCGGCTCTGCCTAGACCGGTCGCAGGATTCCCTTGGGACGCCGTCTGTGCACCCTACCCATGAGCCCTCAGCCTTCGCCCGACGTCACGTACATACGCAATAGTGCCGAGTCTATAACCGGACCCGATTGCTCTCACATTCTCTTCACGATCCGGCCCCGAGCTTGGCTTCCCGTCAGCGCAGGCTAAAAATGGAGCGAAAAGCATAAATAGCATCCCTGACCATGCCCACTGATGCACGTGCTGTGCCTGTCCAGGTCGCTCTCCCGCCAGGCAGTTTGCCCTTGGCAGCCCCGCTCTGCACGCAGGCTTGCTGCGACCTATGGACGAACGTTGAGTATCAGTGCCGCTGCACCACCCGAGATTTTTGTACCCCCTCGGACCACATTGCAGGGAGAGCTATCGAAAGCCCGCAGGGGTCATGGCTCAGCTTCTTTCCCTTTTATCCTTGGCCAACGGCCATCCGCTGCGCGCCACGGCAGCCTTGCCCTTCTTTGACCGATTTTTCCCTGACACCCCGCTCTGCTGCTTTATCGGATCCGGGCTGGCCCTATTGCCTGACGACTCTTCAGCCTTGCACTGAAAGCCGGGTGGGTTCCGTGCCCAATGCGACTGGCCTCTCAGGCCCGCCTTTTCATGTGGCTTCCCGCTCTGGCACTTCCCTAATTCTGCGTCTCTTCAAATGAAGTCAACCTGCTCTCGCTTACTTCACCCACAATGAAAGTCGCTGTCTTCAGCTTGCTTAGCCCTGCCATTTGGGCAAGTGGCCAGGCCCTTCAGTCTTATGAGATATCGGAAAGCCTACTTCAGCCTCGCGATACCAAGACTATTTTGGCTGCTCCGCTGAGTCTTTCGTACGTAACGCCTCAGATCCCATTACCATAACTGACGATCCATGGAGGCCTTCGCAGTATTGGGATGGCAACGATGGCCCATGGTATGTCTGAGTTCCCTTACAAAATTTCGGGAAACTTAAGGCCTTGTGCAGGACGTCATATGTACTTCGTCTCGGAGCACCAAATCCCGCAGAAGTTCGCCTCTTCCCATCGACCAAGTCTAACGTTATATGGGCTGTCGATCCAAAAGGCTGCCCAGATGGCTATTTCACGAGCAGTGACCCAAATAAAGAAACAGTCAAAGACTGTGAGAAGAATCGCGGCGGGGTTTTCGTTACGAATGACTCTGCGTCATGGCAAGACAAATCCATGTACTGGCTCCATGTTGACGAAGACCTTGGATACGAGAAGGCGAACGGCAACTTTGGGTTTGATCAGGTCGGACTCGATTATCTTGGGGCTGGTGGCACCATAGAGCATCAGGTTATCGCCACCATCGCGTATGAAGGATTTTGGTTTGGTGCCTTTCCTCTGAATCCCCGCCCATTTAACTTTACAGACATGAATGCTCCACAAACGAGTTTCCTCCAGTCATTGAAAGACAACAACAATATTTCCAGTCTGTCATGGGGATACACTGCAGGCGCAAAATATCGTAAGTTACACAAATTCTTGGTCTTGAATAATGCCTCGCTCAATCACATGTACTCGCAACCCCAATAATGCTGTAGGCTGTTTTAATTCTATAGTCTGCTTAGCACTCTGTTCAATTATCTTTCAATCAAGTGCTGACGCATCCAGGCTCGGATAATTTCTTCGGCAGCCTGGTTCTTGGTGGTTACGATAAGGCACGCTTCGACAACAAATCCCAAATTACAGTGGACTTCAATGCCGACGACGAGAAGGACCTGACAATTCGGGTGAACAACATCAGCACAAGTACTTCATCCGACCTCTTAACGTCTGAGTCATTGGATTATGTCATCGACTCGACTGTCCCATATCTCTATTTGCCAGAATCCTCGTACAAACTATTTGAAAAAAACTTTGGCCTGGAGTGGAACTCCAGCGTCGGACTATACCTGGTCAACGATACACACTATGACGATCTCGTCAAGCAAGATGCCGAGATAACCTTCAACGTTGGCACGACACACACTACCAAGATCGTGTTCCCAATCAAAGCCTTCTTGCTGACTGCAGGCTTTCCGCTGATCAGTGATGGTTCAACATCACGGTATTTCCCGATCAAACGAGCAAATGAGTCCATGACTCTCACTCTCGGTCGAGCCTTTCTCCAAGAATCTTACGTCGTCTACGACTACGAACGACGCCGCTTCACACTCGCGCCATGCACTTGGCCCACGGACACCGCCACCTCCCCGCCCTCTTCCCCCACAATCATCTACTCCGTCAACACCACCGAACCCGACGGCAGCTCCGATCCCAACGGTAGTAGCAGCGGCCTCTCCACCGGCGCGCTCATCGGCGCCGTCATCGGCGGCGTCGTCGCCGGCCTCCTCATCGCCACCCTAATCGCCTGCATCTGGCTCCGCCGCCGCCGCCGCCGCCGCTCCCAACGCGACTCCATCAGCAAAGCCGGTACCTCCTCCACCATCTTCCCCCCGCACACCCGCACCTCCTCCTCCGTCACGCTCCCCACCACCAACACCAGCACGCGCCCCCGCGCGGGGTCCCGCCTCACCTCCTGGCTCTTCCGCAACCCGTGGTCCGACGGCGAGGGAAGTATGGGCAGCGGTGGCAGCCCGTACGGCGGCGCAGAAATGCAGGTCATACCAGGCCACTTCGAGCTCTCGGTCGACCCGTCGGCGCCGACGCCGGCGGAACAGGCGGCGGGAGAACACAAGCGCCACCTCAGCAACGAGCTCGACGCCGAGGTCTGCGCCGTCCACGAGATGTACCAGCCGAAACAGGTGGTCCCCGAGATGCAGGGCGACGAGCCGTTTCCGACGTACGTCTCGGGTGATGGGGCTACTATCGAGGGCAATGTGTTGCGCGCGGCGCAGATGGAGGCGGTGAGGGAGAGGGATGAAGCACTGGAGGAGGAGGAGAGGAGGAGGCTTTTGGAGGGCAGGCCTGGTGCTGGGGTGTACGAGATGGATGCTTCGGCGGCGGCGAGGGGCTTCCCCCCGCTGGCTTCGTCGTCGTCGTCGTCGTCGGGCGTGGTGCCCCGGAGGCCGGAGGAGTCTCCGATGCCGAGTCCTGGACAGCTGGATGCGGTGGGGAGGAAGGCGAGGGAGGAGCAGCAGAGACTGGAGGCGGAGAGGGCGGAGGCGGAGAGGGTTAGGCAGAGCGGTGGTCGTGGTGGCAATGGTTTGGGCTTGATTGAGGGCGTGGAAGGCATGTCGCCGCCGTTGTTACCGGCTGCTGCTACTGCTCCGAATAGCGCTGCTGTGGGCCGCCCGGGTACGGAGAGGAGAGTCAGTGATTTGAGTCCGATCAGCGAGGACAGCGCGTTCGTGACGCCGAGTCCGACGAGCACGTTCAGACCGGATGCGGGTAGTAGGAGGGTGAGCAGGGATTAGAGGGAGGTGTTTCTGCATTCTGTCGTGCGTTCAGCATTTTTCTTGATTTCCTTTGCTTTGCAAGCGATTTAATATGGCGGATATCACGGTTGAGCAGGATTACATTAATACCGTAGTTCGCTTCAAAGCATCTTCATTAGACCATATATTCACTGCAGTTCACCTGTGTGAACAAGCGTGCTCGGCTACATGGTTGATGGCAGCCTCAGGCTCGGACTAGCCGACATCCTCGGTACTTTGCACTCGCAGCGAAGAGTGGCAGCTGCGACGTTCGACGTTGACGCAGCGCGCTATTTCCAGCCGGGTCTCGAACGGCCGCCTCTTTTTTCGTCAGCCCCGCCCATCATGCGTGTGATTTCTGCACGCGCAGCAGCCATCCGTTGAAGCCACTGTTTTTTCCGTCTCAGAAACGCCACAACTCTCTCGACGCGACAACTAGGCTTTGGTGTTTCGAGCATAACCCGCCAATCCCCACCCGCCGCGTCACGGCTTTTCGTTTCGGCGAACATACGGTGTGACAAGAGGTTAAAAAAAAACAAAGCCAGTAATTTTATTTCTTTCTTTATACTCGCGGATTGAGAGAATGAAGGTGGTGGTTGGGTTTATTTAGCTCGCGCGGGCGGTGGGGCGGCAACGGCATGTGTCGGCTGGTGGGTGGGTGGGTTTGTGTGTGAAGCCGGGGGAGGCACAGGGCTACACACAGGAAAGCTCGCCCTCTTTTCCGACCAGTCCGCTTCCCGCACGCAGCCACCGTCGAACGTCTGAACGAAAGGTATGCGTTCAGTATGCATTGGGGCGGAGGGGGGGACCCGCACGCGCCACGCCCCCACTCGCTCGCTCGGTCGTCAGCTTGTGTGTGTGTGTGTGTGTGTGCCGCAATGGATTGTCAGCTTGGCTGGCCTAGCTGGCTGCGCTGCGCTGCTGCTGCTCGCTCCCGCTGCGGCTTACCACCTGTGCTTACCCGAAGCGCTGAAAGCTACTCTCGTTCGACGACTGGAAGAGCGCTACTCTGCCGCCGGTTGGGCTCGCGAATTTTGCTTCGTTCGGTCTTGGAGGGAAGAGCGAAGACGCTTTTCCGTAGCGCTGCTGCTGCTCCCGGGCGCGCTCCACACAACCCGACAGTCTGTCTCTTCCCCCTCGTAATTTGCCCACACAACAGACTATCGAAGTCCCGACCGACCGACCGGCCGGGCCCCGTGGAAATGAAAAACAAAAAAAGACGGACGCGCCAGGACGCTCGCAGCCATCGTACATGCGGGTGCCGCAAAAAAACGCAAAAACGCTTTCCCTCTCTCCTCGCTACGCGCGCCTCTCTAAACCGCATCCGGAGCCCTGCGTGCAAGCTCGAACATCTGGGATTTGTGCAGACAGGGCCACCATGCGGGACTTGCGCTGCTGCTCTCTGGTTTGCTTTTCCTTTCCAGTCAGCGGATAAGCTGAGAGGCTTACTTACCGTGCGCCATAGCTCGTGTGTGTGGCTGGGGTTGCGTTTTTTTTGGGGGCTGGGAAGAGAAAGAGAGATCACGGGGACGACCGGGATCGGGTGCATGACCGCCCCGGGAACGGGAACGGGAGCGGGAGCGGGAGGCACATGCAGCAGCTGCTGAGAGGGTGTGCGTGTGTGGGGACCTGCTATTCGAGAAAGGCCAGCTGCAGGAAAGAAGTCGTCGAGATGGGAAAGATGATGGCAAGTCGGGTGGGCATATTCTCGTGAGTGGGCGGTGCGACGGGGTGGATGCGGGAGACGCGGGAGAAGATTCTTTGCGGCGTATGAAGTTGGGGCTGCGGTGCGGCGCGGTTGGTTGTGTTGTGTGCGGTGCTGTGCTGCACCTTGTTGGTGTACGTGCGACTTGGCTTCTCATGGCTGGCGGCGGATGAGGCGGCTGCTCTCCTTTCACCCCGCGGCCTCCGGATCGCTGATGAGAAAGGCCAAGTCAAGCCTCGACGGCTAGGGCGCGTGCGAGAATAAAAAATGGTGAGTCTTCTCTGTCATCTAGGCTGTGCCGTAGCCTGTACCGGCAGTAGCTGCTTGGGGGGGGCGCCATGCCGGAAAAGCCATCAGCTGCAGGTGACGATAAACAACACCAAAGGGGAGCCTCTTGTTCGAGCAGGCTGCATGAAGGTCGAACGTCTACGCCTTTGTCCTAGTTACGCAAAGGCAATTGCATCGACAGTAGCCTGGCACTCTACTCGGTTTGGCAAGGGCTAGGAGCCAGCCATGCACGACCTAGCGAGCGAATCCAGTCGGGCCAAGCCATCACACACTTGTGATATCGCGACACCATGGGCTGAATCATCCAATGCACGTCGAGGTGCGAGAAAACCGGTGCTCGTTGCAGTAACACCAAACCCGCCAGCATCGCACCAGATAGCTATTGATTGGCCGGCCCGCCTGCACGCTCTCTGTCTTGGCCGCACACAGCGCCCGCAACTTCGAACGTCTAAATAGGACTGATAGCTGCATATCAGGAAGCGGGGGTGGTGTCAGGTCAACAACGGTTGCACAAGAAAGCCGGGCCCTTGTCACAGCACGACGGGGACTTTTCTGCCTCTCGTCCGTAAAACAAAGAAAAAGCCGCGTCACCGCAGGGCCATCACAATAGTGGTCTGATGGCCGGAAGAACCAAGCCAGCCAGCCGAGTCTCACAAGCAACGCCGCTGCTGCCTTCTCTTCTCTCTCTCTCTCCCCTGTGGCGCGGCGCGGCGCGGGCAGCAGTGGTGGTGGCGGCAACAGCAGCATTCAGTAGTGGTTAGCAAGAATTCCGACGGGACGGGTGGGCGGCGCAGGCGGCGTGTGGTGGACCAGCCAACCAACGGCCACAGCGCTCTCTCCCTCACAGGACACCCCATTTCGCTCGCTGGCCGCGCTCACCGCGCGCGGCCCGCCGGATTTCTTTCGCGAGCCGCGGATGCCGCACGACGTTCGAAGTTGCAAGCACTCCTCTTCTTACGTCGCCCGTCTGGTCCCTTTTTTCTTCGCCGGCGGCCGGCCGTCGGCCGCGGCCGCCGTCGCGGGGGGCGCGCGGGCGCACAACCTAGAGAGAGGCAAGGCAAAGCAAGGCAAGTCACGGTACCTTACCTACCTAACGTCGCGTTTTTTTTTTCTTGTCGCCGAGGCCAAGACGCCGGCCGGTTGCCGTTGGTTGGATTGGTGGGCTGACGTACAGGAGTAGGAAGGAAGCGAAATACCCGACGACAGGACGCAAGGTAGAACATAGCATATGTAAGGCAAAAAGTAGGCAAATGCAAAAAACAGGGCAAACGGACGGCTAGAAGCAGGCAAATGCCCTCGGTGTGAGGCAACCCGTTGCCTCAAGAGTAGTAGTAGCAGGCAAGCGGGACAAAAGGCAAGGGATCATACTCTCGCGCACCCGAGGATGGGAGCAGCAGCAGAGTTGTTCCAGCCCTTCCTTGCGCGGCGCGTCGCGCCCAGAGACTTTAATTCTTCAACTTCGAACGTCTGGACGGTTGCTTGGCTGCTCGTCGTGCCGGGTCTAGAGTTTCTTGGGAGGCGTGGAGGCGTTGCTTGTGCCGGGTGCGTTCCATGGTTTGTTTGCCACGACGATTGGGGTGGCCCCGGCCGAGAGATGGGAGCTGCCGCAACAGCAACGACGACCGAAAATGTTGGGTAAGCTGTCCGCGCGTTCGCCTCGGCGATTAGAGCAACCAGCTCGGACCTCCCGAGTTTTGAAGTTGCTCTGAAACTACAACTGGCGGGTTTCTGGAAGCTCTCTGGACGCAGATTTCGTACCGTGGATGGGCATCGTGAGGCCAAGGAAAAAATGTCAGTGTTTTGACGTCTGCCACGACGCTAGACCGACCGTCCATCTTTCCCGCGCTTTCTCTTCTTACTCGTAGGTGAAACAAGTTCCCCTTCGAACCGCTCGGCCTTCAAGTCTCGGTCTCCGACCCTTTCCAACGCGTCTGCAAATTTTTAGTCCAACGTCGAACGTCTGAAGCACTGCTTGGCTGTCGGTTAAGCGGCCCAGACTTCATTTTGGTCGATGTCTGCGCGGCCGTTTTCTCGTCGACCCGTCCTGCTGGTTTTCCAGACGGCCCTTCCCTCGCACCACTTCTATCTGCTGGGATCGTGGTGCTGATCATCCATCGGCTAAAGCGCAAAGTCAGAGCCGCCTCAGCCCTACGAGCCGCTGTGTATGTACATGCGCACGTACGTTCTTTGCTCACGGTGCAACGAAGAAGTTTGATCTCATGGGGCCCTGGCCGTGACTCCTGCTCAACCGTTCGGAGTCCATCATATGCCTTCCGCACTGCCCTTCTGAGAAGCATATAAGTTGCACTTCGATATACAGAGTCTACAACACCACTCCCGGAATCGTCTCCGAGGAAATGGCACAACTCCGAGCCCGACCACGACAATAGCCGAGCCGATATCGCCCGAGCCAAGGCATTCCAAGCACATCCCCGGGCCGATCTCCCTAAAGCCACTTTCCTCGCGGGACGGAGAGTACCTTTTTCTCCCTTTGCCTGCGGAGCACACGTGGGCTGAGAGTGGATCTGATAAGATTTTCGGTGCGTCAACAAAACGTGCGCAAGCGGACGCACATCTCCGTCGCTAGTTGTAAAAATATGCATTTAGCTGCAAATGGGTATCTCCGCCGTTGCCAAGCTATGCCCGTCGTCAGAGTTTGACTCGTGCATACGGTGTAAAAGCATGCAGGAAAAGCGCCAGGATGGCGGGAGAGATGCCTTTAAAGTCGGATTGATGGTATCTTCTCCACTTCAGCGGCTTCTGGGGGCCTGGAGACTTCGTGTGGAGATGCAGCGTCTGATGAATCCTGGTCATGACCCGCTCCTGGTCCGGCCAACGATGAGTGGGTTATTAGTGGTTGTCACCGTAGCTTCGGGTGTAAACCGAGCTGAACCGACTCCACGCGAGGGAATGGGTGGGGACGGTGTTGATGGGACGTCCCGTCGGTGGGTAAAAGGCTTTAAAAGCCAATCCCCCACTCATCTAATCTGATCACTATACCTTTTCCCTTTCCTATTCCAATCCCCCTCCTGTTCCTCGCGCCGCCCAGCAGGTGGAAGAAGAAGACGCCATGAACGCCAGCAGTTCTCCGACAGAGCGCAATGCCGCCGTGGAGGAGAAGACCGGGGACGTGGTCGGCGTGGCTGCGGTGAACGATGGCAGCAGCGGAGGCGATGCGGCGTCGGTGCGGACGGCGGGTGGCCGAAGCACGCATGTCCCGCTGCGCATGAAGATCATCTCGGTCCTGCTCGTGACGGCGATTGGGTTCGGCTCGCATTGGAGCAGCGGCGTGACGGGCGCGATGAAGAGTACGCTGAAGAAGGTACGGGGCGATGCTGCTCTCGGATTTTGCGTGAGAAGAGCGGGCTGTGGGCTGACTGATGGAATTGCAGAAACTGCACATCAACAATGCGCAGTACGCGGTGCTGGAGGCTAGCGAGGACTTCATGGTGACGGCGTTGATCCTGGTGAGCGGGTTGGTGACGGATCGGATTGGTGGTGCTGGTCAGTTTTGCGCTCAACTCCACGGAGATGCTTGACGGGGTTTACTGACCCAAAACAGGTGCCATGCTCTGGGGCAATGCCATTTACAGCGTCGGAGCCATTCTCATCGCAGCAGCCACGACGGTCCGCAACTACAAGTTCATGATCTTCGGCGTCGTGGTGCAGTCGTTCGGCGACATCGCCACGCAGGTCGCGCAGTACAAAGTCTTCAGCTCCTGGTTCGCGCCGTCCAACGGCTTCGCGTCGACGCTCGGCTTCGAGCTGGGAATCGGAAAGATCGGGTCCTTCGTGGGCAAGGCGACGGCCAACGTCATCGCGAAGAAGACGGGCGACTTCAGCTGGGTGTACTGGACGGCCGTCTTCATGAACCTGTTCACCAACGCCGCCACGCTGGTCTTCTGGTTCTTCACGCGCTGGTGCGAGCGGCGCTTCGCGGGCAAGGCGGACCCGGCGACGGGCGAGGCGCTGACGGAGAAGAACAAGAAGTTCGAGGTCGGCAAGATGCTGCGCCTGCCGTGGCCCTTCTGGGGCATCATCTTCTTCTCGCTCTTCCAGACCAGCACCGCCGTCGTGTACTCCTCCAACGCCACCGAGCTCGCTGAGCAGCGCTTCAACATCGACGCCGTCACTGCTGGTTGGTACAGCGCCATGAGCCAATACCTCGGCTTCTTCCTCGTCCCGTTCATCGGCATCTTCGTCGACCTGCTCGGCAACCGCCTGACGCTGATGCTCATCTGCGGCCTGGGGATGCTGCTGTCCATGTGTCTTGCGGCCTGGGGCCCGTCGATCGGTGGCACCGCCGCGTCGTTTGGTATCTACGCTGTCGCCTTCCTTTTCGGTCCAACCGTCATCATCGACGGCATCCGCACCTCCATGTGGTACCAGGAGGTCTTCGGCGCCGGCTACGCCGTCAAGATCGCCGTCAACAACAGCATGAACATCATCGTGCGTATCGTTGCTGGTGTCATCCAGGACCGCGACAACGACAGCTACGACAACGTCGTCATCATCTACGTCGTTCTCGCTGCCGGATCTGTGGTTGTGGCGGCGTCGCTGTTCACCTACGGCTTCTTCAACGTCGATCTGGGCAGACTGCAGTGGACTAAGAAGCAGCGCTTGGCCAATGGCGAAGTCATCAACCGCCGCCGCGACGAGTTTGACAGCGGTGAGGAGGGCGCGAGGAACAGGAGGATTAGTATGGGTTTCTTTGTCTTTTTGATGTTCTTGATTGTGGGCGCTTGGGTGGCGTATTTCTGGGGCGTTGCTACTGGTAATAACTATTAGATGGGGGTTCTGGGGGGCGAATTGATCGGGAAGGAAAAAAAAAGAAGAGTAATGGAGGGCGAGAAAATAAATAAGAGTCTGCTGAGGAATCCGACATAACAGCTCAGCTTTGCCAGCGAACCTCTGTAACAAAAGCATTGATTACTTGAAATGCACAACTAGTCTTAATATGGTTGGGATGATAGTTCGTTTGGAATGAACAGACTGACATGAAGTTCATCTCAACACCACCGGACCATGCTCGGAGAAGACGCGGAATTTCACGCCTTTTGTCCGTAAGTCGTGAATTTTCTGAACTGTAAACGCATACTGGATTTGCGACGTTCGACGTTGGACATGCAGCGGAACTGATCTCCTTCCCCACAAATTCAACTTTTTTTCTGATCTACCCCCGCACCGTCTCCCGCTCTTTGTTTATCGCTTGACATTACCATTTTCGGAGCTATGCCATGGGAGCAGAGGCCTCAGGGAAAAAGAAAACAACAACAAGGTATACTTGACCACTTATGATTCGCATCGGCAAGACTCTCGATGTAACTGCGGTCAGCCTCAGGAATTTAGCCGACGTATGCAGCCCCGAGTCAACAAATGCGCCGACAGCCGCCTTACACCTCCATTTTCCTGGCCTGCCCGACAATTGCCGACCATCGCATCGCCCAACGCCCGTCTACCGCCGGCAAAAGCACTTGCGACGTTCGACCTTGGGATGCATTGGAACTTCCGCCAAGTAGCTTATCTAGCCACTCCTTTTCAATGCACACTCGTTTACCCCGGTCGTTTTTTCTTCTTGCTCATCACATGAGGTTATGTATACCGGCTTCCGCTCTCATCACACCACGCAACACACCGAGGCAATCCCGAAATCTCCGTTGGTCGGCCGACAAAGCACCAGAAGATGCGCGACGGTCGCCCGAACAATTGCGACGTTCGAAGTTGCGCTCGCATTGTTTTTCCGGCGGCGGGATGGCTGTGGGGGTGGAAGGGTCACGAGTGTTGTTGCTAATTCGGGGGTTGATGGATTTCGTCCCTTGTTTCTTCGTAACACGACGCCAATTTTTTATGCATGTTGGACTCGTGCCATCGTCTGTTGGATCATGACTCACCCGCTGGATGGCTGACCTTTGTTGAGGCGACAGCGCTTTTGGTTCGCCCTGCGCGCTAATGAGCTTGGCCACTTCTGAGGAATGACTTCAGTAGGCGAAAAGGGGTAGTGATTCATTTTCTTCTTTTTTTCCTCACGAGAAAATGCATGTATATCTTGATCACTGCAACTATGACGCAGCCCGCTAGCGCAGCTTTTATCGCATGGCATATTTAGAGTTGGTGGGTGATTAACGGGAGAAGGCTAGGTGGTCTTGTACGGAGCACCCTCTCACCAAACATGGCTAGAGCTGGCAAGTGCTTGCGCTTATTGCAACATTCTTTGTGAGTACTAAAGCTTCCGTTCACTAGAGGCAAGGTACAACTCCTTGGTGCGGAATGAGACAAGTAAGAGTGTCGCAGTGTTGCAAGTAGTCTCCTCAGAATCGCTGGCACCATACTGAGCTTGCATACAGAAACGCGCGTACTTGTGCTGGTTCATAAACGCACCTGAGGAAAAGAAAGAAAAAGGTGAAGGGGCAGAAAACGCAATTAGGCTATAGTCCAGCAGGACCAAGGGGCCTACATGCATTCCTCTAGCGAGCGTAACCATTGCGATTGCAGCTGACTAGGGAATCGGGGGATTCGGGTCGGGTGATTAATCAAACCCCCCCGAATATCGCAACACGACTACAAATCCTCCTGGCGAAGAAGGGGCAGTAGAACCGGAAATCCGGCAGCCAACGGAGGCGCAGTCATCCAGCTTAGACGCCCCCTGTCGCGCATTCTCATCAACAACCACGAGTTGCACGCTTCGCAAACAGCACACCCCTCATGCGGTCGGAGGGCTCAGGAGTGCTGACAGTGCCAGGAGAGGTTTGGGGGAGAAGATGCTTGTTAAGCGCGTTAAGCGCAGATACTGAACGAATTTGGCCGACGTTCGAGGATAGAGCGGTGCTGCAGGGGACCCAGCGAGGCGTGCCGTTTGGCGAGCAACTTCGAACGTCGCAACTTGTGAACGAAAAATTGGGTTGCAGCAAAATGCGGCGCCCTGAAGGGGCAACCGACGTTTATGCGGGGCCCCTCCGACCTTTCGCCGGCCATGCCGCTTCTTCCTTTTCATGACACGGCCATTAGACATGACGGTTGGAGACGAAGCTTGGACGGCTGGAATATGGCGTGTTCGGCGAGGACCCTGACTCACGGCCGGGGTCTACAGGGCTGATTGCGGGATGCTGAGAATTGCATAAGTCACGAGCATAGCCGCTCTGATTCAGTCCCGTAGCCATATCGCGGCGAGCCGTCAGCAACACGCCAACGCATCTCGGCTCATGACCCGAGCAGTCGTGCGACCTGATGCACGAGAACACGAACGAGGCCAGCAGCAGCTCACGTTCGGACGTCGCGACATGATTCGAATCTGCCATTCTCGCTGACACACAGTCGGTCGGCGACTCGTCGGGAAAGCAGCGTGCGGATCCCTGGCGTATTCGCCTCCGACATGTACGATATGTATCAGCTAGGCAGCCAGTCACCGTTAAACAGATGTGGCGAGTCGCCTGCAGCCACAGGCACACAGCACAGCCATGCGCTGCCGGCTGGTTCCAAACCATGTATGCGAGCAGCGGTTCTCCCTGTGTTCGCCACGAGCCCGCACACGATCATCACGGAAAGTGACGTCATCCCGCGATGCCAGTTGCGCTCGTTGCGTACCTCTCCTGCCAAAGCGCGAAGTCCCTGCAGCGGCAATCAAACAGTTATTTGCTCCCTTTCATCACTCTCGCGCGGCCACGGGGCAGCGGCGTCAAAGGTCGAACGTCGCGCATGAATCGGCCTGGTGGGAACATGGCAGCTGCTGAGTCGCCGTGCTGGAGACCCATGACGTCGCGCGGCCTCTGCTCTTGCAAAATAGGCCAGGCTCTCGTTTCCCTGATCCCCACGCCGGCAAGGATCAATTACGTTGGATGGGACCACGAACAGGACCCTACCCACTTTCCAACCCACCTACCCTCCCCCCTCATTGTTTGCTCGCCTGTGCCGTCCCGCTTTGCTCGCAACTTCAGACGTCGCAAATGAATCGATCAAGATCGTGGCGATTCCTCGATTTGCCCCCCAGCGCGTTACACAGATCGTCACAGGCCGAATGCATGCATGCTCGTCGGCCTGGTACGCTTGCGGTCAAGCTGCATTCTTTTTCCCCACACAACGCCCCGCCAAGGCCCAGCTCTACGACAGCCCGTGTCAGAAAAGTAAAGAGTGTCAAAAACACCGATTCGCCTCGTCGTCCGTCCTTTGCCACGCGACAATCCGCCTCCATAGGGCTGTAGGGCTTAGGGCGGGATGGTGATCAGCGTGGAGATAGGCTCTCGTGACGTCAAAAGGGCATGGTTCCACAGCTTCTCGCCCCTTTTACGAGGGCGTTTGCCCCCGCTCATCGCATTTTTCCCTCGCAGGTCCAGAAGTCCATCCATGTCCCAACAGGCATTTTGCGCACCCGCCGCAAAAAAGCCTACCCCTTGCCGAAAGCGTGCGGGAAAGCTGCACAGCAACCCTGAAGCGGTAAGATAACCGCAACTTCCGACACAGAGCACGACTCGCGCTAGCTGCGGCATCCTAGGTAAATGAGAACCGCTTATCTGACGTGCAAACAGAAAACACACGCACATGCTGATCTGCTTTTTTGATCAACCGACGCCCCAAATCTAGAACTGGGGGATTGCGGGACCTCGCCACTTTCGGAAGCAAGACCGCAACTTCGAACGAGGGAATGAGTCGTCCTGATGTCTTCTTCTACGCCCTTGCGTTGCGCACTCCCTTATTCCCTGGCCAGTGCAGCCCGTTATTAGAGGCTGCTTGTTATTTCCGGGCGGGGTGGTCGTGTGGAGACAATGGCGGTGCGAAGCGCCACCGGTCCCTGCCTTGCCACACTCACCCTTCACGTCCTTTCATCAATTTACTGGAGATGATAGGCCTTTCTTCGCCTCACATCTCTCCTACGAGATGGCATTGGTTGGCCGCTTCATTCCTTCCTCCTCATCCACTCTCATTGGGACAGTCAGCCTGCCTCGCCACTTCCTACCCACATTTACTCTCCTCCTTCCTCCCCCTTCATTCCTCGCCTTCCCTGCATCGCCACCGTATCTCCCTCAAACCCTCATCCCAGTCCGTGGTGGAGACGGGCGGTGCTCGGGACTCTCCTGAGCGCGTGAGCGCCTCTTCTGCTGTGATGTCCCCTGCATGAAAGCCCCCTCGTCTCCGCAGCTATTTCCCCAAATACGTCCTCTCATTCGTGGACAGTCCCATGGTGCGGCAGTAGGCCCGCCGGCAAACAGTGGAGTACAGCTAAGCTGAAGCGGGGCGGCAAGTCCGGCGAAGAAGCAAGCAAGCACCCCACCGCCACATTGTTGTACCGCGTGCTGACACTTGCTCCTCCTCCCCACATGCAGGCATTGGGACGCATGATATGCATGCACTGCTCCATCTTTCGCTCTCTTCCGAACCGGCGTATGTCCGTGGGCCGCCCGCGTATTGCATTTGTGGGAATTCGGTTAGAAAAAAACGTCGCTAAAGGGGGGGAGGCTCGCTGTGAGATCGCTGATCTCCCAACCGATCGTCAGATGTGGCGGCGCAGGCAGGCTCTCATCACTTACTGGTCTGGTGAAGACGGCCGCCTCCCCGACGCGTGGCTGAAGCAAGCACTAGTACTTCGCTCTGGCCAGAGCAGGGCCGACGCGGACACGAGGCAAAACCGAGGATCTTCTCAATGCGGTAAGGGTTGCGCGAATGCGGCGGTAGGATGCCGGCTCGCGGAAAAAGAGTGAGAGCGTCCGCGCTGTCTGTCTGTCGACGACCGCCGGGCGTCATCAGGCAAGGAACGTCGCAGCGGATGGTCAGTGACGCGCTGCAGCAGTGGCAGTGATCTTCGTCCCGTGATCACCGGTTGTTGATGAGCGGCCGTCCTGGCGTCTTTCGCGTCTTTCCCGAGGCTGTTTCTGCGCATGGTTGAGCCGCGGGTTGCGGCCGCAGGCTGACGGGGGACGTGCTCGCGGCTCATCAACACCATGCTGATGAAGACGCGCGGCGCGGTTAGGGCGGGACGCGAGCCGAGCCGCGTCAAGGCGGACTTGAACTAAGATTTCGGAGGCGCTGGAGAGCGAGCTACGGTAAGGCGTGCGCCGAGGATGAGCACTTCGCAAGACCTTGCCGTCGTAATGGCGGCTTCGCTGAGAGGACGCGGTGCTCAGTCGCAACACCAGAAACAGAGCATCGCGATGCTCGTCGATCCTGCGGCGCTACCAGAGGCTGGGCGCAGGCCAGACAAACGCGGCAGACGGGCGCAGCGAGCGCCTCTTTGTCTCTAGCTGCCCGCGTTGTCAGTCGGCTCTGCTCCGTTGCTGTCACTTCCTCTTCTCTTTTTTTTTCTTCTTCTTCCTCAAGGACCTGCTCAAGGCAGATCGCTCAACGAAAAAGAAAGACCATTCGCGTCAGCCTCAGGCAGTGCAATAGAGGCGACACTGTGGTCTATGACGATGAGCGGAGCTCAGAGCGCCACGAGACCAGGTGCCAAAAACTAGTTTAATCAAAAGAGCAAATCCCGCGTAGGGACGTTCTAGAGATTAAACTAAAAAGAACAGCTACTTCACTTGATCTAAGCCAAAAGGCAAAGAGAGCTGAAGAAGAAAAAAGAGGAGTTGGGGCCGCTGGTCGAGGGCTATTTGTAGGCGCGCCAAGCCCCCGGCGTTGGTTGTTGGCAGCTGCTGCCCGTGGTTGTGCGGGTGATGGGTGGGGCTGTCGCGTGGGTGCTTGTTTGGGTAGGCGTGTGGTGTTTGTGATGGCCGGCCGAACGCGTGCGTGCGGCTGGCCGCGCCTCTCCTTCTGCTTTGTTCGTGGCCCGCCCGCGCTTCTGGAAGGCGCGGCTGCTACCCGCTTCCATGGCTGACCGCTTGTCCGGTCTTCTGCTTGAGGCTCTGGCGGAGACTTGCAGCGGCGCATGACATGCGGCCTTCCGCGTGAGCGTCCGCGCTGTCACTGAAGCGGATCTGTCTGGCGGCGGAAGAGGAAGCAACACCAGGCTGTCCTGCATCGTGATCGGCAGCAGGCTCAACGGTTCGCGTGACGGCACCGTCATTGCGGCCGATCGGGTCACTTCGTCGGTCGGTGTTCGCCCAGCGCGCGATATTCGCCACTGCGGGGAATGAGTGGAGACTCGCCACCAACACTGATACATCTTTGACGCAAGAACGTGCGCATCGGCACTCGCGTCAGCCTGGCGAAGTTGAGCCATGCTAACGTACCTGATCAGCGTGTTTCTTGCCACTACACGCGTCCCTTTTGCTGCTCGGTGCCCGCCGCCGTCGCCGTCCTCCATGCTGTCTTCCGCCCAGACTGTTCTTCGTTGTAACAACCGGTCGCGCTCCGCCCTACTCGCTCTACGAACCCATTGACAGACACCCATCTCGCCGTACATGCTACTCATCAGCAAGGGAAGGTCCTCCCTCATGCTGCAGTCGTTGCAGTCGTAGCCGTCGTCGCCGCCGCCGCCGCCGCCGCCCCAACAACACCCACACGCACCGCACACTGCGCCCGAACGCTGGACCTTTGCCGAGAAACTTTTCAAGTTGAAACAACGCTCCTGTTGCTACCACTCCTGACGATTGCGGCCCTTGCGACATCTGACATACTACTGCTGCACACTGTCGTTGCTGCGCCTCTGTCTCGGAAACTTCCTCCCCAATATCTTTTCCGTCTTTGTCCGCGATTCCTGGAAAGCGCTGGCGGCCTTGTACCTTTTAGTGCTAGAGTCTGCTTGGATTACAAGCGCGACGTGCCGTTTGTGGGCTGACATCCTGTGTGTGCATTCCCGGAGGTGGGTCGAACTTACTGACTCCATGGATTCCTTTGTCCTTGTCAGCCAGTACCAGTTGAACAAACCATCGCCTACTTTGTTCTCTGAACCCTCTCTGTTTTCTCCGACTCCTTGTGGACCCGCGCGGCTCCAGGTAGGTGTGACCAGCGAAAGCGTTGTCTCCTCTTATGACCTGCGCACCGACGAATCACCACTGGCTTTCCGAGAGGCTCGAATGCGAATACGATGGTGCCCGCGGTAAGGCTATTGAGCTATAACGATTCGTGTGCAGCTGACAAATGGACAAGAACTTGGCGTTGAAACAAAGTTTAGTTAGCTGATAGGCGATATTCGAGAATCGGACTTCTTGAGTCAGGAGTGCACGCCGGACGACTCTGCGTACGCACTCCCCTCTCTCGCGGCCACAAGCCCCACACACACTAAGGCAGCACTTGCTTCAACAAGAAATGGTGGGGTGCGATGATGGAAGGTCGCAGTCTCCGAGTGGTCTCGATGATTTGGAGGTGAGAGGAAGTCGTGGCCTGGTGGGCCGTGCGCACAACGTCCATTGAGAGAACTTGCACGCGTAAATTGTCTCGATGCGGATGAGCATAGCTTGTGAGGATGCCTGGGGGCGGGTTGAGAGGCTCAAGGCCGTTGCCCCGGCCTGTGATGATAGTATCTCTATGGTGATTTATTGGTTATGTCTACTTGGAGCGACAATCTTGCAGCTTTGGGCAGCCGTCCTTCCTTGTCAGGCTTGTAGATGGGGTTGGCAGAAAGACCTGAAGTGACTGCTCACTGGTGTGGGAGTCCGGCGGCCGTCAAGCAACCGCAGTGACAGCTGTTTGTCTTTGTCATGATGCTCAAGTTGGGTTGTGTATGCCATGCCTTGCAATCCTCGTCCGTCTCATGATTAGAGAGAATAAGTCAGAAGTGTACCTTAGACCCTTCCCCTCTAGTCCGTTGTAGAGCTGCTTTGAAAATTGTAGTTCTCTGTGATCGCCGTAGCTGCATGACGGTCAGTAAAGAAGTACGCCGCGTTCACCAACACGCGTACAGCATATGCTTGGTTCTGTTTTGAGGAAGAATTTCAGGCAAGCCATTGCGGTCCAGGCCCAATCTTATTACAAAGGAATTTGGGAATCCCGACGTCTATGAATCGATGTTGAGGGCTTATGAGGCAAGGCAAGTCAGTCCGAGCGTTCAGGTCCACAAGGGGAATATAATCCCGATCCCGACATCGGGTCCATCGGCCAGTCATCTCGCCGATGAAGCCGAATGTCTCCCCGCAATTCGAACCAGCGATACTGTTTGTGCTGCTGTCATGTTCTGCGTGATCCCAGGCTTTGCGTAGCTTTCTTTCCGGAGTTTTGGGTAGAGTAGGGTTCTCATCTTACGATTAAAGTCTGGGTGAACCTCAATCTGCGAGTCGGAATCTATCTTGCTGACCTTTCCATGTTGTTATTGACCCGCCGTTTTTCTTATGTTTCCGCAGCAAAATCTGTCTTCTTACTTTCCACGTGGTGGTCAACGGCATGTTGTAGATTTCCGTAATGGCGGCAGCCTCACAAGTCCCCCGGGCCTTGAACAGAAATATCCACTAAGGTTCTTCTCGCTGTTAAATCTGGATTTTCCCAGTGGCCAAAGAGGCTGAGTTGCAAGTCCTCGGTAATTTCATGACATATAAGCGTATCGTAAGTTTAGAAATGTAGTAGTCACTTTATTGCAGGCGGACTATTTTTGGAGCGATTGCATAAGTAAAAAGGTCTTTTCCTGTTTTTGTTGGTTTTCGCTAATTGCTCTGTATTATGTCGATTATAAATTGGACACCAACTACATTAATCCTCTGGTCCTTGCATATTATCACCTTTATACCCTTATTATCTCCGTTGACGCTTGAAGAGACTTGAAGCGTTCGTATGGACGCTAATGTCTAAAAATAATAATGACATCTCCATCCGGATGATTGCTCCAGCTCCCTACGGATGTATCCTTCTTGCCTTTGCGGTATAGACAATGACGTGGAAAGCCAGATGTTATACTGCTAAAGCCTTGCTGTTTTGCTTAGAGTTAAGCATATATATTTACTTGGTCGCTTTAGAAATCAAGCTTCAGAACGGATGTGTAGTATACATATTCGACATCGCAGTTCAGCAGGTAGGTCAGACTTGCGCTTGGTGTTTGCAAATACGGTCAATCTAAAAGAAATTCTTGCAGAATGGTCTACCATGTTATTGCCATGTGGTTTGGCGGGAAATGTGGTGTTAAGCAGCTGGGTCCATTGGGTGATTGGCGGGTACGCTGGAGAACAGCCAGAGGGGATAACCCAACTCCATCAAATTTTACAATCACCGAACAAGGCAGCTGAAGTGTTAAGCCATTCACATCTCGTCCAAAAGAGGCTTAGCTTAGAATGGTCCTATATATTCTCCACCAGCAGTTCAACGCCATTCGCACCTCCAGCACCCGACAACAACGGCTTTCGGACACGCTGTAAGCCAGCGCCATCCCAAGCCCCCGAGCGACCACTGACCCCAAAACCCAAGCAGATCCTCTCAAAAAAAACCTCTCTCCAAAGCTCCACCACACCACACGACCACCACCACCAACCACAACCACCATGCCCTCCTCCCCCTCCTTCCCTAGCTCCTTCGCCGCCGCCGCCGCAGCCGCCGATAGACACCTAGCCATGGTCGACTGGGCCGCCGCTACCAGAGACTTCGCCATCGCCGACTGGGCCGACTCCATCCCCGCCATCCGCCCGCCTCCCGACCCCTGGGCCCGCGACAAGCTCTCGTCGGCGCTGCACTACCTGCGCGTCGCCCAGCGGCACATCAACGCCGCCAGCCGCCTCAACGTCCGCGACGACCACCGCCGCGCTTGCACCTACGACAGCGCTGCCGCCCGCCTCTGTCTGGAAGAGATGGCGCGCTGCATCGGCGCGGCGCAGAAGCGTCTGGACGCTGTCGGCCAGCACAACGAGTACATCGAGCGCAACCTGTGCCGCGTGCTGAGTGATGCTGAGGCTAGCGTGGAGTCGACGTTTGGGGATCTCCGCGTTGCGGAGGAGAACTGCGAGGATGATGAGTACAGGCTGGAGAGGGTTTTGTGGAGGATGGGGAGGGAGTACATTTGAGAGGGGCATTTCTTTGGCGCACATAGGGTTTTTGTCATGAAAATGCGTTCCCGACATGGTTTATTGACTGACTACGCCTGAATGATCGCTAGTTGCGTTCATTCCAGTACCTCTTTTGTCCTCGAGAGTGCCTGTACTGAAGGCGTGGTGTAGTGGGTTAGCGATTCCACTTGTGACATTTTGGGGAGTTTACATGGGTAGAGAAATTCGATTGCAAAAGTATAGTATGGGCATAATCCACAGCATTGCAGGAGCAGGGTAGCTCCGGGCTCGGAGTTGAACAAGTCAGTCCCGTCCGGTGCCGGTGAAGAGTCAGGCCATGAATTCCTTGCTGCCGTCCAAAATGTACGCAATAGACGAGGATCATAAATGATTCGACGGGGGAGGCAACACCACCACCGAGCTAAAATGGAACGATTTCTCGGAACGCGATTACCGTTTTTGTGCAATGGGACGTGAAGACGGGAAGGTCATTTGTGATCTGACGCACAGGACGGAATTGGGACAAGGGAATAGATAGCAAACAATGCGCGTCGGCTGGGGACGGGAAGGATGGATGACAGGGAAAATGACTCAGTCACACGCGGGCCGCCGACGCGGCGGGGGCGAAGCCAAAAAATGGCTTTAAATCGAATGTCCTGCCTGGATGCCCCGAGTTTGATATACGACACTCCTTTTACATGCATTTCTTAAGCAACAATGCCTCTTGTTACCTTTCCTTCGACTGATGCATACTTCAAAGGGTTCCGGATCTTCGACGTCACTTACAAAGTTGTGGACAGCCATCCTATACAAACGTCGGTGCTTGTTCCGAAGAGCGCATGCAAGGGTCCCCGGCCGATTATCGTCCGGTTCCACGGCGGCGGTTTGGTGGGTACCCCTTCTTAGCATCTTATTTCGACCTCTGTCCCGGAACATTGGATGACATCGCGTCAAAAGTCGGAGCACAGCATTTGGTCAAATAAGCCCCCTCTCACACCTCCTATTCAGGTCGCTGGCACGCGTCTCCACGCTCCCTGGTTCCCATCGTACCTTCTGACCTACGCCACCGCCCATTCTGCCATCATCATCTCCCCCGACTACCGCCTATTGCCGGAGGCCAGTGGGAAAGACATCCTTTCGGACATCTCCTCTCTTTGGTCATGGCTTTTGACGTCTCTGCACGCGTACGTCGTGCTACGAGACCCACTCAACACGTCCTGCGGCGTCGATCTCGGGAAGATCTTGGTCACCGGCGAAAGCGCGGGGGGCTGGCTGGCCATCCAATCCGCGCTCATGCACCCCAGCCGCATTAAGACCATCCTAAGCATATTCCCCATGGCCGACCTCGGCGACGACCACTTCACGCGCGGCGGCCGCCGCTCCGACGGCGAGGGACGCAGCACTTACTCCAAAAGCGCTGATCAACGCAGCAGCCAGAAGTCCCTTCCGGTGAGGGAGTGCGCACCAGCAGTGGGGGAACCCGGCGGGTCCCGTGCCTCCAAGGCCGGCATCATGGGACTCGGCTTCCTCCTCGACCCCTGCATCATCGACGAGCACGTCGCGGCCGCCCGCGACAGCAGGAACAGCAACTCGCGCCGTGCCGCCGTCCTCAGCAGCGTCACACCGCCAGCACGGATGGAGCTGTCGCTCGCCCTGTTCCAGCACGGGCGGCTGGGCGAGCTGCTGGGCGACGAGCGAGAACTCTATCCTCTGGAGGTGCTCGAGGACCTGCGGCGACGCGGGGCCGGCGGCGCACGCCTGCCACCGCTTTGCATCATCCACGGCACCGATGACACAGTGGTGCCGGTGCAGGGGAGCAAACGTCTCGCCCGCTCGTGGGAGAAGACGTGGCAGCAGCAGCTGGCCGGTGGCGAGACCCGCGACAGGAAATGCGACGATGCTGTCAAGCTCGTTCTGAGGCCCGGTGAGCATGGTTTCGAGGCCAAGGCGAGCGCAGAGAAAGATGGCTGGCTCAGGGACGCGCTGGGCTGGGTGGCGGACAGGTGGTTGAATTAGGTTGGGCGGACCGTGTATGTAGCTTGCTGGATATGTTTTGTGACGGCCACGGTGGCGGTGCAGCTGTAGCCCAATCCGGGGTGGTGATCTGCCGCGGGGATGGTGGTTGGTCTGCCGGCGCATGCGGGGTGAGGTCATGCAGCGACCCCTCCACACGCTCCACGTATGCTGTGTCACGCTCAGCTGGAGGCCTCGAAAAGCTGAAAAAGGGCGGCGGGGCAGCAAGCCAGTGGCGTCGCACGACAGCCCCCAACTCTTCGTTTTTCTTGGTGTTTTTGCTTTTTCTTTTTTGCAGTAGTTAGCTCGTGTTTCTGACTTCTTCTTCTGCCTTCGTACTTCGTTGCATGGCATTCTTTTCCGTTTCCCGTTACGACACACCCGTCCTGACGGTTGCATTCCGATTAATGGACCTCCTGTACTCCGTGCGCTCGGCCGCAACGACCATGATAACGCACCACAGCCGCGCCGCCACGGCCTCGGCACGGCGCCGCCTGCGCCCGGCTTCCCCGCAGGCAACACTGACCCGTATCTCGACGGCAGCGGTGCGCATCGCGCTGCTCTTCACGCTGCCCTTCACGCTGCTCGCCCTGCTCTTCATCCGGCTCTCCAACGCCCTCCCGCGGTTCCAGCCCCGCCGCGTCCTCCGCCTCCGCCGCCGTAACACCCCCCGTCCAACCGTCCTCCTCACCTCCAACCGCGCCAGCAACCCCCTCGCCCTCTCCCTCGCCCGCACCCTCCACGGCACCGGCACCAGGGTCGCCGTAGCGCACAGCTCCTCTTCTTCCCCTCCTGCCCTCCCCCCCTCTCGTTTCGCGTCCCTCCTTTCCTCCATCCTGCCCCCGCCAACCAGCTTCTCCGCCGCCGTCGCGTCGTCGCTCCGCCTCCGCATCCCCGCGCGCCGGCAACGGCAGGAGGATGAAAGTGCTGATGACCACGATGACTCCGCGTCGCTCTACGAGCACGAGGTCCTCGGCGCCATCCTCCGCGTCCGGCCGAGCGTGTGGGTGCCGTGCGAGCTGCTCGTCGACGAAGATGCCGACGGCATCGACGGCGGCGATGATGCTGTTGTAGTGAGTGAGGCTGTGGGGTTGCTGCGCGAGACGCTAAGGAGGGAGGCGGAGCGGGAGAGGCCGCGCGTTAGGTGCGGAGTGCTGGCGCCGGAGGGGCCGGTGGCTGGTGTGGTTGCGGGGGACCAGGACGACGGAGTGTTTAGGCGGTTGGTGGAGGGGTTGGACTGCGGTGTCGAGGTCGTGGGCGGGAGGGACGTCGTGGTGCGGAGGAGGGGTGAGGTGCATGGGATTCTGCACGCGGGCAGGAGGGAGAGGAGGCGGTGGGAGTTGGTCGAGCCCGAGGGGGGAGAGGTGGTGCAGCTGCCCGTGGACGACGATTACGGCTGTCTGGACGAGACGTACGAGCGGCTCGCGCGTCTGGACATCTCGGACGCGCGGCCGTGGGTGATGCGCGAGGTGATCGAGGGCGAGGCGTACAGGATCCACGCCATCGTGCTGAACGGCGCCGTCAGGGCCTTTGCCGTCTCGACGCTGGACGACCCGCACGAGCTCATGCAGGCCGCTGCCGGCCGCCTCTTCCTCGCTCCCTCGTCGCCCCTGCACGCCGCCATCCAGGCCTTCGTCAACGCCTTCGTCGCCGCCCTGCCCGGCCGCCCCTCCCTGCCCCTCGCCATCGACCTGACCGTCCGCACTGAGCCCACGGCAACGGGGACAGCAACCCGCATCCACCCCACCCGCTGCTCGTGGAACCTCCTCCCCCTCACCACAACCCCTCCCTTCTCCACCGCCGCAGCAGAGCTCGTCGCTTCCGTCTCCCCGCCGCCGCCGCTGCGCTCGCCGCAACCCCGGCAGCAGCCCGTCGACACCGACGACGAGCCCGTTTCCCCCGCTGCTGCTCCTCCTCTTCCACCTCGACCTCCTTCTCCTCCCACCACTGACCCCGCCGCCGCCCCCCAGCTCACCAAACATCAATCCATCCCCCCTCCTGCCGCCGCCGCAGACCTGCAAACCCCACCCAACAGCCCCGTCCTCAACCCGCTGGTGACCCGCTTCGTCGCCTCAACCCTACCGCCCACGCCCCCCAGCAGCCCGGACTCGCGCCGCTCCCGCTCCGTCGACGCCGCTGCTGACAACGCTTCGTCATCGTCATCACCGCCTCGCTCTTCTCTGCGCCGCTCCAAGCGAGACGTCGCTCAGGCGGCTGCCCAGACCCCGGCAGCGGCAGTGCGGTCGCGCTGCTACGCGTGCTCATCGCACCGGCGACGCGCTAGTAGCGATGAGAGTGGGAGCGAGAGCAGCGTCGTCCGCGGTAGCGATAGCGACGTCGGCAGTCGCAAGGCTGCTGGCGGCGGCGGCGGCGGCCGGGCGAAGGTCAGGTTCGAGGAGCTGCCGCCGCCTGTGGCTTCTGCGCTGCCCGTGGCATCTGCTCCGCCGGCATCGTCGTCGTCTTCGTCGTCGGAGGCGGCAGCGGAGCCGGAGCCGCAGCAGCAGCAGCAAGTACGTGCAGACGAGGCTGCTGCTGCTGCTGGCAAGCAGCGCTCCTCCTCCCCCGAACAACCCGTCAAGCGCGGAAGCAGCAGCGACGCGGACGTCTCGTCCACCGCCGATGTCGTCCCCGGCGTAGCGGGCACGTACTCGCTGCCGCGGACGCTGTGGGCGTACGTCCTGCTGCCGCTGCTGGATCAGCTGCTTTTTTCGCTACGGCCCCGCCGCGGGATCGTGGCGGTCGCGCAGGGCGCGGCGGTGCTGGTCGAGCGCGTGCTTTTGCCCGGCGCGTGGGTGGAGGAGGGGTGGCGGTGGTGGGATGCCGGGCCGTGGTTGTGGGAGTGGGGGGTGAGGAGGTTGGTGGGGGCGTGAGGACTGAGATACCGGTTCAGTGAGGTTTGGGAAGCCAGTTTGGGGGTTTCTTTTCTTTTGCTCTTTTTCGACTTCTTCTTCTTGAGTCATTTCCTTTCCCGTACTGTGGGTTTCATTTGGTGTGCATTGGCTGATCGTTACTCTGGGTTTTCAGGACAGGACAAGGGACGAGTAATGGCTTTTTTTTGACGACGTATGACGGCTTTTCTAAGGGTTGGAGTTCACGTGCTTGGACTTGGGAATCACGAGGGAACGGTATGGACATAGGATTGTGTGGAGTACTGGCTTGGACCCTTTTCTTTTGTAGTATCTCGCTTACTTTTCGAATGGAATAGTCATTCGTTATACCTGCACACTAGTGATGCTGATTTGCGTGAATTGAAATCAGCTTTCTGTTTCCAACACCTGGACCTGGAGAACAGAGAGCAGTAGAGCGGTCTTCGCTGCCTCAAGAGCACGCTGCTGCCATACTGGTGCACAGAATCCTCCATCTTGTATCTTTCATATTAAGAACGCTTAATATCTGTCGAAGCAATCTTATGGAGAAGGCATATATTGTCTCTAAGACGCCTTCTGGTGCTGTATTAAGCTGGCGCTTGGTGAATCAGGTAGACAACACTGCAGTCAGGCGAGCATCTTGAGGCTTGAACTTGGACGAAAGTAGTATTAGTCCCTTTCAAGAAACTCAGTACACCATTTAAGGAAGTCTCTCGTGACTGAGCATTACAATCAGCTGCTTCTCCACGTGCTGATCCGCCTGGTCAAAGAGATGACTTGTGAGGACGGCACAGGCCATCCAATCGTATCTAAGCACGAATCGAAGCTCCACCACGACATCAGTCTCATTGTGCACGGAGTGAAGGTTGCAGCCAGCGCAACGCGAACGTTCCGGAGCAGAAGCAGACGCAGCAGCAGCAGCAGCAGGGCGGTCCAAGCACCGAAGTTGACGAGGCGGTGGCAGCCGTCAAGTCGACCAAGGGCAAGGGCAACAAGGGCAAGGCGCACAAGCTCACCAGCGCCGAGAGGAAGAGGCAGAAGGAGGCCAAGGGGCAAGTGGAGTCGCAGGTGGAGGCTGAAGTGGAAGATGAGGACGAGGAAGAGAAGACCGAGGGAGAGATCTCTTGGTCTTCATCTCCGACTCCAAGTCCGAAGCGTTGCGTTGTTTCTTTTCGGTCTGTGTTCTGAGACTGGAACCTGTATAAGAAATTGTCCTCGTCCGGCATCTCCCGTGGGCGGTTAACGATTTGATGAGCGCTGGTTTGTTTCTGAGCATAAGTTTTTGTTATCTCCATCACCGAGCCTATTCGTGTAGAGTAACTCCAATAATTCCTTCTAAGAACAAGCGCTCGTGCGATTCCCACGTGCTGGAGTCGCGGAAGTGGTGGCCGTCGCGGTATTCTTCTCCCAGCCACTGGACGCGGCTGCCCCCAAGAAATAAATGGTTCTGAAGTCGGTGGTAGGCTTGTGGAGGCCTGACAATGAAAAAAAAAAAAACCACCAGTGCCCCATTAGCGAAGTCCTTGGGCTTCCAGGTTGGCTCGTACGACTCGCCAGTCGCTGGGTCATCCTCCCAGTCGATCAGGTAGTACTCGTCAGTCTCGCAACAATCGCAGCTGCTAGATGTCAGGTGGCGCACGTAGACAATGAATTATAAGGGTGATGAATTGGGGACCTTTTGCTCTTGCGCTTCTTCTTAGATGCTGTCGCCTTGACGAGTCGAGACGTCGATGCGCATCTAAGTGTTCCGTGAATCACTAGGCACCCTTTAGAAGTTGTAATCAAACGTTAATATATGTACTGCGAAAGTAGGCGTCCTAATTACAGATGGTCAGCGTAACGGGGCATGCTACGGCACTATACCTTACCACCAGAACCTTAAAAGCACAAAAGTCCGAGGGTTTGTGATCTGTGGACTACCCAATTGGGAGGTGAATGCTTTACAGAATCCATGGGTTCGATTCTAATCGGGCCTTAGTGATGAAGTGAGGCTGCGATCCTTCGGGTGCTTTTTTGCTCGCTGATATGTCTAGTTTATGTTTCTGTGCAGCCCTAGGCTATTTCTCTTACCATGCATGGCCATTTGGCCTCGAAGCCTTTAGCTAACGGTGAAGTATTTTTCCCCCCTCCTGATGTCCTGTCTCTCTACTCGCATGCTCGATCTCCTTGCCAGCTGGCTGGAGTTACGCTCACCGTAAATTCTCCTCCGTGCAAAATCCACCTGTCTGATGATTCAAGCCGAGCTTACATCAGGCAATAGCAGAGCGATTGTAGGCGCGCTTAGCACAGCACACGGATGATGCGGTGAAATTATCACTACGAGCATCTGTAGCGTTTGGCCCAATGTGTCTCGACACTACGCAGTGCGATCTCTAAACTCCGTCAACTAGTCTGAGCCGCACCGACACTACTAATTCTCAACGCGCAGTAAAGCCTCGCTGCTCGACGCCACTAAACGCCCTCACAGCAACAGCTCGCCATTGTAAATAGCACAAGTTTTTTTTTTTTTTTTTTTTTTTAAATCTGAGCATGGTTTAACGACGAGAATGTATGAGCATTGTGCTACAAACTGCACGAAAAGTTCTTTATATATTTATTGCCATGCGTACTCATGGAAAGCTCGTTATCACCACTACCGTGGCAAACAGGGCCAACCAAACTGATATACGCATCTTCTGCGCACTACTGTCCTCGCTATCAGTCTCGGCATTCAGCGCCGCTGCACTCGTCTCTGCTACACTCGTAGCTGTGGCGTTTGTCAACACGTCACTAATTGCCCCCGTTATTGTTACTCGCGTCGTCGTCAATTCCGTTGTTGTTCTTGTCGTTGTCGTCGTTGTCGTTGATGACGCCGCTAGCGTCGCCGGCGACGAATATCCCAGTCGCTCGCCAAAGCTGAAGCTTGTTGGTGTAGGGGAATCAAAGAATATTATGGCGTCGCTGGCCTCGGCTATCTTTGTAAGGTTTATTACTGGGTTGCGGTTAGTCGTGGGATTGATAAAATCGCCACTGAACCTCGAAAACCACGCGGTGGTGTACACGCACCATTTCGAGCATCTGCCAATGACAAGGTCGTGATGCATATGACCAATATCAAATGTATTGGCGGGAACATTGTTGCGAATATGCGATTTGCAGGACGTCGTGATGTTTTCTTGTAAAAGTGTCGGGATGTGAGAACTATGCGCAGCTCAGCCGAGCTGTGCCTGCGTTCCCTTAAATATTTATTCATGGTGTGTTGATTCAATCCTTCGAGCGGCTGGACTCTGTCGTCTTGGCAAAAATTCAGGCAGAAACTTGTGATGTTGTCCAGACGCAACAGGAAGGATTCCATTTCTCCAATCAACAAGAAACGTGCGGTGAAGCAAGACTTGGCGTAGTTGACATACGGCTATGGTGGCGAGATGTGGCGTTTGCCGTTTTAGTCTGTCATGCCATTCAAGGCTCGAAGGATTCTATCAATATTTAGGAACGAAGCCACCGATGACGGCAGGGCGGAACGGTAAGGCCAGCCACACGATGAAAATAAAGTTCGGGAGATCGACGGCAAGCCAAAGGTGCTCATTACGTAGTATGCGGAATGGAAAAAACATGGATGAGTTAATCCCGAGCGTTCGGAATGCAGTAGCTTCAACGTCGATAAATACGCCTTCGTATTCGTGTCTTGGCGGTGAGTGGGGCTATAAGTCACCTGCCGTTAGTGGTAAGACCAATGAAATACGGCACCGTTTGATCCGAGTGACATGGATGCTGTGCAGGCGAGGCCAGTCCCTGGCTATAAAACAAGTCCTAATCATGCATGCGGATGCTAAAGTGAATGCCACAAATAGAGTCTACAAAGCCCACTTCAGGGCGCTAACAATAACGGTCAACATGTATGAAGAGAGTGAAATGGCAATGATAGATTAAAATCTCATAATCGCTGTGACGCAAGAAGGAAACCGGGATATCTACTGTGAAGAACCATCAGAATCACCTCTGCACGCTTCCACCTCTCTCCAACCCTCACCGCCCATTCTTCAACCTCTCAAACTCCGCCACAACCCGATTCAAATCGACACTCCTCCTCGCAACAATCCAAACCCCCTCCCCCTTCCTCCTCTCCACCACCATCTTCCGCGTCTTCGTATGCCCCAACGCCCTCAAACTCTTGACAACCCCCTGCCCCCCATACCCCGCCACGCCCACCACCGCACTCCCAGTCTTCAACCCCAGCCCCATCAACCCCCTGCCGACACCCTTGACCGCCCCCAGCGCGCCCTCCTCCCTCGCGCCCTTCACCGGCTGCGTCACGATGCCCGACACGCCCTCGGCCAGCCCCCACGCGAAGTTCTTGCCCGCTACCACGGCGCCAGACTTCCAGTCCGTCACCGGCTGGTGCTGGGCGACGTTCTCGCCGTACAGCGCGGGCGCGTTGCGCATGCCCTCGGCGACCGCCAGCGGCAGGTCGACGATCATGCCGCGGAAGAAGGACGAGTGGACCGCCCCGAGCGACTTGGCCGACGCGGTCGCCATTTTGCCGGCTGTGCGCAGGTTGTGGGCGCGGCGCTCGCGCTCGGAGGTGGTGGTGAGGGCGACGGAGGGGGTGGGGGAGGGAGGGCGGACGAGGGCGGTGCTGGGGCGGTGGGTTGGGTCCGTGGCGGAGTGGGAGGAGGAGGGGCTGAAGGGGGTAGCGGTTTTGCTGTGTTTGAGGTCGTGGTCATCGCGGGAGAAGGTGGAGTTTGTTGGTGAGGAGGCTTGGGAGGGTTGCGTTGATTGAGAGCGCGAGGCGGAGTGGCTGTGGTTGGCTGTGACGCGGCCTTTGCGGTATTCTTGGTAGGGGTCTATGAAGATGCCTGCGGTGTTTTTGACAACGTCTGTTGCTGTGCCTATGTAGGCTGATGTGAGGCCCGTGACGGGATCCCAGCGACGGTTTTCTATGATGATGGTGTTGGTTTCGTAGCTTTCAAATTGTTAGCATGGTAGACTCGGTGTGTGTCCGAGGCTATACTTACTACTTGAAATCCTTCATCTTGATGGAAAGCTTTGCCGTGACGGACTCGACAGCCAGTTTCGACAACTTCACAGACTGCTTCCCCTTGGAGTACTTCCACACTGCAGGCTGATCCGGGAAGATGTCGCAGGACATGTTCTCCAACGGCAGGTTCTTGTGAAAGGATGCTACAGCAGCCTGTACACCTTCCTCCATCTTCATCTTCTCTGATATCTCGAATGCAGCCTGCGCCGCTGGTGGAGACTGGCAGTATCTGATAGCTTCAGCGAGATTGTCGGATGTGAGCTTCTTCTGCGGAATAGGCACCGGGCCTGCTCCTGATGCTGCTATCATGTTTCCCCAAAAGGGTTGGCTGTGATTCTTTGTTAATCATGGCATGGGCGGAAAACGGGAATAGCAATACTCACTCTCCAAAGAAAGGCACGATCGTGGTTGGCTTGCCATTACGCAATCCACAGGCGGTAGTTCCAGCTCCTCCATGGTGCACTACGGAGGACACGTGCTGGAATAGCCACTCATGAGGACAGTCGCCCAGGTAAAACACCTGTTCGGTTGATTCGGCCTCTCCCAGATTACTCCAGCCTCTTGACACGATCGCCCGCACGCCGGTCGCTTTCACTGCTGAGAGGATGACACTTGTCATTCTTTCCGGGTCGTCAATGACGATGCTGCCGAAACCGATATATACCGGAGGGTCGCCTGCATCGAGGAAGGCGGCGAGGTCTTTTGGCGGTTCATACTTTGGCGGATCTCGAAAGAAGAAGCCGCAAACATCTAGCTCTCGGTCAGCGTGAACTGTCCTCTTGTGATCGCCTCTAATCATGTTTGGCATTACTTACCAATATGTGCGGGCCAATCCAATGGCTTCGGTACCAAAGCCGGCGACCAACAGTATGTGAAAGGTACTTTCAAAGTCTCTGCCAGGCATGGACCCTCAGACATGGGAACAGGCTCCAAATCCATCTGATTTCTCCAATCATTGATGACATCGCCCAATCTGTGTCGAAAGTCAGCTCAATGAGCACGCCATGGAGCCTCCATGTACACTTACCCCTGCCAAGTCATCCACTCCACAATGCCATAGGATATATAGTTCGCCACGCTCGGCTCAGTATCCTTATACTTTAGGTTCGCCAGCGGATGCGGAAACGCCCTCGTGCTGCTCCACGGCATGGTAAACATCAAATGCACCGGTATACCCAGCGCCTGCGCGCAATGCACATGCGCGAAGCTAGGCGGATTCGCAATAATGGCGTCCGCCACGAACGGGTCGCGCGTCAGCTCGTCGGGCTCGACGCAGCTCCGCCAGCAGCCGTCCAGCATCTCGCGCACCATCTCGCGCTTGCGCTGCACGTCGCCGGCGCGCAGGCTGCGCATGTTCGGGATCAGCCCCGGGTTCTTGACCATGTACGCCATCAGCTCCGCCGGGTCGCCGCCGATGGCGTAGAACTCCAGCCCCGCGTCCCGCACGAAGCTCGCGAACGTGTCATGTGTGGCTAATCGCACGCGGTGCCCGTGGCGTTGGAGTTCGGTGCCTAGCGCTACGAAGGGCTGCACGTCGCCTCGGCTGCCGACGACTTGGATGACGATATTCAGGTGGACGGGGTAGCTGCGCTGTCGCTGCTCGCGCTCGGTGTAGATCGGGGGAGGGGTCGAGGGACGGAGGTTTGCGAGGGAGGCGGGTGGTGCGCGGAAGACGCGCGAGAGGGTGCGGCCGAGTTTGGAGTCGAGGTCGACGTTGATGCGGCCATCGTCTGTGAAGGGGTGTCAGCTTTTGCGGTTGGACCACTTGGAGGAGGGCCAATGCGGACCTCCTATGTGGGTGTTGCTGTCGACTATTTGTCCTGGAGCTGCGGTTTCTGAATATACTGGGGGAGCTTCGCTGGGGACGTCTTCGGCGGGTAATTCAAAAGGACCTGAACTGCCATTGCTGTGCGCCATGGTCGCCAATGTGAAGAGGGTGCAGGACGAGGAGGGAGGAAGGAGCTGGTAGAGGAAAGTCTAGTATGCAGAGAAAAAGATGGTTCGGCGAGCAATAAATAAATTTTGGTTGGACGCGTCGACGCAGGGCGAGAGCTGGCGTAGGGCTGAGAACGAATACGACAGGGATTTGTACGGATACGCCACGGTCGCACTATAGGACACGGCCCATTTTGGCCTGGTTCGGCGCTTTGACAGCTCTACTTTGGATCGCTAAACTCAACCTGGAAACGCTCGCTGTGGCTGTACCGTTCTCCCATAACCCCTCTTAGTAGTCTATACGCATACGACGCACGGGGGCGCGTGTCGGTATGATCGGCTCGACCCGCAGTGATAGGAGGGGATCAGTGCTGATCCCCGGCTGCTTCTTTTGCTTCCACCGACTTCATGTTGCTTGTTCGTGCTAATAATAATAATTTGACGTTGCCAAGTGCTGCTATGCCTGTCTATTGGCACGCAGCCGCGAGATGGCCCATGCGCAGCCCTTCAGGCAACAACGCAGGCCAACTCGTGCGCATCTGCGACAGCCCTAAACACCAAACTCCATCAAAGTTCCATCGTAGCGCCAAATCTAAAGCCACTCGGCGAAATGATGCAGACCCTGTACCGACTTTGGGCCCGAGAAGAGCCCGTTGCCACTACGCCGTCCTCTCCCGCTGATGGCGCCCAAACAGTGCGGCCACCACTTCTCCGCACCAATGAACCCCGCTAACGAAGCCTAGCCTGACAACCAATTTCAATCACCGCTCTTCAAACTGCCCGCCGAAATTAGACTTGTCATTTGGGAATACGCCCTTAGCGGCGAGCTGGTACATATGGAGCACTGCCCAGCCATGGGATGCTATGAGCGACCCCGCCCCGCTCTTCCAGTAACATGGGCCATGCTGCACAAGGAAGAGCGCCTTGACTGCGGCAAGACCTGGGCCCAGAAGGCATGGCTGAACCACATGGACTGGCACTTCACCTCAACTGTCTGTAGTAAGAATGCAGAGCTCCCCGGTGGCCAGACGGTCACGAAGGGTGCCATCCTGGGCCTGCCATTAAGTTGCAAAAGGATGTAAGTACCAGACACTCGTTGGATATATGTGTTGAGCTCAAAATTCTGCCCAGTTACCAGGAAGCCTTGCCGTTCTTATATACGGGAAATACCTTTGATTTCAAGTTCCCACAGGATTTTATTTGCTTCTCCAAAACACTGCCTCCGTTTCTTGTGAACCCTGTCCGACGCATCCGCATTCGCCTGGAACTCGCTTGGGGGCTGCACTCCAGACAGCCTGGTCATATGTATCGAGTTATGATCAGGCCACCCGTTTGGCGTCAGGTCTGCGATGCTGTCAAGCATATGAAAGACCTGCGAGAGGTTCGCGTAGACCTAAAACAAGCCGTTCCACTAGGCCATATCGCCGAGGTACTCCTGTTACTGGACGAGCTCCAAGTTGAACATGTTGTAATAGAGACCTACAACGGCGTGGAAGAGATCAAGGAATATATTGAGGAGAGTGGAAGGCAATATGACGTGGAAGAAGTGGTTCCCTGGGATGAATGCTTTGTCACTTTCGCATCTTAAAGCGGTGTCGACTCTCTTGTTGATGTGCGAATACTCTTAGAAGCTCTCCACTATATATCTTCTCCAATATGTCTCGTCCGGAATTGCAGGAACAGGCCTCTTCGGTCTTGGTGTTGGCAGTGGATTTATGAGATTGTAAGAACGGCCCGCACGAGTTCCCATTCCTCTATATAATCCGGACACGCACCCAGAAGACTACCAGGGGAAAACAACGCCACAGGCCTGAGCAGCAAAGTTCCTACCATAGTTGAAGAGCTTCCTCACGAGAGGGCTGTTCAAACACGGACAGATAGGGTGGTCTAAGGATCCTTCATTGCAAGCTTGGAGAGTATTCACTCATCTGACTGAGGACAAGTATTCCAGCTTCAGTCAACCAAAGAAAGCAACGAAGCTGCTCTTCCTCGAATCCAAAAGGGCTTAGCGCGTCCACACCGGCCGTAGATGTAAATATTCTGTCACCGCGCACACCAAACTCAGCACGCTCTTTGCAACTCAGTGACCGCAGCCTCGCGCATCGCCGGCGCAAGCGCAAGTTGACCATGGCGTCGCCTCAGGATATCAATCGCACAGTCTCTACACGCCCATTTCGGTTTCTCGATCTCCCTTACTCTGTCCGCGAGGAGATCTACAAGGATGTCGTCGGCTCACGCGAAGTCATGATGGGTCTTGACGGTCGTGGCACGGTTACTGACTGCATGGAGCCTCACCTTGAGCCCGACAGCGTCTGTGCCCACTGGATGCTCGCAGGTGAAGTTGATGCCCAGAACATAATCGGCATCTTCTCTGGCCATAACAAGACGAAGGCGGCGCTTGAGGGCCCATGCTGGCTCTGCTACAGCGACCCAGAGCAAGGCGACGCGCCCTGCCTGTCGCGCACGCGTCGCATCGAAGTGCAGCTGCTGCGCGTGTGCCGCGCCATCTACAACGAGGCGGCCGACGCGCTGTACCGCAGCACTAGCTTCATGTTCTACCGCCACGAGGTTCTCGAAGCGTTCCTTGACGACACCAGCTTCAAGAATCTCTCGGTCGTGCGCAACATCACGCTCGTCACCTGGCGCAAGGGCTTATTCACCAACGAAGGCATCCCCGTCAACTCCCAGTGGAGCGACTATCTCACGTACCAGCAGCTGTCCAGCCTGCAGTCTCTGCAGCACCTCACCGTCGTCCAGCTGGGCCGCAGGATGATGCGCGACGGCTTCGGCGAGCCCGGCAAAGGCTTCACCGAGCTCATCAGCAGCGACCTAGTTCATATCAACTGCGGCGAGGAGGGAGGATTGGAGGACGACGAGTGTTGGCTGGCGGTGCTGGAGGCGGTTCAGCCGAATTGGGTCAACCCGGTGCACTTGGTCGAGACTGTTCCCCGCAAGCGTATCCAGGTGCAAGAGGCCGAGGACGTGCTGGTCGGCTTGCAGGAGGAGATCCTGTTGCTCGCTCTCTTGCTGACGGATCGCGCCCTGGCGGATAACAAGCGGAAGAGGTCCCTCACCGTCGCGTTCAAGGCGGCTACGGCGGAGCCTGAAAACACGTTCGATCTTAAGTGGGCTGTCGACCTCACCAAGGATAACTCTAAGACGATCCAGGAGGCTCTGGCCAGGTTTGTGGATGATCCCTAGTGGTCGGCACGGACCAAGGCATCGTTGTACGAGCCACTCACAATCTTCTTTTCCCTTTTCAATGCTTCTGTTCGCCCATCTTGGCTAGGGTTCGGTGGATCAGGTGTGGTGTTTCCTAGCCTCAAGTCGACAGAAAGGCAGTTTCTCTTACTGCTTTGCAATGGTTTACGACGACTCACTGAACATTACAACGTTCTAGCACGAGTTTGCAAACTCCAAGAGTAGAGCTACACAGATTAATACTATGATTTCCTTGTCACTGTGTCTGCCCCACGAAGCTGTTTCAGCACCCGAGTGCATGCTTGTGCGTTGAGTCTTGTTCTCTAGCGAGCACACTTATCCAGTAGGCACAAGTACACGAATATCTGGAGCACGGTCAGAATCCTCTGAACGGCTTGCGCTGGTCTGACAGGGTTGAGCTCGGTTGGAAGGGGTATCGGTGGACGGGAGGAGACGAGCTGCGTCGGGGGCCAGGTAGACTGCTAGAATGGCTGCACAAAATAGGCCCATGCAGCAACTACCGCCGTTGCCGCCATGGATCCTGGCTTGCTCATGTGCCGGCAGCCGAATTTCGCTTTTCCACCGCTCTTGCAGTGATTGTTGGCGATGCCGAATATAGGCCACACGAGCGGCATAACGTCATGGTCATGCCGAGTAAAGGCCACACGAGAGGTATAGCGATCCCGTCGACCCTCAACAAAATAACACTCGCAATCTGAGAAAGAATCGAGGTGAGGAGAGCACTCTGCGCTGGTTTCTGGGGTACATACTTTTATGTCTGCCGACTAATTTTAGTCGACCGAGTCTCCATGTTGCAACACCGCGAAGTTACCCCATTCGGCAACGTTGTCGTTCAGGCTGACGGCTCATGGCATCGAAGACGCGACAAATACTCGGCCGTAATCTCGGCGCTCTATCATTAGCCTGTATGCCACGCCACGTTGCATGAACTTGTCGCAGGGCGCAAAACTTGGCGATCAACTCCCGACCGGATGGACTTTCCGATCTCGCGAGTGCATCCTGGTGAGTCACGCCATATATAACTCCGCTGCGCACTGCTGTCTGTATTCATCATCAGCTGCCCACAAGATGTCTTCCTCACGCCTTCCCATCTTTTTCAACCCCGCCGCCGATTCCTGGATCACTTCGCAAAGTGAGTCCACAGATCTTGTCACTGCCTTCCATCGCAAGCTTCCCGGCTACGCGCCCACCAGGCTCGTACCTCTCGACGACATCGCCAAAGAGCTCGGAGTTGCCGCCGTCTACATCAAAGAAGAGTGCAACCGCATCGGCGTCCCGTCCTTCAAAATCCTCGGCGCCTCTTGGGGCACTTTTCGCGCCGTCGCGCAGAAGCTGAACTTGCCTCTTGACTCCGACCTCGCGGCGATCAAGGAAGCGACCAAGGCAAACCCAATCACCCTCTTTGCAGCAACGGCCGGCAACCACGGACGGGCTGTCGCGCGCGTCGGAAGCATCCTCGGCCTGCCGGTCGAGATCTTCGTGCCCGCCGGCACGCATCCAGACACGGTGCGCTTCATCGCCGACGAAGGCGCGCGAGTGACGGTCATCTCCGGCAGCTATGACGAAGCCGTGCGCACCGCGTCCGACGAGGCTGAGAAGCAGTCCGGCATCCTGATCCAAGACACCGCCTGGCCGGGCTACGAAGACATCCCCAACGTACGTCCACGAACACTTCCTCCCTCCCACCACTCCTCAATACCCCCCAAAGCTAACCCACTCCTCCAACAGTGGATCGTCGCCGGCTACACCACCCTCCTCACCGAACTTACCACCCAACTGCCCCCCGCCCACCCCGCACCCACCCACGTCCTCGCCCCCGTCGGCGTCGGCTCCTTCGCGTCTGCTGTCGTCTCGCACTACAAGTCATCATCCTCTCCATCGCCCGCCATCATAACCGTCGAACCCGACACCGCCCCCTGCCTCCACGCCTCCCTCCGCGCCTCGCACCCCGTCTCCGTCCCAACCCCCTTCCCCACCATCCTCGCCGGCCTCAACTGCGGCACCGTCTCCAGCACCGCCTGGCCCCTCCTATCCGCTGGCGTCGCCGCCGCCGCGACCGTGTCAGACGCCGAGGCGCATGACGCGTGCCTAGCGCTCGCTGCCCGTGGCGTGGATGCTGGGCCGTGCGGTGCCGCGACGCTGGCGGCGTTGAGGCGGTGTTGCGGGGAGGCGGGTGCGAGAGAGCGGTTGGGGTTGGGTAAGGGCGCGGTTGTCGTGCTGCTGGGGACGGAGGGGGGGAGGGGGTACGACACCCCGCGCGGGGTAGCGGTGGAGGATGTGGAGGGTGTGGCGAGGGAGTTGGTAAGGATTGAGTCGACGAATTTGACTGGTGCGGGAGCCGGGGCGAAGGGCGAGGCGGAGGTCGGCAGGTGGATCGCGGCGTGGTTGGCGCATCGCGGGGTCGAGACGCATGTGGTCGAGGAGGTGCCTGGCCGGCCCTCGGTCGTCGGGGTGGTGAGGGGGACGGGCGGCGGGAAGTCGTTGATGTTCAACGGGCATGTGGATACGGTCACGTTGGCGGGCTACGAAGGCGACCCGTTGAGCGGCGATGTCGTCGACAGGAAGCTGTTCGGCAGGGGCGCGGCGGATATGAAGGGCGGCCTGGCGGCGGCGATGGTGGCGCTCGTGCGGTGCAAGGACGCGCGGCTGAGGGGAGACGTCGTCCTCGCGGCTGTCGCGGACGAGGAGGATCTGAGTATCGGGACGGAGCAGGTGCTGCGGGCGGGGTGGACGGCTGACGCGGCCATCGTGGGCGAGCCGAGCAATTTGGGCATCGTCACGGCGCACAAGGGGTTCGTGTGGTTGGAGGTCGATGTCCTTGGTGTTGCGAGCCATGGGTCTCGGCCGGACCTGGGCGTCGATGCCATTTCGAAGGCTGGATACTTCCTGGTCGAGTTGGACAGGTATGCGAAGCGGCTTGAGGAAGGACCGAGGCACCCGGCTCTGGGCCCAGGCAGTGTCCATGCTTCGATCATTAAGGGAGGGGAGGAGGCGTCGTCGTACCCTGCCAAGTGCACCATCACGGTGGAGAGACGGACGGTTCCAGGCGAGACGGCAGAATCGGTGAGGGAAGAGGTGGACGCTATACTGAAGCGGCTCGAGGGTGATGTTCCTGGCTTCAAGTACGAGCTGAGGGTGACGTTCAAGCGGTCGACGTTTGACATCGATCGGGCGCATCCGTTTGTGTCGCTCGTCTCTCAGAAGGTTGAGGAAACGACAGGTGCTAAGCCTACTTTCCTGGCTGAGCCCTTCTGGACAGACTGCGCGCTTCTGTCGGATGCAGGGATTCCGGTGGTCATATACGGGCCCAAGGGAGAGGGTCTTCATGCGAAGACAGAATGGGTTGATCTGAAGTCTGTGGAGACGGTTGCGGAGACATTGACTGCCGTAGCACGGGAGTTTTGTAAATAGGAGATGATTAGAGTGGTACTGCACATCATGTAGTAACCTTTGTTCCATATAAGTCAAGGATGCCTATTATAACTACTACAACTTCCGACCACAGAGTCTGACCATGTCCATAGCTCCGTATTGCGTCCCGCTGCCCTTTTAGCCACTACATATTGACCAAGTGCCACGGGCATAGTATTTCAGTTGATCGCCCCACGATGAAACCTTACCTCGGATCATTGAGGTACATTTTGCCCTCAAAAGGGGTGGCATGGTGGCGTGGCGTAGTAGACAGCGTGACCTGGCACACCTAGGTCTACCAGTGGTAAGTTGGATCCAAGAAGTCCATTGCAGGTTTTCTCTATCCGGTCCTAATTAAAAGACAAAATTGGAATTCTTCATCTACAAAGTGCTTCAACGTCGGCGTTCTGAAATAATGTTTGATCAACACCAAAACAAAACGAAGAGAAAATGGAATCCATATAAGCCAACAACTTCGCCAGGCAAAGGAAATCAGAATTGACGTTTCAAATGTTTTCCGCGATTCTTCAGCACGTATCGCCAGTTTGGCTCCTGCGTTCTCCATGACCCCTTTCTCTATATGCCCTTCGCAACATCTGAACAATCTCCCGATATCCGCGCTTTGCAGCAACAAAGACTGATTCATCGAAGTTGCCATTTACTTTTGCGCCACATTGAAGAAGTGTGGAAACAACAGCCACATGACCCCCTGCGCAAGCAACAAGAAGTGGCCTATCATGACCTTCGTACTCTGAATCAACGTCACAGCCTAAGTCAAGAAGAAACTGGACAACCTCTGCATGACCCCCTTTTGTGGCGGCGTATAGAGCCTTTTCTTCCAAACCCTCCACATGTACCCCTAACTCGAGTAATATAGTGCAATTTTCCAAAGAGCCTACGGCACAGGCAGCACAAAATGCCTCTGGGCCATACTGACTTAGAATACCAGGGTCAGCGCCTTCCATTAGGAGGATCTGTATAATCTTTACATGTCCACTCTTGCACGCACTGACAAGAAGCTCGTCGGATGTATCTTGAATCAGGTCGAAGTTGGCTCCATAGTCCAGTAGCAGTTGGAAAACTTGGTCGAATCCCTTGCTGGCTGCAGAGTAAAGCGCCAGACCTGAGTTCGCATTCACATTAGCGCCTTTCATCAAGAGCATCTCGACGATAATTGCATGTCCACCCTTACACGCACTAACAAGAGGTGTGCCGGACATATGTCGCTCCAAGTTGACGTCCGCTCCGTGGTCCAGTAGCGTTTGAACGATACTATCATGTCCTTTCCTGGCCGCATGATGTATCGCCAAGCCAGAGTTCGCATTCACATCAGCCCCTTTCGTGAGGAGAGTATTTACCATCTTTTCATTTCCGTTGTCTGAAAAGACCGCAAGGACAGGACCATACGCCTCGCTGTGCGCATCAACATAAGCCTCTCGATCCAGGAGTAGTTCGACAATATCGTAATGCCCTCCAATCGCCGCAAAGTATAATGGGCAGTTGTGAGTTCCATCAATGTCTATAGGAACCCTACTGTCCAGATGATGTTCTACGACATCTTTCTGGCCGCTTTGCGAAGCAATGCATAAATCGTCGAATTTGCGTTCGACGGACATCGGAACGATTCTTGGAAATCCACTCCCGAACAACATTTGATGGATCCTCTTATTTTGTTTCCGGCATACCAGGTCGAGAGTAGACTCATGTCCCTCTGCTTGTTTATTGGCATCGGCGCCAGCTTGAATCAGATTCCAGACGATTTCCTCGTCCCCCCATGAAACAGCTTTTTGGAGAGGAAGTTCCCCTGTCCCATCTTCATCGTTCACGTCCGCGCCTCTGCTGATAAGCAGAATGATGATTTAGGTAAAGCGGTAAGACAATGCAAGCTGAAGAGCGCTGAGTCCCCTGGAACAGCGTTTGCTAGATGGATCATTCTCATACGTCTCGCGGGAATTGACATCTGCTCCAGAATCTAGAAGCATCCTGACAGCAGCCTTGTTACCGACAGAAACTGAAGCAAGAAGAGCCGAGTTTCGGGAGGCCACATCCACTCCTGCGTGTATAAGGATCTTAATAATCTTGCCCCATCTGTTTCTTACGGCGTTGAGAAGTACCAAGCCGCGGGAGCTCATATCGACTTCCATATCTGCCTTCGTACTTAATAGGATTTCAACGATTCCTTTGTGCCCATTTGTTGCAGCGTTGACAAGTGCTAAGCTGCGAAAGCTCATATCCAATTTCGTATATGCTTCCGAGTTTACGAGGAACTCGACAATTTCGTCGTATCCATTTGATGCAGCCTGAGTAAGTGCCGAGAGGCGGGAGCCCACAAGTACTCCCGCACCTACAAGGGTCTTAACAATCATGACGCGTCCGTTACTTGCAGCGTTGACCAGTGCTGAGCTGCGAGAGCCCACGTGTACTCCCGCTTGGATAAGAATCCTCACAATCCCGACGTGTCCGGTCTTTGCAGCTTCGATCAGTGCTGAGCTCCGAGAGTCTACGTCTGTTCCCGACCTCATAAGAATCTTGATCACTGCATCTTGCCCGTTCCTTGCGGCGCTGATCAGTGCTGACCCGCGAGGGCCTGTTTCTGTTCCCGGTCTTATAAGCATCTCGACAATCGCATCATGGCCGTTTCCTGCAGCATTAAGAAACGCCAAGCTACGCGAGCTCGCCAACGTCTCCTCATCCATGAGTATCTTGAAAATCTCCTCGTGTTTGTTTTCTGCTGCGCTGAGGAGTGCTAAGCCGATATCGATATTGATTTCTTCAGTTGATGTGATCAATATGCGAACGATCTCCTCGTATCCATGTTCTACAGCGCTGAAGAGAGCCGAGCCGTCATCAGCATTGACATCCGCACTCGATGTGATCAATATGCGAACAATCTCCTTGTATCCATGCTGAACAGCACATGTAAGAGGGCTCGAAAGCATTTGTCCCTTCTCATTGACGTCGGCCCCTTGATCCAGCAACATCTGGACAGAACATGGAAGCCGATTTAGTACCGCATAGTATAGAGGTGGCATTGACCGGAAATAATCTGGATTGTCAGATGACTATCCGTATTGCGGATCGTAGAGTCGGTGACAAGACTTATACGAGGGATCTCGAGAGAGGTATTCCCTGACAAAGAACAATGTTGTGTTTGTCTGCTCCTCAATGAATGTAGCATGCATGGCCCAGTATTTTGCTGCAAATCTTGCAAAGGGGAATTGCTTCTTGATCTCTCGGAATGGTATGTCGTCTGGTAAGGCTAGCAAGTATGCAAGACAAACTTCCGTGATTTGCGTCCTGGCAATGATTTCTTGGAAATCATTGCGTATCGTCAATTCCAATCGTTTGGAAACAAGGTATTCCTTCACGGAGAAGTGTGCCAGTTGTATCGAGCCGGTTATTCTGTCCCCAGCCTGGAAATCGTTTCTGATAGTCACGTTCACCAGACTGGAGCAATATCGCGCGATCTCACCTGGCAAAGGGAGCCTGAACTTCGCTTTAAACCAGAAGTCTCTCTGTTGCGGATTGGTTCGAGTTATGACCATGTCGATAGCCTCTTCAATTCGCAGTGGCCGTTCTGAGTACGTCAGGAATTGAAGGATCCGAATCGTCAAGTGTTTGGTTGCCTCCGGCAGATTGTTCAGAACCCTAGCGTAGGTTTCTTCCAGCGTCGTTGGCAGGGCTTCTAACGTATCCCACAAAGTGGAAAGCTCCAGGCACTGCTCCAAAGATTGAATTTGGCATGAAACCCAACGAAACCTGAAACCCGTTAGTTTGCTAAAGTGGACAAGGCAGCTCTGCAATAGATGTTGCTTACATCCCATTAGCCTTCTTCAACAAAGCGTTCTCGATCTCTTTCTGAATATAAGGCTGGCTGTGCCATCGTTCCAAGCCTTCATGCTCTCTGACTTTTTTATGGACATATTCTTGGATGTCTCCGTTCATAAATCCGCTCTCGACGGAGAACATGTTCTCTTTATCCATCCACTTGTCCAGAGTCGATTTGATATCTTGTTCTGGACGGCTAGTAAATATCAGGTGAACGTTGGCCATTTCGTGACTAACAAGACATTTGATCCATGAGAGTAGTCCATATCCAGGATATCAATTCCGATCTTGTCGCATTTTGCACTCGTCGAGTGCATCGAGAATGATCCAGACCTCTCCAGATTCGTTTACCATTGCTTGGAACGTCTCGCACAGCGAACGAAGGTTCGGCTGCACATTTCCCTGCTGGTGAGATGTATATAGCGAGTCGGTATGCCTCCGACTGGCCTTGCTCTTCCCGGTGAGCTGACTGATGAGACAGCGAATCATCCCGTCGACTGACTGCTTCCTCTCCTGAGCGAAGTCAAAATAGAAGTAGAGGACATTCTCATAGGTGCGTTCCAGATATTCAAGCACAGTGGAGATTAGTACTGTTTTCCCGCATCCAGTGATGCCATAGAGCCATAGTGATGAGTTCTTTCGCAATTTCCACCTTGCGAAGGTCTCGTTTCGGAGAAACCAGTGCCCTGAGTTCGAGTCTTTAATACGCTCCTCTCGTGCTTTGTTGTAGTTGACTGATGGATCTAAATCTGGGTGTGATAGCCAGTTATGAATTTTGTCATCTCGGTGCTCGACACGTGCGTTATTTATGGAAGTGTGTATACCCTTCACACTTCCTTCCACTATTAAGACATCAGCAAGATTCATGCTTTTGTACAGCATGATAGCCAGACTAACCGCCAGTGACAATCTCACTCAACTTTCTTTCCTGCTCGATCCGGGTTGGGGCAATCCGCTTGAGAAGACTTTTCGTATACGCGGCAGCCATCATAGCCGCATAGCCTTGCCATCGCTTGTTCTTGTGAGAGTCGGAATAGTCACAAATTCCTCTAACAACCAAGCACGGGAAGTGGTTCATGAGCCCTGCGGCTTCCATCTCAAAGCATAGAACGCCATGTTCTTTGGCCATCTTGTCCCTCATTCTTGCGTCTTTCATTAACTGGTTCGACGAGGCGATGACACCGTAATGGATGACGGATTTTCCTTTCCCGTGCTTTCTCGGGGCGCGGACAACAAGATTCGGATCATTGTTCTCGCCGGAACCAGCGCAGCAGCTAGAGTTGTGGACGTAATCACTTTTGTAAAGCCAGTCAGTAGTTGACTCCGGTCTGCTATGTGTGCCTTCGATGCCTGGAGATCCGGCAAATGCGCTCTCTACATCATTTTCGAGAGTATGCCCTCCTTTCCTGTCGTAGAATTGTCTGAGATTGCTAAGTGCCGTAAGAAGTGCAGGAGGAGGCTGGTTGAGCAAGCGTGTCGTCTTGAACTCTTGATTTTGGATCGCTTTCCCGAAGTCGTATTGGAAGACACTCCCTGTGGAGCTATCTCCGTCACGGGCGCTGACGACGATATCACCCAGTCGGATGTCGTGCTTCTCCGTTGGTGCACCACCACCAATGCCGACCATCAGTCCAATCCGAATATTTGGGAAGCTATTAAGCATGTTGCTGGCAGCAGCAGCCGCAGAAGCTGTTCCGTAGTCCCCGTGGGGTAGACCAGCGATGACGACGTTATGCTTCCCCATCGTTCCAAGGGTGTATGAGTTCGTGTCGCCAGTGGAGACATAATCCGGCCCTTCTTCTTCCTCCGAATCGAGCATTGCACATGTGGCGGCAAACTCGGTAGTGATAGCCGTGATCAGGCCAACAGTGTAGAGCGCTGGGTCAGGCATGTCGAGTGGGAAAAGGCATCCCTTGATGAGGAGTACTAGTGCCTCGTGAAGGATATCCTGTAGTAATCAGAGATATTACCTGTGGGGATGTATGGCTTGAAACGGTGCGAACACGACCGTGCTGCACTGTGGAACAAAGTCGAAATTCGAAATATCTGCCCTTGTGTGTGTGGCGGCGCACCTCGGTATAAGATAATCCTGTAGGTGCGTATCATCCCTGCTCATTTAGCCCCGCCTCCGCTCTGCTCAAAGGGGGGTTAGTGCTGACAGCGGGCGTAGTGCACACAGCGGATACAGCTAATTTACCTTGTCTTCAGAGCTGCTGTCGCATTAGAGAATTGATTTTGCAGATCTAGCTAGTCCAGAACTTTAGAGTGTGCTTTGCTGAGCTATATGGAGTCTAGTTCGTAGTTTGGGAAAGTGACAATCTTAATAATGTTTTGCAAGGCTGAATGCAAGGCAGCTCTGAGCTTCGCTTATCACATTTTCACCAGGCAGACGCTGAATGCACAGCCGACGGCTAGCGCGATAAATAAATGGACCTTGGAACAGGGGACGTCTGCCGTAACGAATCACACCCCTGCCTCCTTCAAGCGGTCAATCCGGACAACACACCACCAGCTTGCGTCGCATTCCTTGGCAGATACTGCGCCGCATCTGAGATGACAGAGAAATCCCACGTAATGAGCAGATACAAAGTGTGAAGACGCTGTATGTAAGATCCTACGTTTATTTTCGAATTCATCATTGTCGGATGCACACAAAGAGAAAAAAAAAGAAAAGAGAAAAAAAAAGACAAGAGAACGTGCAAGAAGACTTTTACAGAAAATTTTGAAAATGTCGGTCAGGTGTCGGAACCAACTTTTCTTCAGCCCTGCCGCTTCGTAGTGGTATGATACATCAAGTCCATGCTAAGAAGGCTAATTAAGGATTGAAATATCTACAGAAGATGTGTACGATAATCCCAAACTTGTGAAATGGTTTCTAAAGATGGCGAATCTAGGAAGCAAAAGTCTCTAGAATGAGGCCGTATAATAAGCTTTATTTGTAAGGCGGAGTAGAACTTTTAACGTGATTGACCTAATCAGATGTTTGTATCATTTCTTAGAAGAGTTTCTTGATTTAAACCCAAACCAGCACGCTCAATGATGCTTTCAAGCTATATGTCCGATTCGTCCGCCAGTTAGCTCTCGGGTTGAACTTCTTGCCCACAGGTATAGGATAATTTCTTCGATTTGCTGGAGATAGATGCAGGAATCATCATTCACCACAAGTTGCCGCAGCGCATGGCGTATCTGGCTGGCCATGAGACGAAAGGCCGCTTGACTGGTGACTTGCTGATCACCTGCAGGTGTTAGCTTTGTATGGACAAGAATTTTAGATGTGGAGTCATTTTGGGTTGGTTATTGGGATGGCGGGTGTTTTCGTATGAACTTGAGGGATATGTATAGACACATGGATGACGAGTAGTCATCGGGTGATAAATTTAGGTAAATATTGGAACGCATTAAGCATACGGTCTTGACGAAACGCTACAAATTGCTCAGTTGAAGCAAGGTCTGGGTAAATTCCTTCTGTGCTCTGTCTAAACAAGATCGTATTTGGATCCATCCACCTACGCCGTACTCATCATTTTGCCCTTGAGACAACTTCTTTCAAGCTAAAGTGACTCTAAACTCCGTTATGCTTCATTCCCCCCAGTCACTATTTTCAACAGCTTAGCCTTGTACTCCTCCTTGTCCTCATCCGTCAAACGCCATCTCTCCAGCTGCTCCTGCGTCGGTTGGCTATGTTCAAACCAGGCACAGTCGACGTCGACCGTCACCTGCCGAATGTTGAGGCGACTGAACTCATAAAATGTAGAAAAGAAGTTCCGGTAGATGCTTTCGAGCGGGGAGATCTCTTCCGACGGCACCAGCACTTTTCCTGACCATCTCCCATCCGTCCACTTCATGTCTGAAACAGTCAACAAGACACCCTTCCATGCTTTATCCCCAACGACATTGACCAACGACAGGTCCCTCAGGCCGGAAAGCAGACGTATCTCGATGTCTTCGTCCCAGCTGTCCTCGCCGAACCGCTTTTGATCTTCGCAGTCCGTGTGGGCACCCTTGGCCATCCAGTCCGGATCCAAGCACAACATCTCCGCCAGGTACTCAAACGTCCGCCCGAAGTAGATGCGAAGTGTTCGGACTTCTTGCAGATCGATGGCGCGAGTGTGGTTGATAAAGGCGTTAAGCGTCCTGCCGCTGTTGAACACGAATGTTGTTCGTCGGTAGAACACTTTTCCGTACTCGGCGAGGAACGCCTTCGAGACGAGCAGCGGGTCGCGGTACACGGTACCGCTCGGCACACACTCTGGGCTCTTGCATTTGCGGCAGAACTCCGGATACACCATGGCGAGGCGGTACTTTTGCCGGAGCGCGCTTTGGGTGCCGTAAGGGGTGTTCCGGAGAGTCAGGGCGTTTGAGTCTTTGAGATCGTTGCAGCCGGCTGGGACGTGGCAGAGGGAGAGGCGGCGGCGAGGAAAGCCGTAGAGCTGGTCGTCGAGCCAGTATTTCGGCAGTATGAGAACCTCTGGAGACTCGACGACGTACTCGAAGATCAGCTCGCGCAGCTCTACGGGCAGCGACGTGAAAGGGAAGCTGGACACCTTAAACCTCTTCCTTGCGGGGCTGGATATCGGTTCCCTTGCGGTGCGCTTCATCGTGTATTTTTTCCTGTGGTTTGTTTGGGGGCGAATTTGGGAAGAGGAATGAGCGGTTCTTCTGGGGGTGGATGTGGGGAGAGAACAATAAGGAGACGGCAGGAAAGCAAGGACTTTTTCATTGTCTAGGACTGTGAGATCTTAAATTCTTCCTACGACTGGTCCATGGTAGTGTCAAGACCCTTGGTCGAAACTCGAAAATTTCTTCAGGGTCTACCACAAGGGCAAATCTCGTTTAGCTGCGGTCTCATCCCATCGTTTGTGAAGGGCTGAAGCGATTTCACATTTCAAAACTACTCTATATCTTCACACGAATTGGTAAGTCTTGTCGAGAATGATTTGCAAAACAATATGCTTTAATTGGTCTACTGCTCTCTCAAAGTGTCTACGCCTGCCTGTGGCGGATCGACAGGCATATCTATCAGTCTATGTTTTAAAAACTTTTTTTCCCAGACTCCGCAACTTGTCTTCACTCGTTATTGACAGAATAGCTGCACGTTGCTTGAGGTAGTGCAGCGTCCATGGCGGGTGGTTAGACCCTGAGAACCCTTCTCTCGGCTCAACTTCAATCCGATTTCCAGTTCCCATGCCTCTTGGCATCCTCAAGGACCATCTCGTCCTCCGCACGGTCCTCTTCCTCGGCCTTTTCAAGGAACTTCAAGAGGTCGGAGTGGCTAATGACAATATCCTCGTTGAGGATGGCCTGCGTGATAGGGCAGTCTTGGTGGAACCGCCTCGCAATGTGGATGCCAAGGAAGTCCCTGACTGAGATCCTGAGATCGCCATCGCAGAGCTTGCCGAGCTTGTCGCGAAACTCGATCTCCCCCCTCGGGTCTTCGATCGGCATGTACGTGTTCTTGCCGGCGCTATTGGTGCCAGCCCGCACCTGCTTGACGAAGACGTAAAAAGCCCGCTTCTTGTCGTCCCTGTTCAAGTCGATGTTGACGATGACTCCCATGCCGGGGAGGCCCCTGGTGTCCTTGATCACGTCACGGACCTTGCTCTTTGTGTCGTGGTAGCCCTTCGAATCGGTGACTTCCAACACAGCGCAGGGGTTCGACACTCCCCCATCTCCGCACATCCAGACGCAGTCCAGGATGACGGTGCCCATGCAGTCCATCGCATGGTTTTGGAAGCTGGACAGGCCACCGACAACCCTGCGAATCGAGTCCCAGTACTTTTCCGATGGAGGGTGGCGATTAACGATGCTCTGCAGCCGGCCGAAGACATGGTCGCGGAAGAAGGTGGCCGTCTTGAAGCGGAGCGAGCCTGGCATGACGCTGTACGTCAGTCTCTGCTTGCGGCGGTTGTAGCGGAACTTGAAGCCGTCGCGCGCGAAGGTGTAAACGTCCCACTGCTCTGACAGGAGGCAGAGGAACTCCTCCCATTGCTCTGGCTGGAGCTTTGCGTATCCGGTAGCGTCCACTCCGGAGGGGTTTCCGTCATACACACGGCGGAGCTTGTCCACAAGGATTTGAGGGAGCTGGTGGTAGAGGTTTGGCATCGTGGATGGGTGTCTGAAGCTGTGGTTTGTCTTGTAGCGCGGTAATATTCGAAAGGAGGTTGTTGTGCCGTCGCGGCAAAGTGATTTGCGTGTTCTGTCGAAGCGGTAGCGGGCCTGTGGGGAAGTTAAGTAGGCGGAAGGTCAAGCATTGTTTTTATATAACGTACTTGTTGAACACCGAGAGGTAGATTTGTGTTGCGGCTGCGATTGTGTACTTGTTTAGGTCGGTCCGGACTTCAGGCGTAATAGTCGGCAGGATGTGTGAGTATTTGTCTGTGCACAAAAAGATAAAACTTTCAAAAGATGCTGTGATAGAGTATAGTAGAGAAGGATGGCAGGCTGGAACAATGGGTGGAGGGGAGTCGGTGTTGAAGTGCGCTCGGGGCGGCTTTGCGGTGCTGGCGGAGCTCTTGCCTAGCCGGGTGTCAGAAGCAGAAGGGAAATAGCCGAAAGTCATTACCCGGCCGACGGGCTTCAGGCGGCGAGCGGTGGATGGATGATCCGGGGCCTATATAAACCTTGCCATGAACCATGTTCCTGCCCTTTCCTCTCCACGATCCACAGATCGGGCCCGGTGATGACAACCTTTTGCAATAGGGAACACTCCCCCCACGGGGGAGGCGTACTCATTTATTGATTCAGTTACTATCTGAGGGCCTCTTATATAGCATGAATTCAAATCTTCAAGATCCGCAATTGATATTCGCGCCGTGCAGCTGTTGCTAGTGTTTTGTTTGCGCCCGCTACCACAATCCTCTGCCTGATCCAAGCTACACGTGCCGGTCTGCCACTCGCATGCAACGCTCTTCCTCCTAGCGAAATGCTTCCCTCTTGATGCGGAGAGCAGATGGGCTGTATTTGATATGTACGGCGTCGATGCGCGAGGCGCGCGGCGCGGCACAGGCTGTCCGACCCAGCTTCACGTCCAGTTATGGCAGACAGCGTAGATCTGACGGCATTAACATTGAGCGACAGCTTCTTGCTGTCCGGTGACGCGTTTACAGAAGGGAAGCCCAGCCTCTGCTGCTCTGACCGTCAGCGCGGGCACCAAGCACTGATGCGAGTGCCCTCCCAGATGACCCACGCCCGCACAGTCCGGAGTTCCAGCGTCCCCAGAGCCCCAAACAACTAGCGAAGAGGCTTAGGACTTATCATGTGCGTTGCGCGCCAGCCCACGCTATCCGCGACCACTGTCCGGAGGACCTGTCGTTGCGTGACACCCGACCCCGACAGCTGCCAGCGCCTGTCACGGAACAATGACATCACTGACTCCAAACAACGCAGATACGAAACGGCGCTCATGACAGAGGCGCCCGCGGCGCGCTGCAAGCGCTGTCCGCAGAGCATCGTCATCACCCCGCGACCGAAATCCCGATCTGCTTGGAGCTTCGACACGCACATGGGTCTGCCCTTCACATGCACCATCTCTCGAGAGCTTTCCCCACCGCTTAATAGCCATTTTTGCAACGCCCTTCATCTGGGAAGCCAGCATTTTGCTCTTCAAGCAACCCAGATTGCGCGCCATGGCATGATCGACGAAGAAACCATCCCGCGAACGAAGCCTCGCATGTCTGCCGCTTCATCGATGAGGTCCGACGCTTCAGATGCCAATCCACCGGGGATTCGACACGCAAATATCCCTACAATTCACACGTGCCATCTCCTTACCGCTTGCGGCACAACTGGATCGTCATACCCGCTATGCACTTGATCCAGGAAGCAAAACATTGCTTCTGAGACAACACAGCTTGCTCCGCGTGGCATCGACGGGGAGATATGGTGGCATAACTGCTACATTAAGGTAAACAGGACAAAACAGACATGTGCGCGATCATGAGCGCAGCACAGGATTAGGGGGCTGGTGATCCTCTTGGAAGGTATGTACAACACTTGATCTGGGTGAGAGATGCGTCACTGGATAATAATATTTGACAACTATAGAGTAAGGTAATAGACGTCGAGGGAGCCTATTCTCAGAATCGTGAGTGGAACCACATTTTGCGAACAAGTACCTAATGGCGAACTTTTGGACCTCTGACGGACAAAGCAAAAACAATGGAGAGAGAAAACTTGCATGGTGCGCCTGAGACATATGCACGATGTCTGCAGTCGAAGGCAGCAGCATCAGAACCATCCTCTATCTGTCATGGAGTCCACGAGTACACTTACTAACAATGCACTTGTTCCTCGTTAACAATGTTCCAGTGCATTCCAGTGTACAATGAAATGTCTCACTTGCCACATTGTTCAAGTCTCATGTATCAGCAGCACTGCTTTCTCCGCCTGAGCCTCTTTGTTCTTTCACACCATGAACAACTCGGTTTTCTCATCCATACGAATACAAAATACCCCGCCAACGACCCACTCAACCCCGTAGCAATTTCAGTCACTCGAGTTTCGTTACCATGGATTCCTTCATCACCAACGAGCAACCCATTCCCTGCATGATTCGCGCTGATAGATACGGTGTGAGCTGCCTGAAGTCTCGCTCTGAGGATATACGACTCGAGCTGCCGTTCAACGTTACCACATTCGTGAACAAGCACCTGCTGAATGAACTCCGACGCCTTGACAAGCGGAGCATGACAACGACGTCGGCATATGAGACCTTGTATATGCGCCTCCGTGAACAGTTCGACGCTTGCGACAGCGAGTCCATTCGCGGCTTTGCGGATGAGCGGTCGGTTGTGGCTGCTGTCGTCAACGCAACTGTCGCCGTCTGTGAGATCGAAGAGCGATTCATACGCATAGATCCGCAAGTGCTGGAATTCGGAGAGGTTTGGAATGACTGGGAGGTCAAGGACCTGCTATCGGGCTTCGGAGCCGACGTGAAAGCAACACTTGCTGTGGAGCTTGAGGCGCAGCTGCTGAGCACACAAGCGCTTATGGGAGACTATGTTCTCCCGGAGCTGATGGTGTATGACCAGCTCTTCTCCATCGTATGCAAGGTATTGCTTCACTCTGCTGATGATGACGACAAGGAGATGGACGAGGAAGCTCAGAAGGCTTCCCTTGCCATCACTCAGGCTATCGCCAAGCACCTCTGTCGATTCGAGTAGCGCAATCGTTGCCTTTCTCTGTTTTCCTTTTTTGCTAGTATACTTAGACCATCAGCTTAAGTAGCATATCTTAAGCACCGCATTGCTTTTGACAAATATCAATCATGTTCGTTGCTGCTGATAGTTTTATTATTTGCTAACTGTGATATTGAACCATGCAATTACGTTCTGTGCTCCCGCATTCACAGCGATTATACAACACTCCCATGTGCTGTTTTGACTCAGTCTGCAGTCAACCAGTGTCAAATGCAACGCCGTCCTGTGCGTCGCTCAGCATATCTGCGTACCCTCTCTCATATAGCCGGGAGCTCATCATTTGGGCTGCTGCTCGATGCCTACTAGGTGGTTCAGCAGGCACCAGTAATCGCGTGGCGCCAGCAACGAGAGGAGTGGCGGCAGATTATGATAGTTACCATTTGTGGCGCATGAACGGGTGGTACTGGTGGTCCCGGAGGCTTTTAAGAATATGGTTTACCATAGCAATCAACAAAAGTGAGTTCGTATTCCAGGCCGTCTTTGGAGAAGCTGTGCGTCGGTGAGAGGCATCGTTGCAACGTCTGAAATCAACAACAGGTTACGCCCCACATATGATTGCTTTGCCTAAATGCTAATCGTGGAGGTCAAACACTACGTCTAGAGGTGGTCGCATTGCATGGAGTCGTTCCTGCCAGAATGGCGTAGGCAAAATTTGCGGGGCATCGGAATGTATGTTTCCGTGCAATAGAGCTGTAGCGCCTGTCATGCTATTCGCTAGGTTGCTACCGCTTTGACATTTCGCGGGAGATCCCAAAGCATTGAATAGAGCCGAGGGGAAAGGTCTCGCTCGCCGCTTGGGACGGTGGTGCTATGCTTGGAGTGAGAGAGTGTGTGCGAGCGGCTTTGCGGGGACGGGTGACGATGATGACTATCGTGAGTGGGCACAGAAAGCCGCCACACAGGATGCTGCCTTGAGGTGATTGCGTTTTCAATCTGGCGCCAGGTGAATGTGGGTTGACCTGGAGTTTGCCTCTACTTATAAGTAAACACGGCTGATCCCATCTCATCCAACAAAGCTACGTACGCTTAGTCCACCTGGACTCTCAACAACCACGCCGGAACCTCCGTTCGAAACCCACTCCTGGACCTGGATCTAAAATGAGTTGAGCAAGGTCCATTAATTCCGACTCGCGATTTGAGAGGATCGTTTGTAGATATCTGAATTAGTGGGAATGCGGTAAAACTCATAAATATTTTTTTGCCCTTCACTCCGGTCTATCATTTCTTTTATCTTAGGGACTACACGCGGCAGAACCATCCTTGGAGGCGAATAAGATAAAGAACGTTACTAACTTCTAGAACAGACACTCTTATAACTTTCTTCACTGATCTCAAGGATCTAGGGCTGCATCGACAGTTAGAGACCGGCCACCAGTGATGCACAGAAGCGACGGGCGCATTGTTTGAGAACACGGTGCCGAAATGCTAAGGAAACAACACATTAAGAAGAGCATCGACACTGTTTAACAACATTACGAAACAACCATACAGGCACTATTCATGTACTATGCAGACAAGGTAAGGTATATAAGATTCGTCGTATGGGGTTTGAAAACTGTAGAATCTGGACACGCAATCACTGATACAGACGAAACCATCTCCCAACATCTGTACCTCCGATTGCAAAACGACCATTTCCTCCAACATGCAAAACTCATCCTCTTTGACGGTCCAGCCGTCCGAGGACAATAGGCCTCGCACGGCAGACTCCATGAGCTCCGGCGTGGTCGAGCAACTCTGCTCACTTTCCCTTAACCGCTTCCCACTTAAGGACAACGAGGAGCCCTACTACCCCAGCATCCGCCCCACCCGCACCCTCGACAAGGGCCAGCAGCCTGGCAAACACAGCAAGCGTTCCACCGGCCCGCCCCAGCTCCGGGGCGACAAGGCTTGGACTCGGTGCCAGGCGCACGACGCTGACCTTCAGAGCCTTCTTGTGTACGACTTTGTCGACCCGGCCAACGGCGTCCCGACGCACGTTCTTTTGGTTGCAGATGAACAGCCCGTGAGGATCTGCGCTGATCGGTACGACATGATGATGATGCTTTACGATAACCTTGAGTGCGTCGACTGGCATGACTTCGTGAGCGAGGTCAAGAAGTTTATCGTGGCTATGGATGGTGCTGAGAGCTCGTTCCGCAGCCTGCGTCTTACGTTGATTAGGCGTGTCGCCGCGCTTACTAGGGATGCTGACAGCAACTTTGACATGTGGCAGCGTGACATCATCCGCCTGGACCATCTGTGCCAGCTCTTCATCGTTGACACCTGTGATGTCCTTGAGCCCCCTTCTGAGCCCGCAAAGCCCTCTCTTATTCGTCGTTTGACCACTCGAATTTGTCATTGAGCAGCGTGATGTGTGCCATGCGCCTCGCTGCGTGCTTTGCTTTGACCGTTCCTTGATCCTTTTTGTTCCCGACAGATACCCGGATGCCATTGTCTCCGTCAAGGAGACTTGGATACATCATTCCACTTAGTACTGTAGCAATTGTAAGTCTGTTTCCATACTCCATATTACTCCTACTTTATCGTGATATTGTGCTGTGGTGATACTTTTGTGTTCAGGTCCTGTCCTACCATTACGTGCATATGCTTCAAGCATTTTAGGTGAGCAACCACTTACTTCTCCCTCGCTTCTCAAAAACAGAACAATCTTGTTGTTGAGCTATTCTTCATACATGCCGTGATTATAACTCGCCTTAATTGTTCCTATCTCGTCATTGGCAATCAATCACACTCGCTTTATGTTACAAGGTCAGGAGTATCTACCTTTCCCGAAGCCCGTCATGGAGGCGGCTCTTCTCGCCACTGAAGGTGGTTGTCTGTAGCGCTGAAGGCTTATTCGGTGGATCGCGAGGTAGGAATTTGGTGTTCGTTGTGTCCATACTCCTCTCAGGATGATCAGGTCCACACCGAGACCATTGTTTCAGCCGCCAAGTCCTGCTTACGTATGCTGTCAGCGTCAATGCTGCATTGTTCTGAGAAACTTGGACAAAGCGGCGCCGACCAAAAATAGATTCTCCTGGAGCTCTTTGAGAAAACAATGCTCCCCTTCACCATTGTTTCCAAACATGGCGCAGTTGAACTGAGAAGTCTGAACTATAAGAACCATCCGACCAGGAGCGAGATTTGAGCAGCAAGCAACTCACCATTCACGGCAAATCACTACTACATCATCTCGCAAGTACACTGTGCTTTTTGAGACCAATCACCATCTCAACTCACCACCGCAAGCACAACCGCAACCACCACCATCACCAACCAACCGACATCACCATGTCCTCCACCATCGCCATCAACGACGGCAGGGACCGCGTCCCGCTCGCCGACTCGACAGCCGTGCGCATCCAGCGCTCCAGGCTGGACTGGAGCACATTCATGCAGGCGTGGACGGCGGGCATCATCCCGAGCAAGGACTGGATGCCGTCCGACATGCAAATCATCTTCGAGGGCCTCTACATGGCGCTCGAGAGCAAGGATGGCAAGACGGTGCGCATCACGTCGCTGCTGCAGTGGTTCGAAGACAAGATAGACGAATACCTCCTCGTCGCCTGGCGCGGCGACAAGATTCGTGCGTACAGGGCTGGCGTGAAGTGGGTGCGTCCGTTTGCTGAGCTGTGTGTCTCGGCTGTTGCGACTAGTGATATGGGCGTTGCCCCGCTGCGTCGCTAGGTAAGTAAAGGTGAGTAGCAGGTAAGTATGAATCCCCCATCCCCCTCTGGTAGGTATCAATCCATCCCGTATCTTTAATCTTTTCTCCCTTGTTTCAAGTGCTATGCCATGTTGTGAGGAATAATGAAATTTGTAGAACTGTAGAAGAAGCCTTCTGCAAAGAGGCCTGTGATGGCTACAGCTGCCATGTGTACAATAGTATGTCGCCAAGGACAAGAGGTGTGCTACCGCTTCTGCTGCTGTTGCTGTTGTCCAAGTCAAAAATCCAAACCCAAGCCTTGGAGCCTCTCCCGATTATCCAGATGATCCTCCAATGTCTTAAGCAAAAAAAGCAAGCCCCCAGTAATTGTTAATGTCCGTCTTCCTCAAGACGATGATGTTGTTGTTTTTGTGTCGTCTTTCAGCATTTCAGAAGCCAGGCCGCCGTCTTGAAGCTCATTGTCGCGCAACCTCTAAGCCGCACGGGCAATAACCGTCTGAGAGTCATGCCTGCCATCCAAATCAGTAGCATCTACCCATCATCTTCTCCCCCCTCCCCCCATCCAAACAAACGAAAACGTAGGCAGGGTAAACAACATACTCTCCAAGCCCCTCCGAATACCTCGGCGGCGGATCCGCCAAACCAGCCTCAACATCATACTCCGGCGGCGCCCTACGCGTCGGGGGAGCGCGTCCCGCGACACGCGGCACAGCAGCAGCCGGGCGCGCGGCGTTGCCGCTGTTGCTGTTGCCGTTGCCGCCACCACGGCCGCCGTTGATGCGCACGAACTGCGGGACGATAGCCAACTGGATACCGACACTACCGTCGTTGGCAGCGGCGACGATGGGACGGGACGTAGCAGCGGCGTTGGCGACGGTCGTGCCGCTGGCGCTGCGCGGGAGGAGGGTAGCGGCGGCAGCAGCAGCAGGAAGGCGAGGCAGGGGGCCGTCGTGGCCGTCGACGACCATGCCGGCGCGGGCGGCACGGGCGGGACCGGGGGCGATAATGCCGTCGGCGGTCGTCGTCGTCGTGGCGTTGCGGGTGGTGACGCGGGTCGCGTTGGTACTGCGGTTGTTGGCGCGGTTGGCGGCGCGGCGGCGGCGGTTGCGGGTCGGGATCTCGTGGGGGACCCAGCCGGGGATGGTGTATGCGATGAAATGCTGGAGCGGAGGGGGTTAGTTGGTGTTGCGCGGTGTGGGGCGGAAGTGCGGATATGCGGGAGGAGGAGAAGGAGGAGGAGGAGGAGGAGGAGGAGGAGGAGGAGGAGAGCGAGGATGCGGACTTACGAAGAAGAGGCAAAGGGCGACCAGGCCGAACATGACGACCATCACGATGCCCAGAGTCTGCATGGTTGCGGAGTATGTGTCGAGATTCAAACGCGGTGTGCGGAGGTGGTTTGGTTTGGAGAGGACCGCAGCGGCGCAGGACGGTGCTGGTGCCGGGCGGGTGTTGTGGTCGGGTGAAGGAGGACGGGGCGGAGGGTGTCGCAGAGAAGAGGGCCGCCTTGCTGGGCCAGAAGATCTGGGTTGGGCGCGCAAGTGAATGAGGCTGTGTCCGACGGCTAACCTGCTGGGCCGGCGTCGCCCGCGCGACGAGGCCTTCGGGAGTGTTAACCACACCATGCGTCCCCGACTCGTAGAGCGAAAGATGCTCTAGTGAGACGTAGATTGCGATGTCTCATGATTGTCTAGACGCTGACGATAATGCGGCATTCATAGGTTGTGGCGCGAATACAGACGGATACCGCGCCGCCGTCAGACGGCCTGGCGAGCCTCCAGATGACTTCGCCGCTGCGCTCTGGGACGAAGGCCGCAATCCTCGTCCCCGGAAAAGCTTTGCACCGCTCCAATCAGCAACGTGTAAAATGAGGGGCAATGGCCAAAATGACGCCATGCGCTCATTTCTCTTCTTGAAGCTATCAAGGACATCCAGCGGAGAGCGCACAGCAACGACACCACTCATGGAGCCCCGCCACGCTTGCCTGATGCGCAGACCGAGCTTGAAAAGTCTCACCGCCATAAACACACCTGCCCTGGCTCTCGCCAGCCTTGGGTGCTTTCACCATCCGCAGCGGGACACAATAGAGCTCAATGGTGCACTCGTGCGCGGCTTCACCGCTTGCGGCAACGGAGGAGCTTGTCGGGCGCGCACTCGTCAGAACGATGTCACATTTGTGAATACATAGCCATGACCATTGATTCCGTAAATCCGCCATTTCTAGGGGCCAGTTTGTTGCGCTGACGAAGCTGTCAACAACGCTGTCCTGGCCAACGTCAAGCTGGCCGATGCCACCAAATGCACCTCCGAACGCGATGACCTTGAAACGATAGCTCCAGTATTTCTGAAGGGCCACATGTCTATTAACTCACCGCAGCAGCGAAATGCGCAAAGCAAAATGAGCGCGATAGGGCGCGCGGCTCAACACCAACCAAACTGCGGCTGCCGCAGTGCGGCAAAGAATGCGACGCGACTGAGATCTTCCATAGCATGTTGCCAACAAGCTTGCCGACTTCACGCGCGTATCCGCTGTTCTCACAAAATTTCCTTTGCAGCCAAGGCTGATATTTCTCTTCCTCAAAAGCCGGCTCAGGGCCAGAAAATTGACGAAAAGAAAAAGAAGGTCGCATCAGCCTCAGGTAGTGCAATAGAGGCGACACTGTGGCAGCTAGTATGAGCGGAGCTCAGTGACCAGCCACCTGGTTCCAAAAAGTAGTTTAATCAAGAGAAAACCCCGTAGGGCGTTCTAGAGATTAAACTAGAAAGAACATACACTGCACTTGATCTAAGCCAAAAGGCAAAGAGAGCTGAAGAAGAAAAGAGGATCTTCGGCGAGCAGTCGAGGGCTATTTAAGGGCACGCCAAGACCGATCCATCTGGCCTGCATGTGTTCGCGTGGAGGACCCATCGGCGTGGCAACGACTGCGGGATGCCTGTTTGGACTGGGGCCAGCGAAAGGTGCGCGACACGGGAAGGAGCGGCCAGGCCATGCCATGGGAGTTGGAAGGTGCAGATGGCGCTTGTGACTGCGCAGGTGAGCGCTGTAGACGATCTTGGACGGTGGCACTCCCCCGCCCTGTGACGGTGACGGCACACGTGGATAGCCGCTGTGGAAAGAGCCAGCTTGACAGGTACGAGGCCATGACGATTTCATACTCGCCTTTTGAACAGGCTTGGGTCATCCATGGCTTCATGCCCCGTGCCTCACATAGTGTTCCTGGCGAGGGGGCCCGTCGTCTATTGGAACTAATTGGTCACGATGTCGCCCTCTGTCAGTCCGGAGCTCCACATTGTCGACGGGGTCAGACATCCAACGGACCGTGTCCTCCGCCTCCCATATGCCAAGATCTTGGAATGGACCTTCCGCAAGACCTCGAACGCTACCAGGTCCGTGCTTCTCCAGCCGTATGTCTTCCAGTATACGCCTCCGCTGTTGTCGTTCTGTGCGCGCTGCTCTGGCTTGAAGTTGTCCATGCGCGTGTTTGTGTCAAATTTCGTCTTGCTGCTTGCCAAGTCTTGGGGAGTCAGCGCTGATGCGTCCGTGAGGTGCTCCTGCTCAGAGAGTGTCTTCTTTTTGAAGAACTTCCTACTGTTCATTCAAGTCTGCGCCCGCTTCTGATCCGGCGTACCTTTGGCAACTCTACCCATATTGATTTGTGTCTTCTACACGAAATGCCCTAAACCATCGTGAATTCATGGTTCTTCAGCAACGTAGGTTTTCAACTGCCTAGAAAAAGCGCATTTAGTTCCACACGCACGATGGAAACTGCTTCCAGAAGGAACCAGCCAGGCCGACGATTCACCCGAGAATCTCGAGGAGGAGAGCACTTTTGCCCTCACAATCGTAGAAATGGCCAACGACTTCCAGGGTAAGATCTGCGCAGCATACGGTAAGGACCCACATTGAAGCAGGATCATGCAGGTCTTGCACATTACCCGAGATAATTACCGGAAGGAGATCCAGCAAGCCGCGCAGCAGGACCTGGCGCAATTTTCAAAATAGCAGGCCACCGAGGATTAGCGAGGCAGCGGAAAGATGGAGGAATATGACGCCGAAGAGATATGCAGAGCGGACGCCATCGAAGAAGAGACCCGAACCGAGGACGCGCCTGTAAGCCATCGGTGACCGGAATTGGAGCAAACACACCTGCCGGAGTGCTTCAAGGCGAGAAATGACAAGCTTCGGCAAGCAACGCCGAGAAACATGAGCCGAATGGTCACGAGCAGTCGTGTTCTTTGAGTACGTCTACCCTGAAGACTCTCACTCTGAAAATATCTGTAAGCTGATTAAAGGCCTTGGTCAGCTGGTCTAGGTGAGCTTTAGCCTCAGGTTTTGTTACTTAGTTTGCCAGCCGTATTTATGGGAGTGGTCTGACTACTACGAGCTTCCAATATAGCGGTTATGCTGCTATAACAAAATTTAAGCACGTATAATGTATCAGTGAGCGAAATTACTCCAACTTCCGTGAAAGGAAAGACTGGGGGGATGGCCGGCGGTGAGACTACTGCGGTGAGAAATGGGCTATGTACTCTGTTAACGTGATGAGGCACGAGACTCCTCGCGATGTAAGAGCACATATGGCAATTGGTCTTATCAGGTGGCTTGTATCGTCTTAAACTTTTGTGTATTTTCGTATGATAAACGTCATTATTGGCGGCATGGGTGACGATATCAGGGTGTCTAGTCACTGAAATTTAATGATCCTCAGCTATCGTACCTTAATATGACTAGCGGCGGTACCAGGGCCGATCGCGGCATATTCATCAGTGGATGGCACCATAATTCTCGAAACCTTTCCTCAGTGCCATTGATTTTAGGTGAAGCCAAAGAAAGCAAACCTCCATGCGTTTCGGCTACAAGGGTGGAAAGTCCCATCACTCTACAGAGCCGCGCTGACGTGCCCGCGGACCCACATGCCGGGGGGGCGGTTTGACCACTGACCGGCACATTTCGTCCCACCAAGCCCGTGGAATCGCTATGTCCACCACCGAGGCGTAGCACCACCGAGGCGTAGAAGAGCCACAATGCCAGCACGAAATGGTCAGAAAATGTCGCGTCTGACTAGTGAAGAATACCCAGGGTCAACTTGATGAATGGACCAGTAATGAATCCAGAATGATATTTTGTCCTACCAAGACGACGGGCGCCAGTTGGGTTGCGGCCAGAGAATAGTCTGTAGATACGCCTACCAAACGCTGAATGTCGTCTTCATTTGAGATAGAAGATCGCCTTGATCCACGGTTCCAACACCGCAACTAATCATCCCCATCCGGCAAAGTAGCCTCATCTTCGGTATCATCTTCAGTATCGTCCTCCAGCCTCTGCTCCTCGGCCTGGAGCTCGTCATCAATCCGCTCCGCCTCGTCCATCGCAGTGCTGAACCTGCCCACGTCACCCTCCAAAAAGGCGTCCCGGGCCTCCTTCCAAGCCGCCACGCCGCGGTCGTACTGCTCGTGGCGCAGCAGCCTGAACAGCTCCTCGCCCGTCTCGGGATGCAGCATGACGCCGTTGACCGGGAGCCAAAAGTCGCCGGCCTTGACCCAGCCCGTCGCCAAGGCCAGGGCACGGCGGAACTCGTAGCGGCGCAGGCGGGCCTGGATGCGCGTGACGTCGGCGAACAGCCTGCGACGACACTGTGGGCAACGGTCCTGCAGCATGCGGTCCTCGCTGCGCGGGCTGGTGATCTCGGCGAGCAGGCAGCGGCGGTGGTAGGCGTGGCCGAAGGAGCAGGTGAGGATCCGGTCGTCGGTGAAGGTCGGGTGCAGGAAGCGTGCTTCGTTGGCGCGCGAGACGAGGCCGAGGTGCGGGATCAAGGGAAAGGGGTCGTCGTTGCCGTCGCCGTTGACGTCCGTGTCGGACGCGGTCGGGTCGAGCCGGTGGAACCAGTCGAGGACGATGTGGCAGCGAGAGCCGTCGACGGCGGTGATGTCGGGATCGATGGCTTCTTCCTCGATGTTGCTGAGGGCTTTGGCGAGACTGGTGTAGTTGGGCGTGTAGCCGCTGTTGAGGGATTCCAGGCAGATGGCGCACGTGTCTTCGTCGGTGAAGCGGCCGGGCCAGTTGCGTTTTGCCGTGTGGACGTAGTGATAGAGCTGGGGGACCCGTTTGCCATGTTGTTGGAGATATTCATGAAGGATCGCTGGGTCCATGTGCTCCATGGATGCGGTGCTGATGTCCTCCCGCGCCTCAGGGGGCTCGTCCACGGCGGGCGCGGCGTCCATGGTGTCGTTATCGAATGAGAGTGCTAAATCGACAGTGGAGGTAAGGAGGGTGAAGCGAGTGATTGGGAAGAAGGGCGGCCGGCTACGGTAGCTCGCCGCGGGGGGTGGTGAAAGGTATCGCTTCACCCGACGCCCCGAGCACCGCCGCGACGCTTCCACCACCACCTTCCACCGTCCGCGACCATGGAAGAAGAACGCCCGCCGACGCCCATCATCATCGCCGGCACAACTGTCTCCGTCACCATGCGCGTCCGCCCTCTCGCTCGCGACGGTTCCACTGCGCAGAGCCCTGTCTGGAGCAGCATCGTCGAGCGCCGCCACGCCAACCACTCGGGCATTCCTGCCAGCGAGTCCTTCAGCAGGGCTTACAGCGCCATGGAGGCCCGCATGCACCAGGAGCAGCGCGAGCGCATGCAGCAGCGCCGCCCCTCCTCGACCGTTCCGCAGCTCGTCGCGTCCCCGCTCAACAACCGCCGCCCCCCTGGCATTGAGGAGCCCATGTCCACGTCCGTCCGCACCAAGGCTGGCTTGCGCCGACTCGCGCACAAGCTCAAGAAGCTGTTCTTCCTGAAGAAGGCCGCCCCGACGCCCGAGCAGGCCCAGTGCCCGTGCTTCCACTACCCGCCTGAGGGATGGCGCTTCTGCCGCTACGACGAGCACGTTGCCGAGGGCATTCGCGGCATCGCTGCTAGGGAGATTGCGCTGGGTTAGTACGTTTTCTCACTTCCTCTTAGCCCGCGAGGTGAGGCGTCGTCGCTGATGTGTCACTTTGGGACAGATGACGGTTTCGCGCCCCTACAGCCTCGCATGCTGTACTTCTGACACGTCGCAACCTCACCTTCGGGTCAGCAACGCCGTCAACGCGTCCAGATCAAAACACAGTTCATCTTCGTCGCTCAGCTCAGCGGCATACTCTTTGCAAGCTCTCAGAAGCATCTCAAAACATCTTCCGTGCGAATGATGACAAATCAGTCTTTTCTTTTCGATGATCTGCGGAAGAAGCTGGATCGCTCAGGATAACAAAGGGCTGGATTACAAAGGATGGGTTTCAAGCAGAGCATAGCAAAGCACTTCGTCAGCGAGCATTGTCTGTGCAAGTTCGACAGTGTGCGATAAAAATTTCTTTGTCTACCCAAACTTCGCTTTTCTTCATCCAGTGACCTCACTTGTGACCGCGCACCTTAGGCGAACTTGCTACCCTTGTATTGCCATTCACCTGTGATCTTGCAGTGGCCACCAGATATGGTTTTCTCACTTGCGATGGGCGGTTGTCGGATCGATGATGTCAGCGCACGGATGCGACGGCTGAGTCGAAAGAGCGGGGAACGCGAAGCGAGAGAATTCCCCACACAGGCAATTGGATCAGCGCCCGGTGCAACGCTGGCGCCAACGTTAATCTGACGGCTGTCCTCTGCAAGAGGCACGCACTTCGTATTCTGACAAGATATAGCCCCCGGATTCTGCAACTCCATGATTGATGTTTACTTGTTTGAATTCGAAGGCCGCAAGCCCAATCCAAACTCTGTAGAAGTAAATCTCAACCAGCACCGCTTGAGACCAAAATAAGAAGCAAAGAAAACTTTTCCCCCTTGGGGTCAGTCTGAAATGTCGTTATGCCAAGCCCTGCTGTGTGATCAGGCCTGCCCGCCGGCCCTTTGCCGCACCGAAACGCCACGAACACCCCCCAGAGATCTAGGCCTTGCCCTTGCCCTTCTTGTTCTCCTTCTTCTCCTCCTTCTCCCCATCCTGGCCCATATCCTCCTCACCCTTCTCGCCCTCGTCCTCGGACTTGACATCCTTAAAAGACTCGTTAATGGCCCTACGGACCGCCGAGAGATCGCCCGGGAACGCAACCACCTTCTTCTGCTCTCCCTCAACCCTGCCAACGCCCTTCCTGCCCGCGGCAGGACGCATCTTCTCCTCCTTGACCTTCTGCAGAAGCTCCTCCAAGCCCCTCTCCACCTCCCTCGCCCTATCCACGACCCCATCTGCATGCAAGAACGCCTCCTCGGTGCTCGGGCCCGGGTTCATCGTGTGCTGGATGATGGCCAGGTCGCGCAGGAACGTGAACAGCTTGCGGTCGTACACCTTGTCGGCGCGGCGCCGGCGCAGGTTGTCCGCGAACTCCTGCATATCGGTATGGCTGTCGGGCGCGTCGGCGATCTTGAAGAAGAGGTGGTGGTTGGGCCACGCGCGCGAGGCCAGCGCGCAGGTGACGAGCTCGTAGAGGGAGAAGACGTCGTCCGGGAGGGGGTTGCCGGCGGGATCGAGGCCGGGGGTGCGCAGCGTGATGTTGGCGGCTTGGGCTTCGTCCCAGGTGGTGGTGTTGGGGAAGTCGGAGCCGCCGGAGGGGGGGAAGTCGCTGGGGTTCATGGTTGCGGTTGGATATGATTTTGACTTGCTTGTGGGTTTAGGAGATTGAGTCGGACCCAGGTGGCTTGAATTTGGTCGTAGAGGGTAGAGGGAAAGGCTCAGGGGAGCTCTGTATATGGGCAGATCTGAGAGTTGCACAATGGTAAGGCAGACAATAGTTGGATGCTTCTCATTCTCTATGCACGGAGCAAAAAGTACAATATTATGGAATATTTGCGCAGGGAATTGAATGGTCATTTTCATTTTGTTCTAGGAACAATAGTGTGAATCCACACAATGCCTATTCTACAATCTCCAAAGTCAGCGCAGTATCAAGCAAGTCCGCCCGTGCACGGGCCATGCGAATCCGGGTGTTGCTTTCGCTTCCGTTTGGGTGACTCTACTGCCCGTCCCGCAAGCGACGACAGCCCACAACGCAAACCATCGCGCCCCTCATCGTCCAAACTTCGCATATCTCAAGCACAATCCCCAATCGCCACACACACACACGTACAAACAATCACACCACGAGATCCACCTCCGCCACCTCATCCGCTCTCAAAATGCCCTGTCTGGCCAACACCGAATACTACGCCTACCTGTGGCTCCGCTGCAACCGTACGTTCCAATTTCTCCACTCTGCCTCATCCTAGCCCTTCTCGACCGCTACACTGATCTATATACCCAATAAAGACCTGGCAATGCGCCTCTGGCCTGGCCGCCACGTCTTCGTCCAGCTAGGATCATACAACGCCCGGACGCTCTTCCACGCGCGCGTCACTGTCTGGGGCCGCGGCCGCCCCTTCTGCATATACGGCTCGGATGTCGACACCGATATCGCCGCCCTGATCGACCTGCGCCGCAGACTTACCTTGGCGCTCAACGCGGTCCGGCGCAACCCGCGCGTCAACCGGATACGCGTTGCGAGGAGGGGATAGTTGGCGGGAATGATGCTGGTGGTGGGAACGGCTGTGAGAGACTTTTGGTTTCTTTGGCGGGTTTTCTGGGCGTTGGTCTCGGGTGCGAAGGGATGCGAAGACGTTTGGTCCCGTGGTTTTCTTTCGCTGCTGGCGATAGGCGTATATACATTCTCGGGCACAGATCCACGTAATTCACCATATCAGACACCACACTTGTAGCTATCCCTTTCTGGTCTCTTCCGCCACTTGTTCTCCTGTAAAAGTCTTCCACTACTCTGTTCCCATCCCGCCAGGCTCTCATGACTGCGTGACACGTCGACCAGATTGCTACATATGCTTCAATCCAACCGAATAGTTTGCTTCCTCATGCGTAAAACATAGTATTGACTCATCACTTGGAATATTCTAGACATACAGCTCAGCAATCAAGAGCAGCTTGGAGCTTGTCAAGACCTGCATATGGGCCGACCTTTCTACATCCATCACTTCCTATACCCCCCTTTATTTGATATTGTCCGGAGCTTTGCAAACTCATTGCTGACAAATCGGTTTCCATTCTTATAACAGGAGGCCATAGATATGTTGCACGCAGTGGAAGGAGACCATACATCTGAGTGTCTGGCTTGCGTAATTTGTCACCGCTTCCGTGTTTCCTCAGTTGTGAAGTCATTTGTCTTATTTCGCTCGTGCCATGAGACGTTGAAGCTATCAATCGGATGTAAATGTGGAATAATACAGGTTGATTGGGAGCCAGACCCACAAAATGCACACATGATTGCAATATGCTTCCACAAATGCAGTCTATATTTGCTACTTGATGATTGAGCATGTTTACTCCTCTTGGTAGAACCGTCAAAATCACTATTTGTTGGAAGGAAAGCTAACAGTAGTGAGGATTAGTGTGGCATCGAAAGTATAAAGCTCATGGAATTATTCTCCAACGACAGTATCCAACTCCTCGTTAGGTTCTTTTGTCTCCTCTACAAGCATACAAGATATATAAAATTCCCTCCAACACCGTTCTGATACTAAAGCAAGTTCCGGCACCCAGCCAGTATATCGCACTGGGAGCTGGCAAGCTTAGCTCCTGGGGCTTGGGCTTACTCCGGGCTTGCTGAAGATCACGATCAGCCACATGGCTCAGCAGGTTCGCGGAGGCGTCGCCGCATCGAAGCAAGCCCTACCTACCTCCGGTTTATATATCCCAGAGAAATTACAGCATCAGTGGCAACCACTACAAGTCAAGAGCTTCTTGTAGATGTCAACTAGAAGCTACAGTGCCGTGCCTCAGCAATTAGATCCGGGTCAGGCAAGTGACTGTAGCTTTGTAACTTTAAGGTACCATGACGCGCTAATCTGTGGTACAGCAAACGACGTAAAATGCTCCAGCAGACTCTTCGCATAAAGAGCTCATCATCGTCCTCTCCAGAGACCGGCGAGACATTCCACTGCAATGATGGTGGACGCAGAGCTCAGTCCGTTGGCCTGGTGGTAAGACGGTCTTGCAGTAGTCTACCAGCCAAAAGCGCAATGGACTAGTACAGCTGGGCTTACGAGGAGAAATACAACAAGAGTGGTCCACAATGGTTCGAGTAAGAGGCCGCGGACCTTAACGACCGTGAATCCGAGCTTTCACCCTCTTCTAGACGTCGTCCCTGGACTGGCCGCGAGCTTACTTTGAAAATGCACTAGGAGAGTATATATTTTGTGCACGACGTTCTTTAGGAACGACTCTGGGATTTAACTATGAACTCTAAAGAGGTTTTGGTTCGTATTTAGCACTGTGGGGTGCTTTGGGACGAAGTTAAGGCTTTCGTAACTACCGATATCGCTTATCGTTGAACGTTGAACGATGATGATCGAGGACGCGAAGCGCGCGAATGACGACAAGGAGGAATGGAACGCTCGATTAAGTACGAAACTGTACAAATGGAACAAACCAATCCTTACTACCATCATGAGCTGGATCATCGACCCCGAGCCTCAGGAGTATCATTTCCCTCACTAAGACTACGCCGTCTTCGGCCGTATCCACTTTTATCTATCTCAGCTAAAGGCGGCAGTCAGCCACTCCATCCCTCGAAAGTTGAGCAAAGCCACTTACCAACTCCACAGCTCTATGAGTACGGTTCCGAGTTCGACACAGTGCGAGGCTGGTGTCGTTGTACCCCGCGCACTGTATAGAGGCAAACGACGAGTCGTGCAAGACAAGCTCGGGCGATCGTAAGCGAACTGCACCCCGCGAACCAAACTCCTTTTTTTTTCCGGCATCACCCCAGCCAACGCCTGGCTCACGCTCATACGCAGCCCTTCGAAAGTGGCGGAAGTGGTCTTCCGCTATCCATTGCCAGCCATAGACCGCATGGCAAATCCCCAACACATTTGTCCGACAGACGCGCTCTCCGCCCTCCGTCATGAAGAAACGCGACCACTTCGCATCCCTAAGCGCCCGGTCATGCAGACGAATGTCGACACGTGGCGGCCCCAAGCACAGGCGAAGAGGCCGTGAACGTGTAGCTCTTCGCTGATGCACGTGCGGCCGAGCCGCTTCACTAGCGCCGACGATAAAGACGCAGAGCGGCCGAACACCACGATCGTTAAGCCGGACGGCGGCGGATCGCGCCTTTGGACAACAGCGCCTCTCACCATCGGCACTTTCGTACGTTGAGGACAGAGGCGTACCATCTACGCCGATCACTGCTTCGTCGAGCTATCCGCCCTTGCCTGCTCGTCAAGCTATATAATCTTGGACTGACAAGTTGGCCTTTTCTCTCGGCTGCTCGCCGTCGTTCAGGTTCTCGACTGGGGCAAGCTGGGGAGCCTTGAGGCGGCCCAGGGTCGATCGCCCCTACGCTTCTCTGGAGCCTAGCCTTCTCCTCGCGAATAAGACGACCTACTTCTCCTGCCTCTTGAGCTCTACCCCGACCATCTCATATGGCGTCGTTCGAGCTCGAGGACGTCAATGTGCAGTGGCGAGGTCGCTGACCTTCAAAGCGGCTCCCTGTCGTTGTGAGGTCTTGAACAGATCAGGGTGGTCCATCTCCACCGGCCACTGCTGCCGTCTGGTCCGGCACCGCCTCCAACGGCCAGGCTTACCGACCCTAGTCGAGCACGTACTAGGCCAATCTCGGCGCCAACCTGGTATCGACTCTGAGCAGCCGACATTCTTTCCAAGTTAGCCCCATTCCCCATGCCTCCAAGCATGACGAGTAGGCCAGGTCCACACTCCCGCCGAAACTCTCACACAACGAAGACATGCAGGACCCCAGATTCGCTGAAATGATGATTTGCCCTCCCTGGTGGCGGCAGCAGTATATACGTCAAAGAGTACCAAGACAAGGCGCTGGGTTTCCCGCTGGAGGATAGCCTTTCACAGCCCACCAAGCGAACAATCAACTACTATGTTCCACAGCCCAACACAGTTTACGACCTTTGGGCCTGTTCATCACACAGATATATACCAACCGGGGCCTGCCCGCAAAGTCTGCCTCCGCCAGTGCCGGGCAGCCTTCGCAGACGGATACCGATGCAGAGTTCCAAGCATCAGCGATCCCGGTTGCTGCGGCTTGCATCAGCTGCCAGACGAGCCCGTGCTGCATCCAACCCTAGCTAACGCCGGCGCGTCTGTTCCGTTCGGAGTGGATACAGAGCATATCATGATTCTCAATGCACAGATAACGGACTTGCATTGGCAGCAAGCCAAGAGGAACGTCATGATCGGGAACCAAAAACGGGAAATCACTCAGCTACGGGCGCAGAATATCTCCAGTGCCTGCAAAACCTGGGCCTATAGGTATAGCACCACTGGATACCCCTGGCCTCAAAAGCTACCACGGACTCCCCTCAACCGGCGTCCAGACTCGGATGAGTCACTACTTTCCTCAAAGCGGGTTGTACGAGCTGCCTGAAGGTAAGCCGAGAGGCAAAATTCATTACGAGAAGCCACACTGACCTTCTATCTAGCTTAGCAGGGGCGTTCTTAGTCTTGGGATCACCAGAATGAATCGCGGAATAATGAACAGCGTTGCCTTGATGATATGTTGAAGGGCTGTTGCAGAATAACGAATGTACCCCCCGGAGCAGCGTTGGGCAATTGGGCTGTGCTTGCCTGCTACTCCCGTATCCTGAGCGGTCTTCTGAATCCGAGAGGTTCACTTCAGACTCAAGGGTACTAGCCCACTTCATCGCCCACTCTCGGACCCTCACTCAAATACATCAACTCAGCTTCAGCAAGCCAACCATTTTACAGCCTCGACAACGCTCACAATCAAAGCAAATCGCCGACACGAATCAAAATCATGTCTTCTTCAACCTCGAACCCGCGGAGTGTTGTTGAGGCAGAGGAGCTCGGCGCCGAGATCATTGGTACGCCCTTCCCCAATCCCTCATGCACTATTCACCCTCTCCCACCCGCTCTTGCTGACCATGGTGGATCTGTGCAGATATGTACTCGGGCGTCACGCATTCGGACACCGGATGCTGTAGTGAAGCAGCGGCTTGCGACGCTGCAGCCGGGTGTGGAAGGTCGGAATACGACGGCCAGAAAAAGCAGAGACTGGCGACCGACCACAAGATTGGCGGCGTCGAATGACGCTTAGGTCATGCATCGACGAGAAGGATAAGTATTCTTTGCGGCGGCAGGAGGGGCATGGAGGTGCGGCAGTAGAGGAGCTGCCATAAACCTGGAAAAACCCATGATGCAGGGCTCTCAGTTGGTAGTTGGCTGTTGACGACAGCAAGATCGTGTAGCATATGCCACATTCCTCGGTAGCTCAGGCCATGGGGCTTCCATGAGGCTCGGTACGCATGTTGAGTTTTTCAAAACGGCGAAGGCTCTATTAGCCCTATGATGGGGTCAGCAATCATCATTGAGCTGCGAATGTAGTTCAGGTGTTCCAGAATGACAAACAAAAGTGAGTCTTTTGGGAATTCCTCGCTTTGTTCAACAATGCCACCATACGAACGCCGGTCTGCAGCACATATCTGCCACCGCCGCACCGGAGGCGGAGTCAGTTACTACTCATCGTTGTCCATAAATACCGCGTTTCTAATCACGGAAAGGTTCTGCTCAAATTATCCCAAGAAACAAAAGTACCACGACAACATGGAAGAACCTCCTCTACCCTCTCCGCAAGCTTCTGTTCGCTCATTACCGAGCGTCCGTTGCCGCTGTAGAGCGCACAAAGAAGACCACATCGATTACGATATCAACGATATGGTGGATTTTCTCTCAGAGTCCCTCCAGAATGTGTAAGTATCAATGTGCTCTCCTGTTATAGTTGATCTCACAGCTGATTTGTTCAGTATCGATCCTTACTCTGTTGAAGAACTCGAAGGAGATATTGAACATCTCATTTTCACTAGCAATGCACCAAAAAAGTTCATATTTGATGCCATGGACTTGATGCATAAATGGCTGTGGCTCTATGCCAAGATTCCCGTGGAATACGCGGTTGGCATAGACGTCTTCATCGTTTGCCTCAAGATTTCGAAGGACTACAACCACAGGGTGCGTTATGAACTGGCCGACTGGGCCTTCTGTATGGGATTTGGCTTGAGCTCTCTAGAATATCACGAAGCACATCTGCTACGCTTTGCCCTTTGGTTGGCTCAGAGCTCGGAATATGCAGGCTGTGCCATTTCTCGAAGGTGGAAGAAAGCGTGGAAGCAGTTCCTAAAGCGGCGTGCGAAGGGTAAGAAACGTGCCAAGACCGTTTGATGTGTTATGAGTGAACAGGGCAAGTGGGAGCAAACACTCAGCCCGCTTCTGTCTCAGACGGGCATTCACTCAGCTACATTCACTTCTCAATTTCAGTTATATAGTCCTGCCTTTTCTCCGTCGACCGAACCACTTCTTCCTCTTTACCTTCCACCCGCAATCCCGAAAGCCGCTTCGTATAATCTGCAACCTCAAGCGCCACCCTACGCAACATCGACCTGCACCGTCCTCAAAACCGTCCAAACTTCTATACTCAATACAAAATGTGCTTCGGAAAGCCCGACCACAGCCAGAGCGCCGCTCCCGCCAACCCGATGTCGCAGAGGCCCTCCGTCGAGCTGCCGCACCAGCACCACCCTGCCCAAGACCCGCCGCAGAACAACCCGCTCTGCTACCACACAGGCCAGATGATAAACTTCATCCTCAGCGCCGGGGAGCCACTGTAAGTCCCGCATTCCCAGTCCCATATCCACTCCTCCGCAATCCCCAGAACAATGCTAACCCACCCGATAACAGATTCGCTCCCCACCTCCCAGCCGTCCCCGGCGCCCGCGACCGCCTCTGGGACTTCATTCACCGCATTATCGACGTCATCGACCCGGAGATTCAGAGCATCTTCCTCGGGATGGCGTACTACAAAGCGATGATGGAGAGCAATCGCATGTATTACCACGAATTCGGGCGGCCAGATTCATTGCTCGCCACCGCCATCATGCTGGCGGAGAAGGTCGTACGGGACGGCCCTCCCTGCAGTCCAGAGTGGGAATATGCTACAGGTTTCCGACACCATGCGCTGGATGAGCTGGAGAGGGCGTGGTTGAGGGAGATCGGCCACGAAGCGATGGGCAGACGTTGGGCGGAGGGGATGAAGGCGTGGCGTGATTGCTGGGAAGCCTATTTGGAGATGCAGTCATACTGAGGAAGTCTTATGGGGAACAGAGAGGAGCGGGGTCATGTGGGATGAGAGGAGTCCTGATCTTCTGAGACTGTATCTGGTCATGGGAATGCCGACAGACTCACAAAAGCTTGCATTTCGACCTGCAAAAATGGAATCTCTGTATTATAAATTTTGGGAACGCGCATAATCCTATCTCATTCCGTGACCATCAAACCCGCTTCCTCATCTAACTTTGCCTCCGTCCTTCCCAGTAAAATACTAAACTAAAAACAGGAAACCGAAGAACTCCACTCAAGGTGGTGATGCCGCTGTGGGGGCCGAGGGCTGGGCGGGAGAGCGCGGTCGCGGGGCACATGGGCGTGGGGTTGCGGATTGTGGTCTTCAGGGCCTCGTTGGTGGCGGCGGTGCTGTTGGGGTTGTTAGTTACGGCTCAAACTAGGTCTCTGAGGACTGGAGGAGAGGATGGGTTAGATGGAATAGTAAGACTTGACATACACAGCCGGAAGTGCACCCGTCACCGCCCTCATGATCTCCGCCTCGCCATACGAGCCTGGATCAATGCACAGCTTGGCCCAGCTCTTGGCCAGCTGCGCATTCAAGCGCCTCTTAACTTCCTCGACCACCGTCTTGCCAACGCGCTTGGGACTTGCAGCCGTAAGGTCTCCTCCGGCAAGGAGCCTGAACGCTGCCACAAGCAGTTGATCCAGGGCCTGTCCAAAGACAGGCTTCCACACAGCCTCGGGAAGCAGCATCGGAAAGAGGTCCGGAATCCCCGCCAGATGCTGAGTGCTGTAAGCTTGCAGGTGAACACGCGTAGAGCAATTACTGGACTTGCCGCTGTGAGGTCCCCTCCAGCAAGCAGCCTGAACGCTGCTACCAGCAGCTGGTCCAAAATCTGCCCAAAGATAGGCTTCCACACTGCCTCCGGCAACAGTAATGCCGGGCATGAGGCGCGGCCAATATGATGTTCCTCCACTCACTGCTGCCTGGGAAGCTGTCGTTCTTCGGTGACAGTCACAGGGATTGCCTGGTGCCTCTGAAGGCGTGCGCGCTCGTGGAAGTCCATTGCGGACAGAAACAGAAACTCTGTGTGTATGTGGTTCAGGGAAGCTGCGGCGCCAATGGTGGTGGCGATGGCGCGGAGAGCGGGAGGCGTGGCCATTGCGGTGGTGGGTGATGGGCGGGTGTCCCGACCCCAGGAGGAGTCGAGTTAGCAGTCGAGTGTTGGGTGCATTAAGACGCGGCGAGCCTTTAACCTCTTGATGTAGCCCTTGTCATCGTCTTTGCTGGTAGGTGTGATCTTCGCGGAGCCTGTAGGCCAGACCTTATCGTGGCGGTGCTTGAGAAAAGCACCGACCGCGAGCGTGTTGTCTTCGGCGCTTCGAACAGTTAGTACAACACGGTATCAGCGAAACGCGTATACTTACTGCTTTAGCTTGGAAAACGACTGCAGCACCGTGATTAGCGTGCAGGGGATTGGACAGTGGACGGCTTGGTGTGGTTTGGCTCTGCGCTGCCGTTCATCGTAGGAGGATGGATGCATGTTGTAGTGGCAACCTCGGCGGGTGACGACGAAGGCTCATCGTCTTCGAGATCACGTTGGCTGGACCTCTCGTCCGCGTAGTCAAGGTTATCCACCATTTCCCCGGCTCTCCGAGGGAGCCGTTCAAGGTTATCCATCATGATCTCAACCGCCAAGGCGGTCTTCGGCTCCAGGCCACAAACCGAGCCCACAGTCCGACTGACCTGGTGGACTGTCTTAGCCATCGGTCGGCTTGCCACGGGTCCAGCAGCCGGGACATCGAAGGGCCGGGAGGGCCGAACGAGTCCCGGGCTGGTCTTCTGCGGCCTCGTTCCGGAGAACTGCGGGCGGCCCCGATGGAGGGCAGCAGCAGCGGCGGCGACCCAGTGCTTGGGCGGCCCGGGGGCCAGCCCCAAGTACCGGGCTGGTCTTCTGCTCCCGGATGCCGGAGAACTGTCAGTCCCGGCAGCACACCGCGAGGGTGGCGCCCAGGAGTGTCGGGGTCGGAAGCGGGTTTGCCATGGGGAAGGGTGTCGGGGTCGGGAGCGAGTGGAACGAGGCGTCTTGTTTCGCCTCATCGGAGAACTGTCAGTCACGCCCCCGGCTGGGTCGTTGCCCAGGAGCGGACGCCGCTCAAACGGGAGCGAGGGGGTTCGGGGTCGGAAGCGGGCTGAGAGGAGAGGTTGGAGGGGCGGAGGCAGTAGGGCCGCCGAGGCCAGCAGTCTCTCTGATGGCCCTGGAAGTGTCAGCCTCAGCGTCAGAAGGGGGTGTCAAAAGGAAACGTACACTCTGAGATGAGTGGCCAAGGCCGCCGGGCCAATGGCCGATGGAAGACGGCCGCTCTTCCTGACGGGCAGCTTCAGCTGCAGGATGATGGCATCCACCTGCTCGTACGAGGAGCTGTTGATGGCCAGAGCAAATGTTAGCACTTCTGTGTCAAAGATCTTGAGAGTGCAAAACTTACCAGGCTTGCGGCGGGCGCGGTCGCCGCCTCGACGAGAGGAACGGTCGGCCCTCGTAGACTGGGCTTCAAGGGGCAGGGTCAGTCGGACGGCTTCAATGATCTTGTGCAGTGCGTAGTGTACTTAGAAGATCTGGGCATGAGACGAACTTGGAGGCGAGCGGAGTGCAGCGGAAGAGGAGCGTGGTAGCAAGCTTGACGAGCTAGACGGAGGCTGTGAGTTAGAGGGAGGCGCGGCGCTGATGGCGCTAGCCTCTTTCAGCGGCGGAGCAGTGCCGCCTGCTCGCGACTGAGTGGGCCGCCGCTGTTTCTGGAAGGCAGCTCTCGTTGCCGCCGGCCCAGAGACAGGCCTGGGAGGCCGACAGCGAACGGCGAGTGCCCGCGGTCAGGGGCCTTGGTCCGCTTGAAGACGCGTCAGAGGCTGTTCATAGCATAGCAGACACAGTGTAAGAAGCGCTGAAACATCTGAGGCTGAGGGCACATCGAGCGCATAACCGCGCCTTCCCACTTGTGAGGACCTATGGAAACTACGGGAAGCCCAACCGCCCACGCAATGCCCAAAGACTCCGCTATAGAATAATGCTAAGCTCTTTGCGAGACTCCACCTCCCCTATCCTGATCAAACGTTCACCGTCCTGTATCCTTCATCGGCGTCCACTCTGGACTTCCAAAGCTCAACAGCTTGTCTCCAACATTTCAACAATCTAATGCGCTCGGTCCTCCTCAAAATAGGCGACATAGCCTTCGAATTCCTGCGGAGAAGCAGTGCCACAAAAGCGGACCAGCAAGCACGCCCGATGCCCTGTAGCGAAAGGCCCTTGTTCTCATCATCCTGCGCAAATTGCGGTGCTTGGTCGCCATAATCATCCCGCTCTCCTCCAGGTCAGTTACCCCGCGGTACTGTCAAGACCTCCGCAATCGTGCTGTCACAGTGAAACCTTGAGCAGGTCCGTCTACTCCACAAGACTGTCCCCGAAAATCATCTTCCAGATATCATCAGCGCCCCTCTCATCCCCTTGCGCCACAAGGTGCTGCCAGGTTGACATCATCTCCTGCATCCTACCTTGCACCGCCTCCTCCTCGACCCGCTTGGCCTCGGCCTGCTTGGCCTCGTGTGCGTACCGGCCCTTGTACCATTCCTCCAGACCAGCCTGGAACCCCAAGACCTCTCCCAAGAACTCCCTGTCGACAGACATGACATGTGCGACATTGTTCATCTCGGGATATCCGTCATAGCGCAACGCCTCGCCGGCCGTCGAGTCCACGTGGATCCTCCTGCCCCTGCTGCGCTTCATCTGGCTCACGAAGGCCTTGCTGGCCTTCCTCCTCTGGATCGGCGACTTGTTCAGTCGACCGACGCGTCCGTAGTGCGACACGATATGCCTGAAGGAGTGCCACGGCGTTGGCGGCACGACAGGGGCGTTGAGGCTCTCGCGCGCGGCCTTGAGCCAGTTCTCTTCCTTCGCCTTCTCGTTCGAGGCGCGGATTGACCTTGCTGCGTCTGCTGCGGCCTCGGCGTCTTCGAAGAGCTTGGGAGGTCTCTTGAGCAGTCTGACAAGGCGTACTTGAGCATCTGCCTTCGTGATGCCCGTCATCTCTTCGAAGCGAGCATGGCTGACGGGTGCAGGCCTGGTTGCTTTGGCAGGGGGGTATGAGATGCAGGCCGGTGCGCTATTCTCAGTCGTAGCTAGCTTTTTCTTGCGCAGCTCGCTGGCGGATCGGGATGGTGGCGCCATGATGATAGAATCCATGATGGGGTCCCGCTTGATGGCGGCGGTGGTGGAGGCAGAAGTGCCCTCGATTGCAGAATCCATTTGCTCCTGGTTGCTGCTGGAGGCTATGGCCGTAGTTGTAGACGTTTCCTCGTCAATTCTTCGATCCTGGCTGCTTGTCGAGAGCTCTTCTGTGCTCGAATGGATGTCATTGTTTGTGTACGAGCCGTTGTTCAGGGACTCCTCTGCGAAGCTGTTAACACCATGAAGATTGCTTGAGTATTGGAGGGAGACGCACGAAGCCGGAGGTGGCATTCATTGGTGGTTAGTTCCATCCTAGCCATTTTGGAGGATATATCAAGAGATTTCAGGTGTCTTCTTTGCTGTGCGGGGCTGATTTCGCTAATGGTGGCGCAAGATATGGTGTCGTTGGTAAGGTGTCGCAGTGTCGGAGTTGTAGGTGACATCCTCCTTGGAGCCAGCAGACGGCTTGACTGTGTCGGCAGCCTCAATGACAATAGGATTGGTGTTTCAGGTTCTCGTTACGTCATTGGTGGATGGTGAATGAACGGCCTTCACCCGCCGGGCGCATGCGCGGGTGGCTGGTCCAGAGATGATACACTCACCTTGCATTCTTCATCCTGATAACACAGGGATTGATACGACTCATGTATATACATAATTGGCTACACAGTTTGTAGGTCCTGACTTTGAAATGAAACGATTCCCTTCCAGATTGAGCTAAGTCGGCGTTGTCCTGAATCTGTATCGGCCGTCAGGTTGCTTTGGCTTATATATATGCCTACAAGAAACTGCCTATTGCCAAAAGCGTCTCATATCCATCCTAATGACCATATCTCACGTCCATAGAGCCCTCATCAATGATTGCATTAGCATTGATCATCCGCTTGAATTCTCTATTGCTGCTGCGTGATCTATGGATTGGCATCCAACGCCATCAAACTTGAAATGAACAAATTTGTTATATGTTTATAAGCAAACTGAGAGACGCAATGGATTCAGATGTTCCGAAGCATATAATTCGTGGGTCTTCAGTTGTTTAGGAAATGCACGTGGTCCTTCATAGTACTACTGGAAAATTGCAATTGAAAGAAGGGCTTATTACTGCTTAGATGACGGCGCTATAGGGTAATAGGCATGCGCAAGTGATGCCTGCCCCGCCGAAAGTCTAGGAATGAGCGTTGTACATATGGCCCCTTGCTTGACAAGGGACAATGAAAACACTAAGTCAACCTCCCATGGTGGTATGAATATCAGTAACTGATGAACAGGGCAAGGCTTGAGTAGTACTCCATGAGGTGTGTAGTTTCCCCTGTCAAAACAATAAATTGGTGTGAACTTGTCATGGACACACATCACACCTTACCAATGATATAATATGTGCAAGCGATTTCGCAGCTGGACACGCATTATATAAGAGCATGGAACGCAATTTCCGAAAATGCCATGATACATGGCTTTGCAGATAGTTCGCGTGTTTTCTATTGAATGTTCCGAATAGACTAAAACAGGGCTGATTCCGTTGTCTTTTGAATTGAGCCCGTTGACCCGAATGTGATTGTGGACCACATTACAAATGTGGTACTTTTCACTCGCCAGGGATGCTGATATCGGTGACGAGCATAATTTTGAAAGCAGCAAAGCTGCTCCTTTCAAACAAATTACTTGTGGTGGTCGACGTGTCGAATTGCAACGCAGCGCGGCCCATGCGCTCTCTGGAGTCTCATTCACCAGCAGAATCGGCCTTGGTTCTAGAAACGGCCAATTCGTACCGCCGAGTGACGCTATGGGCTTTCACCAAACGCCGGTCTTGCGCTGCGTTTCCTCTTCGGGACGACGGGGCCCGTTTGCCGAGCAATCACCACGATTCCTTGTCCACATAAGCTCAGCCTTGCTAGCATGGTCTTCTGCAACTCCAACGACACTTCTTCCCACTCGGCCTTCCCCAGCACTTTCCCAGCACCTTCCGCCAAACTTGTACGACACCACGCATTCCTGCTAAACATACTACCAAGATGTAAGTTGCAGGATCCCTCTTCCGACTGCTACCTTCAGCTGACCCCACTCCAGGAACAGCACTCCAATCGCCGCCCGTCGTCGCCGCTTAATCGCGCCCTTGACCTCTCTGCCGTACAGACTCAAAGCCCCGGACCCCGACTGCGCCGCCAGCGACGGCACCCTAGCTCTGGAGCGCGACCACATCTTCGAGATCATGCGCGAGCAGTGGGCATTCAACGCATACACCTCCTTCGGCGCCGACTACGACAGCATCCTCAGCCGACTCCCATCATACGCCAGCACGCCGGCCCAGCGCGCGGCACTCGGCTACATGGGCATCGCCAACTACCTGCACGCCCGCCTCCCCGTCGACATGGAGGTCATGGAAGCCCGCGACGACGGCAGAAGCACGTGGGTCACCAGGTACAGCGGCCCGTTCGACGTCGACCGCCTGAGGGAGGACGCGTACTGGTTCGCGGATGAACAGCTGGCTGGGCGGGAGGAGATTGAATCGGCGGCTGTGAAGGAGGTCTACCTGCTCACTGGCATCGCCCGCGACGAGCTTGAGGCGCGCTGTCTGGTCAACGAGCCGGAGGCGATGGAGTGCTGCCAGTTTAGGGAGCGCTGGATCTACAGTCTGGCTATCGGCAGGGGACGTCGTGAGGACTTCGCAGATACCGATCATACGCTGTCGCTGTTCAGCCAGCTGCCATTCGAGGCGCGCGTGGGCTCGGAGGAAGATAACCTGGAGGGCATGGCGGAGCTGCCACTCAGCAGATACGATGCCGATACACTTGCAGCTCTGCCAGGACACGCTCACACCGGTGCTGGATATGCGATCGACATCGCCAGTGCAAGGGACATGCCGGCTATCGCCGCTGACACTACGCCCGAGGAGCCGTCGTGCGCCATCTGCTGTGACCCGTTCGTCTTCGGGCCTGGCCTGGAGCAGCCCTTGACTCTCCTTTGTGGGCACACTGTCTGTGCGGAGTGCGCTACTACATGGTTCAGGACCAGCCCCAGCTGCCCGTACTGCCGTCGCCGACTCTACCACCGTGTGCCGAAGACGAAGACAGCCGGATTCGACATCTACACGAGAGACAACAGGTTGCTGCAGAGGATGGACTGGACGGAGGATGGGGCTCAGGTGCAAGGCTACCAGTTCTACCAGCCGTTTGGAGACGTTGAAGGGGAGGAGGGCCAGGACTTTCTGCTGGCGTAGATTTTTGGACAGGGCCTTCCATTGTAGTCAGTGTGATTTGGACATGTAAGGTAGCGGCAGTGTGTTTTCCATAGTACTGGGCAGTCAGGAAAATTCTTTCTGCAAATGCTGTTGACCCAAGTCGCTGGTGTGTGAAGATAAGCGCTGTTTAGAATCAATGGAGTCTCTGTATTGTGATTTTTAACTTGCTATCTTTCCTCTCGGAATAATCACAGCTTGTAGAGCGGCAGACCCTACCCCGTCATAGTTTAAGCGGCCTGTTCAGCATCTTCGGCATAAAACTTCCTGCTAATTTTTTTGTTGCTGAGAAACGGATGAGCGTGTAGAAACAGACGTGATATGATAATTGAAAACAACGCTTTTGACTTATATTTGAAACCAAAGCCCGCCTGATACAGATCTAAGGGTTTATCAGCCTCTAACCCACAAAACATTATTCTCTCTTAAGAGCAGGTGGCCATGGGAACAAAAAAGTGCTGGTTCGTTCCTCCCGTGTAAAGAATTCCTCCGGAGTGAAGATGATTCCGTTCCGCCAGTTTCTCGTATAGAGGTTTCTTGTCCTCTTATCAACATCTACCCCTATCGAAACATGCTTCTGCACATCCTTCCAGCATCGATGACCTTCTTCAAAAGACGTGAAGACATGTGTCTCATCATTTTCTGCGTCGATGTCCCAGATGAATATGGCGAGATAGGACGAATGCTTATCATTCTTGTCGACTAAACGACCCAGACGTAATGGCTTCTTTGTTCTCAGCGCCTCCACCAGCTCCTCAGCCATGATATCCATGTACTCCTTCCACGATGATGTTCCTCTCCGTGGGCGCTTGTCTTCTCTCAAGTAAGCCCAGATGCCATTTGCGAGTTTCTGGTAACGATTTCCAAAGGCTTGATCTTGTATTGCGACAGCGAGGTCTTTCAGACGTTGCCGTTGATAGATATTCAAGCCTCTGACCGAGCCTCTTCCAACCTCTTTGGAAGAGCTGTAAATCGGCACTTCAAATATTTTTGACAACTTCCACAAGTGTCCCCGTACCATGGTTCCGTGTTCGGTCAGCTTTACAACTGAAAAACGACTGCTTTTGATGAAGGTCAATGCATTGCTCTTGACAGGCGGTTGATGCGTTTTGAGAGACTGATCCTTCAGGTATTCGAATACGGAATTATTGAGAAAACATCGAGTGCCGGGATGATTGCATAGAATCTCGCCGTTGAGGATATACTGGGTGAGCATGACCAAGCTCGGGCTCCACTTCTGATTCATGGCATCTACTTCGATTCCAATGGTGTAATCGCAGCAGTTGGATGCGACCGTGGTGCTGTCAGGGACATACCTGATCCACCGATGTGCAAGGTCTGCAAGTATGTAGGGGGACATAGACACCCGCGTTTCGTTATATTCGTCGCGGAGGAGAGTGCTGTATTTTGGAGCTGCTCTGAGAATGTGCTCACAGTCTATATTGTCTCGAAACCGAGATGGATAGACCTCCATGTACATTTTGCAGAACTTGTTCACCTGATTCCGAAAACGCATCGATGATACACAGAGTTCGTTTTTCAAGTCTCCAAACAGATTTCCCATATCGCCTCTGTCTTTCAGAGAGTTCAAGGAAGGACTGTGAGGAATCAACATGGTCATCTTTGCCGCACAGTGATCCTCCTCGAAGGTCCAAGCGCTCTGCCACCAAGGATCATCAGTAAGCCTCTTGATAAGAGCCAATACTTTGGCTGCAGCATTAGTCTCAAAATAATCATTGAGGCTACTCCCGTCCAGGAGTCCATAGAGGAGCTCCATGTCCTCTTCAGTTTGAATGGGGGTGGAGATGATCGCAACCGGAAAATTGCTCCGGCGATAGACTGCATGCATTGACCGCATCCCGATTTGTTTTTCGGCCGGGTCGAACTGGTTCAAGCATATTTGATCAATCCAGAAAAGCTCACAGCCCACGGAATGAAGGAAGTTTGTCACCCGATCAATCACCTGGTCTCTGACCCGACAGTCTTCATGACGTTGTGCACCGACAGGGATGCAACGATATCCTCCAGTCTTCCCATCTTCCCACTTGGACTCATCCCACCGATATGAAACGGCAGCATAGTCCCTTCGGTCAAAGCCATTGATCGACGTCCGCTTGAGGACTTGTTGAGAAGGACGCGCTACGCGTCCGCTGTTGGTTCGACGTCGCTTCGACTCCTCCACCCGGGGGGCGGGTCTGACCACACACGGAAGGTTCTCGACGTACTCCACCCACTCATCCTCTGTGTACACCTTGTATTTCTGTATTTCGACCAAAGCTGAAGATATGGACCCATTTCCACGCCGTCTAATGACATCGAGCGGTGTCTGTCGGTCGTCTCTGATTTCCGGGCACGACATCGTCGGAGCTGCATGTTGTGAGTAAGGCACCGATGGGAGGAAGGGACAGGGCTCACTGGCTGATGAATTAGGATCAAATGATCTACGAAATCATGTAAACAGGGCGGAGTCAGAGGAGTGAAGGTGGTGTACGCGAGGATGGGAGTAGGTTGCGGTGTGAGTAATCGATGTCAGCTCGGAAGTGGGGCTGAAGCAGCCCCCAATGCACTGTACCGAAACAAGCGAGCCAAGAACAACCCCGGTCCATCTTCGTCGATTTCCGATGCGCCGCCCTCATAGTCGGGCTGATATGCAAAAGTCCTGGCGCGTCGAATCGGCAAAGGCTGCTCCACGACGTTGATTGGCAAACACCGCATCGAGCGTATCTCTACCCTCCCCGTCGATATTGCAGCCCAGGACAAAGCTGTTTCCCCACTAGCTGTCGCATTTATCGTATTTGTGTCCAGACTTGAAAGAAGAAAATCTGCGCGCTGTTCTCCTTCAAGGCCCGCATCCGACGCTTTAGCCGATTCAGCCTCGCCTATGTTGTCCAAGACCGGACTGGAGGCCTGTTCCTTTCAACGGCCGCTGTCATGGTCTCTGATGTCGGCCACTCTGACATGCTGAGGCACCCTCTCGACAAGCCTCTAGAAATCGGTTTTAGCAGCGATGACAGTGGTTTGTGTGTCCCTGGAGTCTGGAGAAGCATGGCCTCCGGGGGTTGTAGAAGCACAGAGGACTCAAGAGAGCCCATCTACGCGTACGGCGGCTGGTCCGAAAAGACTGACGTAAACAAGTAGCATAAGTAGGAGAATGTAGGCAAGATAGGCTCGGATTTCTGGGGGCTGGGGTCGCAGAAGTGATGATACATGAGAGCGAGTGGAGTGAGTCTGGAGAGGCCTGGTCTCAATCAGCTGCCGATGAGTCAGGAGGAAAAGGCAGAAGAGCGCGATGAACGATAAGAAGCTGCGAAGGTGTTGTCGCGAGACTGAAATGCGAGAGGTCAATCCTGCGGAGAGCGACGAAAGACTGACGCAGCCTGTATGCGAAGTCAGAGCGAGGGCGGCTCGGAGTCTGCTGGAGAGGGAGGATGGCGCTCAAAAAAAGTGAGAAGGCGCCTGGCAGGTGGATGCTGATGGTCGAAATAAGGTGTCGCGAGAGTCGGGCACTCGTGCGCAGACGCGAATGCCAGAAAGGCAGCGCTAGACAGGCCCAAGCAGGCGCGCACAACAAATGAGACACAACAACAACCCGAAAATATCCGACTGGGTAGGGACAAGCTTCTGTTTGAGGATTGATTGTCTGAGCGGCTGTTGCAGCGCGAGCTATGGAGAGTCTCCATCACTGCAACATGGCGCGCGCGCACGAGCGACCTGCCTGAATGCGTTACTGTTTCGCGCGGCGCTCGCACCAGTGCCAAACTGCCACGCTTAGTGGACCGCCAATCGCGCCAACTCGCCTCACTAGTTCAAGGCACTCGAGAAGTTCCAAGGTAAAACATCGTGAATAGGTATTTGGTGTGTCGATGAGCCATTTCCATAGATGAATGGTTCATCGATCGGCGGGAAGCTTGCTTCCTGTGAAGTCCTGCCAATGCTGACCTTGCCCCTCGCGTGGGTCCCGACTGGTGCCAGCCATGCCGCGTGCTGTGGAACGGAATTGTTCGGCCGATCGTGGCCAGTGTGGTCACTCCACTGGTTACGGAGCTGGAGCGACCAATGTCCAGCCTGAGGGCAACCGACCGCGCGCACTCGGACGAGGACATTTGTTGAGAAGCGATGCTCACCCTGCGTTGAAATCCCGAAGTGTGAGCCTGGCGCGAAGGCACTCAGCAAGTCGGATCACTAGCACAGGGCTGAGTTCCATGATGGTTTTGTCGCGCAAGAGCGACGCGCGCAGCCGGGCTGATCCTGACGGCCCGCTTCGGACAGTGAGCCACCCGTGGAGTCAACGATTCCAGATAATGTCCTAACTGGCTTGACCCGCATGGTCCAGTACTAATGTCAGTCTCTTTAAGTGAGCCGGAGGTCACGTCGTGCGCACAGCGCGAAGTGCCCAACGCCCGTCGACACTCGCGCCCCGGACAGCCACACGACCAAAAGTTCGCATTTCGTGAATGGGCGCAACCCCATGGTGTGCAGGGCAGCCACTTGAGGTGTATGCATCCTGACGTCCAGCCAGCAGCTTTGGGCCGCTGGCTCGAGTGCTCGATTAAGCTCGTCTGCGGCGCTGCGAGGCCGGCGCAACAGCAAACGGCCGCTGCGGACGCGACCCAACAGCGCCGATCGCAAGGCACAATCACAAAGAAACATGTGTGGGACGCGCGCAGTCACGGCAGCGAATGACCACCCGAAACGCCTTCGAGCCATTGCTCCAGCTGGCGTTCCACCTCAAGCTGATCTTCTTTTCTCTTCCTCAGTTACCGGCGCATGGCCAGTAGGATGACGAAAAGATAAAAAAAAAAAAAAAGAGTTCGCGTCAGCCCCAAGTAGTGCAATAGAGGCGACACTGTGGTCTGTGACGATGAGCGGAGCTCAGAGCGCCACGAGACCAGGTTCCAAAAAGGTTGGTAACTCGAAAGTCGGATCCACCCGTAGGTGGGTACCCAAGAGTTACCAAGGGCAACAGTTCTACTGCACTTGGATCTAAGCCAAAAGGCAAAGAGAGCCAAAGAAGAAGAAGAGGAGCTTCGGTCGAGGAGTCGAGGGGTATTTATAGGTAGCCAGCCTTGGCATGCTTGGCGATGGCAACTGCGAAAGGTCCAGGTTGTTGTCAGGGACAACGGACGGTCGCTGGGCCTGTGCTGCCGCGCTGAGCAGAAGGCAGGCGCGTTCGACCATCTTTAGAAGTAGCTCGAAGCGTATGCTGTCATGGGACGGGGTGAACATACAAGTGACCGGCTACCTTTCCGATTCTGGTAAGAGTGGTCAAGTGGAGATTGAGATCTTTCTAGCTGCGGGGTGGGCGCTGAGTTGCAGGATGCGCGAATGCCATGGTCTCGTCTCCCTAGATGTGCTCCGAGGCTGACATTTGCAACATCTCGATCTGAGTTGAGTGATAACTGAAAGGCCCAACGGGAGAGACCATTCTCGCCATTTCGATTTATTGAAGATAGCACTAATATTGAGCGAAGGATTCTCAGTTTTCCTACGCTGAGAGCTGGATCTTAGTAGCTACAGTATGTCGCGGCATTCGTTAGTGTACAGAGCTTTCCAAGGCCAGCCATCTACTCGCCGTTGCACCCGCAGTCCAATCGTCTATTTTATTTTTTGTATATGAAGTCTATTGTCTTCTTCCCCTGCATCGAATACATATGTGGAACTACCATAGTGGTACCTCTAAACATGAATAAGATACTGTAGAACGTGGGAACATGTATATCCGTCTTGAGCTTCCCCAGCTTAGAACGTGGCATTTAGACTGCTGAGAGGGTACTTATGCTTCTATAACTGTGAGACGTCTCTGAGATCATGCGGTGTCTGTAGTAGTGCTAAAACTACACGGGTGACTTGGCCTTTGTTTTCAGAAGTGATCAGTGAAGAAGTGTGAGGCCACACGTATCCCAGGCCTCTACCATGGCCAGACTATTGAGAAACCCGCGCACCTGAGCCACAGCCGGACGGATATCTAGATATTCCTCGTTCCTCTGGCTCCAACCTTTCTTCTACAGCCTCGACGACAACCCACCACCACCACCTCCTCCACCATGGCGCCGCGTTCGTCGTCCACCTCGCCCACCAAGAAGTCCGCCGCCGGTGGCCACAAAAAGAACAGCAGCACCAGCAGCAACAGCAGCAAGATCGCGCTGCCCCGCAAGTCCATCCCGGCGCCACTCACGCGGCTCAAGTTCATCCCCCAGCGCACCAGCACCGCCGCCCGCCAGCAACGACCCGCTTCCCTCGCGCAGGCCGGCCCCAGCAGGGCCACCAGCATCAGGATGTCGCCCTCTCCCACCAAGCTCATCCCCGCCGCCGGCGCTGCCGCTACTGCCGTCTCCTCCCCCAACCCATCTGCTGCTGGTCCGCTGTCGCCCGGAGGCGCCGCGGGCTTGAGGCAGCTCCGGATCCTCAACGCCTCGACGGTCGACCTGCCGGGCACAGCTGGTAGCCCTGATGCTACCGCTGCTCCCACTCCCGCTACCACCTCTCCCGCCGAGCGCTCCCCGCCGCCCTCCCGCCTGCCCCTCGCCATCGTGCCCCCGAGCAGGAAGCCCGTCCCGCCCGTGCGCAACCCAGCGCGGCCTCCGCCGGTCATCAACCAAATCTCGCCCATGGGCACCACCACCACCTTCATCTTCCCTGCCCCGCCCACGGGCCCGGTGCCCCCGGTCCGGCCCCCGCTGCCGCCGCCGTCGCTGTCCACAACCTCCAAGCTCCCCCGCGTCCGCGGTGTCTCCCCGCCGTCTCCAGCCACAACCTCCTCCAAGCTCCCCCGAGTCCGCCGCGGCATCTCTCCGCCGTCTCCGCCTCCCGGTTTCGCCCCGCCGCATCTGCCGCCCGCCGCGTACATCCCTGCCGGCGCGCGCCGTGGCGTCTCGGCGCCGATTAGGTTCCTTGCTGGCAGCGATGCTGGTTCTCTCCTTGCGCCGCCGGCTGTTAATGGCCGTGGCCGTGGTCGTGGAGGAATGCCGGCGCCTGGTCGTGGTAGTGGCCACGGCCGCGGTATGCCGCCCCGCTTGCCCATTCCGAACTTCTCGCGTCCGCTGTGGCGCGTTCGTGGCGGCGCTTGGCCGCGGCGGTCGTCGTCGATGCCGGTGGCGCCGGCGGGACCGGTGGGCGTTGCCTTCTCCCAGTCGCTGCCGGGGAGGCTGAGTGCGCTGCCGGAAGCGGGCCTTGTGCCTTTCCAGCAGCTGGGCGAGGAGAAGAAGGAAGAGGGAGAGGAGGGAGCGGCTTGGCCTCTGGCTGACAAGCCGCTGCCGCCTCTTCCGAAGAAGGACAACTAGGGCAGTTGGGGAGGGGAGGGAGGAAGGGGAAGTTTGGGGGAAGCGGGGTGGAGTTTGGATTTGTGTTTTGCGGTTTTTCCATACCATCACCATCGGGGGTGGTCCAAGCAGCCAGGGCTGCTTAAAAGCGTCATCGTGTGCCCTCGGGCACCTTTCTTCTTCATCAACTTCCGGCGCGTTTCAGTACAACTCGCGCGACGATCTCGCACACAGCATCGCGGTGCGCTCACGAGCTTTCACACCCATCACATCACTTCAGCTCAACGCACACGAAACACCACCTCTTCATCCGCGCGATCGCGTTATCCTCACTCAGCATGTCCGGCTTCCAGCACCTCGCCGATAAGATGCTCCGCTCCAGCAGCCGCAGCCCAGGCAAGCATCGCGACAGCAAGCACAGCGACAGCGACCACGGCGCCGCCGCCGCACCCGCACCCATCCACTACTCCTCACGCATCACCGCAACCCGTACCCACCACGGCACCGTCGGCGGCGGCCACCACCATCGTAACCACTTCTCACCCATCGTCGGCGCGACACCCTCCATCACGACCAGCCACAGCGACGACACGCACTACTCCTCCACCCACAGCCTCCTCATCCCCGACAACAACAAGAAAACCGCCTTCACCGCCTTCACCGCCTCCTCCCGCATCCCCGCGTCCGCACCGTCGCGCCAGTCCGTCCTGCTCGAGCTCGAGGCCAAGCGCAGCAAGGTCAAGCAGCTGGAGGCCACCGTCGAGCGCCAGCAGCGCGCCATCGCGGCGCTGAACGACCGCGTCGAGAAGCAGGGCCGCGACAACGCGAATAGTGCGCTGGCCACGCGCGCGCTGTACGCTGAGCTGGAGGCGCAGACGAAGTGGGTCGAGGGCTTGGATCTGGAGGCGAGGATGCAGGTGAGGAGGGGGAGGGGGTTGTTGGAGAAGTTTGCGCATTTGAGGGCGGTTGGGGCGGATGGGAGGGGGGAGGGGGGGAAGGGGAAGTGAGGGGGCTTGAGGGTTTACGATGGGATGGGGGATGGTTTTGGTGTTTGGGTTTGGCTTGGGTTTTCTTTGGGTTTGGTTGGCATTTTCGAGTTTGGTCTGGTTGGGCTTGGGCTTAATGATTTCCGGACGATTGCATAGCGAGGTTGCATTCTGGGGCTTCTGCAGTAGTAAAAGGTTTCATCAATTTCATGTCACTCTCAGTGATAGTCAAAGCGATAAAAAAGAAAAAGTTTTCGAGTGCCAAAAGACATGTGCAAACACACGTCTCGGAATATTCATTGATCTGTCCGCCGAAACTGTCTCGCTCCCTCCCATTATGCACCTCTACAAGCCTTTTCGTATGTAGCAGTCGTTTAATAAAGAGATAAACTCATGTGTCGGGGCTGTTCCATGAGACTCTGAAGTTACAACCGATCCTGGAAGGAGATTTGGTGGTCGGTCTGCTAATGAAATGATATGCCGCTATTGTATTCGGTCTGCCCAATCTAGGGAATGCAATGTCGAGGACTAGTTCAACTGATCGTAATGTCGCCTGTCGTCTCGGTTATGATGCCTCTCGTTGGTGGTGTTGATGGCATCGGCGGCGGCGGAGCTCTATATAGACCATTAGTAGATCTCCTCAAAATCCAATTGCACATGCAAACCATACCTTTACTGTTGCTGGGGGTCATCCCACTCGCCCGCCGCCAGACTACTCAGCTTCCACCGAAGCCACCTAATCGTGCACCTGCCAAACTTGGCATGCTGCTTGGCGGTGTGCAGAGTCCTCTGGCAGAAGCCATAGATGCGCTCAAAATCCGCCTCCAGCTTCTGAACGCGCGCCAGCAGCCGGTTGTTTCGGATGCGCACGGCATCCAGCTCCGCCTTCATGAGCTGGTTCTCCAGCTCCTTCCGCTCGAGCAGCTCCCGCAGCTGCTTCAGCTCCCTCTCCTTCTCCTCCCAATCGTCGTTGGAGATCTTGATGTAGTGCATTTTGTTGGGAAGGTTGGAGATCTGTGAAGGTTTTAATGGGAGTTTTGGGCGGTTGGGAACTGTGGTACAGAGGAAACGTTAAGGACAACTGAGAGCAGCGGAAAATATCTAGATAATGCACGGGCCGTCTGGAGTTGCAGCAGCTGGTGAATTGCAGCCTGGCCTGTGCGCAGCGCGGATGCTCGATTGGGACATCACTTCTGCAGAACTACACGAGCAGAGCAGCTCTCCCCATCTTGCCGTACTGTACTGACTAATAAGTAATCTTATCTATATAATTAGATTTCCAGTTTTGATGTACTAGAATTCGGCTAAAGAATCGCGCATTAGCTTCAACTGCAGTGAGTATCGGCGCAGTGTTCATGGCCTGTGTGCTAGAGACGACCTTGCAATCCAGCACACGGGAGCAGCATGTAATTTATAGGCCGTGAAGGCAATCGCTGCAGATGGTTTGCTATTGCTATACATGGTGTGCCTTTGCTGCGTGTCAGTAATATTCGCAGCAAGCGGGCTGAGATCATTGCAATTGCTATGCCCTTATTTGTGATTTTACAGCAGTTAAATTATAAGCATAGATAGCTGCATATACGAATTATTACAGTAGTCTATTCCTTATAATAATTTATATGGATACCAAGTTGGAAATTCTTTTTGTGAGCTCCGCGTTCCAGATCTATCGGGCCCCTATACCTGCTACCCACACGACTCGTTATAGCTTGATACGACAGTTCTCTGAAAAGTTATCTCTATTATATACATGCTATTCTGGATGCTTCATCGTCTCGAGCTGGAAGCCCAGCCCTGAGAATATTAGATTACAGCTTTGACCGAAATGTTGCTGTGGGAGAATAGGCGTATTCAGTTTTGAATGGAAGATTTCCTAACTATTGTTATGATCAGCTGCAGCTTTCACCCTGTATGATGTCATATAGTCCACTGATACATTCACCTTTCTCAGGCCGTGCTTTAAGTCCTTCGCGCTTCTGCACCGGCGACCCCTCTTCAACTCCAATCCACCGTCCTTTCGTCGCCCACCATGGCCAACCAGAAAATGGAAGACACTCACATGAGCGATGGTGACGGAGCTCCTGTCAACCAGTATGTCGGATATTTTAGTTCCAAATTGTCTACATTATACTGATATCGCTTTGCAGATCCAACTCCACCCTCAACGCCGGCCAGACCATGGAGCTGACCTTCCGGTCCGGCAGAACCACCACCCTCGAGAACACCCCGCCGTCTGCTCCCACCCAGGCCAGCTTTCCGGGCATCTTCTCGCTTACGGATCCCCCGGGCACCAACGCCCCTTCGAACAGCCAGGCCAGCGCCTCCACCACCCCCACCACCACTGCCGGCGCCAGCACCACGGCCACACGCCCCACCGCACCCGCCGCACAAGCAACCACCGGACGCCCTCTAGCCAAATACGGCAACAAGAACCCCTGGCACACGTGGGGCCGCCTGGCCGAAATCATGCGCCAGAACCCCGACGAGCCCGCCCGCAGCTTCACGGAGATCCGCAAGCGCTCGGTCCCCGTCATGCGCAAGAGACGCCAAGCCATCAGCAAGCGGGCCATCAGGCGCAAGGAGTCCGGTTCGCGCCAGAAGCTGAAAAACCAGGCGCGCAATCAGGTCAGGGCGAACGCCCTGGCAAACGACCCCGTCTACAAGCGCATGACGGAGGTCATGGGCCAGCCGGGCGGCGACTCCCACACCGCCCCGGTCAAGCACGTCGAGGACCAGCTCCTGAAGCTGGGCAAGGGCGACGCGGTTACGTACCGCTGCTGCCATTGCGGCAAGGCAGGTCGCCAGAAGCAGAGCATCAAGGGAAAGGAAGTCGAGGGGAAGGGCGGCGCGAGGTGCCAGTGTGGCCACCAGCTGTGCATGTTCTGCCTCCATGTCGAGACGGAGGAAGATGAACTCATCGACTTTGAGTTCATGGGCTTGGGCGATGATGAGGGCGACGATGAGGAGGGAGGCGAGGATGGTGGTGATGACGGCGGCGGCATGGGCGGTGCTGGCGTGACGCTGGAGGTCGCCGCGTAGGGGCCCTGTCCCCAACTCTCAAGTTTTGCCTCCGCGCCGCTCGAGCTCACAATTTCTGGTAGAGCATGGCTGCGGAGAGTGCCCTCTTCAAGGGCTGGAGGATCTGGTGTGGCCTTCCGGCGCGATTGGCGCCAGTCTACTTTTCTTTCTATAGCAGCAAGATCTTCACACTCCCCTCGTGCAGCTCTTAACGGATTAGTTAGCTTGCATGGCCTGTATCCTGAGCAGAACATGGCTTTGCAGCCCTGCTGCAGTTTCTACTACTTCCCAGCGCGTCCAAGATCATTTCTCACCCTGCTTCGCCGTGATTTGGTTAGACGCAGTCCTTCTGCGGATTTCGAGCGCGGCCGCAACCTAGGCCCTGAGAGCCGGACGTGCCTTCCATTTCTTTCTACCTCCTCCCCAATGCGGCGCAGGGCCCCCATCGCCCGCGCAACCATGACAGCTGCCGGCGTCATCGCCGGGCTTGGCGCGCCCATAAATACCCCAGCATTCCTCGCCCAAGGCTCCTCTTTTCTTCTTCAGCTCTCTTTGCCTTTTTGGCTTTAATTAAGTGCAGTGTTGTTCTTTTCAGTTTAATCTCTGAAACGTCCCTACGGGGGCATTTCTTTGATTAAACCACTTTTTGGAACCTGCCTCGGGGCCGCTGAGCTCCGCTCATGTCACGGGTGCACAGTGTCGCCTCTATTGCACTATCTGAGGCTGACGCGACCTTTTTCTTTTCGTTGTTCCACTGGCCTTGAGCCGGTGATCGAGGAAGAGAAATAGAAATTATCTGAAGGCGCTGATGATCGTCAAGTAAGGGAATTCGCACGCTGCGACACTGGCTGTCACTGCACGTTGTCCTGGCCCGGCGCAGCGGACGTGAGAAGTTTTCACACTGCTTGTGCGTGTCAGGCGTGGTCTCGCTGTGTGCTCCGACCGGTCGCCCAGCTGAACCCCGCGCGGTGTTGTGGCTGTGACGGAAACTTCATGCGCTTGCGCAGCACGAGAGGCTCAGGCATGTCTGCGAGGCAGCCTCCAGTTGGACGTCATGGTAGCTTGCGCGCTGTGATCCTACGCCTACAGATTGGTGTAGTGGCTCGCCGACGCGCCTGAGGGCGGCGCTTCATCGCCGCAAGGCGCCAGCAGCCACGGGTCGCTGTTGGCACACATGTCAGGCTGTTCCGCCTATCTCGACCACTATCCACATTCTCGAGCGGTGGCTGATCCGCCATCACGGCGTGCGTCGGATGCGGCAGCTCGTGTGGCTCATGCGGCTTTCCTTCCAGCGCGCAACGTTCTTCGTCCTCCCATTCGGTCTGCGCTTCACACTTGAGCAGCCCGCCGCGCGGATCCAGCGAAACGACATGGCAGACGGTGTCTATCCTCGGCGGCGGTGACTATCGCTTGCAGCTCAAGGTACCCTACTTGACTCCATCCCTAAATACGCCCGCCAGGAACAACCGTTACGCTATTACGACGCTTACCCTGTCGACAGCTCTGATGACCCATGCGCTTTTCTTCCAGCGGGTGACCCACATCGCCTGCCGCTTCGTCCTGCGCCCCCGCCTGAGCAGTCAGCTTGGCGAACAAGGCGGGAGAGCACCGCTGTGCCGTCGCGGCCCATGACTGGACTGACCGCGTCCTCCAGTGCACTCCTGCTCCAACTGTCTGTCGCCGACCTCGCCGACATCGCTCCGCTCTTCTACGCCACCAACAAGTCACAAAGTCTCACCGCAAATGACTGCGGCTCCACAACGAAGGTCGCGTAGGCCATGGCCATGCGTCATTCGCCGCCGGGGCCGCCATGACAAGCAGGCGTGGGAACGGTGCGCTCGAGGGAATACGGTCAATGGGCAACCTGAAACTCTAAAACCTGAGCCATAAGCAGGCATAATTTTGGCCATGGCAACACCCAGGTGGACCTGTTTGCTATCGCTTTCGTCAGGCAGGTCAGTCAGAAAATTAGTATTTCGCACGAGGACTTCCAACCCGAGGTAGCGCTACCTCATCTCTCTGTCAGTCTTTATCATCCTTGGGTCGTCATACTAATTGCTATCTAAGCGCGAACGTAGTGACTGCCTCAGCAGCAATCCACATCCTGCACGTACAGCACGACCGAATACAGATAGACCGGCCGCTGCGCCTCCCACAAGCAGGCGGCTTCGATATGACTTCAACCCCGCTCAGCCTATTGCGGCATCGAAAATCATTTCGATGGACACTAGAACCTCCGTTTCGCCCGATGCGGCTCAGCCATGGTGCTCGTACGGGACCTACCAGCTGATGGGTCATTTTTACACCAGACCTCCATCTACCGTCCTCGCTAGCAGACCCAGCTATTGCCATCAGATAAGCAGCTTCCTTCAATCGAGATACCAGCGCCAACAGAAAACCGCTTCCTCTTGCCCCACAGCACGCGCCTTCGCCTCATCCTCGTTCAGCTGCTACCTCGACCTCAAGCTCTGCAAACGCCACGCACGACATCCCCAATGCCCACGCGCTGCAGAATAATATGCTGACTGTCTCATATTTTCTTGACAAAAGGGTGTGACCCAGGATCAATATTTCAAGACCACCCCCGCTGTTTTGACTTTCTTCAGCACTGCGCGGGAGGCATTCTCGGCGTCCTCGAGCGAGCACCCGCCGATTACTCCTGGTACTCGTGTGGACCCTCAGCGGTGTGTTGCTCCACCTACTCCAGCGTAAACATGCCTGACGAGTCATGGGTAACACTGTCAAGACCTGCAGACATCCAACTGACGAATGTACACATAGGATTGATCCCCTAACCGAACCCCTTTGACAATGCTCGACGCCTCCTGCCACTCGTCTGTAATAAGCGCGTCTGGTCATCATAATCGACATCGATATTATCCGGTGGCAGCAACCGATTTCAGGTTAAGTTAACTACAGCCCAAGGAGAGAGCCCATTCAGGTCGAAAGACACGTACACCCCACTACCGCGATAAATTTTGACCACAGGGTTGAAGCTATGAACATCAGCTTGGCAGGATGCGTCAGGATAAATCGTCCCGTTGTGGTGTCTTCGCCGCTAGATGCACACTGTGCCCGTCCTTCGACCAACAGGAAGGGTGTCGCCTTCGAGAGCGGACCACATACCCAGTGTGGACCCCTCCAAACACCAGGACAAGCCACCATCATCATTATCACTATGAGCTTCCCGATCCATTTTGTGGCGGCCGCAAACACATCTTTATGAGGGAGTCACGGCTACTTGAATAAGCATGTGGGATCAGCTCGACAACCTGTGACCAGAATGACCCCAGTGTATACAAAATCACGGTCACCACCAAGATCGGAAAGTGCCTGACGCAGAGTCCGCCTTCAGGTGCCGATAGGAGCCCTTCCCGGGCGCCATGGGCGGTATTGGAATTTACCCCGCATGAAAATGACGCGGACAATGGAACAAACGAACCTATGAGAGGGTGTGAGGCTCTGCAGCTGCAGCGGAACCTTCACCTAACAGGGTAATTTTGTTTGCTGAAATCTGCTTACGTGGGAATGCTTAGCATGCACGTGGACGCACCATGCATGAGACGTGTTCTCAGTAAGCGGCATATGCCGATCTCACCACCCTGCCAATACAGCCGAGTATTCGAGTTCAGTATTACTTAACACTCTTCTGACTTCTCGTCTTATAAATTTCCTTGAGTATGACGAATATTGCCCTAATCCAAAGTCGGCCATATGTATTACTGATCTTCGCTCGCTCGGCAACTGTCTTCGGCCGATTTTGATTGTCGTTTTGCACGAATTTCCCGCCACCATCCGGTACCCGATGACCTGACTCGTTCCATCGATCCTGAGCACCACATTTACGAGATACCAAGACAATCTTACACATGGAAAAATGTCCGTTCGTCGCGTTATACCCATTCCAGAATGCTCAGAAAGATGCATAAGCCATTCTGATGAGAAATCCGGGGAACTCGGGGAATGTAAAGAGCGAAATGACGTGCGTTCGTCTCATCAATATAAATGCTCAGAAGTCAGACACGGATAACCTTGATCCTCATAAGGTTCAGTCCATCAACTCTCTAAGATGCTTTTACACAAGTATCTCTTCCTTCTTGCGATCGGCGCTGGCAAGTCCTTTTGTCGCCCAACCTCTTCCTCGCCCGAATCTTCTCTTGGATCCCCTGAAGTTTCCATCAAAAATGGGACCGTCGTTGGTGTTTACAATGAGCAATACAATCAAGACTTTTTCCTCGGCATTCCATATGCTCAGCCTCCAACGGGAAACCTGCGCTTTCGAAAGCCCGTGCCCCTAGACACCAAGTGGGATGGCGTCAAAGATGCAACGGAGTACGGACCTTTTTGTCACGGCCACACACTGAACATGCAAAGTTTCGACCAACCACTGGTCAGCTATCCGATGAGCGAAGACTGCCTCACAATCAACGTTGTTCGTCCAGCAGGAATCGCATCCAACGCTTCTCTTCCCGTTCTCGTCTGGATTTACGGCGGGGGCTTTGGCGAGGGCGGAAGCGGAGATCAGCGATACAACATGTCCTTTCTCGTTGACACGTCCGTCGAGAATCACTCCCCAATGATCATGGTCAGCTTCAACTATCGGCTTTCGGGATGGGGCTTCCTTGCAGGATCAGAAATAGAGGGGTCCGGCAACGCAAACGCTGGGCTTCATGACCAGAGGCTGGCGTTGGCATGGATTCAAGACAACATTGGACACTTTGGCGGAGATCCCACCCGAGTCACCATCCAAGGAGAGTCTGCAGGAGCCGGGTCGGTGGGGCTCCACCTCATTGCGTACGGAGGCCGGGATGACGGCCTCTTCAGCGCTGCGATTGCAGAAAGCGGCGGACCGTTCGGATACCAGGGTTACCAATCATCCACTTCTCAGGAAGAATATTACAACTCAGTGTTGAACGTGACGGGGTGTTCAACCGCGAATGACACCTTGGCGTGTCTTAGAGCCGCTCCCAATGAAGCGCTCGACGAGATTTTCGGCCAACGACTGTGGTACCCAACATTGGACGGCACTCTTATCCCCGACCTGAACTCCAAGCTCCTCCGAGACGGCCGTTTTGTCAAGGTTCCTCTGCTGATCGGAGCCAATACAAACGAAGGCTCAGTGATGGTGGCCCTACTATCGAGCATCGGTGTTAATTCGACCGAAGGGTTCTACAAAGCGGTTGAGGCCCTCAACAACGGAAGCCCTCTATCAAATGCTACGCTACAACGGTTCGATAAGCTCTATCAGGATATCGTCGACCTAGACGAAGGGTCATTAGGACCCGTTCTTCCGAGCCCCGGTTTTCCCTATGGATCCCTGTATGGCAAGACCTCACTCGTCCTTGGAGACGGCTTATTCGTTGCTGGCCGTCGTTTTGCTGCTCAAATGTGGGCAAAGTTTGGCGTGCAGGCCTACAGCTATCGCTTCGACACGGTTCCGGCAGCAATCGATCCCTCTACGCTGGGAGCTGCTCATATCCAAGAGATTGCATTCGTCTTCCGGAATACAGAAGGAGTCGGGTACCAGTACAAACCATTCGCAGTGCAAGACGCGGAAATTCGGCAACAGCTCCTTGATCTTGCGAAGACAATGAGTTCTGCATGGGTAAGCTTCGCAACGACTCATTCTCCTAATAGTCAACAAGGTATGTTCGGACAATTAATCCTTCATCCGGGAGCTTTACTGACGCTATGCCGTAGCTGGATTCGCCGAACCCTGGCCTGCCTACTCGTTACAGGCGCCCACCAATATGGTTTTCAATGCAACTACTGGCAGCTACCTGGAACCTGACACGTACAGATCTGACGCCCTGGATTTCTTTATCCAGACCGCTCCAGAGTTCTCGCGCTAGAAGGTGCTACCGCTGGGAGTGTAGTAAACAGTCAGCCAACTAGCTCTATGAAATAAAGGTAGTTGATGGATCAGATGTATACACTGTAGATCGAGTATTTAATGTGGAGTTCTTCTACTATGAATCTCTGACTGAATGTTGTGACTACCGTTGTGCAAATGATTTGTGAACGCGGAACCTGACTCGCGGAACCGCGTGAAGCTTCTGCCGTGTTCAGTACCACCCTCTTCTCCATTGCATCATTCATTGCATCACAATACCTCCGACTGAAATATTATAACCTGTTTCCATGCAAAAGTATAATCCCATTTGAACCCGTTCATATGTAGGTAATTTGCTTGTGTAGAGCTCGTCTTGGGGCGTGTGCTGTTCCTGGACGCCTAGTTCGTAGCGCGGCTAACTCCTATTAACCGATATAGCCGGCAGCCGTTGACTGAACATCCTGGATTAGTAGTGCCTCGGCATGGTCAGCCGAAGCTTCCGATTCGCACGAGATATGAAAGTGCGAGAGCCGAGTACAGTTCAACTAATCAGTGTCGTAGTAAGGGGCCACTGATTACTGATCTGCTACAGTTCAGAAGTCTAGTAACAAGGAAAACTTGAGCCATTCTTCGTCCAGCAGGTACGAGCTTCTTGCGTGCTTGCGTGCTTGAATGATTGTGGTATAATGGTATTTGGTCCGTTGGTATTCACCTATATTGTAACCCGAAATCTGTATCGACTCATTTGCGTGCTTTGAGGTACATTACCAACTCAGGAGATCTGCTGATAAATAGGAAGATCGAATCATATAGTAGGTCTGGAATGAAGTGTCACGTCCAGGTAGATCCACTGAGATCAAGTGAAAATTGACCGGCATGGCCTGTAAGCGGCTTTATTCCTGCCAGGGGCACACCCACTCGAAGGCGATCTGCCCAAGGCTACCCCATGTGAACCAGCATCTTGGCCAGGTATCCTTTTCAATAGATCAAAATATAACCCCATTGGGAGAGCCTGCTATCGGAATAGCGGATTGGTTGACAGCTTCGTTTCACTTTGAAGAACCTCCACTGCTACCGATGCCTCATAGAATATCCCGCCATTGATGCATGTCAAGATGCCATACTACCATGGAGTAGGCGAGTCTGTGGGCCTGCTACGTCTCAGGTTCCCGACCTCCAGGAAGGACATACATTGTTCATGAACAGTGACAGCCAGAGCTTGGTACCCATCTCTCCAGAGAACATCACAGGCCCTTCTTTGTATACCAGCGCCTTCAACCCCTCGTGTACGTTGTAGCATGATCGCAAGCCCAAGGAGGCAGGAGGAATCGTGGGATCGATCTGTCGTCGCGCGTATTCGGGAGGTGGTGTTTTGGGATTTTGAAAGTTTAGGAATGGATCTGGAACCTTGAACGGTACAGGTGGTGAGTGAGGTGCTATCATTCGTGCAGAGGCTAAATTCAAATAGACACTTACTTTGCCATATGTGACCACGGGCTGCTCAGGACGAGGTCTGAGTAGCAGAACGACCCGTTACAATGCTGTGCGCTTAATTGTCAGGGACCAAGCTGGCCCATGAGAGACTCAAGTGAACAAAGGCAGCCTTGTGCATTTCATGGGGAAAGGTCCAAGAGCGAGCGACAGGCACCCTCGAAGCTGGTCCAGCGCCTCGAATCCACTCCGCGCCTGAACTTTTCGCTCGTAGTGAATCGACGACCCCATGCACAGCCTGCTTCGTTGTTGTCAGGTCATGTCGCAAGGGCTACGAGGTTATGTTGGCAGCGGCGCGGCGTGTACAACGGCTGTCCCCACTTCGGACGATCCTGGAGGAGTTGCAGATGGGGAGTCATCGGCTTGGGAGAAAGTGTGGGTTCTGCAACTGCTGTGTGCGAATCAGTCAGCCCGACGAAACGTTTTGGAGCAGCGGAGGGAGACTTCCCAGAGGCCTAGTGTCTGTCGCTGCCATTGTCGCTAAATTGGATCCTCCGACCGGCGCGGGTGCAGGCTGTCTATGAGCGAAAGGTCGTACTTCGGTCGCGCTGAGTATGATGGTAGTGGCCCAGCGATGCCCGGCACCGCCAATCCCAGGGAGCAGCCGCAGCACAAGTCCTGCAACTACCATTTGGGGTCCAGAAAGAGCCCCGATCGTTCGAATGGTGGTGATTACTCTTCCGCAGGTCCAGACTGCGCGACAGAGGCGACAAATGCCGAATCCGAGGACGTGTCGGGGCTGCGTCGCCTTCATCGCGTGGGGTCTCGGCGGGATATGGGTTGTAAGGAGTCATTCACTATTGCTCGAGGCTTGACATGGAAGTCGAAGCGGGTGGCGGGCGTTGTGGTGACGCGGCGGCGCTCTTGCCATTGTCGTCCTCGCGACGCAGCCTATCACCTCCCCGACTCTCCACACATTAGCTAGCCCCGCACAACACCACACGCTCAACCTACACCTAGCAGCTTGACTATCTCGTTCATTACCGTTTCTGAAGGCCTTAACCTTATTCCTCGCGAAGGCGTTTGCCTGGACCTCTCCGCATGCACTTCCACGTCGAAAGAAAGCTTGTCTCAAGGACGCTGCAGTATGGCCTCTCGTCAGGTATGTCAGACTCTCAGGAACTACACCTACCTCTTCAAGCACAGCCCGTGCCCTCCTTCTCAGCTGCTTCATGGCGAAGTCTTCGTCGCGGCAGGAGCGCCTCGACTCCAAGCGTTCAGATCTTTCTACAGCACGCTCAGTCTGCATGCCGCCGAAACTACCAGTCTCTGCGGAACTACCCTCTGTCAGCGTTTCATTCTGCAAAATTGGGGCAGGAAGCTCCTTCTGTGCGAGCGATATCGGTTTCGGTGCCTCAGCGTGCTTCCTTTGATCCTATGTCAAGCGGTTACCAAGAGAGGCAAGACCGGAAGAACAATAGCTAACCGAGTACCCCACACAGGTCTGCCTCTGCTTCTGACTGCGCGCACCCCTCCTTTGCTTGGCACTGCCTCCCAATCCACACAATTGCCTCGGTGCGGCACGCCACCCGACAGCATAAGCAAGATCCAGGGCTCCCGGTGCTGCATGCGAAGAGACAACCAACAGCGACATCCCGGCTATGCCACGCAAGAGTTTCGTCTACAACATCACACGCGCAGGCTCTCGCCCCTGCTCCACATCGGCGTAATTGCCTCTCCACCCTCCATCTCGTCGTCGACATCCTCCCGACCGGTAATTGTTGCGACTCTATTCTACGGCGAGCCAACCTTTGGTCAGGTCATCCTCCCGATAGCCTGTCGCGCAGTCCTTGCCTGGTTCAATGCTGCTGCGAATACTGCCGAGTAAATTAACCCGCAGCTCCAGGTGAGGATCCGCTCAAGGCTCTCGAGTACGCTCTGATCTTCATTGCTACGAAAGACGGCACAGACGTGGAAGGTGATGTGGAATCAGCAGGCGCAAATTTCTGTGCGCATTTCCCTCTGCTCTAATGAACAGCGTCGCCCATTCTCAGCTGGCGACCAGGGTCAGTGTTACCCGAGTCTAACACAACTGAGCGCACGGCGGTTCACAGCCAACACTTCTGCCGCCCGCGCCGCCCAATCTACCTCGTGACTCCTCCTCCTCTTCATAAGGACATCCAACCACCTGGGTTTCAGTCGGACGCCTTCTCGCCTATTCTATAGATCCTTCTGCCACTGTTATCGTCCATCGCCGCCCAGCTTCGGCAAGACTGCAGCTTTCACCCTCAACACACTGCGGCACCGCGCCTGGAGCATCCTCGCCTTCGCATTTAGTATCAGCTACTACGTCGCTCATCCTCTCCAACCATTCGCATCCTCTCCCAGCGCGCGAGACCCACAGCTGACAACCACCCTCAAACCAAGTCTACGCGGTGACGAAGCGAATCAAGTGAAATCCGTCCTGGCACCCAAATGATCGCTTCTGCTCACGCCGGCCTATCGAATACAGTCGGACCTCATGCTGCTTCCTTTCCTCAAGCTGAAGCCTCTGCTTATGCTTCGCTTCGCTTCACTTGCTGGTCTGTCAGCTGGGCACATCAGCGCTACTTCACAGGCCAGCTCCGCCGCTACAATCGCTTCTTATCGTTGATCTCACTTCTCGAAACAAAGGGATCTTACTCCTTTCGGGGCTCCTCATGAACTCAGACTCTTCTGACCTTGCAAGCGTGAGCTTGCTCACATTGAGCAGGCAGCGATGTCTTGTTAACACTTTGAGAGGATACCTCATGGAGCTCTCAAACAGCGGCGGTGAGGATCTGGAAAGCAGAATCCAGAGAGTGAAAAGCATTCGGCCTAGAGCTACAGCATCGGGGTCACTTTGCTGCAATCTGTGTGCCCACTCGGTCGTGTGCTGGAGCCAGACTCGGTCCGCCCCAGCAATCGCAGTGCCAGAGCACACGACGTCCGTACAGGTTTGCCAGACCTTCTCCTTCGTATGCCGTTACAGTAACTGACGAGGCATCAATTTTTAGGTTTCATCAAGCTCTCGTGGCTGTGCGACTTCCACACCTCCTCTTCCAGAGCTTTGGTGTAATTTGGGGTGCGGAACTGGCAGAGTCTCGCCAATTGCCGTTACCTGTTGCCGTCGCTTGCAAGGATTGCGCACTGGAGAGCTTTGCCAAACAACGTTTTGACCTTGTACCTCACCCGCGTCTTCCATGATACCAAGGATGCCCTCAGTCTGGTAAGTTGTCAAGCAGACAAAGAACTTTTATCCGTCACCGAGGAGACAGGATGGCTGACAGCGGTGTTTGTAGCGCTCCGTGTCCGTCCGGACTATGGAGTTCCGACTCATGCTCTGCCTGTGCCTTCTTCTTGTGCGCGATGAGCAGAGGCTCGCCAGAGCCCACACCGGCCGTCGCCTCACTCGTTTGTATCGTCGCCATGGCGCTGAAGGAACCGGAGTACAAGAGATACTTCTCTGGCCCGCCACCAGATTCGGACAACCAGTTAGACCGGAGGACAGGACACCAGAGGCGCATCGAGCACCACGAGAGAGATGTTTCGTGCTCTGCCGCTAGATGCAAAGCTTCTGAGGATGATCCTTTGGGTGAAGCCTCAAGAGAGGATACCATCAAGCCTCTCCGCAAAGCCCTCGGCCGTATTCGCACCAAGCCCCGGGCAAAGGAAGAGGAGTACGATATTTGGCCGGTCAATGACGAGGGATCAAAAAGCAACGTCGCTAGGGACAGTTAGCATCTGCCGCAACGTCCACATCGTCGGATTTACCTTCTGCAACCGTGGCCTCGCTGCTCGGCTTCAGGTTCTCTCTTGCTCGAACGGGCAAGCGAATCCATTGGGAACAGTCTAAGCGGCTACTTACTGGGTCACTCATCGCCTTGACTCCAGAGGACGATAACTTCCGGTCTCAGTGCACTATGGCAATCGTCGCTGCTAGGCCGCTGGCAAACCTTGTTCAGGACCCCGCCCGAGATCGATATCTTCTTCCCACGTCCTGAGGAAGTACAGATCGATCCCGGTCAAAGCTGGATCACGGTCGAACAAATGGGACGCTGATAGATGTCCTCGAAAAGCTTGTCAGCGAAGTTGTTTGAAGAGGGTGAGAAGAAAGACAACTTCGATGTGAAAAGACTTTCTGTGAAGAGACGAAGGGGTTGATCACACTCGACAACTAGAACAACGCTCGCGGAGGACTTGAAAAACAAATTGCAGAAGTGCAGAATGAATCCATAGATATGAGTAGATGAATAGATGATTGTAAACCTTAGGCCGCTGGCCACTCGACAACGCCCGGTGACCGGCAGAAAATTCCAACTTTTGACACTAACGGAGAATCGCCAAGCCCCATCTCAAGACCTATCGTTCATATCACAAAGCACGGCAATCACGTCACGAATCTGGAATCATGTGTCCGCCGCCCAAACCATCCAATTCTCTCCCACCACCAGTCCAGATGTCGCGATTACCATCCCATCCCCGGCTCATCCAGAATAGCAACAACAAAGCCCACATCTTCAATACACCTCCCAAGCAAACCGCCGGGCCCGCCCCAACATGCACTTCCGAGGCGACAGCAAAAGGAAGAGACCGGGTCCGCTCGCCAGTAGCCTGCAGAGGTCCCCGTCCCCAACTTAGCGCAATGAAGCACCGGTCTGGCTCAGGAGGCATGAGGTCTACGGTCCGCATATGCCAGTCCCCTCCTGATGCCACCGGGAGTCCCCAGACCGTGTGTTGGAAAAAAGCAGGTGGGGTGCATTGGTATGATGGATGAAGGTGTGTGGGAATGCTGCGCCAACGGACTTGCCTCGCTCACCCAATCCCAGATCCACCGCCCGTCATGTTCTATCTACTAGTTCAGGCTTTGACCCGATCAAGGCACTTGAGAAAACCCCGGAGCAGCCCCATGTCCTCAGCAACTTCCGAGCTCTTTCTCATCTGAGACGACTTGCATCAACCCGAACGGCTGTCTTCCAGGCTCTTGCTCGTCTTTGACGACATCCATAAGCACGATCGGCTCTTCCAAGCTCTTCCTCTTCAGGCTTTCAACCAGAAGTGGCACTCCGCTGCAGCACGATCTCCTAGCTCTTCCTCATCACGGCACGACTTACCAAATGCCAAATCCGAACGTGTTCCTTGCTCTTGCTTGCACACGGAACACGAGCCGGGCACCATTTCACCGAAAGTCAGTGCTGGCAGCGGGATCAGCGGTTGAGCAAACTTCAGAAGCGGCCACCGGCCAACGTTCTGGCATCACCGACGGGAGCTACACGAGGCTCTACCGCGGTATAATACGGACGTCACGAGCGACCCGCGGACAGATACCTCAGAAGCCTGGCTTCGGGTCTCGTCCTCCTACAACTCCCAGGCTCTTCCTTGATCTTCTTCACCCGAGGGCCTCATTGCTGTACCCTTTTTCTCCAAGCTCTTGCAGTACACCAACCTTTGGAAGGGGCACCACCTCGCTAACGTCTCGGTTCACCGGAAATCGCCGTCCCTCGCCAAAACTTCCACCCAGGACTCCCAGAGCACGAATCTGATCTCTCTGACCACTCCACAATGCACTTTCAAGCTCTACAAGCCAATTCAGACCTCAACAAGCAGCACAGGGTCTGTGGTTTAGTGGTATAATACTCCCTTAGCATGGGAGTGGTCCCGAGTTCGATTCTTGGCGGATCCAATAGCAGCTGGTTCAATTCCGGCATATGCCTTCCTTTTTGCCTTTTGTTTTGGCAGGCGGCATCCCAAGTGGCGGTCTGTGGAGCCAGTACAGCGGCCTCTGGAAGCCAAAGACTGAAGAAGATTGTGGTGGGGTGGATTGGCATCCGGCCGGAAGTGGTGGTGGTGGAGAAAAAAGTTTTGCCGCCACACCGGAAATTGCCCGGCCAGCGAACACGACTCGGCGCTTTTGCTTCGGCAAGCTAACAGGAACGCGTCTGGTGTTAAGCGAATCCATGGGACTCCAGGGACCTCCGGATGGAAAGTGGTAGCGGCTCAGGGCCTCAACAAAGGTCGGACGTGGACTCAAGCGTGGCCTGAAAAGAAATATGTCTGATGCCAATGCATCGGACAAGTGAGACTCGACGTGCGAAAGCAGAAGACAACAGAAGCCATGGCCAACAAGGAAAAGAGAGTTGACACCGGATTGAAAAAAAGGAAACTCTTTGAAGGCTTGTGTCCTTCAATGAAAAACATCGACCGGTATGCAGGTCGAGACGAAAGCACAATTCCAAGTTGCAATATTGCAAGACTGATTGAGGACTCACGCAACGCCGGAGACTGGAAATGGCATGGCAGGAGTTGGAGTTGACGAAACGGTATAATGGCTGCCACCAGGAACGTCCGTACTACTTCAAGTGAGCATTGAGAACAGCACGAAGATTGGGCGGATTGTGAAACGGGAGGAAGACTTGGAGTGGACAAGAGCTGGGAAACTTGGGAAGAGCAAAGTTCAAGAAGGTGGGCAGGTCAAGAGTGCATGGACAAGATGAGGGTGAGGGGAAGGGAGGGGCCTTGATCCTACCTAGAGACCTTACGGGAAGCAGCACTACCAGGTGCAGCAATGCGTCCTTCATTGTCGGCTTTGTCTGGACTTGTGCCGCGTCGGAGTCTGGAGTCGAAGGATATGCCGGCGAAAAGGATGGAACATGATTCACAGGTTCAGCCTACGGCGACAATGTGTTCGCCTGACTGGACGCAAGGCGGACTGGACAGGTCCTTCAGCAGTATCAGCAATGCCGTCTAGGTCATAGCCATCCAGGCGGGATTGCCTTGCAGTCAACGAGTTACTTACCTTCGGTGGTTCTGGTACTCTCACACGCTCCTTCGTCGGGCCTGATCCACGGTCGCCATGTTTGGACACCTTCACCAGGATCCGGAACGTCGCTGAAGTCGGAGCTTTGCGGCGGCGATCCGAAGGGCACACCGAACTCAGGACCCATGTCGTGGCGTGCTGCGTCTCAGACAAGGCGTATGATGTGCCGGGGAAGTCACCGCCGATTGCCGCAATCCGACACCGCAGGGTCGCGAGAGGTCTCGGCAGGCAGACGCGGCGCCATTGAAGCCCCACCAGATTGGTCACGAAACTTCAAGGCCGACTCGATGTGTCGCTGTGGCTTTCCCGAGCTCGTGTTCATGGCGGAAGGTGACAGGGATTATGACGACATTAACTGGTGGCTCGGACCATTGAATAGCGGAATTGCCGCGCGGAAACAGGCGGAAGTTTGTCGCGACCAACGTTGACATACAGCTGGTTGATTGCTGATTTCACCATGCTGATGCTGGCCAGAGCAAACTGAGGAAACATACACACAGGTGCTTATTTGGACTCCGGGGCGCTGTTCCATGGCTACCCGACTCCTCAAGGCTCATCCTTCGTGTCCGTCAGACCGGCAGGCAGCCTGTTCCTTGCATACTCCAATAGCTGCGGTATCCCATTCCGACCCTTGTTTCCGCCTTAGTTCTTCACCGGTTGCCTGATCATTGTGGTGTTCGTGTCGGTTCCGCTCAGGCCATACTTGGAGAAATCGAAGACAACGGTCTCCTGGTCTTCGAAGCCGTGGCGCTTGTACAAGGGTCTGCCAGCCTCGCTGGCCTCGAGGAAGCAAATCAGACCAACCTTGTCGGCTTGCTGAGTACCCCAGCGGACGAGCATGCCACCTGCACCGCGGCGGTGGTGGTTCGGGTGCGTAACGAGGAGGTTGAGGACTATGCGGCGACGCGGGTTAGCGCTTTCAACATGGCGGTGCTAGTCTCAGGCAACGCAGCATAGGCGCGGCCAAGCAGGGGGTGGTCAGCAAAACTCACAGTAGTGCGGCGTCTTTCCCAGCTGGCGCCTCACACGGTGGAGGTAGCCGCCGAAGAAGGCCTTCTGGGCTGCGCCGAACCGCTCACGCTCCTCCTCGATGGGCTCGAAGGGCTGCTCCAGCTCCTTGAGCTCCTCGTCAGACCTCCCGTTGTCGAAGAAGGACCAAATGGCGCCGGCGATTATCTCGTCGTTGTTGTCCGTGTCGACGACCTTCAGGTGGTGCGTGTTGGGCTTGGAGAGGGCCTTGCGGAGCTTCTCCTTGCGCTGCTCGAGGTGAACCGGGTGCGGAGGGTCGTCGTGCAAGGCGCGGCCCATGCCGGAGGAGTAGAGGGCGGCGGTCGTGATGTCCACGAATTGCGGCACATCGGCCTCTTCAAGACGGCGGATTTCGAGCGGCATTGCGGCTGGCGTATGGGCTTCTTGTGGGAGAAAGAGGAGGAGGCAGTCAGGTCAGGGCTTGAGGAAGCTGTGGAGAGGGGCAGAATTCGGGGAAGGAAGCGGTGCAGTCGGGGGGGCTGCAACAGAAGAAGGCGGGCGCGGAGTGGTGAGGATGGTGGGGGCCTGTCGCCGCGGCGCATCGTCAGCCAAGGCGCCCGCCGGTCTCTGACTCCGACGGCACGCCTGGGACACCGCTACCCGGCGCAATCGCCTGCCATTGGCCCCTTTCCGCTCGATTGGTTGCCTCTTTGAGCCGCCGCGAACCTTCTTTGCCAGCGGCAGGGGTCCTGAAGAACCGGCGTGGTGGGCTGGGCGACGCAAGGGGCGACGCGGCGGAGGCCGTGGACTGCGGGGAATTGCATCACCTCCGACCTCCGCGCCGCGACCATCCTCGGCGAATCGCGACGGCGAAGACGACGACAACGACGCACCGCCAGAGTATCGGCAGCCGCTCATAGCGGCGGGTATGCATGTCAGGGCAGCATGCGCCGCAATAGGGGCAGCGCCAAAGCCAGGCCAAGATTGCTTCCAGTGTGCCGCCCGCGGACTTTGCGGCGCGGAGGAAATTTTCCACCTGCGTTTGCCAGCGTCGTCTTCCCGCCCGCTCCGCTTGCGCCTCAACACGTCAACCCTCCCCGTCAACATGACAGCCTGTATGCCCGCCATCTGCCCTGGCGCACGTAGATTCGAGGCCGTGTTGCAGCTCCAGGGGCGATTGCGGTTGCGTTGCGGCAGCACGCATGTTCTCCGTTGACATCATGAACGGCGCGGCGCGGCGAGGCACGGCGAGTCGCCAGCATGGTACCTATCCCGCTCACGGCGGCAGCCTATTGAAGCGCCTCTCGAGCGCCTTTGACATGCTTCCCAGGGGCCTCCGACAGTGCGCTGCCTGCCGCCAGTGAGACGCGCCGCCTACAGCTGCTGCCTTTGCGGTCAGCCACCGCCGCACAATGGTTGTGCCGCTGTAGCGTCTCGCCCGGCTGTCGAAACACGAAATTCATCCAAGGAAGGAACGGCAGCCTTTTATCTTCAGCTGATGTCCACGCAGATGCCCAATGGCCGGGTGTAGGCGTCACGGGCGAGCAAGATTCTGCCTCGCTCTGCTTCCTATATGCAAAGTCCGGTCAGATGCGTGAGCTGGTTCCTGCCGAATTGGCTGCACTCCGCTTGAATATGGCATCTACGCTCTTCAAAAGCCTCGTCACAAGCCGGTGATGCCCGTACCTGCTGCACAATAGGCATTCGAACAATAGCCACGACGCCGACACCCCCCTTCTTAAGCCGCTAAAATCGACCAATCCTCCGTTCCCTTTCCTTTCCTTTCCTCTCCTTCATACTTGAAATCAGCTCCGAACGGCCTTGCAGCCTTTCCATTTCTCGTGGTCGCGAGCGCACTATCAGCTTTGGTCAACCTCCCCTTTTTCTTGCCGTCGTACTCTCCGCGCCGTGTGACCTGTCAGCCTCACCAAGCATCTTCGGTCAATCTGCCCCAGCTCATCAGATTCAAGCGGCCTTGCCTCCACGAGCCTGCCGTTGTGCTGAATTTGACGACCCCAATTCCATTGCTCCCACACGTCTCGGAGACCATCTTCGGAGGATCAAGCCTTTGCCAGCGTCCCAGTGACACACCGCCAGAGTCCTTGTGACATCCCGCCAGCTCCATCTAAGGTTTACCATTCTGAATTTCCTTGAAATTTCACTATCAAGCAAGTAAGCATTGTTCCTCCGCTTTTTCCGCTCAATCCGTCCTCTGAGCAGACCATCCTGACGTTTTCAAGCCATGCCTTCCTTCAACACCAAGTCCATCGTCCAGGAGACGAAGAACAAGCCCGCCGAAATGGCCGTTGACGTCGAGTCCGACCCTGGAGTCTGCCCCGATGCTCCCAAGCTCAGCAATGCCGTGCTCAGCCACGCCATCCCTTACCACAAGAACGAGCCCAGCAGCAAGAACGCTGTCAAGGAGTCCAGCGACGCCAGCGCCGACATTTCCATCACTCGCAAGCCCACCAGCCAGCCCCTCGGCCCTTCGGACCCCACCGCTGGCCTGACCGGCGCCGACCTCACCCACCTCCTCCACCCGGGCATCGCGAACGTCAGCGCCATGACGCCCGCCACCCTGTCCGTCCGCCTACCGGTCCTCACCCTCCTCTCCAACCCGAACACCTCGGTCCACACGCTCCACCGCGCCCTGCTCACCGCCCACCTCCGCACCAACCCGCTCCTGCTCCTGCCTCCTGCTCCCGATGACGTCAACGACAACGGCAACGGCTCCATCCACCTCGCCGCCAACTACGCCGCCGCCGGCCTGTCCGCCTTCACCCAGAAGGCCGCCGCCGACGGCCCCGACACGCCGTTCTCGTCCACCCCGCTGCACCCGGACGACCTGCACTGCGTGCGCCGCTTCACGCTGCTGGTTCCCACGCACAAGGGATACTTTGGAGACCACGTCGTCAAGAGGGAGCAGATGTCGGCGTTTTTGTTCTCCGGCGCCGTCCGTGGTGTCGGTCTCGGCATCGGTTGTTGTGTCGGTGATGATGCCGTCGCTCCCGGCGGTCCCGACTCCGGCCCCGGCACGGCAGACGATCCCCTCGTCCTCGAGCACCGCTGGTTCCTCGCGCAGACGGGGAAAGAGAAGGGAGAGAGGGAGGTCTGGCGGGGAATCGTGAGAAGGGCCGTCCGGACCCTGATGGCCGGGATGGCGAAGGCGCTTTTCGCGGAGGGAGGGGAGGGAGAAGAGGCGAGGGAGCATCTCCTGGGAGAGGTCGTCTTCCAGGAGTGGTGCGATGGCTGGGGAGAGAAGTGCGGTGCGGACGTGCGCCTCGTGAGGGAGGTAAGGGCCGTCATTGCGGAGATGGAGGACTGCTATGGCAGTGTCCTCCGGGGAAGGCTCCGCGTTGCGGAGGGGACGGAGGGGGGAGATTGGGGTGAGGTGGTGGAGGAGGAGGAGATGGAGGAGGGCTGGGAGGAGATGGAGGTGGTGGAGGTTGCGGAGGTTGCGGAGATGGAGGGTTGAAAATGGGGGGGTGCACTGGGGATGAAATGGGGGGGTTGATGTGGCGGGGTTCTTTTCTTTTCTTTTTTTTTTCGGAAGTTCTTCAAGAGAGCTGCCAGTCAACAGGCGTTTAATAGGTAAATAAAATGGGTTTGGCGTTTAGTATGGGCAGTCCAAGGGCAAATTCAGCCCTACTTGGTAGCGCATATGCAGCTTATCTTTCAACAGGTCAGGCTGAACCGGATCGGCCTGCCGCATCTCGACCACCTAACTTTGCTAGCGCACTGCCGACAGACTGGCCACTGTAAGGATATTAATTCTGCTCGTACTGGTCCAGCCCGGTCGAGGCAGACAGCAAGGCTTTTGTTAGCTGACTCATTTTCTACGCAGGCACGCCCATTGGTCCAGAGGACGGACCATTCGCAGCCTATTTACCACCTATCAACGATTGGCAGCTAACCCTCCACATAGCTATGCAGATCAGCCTCTGCGGGGGATTCTCCGCGGGGCTGTGGCCCCACCGCAGTTATATTCCAACGCCAGCCTGATCCACAAACCGTCAGCTGTATCCTCCACCTCGTTGCCCGAGATGGCCGAAGCGGTCGGTATCGCCGCCGCCGTGGTCCAGTTCATCGAACTTGGCACAAAACTCCTCATTGCCGCCTGTAACCTCCGCTCGAAACTCGAAAATGCGCCCGAGAAAGTGAAAACCTCGGAACGATTGGTCAGGCAGCTCGTCAGCCTTGTGCAAACGTTGGAAGCGGATCTACAGCCTACTTCCTCAACCACCCTTTTCGATGTTCTTACAGCCGAAAGCACGTTGGAGGCCGAACACATACTAGAAGACTGCAGTAAGGAGGCTTCCGCTCTTCTAGCGTTGCTACATGGTTTCATGGCCAAAATGGACGGCAACTTCGTGAAAGGGAAGATGCGTGCATTCTCCTACGTTAAGAAAGAGGAAGAGGTTGCAGAGAGGTGCAAGCGGCTGGACGAGCTATCTTCACGTCTTACCATCTGGTATCACCACCAAACGCTTTCTTTGCAGAAAAAACAGATGGATGCCTTGTTCTCCATGAACAGTTCAATCAATGCGATCGGGAGTCAGATTCATGCTGGACTCGCGGCAGTTGCACATTCCTTACAGCAGCAACAGAGTGCAATGACTCCCAGCCCTTCTGCGCCGATTGTAAGCCTCCCTAGCACTAGCATTCAAACCCGCACTGATCAACTTGCAGACAAGCATTAGCTCTCCTGTGACTTCCCCCCGCCTAATCGGTCGAAGTGGTCTTAGAAATCCATACTTGCCGAATTGTCTGTGCAGACGATCGCATCTGATAAGATCGGCATACAACTTTGGCCCATTTTCGCTTGCGAGTAAACAATCGGGAGCCCACGAGCGGAGCTGCCCTTACTATGACAAAAGCCAAGCAGGAGACTCTCGAATCACTGTTGGCTTGTCGCTTCCATGGTTCGTCCCACAACGTGTCCAGCTGTCAATCACAAGCTCTTACGCCAAAGGCGCATACTCAATATCTCCAACCTTTCGGACATTGAATATTGTGGACACCGATACATCCCCTGCATTCGCTCATCTGGCAAGTGCCTACTTCAACATTAAGGACTTACATGGCAAGCGATCTAGGGGTAACCTCTTCCTGACCGTCAATATTGCGCTCATCTGCCCTTTACAAAAAATATTCAAAACACTATTTGTAGAGCTCAACCAAGACTTCAGAAGTGGGGCATCATCTGCAATGGATGTATTGAGTGATGGGAGATCAATTCTACATGTAAGAGATGCGTGTTGCAATTTTCGGCGGTTACTCATACATCAGGCAGGACCTTTTCACAATCCTTGGCATTGTCTGCGTTTATGAGGATCATCTTGCCGAACTAGCTGGCTCTCTTTTGCAGCTTTTGATCGACTTTGGTATCGATATCAATGCCGAGAGGTACTATTCCAAAGAAACGCTATGTGCTATTCAAATATTTATAAATACTAATTTAGACAGACAAGCACTTCCCAGAAGTACCACGAAAAGTGGGAATGCTCTTTTGGCATTCAAAGAGTGGATGGAATTAGCGTATTGTTATCACCAAGTCGACTCTGGCCTACCGTTAATACACTTGCTATATCGAACAGGTATAGATGTATCTGTTTGGAGCGAATTTGCGAGCGACTTCCTTCTTGAACCCAGCCTATTTTCAAGATTACCGGATCTTGCTCTGGGTTAGTATATGTCACGGAATTATTGATCTTTTACTGACCTTAAGCAGAGGTGGGAATTCCCAAGCTTACTTTTGCAGTCATTACTCGCAATGACCGCAATCTCAGAGCCCTTCTGCGGGCTAAGCACAACGTGGATGAAGTCTACATTCAGCCTTTAACGCCCCTTTGCTATTCTGTAGGCTGGCCTGAAGGATTCCAGATCCTACTAGAGTCTGGTGCGGATCCGAATCTTGCACTATCAACAGCCTTGAGGTATCTCGATGGCGCGTTCGTCGAGAGGCTCCTAGAGGCTGGATGCGTTCTATTCGCCGATGATTCTCCCCTAACACGGTTTCTACATGTGACGGAGGGTTACACTGGCTGTGAAGACAAGAAGTCTCAGATTTCATCCCTCCTCATCAACGCCATGGCCGACTCCCGTCGCCGATTCATGCGTCTCGCATGTGAAAATGTCCCGAGGCAAGCGCTTATCCAGCGCGGATGGACAGACCCCAGTATCAACGGCCCTCTTCTTGATGGCAGTGCTGTAGAGGTAGCGGAACTCCTCGAAACCCTCAAAATTCAAATCCCGCGCAATCTCAATCCCGGTTTCAAGCGGTCTGTATACCATCAGGATTATCTTACTGCTCAAGTTGCGCAGTTGTTATATTCTTGTGGGTTTGTGGACATCGATTTGCCAGATCGAAATGGATGCACACCATTTATGCTCTGTTTGGTCCGCATCGGTCGCAACCATGAGAGAGATGACAGAAAGATTCCTATATCATGGTTTTTGGACCAAGGAATTTCGATTCTCCATTGCTCCTCAATCCCAGGTTTCAATCTGCTACACCTGCTATCAGCTTGCTATCAACACGGATTGTTCTCGCGCGCTCTTCCTCTTCAAAAGCTCATACAGGAACTCGAGGACCTTGACACCATTGTCCACCGTCTCTCTAGGCTCTGCAATCCCTATTCACGAGACCTCTGTAAGTGCTGGTGCTCCAGCAGCGGATGCTTACCTCTTACTCTTCTCTTCAAGGGCCTCTGGCCAGATTGGACCTACTATCAGTATCTCATCAACTTGAGTGAGAGATGCACTTCCTGGGATTTCATAAACCAGACACTCAAAGATTGGATCTGCTGGTATGGTTGTGACCCAGCCGACCAGACCATCCTCGAGGAAATCTGCAGGCTTGAAGCTTTTCAGCGGCTCGGAATGGCTCACACATGCTGCAAATTGAGATTCCCCTGGGATCCGGAACTTGGCTATAATAAATTGTCCGCATCGTTTGTCTCAGATCAGGAGAGACAGCAAATGCAAGAGGAAGACACTTGTTCAAAAGTTCAACTCGACGCCCTCCTTGATACCTATACTGCTCTATTTACGCAATATTCGGACTCTGTGGCAAGGTTCTGGGTGGTTTGGTGGGAGATACTCGAGGACTATCTGCCTCAGAGAGTATGGATACTGGAATGGAATGGCCACAGCCGTGTCCAAGAGTACGTCGAAATGGAGAATCCATGGTGCAACAGCAAGCTTCCAAACCCCCAGGATCTCTGGACAAAGACGGACGAAATCAAAAGTCGTGTCATAGCAGCAATGGCCGAGCCAGAGTCACCAACCTTGCCCTCATGATCCCTACCGTCGATTCCGCTCTACCGGCCTTTTGGATCGTCTCATATGGGGAAGGGAACAGGCTGCTTGTTTTTTTTTTGTTTTTTTTTTGCGAATAGTTTGTCATTCCTCGGACGCGTTTCCCACAGCTTGATGCAAAAGGCCCACCCCCTCAGTATCTCGCTTCAATGTAAATAGGTGTTAGAATATCGGGCTATGGCAAGTTTTTCTTTTTCATCCTTTTTATCATGTACCGTGTGGTGGCGTTCTTCAATTCCTACCTCTTTGGCACATTTATATGGGAAGGAAACACTGGGTAGCTTGAGCTGCATAATGCTGTATTCCGAATTCATGAGTTTCCCCTGGTGCTATACCATCAGTCGTCACACAGCGGCAACACAAATGACGCAATCCTGCACCTCATCAGGCCTATCCTCGCTTCCACAACAAGCCCATCCCCGCCTCCCACGTCTCACAGCATGAACACAGTTCTGCAACCCTCCGGCATCCATCCACCAATAAACAGCCACACCCCTACCCGCTGCCCCAGCCTCCTCCTCCGACCCCGCAAGCCGCACACCAGCCTCCCCTACCCAGCCCACCACGCACCCACGGCCCCGACCTCCGCGAGCACTACCGCCCGCCGACGCCCGGCCCACCACAAACGCCCCAATTCCGGCACCCATCGCGCTCATCACTCGTTGCACACTCGCTCGTCCCCCACAATCGACCACCCACCCACCCTAGCGCCGCGCGAATCAAAGTGGGGCGCGCCCAAGGGACGATCCGAGCCGCAAGCGTCGTTCGGTCGATCAGTCGGTCGGTGATCCGGGCCGATGCATGCAAGGCCAGCCAGCCAGCCAGCCAGCCAGTTGGCGGGCGCAACACTTAATTGCTAGTGGCCCAGCCGGCCAGTTACAGAGATGCAACGTGCCGATGCATGACTATGGCGCGACAGTAGTAGTAGCGGCGATTATGTCATGGTGCGCGCGTTTCCGTGGAACCGTTTTCTGCAAGTGGACCGGACTGCTGCTGCGTTCGTTTGCTGGCGGGTCCCCAACGGGATTCTGCGAGCGGTGGGGCGCGCGGCGCCGACACGGATGCGGGTTTCTCTGCGTTTGTGTGTGTGGGGATCAGCAGGGTGATAAGGGGTAGTAGGGTTTATCGATTGGAGAGTATGATTGCTTTTTGTTTTGTTCGGTGGTGTGACAGCGTGTAGGACGCCTATTAGTGGTAACTACTATTATCTTTCTGCTGATGTAGAGAGTAAACGCGGGAAAAAGAAAATTCGGTGATGCGTAAAGGATATCGTATGCCCTGTCCGTATCTCCAATGCATGCGTCCAAGTATCTTCCCTTGATCCTCCCTGATGCTCCAATTCATGTTTTATTACGCACATCAACACGCGTAGAAAGATGCTTGTCCTCCTTGTGCATAAAGACCAGTGAGAAAGACAACAGTGATGGTCCGATGCGACGAGCGGCGTTTTCCCACCGAAAAGAAAAACGCCCGCCGCTATCACCGTCCATCAAACAGTAAAGAGCCGTACCAGCCCATCCATGGAACAATTCCGGCGGGCCAAAAGAAACCCACACGGTAAACCGCCATACGCCCTAGACAGAAATGAGGCGAAACGATACCAACAAACGCAGAATCCTCCCCCAGCCCCCCATTCACCGCCTACTCAACTTCCTCCTCAACCTCCCCTCCCTCTCCGCCCCGACCGCCGGCTCGATGCGGTCCTCATCCGCCACCTCATCAATCACAACGTCCCTGCTCATGCTCTTGACATTATCCTTACTACCCCCCGAGAACCTGTTGTTGCTGTTGTTACTATTATTCATGCTGAACCCACCCACCGGCGTCAAGCTCGGCGTCGGCACGCTGACGGGCGACGGCGGCACGCTGGGGCCCGGCGACCCGCTCATCTGGTGATGTATGCCGTGGTACTCGTAGCCGCGGGTAGCTGCCTGGTGCTGGTGGGGGCCCCAGACGACCGGTTGCTGTCCCTGCTGTCCCTGCTGCTGGCCATTGCCGCCATTGCCGACGTTGCTCATGCTGCCGTTCGGGAAGCGGGTGAGGGTGTTGGTGCGGCTGCGGGGGCGGAGCGGGGACGTGGGCGCGATGGTGGTGTTGTTGGGGAGGTCGAGCGTCGAGGCGAGGGTGCCGGAGTCGTTTGCGTTCTTGAGGTGCGCCATGGGCGGGGGTGGGGGGACGGCGGCGCCGGCGCCGGTGTTGTTATTGGGGTTGTTGGGGTGGTGGTTGTGGCTGCCGCTGCCGGCTTCGCCGCCGGAGAGGTTGGCGCGTTTCGCGTCTTGCTTTTTGCGGTGGCGGCGTTTGAGCCACATGCCGAAGATGGAGAAGAAGACCATGGCGAAGAAGATGATGATGAGCATCAGGACCCACTTCCAGTGGGCGGAGATCCTGTGGGGGAAATCGGTGTCAGTGCTTCTTCCCGTTTGTGGGGTGTGGAGAAAGAAGGGCCGGTCGGGCGCGACGATCAGTTGGTGTGTGCGGAGGGAATTTGTGACTTACCAGCTGCCTTCATAGTTGTTGGACGGGTCGCCGTCGCCGTCGTAGTCGTTGATGACGGAGTTGCTGTTTCGCGTGGCGGTGCTGTCCGGGGCGGACGAGGTCGGGGCGGTCGAGGAGGTGGTGATGGAGCTGGATGTGGCCGACGATGCCTGGGTGTTCTGGCCGCCGCCGCTCTTGCAGAAGTTCACGTACCACTGCTGGATGGCAGTTTGGTCGTTGACGCTGGGACATGCTCCGGTGCATTCGATTCCTGAGCCGGCGCGGAAGTTGGTGAGCATTGCCGACTGGCAGAAGCACGACACGTATGTCTGCTGGTTGGAGACGGGAGCTCCTCCGGACGGGAGACAGCCATCTTGTGCTTTAAAGAAAGGCTCGCAGTTACTGGCGCAGGAAGGCAGGGCAGACCAGTCGACGAGCGTCTGGGCGTGGGCGAGCGAAGGTAGAAGTGCAATGAAGATGACGACGAGGACGCGCAGCAGCGCTGACGAACGATGGACGGGGTGAAACATGATGTGGAGTTGCGGGCGGTTAGCCGGCAAGCAGGCGGCGCGTTGATTGGCAGATGGGTGAGGTGGGTGAGCGGGAGATGTGCGAACGAGTCGGCGCGCCTATCTCATGGCGGTCGTCCTGCGCATGGGTCGGCGGCGGCAATGGCGACCTGCAACGAGCGATGGGAGCTGGAGAGCTGGGGCAGGAGGGTGCGGAGAAACGAGGGAGGAGGCATTGGTGGTGTGCGAAGGGAGCAGCAGCTGTGCGGGTGCAGCTAGCCCGCATGCAAGCCTAAGCTCTCTCTGGCCGAGAATCCCTGGGCGGGGCTTGATTGGGGAAATTGGAGCCCGCGTCTTGTGCGCCCGCAACAAGCTCACCTCGCATTCCCAAGCATCCCCAGAGGAATCCGCCCGTGCTTGGCCGCCAATGGTGCGTTTCACGAGCTCAGCCCGCCGTTTGGAAACTGCGCGCCCGCTCCTTTCACGTGAAACGCTGATAAGAGCCGCCGTTGAGACATCTCCCCATCCCGCTTGCTACGCCTCGGCTGCCTCCACCCTTGCCGTCCTAACTAGGCCCCAACCGGCAAGTCGCTCCCGGGTCCGTCTCCGCTCACGCCTCCGCTCCACCTGTTCTTCGCTTCTGCTGCCTCACCACGCCGTTTCATCACCGTTGACGCCAACTGTTCAGCCTCCCGCTGTCGATACGGGAAGACGTCGATCGCCGTCAGCCGATTGATCACCATACTTCGTTGTCGAACTCACGCGAGTCAGTACTGCAGAACAGCCTCAATCCGCCAAGTTTGCCATGCCATCAGCCAGGCTGCCCAGAATCGTCGAGAAAAGGCAGCCACCCGTATTCGTGTCCCTCATTTGCTCGCATAAGAACCACATATTAATCCCTGGAAGTTGAATCACTCCACGTCCTTCTTCGCACGCAAACTCTCATTATGCACTACAACTCCGTCACTTTGCGTGCGCGAGAAAGCTCCACTTGTCTTCTGCCGAATCCAGTTGTATGGCACACACCTGCATTCAAATGTGTTAGCATTGCAGTTGTATTTCACACAAATCATACATCAAATTTTCGAAAGCACTGACTATCCTTCAAATCAGCATTTTCGCGTCCAAAAAAAAAAAAGCCACCAAACGTTTGCCAGCTTTATCTTGTGACCTTAGCGGATTAACATCTCCACCATTTTGCCGAACTACAGAAAGGTGCCACCAATCACCGACTAAGCCTGAAAAGGCTCCGGTTTGGTGGGGTCCTTCTGACGTGGGATCTCGACCAATGAAACTGCCGAACTTCAGGAAGGCGGCAACACCTTTCTTCTGACGACTGAAAATCCGTCCTTTTGACTGCGCCTCCGCTCAGTTGGGCCTACTGCTTATCTGTTCTGTAGTACTTCCAGTACGGTGCTTTGCACAGCCCAGTTTGCCACCATCCCCTGCATTGCCATGCGAGCTGCGTACGCTCAGCTGTGCCCCGCTTGAGGCTGAGCACCTGCCGAGTACTTGTTCAGCTGTCCGTCCGCGACGCAAGGCGGAACACTCCAATAATCCACTTCCTCCTTACGCTCCTTTCACAGCCCCTGCCACTGCTTTACAAGCCAGGATTTGCCTGAGCTGCCGGGCTCCAAAACGGCCCCTTCCAAATATGCCCATCCACATCTCCAGCCGGGCGTGTATCGAAGACGTAGGCGACGGATCGAATAAAGATTCTGTAATTTTGCAGCTTCCCAACAGCCTGCAGACTTCTTGGATGAAAGGAACTCAACCAGAAGCTCCCGTGCCGATCCGGACGATGGCCGACAAGCCACAAGAAAGGAAGAGGCCTGAATTGGTTGCCGTCCGATCAATCTTGGCACAAGAACCATCATCAAAGATCACTCGCTGCGAGGGACCTGCACAGATCCACCAGCACGATGACTACGATCCATCTCCGTACCCGCTGAATCCTTTTCCACATAAATTGCCTCATCTGACCCCAATAATTGTCAACCCATCGTTGCCCGATGCGGAATGGAGTGGTCTTGGGAATTCTTCCTCAGACCAAAGCCGTCAGGAATCCAGCACGCTTCTCTCAGAAGACAACCCCTCATACGCTTTGATCAAATCAGTTTCTCGACATCCTGATCCTTTTGGTGATCTATCAGATGGGATGCATCGACGTCGTCCGCGCAGTTCAGACCATCTTCACCAACGGAACAACAGCCCGCGCGATCCCGATTGGGAATTTGCACAACACCAATCGAGCACACGGTCCCATCGCCAGTCGAACCCCGAGCTCTCCGTTGCAGAATCCTCCGCTCACGCATATCCCGGGCCAAATAGTGACGGAATGAGCATGCACGACGGCGGGGATTTCGACAATGCCTTCTACAGGCTTCTCGACGCTGCAGCATTGGTGCAGCAAGTTTCAACAGAAGCCTCTCCATCTCCGATTGGGGCTCTCATTGGTCGATCGGATGATTCAGCAAATGTATTCAATATGCTGTCTAGACTCATCACTAGCATTCGAAATCGGCAAGGTGGAGCCCACGGAACAGCGGATATTATGATCATCGATAGCTTCGGTGCAGGAAGCCATCCAGAGGATATGGAAATTGCAACAGGACGAAACCAAAATCATCCGCCAAGGACACGATATCCCCTTCATGAATCACTTGCCATCATTGTACGACCCGCGCATCCCGCCTTGCCCTTGAGGATACTACTCGTGAACTTCACCAGTATCCGAAGCTCGGCACTAGGAGATCCCGGTAGACCTGCATCACAGGTGGCATCCCACCTAGATTGCCAGGTCGAGCTCGTCGAAACGCAGTCACAACATAGAACTAGCCAACGCAATCGTCCAACAAAGCTCAATATGGTAATAAGCTGTTGGGATTTTGTGTCAGCGGGGAGCGTGGATGTTTCTGGTGACCTCTTTGGTCTACATGCTGATATACACAACTCCTTGAGACGACAGTCTATTCAAGCTGCTGGTGGCCCACTTGCGATCTCTGATATTGGTATAACTAGGGGAGGATGCCCTCATTCAATAGCCAACGGGGCTCCCGGAAGGCCACTCTTTTCACGAAGATCCATCTTTTCCTGCTCTCCATCCAAGCGTCCTCGTAGGAAGCAATGTGGTCGGACCAAACGACACAACAATGGTATGAATCCAGTGGCATTGGATCTTCCGAAAGAAAATACCTGTATGGGCTCGAAGGGCCGTCGAGCCCGCGGCCTCCACCCTATGCAGTTCGCGGTTGCCTCCCAGTGTGATGGTCGAGAGTGTGTTACAAGCTGGCGACATCCGACATCAGTTTGGGAGCATCGGTTCTGCCCAGTAAGCTGGACCGACTATGGAGAATTCCAAAAAGGCTGCGATGAGACTAGACGGTTCGATTCACAGCGTAGCGCTCAAGTCCCGCATGAGGATGAGTGGGACTTGATTGATGGGAATGCCATGCTGAAGACCAATATCCACCAGACTTGGAACTTTGATCTTCACTGGGAAGTTATTGACTTTCTCAATGATCAGCTCGATGATCCTGACAAGTTGAGGTCGTATTTCGTTGTTACAGGGACAGAGGACAGAGCATGGGCGTCTACATGTCTTGACTATCTGCGAAAATTGTGGCCGGACAGTGGAGAGAATTTTCTGGAGTCCTTCATTGCCCTCCTGAAAAATATTCGGTCACTAGGGAAACATCAAAGTAAGTGCTGTACGCGCAACGCCCAAATACCGGACTTACCACTGATCTGCCGCAGTATATCGCCTGAAGGTCTCGCCAAACCTGAATTTCAGGGTGCATATGAGTAGCTCTAATAGGACGCTTCGTTTTTGCGGGTACGCCACAGGACACGATACTGTCACCCTCATGCGTCAACTTGCCTGGATCGTATCCGTCTGCCGAGTACCACAAGACGGCCGCCTCCTTCTTTCTCGAGCTTGTATCCAACCGAATGGCTCAGAGCGTCAATTCTCCATCAAAGTTGAACCTTTGAAACTGGCACCGAAGACGGGCGGGAGCTGCTGGCACGAAATGTTTGTGGGTTACGTCCTCGCGTACGGATTTCCGATACCAGCAAGAGACTTTGGACTTGGCGTCGAAATGCCCTTCTACATCATGACGATTCTAGGCCTTGTCTGCTATCCAATCAACTACGGCGCCGGACTTGTTTTGAAAGGCGACAACACTGCACTGATACCATCGAAGGAATCAAGCGGGTCTAATGCCATACAATGGCATTTCGTGCGCAGCCCCAGTGCAGACTCAGCTCTCTCGTGGGATTCTATTAGCCGCCGCTGCGGCCCAGAAGGTGTGTTCTGCGAAACAAATTGGAAACGCCTCGCTGATAAAAGGGCATTTGTGGGATATTTCCCCAAGGCCGAGGTCCATTTGGGAACCGATGACTCGGGCTTTGCGCACATCAAACCGTCAGGTGCTCCGATCGATGATAAGAGGCGCTTCAACTTCGTCAACGAGATCACAGGCTCTTTTGGTACTTCCGGCCTTGGTATCTTTGGAGGCGGGGTTTCGGGGAAGGCGGTCTTCCATCGCCTATCCGAACAACGGATCAAAGCAGCACATGGCATGTTCTGGAATAAGCTCTGCAACGCAAAGACCCAACCTTTGCTGCTCTTTGACACATCCACAAAAAGAGGCTGGCTTGTTCCTGAACTGAGTGGCGTTCTTCACATTGCCTTGACGTGGGCCTCGACTGCAGAAGACCCCGCGGTTCTCGCCGCATTCGATAGGGCCCAGATTTCAACAGATGGAGGAGCAGCAGCGTATTCTGCCATTCAAAAAGCAAGTACCAACTCCCTGCCGGGTGTTGAGGACGATGCCGACTTCGATAAAGAGATGAAAGTTCGGGATATCGTGAAGCGAGTTCTGGAATCTCTCGGCCAGATCAAAGAACAACAGCAACAGGTGGCACATTGCTCAGGCACTCTTACCGATGGCTTGACAGGCTACGAGTATGTCGACATCGCTCATTTTCAAGACACTCTTGCCGCCAAGAGAGTGAAGCTGGACGGTTCCTGCACTGGAGACTGGCTCAAAGTTGTCAAAAAGTGGCCTGAAATTGCCGTTCTTCTATGCGCGAACCTCGGAGAGCCAGTGCGGCCAGCAGCTAATGAAGCGCTTTGCCATTTGTGGACAACAGTTCCGGAGAACACCTGTTTTATGACTGCTGTCGCACCTTGCATGAAACACATGGCCCAGCGGTCTGGAGGACAGAGTGGCCTAAGGATTTTCAACGAGCTTCACTGCACCAGTACTTGGACTAGTCGTCAGTCCCGTCCTTGCCTCAAAGCACCTTGGCCATGCTGCAATCCTTTGTTTGAGGTAAAAAGCAGAGGTCCCTTGGAACATTTCGAGCTGGACGATGAAGCGGCAATTATCTTTGGAAGATCGACTAAACAGCTTTGCCGGCGGATGACTGCCAAACCAATTTCTAGTCACGGGCTATTTCATCGCATTGACCGAGCCCACACTTCTCCATGTCGGTTTCCCCCTATTGAAGAAGATTCCCACGACAAGGCTACCGCTTCTTGCAAAATCTCAACCGCTTCAACCTTAAACCAGCCGACCACCACAAGGGACTTGACTGCTGCTCTCTTGGAATTGCCAATGGTGAATGCACCTGTTAGGACCTGATTGGGAGCTTGATCTCTACCTCTTAGGCCCAATGAAATCATTGCCTCCGAACTACACCCTTAAATAAACTAAGTGAAGAATGGCTGTTTCCTGAATCAGAGCAGCTCGCTCCAGCATGGGTCAGATATTCTGACGGTAGAGCAAAATCCAATGCTCATGGTCCGAGTCCAAGTCCGACTCCGAGCCGCCGGCCTGCCACAGTGCGTGCTGGAGCCGTCAAGGCATCGTTCCAATATCCTCTTTGAAGTCTCTACAAGGCGAAGGTGTAGGACTGGGAAGACGTGGCAATAGAGAGCAGCTTTGCGCATTTTGAAGGTGACTGACTTGCGTGCGCGAGAAAGCTCCATGTCCTGTCTGAGAAAACTCTACTGCACCTGCCTGCATTCCGAATAGCCCTCGTTTCATCCATAGAACATCCTGCCGAAAAGCAGTTTATCGTTCAAAATGGCCGCCTTACACGTCAGCCTTGTCAAAGCGGCCCTCGCCTATTAACATCTCGATCACCTCGCTAATCTACAGGAAAGTGTGGCAGATATATCGGAGAGTTTAAAGAGGCTATGACTTCCGTCAAGTGTCCCTCTGATGTAGAAATGTCCCCAATGGGTCACCTTTCTTCTGATGATCAAGGCTCCGGCCGTTCGCCACTGCTCAGTCTTGCTGGCTGCTGGTAGTTCGCCACTTGGGAGCGTACATACCCTGCATTACCTGTAGATATTTTATGGATTTTCTTGGAAACCTGCTTCAAATTCATTAAGTTGGACTGTGGGAGCCGTGAGAATTATAGATGCATGAGTCCTGCATGGTCAGTTCAGCAAAGCCGGCTATGCATGCGGCCGAGACTGCCGACTCACTGCGGGAAAAAAGAGCTGAATTTCTGCTGCGAAACTCAAGTGGACAAGCTGGCAACAGACGCAGAGCTTTTCGCTTGCGCCGTGGTTTCCATTTCTGTCAGTGACGTAGGCGCACCCAAACGGGCCTAGCGCAAAGAGTGCGCGCGCGCGATGAAGCCGCAACACCACCCGCCGCCCATATGCAGCGCGCCCAGATCTTCGCATCCTGACCTCTCTGTCGTACCTCCTCCTCAGGCTTCGCGTCTTCCTCCTTCACCGCCCGACCGGGCGCGCTGCGCTCGCGCAAACCACAAACGGCCTCGCCGACCGCGCAAAGCAAACACTGTCACTTGAGCAAACACCGCAACCACAAAAGCCCTTTCACCATGGTCGCATCCGCCTCCCGCCGCTACCGGCGCGCCCGCGCGCGCGAAGCACAACTCGCCACGCAGAGCGCCGCCGGCCAGCACAACGCGACGCAGTCCCGCATGCACGCGCTGCCGACCGAAATCAGCCAACACATCCTCCGCTACACGCTGACGGACGACCAAATCACGCACGACCCGACCAACGCGCTGCCGCTGATCAAGCAGTACCACGTGCTGCGCCGCGTGTGCTGGAAGTGGAACCGCGAGATGCCGTGGGTGCTGCAGGAGTGGCGCAAGCAGCGCGCGTGCGTCGTCAGCAGGGTCGAGCACCGCGTCGGGTATCCGCGCATCGGCCTGCTGGGACCGCCGGAGAGGGAGAGGAGGTGGATACAGATGCGGAGTGAGGTGAGGGGGAAGAAGAAGAAGAAGGGGGGCAAGGGCGGCGGATTGAACGCGGAGGCGCAGGCGAGCCCGGAGAGGCTGATGAATGGAGCGGGGTATCAGGAGAGGGTTGAGGAGAAGCTGGCAAAGTTTAAGATGAGGAGGAAGAGGAAGCATCGGAAGTATATGATCAAGAGGGCTAAGTGGGATGCGGCGGAGCGGAAGGAGTGGGAGGAGGAGTGCAGGAAGAAGGAGGAGGAGCGGATCAAGTGGGAGGAAGAGCACAAGGAGGAGATTATGGAGCAGCAGAGACAACGGATGGAGAAGCGTTACAGGGAGAGGGTATGTTGTTCCTTCTTTCTTTTGCGCTTTTAGAGTTGCGGGTGGATGTGTGGGCTGACACCTTTTGACACGGAGCAGGCCAAGAAGAACTGGAAACGGGCCATGACCGACACTGTCCGGACGGCTGAGGAGAGAGGCGTCGAGTTGGCCAATGGAGAGGAGCCGATGTCCGATATCGATTGGCCAGATTCAGATTCAGAGCTGGGCCAGAGCTGGATTGAGCACGATGAGGAGTATCTTGGACCCCAGGATGGGCATCACGACCAGGAGATGGAGGATACCAGTTAGTGTGCTGAAGGAGGGGAGCACAGTCATCTCGACCAGTTGCCTGAGGACAAGGAACAGACTCATCCCGAGCAATCGACCGAGGAGAATGAAGGCCCTCAGCATTTGGACGTCGCGAAGTAGGCGTTGCGACGCTTATTTGGATATTCTTTGAGCAAGGTCTTTGGGGCTGTTGGGGAGAGAAGCGAAAATCGTTGCCGTTCGGCCACATCCAGCCAAAGCGTGTGAGGATGAAACGGATTGAGCTCAGAAAAGAAAATTCTTGGTTGATGAGACGGGATACGGAGAAACAGACAACAGTCTTTTGGAGACTTTAATGCTATAGAAATGCAATTGTTCTCGTGCTTGGAAAAATCCGGGGCGGTCGCTTTCGGAGTCCGGACATGTGTCGTGGTCGTGTCGTGGTCGGCGCTTTCACGCGCGTCGCTTACCCAACAGCATTTCTCCAACGTCGCTTCGTCGACGACATCGCTACATCACTCCTCCAGCTCTGCACCGTGTCCGAAGGAAGCTTATGGATGCCGATATCGTCTCCTGCACTGTACTGACCCCTTCGCAGGCGTTTTCCAGGTCTGTTGCTGCCGCTGTCGCCTCCAACGGCTGAGTGTCCTGTTTCGCCGTCGTTGCCCGTCCAGTGCTCCACCACCACGAGTCTGCATCGGTCCTCATGGATTCTCTTCCAGGACGGATTCGCATGGACTTGGTCCCGGCGTACAGACATCAACGAAGTCCTGAGGAGAAACCTTCTTCATCGGAAACCGTCCATCTCATCCAGCACACAGAGCGACGACTCATGACTTTTTGGTGAAAAAATTCTTCGCCGGACCGGGAGGAAGTTTGACTTCGAGCGCCATGCCTGGAAGATTTTCGGCTCTCTCGGGTTTCGCTCCCCACGTCTCCTTCGGCCCTTCAACATCTGATTTGTTCGCTTACGGCTGTACAGCGCCAGGGGGCCGAGAGAGAACACGATTGCAACATCGAAAATGCCTCTGGGCCTTTCTGACCAGCAGAGTCTCGCTAGAAGATCGGATTTTCCCTGCAACAACGCTACGCACTTATGCTCGCTACATAAGTGCTCTGCTCTGATGCAGACCTCAACAATAAAGCATCAGCCCGCATGGCTTAGTGGTACAGCGTCGCACTCGTATCTTACGGTAATGCGAAGATCCCTGGTTCGATTCCGGGTGTGGGCATAAGAACGAGCCAGCTCTTCGGAGCTCATCGTTTTGCAATTTTCTTTTGCTGGGGGTTGGACCTTTGACTTGGTGAACAGGTGAGGTCTCGGCCCGGAGCAGGGCTGAAGCGTTGGTGGCAAACGGCGCAAGGCACAATTGGAACAAGTGGTGAACAACAACCGTCCGTTGTTGCTTTTGCGATATCTCTTTTGCCCTCTTCTGTGATGAGACCTTGATGCAGAGGAAGGTGAGTACAAGGTGCTGATGGAGAGCCTTTGCAGACTTTAAGAATGAAGGAGCATCCCTGCGTCGGTGTCGCCTGCATCGTAATTGCGGGCCCTCCATCCAAATTCGTTTCATCTACTACACCGGTTGTACACTCTTTAATGTCGGCATTGCAAAGGCTTCTACAGAGATTACCGCTTTCCAGCGATTCGACCAGCTGCTTCTATCACTTCCACGGCCCAGCCGCAGTGGCTGCATTTCACTCAGAAAAGCCTCATCATTGACTCCAGACTAATGCTAAGGCATCCCAGACAGCTACGCCGAGTAAAATAATTTAAGAGCGACTCCCCGCTTACTTCTATCCCCTCTTTCTGTGCGTTGTTATAGCGGCATCACTAACGACAGACGAAATGTTAATTCGTATGTAAATGCGAAAGTTCTCTGACCCAAGAGTTCTCAGAAGCCGACATTGTGTCCATAGGCAAGGCATTCAACAGATATCAAGCAATTATATGGCTGAAAAGAACGTAAGGAGTTTGTCCTACGGCTGAAGCGCCGTTCCACTTAGAGTCTTCTTCTCAATTCTCCTGCTTCTTTTCTGCGTCCTCAATGTTCAATTGAATCTCTGGCACCGTATATAAACCGGTTACCGTGGTCCTGTTATATCCTTTCATCTTTGTTATCTCCGGCTGGTCCTCTTGACGTTGTCGAGCTCCGGCAGCCTCTTTGCCGCATCGAGCACTCAAACTTCAAGGGCCATTCACGCCAATGCCCTTTAAAAATAGCACAATCGTCGACCAAACCACCCAATGTGATGCAGAACAATTTCCCAAAGCGGCGGATTATTATCCGAGATTGCCGGGGTTCTCCACGTTTTCTCGGGTTCCAATACCCCGCACGGCCGGCCGGCCGGCTATTCTTGACTCAGGTCTCGCGATCAGCAAGGTACACTATACTGTCTTCATACAAGATGCCGTCAGTGAGATGAAGTATTTATTAGCCTCTCTTCCCCAGCCTTTTGCCAGGATTTTCAGCGGCTCTTTGGGTGACCATCAATTCCGGGAAAGACCGCCAAGCCAACGCGCTAACCGACCACATCAGCGCTTGGTGGCATGATGATGCGAAAGAGCTTGGGAAAGACATTGGCTTCGGCCGCCGCAGGCATTGTCTGCTGGGCGGGTGCGGAAGCTCGGCTTACGGACTTTGTCGACCCTTTGATCGGTACGGTGGGACCAACGCCGGGCTCTACCATCGCAGGAGGCAACTCGTTCCCTGGCGCTGCACTGCCGTGGGGCATGGTAAAGGCAGGCATTGATACGAGCTATCTCGGTCTTCCAGAGGGTTTGGGCAATGACTGTAATGCCGGTTACAGCCCAATTGGAAACGTCACCGCCGTGAGCCTGACGCATGTCAGCGGGACCGGAGGAGTGCCAACTTGTAAGTCTCACCTGGAAGCCTGAGAGTCTCGAAGACCGAGAAAGATGCTAACACGATAAACAGACGGACTAATCTCGCAAATGCCGCTGCTCGGAAGCCTCGAAGGAATCAACCTGGGCGACAACACGACGTACTGGCAAAACCGGACCCTCGACCTCGAAAGCGCCACCGTCGGCCACTTCTCCACGACGCTGCTGAACGGCATCAAGATCGACATCACCTCCAGCAACCATTCCGCCCTCATCCGCTACACCTTCCCTCCCGCGTCCTCTTCTTCCTCCAACACCTCCACCCCAGCCCTCTCCTCCTCCCCCAACACCGCCCACGTCCTCATCGACCTCACCCACGTCCTCCCCGCCTGGGACTGGGACGCGCAATCCTACTCGCAAAAATACCACTCCGGCTCCCTGCACATCCGCGGCGGCAACGACGACGACGCCGACCAGCAGCCTTCCTACTTCGGCACCGCCTCCTACACCGGCGGCTGGTCGCAGCCGGCCATCCACACGCTGCATTTCTGCGGCAACTTCAGCGCTCCCGCCGCGTCCGCCTCCGCCGGCACGTTCAGCTTCCCCTACAACCCGGCCATCCCGCCATCCGACGCGCCGGCCGTAAGGCCGTACGCGGACGTGTACACGGTTGCGGGCTCTGGGATGGGGATTGGAGGGCTGTTTAGTTGGAGCTGGGAAGACGATGCGGTCAGCGGCGGCAATGGGACTGAGGGGCTGGTGCTGGAGGCGCGGGTGGGGATATCGTATACGTCGGCGGAGAAGGCGTGCGGGTATGTGGAGGAGGAGTTGCCGGCAAGCGTTGGTTTTGAGGAGGTGGTGGAAAGGGCGAGGGGGGAGTGGGAGGAGAGGGTGTTGGGGAGTGTGGTTGTTGATGAGGAAGGAGAGGTGGGCGGGGGCAATGATACGTTGAAGCGCATGCTGTACTCGGCGTTGTACCAGACGGGTCTCATGCCGTCGGATAAGACGGGGGAGAATCCGTGGTGGGAGTCTGACGCGGAGAAGCCGTATTTTGATGATCACTACGTAAGTTTGCTTGCAGCCCCTGACGCTTGGAGAGAAGAGAGAAGACAAAGTGTAGTTCTGCACAACTCAGAACCGCAAACTCTAACCACCCGCCTAACAGACGCTCTGGGACACCTACCGCACCACCCTCCCCCTCTACCACCTCCTCTTCACCTCAACCTACACCCGCATCCTCAAAGGCCTCATCAACATCTTCCGCTACGAAGGCTACCTCCCCGCCGGCCGCGCCGCCAACTGGAACGGCCGCGTCCAAGGCGGCACGCACGCCGACACGGTCCTCGCCGACGCCTTCGTCAAGTCCGTCCGCTCGCTGTCCATTAACACCACCGGCCTCCACGAGCTCGCACTCTCCCCCACCGACTGGGCCGACGCCTACGCCGCCCTCGTCAAGGACGCCGACGTCGCCCCGGCGCACAACATCGACCCCGTCGCCTTCGACGGCGCGACCAAGGAGGGCCGCGGCGCGCTGGAAGAGTACCTGCGCCTCGGCTACCTGACGCGCAACCACACGCGCAGCCTCAGCCGCGGCGTCGAGTATCCGCAGAACGACTTCGCCGTCTGGAGCGTGGCGGCTGGGCTAGCTTCTGGCGCGGTCAACGGCACGACGGTGGATGTTGCGGATGAGGATGTGGCGCGTTACCGCGACCGCGCGGACTGGTGGCAGGGGCAGTGGAATCCGCACGCGAACACGACGCTGGATGGCGTCGGGACGTTTACGGGGTTCGTGGGGGCAAGGGATGCGGATGGCCAGTGGAACTTTACGGAGTATGATCCGCGGAGCTGTGGGAAGTGTGGGTGGGGCAGCGATATCTATGAGGCGAAGGTGTGGGAGACGAGTTTTGCGGCGGCGCCGCATGATATGGCGAAGGTGGTGGAGTTGATGGGGGGTGATGAGGCGTTTGTGAAGAGGCTGGATGCTAGTTTCCTTCCCGGCTTTGGGACGAGTGTTGGTGCGAATAATGATGCTGGGTCGGCGTTGTTTAACCCTGGTGAGTAGTGGTCTGCGCGATGAGAGGAGAGGAGATTGACGTTCATTACAGGCAACGAACCGTCCTTTGCAACCCCCTTCCTCTACAACTACGTTCCGGGCTATAATTGGAAGGCCGTCAACCAATCCCGCTCCATCGTAGATACGTTCTACAGCGATGCACGCAATGGCTACCCCGGCAATATCGACAGCGGTGCCATACCGTCCTGGCTCATATTCAACCTGATTGGTTTGGTAAGTGATGCTTGACGTTTTCATTCCTCATGCCCACCTCGACCCTTGGCTGCATCCAACGTCAAATCAAGCATCTGGCACAGCAAAGGACTAACGATACTCGCAGTTCCCCGTTGCAGGCCAGCCGCTCTACCTCCTCGGTACTCCGCGCTTCTCCTCGCTCACACTCCGTCTCTTCGATGGCACGCCGCACACAACGTCGCTGCAGATCAAGGCCGTCAACATGTCCGACACATCGGTCTATCCACAGCGTGTGACGCTGAACGGACTTGCTCTAGACCGGGCATGGCTGTCGCACGCGGAGATCGCGAAGGGTGGGGAGCTCGTCTTCGAGATGGGTGCTGAGCCGGCAAAGTGGGATAATGGCGAAAGGCCGTGGTCGTTGAGTCCGTGGTAAGGGCTAGCAGTCAGATGGAGTAATCCACCACATGTATCATAAGCAAAACGAAAGGGACTCTGCGGTCCTATTGTACTATACACCTGGTGTGCAAATGATGGCGGTGAGCAAAAAAAAAAAGAAAGATCACCTAGAAAAAGGCAAAAAAGAAAGGCTTGCAACCAGTCTTGGACTGGTAAGGACTTCATATTCCTTGCAGCTTCTGTGGATCGAACACAGTACCTCCAGATACCGCACAGATGATGCTGTTGGCTGAAGTGGACTTCAGTCTGGTGAGATGTTAGTGATGAGTTCTGAGAGAGTTTGGTAGGCTGAGTGCTACTAACCTGGCGCTCTCCCAAGTGAGCTAAAGCTGCTATTGGATGGTGGGAAAAAGTTTCACCAGCTGCCTTTATGTCCGTTGCAAAAGTACGGCTTGAAAGGCGCGGCACTGGTGTTGTGGAGTGCGACATGTGGGCCTCGGGATGTGTGAAGCGAGAGAGCAAAAAAATTTCCGGCCCGACACGTCGGCTTCTACCGCGGCAAACGCGCAGCCTTCACTCCAAATGTTGCAAAAAGATAAAAAGAGCAGTAAATGAAGAAAACTTCGCTCTTCAATTGCAGGCTGCGGAAGTTCTTTCATCACATTTGTATAGCGGCAGTTTCGCTTTCCGACTGTTGTTCTTTCACCAGCTGGACCCCTGATCCTCTGGACCCTGAGCCGGGGACCCCTGCATCTCCGCACCTGAAACTTCTCATCCACCCCTTTCAAACACCACGGACAACGCCAACAAGCAAAAAGATAGTCCTCCGCACAGGAGGCAAAAGAAACCGACGTTGACAAGATTCGAACTTGTGCTCCCGAAGGAAACAGATTTCTAGTCTGTCGCGATAACCACTCCGCCACAACGCCTTTGGTTGTTGTTGATGTGTTTCCTCGTGCAGTATTTGCCTTAAGTTCAAGGCTGACGTGAAAACACGGAGGAGCTATGCCAGCAGTGCGTGCAGAAAAGCAATGGTTGTGGAAGTCAGGGGCTCAAGTTTGTGGTGGCAAGTGTTTGCGGGCATGGTTCCACTCGTGAAACAACTGTCTCTGGGACGGTGTCAAGCGAGCCAGACTTTGCGCTGATTGGTGCAACTTAAATCGGACCTCTATCACCCTCCTCTCTTATTTCAACACAGGGAAAAGAACAATGAGCAAAGCCGTCATTTACGTATATGTCTCAGTGCAAATAATCGTGGGAGGCGGCGATATGTGAGAAGGTGTAGAAATCATTACAAGAGTCCAGCCTGGAGTTTGCATCGCACGGCCTCATCGGGAGAATCTTACCTTTCTACTTGGAGAAGACATCCATCCATCAACATCTACTCTACGACTTGGTAAAATCCCATATAATACTCATCTGTGCTAGAGAAAAATAATCGAGGAAAATCTCTACAATACTGTGCGAAGAAATGTGGCATGAATATTTTATTTGTATTTCTGTGTTGAATTCGTTTCAAAGTAAATTTCGTTACCTTTTCTACCACAATACATGAAGACAGAAGGAGATATTGAACCCATGATACCAATCCGCCGTATTCGTCATTCTGTGCAAGTCTGAAACATGGACAGACAAGAATTTTATCAGGTTTTCGATGTGTGTAAGATTTACGTTGTCTATTAATTACTCTGGCTCAAGATATATTTGGCAGACCATTACTAAAACTAATGGAACACGAAATTTAGGGAAGGGAAAGAATAGTTAGCCTCAAAAGAAAGACAAAATGAGACGACTGCCGGAAGATGAATCATCTATTACTGGATGGCTCGTGGTACCTCGATAACAACTCCCAGTCAACAGCCGCTGGGCTGTCAGAGTGAGCCTCGAAGCAAAGTGAATAGTGGAAGGTGAGTGAGGCTCAGTCACGCGCACTCTGCTCTATTCAGTAATGCAAAACAGAAAACACCACCCACAGATAGCGCCCACAAAGCCAAGCACCCAGATCTTCCTCCCAATCCCTCCACCACCACTTCCTTCCAAAACCCCACCACATCTCCCTCTCCACCACCAACCACAACCATGGCACGCCCCACCCCCGGCCGCACCTCTACCTCTCCCTCGAAGCCTCTCCGCAGCCCGCTGCAAACGCCTCCGCCCCCCGACGTCACCACCGCCGGCCCCGAAGAAACCCCCAACCGCCGCAGCTCCCGCATCGCTGCTCGCCACCACCCGCCTGCCAGCCCGGCACCCCTTCTCCCGCGTCCGCTCCCTGCGCCCAACAAGCCCCTTATCACGGGCAATAACATCACCACCACCACCAACAACAACAAGTCGCCCACCAAGGCCAGCGGCGCGAAGACCCCCGCCACTCCCAAGCGCAAGCGCGAGACCTCGTTCTCGCCGGACAAGCTGTCGAGCGTCGTCTCGAAGATGAAGCGCGGAAAGGGCCAGGGCCAGGGCGGCGGCGCGGCGGGAATGTCGTCGCCGATGGTGTTGAAGCGCTGGTCGCATTCCGGGCCTCCTGTGGTTATTGAGAAGCCGGAGAAGGAGAAGGAGAAGCAGGTTGATGAGGGCGAGAAGAAGAAAGAGGATGATGAGGCGAGGGAGGAGGTAGGTTACGCTTTGTGTGTGCTTTCAGATATGAGTGTTTGCTGATGCTGGTGTTTGTAGATGCGGCCGCCCTTTGTTCGCCGGAGCTTGTTCTTCAAGGATCCGCGGTTCACGTTCTTTGATTAGGTTGCTTGGGGTATGGGGAGTTTTCTGGAGTCTTTTACCGCTTGATAGAAGCGGTAGCGGCATTTGCTGAAGCAGATTGCGGGTGCACTCGAGTTCATCCACGTCAAGGACTACGGTCACCGCGACTGGAAACCCCAGGACCTTCTTCTCAACTCCTCGCCTCTGTACTATCAGAAATATCGTCCGAGTGGGGTCCCCTTTGCTGCTGCGGCAGACTCGATAGTCCCAGTCGTTGGCATCGCCTCCTTTCCCATCCTCAAGGTCGCCGGCGTAAGATTCCCCGGCTGGTTGATAAGTAGCATACGTAGGGGCTTCTTGGTATAAAAGTCTGGAGTTCTCTGTGATTCAAGCGGCTGCTCTTGTTATTCTTGAACTACCAGTGACATGTCTTTGATGCTCTTACACATATATATTTGGTCTGGTAGACAGTTGTATGTGAATTATGAGCGGGAATTGGCCCGGATATTTCCTAATGCATTTGGCGAGGCATTTTACGGCGGAGACCAGTGCAAAGAAGACGCCCAATTATGCCCATGCTACAAACCGGATGGCGAAGGGAAATAACACGCTTTGTTTCACAAAACTGTCTAATTGGGTGAATGGTGGAGCTCAGTACGGGTGGCCTATGAATCGTGTCCCCCGAGGAGCTACGCTTCGCTGACATGTATGTCTAGGAAGCTATGCCTTGCAGGAAAGAATCTGTGCTGTGCGGAACAGAAAGAAGCAATCGTAGGTCTCCTTTCATGATATTCTGTTGGCTGTCTGCATATTACCGCGTTCTATAGCGTTCTACGCATGATACAGACCCCTAAGAGAGCGCGTGCGGGAAAACAAAGCAAACCGTCGCCGGCCGCAAGCTTGCCTGACCAAGCTCCGCATCGCCTTCTCCCGGCAACAGCGCTGCACTCCTTGGCATCCACACCCGCGTCCGCATCCCGCCTGCCGCAACCGCACAGTGCTCTTCTAAGAAGAGCCACCAATCTCTGCCAATCAGCACCCACAACCCTTCCACCTCTACTCTACTGCAATAATCCCGGAGCCTCTATATAATCCTCTGTTCGTAGACAACAAACCTAATCTCCAGTCCAAGTACTAACCCGAGCTCCAGCTCCAGGTCCATCTCCAGCAACAACTCAAGCACCTCCACCCCCGCCTCCACCCCCTCCCACAATCCCACAATGGTCACCACCCGCCGCGGCGCCGGGAAGTCCACCACGCCCGGCCCCAGCACGCCTGGCCCCAGCCGCGGCCCAGCGCGCCGCCGCTCCAACAATCGCCGCATCACCATCGCGCGCTCCCCCAGCAAGACGCTCTCGCCATCCCCAGCCCACGCGGAGACACCTCCCAGCCGCCGCGCCGCGCGCGCTGCTACGAGCGATATCAGGCCGGGAACATACACCGAGGAGAGCACGAGCTCCAGCAGCAGCAGCGATGCCGCTTCGTCCTCGTCCCCCTCTTCTTCTTCAAGCCATGCCTCGCCAGCCGCGAGCAAGTCCCCCTCCCCCGCCGCCGCCCCTGCCACGGCTCGTCGTCCTCGGCGCCGCAGCGAGAAGCGCAAAGCATCTTCTTCTTCTTCTCCCGCCGCCACCCCTGAAGCTGCTGCTGCTGCTGCTGCTGCTGCTCCTCGACGCGGCGAGAGGCTGAGGAGGGCTTCTGCCATCGCTTCTTCTGCTGCTGCTTCTGCCGCCGCCGCAGCTTCAGCAGCACGCGGTCCCCAGCTAGGCACAACAAAGCGGAAGATCGTCTCCTCCGCCGCCTCCCGTCGTCGCCGCCGCGAACGTGACCGTCTCCGTCGTCAGCAGAAGCGGCGAGAGCGAGAGCGAGAGGAAGAAGAGCAGGACAGCGGCGAGGAGTCGCCGGATGAGAACGACCCGGCCGTCAAGGCGTACAGGCGGATACAGGCGAATGGGGAGTTTGTTAATTTCTGGTATCCGCCGTATGATGGGACGTTGGCGCCGCTGGACCACGCCGCGCAAGGAGAGACCCAGGAGGGGGAGGGGGAGGGGAATGAAGGCCAGGATGGGGGCCAGAATGAGGGAGAGGGAGAAGAGCACCAGCTGCAGAGAGGAGCAACCGGCGTTATGGAGATCGCGGATAGCGAGTCGGAACCAGAAGACCTGCTGCAGCACCACGAACAAGCCGGAGAGCCCATGGATGTCGAGACTGGCGGAGAAGCAGTGGTGGAGACTGGCGGAGACGTCGTTATGGAGACCGCCGGAGAAGTCGTTGCAGAACAAGAAGGAGAAGAACATGGTGCTGTCGTGGAGGAGGAGGACGAGGAGCCTACCGTGGACTACGCCACCACGGACATCCTCACGGGCCGCATCGTCGGGCCTGGCTTCCTCCCGCAGTGGACGGAGAGGGTCCCTGCAGACATGGGTATCCTGCGCGAGCTGGAAGCACACCGCGCCCGCCATGCGGCGCTGAACTCGGGTTGGCCGTTTACTATTCCTGCTACGCCGCTTTGAGGGGTATTTGTGGTACTACTTCTGCCGCCTTCATTAACCTTGCGTGGAAGGGCTGGTGCTGCGTCGGAGGTCGATGAAAGCAGTCAGAGGACTGCGCTCTCCAGTGATTCGATTTGAGGATGAAAAAAAGGTGAAGAAACTGTGAAGGGGATGAAAATTTGGCTTTACTGGGTTGCTTTATTTCTCAGAGTGTCTTTTCTCAAGCGTAATACCCCGGCAAAGCATGGACAGGAAAGGCGTCAAAAGAAACTTCGAGCTGCTGGCATCAATGGCAGCGTTAACAGATAGACCAAAAAAAAAAACATGAAAACTGTAATTGCGTATATGCATACCCAAAGCCCAAACGCCTGAAGTAACCAGCCCTTGTTTATGTACCAAAGCCGTCTACCAGCTCTTCAACCATTCCTTCACACACTTATCCACAACCCCCTCCCCAATAACATCCACCCCCTCCCTAATAACCCTACTCTTCTCGGCCGTCTTCTCCGTCGCGAAAACCAGCCCCTTGCGGCCCGGCCGATCATTATCGTACTTCTCAGCAAAGAAATCGACCAGCTTGACGGTCGGATTCTTCTTCGGATCCTGCTCGCCATCGCGCAGCCGCTGCACCCACTCGCGCTGACCCACCTCCTCGAACTCCAAGCCCGCGGCCCTTAGCGCCGGCAGCAGGTCCTCTGTCCACCTGAACGTCTTCGAGTTCTGGACGTGGAAAACTAGGCCGTCGCCCTCGGTTTCGCTCTGCTCAACCCACTCCTTAAACGCCACCCCCGCCCGACTCAGCTCCACCACCGCCTCCGCACACGCATCGACCGGCAACCACGCCGGACTCTCATCCAACCTCGGCAGCGCACCGATGCCCCTCGCCGCCCTGACCATCAGCGGAATGGCCTCCGTCTCGTTCCACACGCCGTGCACGCTATCACCTACAATCTGGCCCGTCCTCAACACCCTGATGCCCCCGCTGCTGGCCCCCGCCTTCGCCGCAGCACCAACAACATGCTCCGTCACCCACTTACTCCGCGCGTACCCCATCCCCTGCGCATGCTCCGGCCTCTCCACCAGCGCCTCCCTTACGACGGCCGGAATCGGCGTCCCCGCGCCGGCAGAGATGCTCGACACGAACGCGAAGCGCGCCGGGCGCGCCCACGGCACGCTCAGGCAGAGACGCAGCAGGTGCGCGGTGCCGGCGACGTGCTGCGCCGCGAAGCTGCTGACGCCGAGGTTGAAGTTGACGGCCCAGGCGGAGTGGATCGCCGACGTCAGCGTGGTGCGGAGGGTCTCGTACGTCGCGGCGTCGAGGCCGAGGGTGGGTTGGGAGAGGTCGGCGGGGAGGGCGACGAGCTTGGCGGCGAGGAGGGCGGGGTCAGGGGACAGGTGGCGGGTTTGGAGGGAAGCGAGGACGCGGGCGTGGGCGGCGTCGGGAGAGGGGGCGCGGACGAGGGTGTAGATTTTGGCGATGTGGGGCTGCGGGAGGAGTTGGGCGAGGATGTGGGCGCCGAGGGAGCCGGTGGCGCCGGTGAGGAGGACGGTGTCGGTGTCTGGGGCGGGGAGGGGGTTGCTGGGCGTGAAGGCGGGGAGGGAGGAGCTGTATTTGGCGACGAGGTCGCGCATGAGGTCGAGTTCGGCCTGTTCGGGGTCGATGGTGTTGGAGGTCCCGTTGGCAAGCGCGTCGAGGTGCGCAGCCAGGCGGGCGATGGACGGATGCTCGAAGACGACGTTTGACCCCAGCACGGCGCCGCGCAGGTCGAGCTCGCGCTGCATGTGGCCGCGCGCCGAGATGCTCTGCAGGCTGTCCATGCCCGCGTCGAAGAAGTCCGTGTCGAGACCAAGCCCGGCGACGCCGACGCGGTTGGCGAAGAGGTCGGCCAGGTACGTCCGCAGCCCCTCGGCGTCGAGCTTGCGCTTCGTGATGCCCTCGCCCGACTCGAAGCGGGCGTAGACGCTGTCGATGAGCTCGTCGAACTTCTTGTAGCAGGCGGCGCGGATCATGGTGCCCTTGTCGGTGCGCGGGTAGTCGGTGCCCAGCGGCAGGATCTCGACCATCTCGCGCTCCACCTGGCCGAACTTCTCCGCGCGGGCGTTGGCCGTCTTGATCGCCGGGGCGAGGGCGTCCAGCAGCTCCTCCTTGCTCATGCCCGCAGCCTTCTCGCTCGGGATGACCAGCAAGCCGGGAAAGGCGCGGCCGACGCCGAAGACGAGGGCGTCCTGGACGAGCTCGTGCTGGCGGATCTGGTGCTCGTAGGGGATGGGTAGCACCTTCTCGCCGTTCATGAGCGTGACGCGGTCGTCCAGCCGGCCCAGGTACTTCCAGGCGTCCGGGATGGTCGGGTGCGGGACGAACGTGTCGCGCGTGCGGAAGCAGTTGGGCCACGGCTCGTCCGAGTTGGAGATGACCTTGGACGGCAGCCCGTCCAGCACCACGCACTCGTACACGCCCGCCCCGATGTCGACGAAGCGCAGGTACGGCGCCACCTTGGGCAGTGGCCGCACATAGTTCCACGCCTTGTCCGACTCCGGGTCGCGGAACGACGTCATGAGCTGGCCCATTTCCGTCCTGCAAGCAGTCAAGTCAGCAAATTGCACCAAAAGAGTAAGAAAGCGGGAGACATACGCGCCATAATGCCCGACAATATACACCCCCCTCCTGACCAGCTCATCTCCCAACTCATCCGGACAGCTGCTCCCCCCAAACAACACGAGCCGACACCTCCTCAACTGCTCGATGCCCTCCTCGCTCTCCGCCAACACCTTCAACGCATACGGCACGCAATGAAAGCTCTCCGCATCCGCCGCCCTCATCGCATCCACCAGATGCGCATTCGTCAGCGGCAGACTCGCATTGAACAGCACCGTCCGCTTCCCACTGACAATCCCGCGGAACGTGGTGGCGAGGCCGTGGTTGTGGAACAGGGGCAGCGTGACGAAGGCGCGCATGCCCGAGCCGAGCGCGTAGTTGGACAGGCAGGCCCGGTGCGTCTGGTAGATGGGCTTGGGCAGCCCCGTGCTGCCCGAGCTGTGCACGATGAACGAGATGCACTGCTCCTCGTTGACAAGCTCCGTGCGGCGCTGGAACCGCGCGCTAGACGAGGGCCGACGGCCGTAGATGGACTTGTCGAGTTGCGGGAAGGAGGAGATGGGGTAGCCGCCCTCGCCGCGGATGTCCTCGACGATGGTGCTGGCGAAGCGCGGGGAGGCGACGATCTTGGTGCAGGATGTCTTCTGCAGCAGCGAGACGTAGGCTTCGGTGGGGAGGCGCGTCGACAGGAAGAGCACGGCGAAGCCCATGCGCGAGAGGGCGAGGAGCGTGATGACGTAGTCGAGGTTCGAGGGCCCGAGGAGCGCTACGACTTCGCTGGCTGTGCTGCGGGATTCCTGTGCGTGCGGGTTAGCAGCTGGTGGTGTTTTGGGTTGAGGGGAACGTACCTTTGGCAGGAGACCCAGACGGGTGTATTCCTTTGCTGCCTCGTCGACGAATGCATCGAGGTCTTTTGCCGTGTACTCTGCTAGATCGCTGCTGCTGTGTTCCGAGGCCGGATACGCGATGAGCGGCGTGTTTGGTATCGTTTCGGCCTTGTGCAGGAGGAGGTCGTTGATGCTGTTGATCTGGTCTGGCTTCGAGACCTTGGACGCATTCGGCGCGTCCAGGCCGGAAGGAGTGGATGTTGTAGAGACCAGCATGGTGTATGTCGAAGGAGCGGTCTGGGAGAATGGAGGAATTGTGACTGCTTGTGCAGTGTTGTTTTCGCGTATAAGAGTACTAGGTGCACGAGATCCTCCCGCCACCGTCGTAGTCTCTACATCGGTACTTGGCATTGAAGAAGGCTTTGAGTTCCGGTGGTTGTGGAGAGGGCGGGGAAACGTGCGGAATCGGATAGCCTTTTCCGCTCGTCGGATGTGGCGGAAAAGAGACGGATATGTGGAAAACCTCCGTAGCCGCGGAAAACATCCGCTATTGCCGATTTAGTACAGCCTGATGGATGAATTGCGGTGGCGGAATCCTCATGGCTCAACACATGTTAATCAATTCTCGCAGATGCGCTGGGGTGAAATACCTCAGACGCTCGCTTGTGGGCGGCTCGGTCCAACTGCTGAATGCTGAGTTACCAACCAAGTCCCTCAATGGTCTATTAAAATGCTGCTTACAAGAAAGTAGGCTAAGAGGCCTTTGATACCAAAAATCTCTGCGAAGTCATTCCTTAGCTATCATTAGATACGTCATATTGAATTAACCAGTAACCAGACTGGCTACGTTTCAGACTTGATCTTTTAGCGCATCAAGCCGTTCCTATACTTGGAAGAATTAAGCCTTTCCATAGTGCTTATACGTGCTTACTTGCGATAAGCTACCAACCAGATTGCTTGTTCTGCTTAGTGCTTAGAGACGTCTCGCTCGGAGGTGGGGCTGCCCGCGCTTGGAACGGCGCTTGTTCTGAGCCCGCTGCGAATTACCCCACGCAAGCTCTTGAGACCAGTTGTACCAATTCATCTTCCTCGATTACCATTGCCTGATCCCACGAGTCAGACCTCAATCCCCCATCTTGACCCCCCTCACGCAATCCCCGTCAACTCCCCGCCCAAATCCAGATCCCAGCCCGCCGTGCTATCCGCCAGCAAGCTCTCCAAACTCCCAATGCCTCCGACAACCTGCAAACACAAATGGTTAGCCCGGGCTCACCCAACCCACGTAAACCCCCCCGCAACAACAAAAGAAAAAGAGAAAGGCAACCAAACTCACCAACGAATCAAACTGGCCCCACCCCGTCATCTGCGCAATCGAGCTACTCGGACTAGCCTCCGCAAACGCACCTCCATCCAGCCCCCCACCCCCCTGCTGCCCAAGCCCCTCCAACCCCGCCGCCGCCGCCAATTCATCCGCCTGCTGCTGCCCGCTACCACCAGCACCAGCACCGAACACCATCTCCGGCGGCAGCACCGCGGCCGCTAAGCCCAGCCCAGCATTGGCTGTCGCCCTATTGCTACTGCTGTCCTCGCCGTTGATGATGCCGTAGTAGTGGTGGTTGTGGCGCAGCAGCTCGAGACGGAGCTCTTGCAGGACGACGGCGTAGCGCTCGGCGAGCGAGCCCTTTGTGGCGACGCGGGCGATCTGGTCGTGGCAGCGGGAGGCGGCGCGGAAGAAGTAGTCTGGGGAGAGGGAGGAGGCCGAGGAGGAAGAGGGGGAGGAGGGATCCGGGGCGGGGGGGAGGCGGCCTTGTTGCTGTTGGATGGTGTGGACGTAGAGGACGACGACGGCGCAGAAGGCGAAGTAGTGGGTGAACTGCGGTGTTTCTTTTTGTCAGTAGATGATAGGGGGGAGGTATGGGGAGGAGGGGGAGGAGAGGGGAGGCTCTGTACCCAGAACGTGCTGTATATCTGGCCCGACCGCGTCAACTCATCGACCACCCGAACGATATTCGTCGCAGCGTCCAGACACCGCTGGACGTGCCAAGTCAGCTTTCCGCCGCCGCTACCACCACCACCACCACTGCTGGCAGCAGCAGGGCCGCGGTGTAGATTGTAGCTGGTCAGGCCGGCGAAGTTGCTGAGGAGGAAGGGGCGGTGGACGAGGATCTGGGCGTGCCAGAAGGCGAGGTTGAGGACGTTGCGCTGGCGCAGGAAGATGGGCTGGAAGAGGGACGGGTCGACGCCGTCCGTGTCGAGAAGGTAGCCGACCGACGCGCGCCAGTTGTTCAGCTCGTCGTTGTACTTGGCTGCTAGCCGGTAGCGGTCTTCGGTTGACGGAGGTCGGATGCCGTAGAGGTCGCGGAGGATGTTGGCTAGTATGCGGGAAAATCTGAGGGGAGGTGGGTGTCAGGTACGGTCCGCTGAGAGAGAGAGCTGAGTGGATGTGGGCGTTTACCTCATGTGTGCAATGCAGCCAGACATCAGGGATTGTGACTTATTGGGAGAAGGGTGCATCTGCCGAACATGCAGGTCCGAGTCATTGACGCACGTCGGGAATTCCTGCAAGATGCTGATCAGCTGTGGGGATTCAATGTTAACTGGACCATATACGTACCTGATCAATGTCCTCATCATGGAAAGTGCGCGGCCGCCCCAGAGCAGCACTCAGATATGTGTCAAGGTTATACGCACACCAGAACGTCCTCTTTCTGCATTCCAAGTCGATATAATCGACACTCGAGTCTATCCGCCTCTTCCTGTGCATGCCCAGCGCCAGAACAAGATGCGCCGTCGTCCCGAACAAACTCCAACAATGATTGATCCGCGACTGCCCAAGCAACCAAAAGCACTGCACAAGCCGCGCCTGCACGCTGGTGAGCCGAATCTCTCCCTTCTCCGCCGAAAGCTGATGTTCAGCCGCAGAGAAGAATCTCGCACTACACGCCACCGCACGTTAGCCCCTCTCCCAGCGAACAAAACAAAAAAAGGTAGAAAAGCCCACCTCGAATACTCCCTCCCCGTCATCCCCGCGCACCTCGTATTCCCCGCCTGCGCAAACACCATAAACAACAGCGCCAACCGACTCCTCGCCGCCGCCCTCTCCCTCATCGCGCCATTCGTCTCGTACAGCTCCCTCAACCACCCCTCCACCGTCGGCCGGTGCAAGAACCGATGCGTGGCGGCCGCGAAGTCAAAGTACCGCGCCAGCAGCGCCTCGGCGTCGGGCTGCGGCGGCAGCACGAAGAAGGACCCGTCCATGCCGCACGGCTCGTCGTCCGGCAGCGGCAGGTCGCCGAACGTGAAGATGCTGGCCGACTCGCTGCCCGCGGACGACATGAGGCCGGATTGTTGCCGCAGCAGCTTGCGCTGGATGCGGAGCAGGAAGGAGGCGCCGGACGCGGGCCCGACGTAGTGGCCTTGTTGGTCGTTTTGGCTCGGCTCGGGAGAGTTGCGCGAGGATTGGGCGGAGGTATGGCGCTGGGATGAGGGCGGTTGCTGTTGCGAGGGGCCGGCCGCCTGCGGCAGTGGTTGGTCGTCGACGGGGAGGCGGTCGGGGTGCTCGATGCTGATGGGGCTGGGGAGGGAGATGGTGTCTGCTGCTGCTGCTGCCGCCGCCGCCGCGGCATGGTGGACGTGGTGGTCGGCGGCATCAGGGCGCGGGGAGGTGATGCGGTGATTGCTGCGGTTGTTGGTGCTGCTGCTCGTGAGGACGGACGAGCTGTGGCGGCGATGGTTGTTGTGAGGGGTGTTGGTCGTCGCGGCCGCCATTTGCAACACGCGGTCGTCGGTCTCGAGCTCGATGGATGGCAGCCGGCCGCGCGTGTACGCCGCCTCGTACTGGCAGGTCAGGCCGAGCTGGGAGCAGAGCGTGCACGGGTACTTGCCCGAGCATCGCGTCTTGCGTCTGGAATGTGGGCGTTGGGCGTGTGGTCACGCCCGTTGCCTCCTGGTTAGATGATGGTGCGGTGGTGTTGCGTGCGGCGCAGCATATTTCCAGATTGGGAAAGCCGAGGTGGGAGAGACGGTTGGGGTAGGGCAACGGGGAATACTACTCACGACTTGCACCGATCGCAGGCCCTGCTGACTCGGCTGCGGACGTGGTTCTCCTTGCGCCGCTTGGCCGATCTGCTGCCTGGAGGCTCCCCGCTCGAGCTGCGGCGAGCGTTCCGAATAATGGCGCCATGCTGCTGCTGCTGCGGCTCGGCGGAGCTGCTCAAGTGGTCGGATCTGGGGTCGTCGGTTGGGACAATGCCGATCCCCGGGGAGGACTGCTGACGTCGATCGCCCATGGCTTCGGTGCTGGAAAAGCGAGCTCCGCGGGGAAACGATCAATTGTGGAACAATTTCGAGGACATACACCAAAAGTGGGTCGACGATTGGGATGGGAAGCTCGGAAAAGGGCGCAGACAATGGTCCGGGAAAGCGAGGGCTTTAGTAGGCCTTTTCCGGGCCCGAGTCAGCTGCGCCCTACCCCGCACTTCGTCTTTATCCGGACGTTGCCATGCGGCTACGTCCCCTGCCAGACCCTTGCATCTTGCGGCGTAGCTCTGAGGGGTAGGCGAAAGCCAAGGTCAGGAGACGGTATGTACCGGTGTGGCTGCAGGTCTGGACGGCTCTCTTGGTCTGAGCTTGAGGCGTGATGCTAAGTTGGTGAAGCTTCACGGCTGAGAGATGCCGAGTATGTGCACAAGCTGAAGAGATGTTGTGAAGAGCATTACATGGCATTCTTTCTCTAATCTATCCGTTCGAATGAGCCACACATCTACGCCGCCGCAGCCTGCTCCTTGAGCTTTCTTTGCGCTGCCACCCAATCGGAAACGCCCTTCTTCAACGTCGCCTCATCGTGCTCGCCGAAAATGTTGACGCCGAGCCTGATGGGGAAGTTGTACCTGTGATTCCGATCCAGCGCCGTGATCTTATCAAACGCCTCCTTCGGCAGCTCAAAGTCCTGGAAGTTGCTCTCGATGCGGGCCGGCGTCACGCTCTTCGGCAGCACCACGGTCCCACGCTGCACCGCCCACTGCACTAGCACCTGCGCCGGCTCCTTGCCCAGGCTGCGCGCGACCTCGATCACAACCGGGTCGTCGACGGCGCGGGGCAGGTTGTAGATGTTGTTGCCGAGCGGCGAGTACGCGGCGACGACTATGCCCTGCTTCTTGTGCCACTCGAGCAGCGCCGGCTGCTGCAGGTACGGGTGCGCCTCGATCTGGTTGACGGCCGGCGGGATCTTGGCCGTCTTCAGCAGCTCCTCGATGGCCGCCTGCGTGAAGTTGCTGACGCCGATGCTGCGGATCTTGCCCTTCGCCACCAACGCCTCCATTGCCCGCCACGTGTCGGCGATGGGCACTGAGATGACGTGCACAGCTTCAGTCTCCGGGTTGATGGGGAAGTGCTGCTTGATGTCGGCGGCTTTGGCGAAGGAGACGGGCCAGTGGATCTGTAGGGTGCTGTTAGTTTCGTAGGACTCTCCTTCTCTGGCTGGGAATGCTACGTACAAGGTAGAGGTCGAGGTAATCGGTGCCTAGGTCTTTGAGGGTGTGGTCCAGGGCCTCCTCGACATCCTCGGGCTTGTGGTGGGTGTTCCACAGCTTGCTGGTGATGAAGATGTCCTTGCGGTCGACGCCCGAGGCGCGGATGCCATCTCCCACCTCGTTCTCGTTGTCATAGACGGCTGCGGCGTCAATGTGCCTGTAACCGAGCTTGAGAGCCGTGGCGACAGCGTTGGCGACTTCATTCGGGCCGGACTGCCATGTACCCAGGCCAACGGCGGGCATGGTGTAGCCCGAGTTGAGCTTGTAAGAGCGGTTGGAAGTCATTGTGAAGGGCGATTTCTGGAGAGGCGCGTAAATTGGCGAATGCGACCCGAGTCGAGCGGAAACAGCTTCTTTAAGCTCCAATTGCCAGAGGGCCCAAAATCAAGCAGCGTCGAATTCGGTGCAATGTTGCAACGCCGACAGCAGCTCATTTACCCCGCTTTTCCGACGTTGGCGGGCTGGCTGCCGGTGCGGGGCTGTTTTCCGATCCGCCAGCGAGCACGACACAGAGCTCCAATCCCACGCGCCCTGCCCCGCGCTAATTGTGGAGGCCCGGGACAATGAGGGACGACGATGCGTGGGGCCCCCACGCCCTATGATCATACATAGCGGGCAACAAAACCGTTTCGTTGGGAGGGAAAAAAATCTCCCAATCCCTCCAGCTCTTGCTTGCACTCCTCCTCTCGAACCGCAGCAACAACCCCCCTCACCCACACCATCATGGCCGGCGCACGCATCCCCCCCGACGGCGTCTTCGTCCCCGTCCCCACCTTCTTCAAGCCGGCCTCGTCCTCGTCGTCACTCCAGCCGGCCGTCGACGTCGAGACGCAAGTCGCGCACTCGGTGCACCTGGCGCGCAGCGGCATCACGGGGCTCGTCCTCCTCGGCAGCACGGGCGAGGCGATCCACCTGTCGCGGGCGGAGCGGCGCGACTTCGTCGGCGGCGTGCGCAAGGGGCTCGACGCCGCCGGTTTCCCGGACTACCCCATCATGGCCGGCGTGCTGACCAACAGCGTCGACGAGGTGCTCGAGTGGCTCGAGGACAGCCGCGACGCCGGCGCCCAGTGGGGCCTCGTGCTGGCGCCGGGCTACTTCGGCGCGGCGGCGAGCCAGGAGAATTTGGTCGAGTGGTATACCGTTGTTGCGGATAGGAGTCCGATTCCGATTTTGATGTGAGTTTGCTGGGAAGGAAGATACTGGGAGGGAGTGGACGGGGGGTGGGGTGGAGAGTGGGATGGAGTTGAGAGTACTGATGATGTGCAGTTACAACTACCCCGGCGTCACCAACAACCTGCTCGTCGCGCCCGAGACGTACGTGCGCCTGGCCGCACACCCCAACATCGTCGGCTGCAAGATGTGAGTCGTGCCCTCTCCCAAGCTCTTTTCCGCGTCGTTCTCGCTCTCTCTGACAACAATGCCGCACAGGTCCCACGGCAACGTCTCGCACCACGTGCAAATGTCGCTGCACCCGCAAATCAACGCCTCCACCTTCCGCGTCTTCTCGGGCTTCGGCCAGCAGCTGGGCCCCATCGTGCTGTTCGGCGCCGCCGGCGTCATCGACGGCCTGGCCGCCATCTACCCGAAGACGGTGTCGCGCCTGTTCAGCCTGGCCGCCAAGCGGCCCGTCGACGACGCGACCCTCAAGGAGATGCAGGACCTGCAGTTCCGCGTCTCCGCCGCCGAGGAGTTCATCGGCAAGAACGGCATCATCGGCATCCGCGAGGGCATCTACAGGGTGCTGGGTCTGGGCAACCTGGAGGGCGGCAGGCTGCCGCTGAGGGGCAAGCTGGCCGAGGGCGAGTGGGAGAAGTGGGCGACCGAGAATGGCGCCATGGGCGAGATTGAGGCGAAGATTAATTAGAGAGGTTGGTGGTGTAGAATGAAATGAGAGACGTGTTGAGATGATGATGATGAGGTGTGAAGTGTCGGTGTGAGATGCGACGTTACGCAAAACAACCCTGTTCCCGTGTCTGAGGTCCAGGCCAACCGGAAAGGGTATGGGCAAGCGAGTCTTCCCTCGGAAAAGATAAGCAATTTAGCCTCCCAATCCGCGGCTGAGTCTTGCGGAGCATGGATACTTTGAGCTGACTCAGGGTTGGTATGATGTGCTGTAGCCGCAGATACTCAGTGGTCCAGCTGTCTTCCGCATCAAGCAATGAGGCGATTTCGCTGGCCGTCGACAGAATGCTGTGCCTGGCGCAGTATGAATAAAGTTTCCTCGGGTATTGTAGTCAGGTTTCACCAAGCAGGTACGAAGTGAACGTAAATTCATGATATTTCGTAAGCAACTATTTCTCAGAACAGCTCCTCCTCTTCGTCAAAATCTCAAGCTTCCATCTACGCATCCTCTCCACCAATTCTCCCTCATCTACCACTGCTTAGTACACATACAAGTTCGTCACGCCCGGATCCATCTCCTTCATCTTCCGGTTCTGCCTCTTCAGCGCAAACCTCATGACCCACGCACACGCAACCACGCCAATCGAGAACCCAATACTCGCCAGCATCGCCGCCAAAAACCTCGGCGCCGCGGTATCCGGCCACAGGTACGGCGTGTACACACTCGCAATATTACCGAAAGTGTTGCACATGGCAATCGCCACCGCCTTCTTCTCATCCGTCTGGCCCAGCACGCTGGCCGTCCACGACAAAATGATGTTATTGACACCATACGTCGCTCCAACGAACAGCATAATCCCGACGTACCGCGCCGCCGTGTTCAGCGTGCCCACACCGATCGCAAAGCCGGCGCAGGCGATGAGCTTGGAGACGGTCGTGTGCCAGGTGCGCTCGTTGAAGCGGCCGGAGCTGTGCGAGACGAGGATGGACACGATGCCGGCGACGATGTACGGCGGGCACGTCAGCACGAGCGTCACCGTCGTGTCGAAGCCGAGCGTCTTGACCACCGTCGGCAGGAAGTTCTTGAAGCCGTTGGCTGACAGGTGCAGGTTGTCCATCAAGCAGAAGACCCACGTGCGCCAGTCGGTCGCGGCTTCGCGCAGGCCCTTCCAGACGGACGTGCCCGACTCTTGGCGGTCGGTGGTGTCGATGAAGATGCGGTTGTGCGCGAGTTGGCGCTCCGAGGGCGTGAGCCAGCGGGTTTTGAGGGGCGCGTCGGGGAGGAGGAAGAAGGCGGCGATCGACACGCCGATGGAGACGGCGCCTTGGATGATGAAGAGCCTGTGGGTGTGCGGTGTGGTTAGATGAGGTTGGGGGAAGTGCGGGAGGTGAGACGTACCATTGCCAGCCGGCGAGCCCGTGCTTGCCGTCCAGACCGGCGAAGATGCCCGCTGCGATGAGGCCGGAGAAGGCGCTGGCGAGCATGTTGCCGGTGTAGAAGATGGACATGCGAGTAGCGAGCTCCTTGCGGGTGTAGAACATGCTAAGCATGTAGAGAGCGCCGGGGTAGAACTGCGGGATTCGTTAGCTTGTGGGTTGCGTTCCAGCTTCTGCAAGCTGAACATACCGGAGCTTCCACGATGCCAAGGAGAAAGCGGCAGACAAGCATGGTCTTGTAGTCATGGGTCAAGTAGGTGAGCAAACTGACAATGGACCACGCCATGGAGAACCCTGAGAAGGACGATGTCAGCTGATCGTGTTGTCAACAGTGTTGGCATTGGTGTACTTACCAGCCATGAACATCGACGGTCTCACTCTGTTGAGGATCATGTTGGAAGGGATTTGTCCAGCCAAGTATCTGTTGTGGTTTTGGTCAGTCCATGCAAATGATTCGCAGAGGCAAGGTACTCACCCGACAAACAGAATTGACACGCAGGTATTGTACTGGTTGCCCTTGAGCCCCAGGTCTTTGGAAAGACTGTTAAGCTTGCCGTTGATCATAGCGTTGCGGTCGAGAAAGTTCATGAAGTACATGAGCCATAGGATGGGCTGAACAGGCGGTCAGCAGACATCTCCAACCACCACGCGTAGTACTCACCAGCATGTACCAGTCGATCTTCTTCACGATCGCAATTTCCTTCGGGTCTGTCTTCGAGTGCGCGCCAAACTCGTCGACCTTCTCTATCTTTGGCTTCACCACATCGTCTGTCGTCTCAACATGCTCGATGCGCTCCATCTGGGCGAACTTCTCGTCGGTGCTGTGCTTCGCCATGATGAAAGACTCGAGCTCTCAATCACCAGCAGGAGCGGCCCTGGATTAAGTAGAAAAGAGACACGGAGAGGAGGAGGGGATGGTGGGTTGATGATACGGAGGGCGGAGGCGACGTGCAGCTGCAGGTAGCGTGCAGCAGTCGGTTCGTTTACAGTGTTTTATCACAAACGCCTCCATCGCTTAGCTCCAGGCCATACCAAGGAAAAACGCTTAGGCCAATCCAACCCCATGGGGTAGGAAGTCTTGGCCTTTTTCGGAATCCCCGTGGGGAAGCGTGGCCAAGACGGAAAAGCTGCCTTGGCGCATCATTACTTTTCCGGGTTACTGGGACACCTGCTAATCCGGAAGCGAAAGGATGCGCGTCGTGACAGCTATGGAATTCTCCGACGAGCGGGGCATGCGGCACGGATCCATGCAGGCATCGTATGACCCAATTTGGGTTGTTGAGGGTTGAGGTGTTGTCTACGCCACATCGGAGAAGAGGCATTCGGTTAACGTGCCGTGGAAAAGCGAAATCCACATGTCGTACAGTCATTTTCAAGCTACTGATTCGGTAAAAGCAGAAACAGAAGGAGAATCCTCCCAGAAGGTGTGAGACATGGCATCCACTGCGTTGTTCACAGGCTGGGATATGCCACACCGCTGTTCACACTGTACATTGCAGAAGCTGCATTGTTTTGAAGGCTTAGAAATCTGTACCAATACACTAGTTGCGGCTGAAATTCATAGCATATCCATGTTCATTTCTGCAAACATGATTCACTGTTGCCAATCAGACAAGTAAAAAGTCAATTTCATAACTCCAATCGGTCCATTTAGTACACCAATACTGCAACACTAGCTATTTAGAGAAGACTTCCAATCAGTCACCGCACCTTGGCCTTACAATCCTAGCAAGATGCCTGTCAGAGTAGCATTTGCTCCTTTAGCTCCTCCACCTTGTGCACGCCATCGATCATGCCAGCAGCCAATGCGTTGTTGCCGCTGTTGTGAGCATGATCAGAGCTAATGAAGTTGTCAGCCAGTAGCGCCTTCAGCCCAATTTTCCTCTTGTCACCCTGGCGCAGGGCAACTTGCTGAGCATCGACAATGAAAACATGGTCTCCTGATCCACCGCCTCTGCCATGTTGTCTGCAGATAGTATATACACTTTTTGTTTGAGAACCTCTTGCAACCCCCTCCTATAAACAAGCCCCTTGGCAGTTACTCCGCAAAGCAACCACGGAGACAATTTCCATCCAGCTTGCAGTCCTGGACATGCACAAGCACACACATCTCAGACGTGTGCTTCTTGTTTCCACAGCGCCCGCACTCGACCCTCGCACGACAGTCCGGACGAGAGTGCCTACTAGAGCGGCACCGATTGCAGAAGACCCGAAGGCCCTTGGTCTGCGCCCTGGGAAACTGGTGGACGCCCCGGCACCTTGCACGGACCTCCTCGAGAGCCTCATAAGGGTGCATCGGCGGCGGCTGCTGAAGCTGGAGGCCTGCCACCCCCGTCACGATCTGGTCCTCCTCTCCGGATTCGCTGCCGCTCACCAGAGATCCCGAACCAGCCGTCGGTGGCGTACCCGCGGAGGACAGCCTGTTCTCCTCCTCTTCCTGCTGCTCGACCTTGCGGATGCCTTCGATGAGGCCGGCGACCAGGGTGCGGATGGCGTCATTGCCACTGTTGTGCGAGTGGTCCGTCGCGATGTTGTTAGCGGCAAGCAGCGTCATGAGGCCGATCTGGTTGCCCTTGGTCTGGCCGCCAGCGACCTTCTGGGTGTCAACGGTGAAGACGCTAGCGAACTCCGGCTTGTTGAGGTCCACGTCGAATTCCTCCCGCAGCCACTTCTCATCGTTTCTGCCGTCGTGGAACACGAGGGCCACGGGCCGGAGGCCGCCGGCCTGGTCCTCTGGACGCCTCGGGACCAGGAGCATCTCTCTCAGAATCTGCTTCGTCTGCTCGATCGAAGCAAACTCGGTCTGCCCGAACTCGAAGTGGTTCTCGCAGCCCTTCTTGCAGACATCCTTGTAGTACTGCCGGCGCGGGTTCCTCAGGTGGCAAAGCTCTTGTAGACGGACGTGTCGAGCGCGGGAATGGAGGATGCGCTGGTTGAGGTTGAGTCGATCGGCGGGCGGCAGGTCCAGGGGGTCGGAGACGCTGATTCCCAGCTCTGTCGGCGTGCTGATCTTGCGCGCGCGTTCGAGCCCACTGAGCATCCAGGGCGGGACCATCCACTTCTCGACGTCGATGCAGACGAGCAGGGCATCGTTGTCGAGGGCCCAGACCAGGCGGTCGGCGTGGTCCGGGGACGTGTAGTGGACAGCACGCTTGGCCTTCCCCTTCTTTCGCGAATCCCAGTCGTCCGCAAACGTATTGGGCGGGAGGGGCTGCCAGTTCGGGTTCGCTTGGGCTTGGGCAGTGTTGTTCGGCTCGTCTGCTGCGAGTCCGTCGGTCGGGGTCGGGCTGCAGGGATCGTGGGAGTTGGTCTGTCGAGGGGCGTCGCGATCCTGTGGCACGTTGGGGCGGTTCGGGGTGGGCTTGGGGGGAGGTGGAGGACCAGCAGGCTGACGCGCGCCTGGAAGGGCCGGCCAGGAAGCTGGAGGCGCTTGAGGAGAGGTCGCAGAGGGACGGTTAGCACCTCTGGCCACTGCAGCCCAGCTCATCGCTGGCTTGGGGGCACCAGATGAGGCGGGAGTCGAGTTCTTCTGTGCAGGCATGCTGAAGCGAAGTTTTGTTGATGTTCTTCCGTCGAGGAGAGCAACGTCGAGGAGAGCAACAGAATATATAGATAAGCGGAGGTAGGAAGTGAATGTGTTGTTTGTGAATGTATGAAATGTACGTGTACAAGTGTTGATTGGATATATCAGAAAGTGTTATGACCGAAATGTCAGGTGGCAGGGGACTTCTTGACGTAGAGTCCGCCTAGACAAGGAGAACGCTGTATATGTACTGGCTGCCGGGAGACTCTTGACTGCCTGTGGCGTGGATAGGCAGAAGTAGAAAGCTCAGAGTTGTGGTTCAGGGTCGCTGGGCAGCTTGCGGCGCGGGTAGGCAGAAGTCGAAAGCCCGGGGAGGTGGTTCAGGGTCCTCCCCCAGATGCGTACCAACCATAACACCTTCCCCATGAAGACATAAGCTATCGATAACAACCATTTTCTTTTTCGTGTCATGCTTCAGCTGCGCAATGATGAATTGCTGTATTGTCGGATAATGGGAAGGGCGGTGCTGGAGCCCTGGAGTTCGGATTTGGACCGCACAGTTTTACCTGACAGGAATGGCTCTGGTGATACTGTGCACAGCGGCGCAATATATGTAATCGGCCTGGATTCTGTTTGTTGTGTATCTATCAGAAGTTTGCCCGATTGTGTGCAGTTTGTTTCTCAACTATGCCTGACATCGCTATTTGTCAAGAACGGTGATCTGAAACGCAATGAGACAACGTCTCTCAACTTTGCATGCGACAAACGGAATCAGAGACAAACCCAATTGGGTCGCCTACAATATGCATGCCATGTTGACGGAAGAAAGCCACAAGTCCAATCACGGCATATAACCAGTCGTCTTGTATTACCGTCGGTTGCAGAACCCAACAATATACATCAATCGCCGAACAATTCACGATGCTATTTTCCAGATGATACACGGCAAGTGCTGATTCTCTCGCAGTTATTCTTTCACAACTCTGGTCATGAACGCAAAGCAGTTTACCCGGTGTGCAGTTGCAGACTGGTGGCGTTGAGATTCTCCTCGTCGACCTCTGGCCATATCACTCTTCACCAGCCTGCTGTGCTTGCTGATTCCAGGCAACAGATTTCAAACCCGCCAACTCCATGTGTTTAGAGTTTCCACAGAGTGACCAAAATAAAAGCTTGCAAACGTCACAGCTGTCCGCAACGATCGCAAAGCATGAAGAGGACCTCGCTGCGTAGGACACATGCCAGCTCCTGAATTTCAAGTAATATGAGAACATCTACGCAGCATCGCGGTCGTGGCCGTTGTTGTTGTTGTTGCCGTTGCCATTGGGCTTGCGGGGAGGGTCGCCACCTCCTCTACTCTGGTACTCGCGGGCACCATGGGGCGGCGGATGGATGTGGTGCCAGCCTGAAGCGGACGTCATGGTGTAGCTAGCGTGCACTGTCAGTAGAGGACAATGGCGCATGCTGTTCCGGTCCGTAGAAAGCGAGAGCGAGTCGGCGCCCAAGTCCGACGCGGGTCCGCTGATGTGGCTTCTGACGCAGCTGCATGACGAGCCTGAGCGGTGCGCAAATGTCAAGTAGGAGGGCTCCTGCAAGATCACATCCAGGCCATCTACGAGCGAATGCCAGACTCAAGCTCAAGGCTCGTTGCAGCAAGAAGTATGAGCATGCGGACCGCTCACCTGTGACAGCAGCACCAGCTGCATCATCCGCCGTCTGCTCTCAGCCAGGAGAGGCAACAAGGCTCGCTGCACATTCGCCAATCCTGCCCCACCGCAGGCGCGCTTCTGGGATGCCGTGAGCAGCTGCTCTGCCCGCTGCCGGACACGGGACGCTGTTTTAACGCGCCTTCCAGGCCATCGCCGCGTCTGAGCCATGCGATGCAGTGCTTCACCCTCCTGCTGATGAGACGTAGCTGCCAGAAAGAGAGCCTGTCCGGCCCCAATGCTGCACGCCTGATGCACCGCCGTGCCTGCGCGGCTCCAGGGCGTTCTGCTCAGTTCTTTCACATGCGCAAAGCTGTGGCCGTGCCTGCCGACCGCTCGCCAAGCCTGCTCGAAGCGGAAGGCTCTGTGGGGCGTTGGTGTTGCCCAGCCAGGCGACGCTCCCGTGCCAGCACCCATTGGTGGGCTTGGCGCGCCTATAAATACCCCCCGATGCCTCGCCCAAGGCTCCTCTTTTCTTCTTCAGCTCTCTTTGCCTTTTGGCTTAGATCAAGTGAAGTAGCTGTTCTTTTTAGTTTAATCTCTAGAACGTCCCTACGCGGGATTTGCTCTTTTGATTAAACTAGTTTTTGGCACCTGGTCTCGGGCGCTCTGAGCTCCGCTCATCGTCCAGACCACAGTGTCGCCTCTATTGCACTATCTGAGGCTGACGCGAACCTCTTTTCGTCAATTACCTGGCCTTAAGCCGGCTTTTGAGGAAGAGAAAAAAAAAACTGAAATCAGAGACGGGTGAGCAGCAAAGTGGTTAACATGGTGAAGGCATGATCGCAGCTGATTAAGCCCGAAAACGCGTCCTTGCGGTGGTAAATCGCGCTCGCAAACGGCGCGTCGTTGTCGTGACGCTTCGTGTTGCGCAGCCGTGGTGTTGAGCCTGCGCGACTACCGTCTGTCACTTGCGCAGTGCGCGCTTGCGCATCATTCTACAGCAGTCAAAATCTCTGCAAAGGTCTGTTCAATTGGCTTCTTTGGCACTGCTTATCGCGCTCGGGGTGGCTCTGCCAGATGGAAGCGCGTCTCGTCCTCCTGTGCCGGCCGCAGTGCCCGTCAGCTCGCCAACACGGCCGCTAGCCGCGTCGCAATGACATCCACGACCAGCGTCTCGTTGCAGCGGTGACTTGCTCAATGACCTTGCATTGTAAACCCTATCGCCCTTCGTCCTGGATCCGCAGAGCGAGACTCCACATCCTCACTCTGACCCAGAGCCCCGCTGTGACCGACAACTTCGTCTCAGCGAGCCTCGCCACGTCCAAGCAGCATGTTCCGCTGCAGCACCGACGCAGTTGTATCTACTTCCCAGGAAGAGGGGACCAGAAAGTACTTCCAAGCGTTCCTCAAGCTCACAATGTCACAGCGCAGCTCTACCAAGAGAACGTTCGTCTGACCATGCAGAAGCATCCGTCTCCGTTCGTCGCTATTCCCTTCGTCCCCTTCGATCACGGCAGCTCCGTGTTACAATTCTGCAGGTTCACCTCGCTCGATGCACCACGCCCCGGTTGGTTTCGGTGACGACATACACATCAGCACGCCGCGGGCTATCAAGGCCGCTTCTATGCGTCTGGCAGGAACAGCTGTGCTGTTATTGACGAGCGACGACTCTGGGTGGGCACACTTGACAGGTGATAGAGTGACAGCGGCTTTGGGCCGCCGACGGTGCGGTGTTCCTGGGGCTCGGGGGACGCACATCTTCCTGCCAGGCGAAGCTGAACGGCCGCAAAGCGGAGGAGCCGAGCGAAGTCGCGGCGATACCGGTGCTGGTGGCAAACTCTCCTCTTATGGCAAGTCATCCAAGAAGCTTGTGCACAAAGCCATCCGTCTCACTAAGATTCATAGAAGTGCACATGACTCCCCAGCGACAGAACCTTCAGCGCCCGCCACACTGCGAAGCCCGAAAGCTGCTCCACCAAGCCTCTCTCCGGCTCCTTGACGGATAGTGTGACCTTCTTCAACGCGGTGGTGGCCACAGGGTAGAGTGCAGAGACACATATACATGGAGCTGTCAGAAAGGGACGTGTGGAAGCTGAAAATTGGCAGAAAGTTCTCCATCAAGCGCAGCGGCTCGCCTCCGATCGCGCTCGGAGTCTACAAGCGTGGCAGCTGCGTCAAAATCCTAACTGGCGACATTGGCGCCATGTCTGCGAGGCTCGCCATCTCTCAACAGCGTCCACCCTCTAGAAAGGCGGCACATTGTCCAGATACACTGCGCTCGGCGGCGGCTTCCGAACGACGAACACCAGCTTGCACCACCTCTTCAGGCACACGCCGGCGAAGCGAGAAATCGAGCCCTGACAGTAGCCGCCGCGCTCACCCGCCAGTTGTCCGCGAACCTGACACAGGCCTCTGCGTTGCAGGCCTGGCTTCGCACCCTTCTCGTGTCCGTCGCCTTGCTTGGGGCTGTCTGGTTCGGCAGCAAGCAAGGTCTCTCGTGCACTTCCCAGCTTTCCCTTCAGATTGTAGTCTTCGGCGGTGCTTCCTCCCAAGGTGAGTGAGGAGAGGAGACTAATGTACGGCGGGTTTGAACTGAACTGATGACCTCTTCAAGGGACAATGACAACCAGCAAGATCGAGCGTTTGAGGGCGACGACAACTTCGAGAACGCCCAAAAGCTGACAGACTGACCGAAATGATGAACCTAATTTGGCAACGAGAGTTATGGAGCCGACTAAAACACTCCAGGAAGCCAGAAATCGGCTGAAAGTGCGACAGCACTTCGCGTCGAGTGATGCTTAACGACGGAACCGGACACACACGGGACAGAATGAAGAACGAATCGCGGTTGGCGGCGAGTGATTCGAAACCCCAAAGTGTGCCCGAAATATTCCCAAAGCTGGGGAGATCATCCATGTCATCGTTTAGTGAGAGCGACTGGACCTTGACGGAGATATGTCATTTTTGGTTTAGGCCATTGCGGCGAGCGAGTGTATGTGTGCCCAGGAAAGCTCTGTCTCGTACTTCATGGAGGCTTAAACCGCGTCTAATACTCAGGATCAATGGTACCACCAAATGGTACTCAGAAAGGCTACGGAAAAAGGATTCTGAGCATGTGGCAGGTTCTCATCATGCCTTACGTCGGACGCAGCCCGCGAAGTTTCCATTGGAGCGAACTCGGTGTATGAGGGCTCAGCCGTCGGGCTACCAGTCAGATCGCTTCCACAGCATACAAGAAGGAGATCTGTAGGCTGTGAGCTATGGGTGAGTATATCATTCAAAGGTGGGAGACATCGCGGGGTTGCTATATCACAAGTGCATGGCTACTCATGCATATTTCGAACACCACAATTTTTCAGTCAGGACATTTTTTATATCGCTAAAGCTACTCAAGGGGTTGTACTGAAGGGATCCTTGCTCATGAAGACCCAGAGACCTTCCACAAGAACCGTTCCATCAGTACGCGAGGCATACATCCTCCCCCTCGAGTTTTTTTATTTTATTTTTTTAAGCAGATCTCTCTCTATCTCTATCTCTATCTCTCGCTTACATTCAAGCTCAATAAGCCTCGTATCCAACCATCCGATCACAGAAAAAAACCTTCAAAACAGTCAGGGGCTCGCTCCTACTCAACCCCTCGCGTTCTCCTCCGTCCAGTCAACAATCCTCCTCCACAGCCAAAGACACGCGCTCGCATCGGTGTCGCCAATCGCCTGCAGCCACCCCAGACGCCTCACATCGACGAGGTGCTGGACGTCAATCGTCGCGCCCATGAGCTGTCCTCCCGCCGGCAGGCGGCCGACGCAGAGCACCGCACCCCAGGGGTGCGTCGAAAGCGGATCGTACTGCACATCGACGAAGAACTGGCGAATGCCGTCCGGGGGGCCGCCGGTGGGAGGAGTAGTCTGGTGGTCGTTGGTGGTGGTGCTTGCGGTGGTTGGGCCGGCGGGGGTGGTGGTAGCGAGGTAGATGGGCGAAAGCCTATCCTCGTCGTCATCCTCGCTGCTGATGAATGCAGGGAGGACGGGGTCCAAGTAGGTCATGGGAACGTCGGTGGTCGTCGGGTCCGGACGGTCGTCGAGGTCAAGCACCTCGGGGAGGCGGTGGTGTGCGGCGTAGAGAACCTCCCAGATCCAGAACTCCCTGGTGTTGGACGGGTTGGGGTTGAGGGCGCCGGCGTGGTGGTAGTTGGTGTTGTAGACCATGGGAGGAGGCGCCGCCGGGGTGTTGTTGGTGTTGTAGACCATGGCAGGCGCCACCGGGGTGTTGGTGTTGTTGTCGCCCTGGTTGACCGTGGCGGCGGTAGTGTTGTCGGCGGCGACGTCCATGGCGTCGTCGATCTCCATCTCGTTCGTGGCAGAGGTCGGGAGGGCCGCCGCCGCCGCCGTCGTCGTGGGAGCGTTGAAGGCAGAGGTGGCCTCGTTGGCGGTGGTGTTGCGGGATCCCGAGGGCGCGGTGCTTGCTACGTTCTTCGCGGTCTTGGTTCCAGCCGCGGATGGCTTGGGCCTAGCGGTCTTGGTGCCAGCTGCAGATGGCTTGGGCCTAGCGGTGATGGTGAAGGACGCCATCGGAGGTGCTTGAGGGGATGGGCTGCAGATACCGGTGTCAACGACGATCGTCGAGCCTTCGCTCTGAGAAGCGATCTCGACATCGGGAGTCGCTGACTTTGCGTCCTTCTTGCGATTGAACGTCGCGAGAGGCGGTTGAGCGCGGCCTCGGAAACTCGTATCTACAACTATCGTCGACTCGCTGCTGCTCTCCGAACTGACTGAGCATGCGTCGTCGTTGTCATCTTTCTTGGGCGTCCCGGCTGTCGACCTACGCTTGATGTAGGGCTGAACGTCATCAGTGGTACTTCCGCTGCGGAGACTGACCATGGCTGTTGCTTTTGGGGTTGATCGTTCGGTAGGAAGGTAAGAAGTGTGTGTCGGGGTGGAGAAGTAAAGGAAGGGCCGGGGATGAGCAGGAAAGATAAGGGAGCGAGACTCCAGTGAATGTCAAGGTGTTCACCCTGGACAATGCATTGTTCGTGTTACCTGTCCTAATTTTCACCCGTTATATAGGAGTGTTAAGAGACTATGTCGAGAACACCTTCGTTTGCTTCCTTGTTGTTGTTGTATTGCATTTTGGCGCCGAGATTTTGGGCCTTCTAGGTCGTCAATGCTGCTGCTAAGGCGGCGGGGAACTTCTGGAACATTGTCTTCCTGATCTGCCACTGTTTGTGTTTGTTTGGAATAAAAGTCGTAATCGAAGGAGAATCGAAGACATTGATATTTGACAATGTACAGTATATACCCAGCTTGCCTCAATCTGAATGCAGTACGACACAAGGCTAACTGACCGTATTTACACTGAGTATCAAAAGCTCTGTCAGGTATAAGGGGTATGCAACTTTAATGGGTAGCTTCAATCGCTTCAAAAAGCCCTATGATAGGTTGGTAATGATGCTATTATGACCGGCAGCAGCAGCAAAGACAGCGTAGCCAATCATTCAATCAGTGGCGAATATCGTGAAGTTGGCATCTCCGACAACATATAAATTCTCGAGGACGTGGTAAATGTGTTAGTGCACCTGAGAGTTGAGCATGGGTTGTGTGGATGGTGATGACGCGCGCAAGCGGGGGGTGAGGTTGTCGGATATAGGTAATTGGGGTGCGGTAGACTGTAAAAGGGGGGCGCCGTATAGAAATGGATCCCAAATGTCGATCCGTCCGGGCATATGAACAGATAATCAGACAGACTGAGAGTAAATAGATTGGGGTGCCTAAAAAACGTCCCGAGGAATTATTGTTCGTCTCAGACCTTCGAACCTAGAAGTTTACCTCATACGTAGGTCAAGAGGATGCAGCAAGAGCTTTTCGGAACCTTGAAGGGAGAGATGAGGTCAGTTATCAGGGGAAAACTGAAGATAAGATGAAAGGCAAGGGCACGAGTAGGAGTGGTGTAAGCTGAACTCTACCTTTTTTTTTTTTTTTAGGTAGCGCGTGGCTTGAAAGTGGCCAACAAGCCTACACAGGCAAGCCTTGCAATGACTTGTCCAGATCGGAAGGAACCAAACAGTCAATAAATCAATCAACGACCCTACAATTAAAAAAGAAAAGAAACAAGAATGGGAAATATTGAAAGCTGCCGAGTGGGCAATTTTACACACCAATCGGTAGATGCACTGTCCTAGAATGAATGAAGGAATTGCCTTAGAGCTGACAAAGGTATTCTCAAAGGGAAATCTCTACGACATGGCCAAGGTCGATTATCTATCCTTTCAGTAAAATTCACAGAGGTAGGAGATCTGGGGATGGATCATCGCTATAAAATAACGCACCACGACCATGTCGGACTCGCCCGAGATCGGGGCAGAATATGCAAAGCGATGAAATAGTAGTGATGAACAACTCCGGAAAAGTAGACAATGCGGTATACACTCCAACGAGAGGGCAAAGGCGTTTCCCGCACTTTCAGTATTGGCCGACAGACGAAGATAAGAAAGCACCTGATGCGTAGCACATCACCCTCAGGCAGGCATCTGGCCCTTCAACCAACCGACAAGGAAGCACAACAGCGCAAAGAGGCCATATTGAAGTTTTAGTCTCGACAGCACAAAGACTTTTTTTCACCCCGCCCCACCCCATCCCAGCGCACCTACCACTCCACCCCCCTCTCCCCCTCCCAAAACCCGCCCACGACCTCCCCGCCCTCCCTCCCCAACGCCAACCAAACCGGCGTCCGCGCCCCCTCATCCACGCTCTTCACCCCCTTCCCCTTCGTCATATCCGTCACCACCCAACCCGGGCAACACGCCTGCACGCCCCGCGCCTCCCTCCCTTCCTCCCGCGCCACGACCGCCTCCCACCCCGCGACGGCCTTCGTCATCGCTATCACGCCCGCTTTACTCACCGCGTACGCCGCGCTCGGGAAGCCCTTTTCCGCGTGCGTGCCGCCGGCGCGCACGCCGTCGGTGAAGACTTGCATCAGCGCGGTGGCGGGGGCGGTGGCGGCGAGGGGGGAGTTGGGGGTCATGGGGGGTTGGGAGGAGGATTGGGATTGGGGGTACCGGGCGGCGGCGCGGAATTCGTCGGCGAGGGAGGGGGGGTACTTGGAGAGGGAGCCGGCGATGCTGGCGACGTTGATGAGGCGGGAGGAGTGGGAGGGTTTGAGGAGGGGGAGGAGGGAGAGGGTGGAGTGGAGGGTGCCGTGGTAGTTTGTGGCGAGGGTGGTGGTGGCGACGTTGGCGTCTGTTGGGGGGTGGAGGCTGTTAGTTTTGGGTTCGTGATGGGGGGGGGGAGCGTGAGCGGGGGGAGGGGAGGATGTGGGGATGAAGGGGGAGCACGCACCGAAGCCCTCCATGGCGATGCCGGCGTTGTTGATGACGACGTCGATGGAGCCGTGGTCCTTTTGCAGGTCGGCGGCGAAGGCGTCGATGCTTTCCTTCTTGCTGATGTCCAGCTCCTTGAAGGCGAGGCTGACGGGGCCGCCCTGGGCTTTCAGCACCTTCGCATTAAGCAGCTGGTCATCTGACTCGAGCGTCTTCAGCGCGGCTTCTCCGCGAGAGGCATCGCGGGCGGTGAGGTAGATGATGAGGGGTCCAGTGTTGAGGGCAGAGCCCGGGTACTGGAGGGCGAGGTTGCGGACTGCGGTCGTCGATCTGCCATGTCAGTACCAGGCTCCGATCATCCGAACGGAGCAGCGATAGTCAGGGGAGTGGGACATTTGTGTGGAGGGATGTTGCTGTGGAGCGTTGCGCAATCGTGTGGGGTGCTGTGGCTGCGGGGTAGCTCTGACCAATTGCGAGGCCGATGCCCTTATTGGCGCCTGTGACGGCTGCAACGCGTGCGTAGTTGGTCATCTTGGGCAATATCAGTCTCTTGATTGTGATTCCACTGTTTGTCGGAGGCGGAGTTGTTCCCCGGAGTTTATAAAGACGTGATGTTCGCGGACGCTAATTTGTCAGCCGTGGTATTTCCAAGCGTCACTGTGGGGCAGCCCCGTCTTGACGTCAGCATCCATCGTGGGAGCACGGTAGCACGGGAACACGCGAGGCGGGGGAAAGAGCGCTATGAGGAATGTGGATTATCAGAAAGAAAAAGTACAATGGCGGGGTAATAGCGAAATCAGCAGCGGGTATCCATATCCAAACAAAAAATCATCCGTTTCATCCCAGCATTACAGCCCTCCACAATTCATCCCATCATCGGCAATAGCGGCTTTACATGGCGGGTCTCTCGGTCTTGCTGACGATCCAGAATGCATCTATTACGCTTCATCAGCACACTGCACGAAGAAATATTCAAAGGCGGCAACTTACGCAGCACACCGGGGATCCAGCCGAGGATACTCAAACAGATGTTGATCAGGAAGTCGGCGCCGCAGCCGCGCTTGATGAAAACGGGAACAGGCGGCACGAAGAGCGCCAGGAAGTAGAGGAGGACGTCAGACTGTGGTAAGCGTCGTCAGCGACTAGCGTTTTGGAGTAGTGCGGAGTCATGATTCGTGGAGCTTGATGTTGCTTGAGTGCTGATTAGGCACGTCCGAGCGCGTCGAGGCGTGATGCAGGTGACTCCATCTCACAACGCCGCACACCGCCAGACAGACCGGAGATGCTCAGCGCCCAGCCTCGCATCTGCTCGACAGCAAGGGATCGAGAGGCTCTCTTGCGGAGGTGGAACTTGTGGGAGCCGCACCAGCGACGCGTTGCCGACGCATCCATCCGTCCAGCAAATCGGCGATGAGCAGCACGCGTCGCGCCGTCGATGTCCCAGCTCAAACCAGATATGCCAAGGGAAAGGCGACTCACCGTCGAAGAAGGCGGGCGGTTGGACATATTGTGTGTCGAAGTAGTCGATATTTGAGTGTTCAGAGTAGAAGATGCGTTTCGCGTCAAACGGGCAGAAGTCGCAGTAGATAAGCAGTGCAAGAGTAGATTCGAAATGCCTCAGGTGCTGCCCCGACCCTTAAATAAAAGCAACAAGCTTTGAGGCAAAGGCCAGGGCCAGACGCACCACCAACAGCCCGATGACGCCGAGCGATCCGGATCGCGGCCCGTGCGGCAGTGCCGACAGGGGGCTGCGGCGAATCAGCGCACAAGCGTGACGTCACGGGCGTGGCGCAGAGTGGAAGTCGGCACGGGTTGTACGGGCGCGAGTGAGGCTTGTTTGCCGTGGTCCTGGTGGTGGCGGTGCCGAGCAAGGCTCAGAGGATGTTTGCGCGTCGCTGTTGAGGCGTGGTGCATGAGGGGCGTGTGATGGCGATGGCTGTGATGAGAGTGTTGCGCTGTGGCAATGTCACAAGGTTTAGTGTTTCAACGCTGCAGCTGGCGGGAGGCAGGCAACACTCAATCATCTTTTCCTCTGCTCAGTCGGAAGCTCGCCTTTCGGATGCCTCAGCGATTCTTGACTCCAAGGATATTGCCGTGCGGTAAATTTTGCATTGTCCACGCGATGGCCACAAGTGGGCCGCGTGAAGCTGGACGGCCGTCGGGGTCCGCGGAATGCACGCTCAGGGCTCGCGGGCGGGCCGAACTTCGGTGGAGTCTAGCGCCAGAGAAATATACATGAGCACGAAAGTTAATGAGCGCCACCACTTTCGTCCTCCTCTTCTGATTCAAGGGCAATTAAATGAATAAAAAAGTATGGTGAGCAATAGGCCCGCCGCCCCATTCCTTTCTTCAGCCACTATCAACATTGCACGTGCATTCATTTATGACATTTCAACATAAATTGACATTTTCCTATACACATGGATTAATCATCTCGTGGGTTTGAATTGGAGCGCATGCAAATGACTTCCTTTCCATCCATAAATGAAGCAGCGATGCTTCAGTTACCGCTTCCATCATCGAGCAAGCCGATAAGGCCTGGCGGAATTGTGATGAGTCCGCCACGACCCTGATACACAGCGATAGTTTCATCGAATTTGGTTTGAATTGCCTCGTTGATGGTCGTGGCAGTAGATGTGAGGGCTGGATCCAAGATGGCAATGGTCTAACGAGGTGTAAGTATAGAGTTTGCGGATTTTAATTTGCGAAAGTATGACACCGAGATGCTAGATATCGTGGCAGCTAAGGGAGAGAAACAAAACAACTTTTACTCACAGCGTCGCCAAGCTCCTTGGAATCCTCCTTCTGGTCTTCGAGGTTTGACCTCAGAAGAGAGATGACATCAATCAGGCCGAAGCCCGCATTGTCGAATTCCGGTCTCTTGGATTTGATGTTGTCCAACAAGCTATTAATCTGCGGCTGAAGTTGCAAGAATTGCTGGCCAACAGTGGCGCTACACGTAGGTCAGTAGCCGGTCTAAGTAAGGTGATCAGGGGTGAAGTACGAGTCCGTGAGATTCAGCTGGTCCGTTGCTTTCGCGACAGCAGTTGCGTCGGTGATGGAATCGCCAAGATCATTGGTTGCTGACTGGATCTTGAGCAGCTGAGCGATACCTTTCAGACCACCGGAGTACTCGTTCAGTGTCGTATTGGTCGTCTTGAGGTTGTCTCCGATGGTAACGAGCGCCTGGGTGAAAGCCGCAGCACCGGATGGAACAGCTTCACTCTCACTGGTCTCGCTTGAAGCTGGCAGTCTTTTGTCGATGTTCTGTCTGGCCGGGGCCGTCGGCATGGCCAGGGCGGCCGATGAATACAAAAGGGTAGCCAGAAGAGTACTGAACTGCATGGTGGTGAGACGTTTCTTGTTTTGGATTCTTCGAAAAAACAATTATTTTCGGGGACGGAGTACTTGACTGAAACCAAACCGCGAGAAAAATTTAAGCCCTCGAAACGGGCGCTGTGCGGTTAAAAGAGGCCCTGGATCAACGCGAAAACGTGTCATACCCGGGCTGAATCCTGCTGGTTTCCAGCAATTCGGACCCCTCATCACGGTAACAGCAGGTTGCAAATTCCCCCGCTCAGCGCACCATTTCCTCCTGTGGCAATGATGAGCAGACCAATAATTACAAACGCACATGATAGCGAGTAACGAGGGGAGAGAGAATGTGATCGGCGAGATGTGGAGAAAATCCGGGGTAGTGGCGGGAAAGATGAGCTTAAACTACCCCACATAGGCAGTTCGGAGCTTGATGTGGTTAGTCAGGAACAGGGGAAAGACATTTGGCGCGTGCGGAGATGCAGGTCCACATCTTTTGCCTCGGCTGCACAACCGAAGCAGCTGACAAGCCTGCGTGGAACGTCAAATAGGCTTTGGCATATTACTTTGGGTGAGGCTGCCCCGGAAATTTCGAGAAGGGAGATATTCAGGCTGCCAGGTCTATTTTGACAGAGTTGGGATGGAGTGTTGTGAGCAGATGAGAGGAGGAATTGATTCTGTTGCGTTGTGCGCAACCTTCAGCTGAAATCTGGCGGAGAGGTCAGACCAGGGCTCCCCTTCTTGCATTTCAGCCTAGCTACTTCTCCACACATCCCCGATCATTTATTAAAGTGTGGCCTCATGACCCCGCTCTCGGCTCAGAATACCGCAATCGTCTCATCCCATCATCCGTTTTCCTATCGGGTCTGGATCTGGCAGGGGCAATGCTTTCGCGCACCTTTCATGGAAACAAGTATAGTGTTCTCGATGCTTAGCGGATGACGCATACTCGATGGGAAGTAAAACCTTGTTCGGTTTGGCCAATTGAAACGCCTTAATGCTTTGTTGGCACTGCAAATGACGCACAGATGACCAAACTAATATCTACCCAGAATTATTTGATTCCACTGAAGAGTCTGGATTGGTGGAAGGGTTTGTCAGCGTTGCATCGCCGCACTGCTTGCCCAAAAAGGTAATTCGTATTTTGAAGAACTAAGCTGGGATGTAAAGCAGGGTTGAAATGCTTCGTTCCATGGAGAATTGACGTGAGTCTCGCTTGAAGTGCGGTGGATTAATTATTGTAAGTGCCCTTTAGCAAATTAAGTTTTAAAATCAATCAGCCTTTCTACAGATCACAAATACATAGAAAAAAACAGCGGATATGTCATTTACTTTTGGCTATTTCTATTCGGCATGGTATCTCTATACGGAGAATTATATGACAGCGTTCGATGAGAAGGAAAGGATTTTAAGGGGGACTTTTGAACACAAAAACAACTTGACCGCCGTTCCAGGCTAGAGAGAGACGGTGCTCCTTACGGTTGACCAGTGAGATTGTAAGCATATTGGGCTTGCTCTCATGTTTGAAAGATGATCGCTACTTTCAGAGGGCCTGCTCTGCTGGCCAACGCCTCGGTTCTCTCTTCTATGGATTTGAGATCAAAGGTATATCTTTTGTCTGACGTGGATTGGTTGTTGTGACGTTAAGATCCCATGCTGCTCACGAAGAATAGACTGCAATTCGTGGAAGCGCTCCAGCTCTTGGCCATGAAGCATTGAATCACGACGAAATCCAGCGCTTCCTCTTCGTCATGCCTCCCTTTCATGTCTTCATAGGTCCATATGTTGTTGAACAGGGTTTCGCCGAAGTTCTCGTCTTGCCTCTCCTTGAAAAGTTCGGTCAAACATGGTAATGTCATCGATGTATACTTAGTAGAAAGAGAAGAGGGATTCTGATTAGGGGAAAAACAGAGAGTAACGGTGGACTTTAGATGCCTGAGGAGAATTCCCGAAAAGGACTCTTACCCACTTCCATCTCAGACGGATGCCATCAATGCCAGTTGGAAGAGAGGACCTTAATAAGCTTCTGGCGCACTACTACAGTCGAGGCCGAGAACCCCCCAACGTTGCCATTACAGGTTAATGGATGAGATCCCACCACCGCTGGGGCCTTCCGTCCTTCACAACGTGCGTGCAAGATGGCCTTCCCCTTCCGCTTCCAAGGCGTTATTTTCTTTCCATCCGTGTCTATCTCTCTTGGGCATACGATTTTCTTTTACTCAAGCTTGTTCACCCAATTTCCAGTCCTCAGGCATGCTGCGTTGGGCTCCTTTGAGCCATCCATCAGGAAGGTGCATTCTCCATTGGCGCAAACATTTCCCATCTATCCGCCTTCCCGCTGTGCCAAGTATGTCCAAGAATATTCTCAGGGGCGAAAGTGTGTGGAGAACAGAAGGGATTTGCGGCAGTGCGGAATCGAATCGAGGGCCGGTCTGGACCTGAGAGTGCTGGAGTGGAGTGCTGACGGCAGGGTGTCATCAAGGTGGAGCGTTCGGGCGCATGAAGAAAGAGAGAAAATGCGACTGTGTCGATGCGCGGCGCTGTGTGTGCTGTAGAGCATCTCAGGTACGTGAATCGTTGGCGGCGGAGGCAGCGACGGCAAGAGCAATGTGTACGAGCAGAGGGGCGGGACGCAGGCAGTACCGGCCAGAGCGGACGGGGGAGGGGCCTATGACTCTCCGGGCGCTGCAGCCTCTGGGGGCGCCGCAAATTTGGACGACCGCCGCTTGCTCAAGCAAAACCGACTAACTTTGAACAGGCCGCGTTGACGTTCGCGCGGCGAGGGTGCCTGGCAGGCCCTGCAACAGGCGGGAGGGGGCCTAAATTAGGCCCTAAAATTAGCGGCGGGGCCCCCCAAACAGCGCCGCTGTGACCCTCCGCAACACTGGCTTATGGACTGCCAGTCAACGCGATCGCTAAATCCACGCCCGCTGACAGCGCTTTTCGCAGCCCCCGCCGCTCATGGCCGCCCACCGAAGCGCAAACTACGCCCGCTGGTGCTGAAGCTGCTTCCTGTGAAAAATTTTCACTTGCCCGCCCGCCGCCGCTGTAGCCCATGGTCACCCACCCTACCGCAAACCAGGTCTGCCAGCGCTGCTGCTGTCGGCGGCTGGCTGGCCGCCCACCCAAGCGCCGATTATGGCAGGACGGCTTATGCTCCGGCTGCCCGCCGCTGCCAGACTGCAGCTGAGGAATGGGCTGGGGATCCCGCTCGCCGCTCCACGCGAGCAAGCTTATGCGCTCTCTGCTTCGGAAATGTATTGCTTTCTGATGACTGGCGCTCTGGTAGTTTTCTGCTGTTTGCTCATTGAAGCAAGCTCAAGTGTTTGCGCGATGGCGCCACTGCCATACAAGCGGCCGCTTTGTCTTCAGTGACCAATTGGGCGGTCAGGAGCGGCATAGGCATTTTCCCCAGGTGAGAGCTAGATCTTCCGGCACGATTCTGCAAATTTGGAGGGTGGCGGCGGAAGATCTAGACCTGTGTCTGCCACGAACGCGAAGTGAGGCCACAGGCAGCCCCCGCCAATTGGCATCACTGAGCACGCGACTTCCTGCCTGAGCGCACCGCTGCTGCCTGAGAGCGAAATTTTTTTCACTCGCCCGCGTCGAGCGCGCGCCCGCTGTCACGACCGCAGCTGATGACGTCACTGGGAGAACCGTCGCTCGTTGTCACGATGCACGTCGCGGGCGGCGCGCCCACGCTAGCGTTGGGCTTTGCTGGCGACGAAAAGAACCAGAGCTTATCAATGCTGTCTTCGGCAGTGATTCAGACTGTGAGACCGCTGACTTGCGCCGTCAGATTCAAGCTTTGCGGGGCGCGCCGCTGGCGTGTGGCGTCCGGGGGTGGAGCGCTCTCCGCAACACCACGCGCACGGACCACGTCAACGTCGTGCGAGCATTGTTTTGCGCCTCGAGGAATTGTGTCGCCATAACGCTTTGCGCGACTCTGAAATCTATAGATAGGACTGAATGCGATCTTCTGTCAAATATGGAGTGCAAGCTGAATCCGCGCGACCTTGATTGCGCCTGCGCTGGCGGCTTGCCCGCGGGCCCCAGATGTTTGTGTATAAAAGCCTTCCGGGCCTCATCGTTCTCCATACAAAACGAGACCATCTGTCTGAGATAGATGCGATATCAGTCAATGATATATACATATTTTGTGTGCTTTCTTGCCATCTACGGCTTTCATCTCTTGAAGTATATTCTGCTTGAGCCTTGCCCGAATGCTCGCCCGTTGTAGACATGCCTCTCATGGCCATTTCGCCCAAGACCGCCAGCTCGCCAGCTTTCATGCATTCCGAGCCTTCATAGGCTGCTTCAGGCGGTTCCGCAGTGGCCATTGCTGCCGAATGAGTGACAGTGTCTTCACCCAGCGCGCAGCACGCAGGCCTGTGATTGGCCAGCTTCGCTTTTCCCGGAGTGAAACCTCACCGTGGCCCGCTAAGCGAGCCTCCACGGTCCATATGGTCGTCGTCCTCCTCCGGCCAACCCTCCTCTCTTTCCTACCAGCTTCTTCGTCGACACCGCGATATCCACGAGTACGTCTGCCGCCTCCCCGCGCGAGCGTCTACACCAGCGATCTTCAGCAAAGTCCGAAGCAGCTTCAGCGACCACCATCTTCACCCGCCACATTCCGCTCACAATCCGCCCACCTCACCTTCTTCACATCCGTCACATCTTCACCATGATCTCCGAGTACACCGCCGAGTTCATGGAGGGCGTCGAGTTCGCCATGTCTCCTTGCGAGATGGAGGGAGTCGAGTTTTCTTCTTCCTCCGGACCCATGGAGGGCATCGAGCTCACGTCGGAGAGCTCCTCCAGTGTCAGCCCGCAGGTCCATGTCGAGGACCTTGCGTCGTCCAACCAGGACGTCCACATGGAGGATGTTTTCCTCACCGACAAGCTTCCGGCTGAGACTTCTGGAGCTGAGAAGTCTCCAGCTATGTGCAAGAGTTTGCGCCCGGGCCCGGACGGCAAGCTCCTGAAGCGCCCGTTTCAGGAAGAGCAGGAGTATGCGATTGATCGCATTAAACGGCGTCGTATCGACAACGACATCGTCTTGGTGTGCCTGAGCACAGTCACAGCCAAGAGCCTTTGGGCCCTCCAAAAAGCTCAACAAGCTTCGTCCGCCGGTGTCCCCGCCTCTAGCACATCGGTCGCTCCCCCCTCTGGTTCTGGTCCCGGTCTTGCGTCTGGTGTCCCGTCTGGCACCCAGGAACAGACGACGGCTGCCCAGGTTGCGCCGGCTCCGGCCTCCGCTCCTGTCCAGACCCCCCAGCCGTCGTCGTGCGCCGCGTCTTCCGACCTCCGCACCGCCCAGTCCGATGATGTCCCCGCCGGCCTTCCCCAGCCGGCCATGGAAACAGGTCTGGCCCCTGTTGTGTCGACCACCACGACCACCACCTCGACCACCACCACCACCGACAACGACGAGACCTCGTGTGTCTCAAGCGCGCCTGCTGCTGCCCCCGCGCCTGCTGTTCCCATGCAGGACGCTAGCGCTGTCGTCGCGCCCGTCGTCGCTTCGTTTGCTGGCAGCTTGTCTGTCACTGATGTCGCCATGACCGGCGACAGTGCTGTCTCCACCGCTCGCCTCCCCCTCCCAGCGGCGAGTCACGAAGTCGAGATGTCCGTGCCTGCGGGTGGCTCTTCGGAGTGGGACGTGGAGATTGACGGCTCTGTCTGCGCCGAGTGGATGCTTGATGCCGAGGTTGCCTTTGGCGCCGACGTTGACGGCGGAAGCTCTGTCGGTGATGTGGAGATGGGCAGCAGCAGCGCCCCTGTTGCTTGCAACAGGCCTACGACCACTAGTCCCTCGTCTGCTGCCTCTTTCGGCTCTTCCACCGTCTCGTTCTCGTCCTCTGCCAGCTCGGCTTCTTCTCGTCTTTTCTCTTCCGTCGCGGCTTCGTCGAGTGTGTCGTCCTCCGCTTTCAGCGCCGGCTCGTCCACCTCTTCGTTCTCCCTCTCTCGCCCGGCGCAGGAGAAGAAGCCAGCTGGTAGTGACGCCACGGCGGTTTCTTCGACGTCTTCTGCCGTTCTGCCCGCCCCCCCTCCTGTCGCTCCGTCTGTTCTTGCAGGTGCATTCCTGGATGACCTGGCGAACGACATCAGCCTCGGAGCTCCCACCATTTCCGGCAACTTGTCGACGTTGGGAGCGGATGCTTCGGCTGCCGGGAAGACGAAGACTGTTGAGAATCCGGCCGCTACTGACGAGGCCATGGAAGAGAGTTCTCCCGAGGATCCCGACCTGCCCGATTACGAGAGTCTGCAGGAGGATGATCTGCCCGACTACGAGAGCGTGCAGGGAGATTTCCCGATCGAGGCCGCCACCCTGACCGTCACCGACGATGCTCCCGCCACCGACGATGCTCCCGCCACCGTCACCGACGCCGACGCTGACGCTGTTGACGCTGACGCTGACGCTGACGACGACGACGACGATCTTTCCGACGATGACGATGTCTCCGACGACGACGACGTCTCCGACGACGACGACAATTCCGTTGACGATGATGGCGACGCCGTTGACAGCCCGCCCGCGCTCCCAGCCAGTTACTCCATCCCGACGACGTCTTACGACTTCACGATGTTCCGCCGCCTGGGTAGGCGCATTCCGCACCCTGAGTGGTTGCCGGAGCTCGAGAAGATGTGCGACTCGCTCGCCACGGGCTGGAAGTACGACCTCGCCGTTCGAGACAACTGGCAAGCCACGCAGGATGCCGCGAACGATGAAAGTCGCTCCGAACGCTCGTTTGACCAAGAGTGCAGGTACTTCGGTACTGCCGTCATGGCTTTCGCGAAGAGGCTCGAGGGCGAGCAGCAGGAGAGGGAAGCCAGGGAGGCTACGGATGCTCAGGAGTAGGTTTCATCAGCCGAGACTTGTTCCCTGCGCCTTGAATTCCTCTTCCGATCCTCCTCATTTCCACCAGGGTGGCTTTTGACGGTTCACGGTTTCTCTATCGATTGTTTTCCACGGTTTCAACTGCTCGTGCCAGTCTTCGGTTTCGCGACCTCGGCTTCCACTTGCGGTTCACCTGCTTCAACGATTTTGGCTTTTTTTCTTCGTGCGGCCTGGCTTGTTTCGACGACCTCTTCTCGACTTCCGAGCCTTTTCTGGGCAACATCCTCTCTTCTCAGCGTTCGGCCTCTCCATGGTTGTTTTCCTCGCTGATGATGCGTTGTCCACGCTGCACTTCTCGCGCATTCTGCGGAGCGCTTCCGGTTTCTTCCTTCCCGACGGCTTTCGTTCTCATCGACTCTTCTGGAGTTGCCGCTGTCACCCGGATATGCTTTGCTGCATCGACATTTGGTTTTTCTTCCTCTCTTCGGCTGACCTCTATCGATTCTCGCGAGCTGCCGGTCACGCCACCCAAAAGTCCTTTTTTGCGCATGCCAAAAACGAGAAACCTTTTTATTTTACGGCGGATATCGACATGCTAGCCTTTCCATGGCTTTGGATCCACGACTTCTTCAGATGCAATGGCCTTGTGGCTTGACGATCACCTCATCGATCGGGCATCTTGTGCGAACCAAAGCTGACGCCTCTTCTTCCTTGCCTTTTCTTCCATTTCGGGTCCTGGCTTCTTCCCTATTCTGAAGCGCGCCCATGGCATTTCGAGGCTTTCAAGGCACGGCATTTCGACCTTTTCTGTTCCGACATTACGGCTTTCTGCGAGCTCGGACTTGTGCTTCCCTCTCTTCTGGTGCTGCGGGGATTTTCGATCATGACCACCATTTCTGATCTGGCACCTTGCACGAGTCCTTGAGCTTACGCCTCTTCTACGACGAGAATCTGCACTCCTCCTTCGGTGCGTCTGGGTACGATCACTCCTCATTTGATCGAGCACCTTGTGCGGATTTCCTGTTCACGATGTTCCTCATTCATCACTGCTCGCTGTTCACGTCCTTATCTCTCTTCGAGATTTTCAGCAGCACAGAGGCAGATGAAAGCTTTGTCAGAACTTTTCTTTTCGAGCGGATTTCCGATTACCGGACCTTCCACCAGCTTGGACTCGCGCTTCTTCTTATTATTCTCTCAGGTGTTGCGGGGATTTCACTCATCGCTGTCTTTCGATGATTACACACCTTGCGCGAGTCCCGAGCAAGCCTCGTCCAAACTTCCTCTCTCCATTGCTGCCCATGCTCCTCCTTACGCATTTCACTCGGGCTTTTAGCATGCAGAGGCTATTCGGAAGGCCGGAGTCAACCTTTTTCTTATGGCGGATTTTCGACACGAACGGTGTACCAGCAGCCAGGACTTGCGCCTTTTCTCTCTTCGGTGCAGCGGGGATTTTACAACACGATCGCTCTCTACTGATCATTGCACCTTGCGCGAGTCCTTGGTTCATTGCCTCGTCATCCTTTGCTGCGGCTCATATCTCACGAGTTTCCTTCTCTCTGAGCTGCTGGCGAACTGAGGCTTCGGAACACCGGTGTCTTTTTTCAGGATTTCCCACATGGCGGACTTTCACGACAGCTTTGTCTTACGACAGCCTGAGCTCGGCGTTTCTGAATTGGTGCTGGGACTCCATCATGCCCATCGAGATCGCTCCTGTGATCACGCACCCTCGACGAGTTCAGCGCTGGCGCCTCTGCCTCATTGCCCAACTTCTTACTCCACTCTCTACAGGGCTTTACCATATTCAAGAGGCAGAGGATGGCAGCTGTCACAGTGTGATTTTCTTTTCTAATTTGATTCACAGCGGCTCCGAACGGTTCTCTGAAAGTCTCAAACATCCACAATACTCTCCCTCCACAACGCAGCAGCGGCGAATCGCTTCCCAAACACGCGAAGACATAACCAAGTCATCACGCTCTCTGAAAGACTCTTCCTTCTGCAGAAAATCTTCAAGCTGCACAAAGGATACAGGACCGAGACCCGAGACGAACGAGCCGCTGGAGACGATCAGCCTTGCTTGCGAAGCATGGATCCGCGCTTCCTTTCCAATGTCCTGTGGGGTTCTCCACCAGATCACCTCTTCATGATCGGACGCCGCGCTTAGGATCTCAGCTTCATGGCAAATGCGAACCAACGCTGCCGATGACCTTGCCCATACTCACAAAAAAATTAATAGCCGCTGCCTGCACTGCTCCCAACTTCCAATCTTCCACATCTCCGAGTCGAGTAACAATCTCCTCTGAACCTGGTCAAACAGACCACGAAATTCACAATCAGCAGAGCGGCGGCAGTTACCACAAAATTCTGGCAAGGTCACAAGCAGGCGACGTCTCACCATTCAGGGCATGGTCGCGCCCACATCGTCGATGTTCCTGCTACCACACCAAGAAACCTACCAAATTCCAAACTCCAAACTCTGAATCTTCGTCGAGCCATACCCTCATCGTGGCGAGACCAAACTTGGTAGCAGGCATGTCAAACCCTCAGTAACAGCACGGAAGGGCGCAGCAAACAGTAAGTTCTCCATTTCCGACTGCCTCAAGCCGCGGCTTTGACTGACTCAAGCACAGAATTTTCTCTCTATTCTCGCTGCGCCGCTTCCTGCCAGCCTTGTGCTGGTTCCTCACCAAACGACACCAAGGATCCCGGAAGTAAATTTGAAACTCCATATTCTGAAGGGCAATGGACGCAACGATCGGACGCAAACTCTCCAGTTCCTCTCCAAACGAACTCGTCCAGACGACCGCTCCAACTGCCCTACAGGAGAAAGCGCGACGCTCCATCGACAGCGCTTCTCCGCCTCGAGCTGCCCCACTATCGCCGCCAGCCACGCAAAACTCCTTCTGCAATCTCTGGCTCCGGCAGCAGCTCCTCACGCTTCCCGCCCTCGAGACCTCCCCTCATCACTGAACCAAACCACATCTCTGACGCCGCGAAACCCTTCTCAATCGGCATGTCAACGAGGAAACGAGGAAACTCGGGCAGAAGCACGCTCCGCAAACTCATGCGCTCAGCTCACCTACCATCCATCCGTCCGTCTGGCCTGCATCTCTCTCCTTCTGAGGCCCAGGACATTGGCGACCTTCTCTGGCACTCACTCCATTCAAGCCACGAGATGACCGGCGCGAACCTCTCTCTCAAGCCGCGTCTAGCCATTTTCGGAGAAGCGATACCGGGATCTCGCTTCCATCCACCGAGCTATCACGAGCACTTAACATGCATGACAGGAGCGACGCGTTCTGCGAGCGCGACAACGGCATTGAACGAATCGAACCTTCAGTCGTTCAACCAAACTCCAAAGGTTCAGTCTCGGGTCTTCAACTCTCTGATCTCCAAACTCTCAGATCGCTAAACCCTCCGACCTTGAGACAGAACCTGGCTTTTCTCATTCGATGGCCATAAGGAACTACCTCAATCCAGTTCCAGCCGGAGTCGCCGCTCGCGGATGCAAGGGGAAGGGAGACGCGCGGTCAAGTCAGCGTCAATTCGAGCAGCTTCAAACCCTCAAAATTCTGGCTGCATCGCTGACAACGACCGCAAAACTCCTACGCTACGCCGCTGCCGATGCTGCTGCAAACCGCAAACGCAAATGCAATCCAAACGCAACGCAACGCTTTCAAACTCTCAAGCTCCAAGCTTGCAGCTATCGGCAGCGGCAAACGCGTCTCCCTTCCAACAAACTAACGGTGAAGAAAAAGGAAAAGGGTAAGAGCGAAGGACGAAAGGATGGGAGCACTAAAGAGGCTCTCGGCGTCAGGAAAAGAGAAGGACGCAAGCCGCGCGCGCCGCCCAGGGCAAACGAAAACTGACTACCCTCTACTTCCAGCCCGCTCACCCTCCAAAGAGCAAACCAAACCTGGGCAGCGCGCGCGGCATCACGGCAAAAGAACAAAAAAAATGAGAAAAGGTCCTCGCGAGCAGCGCACAAACCCACTCCACATCAAAGCGCTCGAATCAAAGCTCGCGAAGGACACCACCGGAGTCCGGCATAAAATGCCAGGACGGGGAATCGCGCCAAGGGGAGACGAGTTCAGCGAAACCGCAAAACGAAACGCTGACGCCCAGCCACTAATCCAAACAAACTGCCTGCCGCCGTCCCAATCTACCATCACCACCCAAGATAAAACAAGGTAAAGGCAAAAGGCACAAGGCTGGGCGACCTCGAAGTACTCGTCTCCCCGGCGTGGACGGGTAAGACCATGGAAATGCCGTGCATCATGGCGCCGTCTGAGGGAATGAAGGGGGGAAAGGGAAAGGGAAAAGGGAGGAGAGGGGAGGAGGGGAGGTGGGGGTTAAGGGGGAGCCCTTCGAGAGGGCGAAGAGGCCGCCGTCAGGGACGGTAATTAGGTCTCGAGAGGGGAGGGGTTGGGGTTTCCTTTGTTATTTCCTTGTGTTGTTTGCTTTTTTGTTTGTTCGTGCTTTCGCGTTTGGTGTGTTGGTGGAGGAGGAGGAGGATGAGGAGCTGGGGTTGACCGAAATGGTGGTGAGAGCGGTAAGTCTTCACTATTCCCCTTGCTTTGATGGATGGCCGCTGACACCCGCACACATACGAGATCGAGCGAGCCGAACGGAACGGAACCGACCGACGAACGACCTTCGACAGAGAAATAAAGAACACTAGTGGATGGACTGACAGGAGAGATGTCGCTGGTTCTGGGATTCGCAAATGGTAGATGGCATGCTCTTGTGGGGTGAAAGGGTCTGGTTTGAGCGTCGAAGGACTTGCTGGGAATACATACGGGGAATGTGCAGGAACGGTATTTGAGGAATCTGCTATGGCAAAGAGAGAGAAAGGACAAAGAAGTTGAGGTAGCAGGCATCTTGGTTCGACGACGGAGTTTGTTCACACACGCAGTTAGAATAGCAGAATACGTTGCGCCTTCAACACCATGACACGACTTTAGATGTGCACGAGACCTTCGCGATACTGAAACCGAAGGGCTGCATCTAAGGATTGACTATGCCACATCCGCTCTCCAGCCCGAGCCGAGCAAACAGAAGCCCCGAAGAACGAACTGTGACACCAGATTGTGTTTCCTGTCTAGGGATCCGGCCATTGTCCTTCTCTACCAGCTCTTGTCAGAAATACAGCCGACATTCCTCCTCGCCCGGCAGAGCGGGCCTGATATCTAGCGGACTGCTCATCTACCTGCTATGTTTCCCTAAAAACAACATATTCAAGAGAGGGGACAACATCTTCGTCTATAGCCTCCATATTGAGGATCCCGCACAGCCTTTGCTGACGACGGCGCGTGGCTCGTTATCTGGTTGTCCATGCGCCGTGTGAAGGGGTCCCGCAAGGCCATACGGTGCTGGGGAAGGAAGACTTCAGTGCAGCTGCTGATGCTGGCGAGGTCGTAGTTGGAAGGAGCAGGGAGGAATGAAAGGCTATAGCAAGAAGAAGGACGATGGAGGCAGTGTGAGCGCGACAGAGTGCACAAACAGAGCTGTGGCTGGCCTGAGTTGATGGGTCAAGGCGCCTTGGCATCGACTGGCCTGCCACAGCGGATCTGACATGACCCTGAAGGCGCGGAATAGAAAGATTCATTTGCTACGGCATGGAATTTGTCTGGAATAATCTTGGTTGTGCTAGATGTTGCCGTCTTGTAGTTTGCGCTAGGCGGCTGAATGCTTGGCCGGTGTACCCTGGACGCGGGGCCGTGGCACATGTAGAAGCACTAAAGAAAGGGCTATTTAGCAAAAACGCCACACGAACAGTGATAGTATAGGAGAATACGGGCAAACGCGCCCTGTGGATGAAGTCACGGGGCGGGCAGCGGTGAAAAATTGGAAGTGACCGCAGACACAAGGAGCACGACACCAGAAGCAGCGCAGGAAAGGGACCAGGCACGGAATCAGGCCCACGAAATTAGCAGGAAATCAACCCAGATAAGCCACCCAGGAGAGAACATTGGGACGAGCCATAATTTGGGCGTACTGGTGAGCAGTGATGGCAGCGCCGAACATCGTGGCTGCTCGCTTACACTCTGGAGGAAAACAGTCGAGGAAACGGCAGTGGCAGCCAATCTCAGGGAAAGGCGTCGGGGAGAACATCGCGTCATGGATGGGGAAGTGGCAGCAAGCCGAAGTCTCGACATGAGCAGCCGAACGGGCTGGAAGAGGTCGCTGGGCGGTGCCATTGGCGCTCGCGATGCGGGAAGGATAGCGGGTGCATGAGTCTGACGATCACCAACCAGCAATACAGGCGGGCGTTGGGCACCTTTGCACTGCAGTACGCTGCGTCGCGTGCCACTCGATGCTGTGCGGAGCGGGAATAACGCGCCTGCCAGACAGGCCGCTGGCCTGAGCGCAGAGCAACCGCCCGCCAGTGGGCCTCAATAAAGGTTTGCTTGCACCAGCACCCGCGCGGTGCGCTGGCTGAAGAGCCTGGCAGGCTGACGATTGAGAACCGTGTGTGGCAGATAAGCACCATGCGTGGAAGATAAGCAGCGGCAGCGACGGCAACGGCGACGGCAGTAGAGGGTGCAAGAATCGGGGCCTGGGTCTAGCGGGTGAATAGCTTGCGAGCTTCCGGCCCAGAAAAAGTGCTGTGGGCAGGCGGGCGGGCGCTCACTCACCCAAGCGTTGGCTTTGAGCGGCGTCGGCTTGTGCGTGTCTCAGCTTTAGGAAGGGCGCTCCGCAAGACCTGCGCCTCGCTGGATTTGGGCTCTCACGAAGAGTGCGGAGTATCTGAGGCGCTTGAGAGGCTGTGGCTGACCGCTCGGCAGAGTCATGCCCAGCGGCCGCACCCTGACTTCTCTGAAAAGGGTCGCCACCAGCATATAGCTCATAGCTGTGCCTCAGAGGCCTCTCCCTCGTGGGATGCTGTATGCGCCGTTCGGGACCGGTTTCCCGTCGCTTCAGATTACTTGCAAGCGGAGGATTTGACGACTCTGTCCTGCATCTGCCGGCTCAGACTGCGCCTGGCCTGGGGAGTACCCTAGTGTGGAATCAATAGGTTCGAGGTGCGGACTACAAGCACGAGCGCGTAGCTGGAGAACAGCAACTGTAATGGTGCCAAGTTCGCCGCATCGCGTTACTACCGATGTGCGGCTGTGCTCTTCCCACACTGAATCTGGTCACTCTGCTCACATGTCCCATGCTGTGGTGCCTCGAGAGGTTCATTCAGGTAGAGAACACAGAAGACATGACGACGCTTCGGCTACCCAGGAGCATGAATGCATGAGGCAATGAACCCTGAAAATGGTTCTCCGGTGTGGAGCGACGGTTTGAGTGTGGCTAGTGATTTTTGTTTACTGCACAGAGAAAAAAAACTAGAAAGCTGTGGCACTGCTCGGAGATTGACGGGGTTGAGCTCATTGTTGTGATAGTCGAAGACGCCGCTCGCCCCAAGATCGCATGAATATGGGCCCGCTCATAGGTGGTGCGGAGCACGAAGCTTGTCATGAAGCATTTCCAGCGGTTGAGCGTGCACTCTCTTCAGAAGGAAGCAGTCTGACTGACACTGGAGGCTGAATCATTACAGGTGGCGTTTTGTGCTTCTATTGCGGGTTCTTCAGCGGGCAGGCTTGGGGATCATCGACATCCTGAGCCTGGTAGTGGAGATTGCAGAGTCGACTGGCATGGGAAGCGCATGAGAAAGGAACCATCTCTCGACAGGCAAGGTAGCTTGCATTGATGGCATTGCACACTCGGCCGGCCATTGCACGGGGTGAGCATCGATGCGGCAGTTCAGGAACGATTCTATGGTTGAGCTGTGGCATTATGCGAGGAATGGGAGAGAATCTTACTGCACGAGGTGGCGGTAGTCCTCGTGGTTGGCAAAACACCATGGCCAAGGCATGTAGAGCGGCGGCCTCGCCGACGTCGCCTCCGGAGCTGCGCGGTTTAGCCGCTCCAGACGGACCATCATGCGGGAAACATCATTGCCGCAGGGCTTGCGCTCGTCGAAAGCCACCTGGAAGCCTCGCGTGTGCTGCACGGCGGACAGCGGCGGCGCTACTCTACTTTGCGTTCGCGACTTCTGCATAACCTCACGGGTGGGCTGTCTGACCGGATGCGGGAGCCGTCGCGGGCGCTGGGCTTGCCATTGCAACACCAAGCAGACCACCGCAACCAGCTTGGCCAGCGCTGCTGGCGCATCGTGCCTGCCGAAGGCGGCTTGGCTGCCTGGGGGCGGGTGATCGGGCGTGGGTGATGGCCGGGTCCGTGCGCGGGCTCGCGCATATCATCGTCGCGCTTCTGCTGGTTCCTCGTCCTTAACTCTCTTTGCCTTTTGGCTTAGGTCAAGTGCCTCTCTCTTTGAAACTCGCCGCTGCTGCCTCCGGGCTCTTGCCTCACTGGGCTCTGCCTCAACCCAGCACGCCTGACCGTGATGGTCGCAATTCCTTGCCTTCGTCCCAGATCTTCTGGTAAGTTCGACTTCTCCGACTCCCTCTCCCGCCAATGATGACCAAACTTGCACTTGAGTTGATCGGCAACCGGCTACGGCAAGGGACATTACTCGACGTCTTGTTCCATGGTTGCAGATGACAAAAAAAGAGAGCTCTGAGCTCCTTCACACTTGCATTTCTCCCTCACCCTCACCTGAGAGCCCTCGCTAACTTTTCCACATGACTTCCAGATCTTCCTCGTCCTCACCCCCATGGGCCGCTTTCTTTCTCTGATCCCCCTCTTCCTCTGGCTCCTCTCTTCAGGTGAGTCACGAATCCCCTCACTCCTGCATCCCCCATTCGTACCATGAGAAGAACCAAAAGCCAGCCTCTGACGGGGCTTGGCCTGAGAAACCCGGAATTTTGGGTTTCATTGCTGACCAAGAGAGCTGTTTGACCTTGCACTCCCTTCTCATTCCTGCCTTCGACCACCTGTCTTGAGACCTCTGACTAACTCCCTCAATCTCGCAGGGATTCTTCGCCTCGATCCTCACCTGAGGTGCACACCTCCCTTTGCTGCTCATCAGACAGCCGCTTTGCAAAGTACGTCTACATTTTCTTTTCACCATTCCCTCCGCATGTCATGATGAGGGAACTTCGGTTCCTAAAAAGGCAAAGAATCTTAGAAACCCAACCTGCGGGTGAGATCTTCGGATCACGGGTTTTGATGGATTGGTTTGAGCTGGTCTGATCTTGCTATCTCCCCTCCCAAGTCTCGCATCGTTTGAGAACTTCATCCACTAACCATCTCGCAGGCCTTGCCGACTCCCTCGCCATTCGGCTTCCCGAATGTCCTCCGGTACGTTGGTTCTCTTCTCCTTCACCTTCCCACCCTCCATGATGACAATTATTTCACTTGTCCCAACCGCGCTCTCTCGAACCTTTCGCTACTCTCCACGAAGCAGCTTCTCATGTGAGAACGCGAGTTTCGTGCTGTGGTTGCGCAGGTGAGGATAGACAGCCGGTAATGAGGAACCCGAGCTCCTGACTATTTCGTCGATTCACTGAAGTCTCTCTCTCACGCCTTCTCTGGATCCGCGCTAATCATTGACACGTCGCAGATACCCCGATCCCCGTCCTCCCCTCCGAGCCCTCCGACCGCCGCCATGACCGAGAGTACGTCCACCACATTTCCTTTCTTCCTACACTTCGCACACAATGATGAGGGCCCTTGAGGCCCCAAAGAACAGATCTGAGGACTGGACGCCGACCTGCCGCTGCGGACACGGTCGTCCCTCACACGCCAGTCTCGTCCTTGGGCTTATCAGGTGGAGGCCGTGGCAATCGTCTGGAGCTGTCCGTTGGCTTCTCCGAGGAGGGTCGTCACGGGCCGGGTCTTGCTTAATTGCTCGATTCCGCAGAATGAACCCGGTCATTGTTCGTCCCTCTGGGGGCGGGCATTCGCTGCCTGTTGTAGCCGGGAGGCTGGTGGATACGTGGACGTGGTGGGGGAGGTGCCTGGTTCGGAGAAGACGCCTCTTCGGAGGCAGAGCTGGACTGATGCGTGTGCTTTGTTTGGAGACTTTGATGAGCGCTTGGTGTTTTGAATGAGGCTTTTGCTAATTCGTGCTCATACCCAGGTGGCTTCGCCTTCAAAAATTCGACATTCTCGTCCGGACAATAGCTTCATCTACCCACATTCTCATTCGCGACGGTCGGATATTCGGATACTTGCTCGGTGGAGGACAGGCTGGGGCTGGGATACACGGACTTGGGAGTGAAGGGGTGCAGCGGAGGGACTCTATCCTGTCTTGGAGATCATATTTAGCATTCGAATCAAACTTCTCATGATCATGACCTCGGTGGTTCTACGTGATGACCCTTGCTCCAGCCTGAGACTATCATACGAAAGCTGCAAGCGGAGCTTGAGAGAAGCCGGTCATTATGAGCAAGCTTTGCGGCGGAGTGAGCTACGTCCCGGAGTGAACGGTTGCTGACAGACACGAGAGCCGCGTTATGGTGTTGAGTTCACGGTACAGCGACCCACAAGCTCATTCCGCCTGCCAACCCGCCCGCGAAGCCAGCGATGCTGCGGCCGAAAATAACAAGACCTGGTTAAGGTTGAGGCTCTGCAGGCTCCTCCATCTCCCGTTGAACTGTTAGTGGATCAGTGGGCGGGCTATGAAGCAGCGGATGGACGCGAGTGAAAGCCAGACTCGTCATGGGGAGTTGGCGCAACACAAATCGGGTGCCCGCAGGCAATTCATGATATGCAATCCGCGCGGATGCCATGCGCTGACTGAGTAGGGGGTTTTCTGGTGTTTGCTTTCTGGAGCAAACAGCCACTTCCGGGCTGCCTGGCCTTTCTCATGGCGTTGAACGGCGGCCTTCGTTCGCCGTCGGTCGTGAGGGGGTTTTGGATCACTACACTTTCCTACTTATTCTTTTCCAGCTACAACCTTGCCGTCAAAAAACGTTCTGGAGGTGAATATAAGACCGTTCAACGTGGCTGGCTTTGGGGGAGCTCGTCGGTCGGAGCGCTCTTCCTCTGCGCGCATCTCGTCATCTCCAACTCCGCGCGTCACCGCCGGCTGCCCACCCATAGCACCCAGCGCCATGTAGATTGAATGGCGACTTACTACCGTAAAAGAAAGAGCGCCCTCAGAGCAATCAGTTTCCCTCCTTGAGCGAGCTGCTTTCTCTTATTGAAAGACATCGCCGCCCCCATTGATGGCCAACCATCGTCGCGAGTCTGTCGATGAGCCCATCCACCCATCCGCCGTCGGCGCATGAAAACCACAAGTGGGAAACGACGCAAGACCTGTCGTCGAAAGAAAGCCCGCTCGGTCACGGAGCGAGAGATTTTCCCGCGCTTCGCACAGGGGACCGGCGCTGGTCGAGGCACCGCTGAAGTTTGATTGGCTGACTCACAATTGGCGTTGGGTAGGACCGGCGTGTGGGCTCGCGGGCGCGCTCACAAGATCGCGCGTACTCGTCCCGCATTCCCGCACCCTCCCACGACTCGCTCGCCTGCACACCCAATGTCGTCCGACGCGTCGCGCCCCGCCAAACGCGTCCGCAGAACGGGCCCTCCAACGGCGCCGACGGCGGCGAGTACAATCTCCAAGGCAAGCGTTCCGTACACCTTTCCCATCCTCTCCGGCTCATAGCCTGGCCATTGGCGTGCTGCTGGCGCGCTGCCGCCGGGCCATCAAGGTATCGCTAATCCGGCTCCACAACAGCGCAATGGCGTGACAACCGCCACCGCCGCCACGACGCCGGCCGCAGCGGCCAACGGCGACCAGAAACCCGATGAAGCAGAACGCCATTGGCCGCTGTACTACCTCCCCAACCGCGATATCCCGCCCATTACGCCCACCCCGCCGTCCGATTGCCCGCTCGGCCGCCGCCGCCGCACAGAGATCGTGTCGCGCCAGTACGACATCGCGTCCGGCCAGCCGGTGTACCGTGTGCGTGTTAGGCGCTGCGTTCCGGGGGAGGAGAGGTCCAGAGAGGCGGGGGATACAAACGGCGATGGCGGGAAGAGAAGGATGGGGTGGGATGGCGGCGTGGACGGGCACGGCACGAACGGGGACAACGCGGAAGGGGGCAGAGATGTCGCGGACGATGATGATGATGCGGAGGAGTACTCGGTCGGGCTCGCTGACATCTTGGACTGGGTATCGCCGGCGGAGCTGGAGCGCTTCGAGCTGGAATGGGAGGATGATATGGTCTTCATCACGGACGAGGATGGCGCCGTGTTGCTGGTTAGTAGGGAGGTGCAGCGGGCGATGATGGGGTGGCCTACTACTGGTGGTACTGAGCAAACACCAGCGGTGCCGATTGCTCCGCATGAAGCCGCCGTTGCGGATGGGCCTCCTGATGCGGCGGAAGCGGCGGCGGTCTCGACGCACACCGTGGGTCCTGGCAAGATAAAGAAGACAAAGAAGAAGCCGACCAAGGAGTTTGTCGATGGGCTACCGCCGGTCCGGAGAAGAGGCAGGCCGCCGAAGAAAATGCTGAAGACGGCAGAGGTCATGGGCGTGGTCGGAGGAGAGGACCGCGAAGAGGTAGAACCGGAGGTAGGGCCGGAGGTAGAATTGGAAACCGTGGAGACGGGGTCAGAGACAGCAGAGTACGGGGCATGGGTCAATCCGGCAAATGTGAGGGGAACGGCGGCGGTGCCCGGCTCAGCAGATGAGACGGATGAACTCGCATTGTCGGAAGAGAACAATCAGCATTCGGGACGGTGGAGGGCTGGCGGAGACATGCTATCGAGGGAGCAATCGTCTGTGCCGTCTGAGCATGCTGCCAGAACTAGGCGGAGAGGGAGATCCGCGACGGCGAACACAGCATCATCTCACGCTCGACAAAGAAGGGCCACGCCCAGTGATGTGGCTGCCCTCAGTAATGTGTCGTTAACAGCCTCCCCCGTCCGCAAATCCACGTCCGCCAGAGGGGCCCGGCTACGACGGTCGTCTATCTCCAGCGGCTCCACTGTGCAGTCTTTCCACAGCGCAAGCAGCCAGAGACGCTCCCTACGTTCTAGCGCCGCCCCTTCGCGCTCAAGCTCAGAAGCTAGAGCTAATAACCGCGCTACTAGCCTTCTCTCGGCATCCAACTTCACTCGGCAGCCGAGATCACAGCGGCAAGACACAGAAGGAAGCGATCCCACCGCCGACCTCGATACCACACCACACGCCAGCCAATCCACCATCACAGGGACCCAAGGTTCAAAACGCCGCCGCTCTTCTGCCACTATCGCAACCCCATCGACAAGACACCAAGCATCGTCGATGCTACATCCGCCCGCTGAAGGCGTATCATGGGAGCCAGAGCCGGAGGAAGAAGAATTCGAGATCGAGTCTATTATCAAACACAAGTTCTTTGGAGGGGAGTGGCACTACTTGGTCAAGTGGGTGAATTGGCCGCCGGATAAAGTGAGCTGGTACACGGAGGAGGATCTGGTGGATGCGAGGGATGTGTTGGATAGATATCTCGAGTCCGTGAAAAGGAAGAAGGAAAGGGCGAAAAGTAAGAAGGGGAAGGAGAGGGCGGTTGAAGACGAAGATGAGGATGGCGATGTGGATGTGATGGCATGAGCGGACGGGAGAATTTACCCGGCTGTGCAGTTTGCCTTTCGTTGCCACATACTTTGGCGATTGCATTTACATACCCTCTTCATCCGACATGAAAGAGGGAAGAGGAAAGTTTATACCCAAGCCGGAAGAGGGGAGAGTGCCTGGGTTTGTGGTCGTGATCGGGTTGGTATATCGGCACAGTACCTTGGGTAAAATGCATGCTCACCAGCTTCTATCTCAGACTCTTCTCTCTTTCCCGGTGTCCTACTATCTCATTATGCTTATTTGTGAGGGGTCGGTCTGAAGTACTGCAGAGCCCGCCTTGTACACAGAAGAAGCTTCGCGGACCAGGTGGCACTGATACTGGGGGAGTCGAGTCGCCTACGTTGGTTCAGTCAGCTCTTGCAGGCCAAATTCCCGTGAAAAGGCAGGACGTGCTACGTCTCTGTGGATAGCTGCTCAGAAGTCTTTTGTCGTGCTCTCGAATGTCAGGCACAGCTTTCGGACCGGGAACGACAACTCCGCGGGCAAAACTGTAATGACGACTTCCCCGCCTTTCGCTCCAGTCCAAGTGGCGCCGAAGTTGAATTTTTCTGCCGTTGGAGGATTCATGATGCATTCTGCAGTAGCGAGCTCCCTTTGGGCTTTGTCATGTACAGAATGCGGAGGATAGGCCCAGCGCCGGACGGCATAAGCTGCGGTGAACCCAAGCGTGACGCTCCACCGCAACGGCTTGCTGACTGCCAGTCAACGCGTTCGCTAAATCTGCACGCGCAAATTAGGCCCTATGAAAATTGCGGGCGCTATGTTCGCCCGCCCAAGCTCAAACACCCGCCCGTGGTATGCCTGCCAGTTTTGGTAGCGGCAACCAAAGTGGAGGGCACAGACCTTGGGCGCAGGAGCTCCATTTCACTTCTGTCTACTCCACCAATGCAGTAATTGATCCCTCAGCGCCATCTGGCCGACAGCGTCCTTCGCTCAATTTCATGTCGGCGTGCTCTTCGTCGGCTTCACGCTGTTGTTGCCTTTCTTCAACCACCCGACGCCAATCATCCGCGCGACACCACGGCCACTGATCGCGAGCCTTCTCCAGCCAGCGTAGTACGCGGAGCTGACCCTGTGAGTTTCTGCAAAGCCAATCTTCATTCGAAGCCGTCTAATCCCCACGCAAGGAGACAATGTGGCCGTATCCTCCGCCAACAGCGCTGCGCTTTTGGTTCCCAACTCAAGCCTACAACACTATTCAGGACATTCCCAATCACAATCCTGCACAACCGAGCTTCGACCACCAGGGCCTCACTCACCGTCCAGCGTTCCGCCATCCGCTCATCCCCAACAGGGCATATCCACCGCCTCCTCCCGCTCCACGGCCTCGCCTCCACTACACTATTCTCCCGCAGCCTACGGCCCCAAGCTCACTGCCAACCGCATCCAACATGCCCCGCGGACGAGTTCCCCTTCCTCCTTCCGAGAATACGGCTTCCTTCAAAGAAAACAATTCTTTTCCGACAGCAGCCCCGCGCTCACCGCCGACTCCAGAAAGCATGCCTCCTCCCAAGCGCCGCAGGGTCGCCGCCGGCAACAACAACAACAACAGCGTCAAAACGCACGCCCAGATCGCGCTCCCGCACCCTACACCCGAAAGCCCTGTCGTGCCGTGCAACGGCGGCCGCTGCCACTTCCACCGGCTGCGCTGCGGCCACATCGTCAAGACGCCGCTCACCTTGATGCCAGCCCTCTGCGCCACCAACTGCGCCACCACAGCCCCGCCCGTCGCCGACAACCCGCAGCACTACAACAACGGCTTCGGCGTCGCGCCCTTCGAGTGCCCCGTCTGCGTCGCCCGCTCCCTCAGCCTCATCTGGAAGATGGACGTCGTCAACCTCAAGAAGCAGCTGCCGACGCTGTCGATGGACGACTTCGCCGACTGGATCCACCACAACTACAACAGAGCCTGGGAGCAGCGCAAGCGCGTGAGGCTGGACGCGTGGATGGGCCCGGCGGAGCGTCGCCGCGAGTGCTTCCAGTTGGCGGTCAAGGAGCGCTCGCTTGTTGTCTGGAAGAGGGGCGAGACGCGCGCGCCGTATGCGATTGAGGAGTTCAGGCGTGTGTATGAGCGGAGGGAGGTTAGCGCGTCGTTCTGGGCGCAGCAGTACAAGGATAACACCATTGTTGATGACGATGGCGAGGCTGAGCCTGGTGTCGTCTATCAGAGCGTGGAGAAGCCCGGCATCCACTATTAAGAGGAGCAGCAGCTGAAGTTTTGAATCGGCATGCATGGTCGACAGGGTGGCGGGCTGGCAACAAATTGATGCGGTGGAGTACTTGGCGCTTGGGAGGGATTGCGGGGGATAAAAGGGATTTTCGGCAGGACGACATTTGCTTTGGGAACTTTCACTGCGGAGCCAGGCGGGGTACGGGGGAAAAATTGACAATGGTTTAAAAGGCATGCCCACATGGACTGACTTTGGGAACAGTTTCAGGAAGTATCATCACTCACGGCAGCAGCACATAGGTCATCAGGTATTGAGGTAGACAGCTGTCAGATCCCAAGAAATAAAATATTGCTACGAGTCCTTTTGCGATGTGTGACGCCGAGCTGCAATCTGCTCACAACTGCTGCTTTAGCAGCTTTTTCTACGCTGATAGTCCCACGGGTTCCTCCTCTTAGCGAACTTGTAGCTGCCATAATTCGCCGGGTTGTCGCCTGCACCTGGTGTTCCTGTGTCGTCGGCTACTCCGCTGGCTTCTTCGCTCGCTTGCTGTTCCGGTGGTCGTTGCTGCACTTGCTCTGGTTGTTCCATCTGCTGCTCCACTTGCTGCGGTTCCCCCATCTGCTGCTGCAGCACTTTCTGTGGTTGCGCCATCTGCTGCGGCCGTGCTCCCTGATGGGATGCTGCCTGCTGCCCTGCACCCCCATGCTCCTGTCTCTGGTGCTCGCGGTCCGCGAGACCATTCGAAGGCCGCTCATCTGTGACCGGGACCACGCGAATAAACGAATGAAGTGGGTTGATCCGCTGCTCCTCCAACGCATTCATCTCGCACCGAATATACGACCACGTATCCGCCTCCAGCCTCCGGTCATCGCGCTTTGTCCACGGCACATATGTCTGCTGGACGTATGAGGGCGGCGGCGGTCGGATCGGGGTCAGTTTGGCTGGGGTCGGCCACGGTCTAAGGGGTGTAGTAGTGCGTTCAGTGAGATGCCGGGCGAGTGGGCGGCGGGGAGGAGCCCAGGTTTTGTCCATGTTGCTTTGGGTACGATGATGTCGGGAATGAATGGTATTTTGTTTTGGATTGGCGATGATGTTTTGCTTTGCAGCGGGCTGAAGTGCGCGCAAGGAAGAGGGGAGAATGCGGGAGAAGAAGGACCGTTGTGGATGGGCAAGAGCAGAGAACGCGGCAGGTGCTTGATGGCGCGGGTAGCTGCGTCCAAGCACGATGTCCCTGCAGAATCTTCCCGCAGCGGAGGTGAAAGGTCATTGTGATTTTGGCTTTGGGCACTCGGCAGTCTGCATCCTTTTAAGAGACTGTAGTCTACGGTTTGGGGGGTTCTCCTGCCTCAGACATCAGCCCGGGAATTCCACAAACCTCTCCGGGCAGTAGTGTCAACTACCCATGCAAAAAAATATTATATGTCTTTCATTCAGCTCAGAGTAATCAACCCTATGCTAAGAATGTTTTTTTGTACGTTTAAGGATCTCTGAAGCGAATATCCGGACGTAAATGTAGGTTGTCAAGTTTTCCAATTAGGTCTGGACAACAGCGCCAGCTTCCCATGTATTACGGTTTTGTGGCATCGCTTCTTCCTCTTCGTGGTATAATAATGTAATATACATCTGGCAATGGCTAAAGGTAAGATCCGGATGCGAATGTACGTTTTTAAATTACACAAACACGTACGGATGATAGCTTCAACTACCTATATTTATTCACGCGGAGTAAGTGAAGACGGTTATACAGACTTCCCCATTTCTGATGAGATTGTCTCGGCCGTGGTATAAAGCTTAAATATCACGAGTTTTTACTATATAAGTATGTTTGATGGACGCTATACTCCACATTCCGGTCCCCTGAAGCTGTTCTCTGGACATATATGTATAAACTATACTTCAACAAAAACATCCGAATAGTAGTTTCAACTGCCTATCTCTACAAGCTGTTTCAGCCTTTTGGGGGTGCCAGAAAACACACCCAGACACGTGACCGTCGGATCAATCATTCGCCCGGCGCCCGTGGCACGCTACCTTAACACTCGTATCGCTCCTTCGTGTTTCGCGACTCCCACGGCACTCAACACCTCCCACCGCCGCGGAATAACACATCTGGTCTCCCCGGCAATTCAAAACATTCACTGAACATCTCTGTCTTGTTTAACCACCGAATTCTTACTTCCTCCATCATGGCTCCATCTACATTCGACCACCAGGGTACCCCACCGGGGACCACCAGCTTTTCGTCGTCGAATGACTGCCTAGAAACCAGCAGATCTCCGAAACCCGACAGCTTGCCGAGGACAATCGTTTCAGGGCGAACCACCACCGACCCGCCTCCTATTCCAGAAGCGCGGTTCCCTGTTGAAGCGCAATTGTCGTTCAAGTCCGCCGTGAGAAAGCGCCGCCTTGCCCCCTACCTCCTGGAAAAGATACAGAACTTCCGCGAAGGCAACGAGCAAGGTTTGCCTACAACGGGGGTTCTACGTCACGTTCGCCAGAAAGACTACAACGAGCTCAACGACCTTCTCGAGAAGGATCCAGCGCTTGAGTACTTCGCCTTCCGCCAACTGAAGATTATATACAATCCAAAGCGACGGAGGCTTTCATACAACATGCCTGGTCCTGTTCATGAAGCCACCATCGACGGCGTGGCCGACTTGATTAATGACCAATTGAAAGATATCAGAACGAAATGGACATTGCCTGACGTCGATGGAAAGCATCAGGAGAACCTGGCAGAACAGATCCGGTCCCGGGGTTCCACCAGGGTCAAGGAACGGACTACCGGCGACAAAACCGATCCTGACAAGAATTGGATATTCACTGGCGGAGGGGACCGTTCCTGCTTCACTCTCGAGGTGGCTAACTCTCAGAACTATGGTGAGATCAGAGAGAAAGCCAAAAACCTTATCAGCAAGTGTCGTGGCCGTCCTGGAATGGTCCTCATCATTTCGATTAGCTACAACGAGCCAAACGCAAAGAAATTCAAGAAGGCTGCCGCTTACACCATCCTAGCCCTTCGTGATGTGAAGCAGAAGGATGGCTCTGTGAAGCGCCAGGTAGATCCGGTTCAGGGCCGGACTATCATTCGGGATTCGAGCGGCAAGGCGCAAGGCGGATCTATTTCCTTTACCATCAAGGATATGCTGGGATTGAAGAACGAGGAAGCTTACGAGAAGAAGAGGAACTCTGAAGATCCCGTCGTCGCAATGTATACGGCGCAAATCCTGGACACGAAGATTGAATTATCCTTCGCTGCTATCACCAAGATGATCGAGGAGGGTGAAGAGACGGCTAAACTCGAAACGATCAACGACAACAATCCTGACAGTGAAGACGAAGACTTCGAGACCAGTGACAACTTCAGCCCAGAGGACAGTGTGGACTCCTGGCCCTCATCCGAGTCCGATAAGCAGGAGGACCCCGATGATGGAACTTACAAGCCAAGCCATCAGGGTGAAAATGAAAACGCAGGGAAGGGCCCACGCCGCAGCCGAAGGCTTGCGAAAGCGTAGAAAGAGCCGACGCAGACGTGATACACCATCGGTCATAGCCGCCTCTATTTCTACTTGTCAGCAACCTTTCATAATGGGCCTGAAGCCTATTCCCTCAGTCACTGCAGTTTCTACTTTGTGTTTTTCTTCAATTTTATTTCGTCTGCATCACACCCGGTAGTGCGAGCGGCACATCTACTCGTTGAACGAAGCCCCAGCCAGCCGTCCTGCAAAGGCACTCCCGGCTAATTCGACAGACCGCGGAGGGGGTTTCGGGCTCCTGTAAAGGATATTAACGTGAAGGTGGTTTTCTGGGGTGGTAAAGGTTTGGTGTTTTTGCATTTGTTTCAAAGCGTCTTGTGTTTTCATGTGCGGATTGTTGCTTCAACTTAAGATGCTGGATGTGCAGTTTTCAGGCGATCTTTTCCTGTCCGAGCAGTGCTTCTATGAAATAACGAAATGAGATTGATGGGATTACTGGTTCATAGATATGGTAGAAAAGGAGCAAAAGTGTATTTGGTTGATTGCGTCCCTATAGTCTCACTAGTGTATAGTAAGGAGTGTGCAAGAAACTATGATTATTTTTTCTATCAACCGTATTTGTAACTGACTTGACACTTTACCCCTCAATAAGAGCGACAAACTATCTAACAAAGGGGATTGACAATCAGAAGATGACTCGGACTGGCTCTGCCAAGTGAATGAGGAGAACGGGGCCTCTGTATAAGGAGCAGAGGCTTGCTCACGTCATAGGCAGTTGAAGCTATCGTCCGGACGTATATGTAGAACTTTTATTTTAACATCCTTATCTAGAAAATAGCTTCAACTATCCGTATGTGTTATTTTTCGAAGAAAAAGTTGAGGCATAGTTACGCCTGCGGCCTGGTTGTTTTTCACGCTAGCCGTCGGCTGCGAGACCCCTCTGTATTTCATGTATCTCCAACCGTGAAACGTAGCCGGGCACCGACTCGGACATGGAGAACGAAGCGAGCATTAGAGTACCTAAGACTGCACCGGGCACCGGGTGAACGATTAGCCCGGGTATCACGTGCATTGCGCATATTAGGGAAAACGCATGTCGTTTAACCATGGTCCCTCGCGGCACCCGCACCATACAACCTCACTCGCCACCGCCGAGGAACAAATTCTCTCTCCACCGTAGATGAAACAATTACTCGCCTTCTCCATCCTGTTTGCTTTTCCATCACGCCTTTCTCAACCACGCAGAACCACCAGCCTACGCCATCAGCAAGCAAAGGGTTGACCCCATCGAATCATCCCTCGGAGAGCAACCGCTATTCAATAGCCAACGGATCGCCAGGTACCAGGGTCTCAATGCCATCCAACATCCATAGCAGTCCGCAGGCACAATTCCCTGTCGAAGTGCGACTGGAATTTAGATCTGCACGAAGGAAACGCCGCCTCGCACCCTTCCTCCTGGACAAGATCCGGGACTTCTATGAAGATAATGATCAAGGTCTTCTACCTACTACGGGGGTGATCCAACACATTCGTTTGAAAGATTACGAGGAGCTTGAGCGCCTTCTTGGTGAGGATCCAGGCCTGGAGCGCTACGCCGTTCGGACTCTGAAGCTCGCGTACAGCCCGAGCAGCTCAAAGCTCCTGTATGCCATGACCGGAGAAGTGCATGCAAGCGTTAGGATCGGAGTTGCGGGGAGCATTAACCGTCAGCTCCATGACATCAGAGCTAAATATCCATTGCCGTTGCAAGACGGCCACGCTCAAGAGACTCTTGTGGATCAAATCCTCAGCTGCGGCTCAATGGATATTCTGAACGGCGGATCTACGGGAAAGAAAGAGCCGGATGGAAATTGGGTTTTCACCGGTAATGAATTAAGAGCATCGTGCTGCTTCCTGGAGGTTACACATGCTCGGCCTTACACGGATATCAGGCAGCTCGCCCTTGATCTTTTGAAATCAACTTTAGGACGTCCTGGAATGGCCATTATCATCTGGTTCCAGCACAACCACGCCGGAAAAAAGGACATTAAAAGCAACCCCGAAGCAAGGAGCGTTGACAAAACCGCGACCTTTACGCTCTTCAAAGTGGGGCAAAGGATGGAAAACGGGTCCTTGAGAACCGGGATCCTTGATCCTTATTCCGAGCGGATCATCCGTGACAGAGGAGGGAGCGCGAGCGATGAGGTATTCTCGTTCACCATAGAGGACATGTTGGGATTGGCCAACAAACGAGTCTACGAAGCCCTCCGCAATTCCACGGATCCCGTCGTTGCACGGACCACCACGAACATTCTGGCTGAAAAGATTGAACTGTCATCGGCCGATATCACTGCCATGTTCGAGACAGGCGAGGAGTTGGAAAAGCACGCCATCATCAGAGCGAGCGAGGGATTCCAGAGGACGCCAAATGATTATCTCGATGGTCTCTGGTTCAAGTTTCCACGCAAATCACAAACTAGGGAGCCGCCTGAGGGGTCAGACTCTGTCTAAGCTTCCTCCATCCATAGGCCTGCCCAGTGGTCGGAAAGAAGACATCTTCAAAGAAAGAGAAAACCCTCACATGTACGTTGGTTGAGGAAAAGTGAAGTGCTAGACTGATAAGCCGTCAAAATCGCGGGCCAAGTGCCATCTTTCCTATGCTGTGGCGGCTTCTCATTTTCTAGTTCCTGTTCGACAATCCCCATCACGGGTCCACAGCTTTTTCCATCAGCTAATGCAGATTTTGCTTTCTTTCAAAACCACAATCGGTAATGCGAGGGGCGTCATGTAAATAGATATAAGTTTCTTTGAACAAGAGACAGGGTTTGTTTGATAGTGCTCGAAAATTCATATGGTGCCCCTCAAGTCAGATATGAGGAGTACGAAATAAATTTTGAAGAATGCTAACAAATAGCCAGCAATAGCCTGCTTGCCCTGATGGGACACTCCCCGCAGTAGTGAAAAAATGATTAAGATACAAACAAAATCTGTTATGTGGGCAGTCGGGACTATCATGCTTTTTTCTTTGTCTTGCCCCGGGTGGATTTGCCAGTATCTTGGGATATTCCAGATCCTCCTAATAGTAACAAAGAAGATAATCGTAGCAAGGACAGCCTTTGTAATATAGATTACGAATGATACAAAGCTCATATCAATCAAGCACAAAGGAGCTTTCTCTAGCGGCGGCGACGACCGCGTCCTTCAACCACGATCACGATCCGCAAGATTTAATTCACAACTTCACTCAGGCAACACATGATTAGCATAGCAGCCCAGGAGTAGTAGAATCAAAGAGGCTACGTGGGGTTTTCACCGCGAAACCAGCGCTAATTTCATCATGGCTCCGTCTTTTCAAGACTCTGAGGACTTTCATCTTCCTGACACCAAAATTTAAAACACCAAGGCAAAGAGCCGCATTATCACACAGCACAGACTATAGCAGCCGTGACTGAGTTAGACGGCCAAGGAAAGCGTGTCCATTAAACAGCCACACAACGAGGAGATGGTAGAGATTGCACGCTATGGACTTTGGAAATTCAAAGGTGTCTCTGACAACAAAATTACTTAATGTGCTTCCGCAAGGGCCGTCTATTCAAACAGGTATACTTCGTGCTAGCCGGGTAAAGAAGTAATTTTACATTAAACAAGGTGACGGGAAAAGCCAAAGAGCTTCGGCTCGGGCGCCACTGCTCCAACAGGGTCCAGCCGCAGACCGAGGCCCCTGCATAGACACACCGGATTATTTGTCCACCCGCTTCTCGGGCCCTACTACCCGTTAGTCCGATCCTTAACACTACAACTACACCACCACCATCACCCTCGCTGGAACATTATATCAGAACAACGCCGACACCTTCTACTATATAGGTTCTGTTGTACAGCGAGCCATGTCTTCCTCACAGCATACTCCTGGCATGCCGCCTATCAACGACCTCATTGCGAACATTCGAAAGAAACGGGACCAGGCCAGGTCCATCCAAACACCTGCCACGGCTTTTATCCACACCCGTGCACATAAGATCTTCGAGAAGATCAACTGTTGCTGGAACGGGCAATTTGTGAATATTCCACCAGCGGCTACAATCCGTGTTCGAAGGTCTGAGTACCAGAAGCTCCTTCGACTACTTGCACAAGATCAAGACGTCGAACGGTTCGCCTTTCGTCAGTTGAAACTGTTTTACGACAATCAGAGCTGTAGGCTGTCATACGAAATAGTTACTTCTATCCATGAAGGCATCCAGGAGAACGTCAAGGGCGTTATCAGTGAGCAGTTCGGTGTTCTCAAGGCGAGATCAGCAGAGGCGAAGAGAGTCTTAGACATTGTCAGAAATAGGGGTAGTACTACTATCCCGTTGTCGGAGAACGAGAATACCAAAGTGTCGCCAGATGCGCTCTACGTTCTCAGGAAAGGCACGACGGAGACTCCTTGTTTCTTCCTGGAGGTCAGCTTCTCACAGTCACTCAAAGCCGCAAAGAACAAAGTCAGGAAGACCATCCGCGACACGAAGGGCTGTCCTGGCTTAGGTCTGATCATCAAGGTACCCTACGCAACTCCGAAGCAGCTAGCGCATCCTCGGCCTGATCTCCCGCGTGCGGCTACTTACCATCTCTTCAAGTGGACTACGGAGCAAGGCGCAGATGGTGTAGTCAAGAACAAGGTTGTTCGGGTCCACAGGGCGCGACAGTTCCGCGATGAAGGGGGCAATCTTGTTCCTGGGAAGCTCTCTATCACTCTGCGGGATTTCGTCGGAGAGGCGCAGTTCCCGAACTTTCCATTCCTAAACGATCCTGCAGTAGCCCGCGCTCTCGACGAGGCCATCGAGATTGATCACTCTGAGTTGGCACGTTGGTTGGAGGAGTTGGAATCCTCTGCTCGCGACGGAGCACTGGACCTCGCTTCTGATAATCAGGAAGAACCTGACGAGGTCCCACCTCCTGATGATGAAGTGGTGGACGGAGTGAGGACTGTCGTTGAACAGTACTCCGATGACGAAGACGAGAGCGACACGTCAATGCTTAGTGCCACCAGCTCAGAGAAGTCAGAAGGATCCGAGTTTGTTCCCTCCTCTGAATCTGGTAGCTCCGGGTCTAACGATTCTTGATCACAGGCAGTCATCGGTATCGAGCTACGGAACATCACGCACAAGAACGATCAGCTCATCGGCGTGCATGGGCCTGCATTCGGCCAACAGGGAAATCTCGCGTGAATTATCCCAGTCACGATGAACTTAGCACCGCTTAGCAAAGTCCCAACGCGCCGCCGTCGGACAACATGTGGGTCGTTTGAGTTACCTTCCGGACATGAATATAGAATTAAATGAGAATGCTTGGTTGGATATTGACAAACGACACATGGGTCGTTGAAGCTATCGTCCGGATGGGTATGTAGAATCTAATGAGAATGCTTTATTGGAGATTGACAATATGGGACAAACACATGAAAGCACAGCGTGATTGAAAGTCAAAGAACAGTTGTTTCTGTTGCTGTCCGCAGGGCTTCATGCTCTTGGCTGCCTTTAACGTTTATAACTTATTTGTGACCCGTAAATCTGGTCTACTGCATTGGAACGTGATCGAGAGTGTTTGGTAAGCGCTAGACCTAGCGACTATCGATGTTGATGCTATTCATGGCAGCATGATATTGTTTAGCTGACAGCTCGAACGCCTGCAGCCCGCAAAGCAAATCTTACCAATCCCCAAATTTCTTAAAATGAGGTATGACGTATGACGGTGTTTACTTTCTTGCGCCCGCCGCCCCGACTGTTCCTCCGCCCTCCGCCCTCCGCGGGAAATTTCTTGGGCGATGCTATCCGCTGCCACCTTCGACCATCCTCACCTCAGTACTTCCACCACAACATCAACCACGCCAAGAGACAATTTCCCCAATCATGCCATCGTCAAGGCGCTCTCGTCCGCGTGCGAGAAGCCAGCCTCGCTTCGGACCTCCGCCTCTCGATCACTCTCCGCCACGAAGGTCCCCGTCCAAAGTTCCTGATGCGACACGCAGCCGTGCTTTCGATGTCCTGAAGATCATCCTACAGTTCTGCCACCTCGGAAGCTTTGAAGGCCGGGACCAAGTTTCAAGCGGTTCTACGCGACTCAGTCGGAAAGGATGGGAACTCCTCCAGAAGATCCTCACCATGTTACGCGAAAATTTCTTGTACTTCTACAAGCCAGAACGGAGGCTCAAACTGACATATTATTCGAAAGAACGGACGCTCTACTACACGATGCCTACCATTATTCCGGAGAAGCTAGCCACTAGGATTGGGTATGCCATCGAGGACCGAATCGAAGATATCATCAAGGAATATTCTATGCACTACGACGACGATCAGGTCGTTGATCGGGACCTCAGGTGTTGGTTTACCGGAGGTCCCTGGCAGATCTCAACGCGGGAGAAATGGAATGAGGTTCGCCTTGACCGGGTGGGCTACCTCGGGGGGTCCAACGTGCGCTACCGCCAGCCCTTTGGACTGGAGTTTAGCTTCGCTCAGGACTTTCACATTCTCACGGACAAAGTCACGAAAGCCATGATGCAACCTAGAGGTCCAGATATGGTGATCCTAATCAGAATCGGCTACGATTCTGCAGAAGCGTTCGAAGAAGCTGCTGTTGATCCGACAGCGGTTGCCGCCTTGGACAAGACAGCAGACTATACCATCTACCAAGTTTTCACCGAGATGACAGACGATGGACAGCACCGTGCCCAGGTGCACCCGTCCGTATACCGTCGGGCCTTCAGGGCTTCCGATGGGTCTGCCGTGGAGGGGGATCTTGAGTTCACCTTTGGGGACTTCATTGGCCTTAAGCCTGAAAAGGTCTTTCTAGACCCCCTCATCAGAGAAAAGCTGCTCCAGCAAAAGATAACAATCCCATTCTCAAAACTGACCAAGTGGCTCGATCGCGGAGAGAGTTGGGAAACCAGCGACCAATTACAGATGCGCCAATTCGGGCCATTTCCCCCTCCTGAGCCCGTTAACGTGTTCCCGATCGCCGACAGAGACGACTCCGACTAATGAAGTTCTCGCGCAACTTCGAAACCTGATATTGTACTGCACGAACACGAATCTGCCCAAAATTGATGGGGTTTTGGGTTTCGTAATCCGGTCTGTCAGCTTCTTGTTGCCTCAAGAGCCCATTAATTGGTGGGCAGTTGAAACCCACTGAAGACTCTTGGGAAGCGCCTCATTGTTGAAACCATTTTTCAGCCCCAATTCTTAATGCGGCTCAAGGTCAGGGAACCTTCGAAGGACAGAAAATTGGTTCGGGAGCAAAGGAACAAAGTTGCAAAGAGTATATAGCATAATGAGAGCTCTCTTCAAGTTCCAAACTCTTTCGTGTATAATGTTTCATCACTGCGTGTTGATTGTTTTTTTTTTTCTACGAACCTTTACGTAAATTTGGTGAATGTTTCTGGTAGGTACGATTGCCGAGGGCGATATTCAGTGCTTCCATTTCGGATAGCCCGCTGCATCGCCTATACGCCTCTTTAGTTCTGTACCTTAGCCGTTGAAACTATAATCTTTTATAATCTGTTTCTACATAAACCGTACTCATTTAAACGCCCGTCAAAAATAATCGAGCAATTAGAAATTACCGGCTTTACCATGTCGCAATGTTGAATACAATTTGCTAAAATTTAATGTATCACGAAAATTATATTTATAATACGGCCGGACGGCAAGTGTCACTCAGGCATTCTGGTACGAGATCTTAGTGTTAGCTCTCCTAAAAACCCCTCCCTTAGAAAGATTACGTTCGGGGAGGAATAGCCTCCATACTGCCTTCTCTTATCACTTATAATAGAATGTAAAGAGTAAGGATATTTTGAGATAAGGACGCAGAGCTCTGGAGAGGCGCTTTTTATTAAGAAAGGAAGATAAAACCTAGAAGTGAGAATAAGCTCAAGTAAGGCTCTTAGCTCTGGAAATTACTCCCCCTTTTACGCATGACTAAAGGCCATGTTTGGTAAAGACCGTCAAGACGATGGAAGATATGGAGGACGTCATGAAAACTAGGGGCTTTCTCAACGGTGGGATCTGTAGCTACCATGGCACTAACCTCTGCCACTAGCGTGTTTTTTTCTTTCGCCAAAAACGCTCTGTTCGGTGGTTAAGAGACGCGGTTGTTTAAAAAGTTCGCTGAAATACCCTTAAGGGGATTATAAAAGCATTTAGTGGAGGAATTTAAGGCAAAAGATGTCATCCACCTTAGTCCGGATCTTCATCTTGACAGGTTGATGTTGGTTTAACATTGAGGGACTGTTTGTGGATAAGGGTTGTTGAATTGACCCTGAGCGGCTTGGCAGAACCACAGTCCCAACCACCCTGAAAGCTAAAAGTAGTAAAAACACTCTCAACTCTCCAGTAGTCTCATTTCGGCATTTTCCTAGAACGTTGAATCAACTCTCCCGCTCCGCATTTCCTGCACGCATCACATCAACGTCGCACTCAATTTTCCCCGGCCAGACGTGAAGCCGACAACAACAAACACCATGTCCGACATTCGCAGCCCAAATATCACGGATGTAGCCACCTTCATCGCGGCGCTACGGGCGCTCGACGCGGGCGACACATCTGCGGTGCCAGTGTGGCAGCAGCTCCACCTCTCGGAAGAAGAATACCGACAGGCCTGCTGGTGGCTTGAAACGAACCATTTCCCTCCCGTCCATTCCCTGCGCAGAATTCAAACGTCTGCCCATCTCAGCCCTTGCCCCAACAATAATTGCCCTAACCGTTCCCAGCATCACACGCGACGACGCCCACCACATGCTAACCATGCGCCTCCCGCTCTCCCACCACCTCGCCTTCGTCTCGCGCGTCAACAATGCCATATGCATGCAACTATCTGCACTCAAGTCCCACAACCCGGCATACGCGGCTTTGGAACAGGACATCGTATTTCGGGATAACTTCCCTTCAGTCCACGAGCCGGGCATCGGGGCTACGATGCGGCTTGACGCGTGCTGCTACCTGGTCCAGGAACCCGTGATCCCCGTCGCGCTGGCGGTGGCCGAGGCGGGCAACTACAAGCAGTTGGAGGATTTTCTTTGTCGTGTGTTCAAAAAGGATGCAAAGGTCAGGATGCTGGTCGTATTTCAGTTTCAGAAGCCAGAGGAGGGTATGGGCGCGATGGTGGAACAGTACTTGCGGGTTGAAAAGACAACCGAATCAGACCATGGAGAGCCAACGTTAGCGGAAAGCGTCATGGTGTTTCGGAACCTAGATGGGACATTTCCGCCGTGGAATGGCAGAGGGAAAGGTCAAGCGCTTACTCTGCCAATGCCACTGTTCCGCGGCACGAATGATCCGAAGGAGCTTTTCCCGGGCTGGGAAGAAGAAATCTCGATCTCACTTTGCCAGATTTACCAGATGCTGTACGAGGAGGAATTCAAGCTGAAGTTTTTGAATGTCGAGCAAGGGGAGCTGCAGAGTAGCTGGGAGGTTTTGGAGGCAGAGCCCGTTGAGAATCAGAAGAGCAAGGTCACTTCACCGTAATATGCTGAAGACACCACAAGGCGGCATATCCGAGATGATGCTGCGGTACTGCAGACCAGTGACGCTGCATAATTTCTTTGATTGTATCCTTCCTAGGTCCGATAGTAATGTTGAGCATTTCATAAGTTCGTATTTCCACGTCTCCACTGTCGCTACCCAGAAGTATAGGGCACTCAGTAACACCCCTCAGGTTTCGACCGAAGGTAGAAGGTATCATGGAAAGAGCTTGTGTATATAATGTCATCAGGCCGTCGAAACAAGTATGCCACGATGATTGACGTGCCTGATGTGTGCAAAAATATGAAGTATCATGAATTCAGATATGGGCGCCGAGAGCCATATGGGGGAATTCTCTTCTCGGAGATCTGGGAATTCGGGCTACCAACTGAGTAAAGAGAGGTGACCCGTGCCTGCCCTTTTGGTCAGTGATTGATGCGCGCGTGCAGCCAGCTCAAGGACGCGTCTACATAACACCACCCTCGTCGCAACTCCACCTCCACACCACCACTCCCTCTACATCGTCGTCTTCCAACCGCGTCCACAACATCCACCTCACAAACCATCACGTCGTTCCGTCGCACACCATGTCAGTCTTCATCTCGCGCTTCATCGAGCTTCCTCAGAACGCCCGCGCCGTTGTCGAGGCTCTCCAATCCATCAGCACCAGCCTCACCGCCAACAAAGAGCAAGACAGCTGGCGCGTCTTCACCATCAGCCGCTCCGAGTACGCCCGCTTCATCAAATACATCCGCCACCCTCTCGAAGCCGACCTCTACGACTGCTGGCAAAGCATCCGGTAAGCTCACCACCACCCCCCGACATCACCTCACCTCACACTGACCCACAACCCAGCTACGACTACATCCACCGCACCTCAATCCTCGCCATGCGTCTCCCCTCCGTCTCGCAAGTCCTCTTCACCAGCTCGCTGCACGAGCAAATCACGCGCAGCATCGACGCCATCGCCGACGCCCACCCCAACGGCTGGTTCCTCAAGCACATCATGGCCATCAACCCGGAGCGCGACTCCAGCGACGACGCGCTCGTCTTCAACGCGCACCGGCCCGACCTCTCCTTCTACTTCACGCCCGAGGACCCCCCCTCCCCTCCTTCCTCCCCCTCCTCCGCCGTTGCTCCGCCGCGCAAGCGCCCTCGCGTCCCCGGCGCCTCCGAGCCCACCCTCATCGTCGAGATCTGCAACGCGGCCAAGCACGGCGCCATGCAGATGCTGGCGGAGCGCTACACGCACGGCGGCGGCGGCGCGACCCGCACCGTCGTCGCCGTCGACACGGAGCGCGGCGTCTTCTCTGTCTGGCGCTTCTTGCGCTACCTCCCCACCAAGCTCGAGGGCAAGACGTTCCGCCGCTGCTTCTTGACGCAGGACAGCGTGGCGTGGCGCGGTGCGGGCACCTGCGCTGAGGGCGAGGGGCTGGTGCTGAGCGTGCGCGATTTCATGCCGACGGTACTGCCGGACGTTGAGGATGTGTCTCCTGAGGAGATGGACGAGCTGATGAGGAGGAAGGTGGTGCTGGATCCGGCGTGCCTCACCAAGATGTGGCTGGAGTCGTGGTCGATGCAGGAGGCGCCGTTGTATTACGGCAGCGAGGGCAGCGAGGGCAGCGAGGGCATGGATTTCTCGGACAGCAGCAGCAGCAGCGAGGATGACGTGGAGGAGCCTGGAGAGGTGGAGATGGAGGAGCCGGGCCTGGACGACTTCATCAGCACGGAGGAGGACTTTGCGATGGAGGAGGAGGACGAGGAGAATGAGTAGATTTCCGGTTTGGGCTTGGGTATTTCAGGCAAGATTTGGGCATTTCGGGTAGGATTTGGGCATTTCGGACAGGGATTCGGCAGCTTTGGGTTCATTTGATGTATAGGCGGCATTTTGGCTGGGCATTGTCCAGCTCTCTGAAAAAGGAATACTCAATGTGGAACCGTAACACGTCGCAGCTGAAAGCTCCACATCTTCATTCATTGTTTTCACATCGGCCTTGGTACTGACTGGTGGTGCTGCGTTTGCGGTGAGGGTATATATACTGCATGAGGACGCACTTCAACACCAGATGCTCTTCATGCCCAGCCGAGCGGGAAAGGCTCTCATTCAGGTGCTTTCATCAGTTCATCATGCAGGATTAGCACCGTCGCACAATGGGTTGTTTGTCTATGCTCGTTTCAGATACAACCAAGATCTTATCAGCCCGCGCACGGGATCTTCCAGCAGCTGCTCTCACCATCACCTGTCTTCCAGATCCGACTAGCTCGCACCGACACCGCTCCGTCGCATACTTAAAGCCCTCCAGACCTTTGATCGCTCTGACACCAACGATCACCATGCCACCAAACCACATAAAAGACAAAGGTCTGTCAGACGCGTTGGTCCGTCTCCCAGACTGGGCCGATGAAGATTTCCTGCGCGTGTTCAACAGCGTTTCGTCGCCGGAAAAGGCAGACAAGCTGGACCACCCGAAGAAGCACATCATCAAGCGCGCTCTAGAGGGATGGCTGACGGTCATGGACGTCCTCGCCGAATTCTACCCACTACCCAAGGCCCTCATCCCGCTCTGGATCCCCACCCACAGCTGGGTCTTGTTGAACTACAGGATGAACGACAAAACCAAGACCCCAGCGGACCTTATGGTGCTGTACCAGAGGATGCTCAGGCAAGTAAACCTCCATTTCTCACGGGCCCTTCGCTGACAAAAACGTGACCGTGCAGGGTGGACTTCGACCGCTCGAAAGAGATCCTCACCATCCACAACTTCACGCGCCTACACCTCGTCCTCCGCAACGCCCTCGTCCGCGCCATCTACGAGCAAGTCAACCCGCTCTGCCTCAGCGACGTCTCGGGCAAGACGTGGCGCATGTTCCGCGCCGGCAACCTGCCGCTCGTGCCCAACGGCGACGACACGCGCAACATCGGCGGCCAGAAGTTCGAGGGCTGGACCGCGTTCCGCATGGCCGACTTCGCCCTCTACTACAACGGGCCGTGCCAGAATCCCCGGCACCCGGACTTGATCGTCGAGATCGGTACCCGCGACAAGGCGGCGGCGCTGGAGGAGCGCGCCAAGTGGCTCATGAACAGCACTGATGGGGAGACGAGGATCGTGGTCGGCATTGCGTATGGCGAGGGGGAGTCGACGTGGACGATTTCGGTCTGGAAGCTGGGCGAGAGGGGAATCAATGAAGGGCCTGTGGAGAAGATTACGGATAGGAACGGTCATCCCGGCGTGGCTATTCCCATTCGCGACATGATCGCGTCGGAGGCGGTGGAGTGCATTGAGCAGTCGACCTGCCCTAAGACGCGTGCTGTGTTGGACAAGAAGATCGAGATCACTTGGGCGGATATTGCGCAGTACGCTGACGTGACGGGTCTCATCAAGGGGGAGGAACCTCCTCCCAAGAAGCCAGAGCAACAGGGAGGCGAGACTAAGGTTTAGATAAAGCGGGACTCAGATAGGTTGGCCTTGGCTCATTACGGCAGTGCTACCACATTACCCAGAGGAAAATTCTAAATCTTTGCATTGGCTTGCCTGTTGCTCCTTAAATATGTGAGAGCGCATCGCCCCCATCTCACAACAGTTCCCCTAACGACGTGGCCTTTATAGACCGTTTGTTGTCCTACAATTCGCTCTCACATTTCCTGGTAAGGATTTTTGCAGCGTAGACCACAGTTCCTTCTTCACAACACCGCTGACCTCTTCCGCCTTCTTGAAGACGTTCATGTAGGCACATTGACGGAGGCAGTCGTCCAAATGTTAGAGGAGCCGCATGTTGTCAAGCTATATTCCAATCAGGACGTTTTGCGGCAGCATATTGGAACTGTACCTTAGGAAGGCTTCAGCGGACCCAGAAAGGATATGTTTCAGAAGTGATTATTCCTGACCACTTTCATTCCCGAGTAGTAAGTATATTTGCCGACCGCTTGAGCGGTGTTGCGAGACGAGAAGATAAGCATAAACAACAGCCATGATTACATCCTGGGAGTGTGGCCCGCCCGTATCATCTTCCCCTCACACTCTCAAGCGCACAATAGCACCATCTACGGCCTCCATGGTGCCATCTCTTGAGAACACTACTATCTCACGGCCACTAACTTCGCCTACTTCTAAATCTAGGACACCGGATTGCAACGGTCTTGCCTGATTGTTGAGGAACCCCACATCGCTGCCTTAAATCTTCCATCGTCCCGTCCACTTGGTGGGGGAGAACAGGTGGCTCCCATGCAGGGTTGACGAGCTCAAAATGCCAGGTGTGGACCATCCCAGCGGGGAGGCACGCAGGAGGGTTAGGGGACGAAGGGAAGTGGAGGCTGTTTCTTCATGGCAGCGAGATGATGTCTTGGAAAGGTTGGGATGAGCGGAACGATGATGAGACTATGGTGGGGACTACTGGAGGTCAGGTCCAGGAGGTGCTGGCGGAGACTGTTTGAGAAAAGATTGACAGAAGTTGCAGAGGGGTCGGAAGGGTAGCTCCAGGAAAGTAAGTGTAGACGGACGGAGGCTAATACCGGGTAAGTGACAGGGACTGCTGCGAAGAAGGCAAGGAAGAATGATTCCTGGATTTGAAACACAGCGCTAGTGCAGATGACTGAGAAAAAATACAGATAGGTATGAGCGATGTTCCTGATCAGTGAGACAAAAGAGACTTTGACGCGTTCCAGGCTCTTCAGGAGATAATGCAGGCTGAGCCTGGGAGTTCTGGTGTTGCACGGAATATGGGGTGCATTAAGACTGGAAGTATAACATTTTTGAGTGCCGTGGCCACCAACACAAGGCTGGCGAAAGTTCTTTGTTTTGGGAGGGGATGTCCTGTCTGATAAACAGCGTTAGAGACAAAATTAAAGACGTTCAGGACAGGCGTCTAACAGCATAATCTGCTACCAAGACTCCAACTCCTGAAAGCTTCATTGTATCCATGCGGATTAAGAAAAATTCCATCATACATATCTCGACAAGCATAGGTTGCAGAACTAACTTGAATATTTACGCAAGGTTCAATTGTGAAGAAATAATGCTGCAGCTTATTGTAAAACATTTTTCTTGAGAGAAAGGCAGCGATTTCTACCGTCTCCAATCCTATTAAATATTTTCCCGGTGTCGTGGCCCGACTAGTAGGATTTCATCGTAGGGAGCATCGTAAAATCACTAAATGATTTTCCAAAGTTGAAAGCATCCACCGACAGACAACTAAGATTTCCAGATCCAAAGAAGTCAGCTCATGGTCGTCCAGGTAATACTATGGCAATTTGCCGGCAATTGGAGCAGATGGTGTAGTTGCATGAGCCCGAATCGTTGTTTATTTCGCCGAGACATTTAGGGAGAGAATTGATGCACGATGAGGGAATAAAATACTGAGCAACATATCATACCACTGTCGAATTATCTGGATACCCAAATAGAGGTAGCTGGTATAGAGTTTGGCCAACACCAAGTCCATTTCCCCTGGAATCATACAGCCGAAGGGGTCAACTTCACCAGTATTGAAGAACGAGAGGCAGTCTGGGTTCAATGGCTAAGTACATAATATCAGCGGCCATACCATTCGGCATTATGGAGTTCAATGTGCTGCCGGAGCAAGATGTTGCAAATGTTGGAGATGGTGATGAAACGGATACTGCTGATGGGAAGCATCTTGGGAAGGAAGCGAGGAAAATCGCTGACACCTACCTCGAGAAAGCAAGCAACAAAGGACTTGTTCCAGACTACTATAGCTAAAGCAGAGAACGGTAGGCGCCTCTGCATTGCATGGTTTCGAGTAGAATGGCGAGAGCGGCCGGCTTGGATGATGCGTGAGCCGTGCAAAACACCAGAAGAAGCGCTAAAACAACCTTGAGACAACTTATTCACCGCCCAAACGCCCAATACCCAGCCTTCAAGCCATCCGCCCGTGGCGTGCACACCCAGAGCCTCAATGCCCGCCCAACAACCCGCACGAACCACGCCCCTCCAGACCGCTCCGCTCCACTCTCGCGGCGCCGGAGCAAGTCTCGGAGCAGCTCCGCCTAAAAACCCGCCAGGAGTGACGTCACGTCTTCCGCCCTCCGAAATTACCAGCAGCAATAACCTGTGCGGTAGCGGGCACCCAAAAGCCTGTTTCTCGTGTCCGACCCTAGTCGCAGGAAAGCAAAAACGAGCGAGGGCCCCGCCCCGAACCACACAACGCGCGCTCCGGTGGGCGAACAACAAGCGAACGACCGACGCTTTAGCCAACACCGACAACACCGCATTGCGGTTGTCGGGCGGACTGCCGGCGCGCGCTCCGCCGGTTGTTTGCTACTCTTTGTTGCCGATGGAACGAGTGCTGGCGATGACGTAGGTGGGTGGGCGGCTTATCGATAACAGGCGTCGCTGTTCGGCTGTCGTTGTTGCGGAGCAGAAGCGCGGGTGTGCCTGGTTTGCGGCTGGGTGGGCGGCCAGCAGGGATTGCGGCGGTCGGGCGGGCGGTCGGATTTGCGGTGCGGAGCGGCGAGCGCGCCGCGGCAGCCGGCATATTTTGCGGCTCGGTGGGCGACCATGAGCGCCTGCAGCAGTGGCGCGAAACAGCGCGCTCAAAATTCGGCGAACGCGTTGACTGGCAGTTGGCAGACAGGCGCGCTTTGCGGGGCCCCGCCACCGCCGCCGCTGTTTGGAGGGGGCCTAAATTAGGCCTGTTGCATCAGCGGCATGGCCTGAGTTGGCGCTGGGGTGGGTGGCCAGCCGCGGCGCGGCGTGGTGCTGTCAGGGCGGGCGGGCTTGCGCTTCGGCGGGCGACAGCATCAGCACCATTTTGCATAGCTTGCGGCTCGGTGGGTGGCCATTTACAGCGCCGGTAGTAGCGCAAAATTTTCCGCTGTCACCGCGACGGATATTTTAGCGAACGCGTCGAGTGACAGTTGACTGACAGGCACCGCGGGGAAGAGAGCGGCGGGGCGCTGTTTTTGGGCGGTGCCCCGCGCCGCTGATTTTGGGGCCTAATTTTAGGCACCCCCGCCGCTGGATTTAAGGGCCTAATTTAGGCACACCCCGCCCCGCCTGGCGCTGGCGCTGGCGCATGAAGGCATCGCTGGCGGCGCTGCACACGCGCGAAAGACGGCGACGCAGCTTTGCGGCATGTTGGCAGTCTGTCAATCAGCCTGCACAAGGTCAAACATTTTCACCGCTGAACAGGTGCCTGCCGCCCTCGGGAGGCTGCACAGCGGCGGCGACAGCTTACGTTCCCGCCTGAGTGCGGCACTGTTCTGTGCCCACCCGCCTGAGGTTCCCGACCATTCTGCTCCTGAAGCTCGCGGGCGCTGAAGGATAGGAGAAGACACATCCATCAAAGTCATTATCATTGTGGCAATCCTACGTAGAATCCACGTCCGCCACGCCTCCAGCCCGCTCTCTCTCTCTGCTATCTCGACCCACAGCAGCAACCCCCTCTCCCGCAATGCCCTTATTCCCAGCTGCACGCCTCTACGACCGCGGCACCATAATCCGATCCACATCAGGTCCCCACCCACCATTCGCGCCCTCAATAACCACCTCATTCGCACTGCCCGCCTTCAAATCCAGATTCACAACGCTACTCCCAGGCGTCCCGTTCGCCGTCGGCAAAAACGCGATCCTCTGCTTCGCGCCGCCATTAACGCTCACATCCGCATACCGCGCGGTGCTATCCAAATTCTGATACTTGACCCGAACCGACGACTTCGTCGCCGCATCGCTCGCCACCCCCGCAAACGTCACGACGCCCGAGTCCGTCCCACCGAGATACCCCGCGCCCTCCCCGCCGCTGCAACCACTGCAGCTCACCGTCCTCGCGCCGCCGCTGAGCGTCGCGTCTTCGCCCTCCGGCTGCGTCTCGCTGGGGCCAGCGGCCCAGGTGCCGGCGGCGACGTCGGGGACCCAGTTGACGGCGTTCTTCATGGATGCGGTCTTGGCGGAGGAGTCGATCGTGAGCGGCAGCCAGATGTAGGTGCTGCGGAAGAGGGCGGAGCTGATCCAGCGGTCGCCTAGGTACATGTACGTGGTGCCGGAGCTGCCGGTGATGGGGAGGATGAAGGAGGTTTGCGACGAGTAGGTGTTGGAGCCGACGTCGGCGAAGGTCTTCCAGGAGGTCCAGGGGCCGGAGAGGGAGGAGGCTGTGACGTAGTACTGGGAAGCGGGGTTAGCTGGGGGAGGCGGGTTGGGGCAGAGCTGGACGTACGTTGTCGTTGGGGTTCCAGCCGGTAAGCTGGGAGGCGAAGAGGTAGTAGGTCCCGTCAACCTTGACCATGGCGGGGGATTCGTACTTCTCGTCGAAGCGGTAGACAGAGGAGTCGCCGGTGACGTTCAGGTAGTCGTCGGTCAAGGCGTTGATGCGGAGGCCGTTTTCGCGCTGGAAAAATGGGAACATTAGCAAATTGAACAGAATAGGCGCAAGGGAGCTAGGTCCTCGCGGGTTCGGAATCAGCCGATGATAATGTCCGTGATCCCCCCGTCAATGCACAGGCTCAATCATGTTTCTCCGTGCCGTCGTCTTCTGGCTTCATGCCTGTGCCACCAGCCTTGAGACCATTGAAAAGGGCGGAGAAAGGAGAAAGAAACGAAACGGAGAGTTCCGTATGCAATAAGAGGCATAGCAGAAGGACATCAATGCAACTCGAAGCCTCTCACCCGAAATTTTTGAAACAACGAACAGGAGGAGTACTTGGGGCTGGAAAATCCCCAACTCCAAACAATTGACTTGAAATAAGACACAAATAGTGAAGTTTTTCATCATCAAAAAGAAATCGTGTTCATCATCATCATCATGACTACGTAAAGAAAAAGCAAATCCAGAAAAACTCACGTCTTCGGTCATCAAGTACGCCTTGCCATCATCATCCTTGAACAGTCCCATGTCCCTGCTCTGGAAGCCCAACGGCCGGAAGCTGCCGTGGTACTCGTAGGAGCCGCAAACGCTATCGCCGGAGGCGACGCCTGTCTTGGCGTCCTTGTAGTCGGACGAGTCGATGTGCATCCAGAGCACGTACTTGCTGGTCTGGTCGTTGTAGATGACCTTGGGACGCTCAACCACGCGGCTGGGACCGAGATCGCCCGAGGCCGTCTGGGAGAGCAGGGCGCCTTCGTACTTCCATTCGACGAGGTTCGTGGACGAGTAGCAGTTGACGTTCTGGAAACTGGTGCCGTTCGTCTTGTCCTCGCCGATCATGTAGTACGTGTCGCCAACCTTGATGATGCCGGTACCATGGGCCTGAAGGTGCTGTCCGGTGTTGGTGGCAGTCCATGTGGCGCCCGGAACGATCTGCAGCGACGCGAGGGCTGATGATGAAAGGAGCGCGAGGCTCCAAATGGAAGGGAAATGCATGTTGAGGGCCGCTGGTTGGAGTATTAGGGGAAGAGGGACGCCGACGCAGGAACGCAAGGAGGAAAAAGGCTGATATATTTATGCATGCTGGGATTTCGTGCCGACGGGAGTGAAACAAGGTGGGGTGATGTGGGCGCCGTTTGGACCGTGGGGCATTTTGGTGTTTCCGCGCCAATGGGGTTTATTCGCTCTCCGGTGGGTTTCCCGAACGGTCCGGGCGGCGGGGGTAGGCGGCAGTGGCGCGAACAAGGAGCTCTCGGATGTGGAAAGATGCGGAGAGTATGCTGGGCCGCAAGGGGCAGGTCGCTCGTGTTCGTTCTATCGAATGATTGGGCGGGTTTGGCGTCGGCTCATTTGCTGGTTGCGGGCCTGGTTCCGACGCTAAACTTTGTGTCAACTACAGCGCTTGGGGATACAAGTCAGGAACATACCATTCAAGAAAACTCTTCGAGGCGGCCTTGAGCCTCCATCTCGTCTCACCAAAGTTGCCAATGAGGCTGTCTCCTGAACCGTCGCTCGCTCTCCAATTCTCTCTTCGGGTCTACACCTCTGGCAATCTTGGCCCAGCAGTCGACCCAAATGTTCCCGAAGGCGCTGTCACGCGGAATCCAGACAAGTTCCACGCCGATACCCTAATTGATCAAGTCCTGGGATGCGCTTCTGAGGCGACGGAAGGCGAACTCTACACCGTAGAAGGCTTCTACTCGTCGTAACCGTCTCCTCGGAGCTCTGACGAATCTCAGAGCATTGTCGGAATCGGTGAAGACGGCGACTTCGGTGATGTTTGGTCCAGTTTCCTCGACCCACGAGTCTGAGTGGGATCCGATGCGGTTGCCGTGCTCGTCTGCGCTGGGGCTGATGCCCTTGGAGAATGGACCCGCGACGTGGGCGACGCCGATTTTGAGCGCTTCGAATTCCAGCCGGTCCACCTTCCAGGTGCCGCGGAGGAGCTGGTGAGTCATGTCTTGTGTCATCACCTTCCAATCCATCCTCCCAGTCCTGTCATTCCACTCCTGCCATCCCACCGCAATGCTCAGCTTTGTGTGCCACTCCACGACGGCTTCACCGGTGTAAATGTCCCTCTTGTGCACCTGGTACGCCTCCTTCGATGCGTCGGTGTAGATAAGGAGGCGGCGCGGGTTCTGTCTCTGGTCCTCCCGCTGGACCTCGGCGGCTCGCTGCTGTGTGAATGCGGGTGTGGCCTGGGGGCCAGGGAATGTCTTGATCCTACCGGAGAATGCGGGCAGGGGGAGCGTGAGCCCCACGCTCTCGGCCATGCTTTGCTGGGCCATGGCTGGTGGTGTTGTGTCGGGAGGTGACGGGCTGCTGCGGCGGCGACGCAACACCACCATACCCGGCACCAACAGAAATCACGGGCCGAACAAGCCTCCGAAAGCATGCGGGCGCCGACGCGCCGCAGGTGGCAGGCACACGAGGCCTGCTGTCTCTTGTCGAATCCACGCGGGGGTTCTCTCAGCCAGCAGAGGACTACTGGTCCCAGTCTTGCTGGGAGCTGCGATATCTCCAAGGTGAAACCTTCCGGAAAGGGAAGGACGGTTCTAAGTTCGAAACTCGGGGCGGGCATCTCAAATGTATCATCCAAGAAGGTGATACCCAAGTCTTCTCGCTCCATTTCAATCGGTACGACGTCCAAGCGTACGGCCCATGGGGCCGCTTGAACATACAATACGGATCTGCTGTCGGAGCTGATATACCTCAAACTGATATGGGCGACCGGCTTGGTGGTGGAGGCTGGCGAGTGTGTGACGTGAAGAAGTGTAGAAGGCCTTTCGTGAACTGGAATACTCCTCGAGGTAAGGCTTCCTTCAGAGCTGTTGTGAAATCCGAAACCTGCACCCAAATCCATCCTGGACAGACGGCGCTGGATGCCTCCAAGCTCTTCCTGAAACGAGAGTTGCTGATAGCCAAGGAATGTTGCGGCAGTCGGGCGGCGCGATGAGTGGTAATCCAGTCGATGAGGACGACGTGAGTACCATGAATGAGCTGGGCCGGTCACATCAGTTGTCAGCATATTCTTCTGTGACAGTAGTGTCTCCCTGGTCAGGCCCCACTCACGGATGACGAGAGAAGTGGATTGTTGGCGCTTGACATCGTGAACTACGGTAGGCATGGACCATCTGGCTCTCCTGCGTGCGTTGGCCGACATTGCGTGCATCGCCGCGATGCTGAGGAGTGACCCGCGTGTTGACGGTAGATATTCTGCAGCCCAAGCAGATGCGCGCGGCTTGAGGGAAGCTGTTGATGAGGAAGACGTCGATGCTGCAGACCGTACATGTGCGTGCGGCCACGGTAGAGATGTGGAGGAGGATAACGATGACATGAAGAGGAGGACGTGTGTTGGGTGTCGGGCGGCGGGTGGCAGAAGAGAATAGTAAGCGTCGGGGGCTCAAGGGCGCGCATGCAGCCCCCGCTAAGCGAGCGTGGCCGGCAGTTCGGGCTGCCAGCCGCCGCCCGCGCATCCTCGCGCGCCTAGAGCTTGCGCCTTTGCCATAGGCGTACTGATTTGTCACGCCTCTTTCAGGCAGGTCTTGGGTCAGCCACGTTCCCGGCCCAAACACTAACATCAGGCTCGATACCGATGCAGATGCACGACGGAATGACTCCATCCTCAGAACTGTTCGAGTGTCAACACTGAATGCTCAAGCAGCACCAGGGCCCTGCAGTGCTGTGTGGCACAGTTCTTCCTCTGGCACATTCCATCAAGAATTCACTACTTTGCCTAGGCGGCCAAACGGATATGAAGCCAACTGTGATTGATTGTTTTAGCGTCTGACTCTCGCAGACTCAGGATAGCTACCAGCTAAGCTACTCCTCACTCGTTTTCAGTGACTATGAAAATGACCTGTGTCTTCCGGATCTCCTCCCAGAATCTCTGATGCTTGCTCTGAATGTCGTTGCTGATTTGCAATCCGCCCAGCTAACATCCCCTATTATCTGAGGAGTATAACCTCAATGTCGAAAGCCAGACTGCTGATCATCATGTATCGCCCGCCACATCATCGAGCTAGGAGAAGAATCGGCGATATGCTCTGATCGCACCTATTCTCTCTCATCAATGAACGAACCGTGGATCTCCTCATAACGCTCCTCCTCCCACATGAGGTACTCACGAGACTCCACGTAGTTCTGCCTGGCCCTGGCCAGCTGCCAGATGTGGGACAGCCGCTCGTATGAGATGGTAATGCCATCCCTGGCCCACACGCCGTCCCAGGTATTGGGCGCCGTCGACCTGATCCAGTCCTGGCACCTCGGCGCGAGGTCCGCGAATGAAAAGAAGATCTCGCCATCCCCAGCATCCGCGTTGCCTCCAGGAGCCGTGAAGCGTTCATTGCGGATAAGACACTCGGGAACGTACTCGGTGCCGTTACCGTAGAAGCCGCCGACAGGGGCGGGCTGGCCAGGCAGAACGCGGCTGCGCCAGAGGCTGTAAGTGCCCAGGCGGGCGCTGTTGTGGCCCTCCAGCCAGAGGGTGATAGACAGGAACAAGCTTGGGCGGTCATCATTGCCCAGCAGGTAGTCACGGGCCATGGCCTCCTCATCCTCATGCTTGCGTGCGTCGCAGACCTCGATGATGAGCGGGTACGAGAAAACGCGGTTCTGGAAGTCGCGGACTACGATGCTGGGCGTGCGCACCGAGTACATCCAGTCGCCGCGCGTTGTGTAGTGCGGCTCGACGCCACACGCGGCGTGGCGTTGCGGAAAGTCGTCGCTTGCGTCATAGTCCTGAATGCGATCGCGGTAGGCGGGCAGACGGTGCTGCGCCATCCAGAGTTGCTCATGGATTGTCAGGACGAGGTAGTACGAGAAGCGCTGCTGCGAGTTGCTTGGGCATTGGATAGCCATGGTGCGAGCAGGGATGTCATAGTCGAAGCTGGCGAGTTGGTCAGACATTGCTGTAGATCTTCCGGAGACAGCTGAGTTGCTACTTACGAGAACATCTGGAACGCGATGTCGACGAAGACATACAGCTCGGATGATCCAAGCATGTTGAGCGAGTGGCGAAGATAAACCCATTGCTCAGGCGTCATGTGGTACTTGTTGTAGGATTTAGGTCGGAGCAGAAAGTCGCGATAGACCTCGAACAAGAAGAATGCGGCCCATTCGGCTCTGTTGCTCGGCTCTTGTGCGGACTGCGTGAAGAATCGGCGCACAAAACTGTGAAAAGCGGTCGTGGGATTGCGCGGCAAAGGAGGCGGCCTCATCGTCGCGACGCTCGACCGTGCAATGGAGCTTGAGATGGAGTGAGCGACTTCGTTGTGGACAAGAGAGTCACGAGACGGGGGAGTGGTGGAGGATGGGTTGTAGGTGAAGCGGGTGAGGGAGTGAAGCTCGCGCAGAGGGTCTAGAGCTTCACGCGAGACGACTCGAAGGCCGCTCGCTAGAGCGCGAACGGGCTCCTCCCGCCTGGTAGCGACACAACGCGAATATCCGGTCTGCATGACTGCTTCTGTGTGAGCTCTATCTATGCAACTGCATCTCTGTCACAGCTTGAGAGCCTCTTGCACGACAGCTCGCTACGCCGTCATTCTCTCAAGATGAAAAGAGGTGAGCAGCTTCGAAAGACGCCATGACCGCCAGAGGACGCCATCCGAACATTCCTTTAAGGCGGTCTAGCCTCCCTATTCTGCCATCGCGTTTGAGCCTCTCCCTAAGTGAGCTTTGCAGTCAGCACATGAGAAGCCACTCAAATTCGTTGCGCTTCAGATGCAATGCAGCACAAAGGTGGCCATCGCGACCTTCAGCGGCATGCGGCCTATAGCGCAAGTGTTCCGAAGCCAATGACAGCTGGAGCGTTGGCGGCGGATTGCCTTGCTGCCAAATGACATGCAGCGCGCTTTGGCGTCGTACATTCCATGATACTATCTCACCATCTCACCCACTCGCTAGGCCGCGGCCGTCCGCCATCGCAAGCGGCCATCCGATCAGCAAGTTACCTCTAGGGGAGGCGGCAATACCGGCTTCTCGCGCTGCCACAGACAAGCTGCGGCGGCGCACACAGCCAGAGTTCATCTGGCCGGTCACCGACCATAGTCGGTATCTGTGCCCTGATGAAACCACGGTTCAGCAATCACTCTACAACGTAAGTCTATTTGAACCATGCCTTGAAAGATCGGTGAGTCTCTCTCCCTATTTACAACAGATTACATCCTCTCGTGGATCATGTGACAGCGCCGATGCCGCAAGCTTATTTTTTGATCTGGATCGCGGACTGACGTGGGCGCAGCTTATGCCTCGCTCAGCCTTCACTGCTCTGGTATTGTGAGAAAAGTGGTTCAGTCTCGCAAGAGGCTGACACAATAGCTTCCTGATGGCTCTAGTCATGAACATTACTGATTGAGCAATGCTGACTTGTGTACACAACAGATTCAGCATGAAACATCCATTCGTCTGAATGAGCCTGGCGACCGCGAGTTTAGATACCTCCTTCATATTTTCACCGCGGTTCCTTGCCGGCATCCCTTTCCTAAATCCTTCGATTCGACTTCATAACCATTTCAGATGTTTTGCTGTGCTGCTCCCGAATGCAAGCGGATTTGACGTTGCTCAGCCTGGCGACCTTGCCTATACAGCCCGGGTGGCCAGACTCTTCGGCCAGGACCAAAGGCTCAACCTTCCCTCAAATGGCTCTGCATGCGAATGAGGAGGTCGTTCTCGATTCACTGCAGCAGATGGCCACCTTCGGCTCTGTTAATCTCTACTGCAAGCTCAGGCACGAGGCCATCGGAAATTCCACTGATGGCGAGCTTCTTTAGGAGTTAATAATCATTGACCCTGACCTGTCTAACTGCACGATTGCCCGCATTAATTCGCCGCTGTGCGTCTCCACAACCGGCCCAGCAACTTTCACACCACAAATGCCCGAGGACTTCGCAGCTACTCCCCGAAAGAGGGCAGCGTGAACACTATCACAATGGGCTGTATCGTACGTGCTGAGGCTTCGCCGGAGCGGAGTGATATGACGGACTCTGGCGAGAAGGAGGTTGCAGGGGCTGGGCTTGCTACTGATCATCGGGATTCGGAATGACAGTATCCTCGCCGTGATCAGTACATCTCGGGCCATTACTACATTGGATTCAATGTCTATGGCAGGAGGCTGAAAGCGGAGGCGTCAGCAGGGACCCAGGGAGATTTTCGATCCTCGCATATCGTACTTAACGTTAAGGGTGTTGCCATGGATTTCCACCTAAGCGTGCGGTCAGTGCAGGGGAACAAAGCAGGGTTGAGACAAGCCGTTGGCTAGGGCGTTCAGACTTCACTGCATCGGCACCCATGATGAAGTTCATTTGCCGTTGTTGAGAGCTGGTGTGGGCTCCTGCGTGGTAAATGAGTTGCTTCAGGTCGGCTGGCTTTGTGAGCTCTCCGAGAAAAGAGGAAATTTTGGCACGCCTTGAAAATGTGCTGAAATGCTGCTTTGGACACCAAGTGCCTGACCCTGCCTTGACAGAATGAGAGTGGAAATGTGTCATTGAGGGGCTTCAAACTACACTATGGAGAGTACTGGTAAGTTTGGTCCTGTATAGAAGCTGCCAGTTAACGTTTGTCCTTTACACTCGACGCTCGGAACCTACTCGGTGCTGTGGACCGAAGAATTGCTGATCCCTGATTTTATGACACAACGATACAAACAGGCACCGATGTGAACTCAAACATGGACACAGAGAGATAATGTGCTTGAGACCAAAGGCATCGCGGAGAAGTCCTTCGTGCCCCTTGCAGCGATCCACGTCAAATGCGATGGCTCCAAGATGCCTTGCCAGACTTCCCAAGCTGCGACCTTCTCTCTAGAAGTGCTGCTGGCCTCCCCTCAGTCTCGCCCAAGTGTGAGCGTCGTCTAAACGTCTGCTTCTGCCGGACCGGATTCCACCGTCTGCGTCCATCGATATTCCGAAGCTATGTCCACCGCATGGAGCCTATGGCGATCTGCCACCGTTAGGACGAAGATTTCGTGGTGTGAGAAACTAAACGCTGAACGCGTCTGCACTGGGGCTGAGCCTCAACGCGGCTGTTTTCAGATGCCTGGCACCTATGTCAGTTTCGTTTGATGGCCTAGTGGGGTCCCGGGAGGTTAGTACCTGCTAGAGGATTGGTTGTTTGCGTCGACGAAGAAGAGTATAGCTGTAGGCTGTTTATTCTTGGGTGCTGTGGCGGCCTTTAGGCACCTCTTGACTATGCCACGCCGGCTGCAAGCCGGAGGCCCGTAAAGCCGGTGCCTGCCACGTCTGCGCTCTTTCCCCGAGGCTGCTTTGCTGGAGCGCTTCTGTGCAATACCGTGCCAGGTGCTCCTTCCTTCTTCGTTGGCCTCACTAGCGCCCCGGCCACACATATTTTTCCTGAGCTCTTCCGCCTCCCTCTCCTCCTCTTCCTCTTCCTCCACACCACTCTGCGACTTTCCCTTATCCTGGCGCCATGTCCACGAAGAAAACACCAAAAAAATTTCAAAAGTGAGTACAACTACCGCTAGCCACTCACCGTGGATCTCACTGATGCATGATGAGATACAGAACAAAAACCCACAAAAAAATTTGGAAAAAAGAAAACTTCCTTCGATTTTTGCGTGAACTCGCACGTCATCCTCATCATGGCCTCCGGGGGACACACTACTACATCAAGATAATGTCATTCGCCGCCTTGATGTCCTCCGGGGGCCCAATTTCTGGGTCAACAACAACACCGTGCCCCCGCCGGGGCCGCGAAAGGCCCTGGTTGGGGGCGTCAACGTGAGTAGACCTGAATGACCTCACTCTACCCGCACCATGCTGACAATCTCTTTGCCACAGCCATCTGCCCCCCTCACTCCCTCCCCTCCCCGCCGTGGAGGATCGGCCTCCGGGCCAAAAAGGTGAGCGGACTCTTTAGATCTGAAGGTGACCGACACAATGCTGACATGACCGTCCTTTCAGATTCTGGCCTGCCGTCGGCGCCCAGGCCGCCTCATTGCGGCGGCGGCGGCCCTACTCCTTCGACTGTGGCTGCTGCTGCCGCCCCGCCTCCTTGCGGCGAGCGCGACCGCAGCCGCAGCCGCTCGCGTGCTCATCATTTCCATCGTGAGTCCGAAGCCGCCGGCGCCTATTGCAGCTCCTGCCACCATCCCCGTTACCAAGGATGGCAAGAGCAAGGAGCGCAAGCACAAGCATCACCACCGCCGTCACCATCACTCGCACAGGAGCTACCATGAGCGTAGCCGCTCCCGCGAGGGTCATCGTCGTCACCATGACCGCGACCGTAGCCGCTCGTCTGAGCGTCGCCACTGTCACATCATAAGCGTTAGCGCCAACGCAACACAAGCATGCATTCACACTGCCACTGCCGCCGCGACAGCGACCGTGGACACAAGCGCAGTGGCATCTCTTCAGCAACTATCACCCATCCATGTGCCTTGCTACCTGGACCGAGAATCGTTTGTCAAGCCACTGGTAAGTTCTCAGATCCGGTACACAATATCAGCATGCTGACAGATGAACAAGACCCTACCCATCTCCATCGCGCTGGCAGCGGACAATGATGACTATGCAAAGAAGGAGACACCATGAACAAAGGGAGGCAGTGCCCGGTTTTGGCTTGGAAATGGAGGTTGTGTTGAAACTCTGGTGGAATTGTAGAACAATGTCTCGTCAATGGAGATACCAAAGCCCAAGCGAATCTTGACTTTTTACTCCGGCAAGCGATGGTGCAACGAGTTTCTGGTGAGCTACATTCCGCGACCGCTTCCGTCTACCTTGAATGGTCCTTCGGACTGTTGGTTGTGATCTGTTGCCGAGCACCGAAGGCTTCAAGAAAGGCTACGAGTGGCATGCGTCTAGCACATCTCGCTGGAACGCAGGCGCGCGCTCACTGGTCTATCACATGCAGTGCAGAGAGCCAGCTGTGGCTGCACCTACCCAATTCGTCGCCTGCATATCGCACGAGCCTCTGGGTGCTCTTTTTCCTGGGTGCCCGGGTGATATGCGACCGGCGCAGCTGCCATTCACGTCTGAGCGGCGCCCATAAGTTCTCGCCCAGGCCGCGTCCTCCCTCCCCCCGACACCCTCCTGGACAACCTCCAAACCCAAGCCCGGCCGACCTCATTAATCCCGAACACCCAGCCCCCGCTGGTAAGGCATCGTAAGTACTGGTCTTTTCCTTCGTTGCAAATGCGAAACACAAACTGACGATGTCATCGCTTGCACAGTTCAAGGCCTGACCAGCGGGGGCTATTCCACCTTGCCTCCAGACAATCGCATTGTCCTGCGACATCGTCGGCCAGGTCTGCCTACTTAAGGTGCGTATCCCCCTACCCTCTCCGACGAGCTAAGGCGCACGCTGACCTCGACTTCGAGCTCAGTTGCCTTCTCTGCCACCTCTTCCTACAACCTGTCCGGCCCTCTTCTTCCGCACCCTGGCGGCTTCGGTGTCACCACCGCCAACCGTCTTTCCCGGACAATAAAACGAAAAAGCACAAAAAAAAAGGGAAAACGGAAAACCCAAAAACATCGGGCTGACGACCCGCTCATTGCTATCCGCCATTCTTATGTGGGTACCCCATCACTTGGTCATCGACCTTGATGGTCAGACACCAGCTGATATATACCATTGCAGCCTATTCCGGCGTCCCGACCGCCGTCCGTATTCCTACCCCACCCTATATGTATCGACATTCTTTCCGGCTTGACGCCGCGAGGTCATGGAAAGCCAGGTCAGTACCACTCGAACGTCTGCATGAAGGTCAACGCCAAGCTTGGTAATTTCACTTCCATGGCTGCTGGTGTCCTTCCTGATTGTGGACCGGCTCCTTTGCTGCCATGACTCGGCCTCCGGTGCCCCGTTGGGGCTACCGTCTCCAACCCTGCTGGCTTCTTCATATCGCCATGTCGTTGAACCCGACGCTGACTCGTTATGCAGCTCAGTGCGACACCAGCAGCCCCGTGTCGAGATGATCTGATGGCTCGTCCTTGGGTGCTCCTTCATCGAGGTATGTCCACCATCTCTACCCCACACCGTTATGATGGTTGTCTGACTATCTTTGCAGGGAGGAGTATCTCGAGAGCCACTACTCGGCAGGAGGGTATCTCGAGAGCCACTACTGTGGTGGGCTCTTCTTCCTGACAGCACAAGCCGTTCAACATAGGTCCGAGGGGTACCTTCAAAGCCCCTTGATGGTCCGGAGGGGACCTTTAAAGCCCTCTGACGGTCCGAGGGGGACCTTTAAAGCCCCTTGAGGTTGTGGGAGCCGCAAAACCCTCATTTTATATAACCCTTTCTTCGGCAGCGCCGCACTGCATATTAAAGCGGCACAACCACGCCACCTCCCGCCCTCTCCCTCCTCCTCACCGCCGACAGCCTCCGGTGCACTCTCGTTCCTGGTCAAGCCGACCCCAACGTTATCCGGCGTCCTTACGAGCCAAGCGCTCCATCATGAGGGTGTCGAAAGACTGCAAGACATGCTTCCTTCCCGCCACATTATTCAAGATGAAGTTAACTCTTGGTACGGCGAGGTTACGAACCTCGATGCGCGTCTTCCCGGGCTGCGCGAGGCCTTAAAGAACGGCAGGGACGATATCATGCAGGAAGTCGACCGCCTCAGCACTGAGCTCATCCAGCTTCTTCGTGACGCCCCCCATGCTGCTCTCATTCGAGAACGTGCCTTTCACTTGTCTGGCCTGGGCCAAGTTCAACAGCCTGCTACGCACCCGTGGGCCGTGACAGCTCATCCTCTCAACGTTACGCCCGCTGGCCCGGTCAATGGCTTCAACCAGCAACCTCCTCCTTCAAGCTCACGTCATGGTCTTCCTCCCCCCAGCGGCATGGACGACATCAGCCCCGACTGCTGGCGGTATTCTGGCGGATAAGGCTGTCTTGCAGGCCTACCAGAACGCAATCAATCAACGTGGGGCTGCATTCGGCGATCGCAGCGCAGGTCCAACCATCTCACCTGCCAGCTCCCCAGCAGCCTCTGTATCTACTCTGCCTGCTCCCAGCACGCTGTGCATCTACTGGTCTGTCGGCTCTCGTCCTTCCACTATGGGCGACCTGGTCTTCTCTCTGCATCTACGGAGTTTTCCACAACTGTCTGCTCTGGTCGTGGCTTATCATGAACGTCTGGGACTCGTGGTCCACGCTCAGGTCCTCCACCTTGACTCTGATGCCATCAGCTGCCCGGAACTATGTCCTGCGGTTCTTGCCTGCAGTCAAGTGGATGACCTCCCCTCCTCCCCCTCTCGAAAATTTAGATACGCTCTGAATAGATCATTGAACATTGAACTCATTGCTTGACTTGACTTGTGAAATGTGACTTCGCTGCATGCATATCTTCGTGACAGATGTACGCCAACACGCCGTGATCAAACCATGACCGAGTCTCGTATTTACTCTACAATGCCTGCCCATGCTAAACCGAATTCCTCTCGCCTAGACCGGAGTCTCCAATTTCCTCGCTGTGCCACATCCACCGAAGTCGCTGGGCGAAATTCGTGAAGCGAGGTGCCTGGTGATGGTGTGGAAACAAAGGCGAGGTCCAACAATGGCTTTGTTTTCTGAGAGAGCGTAACCGCCACCAGCCCGAGAAACACGGGCCTATCTTCTGCCTGCGAGATGACAGCACCGGCGGCGAAGGCTTTGGGAAGGTGCAACGGTCATTGGTGGTTGCGAAAGGGTGAGCGATCATTGTAAGGCATGGAAGGCAGGCCCTTTCAAAGCAGACAAGCACCACAACGAGAGCGAAATCCGCTCTGGAAGGACCGCCGCCGTAGCTGTCGCCGGATTATCAATTATAGCGCGGCGGTCAACAGGGCTACAGGCGCGGCTCACAGGATGGACATGAAAGTCAGAGGGGTTGGAAGGCGGGTGCGAAGTCACGCAGTTGCAAGGTGCCCAGGATGAGAGGAATATAATGATTTGCTTGAAGTATTTACATGACACTAAGATCGTGTCTCCCAAAATAGCATCATGGATGCTCACACACCAGTCAGTCAGTTCGTCTCACCATCCTTCACCACTCAAGCCCAGACCTAGCCTTGTGCGTGGTCAACCCGCCATTTTCGATCATTGCATTTTGGTTTTCGATATACCTTGTTGTACTTGTGCTTGTCTCTAATGGTGCGCGGAGTTGTGTTGTTTGAGAACCCAGCCAGCCCACGTGAGGTAGCATCGGAGCCTGGCCATTATGTGAGCCGCCGCCAGGGTCGAGAGGGAGGATTTGTTGTGGCCAACCTCGAAGGACGGGACCCTGGCGGCGGCGGGAGGATGGATGGACAGTAGTGGTGGTGGCCGAAACCTAGGGCCCTGACGCTGTGTTCGGCATGTTAGCGATGGCTCTGCACCAGAGCGGGAAGGGGAAGACCTGGCAACTTACTCGCAGGGGTTTGTGGCCTGGAGGCCGCCACCCGGGTCCTCGGAGAGCTGTGGAGTGTCGGTGTCTGGGGATGACCCGGGCAGCGGCCAAAAGAGTAACACGCAGGGAGAGAGCCACTGTCATGTTGTCAGCGCGGTCGGTCTTTTGCAAGCTAGAGTGAGGTGGGAGTCGTACCAAAAAAAAAAAGCAAAATGGCGCTTTTTCGCGCCACGGACGCGCCGTTGTTGGCGCTGCCAGCGTTGCCGGAGCTGTCAGCGCTGCCGTTGGCGTGGGCAGCTGCCCGCCACCCAGGTCCCTGATTGTCTTCTGCGGACCCAGGTGGCAGGCTGAGGAGAACACGGCGAGTAGGGCGGGCGTCTGGGCCCACTGATAGCAGTAGTGATGTGGGTACTGTTCAGCCATGTTAGCAGACAGCTCTTGCAGAGTTATTGCGAGGTGAGCGTACGAAGATGTGTTCCGTGAGAACAGGACAGAGCTGTTGGTGAAGGGTTCACCAGAAGGGTCTGGGTTTGAAATCCCCCTGCATGGCAGTACTGTCAGCAGGACGACGAGCCGAGAGGACACGAGTAACTCACAATTGCATCATGTGGAGGGTAGTTGAGGAGGAATGAGAGTGTGGTTGTTGAGGAGCGGGAGGAAGATTGCGGGAGGCTAAGAAGGCAGCGGGTCAAGGGACGCTGGCAGCCTGGGTCTAGCCATTTGGGGAAGGCCCAACGGCCGCCACATCAGGCGAGGATCTAGCGCTCTCGCCTCTCATTGGTCAGAAGGTAGACGTCACGGCCGGGGCAGAGATGGGGAAGGCGAGCCTTGGTTGAGTTAGCAGCTGTCATCTTGCAAGGGGAAGTGACTTGATGTGCACTATGGGCTATTAGTGGCGACTGTCTTTCTGGGGCCCGGCCGCCGTTCACAGATGTTGGATGCGTCCTGGCGGCTGTGCTGTCATGACTGAACTCCAATGCGATGGGGTTCACTCTTGACGGAGTACTACCATGTGGGGGCACATATTATCTTTCTTGAATGGCGGGCAGATGGCCCCTTCTATTCCGCTCCCAGCGTCGCCCGTGCACCCTGTTTCTCGAGCGCGTCCCCGTCAGCGAGATTTGCGACGCGCAAAGGAATAGCGACATAGATATGCTAGCCAATTCAGGAAAGCAAAAAGGGAAGCAGCTGTGTCCAAGATCGCCTGATCTGCATCGGGTTTGTCTTGTCGGCAGGATCCGGCATCCATCCTGTGGTGGCCGTCGGCGATGAAGTGGACCACTGAAATAGTCTGATGCCGCGGAACGGCTCCATTTCAGCTTTCTTTGAAAGGTCATGGCAATGTAGAATACATGGACAGGTCATCAAATGCATCACTACAAACACGAAGATGTGGCGTGCCGCCAAGAGAAGGAAAAAGGTCTCTTTGATTGTAGGGTGCCTCATAGTACATGAAATGAGTAAGCTGCACCTCTTGATCTCTCCATGTATCTGTATCGCAGCAAGGAAATGTAAAGTAACCATCATAGGTCGAAGCCCTCATGCTGGCGCGTCCCTGGTAAATCCATATTGTAGTTCCATGTGCATGAGTGCTTCAGCAGTGCCCTGTTGTGACGGCGGGCAAGTAGTCCGTGGGCTCGGTCCACAGTCTCTCTGACAAGATCTGTCGGACGACCCTTGTGCCATGGCTGTCGAGATCACATCGTGAACAGAGGCAGGATGGGCCAGATGCGAGCGGTCGTAGGCGGTCCCGTGGGCGGGAGGGGGCTGATGTACGACATCTCGGGAATCGAAGCGAGTGCCTTCTGCTTGTCGTCGTACTGAACGTGGGAGGTCTGTTAGATCGTTAGCAAGCCGACATTCACAAGTGCCGTGAGGTGCAATGAGCAACACAGCCCGCGATCGAGGATCGAGGAGGTTCGACTTACCGGAGCCTGCTTGCAGCGAGACGTGCAGACACGAGTGCCGAGTCCACCAGAAGCGTGGGTGCCGTTGACGAGAGGCGCAGTGGGAAGAGGGTAGCGAACCAGCTTCTGGGGAGGCTGGATCATGCAGCGGCACTGCGAACGAGTCGCGAAGAAGAGGTCACGGACGATCTTCGGAGCCATTGTGTGAGCGTGGTTCGTGCGAGTGCGTGGTTGGTGGAGGGCTTGAGTGGGACTTCGACGAGGCTCGAAGTTGAGTGTGTTTGGGGTTGGTCTGGGAGAAGGGTTGCTCCATGGTCAGCTGCATTATATCGGGGCGGAAGGTCCGTGATGTCATACCAAGACTTCCGCAAGCGTGATGGTCGGGCCTGGCTGCCTAGGAACCGACGTCCGGCGGCGGCAAGAGAGCGGCGGCGGGGGAGCTGTGTGTGTCTAGCAGTAGCTCCCGCGATTGGGTCATTCACCAACGGCGTGCGCGGCCAACCGCCTCAGCGCGGAAATTCCACACCCTCGCAAGCGATGCATCCCAAAGGACCGCGCTCTCCAGCTCATTCACACCGCAAGCCCATCATGCTCTTGAGCTTCCAGCCCTCACTCGACTTGTCGTCCGCGTCGCTGTCTGCGATCAGGACCCAAAGGCAAATGTCTCCCATGGGGCAAACTTAGAACGGTCACTGTCAGCTCATCCTCCCACACGGCCACGCTATGATGCTAGATTAAGAGGAGAGCTCCCTCGGCGGAGACAGCTTCACTACGGTCGGCGCACTCTCCACCTCACAAGTTCAAGCGCTACTCTACGCTAACAAGACGTGTAGGGTTGATGGCCCCCTCCTCCATTCCAATCGAATCTCCTGCGCTGGTGCACAGTCACTGTCTCGTTTCACGAACGAATCCACCGCTATGAGTCGCTGGAGTATGATAGGCAGACCTTCGTCTCATACCTATACTGCGAACACCAGCTTCAGAAAGCCTGTCCCTCTCCACGACGTTCCGCTGCCCTGCTTCGCCAGCTCGATCTTGCCGAGAGCTCTACCCTTACAACTTCCCAACTTCTCGCTCCTGAAGGTCGCCGTTCTCGCACCATATTGTCAGACCAGCACTGGTGCGGCGTTCAGGCCATGGCGCTCTTCAGAGTGCTCAAGCAACCCATCGGAGTAGACTCTGCAACATACTTGCTTGGTAACAATGAAGTTCGGACTGGAAGGAAGCACGCGCGAGTGTGAAAACAAAGAGAAAGTCTCCACAACTTCCTTAAAAGCCGCCATTTGCATGTTAGAAGTCGTCTAAGGGCGACAGACTCTGGTGAGTGGGTGGATGTGATGACCTTCTTCTAGAGAGAGACGCGTGAGCCAGGGCCACAAATCAAACCACTATACCATGAAGAGAATGAGTGAGGCTTTGCAATGGGCATTGGGCAACATGGCCTGCAGCAAGGGGAAACAGGAATTATCTCAGAGGCACATACTGTAGGGAATCCTCGAAATGCGGTTTCTGTTTTACGAGTTAGAGTGACCATGTACCGTCTCCGCGTCTGCACTGTGGCCTCTTCTGCAAGGTTGAAGATATACAATCAATCCACCACTAGTTGCTGCACCACGCCTTTCCCAACATATCCAGCGGCGGCAACACCGAAAGGCCAAGCCGTGTATCGTGCACCATGCCATCCAAGCCCACGGGTTCCAGTGCATCTTCCTGGTGGGAGGCTGCAACAAAGAGGAGGAATCCTTCTTCTTCTAACAATTGTTGAAATTATTTGTAGACTTTTGCTGGAAGGACGTGGGCTTCATTTTCTGTGCCGGTCGCCCGCGCCCCACTAACACCGAAGCCACTATAATGGAGACAAAATCGTGGCAGGTCTTTTGCTCTAGGCGCTTTCATGTGAGGCTAAAAGAACTTTGCCAGAGGGCATCCTGAGAGTCCTCCTCAAGAGGAAGTTGTCTGGCCCCGGCAGCTGAGGATGTCGAAGCCTCCACTTCTGATCTCGGCAGATCGGACAGGCAGCTCTAGTGGAACCAAGACAGTTCAAAGTTCACGTCAAGGGAGGAGGGACATGAAGGCCCGATGTGTCCGCCAACGAACGGTTCTGCAACAGAAACCCGTCTAAAGATTTGAGCAACACCCGCCGACGCCCAGTTTGCACGTGAAATGAAGATTGAGGCGGGGATTCCTCCTTGGACACTGAAATATGGGTGCGTTCCACTGCACTGTCCATCCGGCTTCCTCCTGCGTAGAGTCTTTGCAGCATGGACCTCGGACGTCGACCATGGCATGTTCAGCGAATCCACCATCGTCGACAATGTCAACGGCGGCCGCCATAATGTAGTGAACAGGGATGCCTCGCTGACAGTCCCGCCAGCAGCGCTTCCACCCGCTTCTACGCAGGTTCCAAACCGCACCTTCCTGCCGAGCACCACCACCCGAAGTAGCCTAGCCCAGGCCATCGCCCCATCGACTCATGCATGCGCCCAGCCCGCTCCCAGCAACGACCCGCCTACTTAAGCCCCCCAACCGGGCGCCCCAAGTCCTCTTTTCCTTCTTCAGCTCTCTTTGCCTTTTGGCTTAGATCAAGTGAAGTAGCTGTTCCTTTTAGTTTAATCTCTAGAACGTCCCTACGGGGGTATTTTCTACTGATTAAACTAGTTTTTGGAACTAGACTCTTGGGCCGCTGAGCTCCGCTCATGTCCAGAGCACAGTGTCGCCTCTATTGCACTGCCTGAGGCTGACGCGAACTTCTTTTGCGCTTTTCGTCAATTATCTGGCCTTGAGCCGGCTTTTGAGGAAGAGCTTTTTGAACGCTTGGATGAGCAGAAGAGAACGGACGTCGGGCTTGTCGAGGTGACGTGGCTGTGTGCGCTTACCCCGAGCAACGAGGGAGGCGCGCGCCTCGGCTTGTCGAGCGGGGCTTCTTGCGATCGCGAGCTGAAGCTGTTTGTGTGGTGTCGCTGTCGCGCGGCGGGGCTGACATCGTAATGCGGAGCGCGCTCATCACTTCACACCTGTGTGCAACGAACCACAGCTAGTGGCGTCAGGTAGCTGAATTCACGATTTTTTGTGAGTATTAAGATGCAACAGGCAACGGTGGAGCTGCGCGTTAGGTTCTTTTGAAGTCATCGCACATTAAGAGCATGCCGCCATCGCCGCCGACTGCCGCGGGTGCCCGTGGTGTGAGTCAGCACAAAAGACGAAATGGATGCACTTCGAGCTGTGGGCTCACATAATTATCGAATCCCTGGCTCTATTTTGCAACAGAGCGCGTCTGGAGGGATGGCCGCATGTGCGCGGCGCAAAGGCCGATTTTTCGATTCGAGAAGACACAAACCACCTGCTTCACGGCATCGGGCTGGGCACGAGGAAGCCCCGAACTGAGCCTCTCAGCAAGAAGGGCCTAGAAGTCAATATCGTGTCTGAGAGGGCGTACCTACAAGCTGCAGCGGTGCAGGCCGACGAGGACGCCGACACGTTGTCAGAGGATTCCGGACTCGAAGAAGAACATGGAGGATCAGCTCGCACCAACGCCGCCCAAAAATCCCACCACTATGGACGCACAATAGTAGACAAATGCCCAGAGCATTGCGAGGCACTCTGTCTATCCTTTCCCGCAGCGCGCCGCTTCCAGCACAGCTTCATCGACCTAGACACCATCCATGTCGACCCGGCCATTCCATCCGGCGTCGCCAGCATGACCGTCAAGCACAGAGAGCGCTGGCAGCGCCGGCTCCTCCACCAGAGCATGGCGATTCGGCTTTGCCGTCCTAATGAGCCGCGAACATCGGCCTGGCCAACGCCGACGTGGAAGGCAAAACCGACACCACGTGCGAAAAGCAAACGCAGACCCTGGGCTTACGAGTTAGAGAAACGCGTCGAGTAGCGTGCTCGGGCTACGAAAGGCTGTTGTACTTGGGCAAAGATTACAACGTCGACAATGTCAAGATGTGATGGCATTCGCGCGCGCGTCAGATATTTGAGGGTAACGATGAGCCGGTCGACGAGCAACCTGCACGTCTGACTGATGCCTTTGTAGATGCCGCCTGACACTGGCAAGGTCAGCGTCTGGAGTTTCTGGAGTGTCGTGAGCGTCGTGAGCGTCGCGCCCATCAAGTCACAGTGCTAAGTCGAGCTGACACGCATATGGGGCGGCAGCCCGAACATGTTGGGGCTCACAGGCCTACTCCGGGGAGGATCTGCGTGGTGATGCCGAGGTGGCCATATTCGGCTCCCGCCATCGTCGAGATCATCAGGCACAGCGACTATGAAGAGAAACCTTCTGGCATACATGGACAGTGGACACGGGTGTTGCGGCAAGACTTTGTAGCTCTTGATGCCACATTCAAACTCCAATGGCAGCGTCAAGAACCTGTAACATGAATGGACATGTAGTCATTGTATTCAACTAGTGTCTCCTACTTAAAGTCCAACCACTCCACCAAGGGAGGTTTGCAATGCCACTTGAGGTGGAAGTCCAGCATCTCGCCTAGCGGAGGTTCGCAGGGTGCCACTTGAGGTGGGCATCCTTCATCGGCCTCCTCATCAGCTCCGTCAGCGGGTAGACCTCTCCCGTCACTGGGGACTTCTTGAAGACCTGGTAACCGTTCGTCGCCTCATCGACGTCCATCCTGATCTCCACAGCCTGAAGCGTCGGGTGGTTCAAGTCGAGAATCCTCTTGGCGAGCTGCATCCGACCTTCCTCGGTGTTGTCATGGTCGTCCCGGGGAGAGCGAGAGAAGTAGTTGGTCGTGAGGATGCGCAGACGGCGGAGGTTCGTGATCATCTGGACCGCATCGTAGTAGCCCATGCCACCTCCGAACATCAAGTTCTTTAGCTCCTCAAGGTTGGGGAGCTCCTCTGCGATCCTCCAAGTCATGATGTAGCGCTGAACCTCGTCCAAGTGGAGCGAAGTCAGCTTAGTGAGAGCGGAAGCGTAGCGGAAGAACGCATCGTTATGTTCCTGAATCGGGTCCGTGCGGGTCATACGACCGTTGCTTCCAGTTATGGAGAGCTTCTTGGTATTCGGGCATAGGTGCATGAAGACCTCTGCGCCCATTGGGATCACCAGCTCTTCAACATTCTGAAGGGCTGGAATGCGAATGTAGAAGTCGTAGGCCTTGATGTCCTCCAGCAACGGGTAAGGAAGCCCATAAAGGCTAAGATACTTCAGAGAGATGGGCGTCTGGAGAAGGTCCAAGATGGCAGCAGGAATCAGCCTAGAGTGCGAGTCCTTGTCAATGCGCACATTCCACATAGAGTTGTGATCATGCGGATAGTAAGAACAGCGAATGCACAAAGACCTATCACCGTAGTTAGCACGCGTTTTTATAGAGTACGGTGAACGGTTAATATGGACGCCCTCTTCTTCGTACGGGTATTTTTTAATGAAGATTTGGGGAGACCTACCTGGCATGACGGATGACATCTCGGGGCCAGCGCAGGGTCCGCTCAAAGCGACTGCCTCCCATGTGGAGGTCAATGACGCCCAATCCTTGCTTCCATTCAGATGCGTAGTGTTCGTCCAGAGTGAGGATGGCCCGGCGGAATACGACAGGGGCTGTCATTTCGCGAATCGCTTTGTTTACCATGGAGAAAGCGATCAGCGGGCCAGGGGGCATACTTGGCGGACCGGAGGTACAGCCAGCCTCGCGCCTTCTCTGGTACTCGTAGTCGATGACCGCAATGTGTTCGGCGATCTTGATAATACAGTCCTCGTTCAGGCGCAAGATCGGGGGCGTCGGAGCGGCCATGTCGCGCTGAGGGCGCCCGTCGTCGGGGGCGGTCGCCTGCATGATCGGAAGGTGACGCGGAGTGGAAAGGGACGGAGGTTCGATAGAACGTAGATATTTTTTGAAGCACCCGCGATAAGGACCGTGCGCCACGCAGAATGCCCGCCGCATGCCATGCTGGGTGAGAGAAGGTCTCGTTTCCTGCGCCAAAAGCCCTTTGCTGCTCGTCGTTCTCTCGTAGGTCAACATGTGCTAGACCCCAGGCCGAAGACACAGGCTCACCCCCACTGGCAGCTCAATTGGCATGCTATGGTGGTTGCATCTCTGCTGGTCGTCTGCGGTGATGCTGAAGTTGAAGGCGGTTTGCCCTTCAACCAAGGAACTACTCCCCGGCCAGACAGGAGGCATCCACAGCGGACATTCCAGCAGTGCAGGCAGCCGTGAGCAAATTGCTGCGGTGGGGAGGAGCGGGCTGCGGCTTCTCGTTTTGGGGCGAGGCGGCGGCCAGCTTCAAAATGAGCGGGCGTGCGGGATCCCGGCCTCTCCCACTCCCTTCTCCTCCTCATCCTCCCGTCACCACCCCACGCGTCAAACAGATCAGCGCCGCGATTTCGATGCCTTACATCCGCCTACGTGTCCACAACACCTACCGCCAGCTCTATGACCGACGCGTTCGCGAGCCTCGCGCGCCCCTTCCCAGCATCGCGGCTCTGATTCCACAAGAAGTCCTCCAAGAGCCACACCCGCCACGGCCGTCCTTGACCCAACCAACGGACTACGCACCCCAGGAGGTCCCAACCCTTGAGCAGATGCCTTTCCGACCGAACTACAAGGCCGTCATGGCCTGGACTCTCACCGACACCACGCTGATCCTCGTCGTCTTCGCAATCGGCATCCTATTCGGACTACTCTTCCCTCCTGACCCTGACGAGGACGATGATGACGATCTCGCGATTCCCCCTCCACGCTGGGAGGATGAGCTGACTCCCGCGGTCGCTGCTGCCATCGAGCGCAACGCCGCTCAACGCGCTGCTCGCAACCAGCGCCTCGCCGAAGAGGGCTACGAGACCGACCGCGAGGACAACTGACTGCCGCATGTACTGTGAACGCGTCATTCTGATTTTTTTGTGGCGAAACATGCCGGATGTATGGTATGTGACCACGACGCCACCCTTCTGACCGTGGACATCGCTGACATCTCCGTGATGCGCAGGTCACATCCACCACCAACACAGACGCTCCACTGGGGTTTCATACCGCTGATTGCTTTGTCATGAGCCTATCATGCTGTGTGTAAGTCCAACACCGTGTAGTCCATCTTCAAAATGGTTCACTGATGTGAACATAGCGGCACAGGCTCAAACTCGAAGTTTCTTCAACGTTCAACGGAAAGCTCTTGCTCATATACTACGATTCCTGTCCCGTCTTTCCTAATGTTCCGTTGTACTGCACCTTGCATCGTGGATCGGTGAGTCTGAGGTGACGGGAGATCGGCACAACTTGCTGGTCATTGTGATGATAATGGGATGGCTGCTGTTTTCGTGGATCGGGTTCTGTAATACATTGTCGGAATACCTTGCTGGCTGCTTTCGATATTCTAGGAACAATGGAAGGTCTCTTGCTGTATACCTTTGTCGGTTCATTAAGTGATGCCACATCTTCGACACCGCGCTGTTCAGCTCCCGAATTCAACGCGTGAAGGCACACCTTAACACCCCAGGAGCATCAGCATGATCAGCCAATGCAAGGTCAATGACGTTTCTCGAAGCGTAATATACTAATAGCAAACGGTCAAGGCTCGCTCAGAAAAGAAGAGGGAGATTATACGTTTTCCCAGGCACCGACATATACCATGATAGGAAGCCCATTCAGGACCTTCCTCCCAGACGAGAGGCACAGTGTTCCATCCCTTGCTATCGACATATATCACAGCCAAAGTGGATGAGCAAGCCTCGTTTCGGAAAGCGTTTGTCAGGCTGCCAGAGGCACCTGTGAAGGGACAGATGGTGGAGGCTCGCAAGAGGGACGGTTCACCGCTGGTAGAGCTATCAACACTAACTGTCTGGTTACATTCAGCGCAAAAGGACAGCCAGCGCAGATTGCTCGGAGGAGTCGCAACCGCCGTGGCCAGCGACCTCCGCCACCGCTGACTTCGCCGCTGCGACTCTTGTAGCAGTGGTCCTTTGACGAGAGGTCACCCTGTTTTCTCAACTTCTGCCTACTCGTCTCCACGTCGATGCCGACCTCCTCGATTGGAAATGTGGATCTTGGGGGAGAGATATGCTTCTGCATTTATTTCTGTGTCGTTCGCGCTCGGATTGTGGACAGCGATCGTCTCATTCCTGACATGAAACTAGCCAGCAGCGGCTTTTGGCTTCTTCAGCAAGAGTGGTAGTTCTCAGCCCACCAGGACGGTTGTCACGATTGAGCAAGAGGAAGTGCTGGCAGTGGGCACTCAGCGGCAGCATAGGAATGACGGGCGCGAGAGACGAGGTCAGCAACGCGCAGATGAGACCAAAAACGGCCTTCACGCCCGAAGGAGCCTCTACATCGTGACTCTCCATCTGGGCAGCGAGCTGGCGTCAGTCACCGCATCGAGCTCCGAGATTCCGTGGCCCACGATCGGGCAGCTTCGTCGTGACTCCACACTCTCACTTCCCGCCGCGAGGCACTCCACGAGAAGAGGCGCTCATGAAGCACGACCGAGAGCAGCTTCATCCAGCAAAGAGCGTCCAAGGCGCCGCAGCGACAGGGAAGCCAGCAGACCAGCCATCGCACACGGCAAAGCTCCCTCAGCCGCCGCACCTCCAGCGGCCCCGAGCGTTCACTCCGCCCGCATGACCCGCATGACCCGCTCGCCCCCATGACCCCCAGATCTTTGCTCTTCCACAACCGGCGCCGCGGGGGCGCTGTCCAGCCCGCGCCTGCTCCATATGGCCCGTTGCCAGGCCAGCCGAAGGGCGCATGTGCGCAGGCCGCTGTGGAAAGTCTTGGCACGCCTATATAAACCCCCCTCTTCCTCTGCCTCCAAAACCTTTTCTTCTTCTTCATCCGGCCACCGAGGTGGCAGAGCGGGCTTGCTCTTCCATGACCGCTCCTGCGCCTCGCCGGACCAGGGAGAACCACGGCCGTTCAACAGACATCTCTTGGGCTAAAGATTCTTGCTCTTGGGGTGTTCTGACTACACTTGACTTAAAAATCAACGGCCTACATAAGAAACATTGAAATCTTAGTTAGTTTGAATGAAAACTTTTTTGTTTTTGCTTGTGCTTGCTTGCCTCGCCTTTTTTGCAGTGAAGTGAAGCTTTGTGCAAAAGCCTTAGCGCGCTGTCCGCTGCCCGCCTTCCAGCTCTTGCGTCGCGACAGCGCCTCATACTATCCCCTTCGTAACCTTAGACGCAAGCCAGCCCATCGCTGGCGGGCTCCGCGCGTTTCGCGATCGCGACCGTGGTGTCGAGCGCTGTGGAGCGCCCGCGCGTTCGACCGTCGACGGCTACCCGCGCTCGCGCGTCGTCGCAGGCTCGCTCTATCGCGTCTACGTCCGCTTGCTTCGCTCGCGGCCACTCAGCCCGTCCTTTTCGGCGGCGTCAGACGTGTCGCTGGTGTTTTGATGGCGGGCGGGCGGGTGGTTGACGGCGACGCGGCATTCGCGGCGGCGGCGGCGGCGTCTGCGAACAGTGAGCCCGCCCCCGCGCGCGCCGGGTGAGCGAGCGCACAAACCGCGGTCAGCTCGGTGGGCCGCGGCTGTTGCGCGCGCGATGCTATGGATTTGGCGGTCGAGCTTGCTCGCTGCCTGTACTTTTGGCTCGGAGCCGCTGCAGAGACTGCAGGAGCGCGGCGAGGTGAGGTGGATTCCGCCCCAACGCCAGGGTGTATCAGCAAAGTGGATGGTCTACGCAGGGCCCTCTCCTCTGTGGTGGCGGGTCAGCTTGCTGAGCAGAGCGGACGAATCCTGTCGTTGTGGGAGTTGTCCGCGACAGAGGATCATGTCAACGTCAACACCGCTGACAACCGCAAGCGACAGGCATCGCGAACACCAGAGACTCCGATTCGACGCATTGCAGCATCAACAGCCTCCATGGAGGCATCGGAGTGAGGATGTGATCCATGCGGATGCGGAGCACCTCCAGACTGGCGCAGTGTTCTCAACAGTCTAGCTCAGCGAAGGACGCCGCGGGGACGTCGTTGTTCTTACACTGATCTCGCGTGGCAGCCCAGGAATCGGGGTGGCTGCTACGGATGATGACGACTGTTTTTCTCATCTTCGGTCAGGCAGCCTACTCTCATTTCCACCGACATGAGACAACGAGCGTTCTTTCTGCCGGCCTGTTGCTCTTCACACACCACTGAAGTTCCTTGAGAGGTACGAATACGGCGACGTGCCGAGAAGAGTAGACAAGATCTGATGGAATGGGTGCTAGTTCCGGGTGATGTACCCTGGACGTGCAGGTTTGCAGACGTGATGCGCCTTCGCATTTCTCACTGGACTTCCGCGCAACACAGAGTCTGAGTGCAGCGTGATTCTCACGCCGCGTGAATCTCACGCCGCGTGAATATGAATTATCTCTTGGACTGCTGTCTAAAGCTACCGACGCTTCACTTAACATTCAGGTGGGGCGTCGGGATTTGATGAGTGCAGCTGCGGCGCGATTGATTGGGGTAGCGGAGAAGAGACATGGGATCCATGCGGGAACGGCATTTAGACGACGCGGGTACCCGGGAAGCTGATTTGTTCGCTGTTCTCGTTTCCTTCGGCGTCAATTTGCCAAATACCGACGCAAAGTCTGTAATATAAGTCAAAGCTGAGCCAAATCCATGACTGCTCCATGGCTGCTTCATCGGGGATTGGATGTCAGAATGTGTGTATTTTCTGGGACCCTTACGTACCAGGATCCGCAGAGAAATATCCCCAATAGCGGGCCGTGGTGATTTTGTGAAGTTCGTTGCAATTGCCTGTGAATTGATTGCCAATTGCTTGTCAACAACTGGTCAATTGCTGGAGCCCGGCTGGAGAGCTCTTTCACGTGCGCGTCACGACGGCGCGTCACGGTGACGCGTCGCCGCAGCTGGGCGCGTCATAGCGGCGCGTCATGCCAGCGCGTCCGTGTTTTGGCTCGCGGGCGCCGGACGGCTTTGCTGTCGGAGTAGGCGGTCATGTCTTGGCGGCGGCATAGCTGGTGTTCTTCGCCGCGCTCACCACCATCCTCCCCTCCACTTCACTCATCCTTTCACCACTCCACCGCTCCTCGTTCCTCTTCGCTTCCACACTACTCTGCATCGCTATCCCCTCCTCTCATGCGCTACAGCTTCCTGCGAAGCGCCAATGCCGCCGCAACCTCATCCGACAGCTTGCATCGGCGGGCGTCGCGTCCAAAGCGCACGTCGTCACAGCTACTGCCATCACCGCGTCGGGCTGCAAGATCTGCGCTTTGCAGCTCGCTCCTGAAGATGCAGCCGCGACTTTCAATCTGCATTGGCTCTGCCTCTTGAAAATTCTGCTCATGCTGGTCTGTCATCGCTCCCCCTTCACTCCACCCTCGCCCGTCACTGACTTAGCAATTTTGGCAGAGCCGCGACACCTGTCGTCACGTCACCACAACTCTCGTCTTTGACTCACGCCAACCTCTGACTCAAGCCGACTGGCACCTCGCTTCCGCGATTATGATTCGCAATTGAGAGCCGCCAACCGTGGCGCGTCGGACCCGCGAGCCAACACAAGATCTTCCTGCAGCGGTACCAAAATGCGACCGTTTCACCTTGCGCATTTTGCCTTGCGCCTTTCTTGGCCCGCCATCCGCCATGCCTGTATCATGGAGCCCGTCACTCGTCTCACCTGACGCGACCAGATTTTCCTAGATCTTCTCTGCGAAGGTGAGGGTAACCATCATGAAAAATTTTCTTCCTCAAAGCCCCTCTCACCTGCCATGTTCTTTTCACCAGTGGCCCCGCCTCTGGGTCTTGGCTAATCCAATGCTCAATGACTCTGGTTATCGGTGCCCAGAGCAGAACACTGCAGCCACACTGTCCTACCCTGACTGTGCAGGTATTGGGCTCCACACAGGTCTTCCCTCACTTTCCCTCCCCGGCTCTTCACCTCCCCATCACCGTCAACTGTTCATGGCTAATTGTAACCCACAGGCACTCGTTTCTCTTTCAGCTTCGCCGCTCCATCACTCCTCTCGTCTACTCTCCTACATCTTCTTCCGATGTTCCAGATCTTCGGGTCCCGAATCAACAAGCTCTTCTCATCTTCCCTTCACCATCGGCGGTCATCTCCAAGTCTCTGGGCTTTCACCCCACACCAGAGACATCGATGCCGCCGCAAATCAGACCGACCAACCTGTGTGGCATCGACCAAGGCTTCCTGTCAGGCAGAAATGTCGGGGGCTGTCATTGCGACGTGGGCCACGGTCGCGCCTACGACCCAGTGCGGGATTTCTGGACTCAAGAAGTTGATCCTTCGATTGCTTATACACACCGCCACCTGTGGGAACTGGGGGACTGTGGGCACTGGGGGGAACTGTGCGAACTGGGGGAAGAGACCGGACTTCTCGCACTGGGGCTAGGCACAACTGACAGGTTGGAACATCACAAACCGATTGGAGCTCCCTGTTAGGCTGAAAACTTGGGTGGGCACGCCGCCCGTCTGTGGGAACTGGGGGATTGTGGAAACTAGGGGGTTGTGGGAACTGGGGGACTGTTGGAACTGGGGGATTGTGGGAACTGGGGGACTGTTAGAATTGGGGACCTCTCGCACTGGCTTTAGGCACAACTGAGAGGTTGGAACATCACGAACTCCCTGTCAGGCTGAAAAGTCGGGGGTGCCGTGCAGGCGCGGGCTTCGGTCGTGCTTTGCGGGTCATTCAGATTCCTGGTCCTCTGGGCCCTTGTTGAGCGACCGGGTCTGTCATGGCATTGGCATAGCCTTTTACTGATGGGAGATACTGCCAAAGATCATTGTCCACCGCTGCTACTGGTACGTTCTCTCCTCCATTTCCTTTCTTTGATGTCCATGATATCTCCCCCTTCGTTCTCCCCTCACTGTCTTTGCGTTTCGCATCCGGCATGCCATGGCGCTCCTGGAGGCCTTATCACCACCAGGGACACATGACGCGCCGCAAATCAACACCACCAGCAACACCAACTGGAGCTCCCTGTCAGGCAGAAATGTCGGGGGTGCCCTTTGGCATGGGCTCTGGTTGTGCTCAGCGGGTCACGAGATTTCTGGACGCCAAGAAAAACTCAAAGTCGTAACCAGGTCCAGAAGGGAACGGGGGGAGTGACCAGACCTCTCATGGCAATGGCTGAGCCCCAATGCTGCAGTGGAACATGCCCCAATCCTACCCTTGTCGCTTCTTTTGATCATCTCGCTAACCTTTCTCTTTCTCCCTCCACAGGTTCCATCCATCACGCCAAACGACGAGCGGCATGTCGACGCCTCCAGTCGGGCTTCCTACCTTCGGGGGGCGGAGACGTCGCCGAAGATCAACACATACCCACCTGCCACCGCGCAGTATCAACCAACCAAAGTCACCTGTCAGACAGAAATGTCGGGGGTAAGCCTGTTTACGTAGTACTCAGGTCTGGGCTTTCGGTTGTGCGGAGCAGTCACCTGTGTAGCCTCGGCAGCCGGGACCAGGGTGTCCTACGCCTAGTCTGGGTGCCTCAAGAATGATCAACGACGCATGCTTCCATGGATCCCGGACGACGACGACGACCGACCGATCGAATGACCGACCGACCGACCGACCGATGACGACGCCGCGGCCGAGCTGCATACCGAGTTTTTTCCCCGCCGCGGCCTAGCTGCATACCGATCATTCTTCCCACTCCCGCTCGATCCGTATACCGATTGCTCCGACGCCGCAGCCGAGCTGCACACCGATTCTTCCTCGATCCGCGTACCGACGATCCCGACGCCGCCGTCAATCCGCATACCGATTCTTCCCACGCCGCGGCCAAGCTGCATACCGATTATTCCACGACCGACTCCGCATGCATGATCATTCACACGGGCCCATGACGAAGTGTAGAGCAGCTGACTTCTGGTGTACTGGCTCCGCGTCTCCTGCCTGCCTCTGGCGGAGACTTTTCTGTGGGACATATCTTTATCACACGGCGCGCTCGATCGGTCTTTGATGCTGTTTTGTACGCGTCTTAGATCTGGAGTAAGCCGCAGAAAGCAAATGCATGTACATATTATCGCTCGTGCTCTGACTGGGGGGTTTTGTGGGATGGCAATGTTGGGGCTGCTGGGCTTTGGCGTGGTGTCATCAATGGACGTTGTTTGTCGCGCTCAGCAAACTGCTCGGGTGGATCAAACTGCGGGAAGTCTTTCTCATGCCGTCATTGACCCTCAGTTCCGGTTCCAGCCAAGGCTACTACACAGAGCCTGTATGCAAGCAAGCTGACTGGAGGAAGAAGGGGCTGTGGGTTCTAGGAGGATTCAAGAAGTAAACTATCCATTCGGGAAGGTTCTAGGCAGTGCATACGTGGTGGAACGATTTTTGTTTTCATCTACTCTTTGTATACTTTTTCCACTCCCCGTATCTTGTGTCTCCTTGGTTTACATGACGTTTTCGACCTTCTCACGATTCCCATATGCTATTGAAACGCATTGCTCCGTTACAAGACTAGACTTCACGCAGAATGCCGGTCGTGTGACTCCTTCATCGGTGCCACTACGATCGTCCACACTGACGTGGTTGATTGATTCCGACGTTCTCTCCAAAATTCCGACCGAGTGATCGTCCGGCGGAAGCGAAAACCACGAAACGCACTTCCCGGCATCTACCGTGGCAACTCTGCGAGACAGAAATGTTGTGGGTTTTCTCAATGGATCTATGATGCTCCCTGTTCCTTACTCTGCGTTCACACTCGTGCGGAAATCATGTAATGTAGGTCGCATCCGAGAAGCAACTGAAGAGGCGGATTGTAATTTATGAGCCCCGGAAACAGCATATTTGCTGGGAATTGGCGAGCTCTTATTATTAGGTTTATTGAGGCCCTGGGCTTCAAGCGGAGGGTTGGGAGGTACGGAATATCCTGGCAAGCTCCCTTCCGTGGGGGGCGGACAAGTGGTTGCTGGGCTTTCGGTGTATGCTTTGTGAAATCCACCCTTGCTTCAAATTTCTCATTCCAGGATATATGTAGGGAGCCGTTTCATACATGCTTGGAGGGTGGAGTAGGAGACAGGACTGGCGGACTGGGCAACCGGTCGATGGGCCAAATGAGCGATGGAAGAAGCCGGATTTGCGGGTAGTCAAGGCGGTGATTCAGTTCCTGAAATCGACTGCACGGCTGTCCAGCCAGGATAGAACTGGTGGGGCGGTACAGCCGCCGCACGATCACTAAACGGAGGTGGGCTGAGAAGTAAGGCAAGGTAACAACGGATGAATAACGCGGCAAAGTACGGATGGCTCCTATGTCTCAGCAGAAGATATCGTAGCCTGAATAGACCAATCCAATCCAATCCATATATCTTAAAGCCTGGCCGACCCCGTAGGAAGTGCGAGAGTACCGCGCCCTGTCAGATGGATATGATCACACCAGAGCATTTTTCTGTACTCGCCGTATCTTGTGCAGACTCGTACCTTGGCGATGAAGTGAAAACATTAAATCTATTCAATAAAAAACGCCTACGCTATATTATTATTCACTTATTAAACCTTGATTTATCAAAACAACCAGCCTCCTGACTCGAACCACCGTTCTCACCAGCCTCAATATCAGCAACCGCCATATGGGTAACAGCCACATGGCTCTCCTTAAGAATATACTTCTGGCTCTCGGCATCACTCAGCTCTTCCCAGTTGCGCTTCCCTGCCTCGCACGTCGTCAATCCTCCGCCGCCAGGGTTGGGGTTCAACACGTCAAGCTTGTGTCGGCTAGTGTGTCGGCTGCGGCGGAAGGTTAGGCCGCCGGACGATGCCTTGACGCCGGTGGACTTTGTGCGGTCGCTAGAGCCGGCGCTGTCGCCGCCGAGGAAGGGCACGTATTTGAGCAGCGGGCGTAACGCGGGTAGCGAGCCGGCGATTAGGCCTATTCCGGACTCGATGATAGACCAGGTGGCGATGTTGGCGATGTTGTAGAGGTAGTCGCTTGGATCGTTATAGCTGAACAGGTAGCGGAGGCGGACGAGCGTGGCGGTACTAGCACTGTTTGAAGTATTTCTCTTAGCTTGTATTCCTGTAATGGATCGGCCTTTTTCGTGCTTCATGCTGGGGGAAAAAAAAACAAAGAACGGCTTAGGCTTACACGACACCGAGCGCGAGGATAAGAGCAACTGAGGCCTTAATACGGAAGCGAAGCTGGACACTCGAAAGAATAAAAGCCGGTAGGATTGCGCAGGAGAAGTCGGTTATAATCGAGATGGTTGAAATAAAGTAAGAGACGTTAGTAATAACGCTAGAGTCAGCGCAGCTACCCCTTCGCTTATCCCAGGTTGCTGAAACGGGCTTGCACCAGGCCAGTACAGCTATATCGGTGGTAAGAGCAGCGATAAAGCTAAGAAACATAATAGTATAAAGAGACCAGATAAATCTCTTAGCAGTCGTAATGCGTAGCAAGGCAACGCAAATAGAACATTTAATCGGCACGGTACTAGCGACGTAGAATAGTTGGAAGAACATAAACCACTATATATAGCGTATATTAGTAGGATTCGCCTCGTATAGAACGTGAAATATTAAGCTACCTTGCGTCCTTCCCGGTTATAGTACTCGTTTAACTGCTCAACGCGTGTGCCGACACCGTTATATGCAGCGGAAATAGTTGCCTGGCATGCGAGAGTGTATAGTATCTATATTGTCCGTTAGAATATCGGCGGTAAAGCAGGTACGGCTCCAAGTAGATTGGCTAGCTTACGAGCCCAGAAACCATAAACCAGTCATCCGTTCCAATTCCCTTAATATTTCGTCGGACAAGGAGACGCCCGATAACGGTTACCCATGATAGAGCGAGGAGAATGATCGATACAAGAGCCAGGGTGAGACCGGGGCCTGTAGGTGTGAGTCCCATAACCGAATAGGTGACAGCACACCGGCGTAAAAAAAGAATAAAGACGTGTCGACAGGGAAATTTCCCATCGTACCTCGGATATAAGTATCTAGTGCACAACACGCGCAGAGCCATACAGGGGCAAAACGTAATGTTGGCATATGCACAACCGAATCCTAGCTTAGAGGTGGCTGGTCTAGATGGAGGATACATCTTCCGAAGGATGCGTAGACTTTCAGCTACCAGTCCGAAAAGTCCGATTGGACCACTAGTGAGAACCTGTACCACGGGACAAGAACCATCTGCAAGACTAGAGCCTAATGCACATGCACGTCACTACGCTAAAGGCGGGAGTACCTACTACCTGCTAAGAAGATTATCTTTCCTATCTAAACTAGCTCCGGCCTTAGTAAATAATATGACACGGCGCTAAGAGCATGTGCTAGTTTAAATGGAGTTCGCGTCGATGCGAGCTCTGCCCCGTTTACTGAAAGAGGTATAGCAAATCTGGAACCTTATATATCCGGCTGGTTATCCCGCTCGCCTCGGAGGCACGTTCACCAGTGATCTTGTTGGTTGGAGTAAGTGCTAAAATTTCCGAGCCTTTGCAGATGATCAACGGGTAGAGAAGTGCCACATTCCAGCAAGTCTTAAGACATAATCTAAATCAGAATCACGAATCACATTCCTCATATCTGAACGGATTTATCGGTCTTCAGACCGCTGGGTCATATGTGATTAGGGCCCGTTGACGGCAAAGTAAGATTTCTCTTACGATGCGATTCGAGTAGGCGACTCTTGGGCGGCTTGTGTTTTACTTGGCTCACAATCTAGCCATGTCGGCAGTTGCAAAAAGAGCTTTCGTGATAGCCAGGGGAAAGGGTTCTCAATGCAGGTCGGAGGCAACCGAATTTGGGGAAAGCTTGGCACTGTGGCGTTGGGCACGCTCCACCGCAATGACGCCCCTAAAATCATCACTAATCGAGAGTGACCATACATGTGCTGTTATTACTATCAGTCCACTCATGCGTAAGAAAAGGTCAGTGACATGAGAGAAGGAGGTACTTGATTGACAAGCTTTCCGGTCAAAGTTGGTGTGTTGCGCGATATTTTGTCCGCGTCTACTAGCGTAAAACTACGGCTGACACGGGACGGGAAGCCTCCCTCCTGCAGGAGCCACGCCGGGGCCAGCGCAGAAAACCGCGGCCTATGCGTCTGTGGGGAAATGTACTTAGAATCCGGCTAGTCCTGCATCATTGGCTTGTCGACGTGAAGCCGATGCGCGAGACGATGGACCTCCCCCTGCTCTAATCGCTGCAGTAAAAGCTTTCACGTCGAAGTCAGCAACTGACTCACATAGTCACAGACACCAGCAAACTGAGAGAAAATGGAGAGATACCTTCACGTGCCGGCTCAAGTTGATTGAGGGGAGTAAAGGAGAACAGCAACGCTAACAGGACCCTATCCACGCCGAGCCGTGGAAATGCACCCTGAAGATCATGGTTTCTATAATTTGGGGTCGGGGCGAAGCTATAGTGACTAAGTTCCGGGCGCAACGAGGTGCATGTAGAAGGATTTCTTTATAATTCTCCTGAATCCGAAGCGACTCTCCACTAGTCGTGACCAGACCGGGTGATCGTTTGAATGTTGAGCTGTGTCTCTCTTAGATTTTCTTTTATCAGATGCACAACCTGGATGATGGACACCGATCGTTTTCATTCTTTTCCTGGCCTGGGCCAATCTTCTCTCCTTTGTTCACTTACTCTATCTGTAACGGCGGGCCTCTGCCTCTACATGCATGTACGACTCGCTTGCGGTTCTTCACCCACCTTATTCATACACAATACCAATTCCTACACATAATGCCCGTCACGAAGCTTCATGAGCTGTATCTAGTCTACACTGCCACGCTAGCGTAGACAATTAATCTTAGTAGCTCCTTCATCCTCTTCCTGTGATTTCCAGCCGAGCGCCAAAAAGCCACCCCAAGGCGCTTCCCGCAGCGAATGCAATCACCCCGCCAAACACGAGTATCGCCGATTTTCTCAGCCAGACAGTCTCCGCGAAAGGTCAATAGGCGCAGATGGTGACATTCTATGCCAGGAAATCCCAGAGAAAGAGAGATGCGGTATTTTTGGCGGGACGCGGGGAATCCCCAATGCTGCGGTTATCTCAGTGCAGGCTTTGGAAAAGATGATGCACCACGTACAAATCTCAGCGGCCGCGGTGACACCCTGCGTAAGCCATATCACTGTCCTGAAAGACTCATACGGTGGACTTTCGGCGAAATCGACTAGCTCTCCATTGAAAGTAAGTCGTACAGGTTATGTCAGCAAGTTGAGCCACCAATGCACGTGCCAGCTTTGAAGGAGGCCGCTGGGCGGACCAGCTGCGGAACACACGTAGATGCCTTCGGCAGCCGCGGCACTCATTTATCATCACCATCATCATCCCATTTCCTGCCGCATCATTGCATTCCGCACCCACGAATCCTCAACTCAAAGGCGAAAGACTCCTTGTATGTACGAGAGACGCATCAGATCGGCATTTACCAACGCAGCTGCAGCTCTCACGGAGAACACTTGCTACCTTTGATATTCTCATCGGAGAAATCCTACCATGTCAGTCACATCTACTTGGGAAGGCATCACTCACAACGATGGCCTTGCTGTGATAGACAATTTCTACGATTCGGATGATACCTCTTCTCGTGCCTAAGATGCAGATGAAGCCAGCACAATCGCCGCTCTAACCAGCATTCGAGACGACACTGGGCAGCATTGTACGCAGCAGCTTCCCCGCTCTGTCACTACGCTGGCGCCCCCTCATGGAGCACAAGACCCCGTGTTGGGCGATTGTTCCCAATTTGAACGCGCTGGAAAACCTGGCCAATCGCAGGTGCTTAAAAAAAGTCAGCACTAACTTCAGTGAAGCTCTCGGCCTGAGGCATACTTCCATAACGAGATGGAGAGTCACGCGAAAATGGACATAATTCCAGTAACATATACCCACTGGTGAGTCCATATTGTCGTTTTCACTTCGTTATTAATCACTGATCAGTTGTATGACTGAAGTACGTGAAAGAACCAACTGTAGAAAATGAGTCAGAAGTAAAAGCGATAACTGACGCTAATAACGCCGAACGCCATGTGCGTCGTCATCACTGTCATCGTCATCGTATCCGTCGTCTGTACGACCATCTTCCTCATCGCCATATCCACTATCTTGGCCATCATCGTGTCCATATCCGTCGCCTTCATACGCATGATGTCCATTCTCCTCATGTCCGCCTTCATCATCATAGTCATGATATTCCACATGGGTGTCGCCATGGTCTCCATCGTCGTATTCATGATCACCACACGTAGTAGCAGGTGAATAAACGCTAGGCGATGCGGTGTCGTATTGCCAGTCGGCTGTGGACTGAACTTGTGGCTCATAATGAGAGACTTCGTCATGTGGGAAAGGCATAGCGTGCTGCGGCGCTGGCTGGGAACGAACGTGTTGATAATGTGGCTGCTGATGGTGTGATGGTATGTGATGATACGAAGGTGCATGATGCTGCAACCCATGACCAAGAAGCAACTGATTAACCTCGGGCTGCGGACGATGCTCTTCGTATCTCAGCAACTTCTGCTTCGCAGGCTTCTGCTGCCGTGGCTCCACCTGATACGACTCCACGAGCCGCGGCTGCGAGTTGTCCTTGCTAAGCATCGCGATGACGGCGTCAAACTCCGGAACCAGTCCACGCTCTTCCGCCGCGAGCGAACTCCTCCTCCAATCCGCGTAATCGAGCGGACCGGCGCCATGGACATCCATCTCAGCCCTATCAACCCGACATGTCTCGATCAAGAACTTACACACGTCCACGAAGCCTTCCTCCGCCGCAAACGACAGCGGACTGCGCCCTCCCGCATCACTCGCCCTGGGATCCGCACCAGCCCGGAACAGCAGATCGACGACTTCGACGACGCCGGCCTGCGCCGCCAGTGAGAGCGGCGTGCGGCCCAGCTTGTCTTGTACGTCAACACTGATTCCCTTGCAAGTAAGAAGCAACCGCACGACCTCGACACTTCTGCCGAAGGCCGCCAGCGCCAGTGGTGTCCGCCCATCGGCATCTCCAGCCTCGATGTCAATGACAGCGTTCTCGAGCAGCAGCCTCACCACCTCAGTACTCCCGCATCCAGCAGCAAGAGCGAGCGGTGTCCGTCCATCCACATCCCTCGCCTCGATATCGACGGCGGCGCTCGCCAGCAGCAGCCGGACGATGTCGGCGTTGCCGTGTGCCGCCGCAGTGGCAAGTGGCGTGCGGCCGGTGTGGGGATCTTTGCGGTCGAACTCGTTCGTGTGAGAGGAGGCGGATAAGAGGGTGCTGAGAAGCGCGGGCGAGTTCTCGCCGGCGAGGACGTGGAGGAGGGGTGTGTCGGCGGCATAGGGCGCTGGTTGCTGCTGCTGGTGCTGCTCGGGGGCTGCGGAGAAGAGCGTGTTTCTCAGGTTGATGTACTTGGGGAGCGGGAAGGATTGCAGGAAGGCAACTTGGCTGATGCCGGCGTTTTGGGCGGCGTTGGAGTGGTGGAGGATGTTTTCGACGGCGTACTGGATCGCAGCTGAGAGTGGGTCGTCGGGCGGCGGTAGGTGGGGCAGCGGAGGCAGAGTGTGTGAGTGGTGGCTGGCGTCGGTAGCAGCGTCGTGGTAGTACTGCATGGCCGCTCCGGTGCCGTGGTGGGGGAGGAAGAGCTCGTCTGCCGCGAAGCCTTGCCCGGGCTGATCGTCGTAGTAGGGCTCGACGGATCCTCGCTCCAAGCAGCCCGCCTCATCATCCTGCCAGCCGAGGTATCCACCGTGCTCTACAGCACGCAGTGCCGGAACAAACGCGTTCTGAATCAGACTGCCAAAGCAGCCCGCCACGACATCATGGCTTTTGCCGAGGAAGGTTTCCGGCGATTCGCGCCACACCTGGCTGATAGCCTCATCACTGCGGAGGTACTCCGATACGGACGCGTGGACGAACCGCACGACCGATCCATGCGGCCCAGCGACCTCTACGAGCCCTGCGGATGCGTCGATGAGGAAGTCTCGTGCCCGATCCTCGATGGACCCTCTCTGGCCAAACGAATCGCTCAGCATACTCAAAGCGTCCGAACCGGCGGTCAGCATCGTGACTAGAGGGTAGAGGCTCATCGGACTGGGCGGCCTTTGCGAGAAGAGCACCAAGCGGAGGCAATGCAGCATTGGGTCGTTGCTGTCCCGCGTCAGGACATGCTGGTACAGTCCGCAGAGATCGGACGGCATCTCGTCGAGGCGCTGTTGAAGCATGGGTGGACGGCCGTAGGCCAGCTCCTTGCGGAGAGCCTCGACGGCAACGACGGCCCAGAGAAAGACGCCAGAGGCTTTCTGCTGCAGGCTTTTGCAGATGCGCCGCGCAGACTCGCTTTGGCCAATCGGAAGGTTGTGTTCGATGTAGGTGAGAATGTCCCGCTTGTGACCTTCTTGCTCCTCGAGGATCAGCGTCCGCTGTTGCTGAGTGGAGGGCTTAGTGTCGTGTCTGCTGGAGAAACATGCCCTGAAGATGGTCCCTTTCTTCGCGCCTATCTGCGCCATCCGACGGCAAAAGGCTTCCACCTCTTGGACGACTTCGCACTCGTCTAGTGCGTCAATGAAACAAAGTACCGGACGGCCAAGACGGGGCATCACGGCCTCTAGGAGCTCCCTTAGTGCCGGTGTCTGCCATGTCAAGTTTGGCTCCCGTTTCCATTGCTCCAGCACAGGTATTTCGCTCGGGACACTCTCGGCTGCTTGTAGCACCTGCAGAAGTAAAGAGTGGTACATGCTCTTGACTGAATTTTGAGCTTTCGATCCTCTGTTACTGAAGAAGAAGGAGATGGCGAGGCGATTGTTCGCTTGTAAGTGTGTAACGGCGTATTTCATGATTGTAGATTTCCCACTCCCTGTGTTTCCCTTGATCCATAGAATAGGATCATCTTCTTTCGTGTTTCTCGACGTGTCGATAAAATTTCTGTATTCAGTATACTGCAGAATCCATTCACATGTTGAGTCATGAGCATTTTTGATTGTCGCTTGATGGTCTTCGAGCTCGGGGGTTGCATTTACCAGCGAAGCCCATAGACTTCGCCTTTGGTCTTCAGCGAGTGTCCGTATTATGCTAGTCTGTCTTACTTCTCAGTCAGCCTGGGCTTTTTATCATCTCGTTCAAGCGGAGCTGACTGACCTGCACTCTTCCAGAGCCTGTCTCAGCTGCCGAAGGACTTGTCGGTAGTTTGGATCTGCTTTACGGTCGAACCTAGCCATCTCTCGGTGATCCGCATGAATAGGAATGAAATCGTCTTCCGTCTGGGCGTAGGTCCGCGCTGCATTCAGATCGACGGGTTGGTAAAATTTGTCTTCATCCTCGTCATTGATTTTCTAGTCAAGTCAGCTCGTACTGTCGTATTCCAGTCGGGCACTACGTGTGTTACATACGGGCACGAGAGTAAGTTTCTGTTCCACACACGAGATTACGCGAATCTTAGTAGTTGTAGAGAGACGGCGCAAGTGGTCATGCAGGACTTTTAGGAGCTCTGAGTTGGGTTTCAGATCTCCCAGAGTCCGGATCATACTGCTGTTCTGTCGTTTCGACGCGCGAGTGAAAATCTCAAGAGGTTCAACGCTCATTCCTGAGTGAGGAGTTCCGAAAAATGTGGCGCATCGGATAGCCCTCAAGAGATCACCGTCTGAAGGTTTACCATCTTTCTTGGAAGACAGCTCATTCAAAACCTATGGAGGTCAGTACGTAGTTGCTTATACAAGAGTCGTCACAACATACCCAGCTTATGACAGTGCCGCCGTAGCTATGACCAACAAAGAACAATGGGCGTTCTTGGTCCTTTACATCATGTAAGCATATCATCAGTTTGTGGCACATCCTTACAATCATACCTCTGCACTTGATCGAAACTCCGGAAGCTCGCCAATAAGTTGCCGTCCGAAGTCGGAAAGCTGGGATGTTGAGGTGTCTTTATTCAACTTCGCCTCGTAACCAAATGACAAGACTCGAGCACCCTCAAGGTCGCTTCCAAGAAAGTCGCGGGGCCAAAATTTGCCATTGGCCGCCATCCATGACCCGATCGGATGACCGCCCAGTCCGTGAACGAAAACAACACTGGATATTCGGTTAGCTAATCTGGAATGTGACGTCGGTATGAATACGTACTCAACCCTTGGTGACTGTCCATCTTGAGGCTGAAATAGAGTCGTCAGTCCATGACAAGGGCCGAGGGCGATTTGGTCGTCGTTGCCGAGCTCAACCCAATCACGACGATTCGGTTCGTCATCAGACGGCAGTGATCTCGCGATAGGAGAGTAGAAGGTGACCAAAGCAGTATTTGTTTCACCTGTTGGATGTGTGTAGAATGAGTCGACGCGGAGCTTGTGGCCTGAGAACCGTTCCTGGAGTTGATCACTAAAGATTTGTTTGTTCCACTCGAAGGGTATGTCGTCGGCCCGAAAGACTCGTTTCTTTGCCGGGCGTGGTTTAACCTCTGCTGGAGCAGCGTTCCATGTAGCTGTGTCTGTATTTGGTGCAGCGGTAACTGCTTGCGATGCAGCTGTAGCTGAGGAGAGGGTAAGAGCCATGGTAAACAAGGAGTCTCACAACGAGGCAAGTTTGGTTGTTAATTTGAGATAAGAGGTTTGATTGAATTGGCAGTTCATTGTCGAATAATCCCCTATTTAACTCAAATTGAGGTTGAGCAAGCTGAAGGTCGGTATTGCTCAGCTACTCCGATTTTTGGCCCCATCCACGTCTTACTCCGCCAAGCCAGCCATTGATATTCTTAGGAATATTGAGTAGCAAATGCATTTCAGCCTTGAGGCGAAGCCTGTGATGTGCAATTTTCAGGATTCGCGTACGATAAGGAATGGTCGCATGCAGATCCTGGACGGTGTGGTGGGCTGCATGTCAAGTGGCTCGCTTACCGGGGCCAGAAATATCCAGGCAGCGACGCCTGCTGTCTCTTCACGGATGAAGCCGTCTCACGTGCATATGCACGCAGTGTGGCAGTGACGGCTATTTTGATGATATAAGCCATCGGCCGTGTGTCGCCCGAGTCGTGCCATTCCGCCGGCCCGGTTAATCAACAACCTATGGACATATCCGCTCGAAAGATGGACCAGAACACCGTGAATCAGATCACCGGGGATGACGAATGCTTTTTTCTTGGCCATCCGAAGGATCACGCATGGAATGCTTCATCAGCCTGGTGTCTCTGCATGCTTACTTGCTATCCCAATCTAGCACTCGGCCATGCCGATACACTCACAGTTTTCGTGAAGGATAAGCTTGAGGAGCCATGGCGGCATATATTGGACATGTTGGATATGTTTATTCTCCAATTGGCCATCATAGCTGTCAGGTTTATTCGAAATAGTGTTTAACATACCGATCACGCCCAAAATTAACACCTAGTCGGATCTTGCACTACGGCGCCATAGTGCCTCAGATCGGGCGAATTGGCCTGAAGAAAGATGGTCGACTGATATATGAGGTAAGGATGTGAGGTTCGAAGTCGGTAGCATTTTGGGGGACGGGAGAGCTTGACCCTCCACAGGACATTACATTCCTCGTTTGGGGGTATTTTTAGCTAATATCCAGATGTACATGAGCAGGAGACATTCACCAATAGAACGTACCGGCCTAGGTAGTGGGTGTAATGCTGTTTTCAATGAGTATCAGAACGCCGAACAGAGGTTGAAAAGAGAAACTTTTTATGGCCCCTTCTGGTAGGAATAAAGTAAATAACCCATTTTATCACCAGTGTTTGGCGGATGGTCGAGGAGTGATGATAGTGTAAGATAGAGTAACATTAGATCTGACTGCTTAGATAAAGCAAGTATAGGTAGCGACTGACAAGAAGATAAACAATACACAGCAAAGAATCCCCCCAATCGAAGCCCACACACCCTCCATAAACAATTTGCCTTGCCAACCCCCTTCCTAACCCACACAGCCCTCCATCACCAAACGAGCGTCACCAGAGTGTACCACCCCCATCCACCCCTCTCCGCTCACACAAACATCATCCCCATAAAAACATAAAACGCCGACACAAGCACCAGCTGCGCCAACTGCATATACCACAGCCTCCCCGCCCTCTGCACCGTCACGCCCTCGGCCCCCACCCCCTTCCGCTCAACCTCCCAATCGCCATCCACCAGCGCATTCAGCGCCCGCAACGCCCCCATACTCGCCAAGTACCCCAGCGCCAGCGCAAACGCGCCCATCAGCACGCCCGCCACCAGCAGCATCTTGTACCCGCGCTTGCTGGACTGGTTCGTCGACAGCGCGAACAGCAGGATGCCGCTGATGAGCAGGAAGACGACGTGCGTGGTCGGCGGCGACGCCGGGAAGACGTCGGTCTGCAGGTGGCGCGCGAGGCCGAGGGTTTGGTTGAGGGAGGAGCGGAGTGAGGCGGAGGCGGCGGAGGTGATGGGCCAGTCGTCCAGGAGCTGGTCGCCCAGGTCGTTGTTGTCTTTGATGCGCATGTTTGTGACGCATTGCGTGTGCGCGGTCGCGCCGCTGCCGTCGCTGATGCTGGGGCCGGAGGTGGTGTTGGTCATGGAGAGGCAGCCGCCTTGGGTGAGGGAGGGTTAGTGTGTGGGTCGGTGTGGTGGTGGTGGTGGTGGTGGTGGTGGTGGGTCGGAGGGGCGGGCTTACCGAAGAATCCGACGCGGAGGTTGACGGCGTATGTGTCGTTCGTGCCGAGGTCGGCGACGTAGAGTTTCTCCATGCTCGGCGAGATGCAGCCGACGAGGGTGAAGGCTGTTCTCTCATCAGTTTGCACTTGTGTCCATGGATGGGCTGGGATGCGGTGAGTACTGACCACCAAGGAAGAGCGCCGCGAGCCAGAACAAGGCGGCTAGCACACCAAGAATGTGCCTGGGAGAGGCCTTCTTCTTTGGGAATTTTCCCGGTTTACTATAGGCGGCTTTAGGTGTCTTTCTCGTCTTCTTGTTGTTAATGCCACGGTATGGAAACGCCATCTTAGCTAGAAGAGCGAAGATAGTAGAAGGGGGAAAGTTGGGTGTCTCGTGAAGCGAAGAGGAAAGAGTGAAGATTAACGAATGCAAAGCAGATGTCTGGGAGCAAAAGCGATCGTTCTCGTCAATTCAAATTCTTCCTTGGAGATTTCCAACATGGAGCAATATATAGAGGGCCAATACCGCTGATTGAAGCCATCCTATCCAGTCACTCTGCGCGGTTGCACCTTCCAAGCGCCGTTCCCCACGATATCGTACCACAAAAATTCACATGAAAACTCCAGTCCCAACCCTCAGTCTCAGCCCCTAATCAATCATGAGATATTATTAGCTGGAATGCTACATGAGAAATTCTGCATGATGTTAGTCGCCAGAGGCGCAGGTGAGTAGAGTAATTTCGATGGTCAGAACGAGGCTGAGCGGCTAGGCATGTACCAAAATTGCTGCACTCGATAGTATGTGGCCGTCAGCCATGAGGCTGAAGCAAAAAGCGTTGCATGCGTGTTTGGTAAGCATGAAGGCATGAAGAATCCATGGTGGTCAGCTCCGACCCATTTCTGGCCATGAGGCTCAAGTGTTAAGACGTGATTCGCTGGTTCAAGCCTGCATCTGAGTCCTGTTCTGGACCAAGCCCCGCATTTTCCCGCTTCCGATCCCTGCTCCGGGCCACGTTGGGGCCCTCAGCTCGGTGTAAAGACTGCTTGAGCAGTCTACCACTCCTCATGCAGCTGGGCGCTACCTCTCCTGTCTTTCGATAAGATCAAATACGCGCTGATGGCGAGACTAATGTGGCGGTGAAATGTTTGCCGTGTCTATCGGTCCCAAATCTCCAATTTATTGGACGAATCAAGGCGCCAATTCGGGTTAGCGGATCGGCGGCTACCTGCATATCAAACGACCAGTCATGATCCTGATCACTGCACCCATACGATCATGATAGGTGCACGGTACTTGCGTGTGAAATTATTGATAGCCGCTACGTAACGCGTGGCGGAGTGTTTTCCGAGCCTTGTAATGCCCCTGTTGGGGTGAATTGGGGGGAAGGAGCGGTTCAGCTAAGAGCTAAGGAAGAAGCGATGAGACATCAAGGCAATGTAGAAGCAGGAGTATGCAGAAAGCATTTCAGAATAGACGGGGGCAGTAGTCCGGACTGCGGGACCACTGTCCGTAGGGAAGTTTCGCTTACGCTACAGAGAAAGCCCGTTCCTGTAATCTCTCAGGTACTCCAATGCAGGTAGCCTTTCCTATCGAATTATCGCGGCTATCGAGCATATCATGCTGCAGCGTTTTGGCGCCGTTAGCCTTCCAATCGGCCATCTGACATACGCGCTGGCGGTGCAGGTGAATTACGACCACGTCAGGCCGCTGTGGCTCTCAGCTTCGATCTCTGGTCTCAAGCTCAGACATAATCTTATCTCGAAGCCAGTAGGATCAAAACAAAATGCGATGGGGCAGCGCTCGGCGGTGTGCGAACCGGGCGGCCTCTCAGCCTTCCGCGCGGCAATTAGTCAGTGGATGAGCAGGGACCAAATGAAAGTGAAGATAAAAATGCAGCAGCCCGTCGATCATACGGCTCAACTCGTATCTATTTGCTGCGCAAGCAAGCCCGTAAGCCTGGTGCTGATCCAGATCTCCCATAGTGGAAGAAAGGTAGTCACAGGGGTCAAGAATTGGGAAGCATGGCCGCGACGACCAACATTACGCAAGCATGGCCACGAACGCCGACATGATGCATGCAGTCATAAAGAGGCATCAGAATGGTGCGCAGCAGCATCTTCAAGCACACCTGCCAAGCTATCACCACTGCACTCGATCTTTTTCGGCATGTGTTCTGGCTCTTTGGGAGTGGGGGCGTGGAAGGATTGCGGAGTAAGCCGCGTCTGATCGTTCTGGGCTTGTGGCTGTAACAGGGGTGCGAACGGCAGTGCAGAAGAACGTTGCGCTGAAGCTAGGGGCCGGAACACCAGTACAGCCTCCAATCCGTAGAATAAAAATTCAAGTGTATAAAGTTGCTTCAGGACCAACCTCTTTCTTTTGAATTTTGTGGCCTTGCATTCGATCTTTAAATAATCCCTCAATTGTTGATTCATTAGCCGGATCACTTTATACGGTCCTCCCCATTGCATTAGTCTAACATGGATTATACATCCGACCAGCAGCGTCGTCCTCCCATGCCCCGGCCAGTGCAGAGGCAGCCTCGCGCAAATGAGCAAATGGCGTACAATCCACAGCCCGCACGGCCTCAGAATCCTCCGGTGTACGCTACGAACATGCACAGATCCAGCCAGCAAAATCTTGCTGTCCCCCGAGCATCCGCACAAATGAATGGTGGTCGGCCGCAAGCATCTGGCCTTCAGCCCGCAGCCGAGCGGCCACTGCCCCCATGGCTGCGAGCCTCGGCCGATCAATCACCACCACACACGGCTAGTTCACAACTTCCTGGAACCCAGAGGCCTTCAGATAGCCCCTCGCCGCTGGGCCTTGGAGGATACACTGATAGTACACCACCCCCACGATTCCAAGGGCCAGCGCTTAGCCGTCCACAATCACTCCCAAAGCTTCATGCTGCAGCACTTGGTCAACAATCGCCGAGGCTTCAACCTGCCGCCTACGATCAACTACCCTCTGCGCTCCGGCCCGCACCTAATAATCAACAACCCTCTGGCCTACAATCCGTCCCTTCCAGCCAGCAACACGGCGCCGCCGACCGCCCACCACTGCCAAAATCCCAAACCACATCCAACGTCTTACCATCCCTCTCAAACCTCCAAACCGCAGTCGCCTCCCGCCCACTCAGCCCAGCAGACCGTGCCGCCCTAGCCGAGCAGCGCCACCTCGCCGGCCTCCCGCCTAACAGCGGCGGCTCCAGCAGCCACCTCCTCCCACCCGGAGCCCAGCGTCAGGCTCAACCTGGGAGCGGCCCACTGCCCGCCGGACTCCAACCTGGCGGAGCAGCAGCCGCCCTGCGCCCGCAGCAACAACAACAACAACAACAACAACAACAACAACAACAACAACAACAACAACAACACCCCCCGAGCCTCCGGCAAACCGCCTCAGCCGGCCAACTGCGTCCGCGTCCCCCCGGCGCCACCGACCCTCATGGCGCCGCCGCTGCCGTCGCACCACGCCCGCCGGGAGGCGCCCCGACTACAGCACCAAACGCTGCCGGCCCAACGCCCCCGCGAGCCGACCGCCCTGCTGCTATACCTCCGAGAGTGCCGGTAGGCGCAGCAGCGTCTAGTAGCCGGCATACCCCGCCGCACAACAACAGCCATGCCGCTGCCGCCACCGCCGCTGCCGCCGCTCCACCCAGACGTCCTCCGCCTGCCAGCAGCACCACCGCCGCTGGCCCGCCGCCGCCGACGCGCCCGCCGGTTCAGAATGTTACGAACAATTATAACTACAGCGCGCCTGGGCCGGGGGCAGGGAAGCAGCAGCAGCAGCAGCAGCAGCAGAAGACGCAAGTGCAGGCGCCACAAGCGGCGGCAGCGCCGCGGCCGCCGCCAATGCAGCAGGCAAAGGGGCACTCGTCTCCATCCGGCGGGTCGTCTTTTGCGCCAAAGTTTGGCGGCAGCGGGGCGCACCACGGCTCATCGTCGTCGTTTGCGCCGAAGATGCAGTTTGGCGGCGGGTCCAGCTCGCATCAGCATCATCATGGAGGAGGCGATAGCAGCGGACTGAAGGCACAGGTCAAGCATCTGGAGAAGGCGGTGGCGAAGCAGGGGCATGCGGCGGAAGCGGAGATGAAGAGGGTTGTTGATAGGTATGAGGATAAGGAGAGGAAGAGGCGTGAGCAGGAGAGGAGGGATGAGGAGAGGAGGAGGAGGAAGAGAGATGCCGCGGACGAGAGGAAGAGGCATGATGAGGAGGAGGCTGCGGAGAAGAGACATGAGAGGGAAGAGGCAGAGAGGAAGAGGAGAGAAGAGGAAGATGGTAAGAAACATAAGCTTGCAGATGGGAAGAAGCCAGAGGAGAGCAAGACAGAGCCTGAGAAACCCCCGACTCATCAAGTCGGGCAAGGAGACCCCCGGCCTCCGGGTGGATCCCAAAATCAGCAAGACGAACAGCAGGAGCAAAGTGACGAGGAGCAAGGCGACCAGGAACCCGGGCACCACGAACCTGATCAGCAATACCTGCAGTCCCAACGGCCTGAGTACTCACAGTTCCAACAGCCGAACCAGTGGCAGGATCCCCAGCCATACGACCAGTCGCGACCGCCGCAGCTGCATCAGTGGCAAGATTACCCGCATCAAAACCAGTGGCAAGACCCTCAACAGCAGTATCGATCGCAGTCTGCGGATCAGAATCACTGGCAGGAGCCACATCAACAGTGGGACAATCACCAGCAGCAGTATCAAGGACAAGATCCCCACCAACGAGACCAGAGGGCAGATTCCCGACAACAACAACAATTTGATGATCCAAGACAACGGCAGCAACAATGGGACGACGACGACGACATCCAGCACAAGCAGCAGTGGCAACAGCAAAGACACGACCAGTGGGAGCCAGAGCCACAGAAGCCGCGGCAACAGGCCCAGTGGCAGCAGGCGCAACCTGAGGATGATTGGCAGCAGCCACAGCAGCACAGACAGTGGGAACGCGAACCACGAGAACAAGACTCACATCGCCGCCAGCCGTACGAACAAGCCCACGATCCATACGAGCGACAACCCTCCTCGTACGAACAACAGCAAGATGCATATGACAGACAGCCATACGCACAAGAGCGCGACTACAACCAGCGACAGCAATACACCCAAGAGCAAGACCAGTACCAACGACAACCATACCAAAGCCAGTACGAGCCGCGAGAGAGATACTCGCAGGAGCAGACGCGCCAGCACAGCCCTGAGCCGAGCAACAACAACAACAACGGGACGAAAATCGCTGCAGCTGCCATCGGAGGAGCCGCACTTGGAGGCGCTGCTGTGTATGCCGCAGAGCAAGCCGGGTCTGATAGTGACGATGGGCATAGCGTCGACAACGACTCTACTGAGGTTGATCATGGAGCCGAAAGCCATGAGGAGGAGAAAGCTGGCGATGGCGACAGCGATGGTTGCTGTGGGGATTGTGGAGAGGATTGCTGTGAGTGCGACTGTTGCGGTGGCTGTGGAGAGGGGTGCTGTGAGGGGGACTGTTGTGGCGGCGGTTGCTTTGGCTGCGGAGGTGAAGATGAAGATGAGGACGGATGCTGTTTTGGTTGGTGTTAATGCCGATGGCACCAGCTTTTGTTTTTCTTTCGCTGTGTTTTTTGTTGTTTTCTAATAGCTAGTCACTTGAGAGCGCATGTATGTATATTGTTTGTAGATAACATATGGATTAGCTTGCGCACCTTCATCCAACCCATTGCGTTCCAAGGTGCCAGAAACAAGAAATCACATGTGACAGGGCACATGCAGACTGACGAAGAGCGAGTTCTCCTCCATTCCATTAATTTCAGAAACTCCCACTCGAATTATATTTGATTCATTCCCTCGCCCAAGAAAAATTAAATACCTCCAATCATCCTTCCGCTTTTCCACCAACAATCCAACAGCACTGGCCCTCTGAGGCCGCTAAAGGCGCTGGGGCCCTTCTTGACGAGGGTGCTGCGGTGATCGTATGTAATGCAACGATGCTCCACATAGAGAAGCCTCAGAGCCTGGAAACGTGTGCGGCCGGGGGCGCTGGGGCCCTTCTTGATGACGAGGTGGCGGCGGTCTTTGTTCTCGGAGACGCAAGTGATGTAGACGTGTTCCATATCGAACAGGCTGGTGTCGCAGCACTTGATGAGCACTTAACAGCGTCAGAATCAAATCGCCTGATTGTGAGTAGATGAAACTTACAGATGCACTTCTTCTCCATCAAGTGCTGATCATAGCACTTGGGCATGATGATGGTGTTTTTTTCTTAAAAAAAAAACTGAAAAAAAAAAGCTTGGGAGCGGTGGTGCGTGCGTGGGCGCTGAAGGAGCACGGCATGACGCCGCGCGCCTTCAGCGCCCCAATCCCCCAATCCACCTCACAAATAGAATCCTCCACGAGACTCACTCCACCTCCTGGTCTCGGCGACCTTGAGCATGGCAGACAGTTCTGCCCCTCTGGCAACGGGCGGCAAAACTTGTCGCGCCGTTACGGCGCTTTCCACGCGCGCGCCTCGTGGGTGGGTGAAGAGGCCCCCACCCAGAGCACCACGGGTGATCTGGAATGCGAACAGACAAGGCTGACTGCTTGTCGTCGTCATTCGTGAGAGTGCATGCCGCCAGTAGGAAAGCGCGGAAGCCGTAGTCAATGTTATAGAAGTTTACGCCGTCAATTCGCAGCCGTCTGAGGAAATTCTGTCGGCCGAACAACGCAGCTGCTGATACCCCGGAACGGGATAATTTCCAGGACTTGGAAGTGGTTGTACATGCCATAATGTCCCATGAGCGCGGATACGCAGATGCATCCAGCCGAACCCCTTGGTGGGGTCGGAGGTATAGAATCCTCCAAGAGACTTCCAGGAGTACCGGGGTGAGTATATCTCTGGTTGATGATGGACCGTGTAATTTCTGTTGGTGGAAGGGGATCGCTTATGACGCGCTTGAACTCTTGCGGTATCATGTAAAAGCACGGCAGAGCCGTGACCATTGACTCAACAAGGGTGACCGTGTTGGGCGGTGACCCCCGCTGGTGGACGGGGGTATGATGGAAGGTGAAGCCTTGATGATGGACGCGAGAATTTCCTCCCTGGAGCCGAACTTGTGCCAGTCAGGCTGGCCAGGCGCGGAGATTGAGAGCGTGAGAATGGACCCGAGAGCAGCGAACACTTGCATCCAGATGGATTTCTTCTTGTGGTCGAAGGTATAGAATCCTTCAAAAGACTTACAGGAGTGCCGGGTCGAGTATTTTGTCCAAATGGATGCAGAAGTGGTTGCAGAAGCAAGCGATGTTTTGGGGCGCGCTGATGGATCGAAGGTATAGAATCCTTCAAGAGACTTACAAGAGCACCGGGTCGAGTATGTCGAGTGATTGATGGATAGCTGCTCGTCGAAGTTCCACAACCGACGGTTCATGTGCAAGGGGTTGAAGGCTTTGGCCGTGAACTCAAAGTCGTCGCCCTCAGTCCAAGCCTTCATGTCCTTGTTGACGAGGCGGACGGTCGGTAGATCCTCGACATCAAGGCTGTTGCGTACAATGTCGTTGATGCAAAGAATGACCTTCGCCAGCTCCTCGAACCAACCGCAAGAGAAGTAGTCTCTGTCAAGCACTCTGGGAGGGCAGCGTGCAATGCTGTTCGCCATCGGTGCGGTTGACAACAACAGGACTGCTGCTCTCGAAGGGACGCGGTCACTATTGTCACTGGCTCGTGGGCAGATGATTCGCTGCAAGGAGCAGCGACGCTGAGCCATGGCCGAATTGGTGGAGGCTCTCCAGTGGTGGCGCTTCTCTGAGCCCAGCTCTCCCTCTTTGTCTGTCGAAAGTATCCAAGCAAAGGCTGGCGTCATGCTCCGCACTGACTTTGTGCTGTACGAAATGGTGTGTACAACGGGGGGTTTGTGTGTCATAAGTCGGAAGAGCTTCACAGCTCATAAGACAGCGAGGAGGGAACTTCAAAGGGGCGGCAGAGTCAGGCCTGGTGCATTATCTCAGAATCAGCGGAGGCTCGATCATAGGCGACATGAGAGTGTGCTTACCAACTTGAGACGCTACTCTCGTTGTGGTCCCGACTCACACCAGATCTTCTTGACATCCAGGAAGCTGTTGATGCACTCCCCAGCTATCAGCACCTCCAGTACATGGAGAGCGTCCAGCACTGGCTCAGTCACCTCTTCCTGTATTTGTATGCCGCTTTAAGCGTGAGGTTTGTCTGTTTGTGCTGAATCCGCCGTCCGGACAACCAACTGTGTCACGTCTTCCGTCGTTAGCGAGATGGGATGGTGGCAGCCCCGCCAGCATAAGAGCTTGTCAGAGGAGCCTCGTGCGTCTGGTTATAGGTGTGGTGGTTGCCGGCTTTGAATGAGGTCCGTTCGATGGGATAACAGGTGGTGTTGCTGCTGTGCGGGCGAGTGCGGTCGCGTGAAGCTCAGTGATCGGAGGCTGGAAGCTCTGGAGGGAGTATTAGCACACGCTATGAGAGCGGGGACGTCACGCTACCTCTGTGTCCTAGCTGCTTCGTGCTGCCCGCAAAGTTTGATACGCTGAGGGAGACAGCGCCTTGGCTGATGCGAGCATGGAATCGAGCGCTCGAGCACGTCGACGAGGACGAAAGAGCAGAGTCGAAGCTGCGCTTGAGGAGACGAGCGGCGGTGGTGAGGCGAAGACGGACGAGAAAGAGAAGTAGGGGGAAGGACAGGAAGCGGGCGGTCGCAGAAGAGGATGTGGCAGACGCGGAGGCCGATGGACAGGGTCGCTGATGCCGATGCGCGCGCTTGCTGGTGGAGGAAAAGCCTGATTCAGGAAGAGCAGATGAGGGAGGCAGAAAGCGGAGGGGTGGCAATGGTATGGCCGCCGTTGCCTGCGCTCCGGAGCTCTTGCGCGCAGCGGCAGCTCACCTTATTGCGTCATGGCAGTGGCACACCGCCGTGTAACTGCCGTCTCTCACTGACAGCCACAAGGGAATGTGACTATGCTGCCAGCGAATAACTCCATGGCTGCTCATGCCCGTGAAATCGCTCTTCAAGGGAGATCCTCCTTTAGCTCCCGCCCGATGCACGCCCTCCCCAGAGTGTCAAGCCATCTCCCATAGCCGCGTCGTGACCCTGTACTCTCAGAATGGCGCTCTGTCGCGTCGCCAGCAGGGCCGCATGGGCCCACCCGACCGCTACTCACGCTCGCATGCCCAGCCACAAGATCTGCGGCTGCCTCTCCACTGCCTAGCCGCTACCATTACCAATCTGCGCCTGATCTCCCTCATTAGGATGGCATCAACGAGCTCCTCTTGCAAGCCCCGACTTGTCGAAATCCTGCCCATGACCATGAGCGGACCCATCTCGCCGCTCTTTGCATTCCGTTCTTAATTTGCAGCTGACTGCGCCGCCTAAGCCAGCCACGCTCCCTGCAAGCGCTTCAGCTCCACCACAGCTTCCACCAAATCTGACGCCTTCCGCATGAAGCGCTTGAGCCTTCTGACCTTTCTGGTATGCCTTCTCAGTCTACACTTTCCTTACCCATCGCTTCATGATGGCAAAAAGCCTTGGGCTTTCTTTCCTGGCTTCGTACTACTAATTCGCCATCCTTGACTACTATATTTGCGGTAGAAACTTCCACGTCGGAAATGCCTGTGCCGTTAGTTCCTGAGCCGCAATTGCGAAATCACCCGCCATTTCCAATTTTAATAGCGAGATTCATTCTACCATATTCTCCGGGTTGGCCTTGATTGGCGCATCGTTTAAAGCAGGCTCTTGACGTCTAATTAGGCGACTAAATGTTCCACCCGTCCTTCGTTCGGCCTCGCTCTCTCGAAAGTGTCGCCTGTAATCTTCTCACAGGACTGGGTGCGGTACTTGAAGTCCGCGGAAGGACCCAGGGATCCAGTTGGCATGCTGGTGAAGCTGACGCGCCCTTGACGTTCTGATTCAGGAATACCCTATCGTGATCCTGATAGGGCCTTAATATTGTTGCACAGCTTCTGGATCTGTGCCGATGTTAGGGTTGGAATCTGCTGGAGGTGGAGTTTGGGATTGTTGTCTGTGATCTTGGTGGCTCTGAGGAATCCTGCGGCGTAGCATATCAGGTAATTGTAGTCAATCAAAGACCGTAAGTCGAGATCATTAGCCAATTTCGCAAGCGCTGCCCTGAATGCCTGGTCGGATACGGGGGCGTTGTCTTCTTCCGAGCTCGTCTAGCTATTAACTCCACCTTCATCTTAATCGCAACCTGCGTCATACTCTGGTTTTTTTTTTTCGTGCCAAGTCTTTATCTGCCTCGTCACCATGTGCATCAAGCGCTATCAGAGGATAAAGAAGAGACAGGCTTGCATGAGACATTCAAGCAGAAGGAAGGTGGGCACCACAATTCCGTAGGCACTCTCTGCCGGCTCATCCTCCCTGGAGCAAGATGGAAGAGGGCCCCGCCTGGACCTTAGGCACTGCAAGACACAGCCCCTTCATCCGTACCGCAGCGGTACAATAAAACGCGGCAAGAGACCTGGTTGCTGTACGCTACCAGGATTCTGTCACAAGCGCCACCTGCAATGAGACGTAACATCAGGGAACAGTCGGAAACAAATTTCTCACGCAGAGTAAAGGCCTCGCTTTTCTTCAAAGCACCCGAATTTACGGCGACAATAGCTGGCCCCGGCCGTGCAGCTCAGCTACCCTTGTCCGACTTCGACGTTTCCCGAGATCGACACTTCATCCGCTCGTAAACGCACCAAGTAGGCCTCCGCGGGCGATGTCTCACCTATCCGCAAAAGGCAGCACCGCAGCATGGACGTAAACGACGTCGGCGTCGCGCACGATACAGCCTCGACCGCTCTCCTCCGTCAGAAGACTGCCGCCCCCAGCAAGGCGAATATCGCTTCCAGTTTGTCGGGCCGCGCATTGGTCGGGCTTGCCCAGGGCAAGGCGCCGTCGAGGGACCGCCGCAGCAGTGGTTCCAGCTCCGAATGACTGTCTTCCTGGAAAGTAGATTTTATGCAGGATGTGAGACACTCGTGCATGAAAATCAATCAAGCCGTCCAACAGCGATTCGGATCTGTTCCCGCATGACATTTCGGCGAATCGGATAGGGTACCAGCGATTCGTCTGGGCCTCGTTTTAGAGCTTGCTGAAAGGCCGGTGATCATTCCTCCAGCGCGTCCGGTGTCGAAATTTTGGTTTTCTTCGGAAAATGAGCCTGATGGATGGTCGGTAGTCAGTCATGGGAGCCTCAACACTCGTTACAGCGCAGAAGGCGTCCAGGGAGTCTAGTGGCGGCTGCAAATATGTGAATGGGTTGCATCAGGTCCACGCAATGCTCAGCGTCCCAGGTGCTGTCTTCCTGAATTCCGCGGTCCCGAGCGAAGCTGGAGGAGCGCACTGGCATGGTATTCCCGCGGTCTCCGGCTCTGACCGCAAGATTGCTGTGGCATACCCAGGAATTTGCCAAAGCCCCTCATGAACGTCGACCGTCGCCAGGTGTCAGCGTGTCAACGACGCGTGGATGGGTCCCGGTGTGCGTACCTGCTTCAAGAAGGCATCACCCGCGTCAGATCGTTCACCTACACGCTTCATCGACGCCTGACCACCTTTCTGACAAAGTCTGGCCAGGAATATAGACATGTGAAATCAAGGCGCCTGGCTCTGGAAGCCCACGTGCTCCTCCGGGCGCGCCTGCTGTGGCGGCAGAAGCAGGTCGCGCGCAGAATGTCTGCCCGTCCATCTAGCATGGTACCGCGTTGCTGCGTCTGTTGTAGTTGTCAGCCTCCATGACGTACTCCGGAGCGGCTGGCACACGGTCCTGCAGATGGTGCGAGAAACGCGGCCTGACAAACGCTGACAGCGCATGCGATTGTCACTTCAGGAAGGAAAGCTGGCGATAGGAGCTCGCGCCTTCCAGCTGCGCGATTCCGCCGCTTCCACGCGCGTCTGCCCGCGGATCCCAAGCCCGTAGCAGCGACCCGGCGACGATCACGCATCCACATCGGGCCTAGCCAGAGCAGTTGCCCAGCCAAACCAGCGCAGCCGACCACCACACACTAGCGCGCCCCGACCCGCCTACTTAAACCCCTGGATGGGGCGCCCCAAGTCCTCTTTTTCTTCTTCAGCTCTCTTTGCCTTTTGGCTTAGATCAAGTGAAGTAGCTGTTCTTTTTAGTTTAATCTCTAGAACGTCCCTACGCGGGATTTGCTCTTTTGATTAAACTAGTTTTTGGAACCGGGTGGCTGGTCCCTGAGCTCCGCTCATACTTCGCTGCCACAGTGTCGCCTCTATTGCACTACTTGAGGCTGACGCGACCTTTCTTTTTCGTCAATCGACTGGCCTTGAGCCGGTCCTTGAGGAAGAAGTGGTGACTTGAAAATGGAACTGAAAGCAATGCAAGGAGGTCGTTCCTGGCGTTGGCTGCGTGTCTCCGCGTGGCGGTCTTTGCATCGCTGAGTAGCAAGGTTCTCCGGGGCGCACTGTCGCGCGAAGTGAAAACTTTCACGTTTTGGCTCGTTCGCGAGTCGGCCGCTCTGGTGTTGATGGCGGCAGCCGCGCGGCGATTCAGCGCGACAACAGTGAAGCGTCAAGACAGGCTCAGCAGCTGCAGAGGCTGTCATTTGCGATTTCTGCCCCGGGGGCTGAGAGCCCCAATGACAGTGCTTCGAGCGCCCGTACACACGGTGAGGCGGTCTCACGCCGCCACGAGCTTCCATGCGACATTGTTCATCCCGCTCGCGCGTAATCCTAATGCGCAAACGAACATTAGCAACAGCAGGCGTGGCGGAGTCTTCACGACGGTCCAGCGCGACAGACCAGTCTTCCAAGTGTCTTTGGCTTAGTTTGGCGATCCCCTCCGCAAGCCATTCGTGGGCCGCGCGTGTCGAGGGCATCTCGGTCGAGTCGGCCGTCAACCTCTTAGACAGCCGGTCGCAATCGTCCAACGCTGAGACTGTTTCGCGGCACACATTTTGCAGAGCGATATACTTTTCTCTCCACCACTTTAGTGTCTCTCAACATGCTTTTGTCCGTGCTGACATGCCTCCGACACCTTCTCGCAGATTTCCAACGTCTTGTCCGCCGCCCCGGCCGCACCACAGCAGCTTCAACTGCGCTTGTCATTTTGCCAGCAGCGCGGGCGGCTTTGGCTGCTGGGAATAGTGCTTGCTCGCCTGAGTGCTCTTTCTGTGCCCTCGCTCCACGCTCGAGTGAGGATGTGCTATCTCCTTCTGATGACAAGCTGATCTACCCGACTCCGGGAGGCGAAGGCTTCGTCGGCGACGATGACCTTGCGCACTCAGCTGATCTCCCGGGCCAGCTTCCACAGCCACACCGACGTGGAGTAGCTCAACAGCTTCAATAAATCGCGGTCGCCGGGGTTTCATCTCTATCGATGCGCTGCTCCGTGTTGTACGTACATTCTCGACCTCGACGCTGAAACCCTTCGCATGCCTGACAATTTTACAGATCCTTATTCTCTCACGCAGCTCTCCAACCCGCGCATGCAGAGGTGAGTGCGCGTATTTGCTCTTGAGTCATCGGGGCGGGCACATCTTATCAATAGGCCTTCCTTTGCCTGATCATTGTTTCCGTCCCTTCGCCGCCCATTTCTGGTGGTGTCCAAACAGTATTGCTGGAGTCTACAGAAATGACGACATGCCCTGGGTTGTTCTGACAGCCCGAGCCCTCGCTGCGGCTGGGAGATCCTTCTCATCCGCGTAGAAGTCCTGCAGCCCCCGAAAACAACTGGTCCGACGCCGCAAAACCTTCCACCCTTCAGAGGGCGTTTCAATCCGCTGGCGAAACACGGTTCTGGCACCTAGCACGCTGCGTATGCTACGGGATTCCTGATAGCTGGGGCTCTAAGACACCCACCTGCTTGGAAGCGCTTTAAGCGCTGGCTTTTGAGGAAAGCGAGATGTTTCGCTTTGTTGCAACTTGGAGGATGTCCACATGGAAGCAGAGTCTCTCAAACCGCATGTGCTTGGAGGCGCGCATGTTGGAAGCCATGACTGGGTCTGATTCACACCGCCGTCGGTGGAACTCAAAGTGAAGTGCTACGGGTGAGGTGCGCCGCTCCTCTTCGGCACCATCTCCCATCCCTGGGAGCCTCTTGGGAATGGAGGAGTGAAGTCTAAATGACCCAAGGTGACACTGCACGACCGTTTGGTGGAATATCTGCTCAAACACTCTGTGGCGAAGCGTCAGTACTGCGCTTCCATCCCACTTTCATTAAATCTATGCCGAGAGTCAGGGAGCACAGGTGGGCCCTTTCTCTGCCGGCCCGAGCGAGCTCGGTTAGTCTTTCGGAGCGAGTGCAAAGTCGAAGGTGATCGAAAAAGCTTCCCCGCTGATACCACGACTTCCACCCGTCGGAAACGTCCGCCGCGCTGCCTAACAAAACACCCGACATCACCAACGCGCCGCGCCGTTCACAGCAACTGACCCAATCCACTCTTTACGCGGCGCTGCGAAGGTCCCCTCTGCATCAGTGCTTCAGGTTCCTTCCCGCCGACAGCCACAGCTGTTCCACTTCTAAAACATCGCCTCGTTGGACGCTGGGGATCGTGCTCACTCGTCAAATCCACTCGCCATGGAATATCGAGAATACACCATCCCGAAAGAGGTCGAAGAGTCCGATAAGAGACAGCGCGAGGACCCGAACTACAAGCGCCCCCGCAAGCTCCCGCCTCGCATCGTCTTCAGAAGCGTTGTACGTTCCCCGAAGTCACCTGGGAGAAAAGGGCATCCGGCTGACAGCGTGACAGGTCGCGAAGGCTCAGCAAGAGATGGCGGCCGCCAGAGGTGTTCCGCTGCAGCAAAACACCCGCCACGCGCTCACGAGGAAAGACAAATCGTACACCGCGCTGCGCATCACACGCGCCAAGAGGGTCGAATTCAAGGAAGACGTCGCCAACGACAACGGCGTCCAAGCCATGGCCATCGACAACGACGAGCCCGCCAACCCCGCGACCTCGGCCATGGACATCGACGACGAGGACGACGACGACACTCCCACCAACCACTCCCGCTCGTCCAGCGTCTCCTCCACCGACACCATCCCCCTCACCATCCGCGCCACCGCCCGTACCCTCCCGCCGACCACGCCCCTCCCCACCCGCCCCTCCCTCATCGCCCCCACCCTCTCCCTCCCCACCACAGCCCCCGCGCCTATGCCGACGTACGACGAATCCGACCGCCTAGGCCGGCGTTTCGACAGCTGGACCTATACCGAAGCCATGGCCACCACGTCACTCATCCAACACGCCTTCCACGAACTCCCGTATGGTGCGGGCGGCTACGGCCCGCCGCTGGCGCTGCGGATGGTCGACAAGTTCGCGCTGGTGGCCGAGATGCTCGAGGCGGTGTACGGGATCAAGAAGACGGGGCATGCGGTTAAGAATTGGTGGGAGAGGGATGGGCGCGAGCTGACGGGGATGGGGGATGAGAAGAAGGTCAGGCCGGAGGGGGTGCCGGAGGGGGTGGAGCCGGCGAGGGTGGGGAGGGGGATTGCTGCGGGCAAGAAGAGGGAGGATTGATGGGGATGTGTGTGGGCTCGTGTGGTGGTGGTGTGGGGTGTTTGTTTGAAGGGGGAATGGGGTAGAAGACGAGAGATGGGTTTAGAGGGGCTTATTTTGCTAGACTGGCTAGAGAGGGACTGTTTCACTTGTTCAGGGTTTTATAACGGGCGTTGTTTGCTTTGATCAGAATGGCATAGATGGTAGACGGGGCTTACGAATTAATGGGGGCAACGGCCTGAAGGGAAAAGGCCATGGCTCTGTAATAGCTAGTGTTAGAGCGTAATAGTCGCTCTGGATGAAAATAATAGCTGTGTTTCTGACTACGTTCAGCTCACTGCTACCTTGAAAGAGGTTCGGTTTTATAATTTCTGGGGGCGATGGAGATGGCTAACTCTCAGGAACATAATTCTCAAAAGGATTACTTCCGCTCTACTTCCTGCCAGCCCACATCATCCCTATTTTGACGCTGCCCATTATGTAGCGCGTCTTTCAATCGTCATAACAAAAAGCTGGTTTTTCTTGAGACCGTGATGACTGGGCTGAGATGGTCATTCCGGACCATAAGGCTTCCATGGGCCTTGACAATGTGGTTGTTCAGCTCTGCAACTTAAAGTCCAGTGAAGTATCACTGTCAGAGATTGAAGCCCACACGCAGGTACCAAAAGATATGATCCTCTGTAGTTCTCTTCGCCCGCAATGGCACTCGATCTGCATAGGGAGTGGAAGCTATCATCCAGACGAAGATGTCAATTTAATAATTCGACATCGTCGTCTGGATAGTAGCTTCAAGTACCCATGCAACGAGCTTAGATGCACATCGAATTAGTAGTGATGGCTTATACCTGGCACCACGGGCAGTCGCCGACTTGATCTCAGTCGACGCAGGATGCAGGAAGGGGAAGGTAATGATGATTCGTCTCGACTACTACGTACTACATGAAGCTATTTCTCTTTTAAGGGTACTGAGGCTAGCAAATGAAGAAAGCAATGTGAAGTGTATCGCTAATGTCCGCCATACAAACCCTATACTTTTTTATTGACCTTCTAAGGCAAACGCAGGAGGAAAGCAAACCCAGCCCCTCAAACAAGAGCCGAAGAATCATCGCCCTCTTCACCAGGCTCTCCACCAGCCTCGCCGACAACCTCTTCAACAGCGGCTCCATCAGCCTCTGCACCAGGCTTGTCACCCACCTCTCCATCATCAACTGCACCATATTCTTCCTCGTCGTCGGAGTAGTCTTCCTGCTCCTTGCACACAAAGCTGACGCCAACACCAACACACTGCGCCTCCAACCTCTCCTTCAGCGCCTCCCACTGCTCACGCATCTCGCCCATGTCAGCCTCATCCTCAGCATCAACATCCATCTCCTCCACAGACATGCCGTCGTCCGCACCACCACCACCGCTCTTCTCCCTCTCCCTCCCCATCACCCCCACAAACTCGCCCACCGCCTTCCTCAGAATCTCCTTCGCATTGCCCGGCAGCGCGCCCCCCGTCTTCGCCGCAAAAGTATCCAACACCTTCTGCCCCACAACACGGAGCCGCATGACGTCCTTCGGATCACCAGCACCCTCAAACGAGCCGAGGGCAAACGTGCCAGGGCTGTCAAACGAGCCGCCGCGCACGCTATGCGCCGACGCGGTGCGCAGGTGGGCGACGGCGTCACGGGCGGCGCTGAAGGCGTGCGGGAGGGAGAACTGCGCGCGGGCGAGGGCGACGACGTGCTTGCTGGGCGCTTTCTTGCGCTTTGGCTTCTGCTTGGTGGTGACAGCGGAGAACGACGAGCTAAGGTCCTCGGCGAGGGTGACGCGGCGCAGCTTGCTGGCGGGACGGGGGAAGGTCTGCGGCGAGGAGGGGGCGGGCGCGTTGGGGTTGGCGGGGAAGACGTGGAAGGGGGATGGGGTCGAGGGGCCGGAGCTTTCGTCGTCGTCGTCGGTGTCGGTGTCGTCGTCGGCGAAGGAGGTGGACAGCGAGTCGAGACGCTTGCGCTTGTCACCGGTGGCGGCGATGCCGTTGTACGAGATGTCTTGGTCCTCGTTGTCCTCGTTCTCCCGCCTCATCGTCTCCCACTTCCGCTTCAAGTTCCTCAAGAACTCGGGGTACGGCATGAACTTGACACCGTGCTGGTAGTCCTCCCGCAGGAACTTCTCCCAGCGCTCGCGGATGACGGCGGCGGGGCGGAGGATGTTGTAGTGCGTGGTGAGGCGCTTGGAGAGGAGTTCCCAGCGGGCGTCGTCGAGCGGGGCGCCTCCGAACACGACGCGGGCCCAGTCCATGACGTGGGCCATGGCGGCGCTCTCGCGCTGCGTCCACAGGACGTACCTCGAGGCGCGCCTGATCTCCCTGTTCGTGGGCAGCGGGTAGCGACCAGGAGGAGAGGGAGGGCCGGCACGGCGGATGACCAGGTCGGGGGAGGGGTCGCGGACGGTGGTGGCATCGTCGATGTCGGTGTCGGTGTCGGAGTCGGCCTCAGTGGTGGCGTCGTGGCCGGGGACGGGGTCAGCGGAATCGTTGGTGGTGGCTTGGACGGGCTGGCTGCCGGGGAGCGTCGTGACAATGTTGGAAATGGGGAAGGGCGGAACCGTGGTGGAAGTGTCCTCGTTGGAGCGGTGCTGGGCTGGCGTGGGCTTGTCCTCGTCGGAGGTGGCTTGGGCCATGTCGACATCGTCGTCGTCCTCGTCGTTGCAGTCCTGGAACATGTGCTTTTCCTTTTCACGCTTCCGTGCGGCGTTAATCATCTTGATGTCCTCCATGACTTTCCAGGTAGGAGAATCGTCGGGACGGGTCAAGTCGACAACGCTGGTGTCGAAAGACGCGTTGACGTTGCGGCTTAAGGCGCCGCCGGGGCCCTCGAAAGCAGCGCGACTATGCATTGCGATATTGTTGCTATACGGCGACTTGTAGACGTAGCCATGCTGTGCAGCATGCGGGGCGAGGCCAGGGGAGGGCCTGGAGTTGTCCTTGATCCGCTCCGACAACAAAGGGGAGAGTTTGCCGGGCGTGGACTTCGGAGGAATACCACTGCTCGGAGAAGTAACTACGCTGCTGCTCTGGCTTTGAGACACCCCGCCAACCTGGGGGTTGCGGGGCTGGAACGGGTTGAAGTTAACTGCCGATGGCTTGAACTGGGCTTCAAAGAGTGCCTGGACCCTGCGCTGACGCTCTTGCTGCTGCACCCATTTGCTCGCAGCCAGATTCTCATATGTCTGCTGGTACGTGTTCGGACCGTGGAGGGTGCGGAGGTAGTTGTTCGCGTCGACGTTGGAGGGAACGCCGAAGGTGTTGGAATTGAAGCCACCAGGTTGAGACTGGGGCATCATGCCGAAGCCGGGTGATAGGCTGTCGTTGCCCTCTGTGGGTAGCATCATCTGGACCTGCACCGGGTTGAAGACCTGACCCTGTAGCATCTGAGACTGACTTGAGTTGAGCACTGGAGTCGGCGTCCTCTCCAACGACGCGTACGGGCTCGGATTGTACGACGGGTGCAAGTGCTCATACGAGGCGCGCGTGTCCTGCTGAATGTTAGCGGTGCGTGCTTCACGTTCACTGGATGGAATGTCTGCGCACTTGGTTCTGGCGGGTCAATGCCTGGTTGTCGTTGTTGCTGCGCCGTGCCTGCGCGTGAGGAGGATCATCCCCCTCGTGATTGTACGTGGACATTGCGGCGGAAGTGAAGGAGTGGATTGGGTGAATATACAATGGCGGTGAAGCGGGACGGAGATCAAGTTTGGAAAGAAGTGGTGGTGGTAATGAGAGGATGCCGCAGATGCGTTTAAATGTCCGCCCGACGAAAGTGAATGCAGGGTCCACTTGGCACGGCAACACCCGGTGTCCTGTCACAATTCGCAGCACCCATCCGCGCAGGTGGGCGCCAAAGAGTCGTCGAGTGGACAGCCACGGCAATTCCCGGCCTGGCAATGCCGCATTCACCTCGTACGCGCGGAGCCTCCCACCACGAGAAACCGAATGCCTCACCACTAGTGGCGGTCTTGAACTGGAGCTTCACCGGTGCCAACCCTGGACAATGCCGCGCTGTGGTTTCGCTTCCATCGAGGAGAAGCGCTCACCCACCCCTTTTTTCGCCGGCTAGAGGACACTCTAACCGGAAAGCTGACAAGTGGTACTCGCGATACATGTCAAAGATGGCCTGTAAGCGAGGCTAATCATTTGATGCGGTAGAGAACCAGATTCCCGAGAATATGGTCTGGGACGCGACGGCTTGCACTAATGAGCGGATCCTAGGAGGTGAACGCTTTCCACGCGTCCGGATTTCCTTGTTCAAAAGCTAACAATGCTGCCACAGAGCCACCCGTTTCACCAGATCCTAGGATATACTGTCCCTGCTCGAAAATTTCGTTATGTGCCTCGGCTTCAAGGAATAGCATTACTTTTGCCTTCCATTATATACTCTCCAGACGTGACGGACTTCAATTTACAGCAAGTTTTCTAATTGGAGGTTTTATACAGTGCCTACAAGAATTTTGATTTGATTTCATCCGGGCACCCAACGAGAGCTTCATGGCCACGTCGTGTAGCAAATTACGTCCTTTGGTGAGATGGTCGTTTGCTCTTCCAGGATAACGTGCGGTCCCGTGTTCTATATCCTCGATATCCAAAGTCTGTTGCCGAAATTAACCACCCTAATCGGCCAAGAGGGACATTTCAAAGATTTACGACTCGAATCGGATTTATCTCTCTGTGCTCAGATGGTTACTACGACTTGTTAGATAGTAGTAACAGCTGAATTGCTTTTGGATATAAAACTGAATCTTCTACAAGGCGTTCCAATGTGATAACTGCCTGCTCCATATATTTGCGTTTGTGCCCAAGCTGTGACTTTTCCAGCATTTGCGGAGAACTGCTATACATCTGCAAGCGTACCTGGTTGATATTTGCTACAAATTCGCATTGAGCGCACTCAAGAGAATCAAAGACTGATGGTTTTCGAATATAGCATCTGCGTAACAAGTTCGGGAGGAGATTAAAGCTTTACGGGGTTGTTTACTGGTGTCTTTTGTTTGACTTTGCACAGAGCGAACTATGGAAAGGACTTCTCTTGCTCATTTCTGTCCACCGATTGAAATGACTATATCCGGAGCCACCTTTTGCCAAATTCTTGTCCATGCGCAAGAATATTTCCATGAGTTCATTGGACGTGCCATAGCTGCTCACTGTGAGGTAGCCAAGCAGAATGCCACCATCCCACGGAAGTGGGAATGTATATATGCTTATTGATCGAGATTGTCGTTCACGAAGTCAAAAAGTCGGAGATGGGCCCGTGATTGGTTTCGTAGTGTTGCAGCTCGTTTGCAGGTGTTACTGCTTTTCCACAATTGTCGCAGATTTGATTTTCCCGTGAGTTGTCCGCACTGCGTGGGTGCACGTGCCAAGTGCATGCAGTTGTGAGCATGTCTTCACCCGCGCTCTCGAGCTGCTCAACCCTTCCTTCACTCTCATCATCACGTCTGACCACCCAATCGCCCGCCCACTTGCTGCGTCGCTCAGCAACGAAGCCGCGATGTCGGGCATCCGCCCTTCGCTCGTCGACCTGCCCGGCGACATCTTGAAAGAGATTGTCGAGACCGTGGCGCGCCTCAGCGTCTCCAACCGGGGAGCAGACAACGAGATCTGCTCGCTGTCGATGGTCAACACGCTATTCTATGAACTTGCGATTCCCCACATATTCCGAGTCATTCGCATCAGCCGACTGAGGCATTTCAGCCTGGACGGTCGGTACACCGGATTGCCTCCGGTCCCTCTCAAGTATACCATGTAAGAAGACAAATTTCATGGAGAATGAAAGCGGCGTTGACACCATCTGGCAGATATCTTGGCCTTGACTTCCCTCCCGACTATTCCCTGAAGCTCGAACATCTGATGCTTTTCGCTTCTCCGAAAAGCTATGCCTGCCGCTGGATTGCCGCACAACTCCTCGCGACACTCCACGTTGCAAGGAATGCCCAGGTCGTCAGCTTTCAAGTCCCTGAGGACATTCTATACTATCTGGCGAGCCATGCCGACGCGCTAGGCAAGAGGTTCAGCAGTGTCGTGGAACTTCACTACTACTGCCATCTCCAGGAGACGAGTCTGAATTCGGACATCCCTAAGTTATTCCCTAACCTTACGACGCTCGTCGGTTTTGGAAACGACACGCTCAGAGACATCCGAATGTGCTACGAGGTGATCATTCCTTTTCTCAGCGAAGTATTCAACGAGCATGAACATCTCAAGCACCTTCAGCTCCACCATGACTGGAAGACGGATCTTCTGGCTAGGTTGGCGCGCATCGGTCCCCGTCTGGAGACAATCACCATGTCGTGGACGCACTATCTCTACTACAATGAATACCTTTGGAATTGTATCAACTCCAACGTCGAGGGTCTCCAGCGTGTTCTTGAGCAGAACAAGGGCATCAAAAACATCACCCTTCCCCGTTACAATAACGAAGACAATGCAGTCGAGTTCAGGAACATCTTGGCGATGATTAGGGTCCATTGTTCTCACATTGAGATGGTAGCAGTGGACATGGACATGGATTACGAACTCTGGCGTCGTTCGAGCAACTTTCAAATCGGGGAACTCGTCCCGAAATTGAGGACCACGACAACTAGCTACCAGCGCAAATCACAGGCCTGGATGCGCTACCTGGAGCCTGTCATGCCGCATCAAAAGCTCGGAGTAACCAGTTACGGGGGTGTGAGTGTCATCAGTATCAACCCCATCTTGGAGACGGAGGTTGTTGGCCGGGATCCTTGGGCAAGCGAGTTGAACGTTGGCGCAAACGAGGACCAATACTCTACAGCCTCTGACGATTCCGAGGATTAGGAAGTCGGTTGACTTACCATCGATGACTGAGCAGAGTACGAGCTTTTGGGAGAAATAGAGCTACATGAAAGTTTCAGGATGAACATTGGCTGCAGGAGTGATTCTGCTCTCACCGTGAGGTTCATGCCGCATGCGTGATGTTTTTCGTGAAGATCGTCCTGAGCATCCACGGCGGTGACCGTCCCATGCATTCGCCGGTGGCGAGCGAGCTGCCGCCTGAACGAGCGCGATGGTCGTCGTTGATGGGCGCACCCAAACGGGTTTAGCGTTTGCCCTAGCGCCATCCGTGCGGTACATCAGCGCAGCCGCCGTGGCCGGCACTTCTCCCTCTCCAACAACTTTGAAGAAAACAGATTTGGTGCCTGTAATATAGTCGCCCTGGCCTGGCTTCGTCTTCTTGCTTCGGCAGGGAGGCGAGCCACCATGCCCTTGGCGGGCCTATGCATGGCTAGAACAACGGATGGTGGTTCTAGCGACCAGGCTCTGCCCTTCCCTGGATTGTTGATAACGCGTCCTACATGTAATTTGAACGAATGAAGAGTTGGTAGCATGCTCTCAGACTTGCTCGGGCTGAGCCCCTCCAGATGCGCACGCTTTCTGCAGCCGAACCTTGCGCCGAGCGCTCGCCTGCGGACTGATCCTACCCGCGCTGATCGGCCTGAAGGACTACTGGGGAGACGATGGTGTGCGGCTTTTGCGAAAGCATCTTCACGTGGATCTCGATACTGAGGCCCTGACGCGGAGTTGATGCGAAACCTCCAACGACCGCCGCGATGCAGCAGCTGCCGCAAACTTCGAATCAAGGACCCATGGCACATGAGCCGTTGGCTGGGGCGGAGGCGTACGATCGCATGGCCGTTGTACAGACATAGCCGTCGAAGCGCGCTGCTGTCGCGGGTCTCACATCGCCACCGTGGCCGTCCCGGGGCGGGCATGGCACAGCCATGACAGTCCCCCAGCGCTTCGATGGCGCAGCTTCAGCGACGCAGGACTTGCTTTCTGTCCTGAATTCCACATGCTGCCACAAAACGCAGCCAGCTCCTCGCCACTGAGCGTTCGCTTCCCCAGGGCGGACGCGCTGAGCTGCAGTGACAACAAGACGCAAGCCCCTTCCACCACTACGCCCATCGGACCGCATTATACGACCACCAGAAAGATACTTCATTCCGCTCTCAACGTCTCACAGCGATTGGAGCGCGACTGCAAGCGCTTGCATGGCTGCCGCGCGAGCTGGCGGGCCTTCGCGCGCGGGCGACTCCCAACGCGTCACCCGCCCGCCCGTGCCTTCCAGAAGTGTCCGCGGGCGTCCTCATCAAAACAAGGCGCTAGGCAGCAGCTGCGCGCCCGATCACAGGCGCGTCCTCGCAGACATAAAACTCAGATCTTCGTCGCGCTCCGCCGCTTCCTCACCAAACACCATCCTTCTTCCTTCTTCGCCTGCATCCTCGGCCCACCCCACTTCCTCTTCTTCCTCTCGCCACATCGGCTTCACAATAGCTTCTTCTACTCTGCTTCCCTCCTTCCGCGCACGTTCAAGCGTCGATCGCGACAGCACTGTCGCGCACGCCTTCACTGACCACGCTTGCGACGTGCAAAGATGCGTCGCACAGTGCGACACAGCAATTCGTGATTAAGTAAGTTCTCTCATGCGCTCAACTTCGTGCTCACGCATGATCCCTACACGCATGACATAGCTCAAGCTAACTCTCTTGTAGCCTCATCTCCCTCCTCACTCGCGTATTGTCTTGACAATCCACCGTCACTCCCACATCTGCGTCACACCCTAATCATCGCCAGGAAGTGAAGCTTCCGAGTCACGTATGAGGAAGAGCTAGGAGTTCCATGGCAAAAACAACAGCGTTGTACTTTTTCCGCGCAGCTTGATCCAGTGGCTGTGCGGCTCCATTCAGGCGCTACATCTTACGCAGCTCCTACTTGACTCATGTAAGCCACTGCTGCCCCCATTCTCCCTTCAGTCTCCTTCCACCCCCCTCTGCTCCCACCATCCTCTTCCACGCCCAACCAAACCACGCTCTGGCAATGCTAGCTCTTCGGAGCAGCATTTTCATGCCTGCGCGTGTGGTAAGGGCAAGAGCCATACTCCTACGGGGAAGCTGGGTATTAAACTGGGCTCGTGTTACAATCAGACGCTGCCTAAAGAAGCCTTGCTGATATAGATGTAGACGATTACCGCGTTCCTCACTCAAGCACATTCGCGCCCACCCTGTTCCTGCCAGTTTCGTTCGATCACATCTCTCCGCCTCTGCCTTACCCCCTCTTCTGCAATCCACCCTCTCACCTCCGCCGATTTCCATCACCTTTCGGAAAATGCCAAGTCAACCCCGGTCAGAAAAGCCCTTCGACTTTCCAGCCGTGTTTCCTCGGAAGCAGGCTTGGGTTCAGTGTCGACCAGGGGTACACAACCCGGGGAGATCCAAGCTGGCACTCCACCAGCGGGCGCGCAGCACGTGTTAGCGGGACGTCGATCAGACACGTCGGTTCTGTCTTTAGTGATGCGTACATCTCAACACTACAATGAGTCCACAAGTCCCCGCGGGTAACCGTTTACCATGGATGTGGTTGAGCGGCCCTATGGGGAAGATCGACCTCGATGTGTCCGTTTCGGAAGAAGGACTGCTCAGTGCCTTTTGTCCAAAATCCGCATCCTACATAATCTATTCCCCAGTTCGTTGTTCAAGCTTTCCTCCCCTCACATACCTTCCCGTCTCTTCCGGCCCTTTCAATTATCATTCGCCTATTCCTCCCGCCACAACCTTCTCACACGCCCTACTGTTACTAGGCCTCCAGCTTTTCAGTAGCTTGAACGAGCTCTTGAGTCAGGGCAAAATTCATGACAGCTGTGCTCATCAACAGCCAGCTGGCTGTGCGTCTAACTGAGATCCCGCATGCACGATGCGAGGGTTTAGCGATGAGGCGCATACATCAGCTCATGTCTCTCACTCGAATCCTTCTCCCTACCCACCTCATCCCGCTCGCATGTTTCTTCCGCCCGTAATCTCACTTGCTGGCAGCTTTGAACACAATAGCTGTACGGTCCTTTACGCGGGCAAGATCGATCACACGCTGGGTTCCACAAAACCGCTGTGAGTGCGCTGAGAATGGGGACTCCGTTACTTTCCAAAGCGGCAGTCTTAAGATCACGCATATACCACGTCACGTCTCTCCCCTTCATTTATCCATCCGTTCTTCACGACCCATTCCCTTCGCCTGCCATATCCCCGTGCACGGCGGACTATCAATTCCAACCGCGCTTTCTTGGCAGGCAAGATGGACTGAGCCGCCACGCCAACCTGTGACGCTCCCTCACTCACTGCGTCATCGGCAGAATGGAGGCGCTACAAATCCTGCGTCTCTCATTCCAATTTAGTTCCCTTCATACGAATGCCCCTCTCACCTCCTCTGCTTTCAGACCATTTTCACGCCCTCACAAAAGCGAGAAGCCAAATAGTATGACTTCTACGGGAGCCCGAGAGGCAAGATTGAACTCCACCACTGGACGAACGGCTGTATACCTCCCGCCAACCCTGAAGAGGGCGCCTGGGTTAAACGTTCCAGTGGACAGATACCTTCCTTCCCTTCTCATTCCACTTGCATCATTCGACACACTTTATATCACCTCACTCTCGCTCAGCACGTTTTCCTTTTCGCCCGTTTAATCTGTAGTATCTTGCCGATTCGTGGCTAGGATGCTTAACAGGGCGGGCAAGATCCAGAGCCGGCACGACTGGACTCAGTACTTCCTCTTCCATACCTTCGCTCAGATTTCGGAGATTGGGCGCCAGGGTGAAATGTGCCGGCGGACAAAGTTAGATTTTTTTTTACAACTTTAATTGTTATTTATTCTCTGCATATTCATTCACTCGGCTTCCAAGCAGCAGACCTTGGGATGACTTGTTTGGCGGGCGTGGTAGTCTGGACGGATCCCGTCTCGGTGACCAAAGCAATCAATCAGATACGACGATGACTGAGCGATGAGCGTCAGATTTCTCACCAATAACGGTGATTCAGAGCACGGTGGTGAAAGCTATCAACCGCTCCAGCTGGTGCACTTCGCGCAAGCTCTCTGTCCCGCCCCATGCCCCCCTCGTCGTCGATGCCGCATGTGTGTGCTGCTACAAGCGAAGCCCAACTCCTCGAAGGGGGGACACCAGCTCCAGGCTCCGCTGCAGCAAGGAGAGCGAAGCAGTGAGCGCCGCTTAGACACAGACGCGGGAGCTTGCCGTGGCTCCGCCTGACAGTGAGACGGCGGGCAACAGTGTCGCCCCCCGCAAGCGCAAGGCAGGTCGAGCGAGTAGGGCATGGCCGAGGGGAAGCAGCGCCGCCGCTCGCGGCTGCGAAAACGAGCTGCCAGCCCGTCATCTAGTTGCGTCAGGCGCGAGGCCGCTGGCGGCCATTCATTCATCACTGCGAGCAGGCGGGGTCGCTGGGGGCGCTGCGGCTGCCAGTGGCCGCTGCTGCCAGCGCAGGCTGGCTCTCGCCGTTGGGCTGAGCGCCTGCCTGTGGGCGGACGCGGCCGTCTGTCGCACATGCTGCGAGTACAGTAGGCTGGCGCTGAGTCCGCCAGCGGTACGCCGCTGCTAGCGAGTGAGCGCCGGCCGGCTGGAGCAGGCAGATAGGCTAGCTGCTGCTCTGCGTATGCCCCGCTGCGCTGCACTGTGCTGAGCAAGCGGTGGGAGCGACCGGTGTGGCTGGCAGCGGCTGGCGGCTGCGCCTTGGACGCAGGGAAGCAGCGACCGCTGGCGAGAGGGCGCTGGAGGGGGGGCCCGCAGCGCCATGTCACTGTCGCACGTCGAGCCATTGTTTGATGGCGTGGTCTACGAGGCTGACGTCGATGGTCCTGCGCCAGGCATGTGTACGAGAGCCGTCGCGACCGCCTGGCAGATGCAGCAGCGGCAGGCCGCGCTGAACGCGCTCGCGGGCGCTGTTACTGCCCCCCAGCGCAGGCGGCGGCGGGGCCTTGCTGGGCGGGCGGGCGGGCGCCCGATCATAGCGGCGTATGGAGACAGTGCCCAGCAGCTCCGCACACTGTGTGCCCACTGGGGCTGGGCTGTCTGCAACAGGTTAGTTGCAGACGGGCCGGCCTCGAATGCGGCGCCTGGGGCAGACAGAGAGACGATGAGGTTTCGCTGAGCTGCGGGACATTGGCTTGCCTGCGCGCTGACGCGGAGGGGAGCGATTTGGTTGCTTCGGCACGGTAGGTCGCGGCATTGGGACATGGAGAGGGCGTTGATGTTGGCGAGAGTACCGCATATCGCTTGTTGCGGCTCGACAGCGTGAGGGTCGTGCGAGGGGCCGCTCAAGGATAGATGCGGGAGCGGGCCATCGTCATTGGGCTTTCGTGGCGCATTTCGATTCATTGATTCTGGCATGAAGGACGGAGAGCCGCTGCGGGGGAGCGCTGGCTTAGCGATTGCGGTCTCCGCGGACTGGTGGCTTTGAGGCTGCTGTGGACCGCTGGGGAGAGGCATGAGCACAAGGCTGCTTGCGCTGGCATGGCTTTGGAAGCGTTGCTCTGGCAAAGCGTCAATTCAGTGCTCGAACGGACAGAAGAGGAGGTTCATTGAGCTGTGGCTCTCCTGAGCGCCGCGCATGGCAGATTGAAGACAAGATCTTTCGAGTGTTGGCATGGAACATCGCTGCTGGAGGCGGTCATCTTGAATGCAGGGCCATGCCGCACCGTCAAAGACCTCGATTCCGCTGGCCACTATCGCTGATGGAGTCATTGAAACAGAACTTAACAGTTGACACACCCTCATATGAGAATTTACAATGCTTTGAAATGTATGTTGTTGTCGTGTAAGGGCACCTGGCAATCGCCCTCCAGAGCCCGGAGTAGTTGGCTGTCGGAATGCCGGCCCCCCCAACTCTCAGGAGATCAGACATGATGGATGGGATTGTCGAGATGTCCACTGTTCAGGAGTTCATCTGGGTCACTTGGCCTCAGAATGCTCACTATGTCGTAGCAGAGCGGGCTGGACTCAACACCAAGCTCACTTCCAAAAGGCTCACCACCCCCATAGCGGCATCACTGCCGCGCAGTCTGGCCTGCCTGCGCCGGGCTGCCTCTCATTACGTCACCGCCTGTTCCACTGAATTCGATCACCCAACCCAAGCCCTCGACGCGTCTCCAGCGAACGCGTCTCCCGATCACCCGCAGCCGACGCGCCACCAGATCACCGCGGACAGCCCTCGCCTCAGCCGCCCCAGCAGCCAGCCTTTTTCCCGTTTGATCCAGGACAGGTCTAGCGCCACCATGCCTCCGGCGAGTGATCCACTAAGCGAGGCTCGTCAGTTGATCGTCCGGGGCCCCCCAAGCCTATAAATACCCCCCCATCTTCGCTCCTCGAGCCTTCTTTTCCTTTTCCTCTTCATCCAACTGGCAAAGAGAGTAGCTTTGTATCACCCTTCCTTTTTCACCCGTATGGTTTTAACTCGTCTGGTGTGAGCAAAACGCTCATAGGTCGAAACCGGTGCTCCAGGAGAAGCATCTTCCCAATGGCTCGCTTTTTTACAAGAGTCTGGGAAGATCTTCTTCTGATGAGGATGACGCCGAGTCTCCTGCTGCGGAGGTCCAATTCCTCCACCGATGCCAAACAATGAATGCTTGCATTCCAAACTTTTTTTTTTTTTTCGTTGATGACTCCGCCTTGAGCGGGGCTTCGAGGAAGAGAAATTGGACTTCGACTTGAGCAGATGGCTGGGCTTTTGGTCTAAGATCTCCGTTGCTTGCCCCTCTGGCTGGCTTGCTTTGTGTTCTTCGTAAGGAGCGTCTCTCGTCCTGGTGCTGTTCGTGATGCTCGCCGTGGTGTTGAGGTCCTCCTCACGCCCGGCTGCTGTGGACAGCGGCTCAGTGAGGTCGCGTCTCCCCGCCAGCCGCAACCACGATGCTCATGCATGGCAGCGGCATCTGAGCCGCGCAGTGCAGCAAGCCGGTCTAAGGCGCGAGCTCATTCAATGGACTCCATGGTCGCATTCGCTCAGGCGGCGGGCGTCGCCATCACTGGTCGTGGAGTCGCGCGCCGCCATCGACACAAGCGGTGAAGCGGCGGCGCGCACAGGCAGACCCGCATAGCGGTTGAAGCAGTGGCGAGTCTCCCGACGCCGACTAGCTCGCGCTCTCACGATGGGCTCGCCTTGGTGTTGCTCTTTCTTCGCGCTCGACGCCCGACCGCTCTCCAGATATTTTCGCCATCAAAACGACAATACTTGCTCTTCGCGCGCGCAAATCGACAGCGCTGAAGGGCCACACCACGTCGCCCTCTTTTCACAGCTCCACTCTATCAGTGACGATGCATTCGCCCGACAGCGGCCAGCGGTCGCTTTCTTCGCGCTCGCTCATCTTCGTCAAGATATTCCGCCTCACACTATTCGCTTCCCACAAAACCAGCCGCGCGACAGCCAACAGCGCCTTCTTCACACTCTCCCCGAATATTCAGAGGTGCCGGTTCAAAAATTCGAGGTGGGTGCGCGCAACACCACAGCTCCACGGGCATCGCTCTTCCAGATAGTCGTCGCATGCCATTGACGCTGTCCAAACTGCCCCAACCTGCTACCGATCCCGGCCCGTCCTTGAGACCTTACTCTGTCGCACCATATTCAGCCGCACGGAGCTATCCAATGCTGTTTGCTTCCCCCACTCAAAGAGATCCAATAATTTAAGCACTAGTCACAGCAACGCACGTCCGCGCACACATTCAAACATGGAGGAAGTTTAAGACATCGCAAATAACGCTCCAGCAATGATGCACTCAGTAGCTCTGACTGCCTTGCTATCTCTCGTAGTCAGCAGCAGCAAGTGCCCTCTGCCCTAAGTGAAGTCATCTAAGCTACATATAACAAAACATGAGACCCTCTTGCCCGAGCATCTCCCGTCAGACTCTCTACTTGCTGTACCGGTCCTCTTGCAGGAGCAATATCTCGACGGGTTCTGATAGCCATGATTGGTTTGATTCTTTAATCTGTGGCTGGGGTGGACTGATCGGTCCGAAAATGCTTGAGATGGTATCGCAGATATTGAAGTTCAATTTATCTCTTCATTCACGCTTCTTATTGCGGCTGACTTGACATATAATCATTGGTCTCTACTGAAACATTGGGTTGATTGCAATTTTGCTGGGGATTGCAAGCGAGTACGTCTGCAGGATCCACAGCATCCGTGTACGCTCCAGCCTTCTCATGAGCACCTAATGAGGGGCGGCACTGTATGCACCCATAGTCCCTTCTCCTCCTGGGATCCTGGACCGTCATGCCTACTGATCGTGGTCCTTGAGCTGCGATGTGCCCTTGCAGGCTCAACAAAGATTTCGAAGGATTGAACTGTCCGAGCTGGCACTGTATTAATGGGAATCACCTCATCATGGCGTCATGCCAGCCAGCGTGCAGCAGCAGAATATCGGTGGGCCTCTCATATGCTGTTGCCCACGGCCTGAAGGCGTGTCAGCCTCTCGACGACCACAAATGCGAGCGTGTGCCAGACGGATAGCGCTCCAACAGCCTAAGCCAATCTAGAACCCATTTCTAGATGAAGGCCAGTCCGCGTTCCGCTGTTTTAAGCGGCTGCTTGATCCGCAGCGGCACCCTCAAGTTCCTCCAAGAAGATCCGGATGTTAGAAGCGGGGTGTCTTCGCTTTTCACCGAAGGAAGATGCCTAGAGCGTATTCATTGCTCGTCTTCGTCCGCCTAGGAGCTCACAAGCTACTTCAACTATCTAGGCCAATCGCGGGCGTGAGCATTCTGTGCTGCCCTGAGATTTTATATTGGAACTTCGATCTCTGTGTGTTTGTGTGTGAAGTGACCGGCGTTGACGCTGCCGCTCTACCTGTACCCCAACGCGGGCGCGCCCGCCGTGGCTCACGCAGCTGGGGTTTGCCCGTAGCAGCAAGGCAAATAGCCCAGCTCTAGGGCACCGCTTCAATGGCAGACCTGGCTGGATGTGCTCTAGTCGTTCGCTCTATTCTATCATTTCTGACGAAGCACATGGATCTGCTTTATCGTTTTGCACCGCGACTTGACTGTCCACTACAGCTGGCGGGGTTCTATGAACGACGGGTATGCGCGCTGGCTGTCTGTCTTCCGTTGAGACGAGCTACTTCCCACACCAAGCGACTCTTCGCTCTAGGGGCGAATGGCTCTTGTACTGTAGCTGCAAGGCCTAGAAACCGCATGCTAGCGGACCTCAAGCCCGCTGCTAGCGTCCGTCGGCGGCTCCTCTGGATGTAAGTTGAATCTCCTTGCTCTTCGCCATATCCATGACGCAATAGCCCAAACTGGCGAACGTAGCGAGGAGTAGCCATTGAGAAGCGCACAATGGAGTTCAAAATTGGTCATTACTGAATGCAAAGCGCCACAGGCCAGTGCCTCCACCACGGCTGTCTGGCAGGAGAGCAATCCGTCGGGCGTCTGATCTATCCAGAACTACTATGATTCACCGGGTCCGCTATCTGAATTCTGAACCCGCTCGTCCGCCCTATCGTCCCACCCGCTGGCAGGCGACGCGGCCCGCCCCTTGGACGCATCAGCCACACCCCCGCCTCCGCAGGAGCACCGCCTCTGCCTTTCTTTTCTGTGCTCATATCATCGAAGCGGGTCGAATTTACCTTGAAGTAGTTTAGCGTAGAACAATAGCCGAGCAGATCCGTCTGGTGTGCTTATAAGGCCTCCGAATCCTTGACCTAGTGCTCTCTTTGCCTTGGCTTAAATCAAACAACCACTCTTTTTGCCTTCGCATAAATCACCCAATCGTTCTCAAAGTAGCTGACTACAAGCGGATGGATGCTTCAAAATAAATTCTGAACAAGCCGGGAACCTTCCCAGGGCGTCAGCCCCCTCTTCAAGATCAGGCGTGGCCTGGATGTTCGCACGACTGTGATGCTGCGCAACATCCCCAACCAGATGACCACGGTAAGTTTTTCCTTTTCCCCTTTACCGTCTTTGAAATGATATTGACCTTCGACCAGTACGACCTGCAAGCCCTGCTCAACAGCCAACACCTGGGTCCGTGGCAAGTTCGACTTCCTGTACCTGCGCATTGACTTCGCGAACATGTGCAACGTTGGCTACGCCTTCGTCAACTTTGACATGCCCATGACGATTGTGGAAGTCAAGCAGAAGCTTGAGGCCCACGAATGGCCATGGACTGGTCGCTTGGGGCTCAACCGAGAGGACTGCGATGTCGTGCGCCACTATCCAGGGCCATAGTTGAGAAATTTCGCAACTCGTCGGTGAAGCTCGAGCTTCCGAACTGCCGTCCCAGGGTAAGTTGCTTCTTCCCCCTCTTCGTCGTCCCCCCTCCCCTCCCCTCCCCTCCCCTCCCCTCCCCTGACCAAGGGCTGGTGTAGCTAACAGAAGGCGCAGCTATTTCGGACGTTCCAGGACTTTCCCGATCCTCTTCTCCTGCCTCTCGTCGGCTCTGAGAAGGAATTCCCGAAGTCGAACAACGAGGCGAAGCTTGCACGCAGTCGCCAGAACGCCGAGACGAGTTCCGCCACAATTACACCCACAGCCAGTTCGACCGTGGCAACCCGAACAGCGTGTCCGTCATATCTTATTTACCCGGCTGGGTCACTGGCCCTCTTGGTCGTGGTGTTTCCACTCGAACCGCACTACTGATTCAGTGCGGCGCTGGTTGGTCTGCCTGGTTGGTTGACGATTTCGAGGGACGACAATGATTTGCTTGCAATTGCTGACGGGGGACCTTTATTTTCTGCTTTCTTCTGGCGGAGACGCACGGTGGTGGGATTTGCTTCTTTTGCTGATAACCTTTGTTTTCTGGTTTTCGAGAACGCAGGTGGTGGAGGGCCATGTCTGGAGTTGAATAATTTTGAGGTGGGAGATAGTTTAGTGGAGTGTGGGTGTCGACTTCGGGGGCTGTGGTGGTTTGTTAGCTGAATGCATCGTCTTCGCTCTATAGTTGCTTGCCGTCTGGTGGTCGGGTGATCGTTTCCGTCTGCTGCGCAGCGCCTTCCCGTCCTGGTGCGGTGGTCCATCCACGAGCTCGTGGATCATCGGTGAGGTCCCCTTCTGGTTGTGTTGCCTGGTCACCAAGTCACGGGTGCGGTAGTGGCAGGTGTAGTGGCGAGTTAGGCGAGGATATTCCTTGCCGTCGTCCGCGCAGCTCGACCCAGCACCCGACATCCTCCTCAGCTCCGCGACCCGCCTCGTCAAAGGTAACTACCCAACTACCTACATTCCGTGACCTGTTCTGACATACTCTCATCAGCACAGTCCGTACGCAGCTCGATTGAATCCCCTCGGCAGCGGCCCTCCGCGCTATCTGCGCAGGGTCGCTGAGCCCCGTCTTCCAACACCGTCGCCGACCACGCTCCACCCAGCGCCCCGCTTGAGACCCTACTGCACATAACAGCTTCGGCTTGACCTCCCATCTTCACTTGGTCTCTGTCAGAGTATGAGGCCAGCCGCCGCCGCCGCCAAAGTCAGCTGGCGACCCGATCCTCCTCACCAGCGGGCTTCTTTGCTTACCAACTTACAATAGCCTCTGGCTACTTCATTACTTGCTGGCGCATGCCATTGGGGCTGCCACTCCTGCTCCAGCCACTGCCTTCCCGCGCCTTACTTGCGCCGTCCCCATTGCGTCGACTCACCCATCGCCCGCTTCCGTCACGTCTCCATGCCCAGGCCATTGCCCCATTCTCCAAGTCACTCCTGGAGTACAATGACAGTGACGCTGGCCCTGACCACCTCACTTGCGCCCTCTGCTGTTTGACTGGCAATCGTGTCCGCTCTGCTTCCGACTCCTCGCACGACGCTGTCCTCGCGGTCCACAAGTCTTTTCTGCAGCGCGAGAAAGATCGGCAACGTCGTCGCGAGCCTCAATCTTGTCGCCGCCAGCGTCACCTCTCTGATATGGACCATGCCTTTAGCAACCCTGTTCTACAAGCGACGCGTCCCTCTTGCCGCCAGCAGGACGTCCCGCAGGAACAAAGCGGTCAACCGCAGCAATGGCATCGTTCAGGTCCGCCCAAGCAGCTCAGCTACGACCGAACCACACCAACCACCGCGAGCGATGCGCTTTCTCTTGACCAAGACAACCGCGCCAAGTCCAGCAACAACCCGAGGATCCCCCTGCCTGCTCTTATTCCTCAGCAACCCCACCTCCCTCCCTTTGAGGTCGGCTCTCTCAAGATGTCCGATCTCCGCCTTGCCATCTTGAGCCGTGGCGATCGCTGGTACATCGTCCGCCGTCTCGGCTTGCGCGACACCTTTAGCCTCAGCAGTAACAGAAATAGCACTGCATCCACCAGTGACAACGAGCTTCCCTTCTTCTTCGCCTTCCAGTCGTCAAATCCGCTCTTCGATCGTAAGTCTCCGCTCCTGCTGTTATCGTCTTGATACTCACTGATTGATTCAGCATACTCTGCCGCACAGCTGTCCATCCTGAAGTGGTGGTCGTATTGGAAGCAACAGCAGCTGTTGATGAACTCGCGTCTCAGTCACGCGGCTTACCTGAAGCCGCGAGGGCCGATAAGCTTCGCAGAAGGCCAGCTGCCCGCCATCGACCCAGAGCCTCCTCTTTCGCCACAACGTCGCGACCTGCATCTGCCGTGCGTCACGGTCAAGTCCACTGCTCGCCATACTCCATCACAGCTCCTCGTACATGAGAGCGGGCGCACCTCTTCCTCTTCTCGCTGTTCGACTGCCGCCCAGAGCTTGGCCACCTTCCACCCCACTCGTTCACGGCCATCTGCTCCCTCGCGGAAGCTCCTCGATCCATAGACACTGCGTCAGACCGGGTCACGACTGGCGTTATGGTTCGTGGCCATGATGTCGAGGCTCAAGAGCGTCGGGCAACAACCTTCGCTCTACCTAACACAAAGTCGTCTGTGAGTAGGTTCATCACATCGGCCTACTGCTCTCATTGAAGACGAGGCGTCCTTCTTCCTTCTCTTCTGCGGATCTCTGTATTGTCTGTCACGTGCTGCGCTCACCGTTCATCCTGCCGTGGCCACGCGACTGTCTTCAGGTTGATTCGTTCAAGCCAGGCCGCCAGGACCGCCACCCCATTGCGCCCTCCATCTCGACACCGCCAGACATTTTCAACATTGGTCACCGTAGATAGACCCGGCTTCTTTCTTCTTCCAGCGTGTCTCCGAATCAGATTCAAGCATTCCGGTCCGGGAGGTACCGTTAAAGCCTCTTGGGGTTGTGGGAGCCACAAAACCCTCAAGGTCCGGGGGTTACCTTTCCTAAAGCCCCTTGATGGTCCGGAGGGGACCTTGAACGCCCTCTGATGGTCCGAGGGGGACCTTTAAAGCCCCTTGAGGTTGTGGGAGCCGCAAAACCCTCATTTTTATAACCACCTTTTTTCCCGGCAGCGCCGCACTGCATGTTAAAGCGGCACGGATTTTTTTCAGGCTCTTTGAGCCGCACGCCTCTCCCTCCTCCTCCCAGGTCTCCAACCCAATCTGCCCCTCAAAGGGAACGCCCTCCTCGCCGCTCACCTGGACTCCATCGCCGGTATGACCCAGCATTTCCCCTTCCGCACCCTCAGGCATTAAAGATGTTCCCTGACTGACGCGCATTTGCAGAGTTCGCCAAGAGCAAGTTTCCCGGCAACAAGGTCTATTACACAGTCAAGCGTGCCCACATCAAGGAGGAACCGCTCTACCTGGGCTTTGACCAACGCTGGGCGCTCAGCAAGTGGAAGGCGAGCGTGTGGCGCTACGACAAGCAGCGCCACTACAGGTACGAGATAGTGGCCTCTCCGCACTTCGCCCACGAGCACATGCACCTCTTAGGAGGACCTCAGCGTGCAGCAGGCGGGCCGTATCTCTCAACACCAAGCCCCAGACCAGTCCGCCCTTCCGCAGTCCAGTGCCCCAAACTCTGCTGCTCGTCCGAACGCCCCCTCTTCAGTCAAGAAGCGCAACTTGAGAAAGGCAGCTTTTGCGGCCGACAACTACATTCACGACATCCGTGTAGCTGCGCGGCCCGATAGCAGTGTCGAAAGCTACATGGATTGCTTCCACAAGGACGACACCGAGCTGATTTTCCCTGGCAACTATGAGGCTTTCCAGACGCCCTACAGCCTTCCTCAGCCCCCTACTACTCCTTGTGGCCCCTTGCAGGACCCTCGACTTGCAGAACCTGGAGAAGCGCCTGATCAAGATGTACGAGATGGAGGCTTCATTCATACGGTCGAAATGATGGAACAGCATGATGTGTCTTGGACCTGATATCGATAAAGACACTTAATGTGTTTCGTTGGCTTGACATCGATAAAGACACTTACTGTGTTGTGTTTGCCTGGCATCGATAAAAACACTTACTTGTCTTGTCTTGACCTGAAATCGATAAAGACACTTACTGTCCTGGGTTCGCCTGGCATCGATAAAGACACTTTCTGCTGGTGTCGCCTGATACCAGTGAAGACGCTTGGTTTCTTGCTGTCGTGCCAGAGATGATGGAAGAGCATGACAAGATGGAATCTGCGTGGTTGGGTTGGGGGAATGAATCTTCTTGGGGCGGTTCTGATCAAGCATGCTATCGTTGAATAGTTAGCGTCTCACTTCGTCATGAATACAATATGCGTGCCCCGTTTCTTGTTTGCTGAAGACATGATCGTGCCATTCACTGCTCCAAAACGCCGTCGTGTTCGTTCAGCTCCACATTCCATCAATCCAGCGCCGCCATCGCCGATACTAACACCACTGTCTGTGAGCTGAACCGCGATGGTGCGCCTGCCTGCTCGATGTCCGCTTCGGCGTTCTCTGCAGTGGCGCGAAGCCAAGCGCGGTGCGATGCTTATCCGCCGCTTGGCCGACTCGATAGCCGTGCGGAAAGCCGATGGCGGCATCGACAAGCGGGCTGGTTGACCAGGCCGCGTGGCGTTGCTGCAGTGCTATTGTACATACTAGCTTTTCATCCTGCTGGGCGTGAAGTTGCTGCTGTCACTTGAGCTTCTGCGGCGTTCGAAGGTCTCTTCGTGTGGCGCGTAAATAGTCACTGTCTCACTCTTGCAGGAAAATCGGATGTGAAATGATGCTCGCGCGATATGTGAGACAGCCAATTTCGGGGAGTTAACCAGGCCGGAGTCATGCCCATTTCTGTTCTCCCACCGTTGTTGAGCGCATATCCATTCTCTCGTAGTATATGAGTCGCTGCGCCACTTCCTCTGTTACGGGCGCTACGGCTTCTACACATGCCGCTTTTCTGTTTCTCTTGCCCGACTTCAATGATCAAGGATCTGGGTGCCTTCTGTCATCCAGAAGTGTTATCGGTTACAACAGTCTTGTTACTGAACACTTTTGACGAAGTAACAAGAGGATTTCATGATATTTGCCTGTCTTCCTTAATTCTTTGCTGATTGTTAGCTACTGGCACGTATATGATCTCCGCTGCCCCACATATGGCTTGAAGATCATTATGCGCATTTTTTCAAACACACGTGTGGAACTCAAACACTTCATTAGTAAAGCTCTACAGAAGCCAAAGGGCCGATAATGGCTCAGCTGACTACCCATAACAAAAGTATTTGTGCGGAGGCCGACTGTCTGGCAGTAATTGCTTCAGGGGCCGATGTTGGCCTTATGGCTGAGTGAAAACGATCAGCCAGGTGTAGTCTGTGATCATGCTGCAAGACCTTACCTGTGTCTAGCATGAACATGCCGCTTATCCGAACATGCGGTGGGCCATGCGGCGACGGGCACGGCGGTGGACTCCATCAGCGTTGTTGCGGGCATGAGTCCAGCCGTTCGTGAAGAAGACGAACCCGAGGATGACGAGGAGAAGCAGAAACCACCAGATTACGATGAGGACGATGCAGGAAGTGGACATCTTGACTTTTAGTATAAAATGTTCTGTTTCTTGAGGTTGGTGCTGCAGAGTGTGTGGAACGAGCATGCTGGCTGATATTTGGGCTTGAAGGGCCTCGGACACTGTTCAAGAGCAGCGCAGTTCTGTGTTACTGATAACGCCTAACACAGCACAAGCCATCCGCTGCAAAAGTGAAGCCAGGCCAGCTAGCCTCTGCCCGGTGATGCCCACGCTGCAGCCGCCCACAGCTCACCCAGAAAACCTCCACCCTCACCCCTTCCTCCTCCTCTCCCTCCTCCTCCACGACATCCTCCAAGCAGCACTCCGCCACACCATGTCGTCGCCCGTCAAAATGAAGACGATCCACTCCGCCGCGCGCAACACCAAGCCCTGCGCCTGCACCTTGCCTTACAGCGAGCTGCCCGACTACACGACCTGGGGCGCCCTCACCACGCTCCTCGTCGGCGGCGGCGGCTGCGGCCCCGCGGACGACGCTTCTTCTTCTTCGCCCCCCACCCCGCTCGTCGTCCACACCGGCGTCCTCACCCACGCGTCCCCCGTCTTCCGCGCCGCCTTCGCCACCAACCCCTCCACCGGCCTCCCCATCTGGCGCGAGGGCGCGACACTCACCTACGCCCTCCCCGAAGAAAACCCGGACGCCATCGCCGTCTGCCTCAGCTGGCTATACACGCGGCGCCTGTGGCCGCGTTCCGGCGATCCGGATCGCGTGCCAGATCACCTGGTGCCGTTGGACTGGGAGACGCTGGTCGGCGCTGCGATATTCGCGGCTGTGTATGAGATGCATGGCTTGCATAATGCGGTTGTCAGCGCGATCGTCGACGCCGTGGTGCAGCGCTGGGGCGATGGTGACAGGCCGACGCATTTGATTGCCGAGGTGTACGAGAGCGTGCCGGCTGGCATGCCGCTGCGGACGCTGTTTCTGCACGTCGGCTTGTTGGAAGACCGGGAGTGGCTGCTCGCGCAGGGGCACGGCGACGACAAGCTGCTGCCCGAGGAGTTCTGGGCGGACGTCGCGAAGTACGACAAGCTCCTGCCGTATCTGCGCCTGAACAAGGAGTGCGAGCGCAAGTGGGAGCACGAGAAGATGGAGGAGTACCACAAGCCCGTCGCCGCCGACATCAACGCGCTGACGACGATTGGCAAAGGCTGCGGCGGCTACTACTATTACCGCGACATGCCCAACGCCTATCCCCAACCGGCGGCCGGGGAGAGCGGTAAGAAGGCGCTCGGCGTGCTGGCGCTGCTCGAGACGAGGCGCGACTGGGAGCTCTTGTTCGTCTGCGACTACTTGCACGTCTTGAATGAAGGCCCGGAGGAGCACGTGCGCCGCAAGAAGAAGGAGAAGGAGGAGTTGGACGCGTATAGCATGCGGCTGTCCAACGTCGCGCCGCCGAAGCACGATATCGTCATCGAGGGCGAGTACGATGATAATGGTTTGCGTAGGCTGGTCGGCATTTGGCAGCATGTGCGCAATCTCCGTGCTAGGAATCCTTGAGTGGTTCTCCCTTGGTCGATATCTTCCTTTGTTGGAGGTGTGTTGGCGATGGGTCTGGTCTGGTCTCCCTTGTTGGAGCGGTGCGGACGATGGATGGTCTTTATGAGAGGCCCGGTTACAACAAAAGAGGATTTTGGGTTGTTATTGGAGCTGCTGCTGGGCTTGGGTAACAATGGGTCTGGATGGACAAGGTGTTTGGAGAGAAACCTGTTGGACCTGTTGGACTTTATCCGTAGCAGATCCTCGACCCGATCGGTATCAATCGAGAGATTATTTCCTTATTGACATTTCGCATGTGACATTCATCGAGAAGCTCCGTCCCTGAGCTGGTAGGAATGAGGGCGCCGTGTCTAAATAATGTCAATAGCAGTGCGGGCGGCGGATCGAAAGACTAGTCATCACGGCCATCTGGAGTAGGCTTTGTGGGTGGTGTCACTCTTCCAGGGAGCTGTCGTGTCAGTCAAACATATCATTTTGAGGCGGACGTTTTTGTTCAACCTATTGTTTGCGCTTATGTGGCTAGGGATGTGGTAGGAAGAAGGAGTGAATTTACCTCGGAATAATGTGGTTTGGGTAGCGCAATACGTAGCGGGAACACTTTCATATTGTGCTGACAGTCCTTCATGTAGCAAGTTCGACGCACAAAGAGCACCATCCATGAATTTTCAGATATCATTTTCTATGCTAGCTATGGGTCTTCCTGTCTAGCAGCACCGAAATTGAATAACCAGAGGCAACGGAGTTGCTAAGGGCAATAAACTTCCAAACTTGTGCCCTTCGTCAAGGTTGCATGGCTGGGAGTATTTACCCAAAGAATCTCTTCCGGTGTATTCCCATTGATATCCGTCCGCTGAAGTCTTTGAGACTTCATGTATATTGGGACCCAACTCGTCAAGTCCAAAGACCCTCACCCATTGCTGACTGGAGGGTCTAGAAGTAGGGCATGTTTCCAAGACGGCGTTCAGCCGTGTAGTATCCATCAATGAAGATGGACAACGCCTCCTTCATGCCGTGCATCTTGACGGCGCTGCTGAAGCTCTCACCGCCATCGTCCCTACGGTCGATGAACACCCATTCCTCCGAACCCGGGCCATCGAATGGCATCTCAGTCGCAACCAGCCATCCGAATTTGCCGTTCCACTTCGAGAAGACCCAGCCCTCCTGGCAGCTGTTGGCGTAGAAGACGATGTACGAGAGCGAAAACTTGTCCCGAAGGAGCTTCAGAATGGGCAACCAATTTCCGCCGTCAAGATGGACCTTGGTGATGAACAGCTTCTTGATTTGCTTGTTGTTCTCGAGGAAGCCCTTCAGATTCTGCATGCTGATACCCTCGCGACACAGACTTAGCTTGCGAAGGGACGAGTAGCCAGTAGTTGGCATGAAATCCAAGAGATTTCCGAGGCCTGACATCAAAGGAGTGGCGTTGCTGATGTCGAGACATTCAAGCATAGGGGCAGCTCGGACCATCTCCAACACTGGTGAGGGATGGAGGTCGTCTAAAGAAGTCAGTTCGTTTGATCTGTGCATGCTATTGTCGGGTGCGCTTCCGAGACTTACGAAGCCTGTTGAGATCCGTCCATGTCACATTGATGACCAAGACTTTCGTGTTAGCTAGGACTTCGGTTGCAAGCGGAGCAATCATGGACTGGCAAGGGCCGAGTCCCTGCTCATCGCGCAGTCTCGGCCTCCGACGTGCATAAGCGTTCATCTTGCGCTGCGCAAAGGTCAGGTGAGGGACTGAGATGCCACTGTGCTTGACGGCCTCGAAGATAGCCGGCAAGCTGCGATGCACAGCGGAAATGAAATCGCAAGAGGCTGGGTCGCAGCTGATGTGGTCCATGTCGAACGAGTAGCCTTCGATCACGAGCTGCTCAAGGTTCTTCATCTTCTGGAAAGCCAAGGTCAGGTAGTACTGAGCTTGTCCCGCACCGCAGCACCACTGCTGGGTATCCACATGCTCAAGTTCAGGAGGCGCTGCTCTCCTTATGATCAAGGCGCGTACAGCCTTAGCGTTCGTCTCGGACTCAAGGAGGTTTGCGAGGTGGTAAAACTCGCCGGCGTTGAACGTGACGGTCGTCCGGCGCAAGTAAGACGCCCACGCGAAGGCAAGCTTGCTGTTCATCTCGCGCGATAGCGTCCGAAGCTCTCCGACTTCCGATCGTTCAAGGAACGCTGCGATCTCGCTGACGACCTCCGGTGGCGCGCCCTCGAGGCTTGACTTCTTGGGTTTCATCTTGTGAGACGGCGTGGCCAGATCTGCCGCGCGCTGCGGTTCTGGTCGATGGAGTGAAGTGCGCAGAAGATGGTGAGGTGGAGTGGAAAGGTCTGTCCGAAGCGTGGTGGAAGGTCTATGGTTCGCCCGGCGAGTGGTCCTCGGCACGTGACTCGCGTCGCCAGCCCCGATAGAAAGATCTAGCTGTCCACCCATCACATGCGAATGCTACTCGTGCACGGTCCTTGCCTCATTGCTGGCTGGTATGTTTCTTGTATACTGTGTCGGGGACAAACGCTATCTATCTGAAAAGCAAATCAACGCCAGAAACTACGCCAGGTTGTCTCGCCCTTTACACAACAAATCCAAGGCTTCATCCATTGCAACCTGGCAGAGATACCAACCGATCAACGTGCAAAAACTCCCATCTGGCATTATCGGCACCGTCACATAAGGACGATGAGATGGTACTGCCAGCACTGCTCGGCCCAAAAGCCGTCGCCGCGCGAGAACTGCTCCACGAGGAAGTTGGGCGCCGGCTGCGTCGTGTCGAAGACGAAGGAGACGATGTGGCTGCCCATCAGCATGGCGACGTGACCCGGCGGGCAGCCCGCTGCTCCTCTGCCATGTAGACGGCCTCTCCCATTGGCACGACGAGACGCGAAGACGACACTATTGGCGGGGGTCATGGATGCTGAAAACCCTCTCTGGCATTATCGGCACCGTGATATAAGTGCATCTTTATATGCGTCATGAATGCGTTCCAGTCATCATGCCTCGGGCGCTTGGGGTCGGGGCCTCATCGTCGGAAGCGAAGTCAATGTCTGGCTTTGTGGTGATGCTCTCTTACACAGATCAGCAACAGGCCTATCTCTTTGCTATATATTGATCGATTTTGCGCGGGGTTCGTGTGGACATACTGGGCGGGGTGTCTTGTCGGCAGGCGAGTTCTCGGACATGGTGGTGGTGGTGATGGTGGTGGGAAGTCAAGGCGTACGCCTTCTCTGGATCCAGATATTGTAGCTATACAGGTTGTAAACACCAGCCTTGAAGAAGTCTCTCGCCTTGAGAGTCGTCTGCACCAGAAGGATGTGGGTGTTCTTCACTGTCCTCCAGAACTTGGCCTTGTTGTCTTGAACATCCCAGTCCTTGCGCTCCTTCTCGGTCGGCGGCGGACAAGGAATGTCTGACGGCTTCTGCAGAACGGGACGGTTCCAGACAGAACGACAGCATGGACACGCAAGAATAGTGTCTTTGGGCGGTGCTGTCGTACACAGGGCCCTCTCCAGCACCCCACGGTCTCGTCTTTGTTCTTCTTCTCCCCTGCAGGGCATTCTGGGAAGCACTCGCGTCTCGAAGTGGGGACGAGCAAAGCCAGCTCTTGTTGTTCATCTCGGTCTCGAACCGTGGAATGGCGGTTGGAGACGTGCTCTGACAATCATATAGTGATGGCTATATACGTGAGTAGGGTCTTCGTCGTCCATTTTATCGTCGGCGCCATTGGACTCCCAGAGCATTTTCCAGAGCGTCTGGGTGGGCTATGCAGACTGCCGTCTCTCCTTGCCCATATGTGCAGTTTATACGTCAACGGCTTTGTTGCTGTCGAGATGCGGATCCAGGCCTTTACCCAAGGAGGCTTGCAGAGCGCGGTAAACGGTCAGTGGCAGCTGGTGATGTGTATGCTGATGGCCATTAGCAATTGCAGATGCGAGGAGAAATCAGTAGAGGTGGTCTGTCAGACAGAGTTTGAGCAAAGGGGGCCCTCTTGGTACTGGTAAGTGTGAACGGATAGCTTACATGCGGTGTGGTGAAATTGGTCAAGCAACGTGCATGTCGCGTTCGAGGTCACGATCCTTCAAATAGGCCAGTCGAGAGACTTCATCCGCAAAAGCACCATGGAGAGTTTGCTTGCATCGATGAATGGGTGGTAGCCGTGCGCATCTTTCTCAATATCAAAGGCGGTCTCGATGTCGTTCTGGAGATTATTGTGCCACATGCCACATGCGGATGGCGGTGTGGCAGCGATATATGTACGTTGTGAGGCTCTCACGCTTCCGCGACCCACCAGTCGGCCGAGTGAGAGACGAAATGGATCCTGACGTTTTGTGGTCGCTCTTCTTTCCTAGGTATATAGAGAAACCAGATGATCCTGTCGCGAGCTCGACCTACATCGACGCGTGGCTTCAAGACAAAGATTAGCAACGACGCATGAGAAACGTGTGCGGTCATGACTCACCTTGTGGGACAGACTGCTTGCTGCCGGCACTGGCGACGATGCCACTGCTCTCTTCGGGGTTCCATTGTCCAGCCCCGCGCGCAGCAGGCCCATCCATATCGCGGCGTATTCGATCGCCGCCTCGTTGTATGAGCCGTCAGCGTAGACGGTCATCACTGAGGCGGGCTGCGTAGCCCGGGCGAGTGTTGGATGCCTCGTTGTCCATCTTATTTCCTTCTCGCCGATCGATGTGCACCTTGAGGAGCAAGTACATACAAGTCGGAAGCTTGGTAGGTGGGCAGATGATGGCGTTGCGGCACATATGGGTCTTCGAGGAGGGATGACAGCGCTGGGTCATTGTAGGTCGGCGTGCGGTGGTTGAAGTCCTGCCATGCCGACTCGAAAGCCAGGTATACATGGGCAAAGTGCAGGAGGGCGAAGGCGTAGATACGCGGCGAGGCCGAGTGTTGGGCAAGCGCGAGTGGCAGACGCGCCGTGATGAGGCGGTTGAGCTTGGTGTGGATGGATCTGTGGAGAAATGTAGGTCAGAGTCTGCTTCTGTCTTTCTTTGCTTCTCTTTTCTTGGGTGCAGGTTTGTGCTTGACGCTACCTTTTGGTGGTATTAGTTTCAGTAGACGGCGTGTATAAATGAGGTTGGCGATGTCAGAAACTTTATTGCTGTCACTTTCGTAAAGGCATCGGCAACATCATCGATGACAATGACCGCTCCAGGGCCGAGAAGCGCTGTTGGGAGTCGACGGTAATATGTGTGGATTAGACCTCCCAGATGAAGGAGCTCGTCGATGGTGATGCGTATGCCGTAGATGTGGATATGCTTTCGGGAGCTCAGCAGACCCAGCACAGCCGGCGAGGTGCTCAGCGATGCACCGTTGTCGGCCGCCAGCATATTGTGCATGCGGCGCATCACGTCGCCCGTGTTCAAGCACATGGGGCCCGGGTTGTTGTTCGACGAAGAAGCCATCGTGATGGCCTCAGGGGCAGTGCAGTTGTTGTTGTTGTAAGGAGAGGAGGAGACTCCATCCTTTGGAGCTTATGAGCCACTTGCAGCCCAGCCCACAGCAGACACCAAGGTGACAGCGGGATGGTGGTGCGCTGTTTCTGAAACTAAGGCGGCGAGAGTCTTCCAGGTCGTCCAAAAGCTCCCACCCCATCGATCATGGTCCGGAAGGTCCACGATAGCACAAAAGGGGAAGTAGAAAATAGCGGACCACCGCCACGGTTAAGGTCGCCATGTTGTTCTTCAATCCGCTCCTCAGTCGCCACCACCAGACAGTAGATGTAAAAAAGAAAGGCGCTTTTGGGTATGGGCTCGTACGAGACATCATGACGATGGTGTAGATCCCGCATTGAATTGCAAGTGGCCATGACTCAATCTCGGCCGCATTCAGACACCGGAGCATGTCAATGTGCGCGGCATCAATCTGGTCACCTCTCAGAGAGCCAAGCAGTTCATTGATCAGGCCAGGTGTGGCGATGGGCCTCAAGCTCGTTAGCTCAGGGCAGAGTACCGCTCCGGCACCCTCCAGGTAGACCTAAACAGTCTTGTGCATGGTCCGAGACTTGAGCTGCTCGTCCAGCATCCTGATTTGTCCAAGGACAGTGTTTCTTGATCCCTTGTTCGCCTGCTGCTGTTCGCTGTGCAGCTCCTGCTGCTTCTTTGCAGCAGGGAAGTTCTTTCTCTTTGGCGTCGCCAGGTCAATTTTAGCGTTCAGGGCTTTGGATACTGGATGCCAGCGGAGGAAAAGCTGTTTCCCCTTCAGCTTTTTGCTATATAACACATTCGCCGTTTCTCGGCTCTTCTTGCTGATTTAAGTGCGTCGTGGCGAGTTGTGGTTGACATTCTGACGCTGGCATTAGCAGCGACCAGATCTGCAGGGTCTTTGTGAAACATGACATACCAGTTCTCTTGTTGACTTCTCATGGTCTCAAGCTGACTACTCATTGGGTCGCAGGTGGTTCGACGGTGTTGGTAGATGACGAGGCAGGAGCGCACGGACGAGACAGTTCTTTCTCTTTTTAGCACTCCCGGCCTCTGGAGCGGATGCACCCTTGTCACTGGCCCTGCTTCCGTCTGAGAATACAGCAGGGAGTGGAACTGCCAGTACCGGGCTGTCGCAGCCAATTGGGCGAGGAAAGCCGCCCCTCAGCGTTTACGTCTTATGCACGAAGGCCGAGCATGATGAGCAAAGGCAAAGTTATGCGGGTCGCAACATTGCCGACATGCAACGCTGCGCAGAGTTGTGACGCGTCGCCTAATTGCAGGTCAGGGGAGAGGAGGAACGACATGGGGTGGACATGGGTCAAATCCAGGGGAGTGTTATTCAGTGAAGCTCGTCATGGCGGTGTCAATAATGGGATGTGGTTTAGGAGAGAGCAGAAGAATCGAGAAGAGCTGAGCACGGGAATGTCTTCGCTCGGCCATGACCGTCTGGGGCTGGAGCTGCAGCACATGGAAGGATGAGAGCACAACGAATGCTTGCAGTCTAGAAGCCCAGTCTCAGAAGCGATGGGGCGTTGGTTATATAGCTTCAATTTGGTCTGCTTGCAACATCATCTGGACGGAGCAGTTTGCGCAGGGCAAAGGGCCAGAAAATCGGCGTGACAGACACAGCAAGCACTCGACGGCCCAAACAGGCCCTTCCCCCCCGCGCCGCGACGTCCCGGCTGATTGTTCTTCCTCTGGTGCTCGCTTAGCAAACAGGTGGCGCACAAGGCTGCCTAAACGTCAAACCTACCGCCCCACCTGCCCCTCCCAACCCACAACCCTCTCGTCCCTATTCTACCCGCTTCCGACCCCGATCAGCTTGCTCCTCCCGAGGATAAGCTTTACACTCAAGTCAAGCGCGTCGTCGCGGGCATCGTTGAAGCTCCGCGCCCCTCTCCTCTGTAGATGGTATTGCTACGCACATTTCAACATGGAGGATATCCCGCTGGAAGAGCTCCTCCGCCCTCCCCGGGCAGACGAGGCCCTGCATTCAAAATGGAGGATATCGCGCTCGGAGAGCTGCCCCGCCCTCCTCTCGCCGCAGACGATGCTCTGACTCGCTACGAGTCTCCTGCGCCTGCGTACGAACATCCTCCTACATCCTGCTCAGTTTTGCGCCCCAGGAACCGCACTACTGATTCACAGTAAACAGGCCCTCAACAATTCCAACCCCGACGATGCTCTCTGGGGAGCTACCTCGCCACCATTCTACCCGTCGCCATGGATGGACGGCTCCGGTGGCTGGGCCGAGGCCTACGCGAAGGCCCAGTAGTTTGTCAAGCAGATGACGCTGCTCGAGAAGGTCAACCTGGCGACCGATATCGGGTAAGTTGACAGGAATGTCTCGTGCACCGCGAACAGGCCCTCAGCAACTCAATGCCAGTCCCTCCTCAGCCAGGCGTTCACTGCAATCATCTTCAGATATTTCAAGTGATAGCATCTACTTACATACCACAGACAGTGATATCCACCACTTCTTCGCGGAAGATCTAGCGGCACATCCATCTATTTGCATTCCAGACACCCCTCGGATGGGGCAGTCCCCGGCCAACTTGGCCATCAATCGAGTGGCCGCTACAAGAGCTCTGGAAGAGCAACAAGTGGATGTGCTTCGCGGCTGTCGGCCTCCTGCTGGACCCACCCAGCCTCACTTGTCTGTCCGCATTCCAGAGACCTGTTGGAAAGGCAGAACATGCAAATCGAGCAGAAGTCGTGGCACATCCAAGAGCAAGACGAAAACAGGAAGGAGTTGGAGGAGGACAACGAGAATCTCGAAAAAGAAGTGGAAGATCTCGAAAAAGAGACCGAGAAGCCTCGCCTGCCCGAGCGGCCCTACAACCGCCACCCTCCTGCCGCCACCATTTGTCTGTTCGCATTCCAGATACCCGTCAGCTGGACGGTACAGACTCGTACCGCCACCATTTCTTCCCGGAAGATGGGGCTGCGCGCCCTACCGACTTGTCTGCTTGCATTCCAGAGATGCCCCCGCTGGCTACCAGGAGCCCGCCCCGAGTGCTCAAGAGCCTCCCCCGAGTGCTCAAGAGCCTACTGCCGGAGGTTCCCGCCCATGAGACTGTTGAGCCGTTGGGCCGTGAGGTTCCCATCAAGCTCGTGCCCGGTCCGGTCCGCAGGCCACCAACCGCATGTCCGCCGCCCCCGCCTGACACCTTGACACCATGAGATCGCATGTTCCTTCTGCTGCGGCTCGGCAGAAGCCCCCTGAGGGCAAGGCCATGGACGGTTGCCCTTGTCTGTTTGCATTCCAGATGAGCCGCCGTACCTATGGCCTCATGGCCGAGGACCAGATTGCTCGCTATGAGCAGGGAAAACTCGCCTCCCCCCACCGACCGTCGCTCGCCTTCTCGGCGGCGAGGAGGGCCACAAGTTGTCGTGCCCACAGGCAAAGCCGTTTTGGCTCGTCTCCCCCCACCGAGCATGGTCCGGAGTCTAATTCGTCTCCGACGGCTCGGTCTATTTGCTAAAACACTCTGCGCCACCTGGCCGGCGCACTGCGCGCGTACCGTGCCCCCCTAACCCGCCCCACGGCTCGGTCTATTTGCTAAACCACCCTCGACAATGCCATCCCTAGTAAGGGCTCGGCACACAATTCTCCAGAGCATGGACCTACGATTATGACAAAACAGGCCGCAGAACTCATGAAGAACACGCGCGACGGAAATTCCTGCGTCACACGCTCGCGCAGCGCCCTCTGGACCGCCGATGCCGGCCCAAGCTCCAGACAAGTCCAATCCTACGGCCGATCCGACATTGCCAGTATCTTACAGCAGACCGATCAACCGGCAAAGGGGCAGCACGCGCAGCACCAGCATTGCCGGCGGAGGAGCTCTTGCGGAGTGGGCTTTCAAGAAGCTCATGGCCAAGGTCAAGAAAGCTTGCAAGACCGGTCGTGCTGGCCCCGATCAGGAAGCAGGCTGGCGAGACTGTGTGGGGTTGCTCCTATACTCTGCCTTCGCTTGGCGAGCGAGGAGGACGACGACGACCTGCTGCTGCTGCCGCTGTTGGACGAACAACAGCAACAGTAGTTGGCAGCAGCGGTCGCATGCGACGTTCGCTGGCGGGCTCCGCGCCCTACGGCGGCTTCCTCTCTTGGGTTTGCCTGCAGCTGGACTTTTGGGAATCAGATCTCATCTCCAGCGATGACGGCTTCCACGTCGTAGAATCATCTGCAACGCAGTCAGGTGGGCGCTCGGCGCCATGGTTAACGCCACTAACCTACTGAAGCACCGCCGCGTGGATCTTCTCAGCTTCTTCACTAAAGTCAGCTCAACGCTGAAAGTTCTGAACATGGGCAAATTCAGGTTTGCCTGAAGCTGGTCTTTTGGGAAACGAATCTTGTCTCCACCTTGAGAATGGAGAAGATTCGCACCAACTGACTAAGCTCCTGATCACACGCGGCGTCGATCCGAACACACGCGCGCTGCTTGACCTCCTTGAGATATCTAGCACTAAGAAGCTTGCAACGCCGCTGCAAGACGCTGTAAACAACCACAAGCGCGCCCGAATCGACCTCCTACTCGCGCACGGCGCAGATCCCAATATGGTGGCCTCCGCGGACGGCCTGAACCCCCTCGAGGTAGCACTACGCCAAAGATCTCCGGAGGTTGTCGACGCACTCTTGCGCCACGGCGCGGCGAAGTATGCCGTTGCCAATCCGACCAACAACGGAAGTTTCAACATCCTCACACACCCCGACGCATTGGAAGGACTGGGAAGGCGGTACGGGTGTGCCTCCGGTTCATCCTACTGGACGACCATCCAGGTCCAATTCGAGAAGGGACCGGTCCATTTGCTAAATACACGAAGCGGAAGCAGCGCGCCTGGAGTCGTCGGACTCCAACGGTCAGCTGACTCCTGGCGGTGATGGTGTGCCGTTCGACATGTGGAAGCATCCGACGCCCAGCCCACAGAGATGGAGATGACTCCTAGGCACAGAGTTGCCTCAGGAACAGGCCCGCCGCCCTCTGGGTGTTCCTCGCCCCGTCCCACCATCGCAGGACCATCGTCATCCAACCAACCAGTCAGACGCGTCAGCAATGCTACAGCTCCGACTCAGGACCGCCCGCATAGCACACTTTGTCTTCCGTTTCGTTTGCTGGCCCAGAGCCAACGGCCTGCCACGCACCCTGGAGGCTACCCAGTCAAGGTCCGCTGGCTGGCCGGCCTCACATTGTTGTTCTGCCCGCTGCCCGCCCTTCCAGTCGCTCGGTGGTGGCTCGAACAGCCACAGCAGCAACAGCAACAACAGAAGCACCAACAACAGCAGCAACCGCCTCTCCGCAACAAACTGCCCCCGCCAACTGTTCCGAAGAACCAGACCGGCTGGAACCTGCAATACACCAGCAGCAGCCAGCCAGCCTCGGCCCTCCCACTCTCGGGCAGGAGAAGTGGAGCGCAGCGATATGCTACAGGAGACATACGACGGCTCGGTCCATTTGCTAAAAACACCCTCCTCCACCGCCTCGCCCACAACAGAGGCGGGCTGCCTCCCGCACAACGGTCCGGTCCATTTGCTAAACCACCTTCCGCCTCCCGCACGGCTCGGTCCATTTGCTAAATCACTCCTCCTCCACCGACACCATGTCGTCCACCAGACGGACCGGTCCATTTGCTAAATCACACCCTCCGCGGTATCACACAGGAGGGGAGGGGGGCCGCGCCCCACACCACCCACAAGTGGGCCGGCGTCTCGTTTGGCTTCGCGGTGTGCGGCGCTTGTTTTCGCGGGGTGACTACCTCGCTGAAATCATGGAGAATGTGTTGTGGGCGGCGTGGAGGACAACAACATTGATGCAAATGACGGTTCCTCCGACGCTGAGAGCTTTGAGTACAATGATGATGACATAGACGGGGGTTTCGAGCTCGATGCGGGTGGTTTTGGGCGTGTGGGGTTGATGGGATGCGGTAGATAGTTGAATGAATTGCATGGAGTTTGTTACAGCGCAGCGGTGCAGTATGTGAGGTTTCATCGTTCCTGTTTCGGTCTGGAGTGGGATTGGTGATGCGTCATTGCTGGCTCTTTGGGAGGAAAGCTCTGCCAGCATGGTGTAGCGTCAAGGTTCATCGTCACTCCGTGTGCCACGACGCCAGACAACCCTCATGAGGAAAGAACGGAGAACGCTGGAACAAGTTTTGATAGAAATTATTCTGGCGTATACTGCATATATATGTTAGGTCTGTGGCACGCAGTCACAAATGACGGGTTGTGGTCTGCTCGCTGCATTCGATTTGGCCAGCTAGGTCAAAGGACAACACCGGAAAAATTACCTGGCCCCTCATTCGGTCTCGCCTGAAGTTTGCTCGATGCTGCAGAAACGCTGTTGTCGAGTCTCTGGAGAGCTGTAATTTCATTTCTGGTAGTGGGGTTGGTGTGCATCCCAAAAATTATTTTGTACGGATTCTTCTCAGCAAGTTCGTCAGCCCTTGGCCAAAATAATTTTTTGACACAGCTATATTAGCCCACCGTGTACAAGACGAGTTTTGAGAGAGCTTGTAGTTGTTTTGAAAGGCGCACTCGCTTGCAGTGCAATGGCGAGTATTAGTCCTTGCGTTGCTGACTGGCATTGCTCAATATCAGAGTTTGACCCGATCCTGTGAGTAAGACGAGGATTTATTTCTGCGCGCTAAGCGTGTCAAGTACGTGTGAGCGCCATCGGCGCTTAATATCTGTCTGCAGTCTCCTTCGAACTCTCAACGAGGCCGCCGCGCGGTGGGCACACCATAATTAGGCATGCGCGGAGCAAGACCTCCAGGTGGGACAATCTCAGCACACCACCGCAGCAGCTTGCCTCTGCTGTTGAGCTCACAGGCCTGCGGCGAGTGAGGGGAGCCCGAGTAAAGACGACCAGAAGGTCCTTGCAGCTGTGCAGTCTATTTCATCCATCTCTGATCCGTGTCTGAAGCCCTCACTTGAGGTCAGTAGTGCCCAGCCGGCGTGACATTGCCTTCCACTCCTGCCAGCATTCCCACCCTACCCGATACCGAGACGCTGCTTGCCTTGGATGCATGACCAACGGCAGTCACGGCCTGGTCAGCGACCGGTACGCTAGGAGGGTGCGTGGTCGCACATTTAGGCTGCCAGTGGTGGCCGGAGCCAGCAAGGGAAGGAACGACGGGCTGAGTGACCGCCAGTGATCACTCTCAGCAAGACCCGCCAGGCAGAGCACCAACTCTCACTCCCAACCCCAACCTCAAGATCCTCATCTATCCTTCGCAATTCTCTGCCTTGAAGCCGCCTACCCATTCTGAAAGCAGTGGCAGGAGTGGCCTGCCGTTGACGTGAACATGGCGAACCAAGACAACCAATTCTTCGCAGAAGAGGCAGCCAGGACCTTCGGCGTCTCGCCAAGCTACTTCAGAGGCTACCAGGTCGAGCCTGAGCAACAAGAGCAGCCCTTCCAATGGGGAAATGCAGTAGGAGATCCCGACCCAACGCTCACCCCGATGCCTGCAGTTTCCGGACACAGCACAGCTTGGACAGCTCCCGTCGAGGGCGTCAACAACAATGTGCTGCTTTCTCCGTTCCAGCCGCAGCGTTACCGCCGTGTTTCTAGTGAGCTGTCGAGCATCGCAGTGGCAATGCCTTCCCAGACGTCGTTCATGGGTTTGTCTGGTCCCTCAGCAACCACCGCCGCAAACACCACATCCGAACCTCACACGTTCGCACTGCAACGCACGACCGAAGAACAAGCTTCATACAATGATCTCCTTGGCGAAGAATCCCTACGTCAGCCCTCGTGGGGCAGGACGCTTGCATCCAGCAACGAGGCTCAGTCGAACATGGCAACGCCCTTCGGCTTGCCGGCAATGAACTGGTCACCTCAGTTCTTCCCTCCTTCGACCATCCCTTCACCTGAGATGTTTACCAACACCTTCCCGACCCTGGAAACCACGGCGCCGGGCAACATCTTCCCGGCTCAGTCACCGACGGACGACGACGAAGCAGGCCACGACGGAACAAACCTCGACGAAGCAGATCACGAAGAGGCAAACTACGACGGCACAAACTACGAGGACGCAACTGACGACGAACCCAGCCACGACGAGCCTATAACCGTTCCTCTGAAGCACAAGCAGCCCCCCACCAACCCGCCTCCGTACAGGAGCTTCAAGAAGCCCAAGATCGTCGCACCGCCAGAGCCACAAGTCGAACGGAACTCCGGCATGACGTTCGCCTCACCTGCAGACCAGTCGAAGGCGAAGTCTCGTCACAGGCGCGCCAGCGTCAGCTACAGCGGCGGCTCGCCCACTGAGGCAGACAGGCGGTATGTCCCCCATCTTGCCATGCCCCATTCCTCATCCTACCCGCTTCCCGACAACCCCAGACCACCTCAATCGCATCCCTCCAGACAGACAGAGGGAGAAGCAAGCATGTGCGTGCAAGCGAACACCCCCACTGACCCCCTCTCTCTCCAGCACTATGAACTCCCTGCGCTGCAACCGCACGCCTCTCACCGCGCTCCTACGCCGCTACGCCGTCCTCATCATCACCTACCCGCAGCACCCGGCCCGCCGCACCGTCGCGCTCCGCAACGAGAGGCTCGCCGAGTCCTCGACCCTTTCTGCCTATCCCACCGCCGCCGATGCCCTGTCCCAGAAAATCTCGCGCCAGATGGCTGTCTTCGGCGCCCTTGACGAGGAACGTCGCATGGTGCGCCGCCAGCGGGCCGGTGTCGACGGCGCCCTGGACCGCGAGATGTTCGTGCGCAAGGCGCTGTCCCATGGCTGGATCGAGATCATTGGCAGGGAGAGGATTGAGGGATACGACAAGGGTATTGGACGCATGGACGAGGAGGTCGTGCTGAGGGGCTCTAAGGAGAATGAGGAGGGCGAAGTCGGAATTGACTTCTTTACGGTTGGCAAGGGAAAGCAGATGGTGGAGAGTGTTGAGGAGGACGACACTGATACTGAGGATGAAGATACTGATGATGATGATGACGGCGGTGCTGAGCAAGAACAGGGAGCGGAAGAAGACGCTGATGGAGAGGAGGATGATGAGGTTCCCGAGGAGGGAGACGAGGCCGTTGAGGCTACGCAGCCTAACAACGAGCAGGAAGAGTATGAGTCTGAGGAGAGTTCGAGCGAGTGGAGCGACTACAACTAAGGGGGACGACTGTCACTGCTGACGATTGATCGACTTAACGGAAATATAATACCGGGGAAACGGAAAAGGGAAAAGGCAAAGGCGATTGCTACAAGCTTCAACGATTGAAGCATTGCTGACGGTATCCATCATGGCAACAAATGGCTGACGCATGACGAAAACTTCGAGAAACATGGAGGAGGTGAATACTTCTCCACTACCTGTGTTGAAAAGTATACGCTGCAGAGTTACAGTACATTCAGAGATATGAATCTTGCTGTTTACGATTCATGGATAGAATAGCAGACAGATAGCTGAATTCAAGCCTGTATGTGATAGATCACTTACCTCGTGAGCGTCGAAGAAGAGGAGAGAAGCCTTTCGACTGCGGCGCGAAATGGCGGATGCTGTGCTGACTCGTGCCATGCATGCCATGGTGTTGTTCGGGACTCCTTTCGTGCTGTGGCGGTCCGACGAACCGTCCTTCCGCATCCTAGACGTGCGATTCATGACTTCAAGGCAAACATGCTGACGCCGCTCTCCCGCAGTACGCCATATTGCCTCAACCTGCTCGCCTATCGCGGCCCGCCACCGTCGTCATTGCGGCGCGGCCCTCACGACTCAGCAGCCCGCTCTCGAGCCGGCTCGTGGCGAGGACGGAATGCAGTGACGCCGCACTAGAGGAAAGGGCTCTTCCAGATTGCATCGGACACTAGCGGTGACGGCTGAAGGGAGCGCTCGTCGAGCACCGCAGAGGAGAGCAGCGAGGGGAGACAGGAGAGAGGGAGAACACACTCACGAGAAGCTCCTCCATCGCAAACCCCCGTCTCCCCCACCAGCAAACCTACCCCGCGCACCCCGCGAAGCCCACTCACCGTGTACAGTACAGTACGTACCGACTCCGCCCCAGAACCTACGAGAACCTCCACCCGCCAGCTCGCCGCCGCCAGGCCAGGCCAGGCCAGACCAAGCCGGCCGGCCGACGGAGAAACCTCAACACCACAGACCAGACCCAGACCGAGACCCATCACGATACGACGATTCGCCGCCCCACGCACTGCACGAACCTTACGCACTTACGCACCTAACGACTACGCACCCCCACCTCGCTCGCTCGCTCGCTCGCTCGCCCACCCAGCTACCGCGCCTCACCCGCCGCAATCCCTCGACCGCATCATCAGCCGACAGCCTCACCACCACGCCGTCCCTGCGCCGCAGGCCCACATGACATGCCCACGCCGCATGCTACCCACAAACACCCCGCGCTAGCCGCGGCACAGAAGAAGAAGGAGATGGGAAGGGTATTAGGCGATCAGGCAGGCGAGCAGGCGAGCAAGGCAAAGACGCAGCTAATCTGTCTTGCAGCAACGGCGCAGTAGCAGCAGCAGCAACGGCGTCAGCCAGCAGCGAGCGAGCAGAAAGCAGCCAACAGCACGCCAGCCAGCCAGCAAGGCAGGGAAGGGTCGACCGGTCAGTGCGTCCGCGTGGACCCATGCAGCATGCAGCTAAGAAGAGCCAGCCAAAGAGACAAAAGAAGACAAAGCCGGGCTACAAACCCTTGTCCAGCCAGGCCGCCCTTCCCGCGTCCTTCTCGAAGCGCGCCAGAAGCGCGCCAGAAGCCCGGGGCGGGCGGCCTGGCGTCGAACGAACGAACGAACGCGCGACCAACGCACAGACGCGGGCGCCCCAGCCGCGCCAATCCACACACCAACCCGCCCCCCATCCCTTCTTCTGCCGCGCTTCGACGAATGTTCCGTACTTCGGAGACTATGCCGTAAGGGGGATGTGTTGGGGGAGGTGGCTGGGCGCGTGGGTGGATTCGGAGTGGGCTTGTGGGCGGGTGGGTGTGGGATGTCGTGAAGATGGCGGTGAGCAAGCTGCATGCATGCAATTGCATGCGTCTTGGGTAGTACGTACATACGACTGGCGTGGTGCGTGTGGGGCGGCAGCACGCGCGCTCGCTCTTCTCTCGCTCTCGCGCTTTCGCTCTCGCAATTGGGTGTTTTGTTCTGTTATTTGCTTTTTTCTTCTTGGTGGACGGTGCGGGCGTAGTGGTGGTGTTTCTAGACGGCTTCGGTTGCATGAGAGATGGGGCAGGGGAGAGCAGCAGGGTGTGGTTGGCCACGTTGTCGGCCGCCCCCCGTCCGTGGTGGGATTGAGTCATGTGGCTTCTTCTGGCAGTGTTCTGGAAAAAGGGGGTGTGGAAGAAGAGGGAATGTGTGTGAAGGGGAGGAGACCCTGAGGTTTGGGAATTGAAATTGGTGTGGAGTTTGTGAAGGCGGTGGCCGAGCGTGTGCCCGGCGCGAGAGGTGTGCCGAGCAGGGAGATGCTTGTTTGGCCAAGGACCTTTGTTTTGACGTCGTGGCTTTCTGTGGTACTTGGCGGCCCTGAGGACTGAGACAGATGGTGTTGGTTGTCTCTGAGAGATGGGAGCAATTGGTGCTCGCGACACGATGCTTGTTGGGCATTGAGAAGACGATGGAGCGATGGAGCGCCAGCTGGCAACACTCAGGATTGGGATGCAAGGGAAGTCCCTCTGAAAAATTCTTCATTCCCACTCCCGGTGACATCAGTCGCAGACGAACACCAGGGATACTGGTCACGATGCGACAGTCAGATGGTGTTTCCGAAATGCTCCGCTGCCACGTCAAGGCTCCGCGAGATTCTGAAACGCAAGGCGCGAGCAGATCCCTCTGACTCCAAAACATCGCCAACTCTGAAACACGCGACAAGCACTGGACGACAAGCACTGTCGCGCGAAACACCAAAAAAAGACAGCAGCACAATGACGAAAATTATCGTGAGTCACGCGCATCATGCAACAACGAGCAACATCAATTGCTACCCAAGACGGGCTACGTCAGCACCCCCAGAAGATCTCCCGTTACACAGCAGCAGAAATGCTCCTCAGATCTCGCATGGCACACCGCAAGAAGCAGGGCGAAAGGAAAATACTTTTCTTCACGTCGTGTAACACGAGATCCTGCAACATCGACACGTGCGCCCGTCAGATCCGCTGGTGTTGTTGGTCTGCCTGCTTCCCCCCCTCTCTGCCGTCCCCGCTTTGGCCCCTCGCGATCAACAGCCAGTGATAGACAGCCTTGCCTTTTGGCTTGCAGCGAACAGCGCTGTTCACCGGTCAAGCGCGCTAATGCATGTGCAGGGTAGCCAGCCTGCAACGCACGCGATTAGAGGCGACACATGGACACTACACGCATACCCCATCACGACGTAATGGCATCACGCCTTCTTTTTTGCTTTTTTTCCCCCTCTCGCTCGCTCTGCCGTCCTAAAACGGAACCCCGAGGAAGCACGGTTCCTCCAATAAACCTTCGGCTCAACCCGGCTCTGGGTGGGAACACGTGGTGGTGCGCTTTCTAGAAAATCGAGTGGAAGGCAGATAGAAGCCGGCGGCCGGCGCGGCACAGCCCGGCCGGCGGGAGCTTTTTTTGGGTTTGCGGCGTTGCCGTCTCGTCGTTCGCTGCTGACTGCTGCTGGCTGCTGCTCCCCGTGGAGCTCTCATCATCAATCCACCACACCCACACCCACACACATCATGCACACCACACCAGTGATTGACAAAAAACAACCGTGATGGCGCGGGCGCTTAGTAGCGGGCAAAGCAAGCAGGCGCACACAATACGGTACATCCCCCCCACTTGAAAACCAACATCACACACACCCCACATGTCTACACTTGCTTCGGCCGTGAAGGGCCTTTCTCTCGACCACCACGACCACCACATGAGCGAGTGCGCAAGCGATACGACGGGCCCCAGCGGAAAGCGCGGCGGCCAATCGCAAGGCCGTTCAGTCCGTGCGTACTATTCTCCGAAGGAAAAGGAAAAACGCCAACGATCGCGGATCGGAAGCTACTCGTATGGGGTAATTGATTTGTGTTTTGCCGGATCGAGTTTGGCGCACGTGGGGCAGGTGGTTCGCTCTTGTTGTTGCTCTCTCATCACACAACACGTTCTCATCTGCCTCACGCGCCGCCGGAGGAAAGGGGATGGGGGGACGATGATGAGAGAGAGGAATGGGGCCATTCGTATCACCGCGTGGGGTCCGCAACGACGAACGACGGAAAAAAACTGACTCTCTCCATCACATCAACGCATCATCCATCGACAATCACAGCCAGGCGTCAGCCGCATGGACGTCCACAGTGGTTGTGTGTAGCTCGTCGCTCGGAAAAAGGTGGAAAGAGAGCAGCAACACCAAGTGGATACCCCTGCTGGTGGATCCACACGCCCGCCCGCCGGCCGCCGCAGGGACGTTTTTTTCGACACGCGCCTGTTGTGCGACGACGACGCCGACGACTGACTGGGGCCTTTGTTTGGTTGGCCGCCCGCATGCATGCAGAAGAGCAGCAGCCAACCCGCGTTTGCGCACAGGTCGCCGATGGCCGACCTGCACCCCCGCCCGACGTCGTCATTCGCTAAGACCCCTGCTGTGAGACTTACCGGCTGTGGTTAGCCGTCTGCGCGGTGGCCCGCGCATTGAAGAACGGCGGCAGGGGTCCTTGCTTTTCGCCCTGCTCTCCGAGGAATATGCAGTGTCCCCATGCGTCGCCGCGTCGTACGAAAGGGCCGATTGGGTGTGGGGTGTGGGTTCGTGAGGAGAGCTGTGAGCAGGCAAGGCACGCAAGTCAGAGGCCAGAGAGAGAGGGGCGAAAGAAGAAGGGAAGTGGGCGGAGTAGAGGGGGGAAAGACAGAGAGGAACTGTGCGCGCCCGCCGCCGCCGCAGCAGCAGAGCGCTCCGGCGGAGAGGATACTACGGCGCGGGCGGGTGGGAATGTGCAGCAGTGCCACTGTAGCTCCGGCTGCGCGCTGCCGAAAAGGCGAAGGGAGGCCTTATTGCGGGGGGCGGCGAAATGGAAAGAGGAAAGAGGCACCGTGCTTTGCGAGAGCGGCGCGCGCTGTATAGGTAGATAGGGAACCGATAAGGACTGTAGTTCGTAGTAGTTCTTGTTTTAGCTTCGGGTGTTTGCGGTTCGTAGTCTCGCGAGAAAGCAGGGAAAA